TCTCTTGAACGAAGATGAGCTTGAAGATGAACGTGATTATGAAGACACCTACTACGGACTCGATAGCGAGGATGAGCAGGATTTTCATAAATCCCTTCAGACTACCGAACCATCTGAAGTCGTGCTCGAGCCTGAGCAGACTAAGGATGGAGTAGAGTCGGCCCTGGAGGGAGAATCCATCACGGCAACGGTAAACCACGTCTCGGTGAACGAAGCTCACGCGAATAATATTTTCTCTGGAATTAATAGGAAAGGCCGTCGACAGATGGCTCGGCAATGGAAGACCACTCATCCATTACCGAACGAGGAGAACGACAGCGGAAAGGTCTTGGAATTAAAGAAAGAATTAGCCCGTCCTCCGGGAAGCTCATTCTTAGGTTCCTCGGCAACTAAACTGTCGGCATTTCTCGGTCCTCAAGAACCAGAGACGGTAGAGATCGTTGTGGACTCAGGATCGGATATTACACTTGTTTCGGCAAAGACCCTCGAAGCTATGAAGGTCCCTCCTAAGCTGAAAACTGGACAGAAAATCAATTTAGTTCAAGTTACCGGCAAGGCTAAGATCTCGGGATATGCTCCTATGGATCTAATGTTCAATACGCCTAACGGTAAACTAAAGGTTCCAGTAGAAGCTTACATCGTTAAGGGAATGACTACTCCCTTCATTCTCGGTAATGACTTTGCCAATCAATACTCGCTTTCGATCTTGAGGAACGACGGGAAGAGTTTCGTTCAATTCGGTAATTCAGGCATCAGTCTTGAAACCAATAATTCCCTAACCAGCTCCTTCGTTGACGATGAAGGACATGCGTTCAAGGTAATGATTGGTTCTAGTGACGTTCGGCAAAGGAAGCGACTTCGGCATGTACGACGACGCCGGAGTCAGATTGCTAAGAAAAGAATGAACGACCCTTGGGTTCGCTCTTCAAAGCTTACAGTCATTCCTGCCGAAAGCTCCAAGAAGGTAGAGGTCAACGGTCCCTGGAAGGACAGAGAATGTTTATTTGTCGAGCGACATTTCCAATCGCACAAGAATGTCGACAATATATTCTCTCAGCCTGACTCAATAATCTCTAAAGACCAGCCCTACCTTCACGTCACTAATTTCGGGAAACAACCAGTGGTAATCCCTGCAGGACATGCTCTTGGAAAGGCGCATGATCCTCGGAAATGGTTGGATGACATTACCGAATTTACCGAGGAGCAACGAAATCAAGCCAATGTTTACTCCCAATTACTACGAACGGTTAGCGCTACTCAAGAAGCACAGACCGTTACTAGTAAGGTCGATCAACTGGTAACTAGTCGCGGTAAGGATACCGAGGAAGATCCTTCTTCAACGGAACCATTGGAAGGAGGTCCCAAGACAGCTGAAGTACCTGAAGAGGCGATTAATGAATCGGATTTGATCAAGGAAATGGACCTGAGTACTCACATCTCAACCGAACAGCGTCGGCAACTAGAAGCTGTAGTACTTAAGCATAAAATGGCCTTTAGTCTCAACGGACGACTAGGTCATTACGATGCTAAGGTCGAGGTTCCTCTCAAACCCGGAGCAACTCCAATTTCATTACCGCCCTTCCCTTCGTCACCGGCAAAGCGAGAAGTCATTGACAAGCAAATGGATTCTTGGTTACAGCTCGGCGTTATCGAGGCTTCTAAGAGTCCGTGGGGCGCCCCCGCTTTCATAGTTTACCGAAATGCCAAACCACGCATGGTCATTGACTTTCGGAAATTAAATGAGCAGGTCGTTCCCGATGAATTTCCATTGCCGAAGCAGGAAGATATTCTTCAGGCTCTCACCGGGGCACAATGGCTTTCGACGCTGGACGCTCTATCCGGTTTCACTCAGTTAGAAATGGCTGAGGGAGATAAGGAGAAGACGGCGTTCAGGACTCACCGAGGTCTTCATCAATTCAAGAGAATGCCTTTCGGGTTTAGGAACGGTCCGAGTGTCTTTCAACGTGTTATGCAAAATATCCTCGCTCCTTTCTTGTGGATTTTTGCATTAGTGTACATCGACGACATCGTTGTATATTCGACTACGTTTGAAGAACATCTCAGTCATCTAGATTCGGTATTCAATGCGGTACGGACCTCCGGTATTACTTTATCGCCGAGCAAATGTCACTTGGCTTACCAGTCACTGCTATTACTCGGACAGAAGGTTTCTCGACTAGGCATTTCTACGCATAAGGAGAAGGTGGACGCCATCGTCAGTCTTACTGAACCTAGAAACGTCAAAGAATTGCAAACATTCTTAGGAATGATGGTATACTTCTCTGCGTATGTTCCATTTTACGCCTGGATTGCCGCTCCACTTTTCAAGTTGCTCAAGAAGGACGGTAATGGCTGGGAATGGAACGAGGAACAACAGGAAGCCTTCAACCTTTGCAAGCAGGTCCTGATTAACGCACCAGTCAGAGCTTACGCCATTCCCGGTAAACCTTACCGATTGTATACCGACGCCTGCGACTACGGACTAGCCGCTATTCTTCAACAGGTTCAACCCGTCAAGATCAGAGATCTGAAGGGTACTAAGGTATACGAGCGACTACACAAGGCTTTCAAGAAGGGTGAACCTATACCTAGCCTTGTAATCTCGGTAAACTCGGACGTTCATGACGTACCGCCCAAAGGTGAGTGGGATAAGGATTTTGAGAATACTACTGTGCACGTTGAACGAGTCATTGCTTATTGGTCTAGGATTCTCAAGGCAGCCGAACGGAATTATTCGCCGACGGAACGTGAAGCACTCGCTCTGAAGGAAGGACTTATTAAATATCAGTCCTACCTAGAAGGGGCGGAAGTGCTAGCAATTACCGACCACGCGGCTTTGACTTGGAGTAGGACATTCCAGAATGTTAATCGACGTCTTCTTACCTGGGGAACAGTTTTTGCAGCCTATCCCGGCCTACGAATTGTTCACCGGGCAGGAAGGGTTCATTCAAATGTTGACCCCATTTCACGGTTGCGCCGGCGAGTACCATTCCAAGATGGGCCCTCTCAAGACAGTTCAGAAGCCCTTCGGCTTTCTCAAGAACTAGAGGATCCATTAAGCAATATGTTTACCGAGCTCGGAGAGAAATTCGAAGAGCGACTCCTTACGACAGCGAGTCGGTTTACCGAGACTCTGTTTGAGGAAGAGGAAGCAGTGGAAGCAACCGTATTGAACGTCGGCATTACCGACAACGGCTGTTCCGCTGATATCCCAACCTCTAGGAGTTATTCGGTATTGGTTAGCCTTTCTCCCGAAGAACTCTACAGTTGGAAAAGCGCACTTGAGAAGGATAAGCATCTCAAGGAAATCAAGGAACATCTTGGTAGTGTTACCGACTGGAGTCTCTCAGACTATCCTAATTACCGACTCGAGGAGAACGGTCTGCTGTACTTCGAAGACAACCTCGGTAATTCTCGGTTATGCGTACCTGAGGATTGCCGAATAGAGATCATGAAGGAATGCCATGATACGATCTCGGAGGGAGCTCACAGCGGATATCACAAGTGCTATAATCGCATCGCTAGCACATACTATTGGCCTCGTATGTCAAGAGACATCAAGCAGTATGTCAGCACTTGTGATATTTGCCAGAAAGCCAAGCCCAGAAGGCACGCTCCTGTAGGATTGTTGCAACCTATTCCGGTTCCTACCCAACCGTTTGAAGTCATTACGATGGACTTCATTCCCGAACTGCCGGATTCTAATGGGTGTAACAATATCTTAGTAGTCGTGGATAAGCTCACTAAGTACGGAATATTCATTCCTACTACCACGACTATTACAGAGAAAGGTACGGCACAATTACTCTTCGATCATGTTTTCAAGGAGTACGGCATTCCTCGGCAAATCATTTCCGACCGAGATATACGATGGAAGGGTGAATTCTGGAAAGAAGTATGCAGGTTACTAGGAACAAGGCGCGCATTGACTACGGCCTATCATCCTCAGTCTGACGGACAAACCGAGATTTTGAATCAGACTTTGGAAATTTCAATGCGAGCCTACATCGGTCCTGAGCGAGATGATTGGACCGACCACCTGTCGGCATTGCAATTGTCTTACAACTCTAACCCGCATACTGCAACCGGATTTGCACCAGCGTTTCTACTCCGGGGATATCATCCGGTCACCGGCAGCACCTTGATTCACTCGGCAAATAGCTTACCGAGGACAATTGAGGATGCTAGTCATCCCGAAGCTTCGTCCCTAGTACAAGCTTTTGAAGCCGATCGACGAGAGGCTCAAGAAGCTCTGCTACTAGGACAAATGCATCAACGACGAGCTTATAATAAGGGACGGCTAGTAACCGAGTTCAAGGAAGGTGATCAGGTGGTATTAAATGTCGATTCACTTCAGCTCTTACGAAGTGAGAAAGGACGCGGTAGAAAGCTGCTAATGAAATATGACGGACCGTTTGAAGTCATACGCAAAGTTTCATCAGTCGCTTACCAGATACGCCTACCGGCGTCCTACGGCATACATCCGGTAATCAACATCGCGCACCTAGAGAGCTATAATGCTTCACCGCCAGAATTCGGCGATCGACCTCATCGAAATCTTTCCCGAGCGGATTTTGAAGCATTACCGGAATACGAAGTCGAACGAATTCTCGCCGAGCGATCCAAGCCCACTCGCAATGGTAGATCGCGCAAAGAATTCAAGGTTCGTTGGATCGGCTATGACGCCTCTTACGATGAATGGCTTACGGCAAAGGATTTGACCAATGCACCTTTCATTATGAAGGAGTGGCAACAATCCAAACGCAAGAAGCAGGTCACGGCTCGACTTGCCGAAGTTTGCATTGTGTAACTCCAGAGGTTGCGTGGCCCGCTGTATTCGTCGAACAAAGGCTTTCTGGTCGTCGAACTCACCGGAACTCTCTCGGTAATGGTCATCGGTAATGGTATAAAAGGACGCCTCAACTCGCTTTAATTCCCTCACCAAGTTCCAACTCATCTCAAACACTCCCCACACCCATTCAACTCTCTGTTTCATTACCATGGCTGTTGTATCCCGCATCCAGACGCCTCGCCTCCACCCGTTGGGATTGCCGGAATCCCCTGTCCTCGAGGGCCCCGGTAATCCCATCGCCGAGCTCACTCGTCCTGAGCAGCCCTTCGGGATGTTCGTCGGGAATATTCTCACCTGGCGTCCCACTTTCAACATTTTCCTTGTCCGTCCCGATCCTCCCCACTACGTCGTCCTGCAAGAGGATATTTCGCGCATGCTGTGGACGGCTCTCCAAATTATCCACACCCAGCTCAGCGTTAACGACGCCATTGCCGACGCTGCTCAAGCCGTCGGTATTCGTCCGCCGCCCGCTCGGTTGCGTAACCCGCTGCACGAGGCATTCAACCCTTTGAATTGCTGCTTCCCAACGGTCGACGACGCTATGGCCGTGTTCCAGGGATTGCAAGCAGCTGGTAGCCAGGCTATCCGCTGGGCTGGAGAGTTCGTTCGAGGAGTTTACCGAATCCGCACGGGGCTTACTGGTACGCCCAGAATCGATCGCCCACTCCTGAAATACCTGCGTAGCATCGGGTGGCCAGGACATTACGATCCTAGTGGTTCGCGTCTTCAGCTCGACTCCCATACCGGTCGAGTTATCCTTCACCCCAGTCGATTCAATACCGAGCGCTCGGTAATCCTGAGCCCCAGGAATGCCGAAGCCCCTACAAACACGGCGATCATGCCTCCGGGCCACGGTCGACTTCGTGAAGGATGTACCTCCTGCCGCGGAAACCCTCATAAGGACACTAGCTGCGCGCCGTTTAGTCCTATAGAGGAGGATACCGAGAGCGGTAACAGTACTTCGCCAAACGGCCCTACGGTTATTCTGTCGCCGGACTCGGAGTACCATCCAGACAGCCCTCGCCGTTTTACGTGGTCGCAGCTCGAACAGGACATCTTTGGTAGTGACAACGATACCGACGTCGGTAATCGCATTACCGAGGACGAAGCTGGGATAGCCGACGAAGACGATCTTGTCCTCGTAGAGAAGGGGGGAGTACAAGGGGGGATTCACGACACTAAATAAGCTCAATAAAGTGTCGTCGGTAATGGTCTCGGTAATGACTCGCCAAAGCGATCGTCTGTACTTGTATTCTGCGCTTGATTGTACTGGTGCCGGTTTTTTATTCACGCATTTAATGACAAATCCCTTTTGATCATTGAACGACGATGAAAAGAAACATACATTCCAGAAGCTATCTACAGGCGAGTACAAGAGCTACCAAGATAAGAATACAAGTACAAAGACAGTCTATACAAGGACCAGATCTATTACTCGTCAGCATCGTCCTCCATGTCATCACGAGCACGCCCCTTTCCCTTTCCAGTACCCTTCGACTTGCCTCGACTTTTGTTTTTCTTTACCGAGCGACGTACGGGTATATCTTCGTCCATGCAATCAAGGCGATTATTGATACGCTCAAGCACGTTAAGAATTTGAAGATTGACGTGCTGTTGCGACGACGGTCCTGGCCCAGCCCCACTACTTGAAGCATCAGGTTGTGCCGTCAGTTGTTGACGAAGCATACTGAGTACGACAGGGATGTCGGCATCGGCAACTCCTACTTCGTTAATCAAGTCTGGGATCACCGACGAATTCAGCAAAATTACCGAGGAAGGAATACAGCTGAACTTACTACGACGCGAAGACCGAGACGTCCCAGTCGCTGTAGAAGGAGGTGGTAGCGCTGAAGTGATCGATTCGGGAGTCGCTGGGATGTCCACGGAAGGAGGATCAACTTGAAATAAAGGAAGATTAGCATCAGCAGTTATCGGCAAAGACAATTACTTACCGAATCTGTTGTGAAGTAAGTCGAAACCGACCTGCTTACACTCCTTGAAGATGTAGTGGTACCTGGAGCCAGGAACGCCACCGGACAAGTTGCATTTGACCTTTCGATCGCGACAGTTCAAGCAGGACGACCCGCTGAACTGACGGATACACTCGGTAAAGCCTAACTTTCGGCATTGAAGGCAACGATCATCACCGGAATTCTGAAGAAATCATCAGTCCTCAACGACTCGGCAAGAAAAACCGAAGATACTCACCGTCTCGGGAAAGATCTTGCCGCTCATGAAGAATTGGCCTCGAGAATTCAAGTACCATTCGTCTGTGCCAACGGAACCCTCGACCAGGATTTCGGGATTGGACTCGACTTCTTCGCCTTCGTCTTCAAATTCTTCGGGTTCCTCTTTGTCGTCTTGCATTTCAAAGTCCTCTTCGGCCTCGATGTCAAGGAAAGCTTGAGGATTTAAAGACCGGTCCTCATCCTCAGACATGCACCAAGCCCGAGGGAAGCATTCAACTTCCGGGTGTTTGGCAAGCCATTCGGCAAGACGAACCTCGGGTTGATAGGCAATGCCGAGGTCGATAAAGTGACCTATCGAAGCGACTAAGTTAGAACCGTACAAGCAGGACAGCCAAAGTGAAGACTTACCGAGGGACGAGGACATCCATCCATTTGAAGTCCATTTGGACTCACGCTCGTCCAAAAGAGACTGATCGTTCCAAAGGCCGGCAGTAATCAAGCGACGTCGAAGGGAAGGATCTTGAGAGCTTATGCTCAACGCCTCTTCAGGAGCGTACTGCCATTCTCGGAATTCTTCTAACCAAGGGGGGAGCTGAACTTCTCCGCCTTGTTCGACTATCCAAGTATTCAAGGATTCCATGAAGGTGTCGTTCTAAAAGGAAAGGAAGTTAGAACGCTGATTACTTGCCGACTCGGGAATCATACTTACCGTGACAATATGAAATGCTATGTTCCCGATTGCGTGCCAGTCGAAGGGACTTTCCACAAGAGATCGGAACGTAGCATCAAGTCCGGAAAGAACGTGATTGTCAATATGGTCGGGAGCGTAGTCGGGAAGCCCAATAAAGCCAGCAGCCTGAAGGCAGCAGAAGTCGCCGAGAGTAAGAGTTCCAACCATTTCGGAGTCGGAGAGCGAAGATCACTAGCGAGTGATTCGAGGCAAGGGGGGATATGTTATGGATATCTCTAAAGAATCCAAGTCCGACTTATATGCCTCGAGTCATCACTATTGTTCTAAGCTCCGCTATTGTCGGTAAGGTTCATTAGGTAAGCACAATGGCATTACCGACGATTGGGTGAACACACCTTTCGGTAACTTCCGGTAATTGCCGGTAATTGCCGAAATCCCTTTCAAGACTACAATACCGACTGAACAACGGGCCGAGACACCGAGGACTATTGACTGTCGGTAATGGCAAGGCCGAGGGATCACCGAGGAGAGGCTGCGCTGACACTTCGGACTTAGCTCGGTGAGGACTTGGGCTGTGAGATCTTACATGTCTCAAGTACGGTACGTAGGATAGCCTTGGACTGGTAGTAGTGTACAGGATTGAGACATAGAAAATGTATATAAGACGAGACGAAAGACTGCGGCAATACATCTACACTCTTTACCGAAATTCACCTTGTGTGCCACACGAAGACTTGCTTCGCCCCGAGTGCTAAGTTAGCCATACTAGCCACTCGACCACTCTCACTGAGTTCTTACCGACGCGCTCTAAGACCTGTGATTGTGAGACCTTACTTAGTACAGTCCTCGCGCTACTAGTAAGGTCTAAGTAACTTCAACTGACTACAAGAGTCGGGTTCATCGGAGAAGGTTCATCATACTGATCAACGTTCTAACATCGCTTCTCGGTAATCATTTATTACCGACACTTCGGTAACTGCTCTACTGGACTTAAGCATTACCGACGCTTCCTTCTGAGTTACCGAGTATTGAATACCTCGGGAATCTATTCATTTAAACATACAACTTCGTTACTATTCCTCTGTAACGAAGGAGACATCCTCTACTCTATTGCTCGACTTCAAGTTACTGTTACCTTGAAGTAAGTATTATACTAATTCTAACCCAGACTCCAACAACCACCCAGACCGCGTCGTGTGTCTGCGCAGCCATCTGTTGCACAGACACCAAGTCAAAGGACTCCGGCGGAGAGAACTGCTTCGCAGACAATAAGGAAGAGGGTTACACCTCCGGCGAGGGAACGCTCAGGTAGAGTTTGATATTTCTTGTCCTGTGTTCGACACGTCACGCGACATGGTCTGTTACAGACACATACACGGATCAACAGCAACGGAGTCAACAAACGTTGGCCAACAAACGTTGGTGTCATGGTATGACACGAAGGCCCCGTATTTTTGCTTTGTTTTATCCTATTTTTGCTCATTTTCTATGGACTTGTTTCCGTGAGGTCATGGAACGGACTGGTTACTCGGACGGTGACCTGCGAGATCGCTTCTACGAGCATCTCAGCAACGACATCAAGGACCTCCTTCCGACGACCGAGCGCTCTACCAAGACGCTCGATGAACTCATGTTGGTCGCTGCAGACTTCGACACACGGCTGCGTCAACGCCGTGCCGAGAAGGCCCGCGAGGCTGGTAAAACGTCGAGTACCTCGTCGACGAGTACCCCGGTCAGGACAACAGCGGCTCCGTTCGTGATCAGCAAGGATCCGAACGCGATGGACATCGACGCGACGCTGCAGGCACCGAAAGGCGGTAACGGGAAGACCCGGGCGGACTTTCTCAAGGTCATGGGCGGTCGTTGCTTCGGTTGCGGCTCCAAGGATCACGTCAAGCGAGACGGTGGTCACGAGCGCGACGTCTGCGACTGGTGCGGTGGAACTGGGCACAAGACCCCGGTCTGCCAAAGACGGTTCCTCGGGTTGCCAAAGAAGGCAACGGCAGCTGCGACGTCTTCGACGTCCTCTACGGACAAGGAAGTGGATGAGATCTTCTCTCCGGAAACTTCCTCGTCGACAAGCGAGGAGAAGACAGTGGCGGCCACCTCGCAGATGACCGACGTGGTGAACGCGATGCTCAAGCAGCAAGCTGAGCTCGCAGCGTAGATCGAAGCCCTCAAAAAGGCTTTTTAGATCGACCACATGCTACCGTGGCAGCGGCGTCGTGGTCGTGGGACAGGTATTGGCGTTTCTTCGGTTCTATTCGCATAGCTAGTTGTACTATACCAGAATCAGAGCTTCGAGATGTACATTTACGTATTGATGTATCAGTCTCCGGAAAACGTCGAGAAAAGCAAGTAGCTGCCATGATCGACTCAGGCGCTACGGGGTTGTTCATTTCTTCTCGTTTTGTACTAGAAAATCATGTAACTACCGTTCCTATGAAACATCCGATCGTTCTGTATAACATCGATGGCAGTAAGAACAAAGCTGGTAGCATCACTCACTACGCTCGTCTTAGATTACAAGTAGGTAGCTTTGATGAGGTGTGCGATTTTTTAGTTACGAATCTGAACAAGGAAGATATGATACTGGGTATCCCGTGGCTGAGAGAAGTGAATCCTAGCATCAACTGGAAGGAGGGTACGGTCACGTTCGACGAGGAACCGCAGGAGCCGGTTTCATCTGAAAACAATGATCTCCCCTTTCAGAAGATCGCCGGGACGAGGAAACTCCGGCGCGAATGGAAGAAGCGCGGAGTTATAGACGACTTGGCTGATGAGCTCTGGTGCTGCGCAGGTGTAACGTACTCAACCACGCTGGCAGCCCAAGCCAATCAGCAGAAGTCCAAGAAGACCTTTGAGGAGATGGTGCTGGAGCACTATCGAGACTTCGCCAAAGTCTTCTCGGAGGCAGACTCGGAACGTCTTCCCGAGCACAAGCCGTGGGATCACACAATCGACCTAAAGCCAGACGCGCCTGAGACGCTACGGTCGAAAGTGTATCCAATGCCGGTAAACGAGCAAGCGGAACTAGACAAGTTCTTAGAAGAGAACCTCCGGAAAGGCTACATTGTGCCTTCCAAGTCACCGATCGCTTCGCCTGTCTTCTTCGTCAAAAAGAAGGATGGCAAGCTCCGGATGGTTCAAGACTATCGTAAGCTAAACGATGTCACGATCAAGAACCGATACCCGCTCCCGCTTGCTACCGACATAGTCAACCGGCTACGCCAAGCCAAGTACTTCACGAAGTTCGATGTCCGCTGGGGATACAACAATATCCGTATCAAAGAGGGTGATGAATGGAAAGCGGCGTTTGTAACCAACCGCGGACTGTTCGAGCCGAACGTCATGTTCTTCGGCCTCACCAACTCCCCAGCGACATTCCAAACGCTCATGAATTCCATCTTCGTCGATCTCATCGCTGCCGGAAAAGTAGCTGTATATCTAGACGACATCCTAATATACAGTACGGACTTGGACGAACATCGCAAAGTAGTACGCGAAGTTCTCCGCCGGCTACAGGAACACGACTTGTTCCTGCGACCCGAGAAATGCGAATTCGAGCAGACGAGCGTCGAGTACCTAGGCTTGGTAATCTCGGAAGGAAAGGTCAGCATGGACCAAGTCAAGGTCCAGGCGATCACGAGTTGGCCGGACCCCCAGAACCTGAAAGCGCTTCGAGGGTTCCTGGGCTTCGCCAACTTCTATCGCCGATTCATCAAGGACTTCGCTAAGACAGCACGTCCTCTGAATGACCTGGCCAAGAAAGACGTATCCTGGCATTGGGGGCCAGAGCAGAAAGAAGCATTCCAGACGCTTAAGGACGCGTTCACGTCGGAACCCATTCTAGTCACATGGGAACCCGACCGTCCTACGCGCGTGGAAGTAGATGCTTCCGGGTTCGCGACCGGTGGAGTTATCCTGCAAAAGACGGCAGATAATCTCTGGCACCCGGTTGCATTTAGGTCACAGTCGATGGCGGAAGCCGAGCGCAACTATGAGATCTACGACCGCGAGATGCTAGCTATCATCAGAGCTCTCGAGGACTGGAGGCACTATTTGGAAGGCCTTCCGGCCCCCTTCGAGATCATCTCCGATCATAAAAACCTAACGTTCTGGCGAACTTCGCAGAACTTAGGACGGAGACAAGCTCGCTGGTCGTTATGGTTGTCACGCTTCGACTTCACAATGACGCATAAACCCGGAAAGACGAACACTCAGGCCGATCCCCTGTCACGTATCCCTTCGCTCCAAGTCACGGATGCGGAGGATAACCAGGGTCAGATCGTGTTGAAGCCTGAGCGGTTCGCGGAGATTTCTGCTACCCTCAACGAGCCAGAATCCCCACTAGAAGACCGCCTTCGTCAGGCTAGCGAACGCGAAGCTGAGGTGCTTACCGCGCTACGCGAGCTCCGTGAGCATGGTCCACGTCGATTGACGAACGGACTCTTCGAATGGGAAGAAGACAAGGGTATCATTTACTACAAAGGGAAAGTCTATGTCCCTGCCGACGATGGGCTGCGCACAGAAGTCTTACGTCAGTGCCACGACGCGCCCACGGCAGGACACCCCGGTAGAAATGGAACCCTTGAGCTGGTCAGCCGCCATTACTGGTGGCCAGGAATGGCCAAGTTTGTGGAGAAGTACGTCGCAGGATGTGACAGGTGTCAGCGTTACAAGCCAGCAGCTCATCCGCCGGCTCAGCTACACCCCCTGCCCGTGCCTAGAGGACCGTGGACTACGATGGGCGTCGATCTGATCACTGGATTGCCACTGTCCAACGGATTCGACGCCATAGCCACGTTCATTGATCTCTACGGCAAACAGGTGCACTTCATACCCACGACCTCCACAGTAGACGCTTCGGGTATCTCCGATTTGCATTATCGTGAGATATTCCGGCTGCATGGGATCCCCGACGAGATTGTGTCGGATCGCGGTCCGCAGTTCGCCGCTAAGCTAATGCGCGAACTGTACAAGCGGCTAGGAATCAACTCGAGTCTCACTACGGCCTACCACCCGCAGAGCAACGGACAGACAGAGCGCGCTAACCAGGAAGTCGAAAAGTACATTCGACTCTTCTGCGATAAACGCCAAGACGACTGGTCCCGGCTTCTCCCAACCGCCGAGTTTGTAATCAACTCGCGCGTTGCATCGGCTACGGGAAAGACTCCCTTTGAAGCCATGTATGGGTTTACGCCGGACTTCACTGTCCCTGTGGGTAGGAAAACAAGTATTCCTGCACTCAACCAAAGATTGGCACTTCTTGCAGAAGCACGCAAGGAGGCGGAAGCAGCACTTCGTCTAAGCAAAGTCGCGATGGCGGAGCAGGGCAAAGTCAAAGCCCCGATGTTCAAGGTTGGCGACAAAGTCTGGTTAGCCGCCAAGAACATCAAGATCCACCAAGCAAGTCAGAAGCTTGGGCCGCGACAACTCGGACCTTACGAAGTAACCGAAGTCCGAGAGAAAGACGACTACGTGCTTAACTTGCCGCCTGCGCTCAAGGTGCATCCCGTATTCCACGTGGATAGACTATCTCCCTACAAGGGTAATGACGTCAACGGACTCCTTCCCCAGCCACCCGAACCAGTAGTAATCGATGGTGAGGAAGAGTACGAAGTCGAGACCATCTTGGATTCCCGGTTCTTCAGACGCCAGCTTCAGTACCTAGTCCAATGGAAGGGCTACGGTGCGGGAGACAACAGCTGGGAACCCGCCAAGAATCTCGAACACGCCCAGAAGGAAGTAGCGGAGTTCCATCGGAAGCACCCCAATGCACCTCGCAAAATAAATGCTGCTCTTTTTGACGGAATCATGTGGCGATCTCCGGAGAATATGACGGACGTCGTGCCCACAGACCTGGAATGGGAGACGGGGCGACGTGTTGGGATAGATTCGTCGGGACGACGAGTCTTAGGAGGGGGGTAATGTCATGGTATGACACGAAGGCCCCGTATTTTTGCTTTGTTTTATCCTATTTTTGCTCATTTTCTATGGACTTGTACGATACGCTGTACGGTAGACTTCGCCTGGAACGGCTTTCTGACTAGTCACGTGACACATCACATGCTAGGGTTCGTCTTGTGACTCGTTCATCATGTGACCTTGCTTATGTAACTTATCATGTGCCCTGCGGCAGCGCCTAGCCACCTGACTCGTTCTGACTCATTCTGACTCATACGTACACATGACCTCAGTTCTCGGATCCAGCGTAGGTAGACCTGCCCTCAACCTAGCCAGTATATATAGGGTCCTGTACGCTGCCTAGCACTCCAGCTCGTCCTCTTGGAGTTGCTAGGTAAGCACTTCACATTGTACTAAGTAGAGTGCAATGTAACTAACTTGGAGTTGCTAGCATTGCGTTCGACGCTGTTAGACTGTTGTTGACCTCGGTCCAACACCTTGAGGTCAAGTGTTTCTGTTCACAGTTCTGTTTCTAGTCGCGTCAGACCTAGCTCCGCGACAGTTGGCCAACAAAAAACGTCGCAGAGGTATCTCATACCATCACTAATGCAGCAGCAATACTGATCCAAGTGACAGACAACATCCTCACTGGCAGCGACTCTGACGACGACGCTTACCAGGCCTCAGCCAACCAGGTGCTGGAAAAAGGAGATCCCCGAGACAGTGGGAACGATGTGCACCAGCAAGCACGTCGTACAGCTCTGGGCCGCCGCGCGATGTCACCACGCGCCTTGTTTGATGACGATGGCGAGTATGACGATGGCGAGTATGACAATGGCGAGTATGACGATGACGAGTATGAACCTCGGGCTGTCAACAACGACCCACCCTCGCCTGAGCCACGCAGCCAGCGCTATTCCTCACCGGAGCCGCGTTATTCGTCGCCTGCCAATGCACTGCAAGACCGTGGACGGGCTTCTGATGATGCACAGCAATTTGAGGTTGAGGATGAGGAGGTGCACGAGTTGGACGAGGACGAGGGCGAGGAGGTGGATGAGTTGGACGAGGACGAGGACGGGAAGGGTGAGGTGGACATGGATGAGAATGGTGATGGTGATGTGGACGAGGAGGAGGAGGACAAAGAGGATGATGGTAAGTTCATCATTGAGGTTGACATCACACATTTGAACTAACGTGAGGTTCGTGTTGCGGTTTTGCGTGCACAGGCGATCTTATACCTTGTCCAGAGCCTCTCACTATTCACTCTGGACGACCTCGTGCGAAAGACTACAACGATGAGGTGCAAGAAATCCTCGCGCTCGCAAACTCATTGTTCCGATGCCGCTTGTCTTCAATCTGCCCATTTCCGGACCATGCAACTGCAACTGAGTGGGCGCAGCTGGCTTGGGGCGAGGCATGTAGGGAGCTCAAGGCCAGATATGCTGCAAGCCCGCGCATCGTCAAGATAGTGAGTACTTACCAAATCTGCAGGTCCTTGCTTATCAAAACGTGGTCATGTGTATAGATCACGCAGCGGTTGTCTCAGGCTCGCAGCGAGCTCAAGGCGAAGGTCAAGCCTCTGGTTGAAAACCTGTATGGGTTCAACGGCGGCTCTGCATCCCACATAATCCGTCAGAACCGTGAGCGGGCTGTCAATCTCAAGGTTGAATCTGCGTTTGTATATCTAGTACGTGCTACTACTAGTGATACATCTTTGGGTTTGTGCGATGTTTTGCAGTACTGATGCCTCTTGAAGGAGCCTGCGCTCGAACAGCATGATCATACCGCGCGCAAGGGGATGTACCGCCATCCAATCATCCAGAAGGCCGTCAATGCGATGTGGTTCGCTAACAAGATTGACGAAGGGATCCACTATAGCCGCTTCTTTGATCCCATCTCCATTCAAACGATGGCGTTTGTCCTCACAGCTGTAAGCCATACGTCACGGTGATGTACAGCTCTGACGCTTTTACTTGCAGATCCAGTGCGCGATTGATGAATGGGGAACGGGTGCCCGGATTGACCGCACGTTCTCGTTGAAAGAGTACAATCCAGTGTACAAGAATCACGAGGCCAACCTCAAAGCGTTTGATGGCTTATGCGACAATGCTCATCAAATCTTACTCGAAATTCGCCAAGGACTGCTCAAGGAAGCCCGGTATAGTCCACATGCATACATGTCAGAGTATCCGCTAACCCCTTAGCTATGTAGATTCCATTCCGGCGTGCAGAGTATAAGCGAGAATCTCGGTACCCTCTCGCAGGATGCGTTGACGGCCGCACTGAACGAGGCCTTGGAAGAAAGGGCTAATAATGGTGCAGCCGAGTGATTGTTATTGTTTGGCTTCTCAACGTGTTTCTCGGACTGCTGGTGTTTACTGCAGGAAATCTTCGGTTGTCTTCAAGTTCAGTATGGCTAGCTAATGTCGGACGTCAGACTTGGACTACTTCTACCCTCTCCTTCTGCATTGCATATCATGATAATCTAATGGTGACGTCACTGTCTTCCTGGGCCGTAGTACGTAGTAACAGGCATTTAATATACTTGTTTTAATGTATGGTCATACATCAAGTGACATTATAGGCACTGCACAAAGACCCATAGTGCTGTCGATGGTTCAAATGTCAATGCAATGACTAGCTTTGTTACATCTATTGTACAGGACCCGATGTACACTGCCCTATATGGCGTTGTATGTCACAATGGTGCTACAGAGCTATGTAGCTACTGTTGATATGCGGCGCTATGTGCCTGCTCTCAGGAGCTACATGCTGCTATGGATCCACTGTACGTGCTACACACTACTATAAACCAGGGGGTATGCAATGGTGCTACAACAGCTACATAGGCTATGTGGGGCGACAGGGTAAAGTGTTTTTTTCCTGATGCGGAGGCGTCGGTGATAACCCATATGGGCTCATCGACCTTCGGGTCGATGGGCTTAAGGATTGGTGCGCGGCTGGCTAGTGCCTTAATGGCTTCGAAGCACTTGTCGTGCATTGCTCGCCATACAAAGGGTCGGTCATTGCGACACATGTCCGATAATGGAGATGTGTAGCCACTTATCTCGGGCAGGAAGTGTGCGAGATAATTGACCAGTCCGAGGAAGCGCTGCACTTCCTTGTACGACCGTGGCGTCCTCCACATGCGGATCCGCTCCATTTTGTCGCGGTCCGCATGTAGTCCCCGGTCATCTATTAGATGACCCAGGCAGTCCATGCGCCTTGAGTAGAGGTCGCACTTCGTCTGGCTGAGGTATAGCTTCGCTTTCCTCAATCAATCAAATATGATACCTAGATGTTTTTCGTGTTCTTCAATGGAGTCGGAGAACACAAAAATATCGTCTAAGTATACATGGACGAACCGGCCTATGCAATCTCGGAAGATTGCAGTCATTAGCGACTGGAACGTTGCTGGTGCATTGCAGTCGCCCTGCTGCATTACCAGGCTAATGAACGTGCCGTATGGTGTGGAGAACGCCGTTTTCCAGACGTCCTCCGCTACAATACGGATTTGTTCATATGCATCCGACAGGTCAATCTTTGACCTGAACTTTGCTCGGGCCACATCCATCCGGATCTGGTCCTGGTCAGGGAAAGGTGTAACATCTTTCCGCGTGTTGTCGTTGTGCTTTCGCACGTCGACGACCGTTCGCAGCTTGCCCGACTTCTTCACTATGCAAAGAAGTGGGGCGGCTTGACCATTTGGTATCTGTGACGTTTGGATGGGTTGCCACCATCCCGCAGCCGTGTACCGCTCAATTTTATTGAGCAGCTGTGGCTTCATAGCCTCAGGGCACTTGGCCAAGTGGTACCTGAGTGCCATGTCCGGGTCGATAAGTGGAATCCGATGATTCACTTCTTGAAACGGTGGCAACTCCAGTGGCGGAGGCTTCATTATATCCTTGCACTCCTTCAACCATCGCTCTCTGTTGGCGACGACCTGGGGGTTGTCGTCAAGGGTTTGTCGAACTTCCTCGTCTTGGAGGAAGTTGGATATTACCCGGTCGACTTTGTCGTTGGTTCCCCATGGATCCAATCGACCGTATAGGTCCCTTCGCGGTTGTTGCGACGAGTGTACCATAGGTACATTATCTTCGGCAACATTCGGTAATGTGGCCGTATGTCGCTTGCCTATCGTTACCGGCACTTTCCTGCGGTTCACCACTTCTGGTTTTAGAAGTGGTGGTCCGTGTACTTTGTCAATCTTTTTCTCTTTTTTGAATAATTCTGGTACCACTTCCTGTCTCGGGCGTGGTACTATGTTTTTTGTTGACGTTTCCACCTGGGAATTGACGTCGCCGTCGATCCCCTCCCCCCTCAAGACCGTAATGTCTTCCTTAGCGAAGCGAGACCAGGGGGGTTGCACAGCGGTGGATCTCACTGTGCTACCCTATTGTCTTGGGGTGGATGTTACACGGAGTTGCGCTGTCAGTCGCGCGTTCCGTGCATTGCGTCGGTGTTCAAGAACCTCCGCTTCTTGAGCGACGGTGTATGCTGGTATAGCCACCCCGTCTACCCAAATACTGTGGTTGCGGAAGTCCAGCACCACGTTGTGCTTGATGCAGAACGTGGTACCGAGTACAACATCATACTGGTCGATGTCAACTACATCCATGTAGTTGACGCCGTTTACTGGTCCCACCTGGATGCGAGGTCGTGCACCATAATTAATCGTGGTGCGACTACCTTTCGTCCCCAGTTGTAGATTGAGGGGCTCCCTCAGATCTACACGGTCAGCTTTGGCTAAGAATGCCAGTTCGGGCGACATTGCGTCGGTAGTACACCCTGTGTCGAATAGGGTGTACGCCTTTACGCCATTGACGTCAATCTCCGCACACAACGTTCTCGTTGTTTCCGGGCTACGTTCTGGCTGGTCCCGTGGCTCGGAGGTCCGACGGATCTTCGAGTCGTATAGCCAAGCGGCCTTCATGGTACGGGCCGGCGGAATCGTCTGTATGGCATTCATACGTGCAATGTCCTTAATGGCCGCCTTATATGACGGATGAGCCAGGTTCTCCTGGCTCACCTGCGTCGATGATTTACGCTCGACGCGCATGGCCCTGTACGCCATGAATCCCATGCGAGCATCTCTGCCACCGTCGCTTTCGTATTCGTCGATGGGGGATGTCTCCCCAGGGTCATCGTATGCGTACTGTGACCCCCCATACTCTGATTGGGGGTAGTCAGTCACTTCGGCTTCCTCCCCACTTTGCACATCCACCGGTTGGTCGGTGTGGTCCGTGGGTACCGGCTCGACATGGACGTACTCTTCAGCAGAGTCCGTCCCGTCGTCCTCCACAATACGGGCTGCATTCATGCGGCCTGTTTTGCGAGGCGGTAATCTTCCCCCGTTCTTGCACTTGTCCTTATCTCTAGTAGTGTGTCCTTGTTCACCGCAGCTCCAGCATATAACGGTGCTACCACTCGCTGGAGTGGTAGCTTTCCCCGATGGTGCTGCGTGTTTCACCAAGCTTTTATCACTAACCACCACCGCCGTCGAGGTCGGTGGTGGCTTAGTGTATCCCGTATTCAATGCACTGGGTCGAGACGAGAACCGTGTCGACTGTCCAGTCGCTCGGGTGCGGCTGCTTAGTTGGGTCGCGAATTTCCGTAGTGCACCACTACCATCCTTGGTCATGGTGTTCGTCTGAGCGGTCCTCGACGCAGCGGCTGATTGCATCGCAAATTCGTACCTGCTTGCGGCCTGTACGATGCTCCCGAATGGTGACCGTTCGGGGGTGATGAAGTAGACCTTGCGCAAGGTCTCCTCCATTTCGGATGGTAGTGCCGTTAAGAAGCGGCGCTTCCATTCGTAGTCCCCGGGGCGCTCTGCCATACGGTCGGCGTATTGGGTCATCTTGTCGAGTAGCTCGGTCACCCCGCCACTCTTGTGGTAGGTTACCTTGCTCCAGGACTCAATGGCCTTTATCTCACCATCCTGGTGGATAAACCGTCGGTGCAGCGCCATGATCGCTTCTGCAAACGACCATTGCCGTTTGCTCCGTCGGGGTGATTGTACGTGGCAGAAGTACCAATCCTTGGCACTGTCGGCCAGCGAGTTCCCGGCAATTTGCACTCGGTCCCTGTCGAGACGGGGACCCGTGATGTGCAATACAGCGAAGAACATGAGCAGTTCGAAGAGCCACTCTTCGAACGCGTACAAATCATCGGTCCCTGACCAGGTGGATGGCTTGTCCATCTTGGCCGTCCTCAGGTAGGATGGTGTTTCGCCATCCGGGTCCTCGCCCACCATCTCCTCGATCATATCTAGGCAGTGATCGAGGGATCGGTTCATGCTATGGACCGGGCCAGCTATGTTCATCGCTGAGATGGACGGAGCCTCGTCGTGACTACCACTACCTTGCATGTATGAGTGCATGCCCTGGTAGTCGTATTCATGACTTGTTCGCCCTGAGGATGGGCTCGAGCCGCCTACTCCAGGAGGGAATGATACTCGTACACCCTCGCGGGGGTACGAGCGTTGTCTCTCTGTCCTTGGCACCTCCCTTTGGAGGTGCCAGTCTTTGTCCTCCCTTGTGAGGGGTCCTCGCGGAACCTCATTGCGATGATGAGGAGTCTGCATTCCCGGGTTAGGTACTCCCTCCTGGAAGTGCCGGACATTATCCATCTTCGATGGTGGCCCTCGCCGTGCTTCTTCAAGTGAGTGCGAGGGTCGCGTCTCTGGCTTCGGCACTTCCTTCTGGAAGTGCCGGGTTGTATCACTCATCCCGGGTGTGCGCGGACCACGGCTCGTGTGGTTCGCTCTTTCCGCGGGTGATGGTGTCGCCGGGATCTGTCCCCAGAATGTTTCCTCCTCTGGCAGTAGCGGTTTGCCGTGGTCGTCCAGCGCAATGGCTCCTGGGGGTACGTCCGGTCGGTAATGATAGTTGATTCTATCGTACCCCGGGCCCGCCGTGCGCTGCGGCGAACGGACGATCCGACTATAACCACTAGCAGTGGTTATGGTCTGTGGCATCGAGGCCAGTCGCTCGTTTGCGGCACGTCGTCGTTGAAACTGTTCCTCAGTTTCACCCTTTTGCCGGGGCAACTTCAAGGTCTCTGCAGCGGCTTGTAGGACTGGGTCCTCTGAGCGGCCTTGCATGGGTACATTCTCCGAATGTACCCTTGGCTTGACCCTTTTGGGCGGTCCTTTCAGTTCCTCGGACGCCTGACTCGATGTCTCGCTCCCATCGCTTGCCTCCCCCGTTGCCACCTCTGCCTCGATACCCTCAATATCCTGCTGTGCCGCCATTGCTGCTTCATGGAGGGTCTGCAACATTGTATTCTTATGATGTTGCATGGCCTGCAACATCGTGTCTTTCTGATGTTGCATTGCCTGCAACATCGAATCTTTCTGATGTTGCAGGTCGTTGTCCAGGTCCTCTCGGAGCTGGCCAATCGTCTTTTGGAACTTCGCTATTACTGATAGCTTAGCTACCTTCCTCCGGCGGGATCCATCGCGGGATCCTGCTCGTGAGCCAGACGCACTGGTCGGTCTGGATCGTGTTTGTGACGATCCTTCCGCCGCATCCGCAGGAGGCTCCCTCGCGGGCGCATCCTGCGTGCGGATGGTCGTAGCTTGGGTCGTTGGCTGTGCGCCATCGCCCGGTTTACCTTCCTGGGTCGTATTGTCCTCACACTCCGTCTTGATGGATGGAGACGCTCGGCTCTTCCCAGCTGCTACTCCTTCTGAGGAGTGGGAGTCCGGTGTTCCGGCTGTTACTCCTCCCGAGGAGTACCAGCCTTCAGCTGATACTCCTGATGGTCCTCCAGCCGTCGCAGTAGATGCTCCGGCGCCGGATGTCCCTTTCGGGATTAATGATGACGGTACGTTGGTAGTCATTGGGTTTGCTTTTCGGAAACGGCCGCTGCTATCTCGTAGTGGTAGCAGCTTGCCTTTCCGGTCGTACTCTTTGATGGAGTCTGATGGAATGTTGATGGATCGCGCTCGTTGTCTGATGACGTGTGATTTGACCGCACGCACTTCTGCTTAGAAGTTCGAGCTTTCGAAGGAGCGTAAAAAAGTATGGCGCTCCTCACACAAGTCGAAGTACGCTGCACCCAGTCTCTATTCCAGAGTGGTGCGGTACCTAGTGACGAGTGTAAAGAGCTGAGCTCCCACACCCGCTGGCGCCTACCTTTAAAGGTAGGCCCCAATACACGCGATCGTAATATACATGATAAGTCCCAGTATAGTCATACAGTAAATAACGTTACGGTAACGTCCACGTTACACCGAAGCAGTATCGCGAGGTTTGGAAGCAGATGTTACAGGACCATCTCGATGCCGGTTGTCTGCGGCCGTCGAACAGCCCGTACGCCTCGCCATGTTTCCTCATCCCGAAGTCTGACCCTGCCGCTGAGCCTCGGTGGGTGAACGATTACAGGGCCCTCAATGAGAAGACGGTGCCAGACAGCCATCCCTTGCCCAAGATCTCTGACATCTTGTCTGACTGCGCGAAGGGCAAGATCTGGGGCAAGATGGATATGACCAATGCCTTCTTCCAGACACGCGTACATCCCGACCACGTCAAATACAGTGCGATAACGACACCTTGGGGGCTATACGAATGGACAGTCATGCCCCAGGGTTGTCGTAACGCGCCTGCGACGCATCAACGTCGGATGTTCACAGCGCTCAGGAAGTACATTGGGAAGTTCTGTCACGTTTACCTCGACGACATCATCATCTGGTCTGACTCTCTCGAACAACACCGCGAGCATGTTCGACTCATTCTTCAGGCCTTGCGCGATCACGCCCTCGTCTGTTCCTACAAGAAGACCCAACTTTTCCTCCTCGATGTCGACTTCCTTGGCCATCATATCTCTGCGGCCGGCATCGAAGCGGACAAGTCTAAGGTCGACAAGATCCTCGCTTGGCCTATCCCCAAGTGCACGTCTCACGTTCGCGCCTTCCTCGGGCTCGTCCGGTATGTTGCCAACTTCTTACCGCAGCTGGCACAATACACACAGGTTCTCGATCCTCTGACGACAAAGGAGGCCGACAAGGACTTCCCGCCGTGGTCTGACGCGCATCAGCATGCCTTCGACGGGATCAAGGACCTGGTCTGTAGTCGGGAAGTGCTCACTGTCATTGACCACGACGCGCTGGACACCAACAAGATCTTTGTCTCTTGCGATGCCTCCGACCTCCGCACTGGTGCGATGCTCTCCTTTGGTCCTACCCTGCGCTCTGCCCGCCCCGTGGCATTCGACTCGTGTTCGCTCAAGGGCGTGGAGCTGAACTACCCGGTTCACGAGAAGGAGTTACTGGCCATTGTACGTGCTCTTAAGAAGTGGCGTGTCGAGCTGTTGGGCGCCCCGTTCGTTGTGTTCACTGATCATCGCACGCTCGAGAACTTCCATTGTCAAAAGGACCTGTCTCGACGACAGGCTCGATGGCAGGAGTTCTTGGCGCAGTATGACTTCACAATCCAGTATGTGAAGGGTGAACATAACGTTGCAGCCGATGTTCTGTCGCGCTGCCCGGTTGATTCTCTAATTGACCCGTCTGCATGCGCGGCAGTTGGCGAGCTAAGGGACGCGACCCGTTGTCTGCGTGACGCGACCGGGTGTGTTGATGCTTTGCCTGCGGCTGTCGCGATGACCGCGACGACTGACAAGGCGCTATTGGACCGCATTCGCGCTGGCTATACCACGGACGTGTGGTGTGTCAAGTTGTGCAAAGCGGTTGGGTCCATCGGCATTGTCGAACGTGATGGTCTCCTGTTCATTGGGAACCATCTCGTCGTGCCGCGGATCACCGACCTGCGGGAGTCGCTGTTCCGTCTTGCGCATGATGCGTTGGGGCATTTCGGCTTCGACAAGGGGTACGCGACTCTGCGCAGTGCTTACTACTGGCCTAACATGCGCAAGGACTTCGAGTCACTTTACATCCCCGCCTGCGAGGAGTGTCAGCGGAACAAGTCGAGCACGTGGAAGCCTCCTGGTCCCCTGCATCCGCTGCCCGTCCCTGACGGCCGTTGTGAGGAGATCACAATTGACTTCATTGGTCCCTTGCCGCCGGATTCTGGCTTCAACTGTCTCGCGACGGTGACGTGTCGTATGGGCACGGACTTGCGCATCATCCCCACCACCATGGACGTCTCAGGAGAAGAATTCGCTCCACAGTTCTTCGACGGCTAGTATTGCCACAACAGTATGCCCTCGGTGGTGATCAGTGATCGCGACAAACTCTTCGTATCGAAGTTCTGGCAGGCGCTCCAGAAGCTTGCAGGCGTCAAGTGGAAGATGTCCACTTCCTTCCACCCACAGACGGACGGTGCTTCCGAGCGTACGAACAAGACAGTCATCCAAGCATTGCGTTACCATGTCGCGCGCAATCAAAAGGGTTGGGTTCGCGCACTCCCTCGTGTTCGCTTCGCCATAATGAACACGGTCAACGCCTCGACTGGGTTCACTCCATTCCAGCTTCTCACCGGTCGCAGCCCTCGTCTAATCCCGCCGCTCATTAATGACAACATTCGGGTCGCTCGCGATGACGCTTCGGTGTCCGAAGCTGCGGCAAACGTCCTGCACCACATCGAAACGGACGTCATGGAGGCCCAAGACAATCTATTCCTGACAAAACTTCACCAAGCCCTCATGGCGAACGTGCACCGCGGCACCGAAATCGAATACAAGGAAGGTGATAAAGTGCCAGTGTTACTCTCCACCTTCCATCGTCGTCGCGAATACATGCAACGTGGCGATCATCAAGTTGCTAAGTTTATGGTACGCTGGGACGGTCCTTTCTCCGTGTTGCACGCGCATCCACAGGCGTCCGTGTACACACTCGACCTTCCCGCTTCCATGAACATCTTCCCAACCTTTCACGCCGCTCTGCTGAAGCCCTTCCGCGAAAACGATGGTGCTCTGTTCCCGTCACGCGAACACGCTCGACCGGGTCCTATCATCACTGCCGACGGGCAGGAGGAATTCGAAGTCGAGTCGATCTTGGACCGCTGACGCCGTGGGCGCGGCTGGCAGTACTTGGTCCGCTGGCACGGGTACAACTCGGGCTCAGACACTTGGCTACCTGGTTCTGCTGTCGACGACCTCTCAGCTCTTGATGACTTCTTATGGACTCTGGACTCTTAGGATAATGCATGCTTTAGAGGACGGGTGAGTGTAACACGGCTCTCGTCGGTTACTACATTACTAGACCGCGATTACTATACTATTACTTACGTTCCGCACACGATCACTACACCACTGTCCTGCTCTCGTGATACGTTACATAAGCGTCACCTCCCTACTTGGTTCGTTTTCCCCCTTTGTTGCTCTTCAGTCTTACTGTTGTGCAACGAAGGTACGTCTTACTATATCTAGCAATATCCTGTACTTACTTCAGTCTTACTGTTGTGCAACGAAGACGCCTAGTTCCTGTTCTGCCTCTAGAGTGATTTCCCAACGTGCGGACGTCGGGCTTACACCTGCGTGGGCATTATAGGCATCTATAGCTGTCACATGGGACTACACGGCCTCTGGAGAGCTAGGTAAGCTATATACTCTGAGCCTGAGCTATGGCCGGGAGACCTTTTTCCTGATGTCAATGCTTCCGCCACCTGCTACTAGTGATGTTGGTGGCCGGGCTCGTGAGCCCGAGCCCAGCCCGGCCGAGCCGGGCTGAGCCGTTCAGAGCCCGGCCCAAGCCTCTTTGGGCCGGCTGGAAGGGCCCGGCTTTCAAACTTTAAAGCCTGAGCCCGGCCTGTAAAGCCGGGGCTCGTGGTACCCAAATTGGGAAGCTGAGTCAGCCAGTCGGTGGCACTGCAAGGCCATGCGTCGCCCTAAGCCATTTTTCAGGATCGCCTGAACGTTTTCTCCTCGAGCCTTATCACACACCATGCGGCATTACCATCGGGCCCCTCGACGCTAGCACCACAACGCAAGATCCCCGATCATGCGACCATCGACAGCGCGTGCAATGGCGGGACTCCAACCAGAAACTTGGAGAGATCCAAACGCTTTGCAAGTCCCCAGGACGCGGCGCGCAGCAGTTAAGAAATGGAGGGCCGTTCGCGTTTCACAGTTGGTCTGTAGCTAAGTTTCTTGTCTACTATTCCTACGTGTTCTGAGTTCAGTGTACCTCAATACATAAACTTTCACCAAGGAATGTACCCCTGTGCCGCGGCCTCCATCAGCTGCAGCTCCACCGTGCAACTGCCGGTATTGACGCGCCGCTGCTTGCGCTGTCGGGGCAGTCTGTACTTGGCATGGTCGATAGATTCAACCGCTTCAATGTCTTGGATGAGCGGCGAGCCAGTAAGTCCCCCTTAACTGACTGGGCCAGCGACTCGATTGCGCACGCTACCCTCTTCCGCCCGTTGTCTCTCCCTGACTTACTGTCATGGCTAACAGCAACAGTAGTGGGAATCCGCTATACTGGCGGCCCGCAATCCGTCGGCCGCATCGTGCTTGCCTCCTCCCGAGTACGCCTGACGCAATTGCACTTCGCTACTTCTCATGGCTGGCTATGTGTCTGACCCTCTTTGCTTCGCCGTTTCTCATTTTGTATCCTCTTTTCCGATACTACAGACAAGTGGCAGTGCATAGCAGTGTGAACTCCGGTGCAAATGGCATCGCACTTACCGTCATATCCCTGCATTTGTACATGTCCTTGGTGCTCTTCGTCTCAGGTAAGCTGTCTGTTATGCTTGTGATATCTTCGAACTAACAAGCTCTTTTGGCAGCCTCGCTTTGCTGCCCTAGGCAGTTTGCTCTCCATCGCCTCCTCCCGCGCACTTCACGCCGCACTGTTCAACACCGCTCGCATGTCTCAAATATGCGTGTGGATCGTCTGAACCGCCTCATCAGCTGCCGCCCTTATACTATATTCGTCATGGGGACTAACAGTATACCGGAAAACGCTGGTGTGGGCACTCACCTGAAGTCTGTACCGCTAGGTACGGTTTTGCGCCTCCTGGCCACGTGGTCAGAGATCAGGAGCGGTGCTGATTATAGGCACTATGTAGTTGTCTCCGATGAGACTACCATTGGCGACATCTGGCTAGCACTTCGCCGCCGGCGCCTCATACCATCGACGTTCAACGTATCGCACTACATCACTGGCACGCGACATCCGTCCACTGCGTTCCCACACTATCAAACCCTTGGAAATCTTGGGCTTCAGGCCATGTCACATCTAACGGTGCGAGTACGTGTTCGTGCAGGGGCGGGTAGGCTTTCATACAGATCACAATGCGGCAGCCATGTTCACGAGTTATGGACTTATAGATAGCTCCGATCCTGGCCCTGCCGAAGACAGTCGGACACGGCGCATCTCCCGACCAAGTCAACGTGCAAGAGATCCGGATAATGTAGAACAACCTGCAACACGTGGTGCTCGCGCGCATACCAGTGGAGATCAGGAAGGTGACGTAGCGTCCGATCCAGGCGCTGGGGCAGAAGAGGACAGGGATACTACAGGTGCGTGATGTGTGGTTTGTTCGCACAGCCTCCCGGGCTCGTTGATTCAATCTACGAATCACTTCATCATACAGACACGCAAGTGACGCGTCCGTCTGCAAGCGGACACGTCCCAGCACCAATCGTCATCAACGACTCGGACGATGGATCAGAGGTGGTCGCCCCTCGCAAATCAGCTGGCAAGCGACGTGCTAGGGTGGAAAGCTCAGGGTCGGATGATTCAAATGCCAGTGGCAGTGGACACGAGCGAAGCGGCCGGCAATCGCGCAAGCGAGGTACGCCCTGTAATCATGTTCTCTACAGATGCATCTCATGTTCACAAAACCACTACATTAGTCCGGCATCGTTCACAAGGAGATCACTCACCTGTCGCCCCCGAGCTCGAGCAGAACAATGAAGAGCCTATCAGTGAAGACGGCACGCTTCGCGACCTTGCTCACATTCGCGCGCCGCCGCGTGTCAAGGCGAGTCGAGCGGACAAGACCGCAGATGTCAATGCGTTCTTTGGGCAGGCATATGACCGCCGTAATCCGAAGGACAGCCGCATGCAACGGGTCCGTGACTGTGAGCTGTGCAAGTACGTCACATTTGGTAAATTTGGTTGGGCTGGAATGCATCTGACGGTAATCATCATGCACACAGGAAGAAAAGTGTAGGGGATTTTGCGTTTGTACAGGATGTGTCCACACTCCGACGTCACCTGGCTGCGCACCACCGGGTAAGTCTGGATGCCAACGCTCTGGTAATGTCCGAGTTCATATAGTAGTCTGATCGATTCCACTAGGCGAGTTACCACAAGTGGTGCGACAAGAATAAATTCGAATCAAAGCTAGAAGATGACATCAAGGCGCGAGCGGCAGCCACCTCGCAGAAGCAGACAAATCTAGACGGTCATGTACGCACGACGACTCGCAAAGAAGACGAGGTTACGTACTCCGAGAGCGCTTTCCGGAGTGCCGCAGTTAAGTGGCTTATCGCTACTGATCAGGTATGTGATTGTGTACATTCCACGGAGCGCAATGGATGGTACTGACTCACATTGCACCTTTTTCTAGCCTATTGCCGCGTTTGAACACCCCGCGTTCATTACAATGATCAACATCGCCTCCCGCGCAAAAGGTGCCGTGACACTTCCAAAGCGCGCAGCCACACGCCGCGAGATCATAGACATGTTCCATAAATATATGAGGGACTTGAAGACACGTTTCTCAGTGAGCAAAACAACATACATTTGTACTGTACAGTGCTTCAAATACCTAACGTCACTGTTGCCTAGGGCGAGAGTGTTCGCGGTCGCATCTGCTTAACATGTGACGCGTGGCAAGCCAGCAACGTTGACGGCTATTTCGCGGTCACTGCTCATTGGATCGAAGAGCGACCAATGAGTGATTGGACGCTCGAAGCTGCAGTGATAGGCTTCGTGCGCATGAACGAATCCCATAGCGGCAAACGGCTTGGCCAAGCCTTATACAAGGTCGCAGATAGGGTTGGTATTGCAGACCGGGTAAGTCTGTGTGATCTCCTATGCTGAATTGCGCGATTCAATGCCATACCGCCCCTCACTGTTCTGGACATACAGATTTTCATGGTGACGTGCGACAATGCAAGTCCCAACATCAGGATGATGAAGGAATTTGCCTCAGTCCTTACGAAGAACCACCCCAACGTCAAGTTCGATCCTGCGCGACGTCGTATAGGATGTCTTGCACATATCATTAATCTTGCCACACAGGCAGTGATCGCACAGCAAAGTAAGTCGCCGCATTACGACCCGCACAAGCCTGAGGAACACATACCGGAGACGTCGGGTACGGTCCGTGATGAGATCGGACTTGTACGGGCCGTGTCAGTCAAGGTTTGTGGTCAAAAGATGTCCCAGATAGATGTCCTTGGGGCTGATTGTGCCGCTGTCGGTCAGATAATTGTTTCTCTGCTGCGGTTCACCGGGCGCGACGTAGGCCGGGCTATTCGCAGTGAGTTCGGGGGGTGGAGTAACGATTGGGAGAAGTCGGTGATCGAAGGGACCAGTGCGCCGAGGATCCGCTCTGACTTGGTACGATTTTAGCGTGACGTGCGACGTGCGTGCGAGGTTACGAGTGATACGGCGGATACGTGGACGTGGGCGAGGAGACGACAGACTTCAGCGGGACGCGACGGCGATACGACAGACCTCGGATATACGTGACAGACTTCGGCGGAACGCGATACGACGGCGGTACGACAGACTTCGAGGATACGGCGGTGCGGACGATAGACGGCGAGCGTGACGATGATACGACGTGGCGACGAGACAATAACTTCGGCGTAGATGGCAGTAGAGGATGGTTATGCTGGCTAAGGCTGCAGCGGCCGGTCAAATCTCCCTTAACACTGTCTGATACGCACGGGTAATCAGCAAACAGTGAGGCGCACGAGTTACTCGGAACTGCACGTAGGGGAAAGACTACATTGGGGGGAAACTGGGCTAGCTTATATACATGTCAGGTCAGGGGTATTCTAGTCGTGCTGAGTCGTGCCGAGTCGCAGTGAGTCACAGGCTATTCCTTCCTCCTTTGACCGGTCATGAGTCATTGCTGAGTCGCGCGGAGTCGCAGTGAGTCACAGGCTCATCTGTGCAGCCTATTCCTCGAGGTGAGTCGTCTCCCCTGTTGCCCCTGGGTGGGCCTGAGTAGGGATGACTGAGGCGCGTGTCACCGGTCCTTGGTCATGCGCTACGAGTTCGCCTGCGCACAATGTACTGCGCATCGCACGTACCGCACCGCATTGCGCGCGCCGGGTGTCTCCTGTACCGTGTACCAGACCGTGCATCGTACCGGGTATCGTGTGTCGTGCAGCGTATCGTGCGTCGTATACTGCGTAGATAGTGCGTGTTTCGGTGGTTCTGCTGGTTCGTGCGCGCAGTGTGGTGTGTGCGTACGAGCGATACGGTAGGCGTATTGGCTGTGTGCGTCTGGCCGCGACACCTGTCCCTGAGCCAAACAATTTGGGCTCAGGACACCGCCCCAGGAACGCTCCTCAAGCCAACGGAAACAGCACTTCCGCGATATCCAAGCTCACGCCGGTATCGAGCCGACGGGGATCAAGACACTCGTGGTCGACATGAAGGTGCGATGGTCTTCAACCTACGTCATGTTGAACCGAGCGTACAGTCTGCGAATGGTGAGCATACAATCACGAAAGCTCGTCGTGGGCAGACTAATGTGGAAATCTGGCAGTTCATTCGTCAATTCATGACAGAACTGTCACGCAAAACTTCTGACGCTCTGTCCGCCTCGAAGCTCCTCGCGTTAATCCCCACTAACATCGAATGGGCGCGCATCAAGACGTTCCAACGGGTCTTGAAGGTGAGTAATCCATACATCGCTCCGATAGGCGGCCTTGACTCAGCCGAGCAACGATGGGTCGCGGCTGCATAGATTGCAGATGAATGTCAGCAGCGGTTCTCATCGGAGAAGAACCCATCACTCCATCTTGCGCTGCCAGCGCTCGAAGACTTGCATGCGCAGTGGTCGAAGCTCTTGGAGGATTCGAGGTTTGACTTTTTCCAGCCTGCCATACAGGCTGGGCTTGACAAGATAGCCGAATATTACGACAAGACCGGTGATAACGACGCGTATGTCTTCTCTATAGGTACTGTACTATTCTACTTGATTCAGAGTATATGGAATCACTGATATGATATCGGGTTTCGGCAGTGCTCGAGCCATCAAGACGGCTCACGCATTTCAAGAATAACTGGAAAGACGAACCTGAACTTTGTGAGGCTGCTGAGCAACTCACAAGAGAAGTCGTGAGCTTTCGATAGGATATCCATATGATGAGCGTCACTTACTCTAGATTTCTGTAGTTCAAGGCACGTTATGAACAGCGCATCGCGAGGTCGTCCGAGTCACAGGCGGCTCCCACCGCTACCTCGGCATTGACGGTTCCAAAGAGCCAAGGATCATCACGATCACATCCTACCAGTATAGTCGAGCTGTCTGATGACGAAGACAACTCACCGTCGATCTCGCAGCAAATGAGAAGCCTACCAGGTGGCTGTGATGTGGAGGAGGATGACTGGGAGAGTGAATACTCGCGCTATATTGACCTAAAGGAGAAGATACCCGCAGGAATGTCTACGGTACAGTGGTGGGGGGTGAGTACGTCTGTATAATCACCGTGTATCTGCACTCAAGCAATTCTTGTAGCGGAACGCTTATCGGTTCCCTACATGGGCTGAGCTGGCACGCGACTATTTGGCAATCATGGCAACATCCGTTTCGAGCGAACGTGCCTTCTCAAGTGCTGGCATCACCATCACGAAACGACGCAATCGGCTGAAAGGTGACGTTGTCGAAGCCCTGCAGGCCCTGAAGTGTGCTCTCAAGAACGATCTCTTTTTCCGTGACGTTGGCGTGTCAGCAGCGAATGAGGAGGATGGTGAAGATGAGGGACTCGGAGTTGAGGACGAAGCAAGCGAAGCGGCTGGGGCTAAGGCTACAGATGGGGCTGAAGAGCTGTTCCTCGACCTTGATGACGACGCTGAGGAGGATGAGGCTGAGCTAGCGATGTATAGTGACTCTGACTGGTTAAGTTCGAAGCTGTAGTCTTTGTATTCCGTTGCTTGAATACTATCAGTAATCACTGAAGGCACCTCGAGTTCAGTGGTTGAAGTTCTTGACGCAGATTAGCCACTGGGCCATAAGCATAAGCACAGTAGTGACTTCAGCTCGCCCGAATAAGAGACAAACGAAGCATATATGTATTCTCTACATTAAATGCATATAGAATCAGCTCGGAAATAGTGTTTGGAGTTACTGCTGCAGTGAGGATGTATGTGCACCTATGAGCCCGGGCTTGGGCCCAAGCCTGACCCGGGCCCGGCCTGAGCCCTACTACTGGGCTGGGCTTTGGATATATCAAGCCCAAGCCTCCCAAAGCCCAGCCCAAACCCGGGCTTCCAAGCCCGGCCCGGCCCCGAACATCACTACCTGCTACGCCCATTCATTGAGTACGTACCAGACATATCAACATCCCGCCGCCCTTCTGCAAGCCAGTTGGGGTCCTGGGACATAGTAAGGCAAGGCTTCCAGGCGGAATATGGCCATATTGGACATTCACTGCTTGTCTATCATTCAGAAATTGTACGGATCGATGCGACAATGTATTACTCACCTATTGAAGCGCGCTCGCTGCAATGTTCGGCGGAATGCCAACATCCTCCGGTGTAGTCTTCGTGTTTGCCCCCGGATCATAGCCTGCTTCAGGTGCCTTGCTAGGGACGGAAATCAAATAGCTCAAAATAAGGTGCTCACATGCGAAGCATCTATGGTGTTCGTGGACCATGCACGCACCAGGAGGCCGCCGTTCAATATGACTTCACGGGCGGTATCAATCTTCGTGGGGTCTTGCCAGTAGCTGCTCAGACATCGATCTGACGCTGTACATGCCTTCGGGTCATTCCAGTCACCAGAGATGTCTTCTGTGACAGCAGCGAGGATCGAAGGTCAATGCTAATGAGTGAATGGGACATGAGGATGCAGCGCGACCGAAGAGGAGTCGCAGGAGGATGATCGGGTCATGTGACACTTACCAAATTGGGGTAGCTCAGCTCAGATTCACCACCACAGCAAGAGCAACTTGCGATGTGGGCCCAGAACAACTTGCGGACATGAGATAAGATATGTAAGAAGGTATAACACCAGTCAGCTTGGCCATCGGCCACGATTCTACGTCTTGCGACTCAAGTGACCGAGTACCTAGGGTGGCCGAGATCCCGGCCCGATACAGTAGTAGGGGATCGTGGGATGATAAGGTGTGTACGCCCGGGCTGTTCCGAGAATGTCGGAGCAATAAATGGAAATGACGGTCAAATTGGTTACCCGATGGGGGACACGATCACGTTCCTGCCCCGCACTTGGCCGCGGTGCGCCACAACTGGCAGCGCAAGCTCAAGGTTTGCGTCCGAAGTGGCCTCCGCCGCGCTGCCCCCACGCCTATGCTGCCCAGGCTCGCCCGGCCTCTCTTCCTCTCCTTCCACCACCACCAACACCGACCCGTCGCCACATCCATCGCTCGCATGGACGACGCACCTGCTGACTACGAGACACCTGCGCCGACTGGCGGTCGCGGACGCGGCCGTGGAAGAGGCTTTCGAGGCCGGGGACGGGGCAGGCGTGGAAGAGGCCGCGGCCGCGGGGCTGCCGCTGGGGCTGGGGAAGGCGATGCTCTGTACGAAGAGCTCGAGACGACCGCGACGATCGTCGAGATACCTCTTGAGGAGGAGGTAGAGGTCGACGCCGTAGAAGAGAGCCAGGGCGACGGTGGACGCGGTGGACGCGGACGCGGGCGTGGACGGGGCTGGCGGCGCGGAAGGAGGCCCGGAAGAGGAAGGGGCAGGGGCGCCGCACCGGCGGAAGCACGTATCGATGCTGAGGCAGGAGAAGGCGAGCAGGCGGAAGGAGCGAGCGAGGCTCGCGCTCCTCGTCCTTGGAGGGAGCGGCCTCCGAGGCAGCCAAGGCTGCAACTGACCCACTGTGCGTACCCATGCCTCCGTCTTTCATTCTGAACTCATCAAAGGCCATACACCTAGTCATCTCTCTTCCCATCGTACGTACACCCGCATATATGCCCGGCGTGCCCTCGACTGACGCATTCACCCATCACAGGGTCATCACGCAGAACTGCAAAAGACCATCTCGTCGCTCACAGACGGACTGCTTGCCGCGGACCCTGCCATAGCCGGTCTCGACCCGACCATCGTCGTACCCGCCCGCAGGCTCCATCTCACCCTCGGCGTCATGTCTCTCAAGAAGGAGGTAAGCGCGGAGCAATCGGAGGCCGCTCCGGCTTCGGATGGCGCAGAGCAGAGCCCAGCGGTAGACAAGCCCACGCTCGCGAGCGCGATCGCACATCTGGAAAGCCTGAAGCCCCAGATCATGCAGTTGCTTGAAGGGAAGAAGCTCCAGGTCGAGCTGAGTAGGATTGACATCATGAGGTTCAGGGCGAATATCAAGCGCGCCAACGTGATGTGGGTTGGACCACCCGAGGAGGGTGAACTGGCCGAGAGGTTGAGGGTAGTGGCAGGTGCGTATGCCCCGCACATGCAACGGCGTCGTCCGCTATACTCATGGCTATGACTTTGTGTAGTGTTCGTCAATGAATCGTTCATGGAAGCCGGATTCCTGGCCGAGGAACGTGAATTAAAGGTATGTTCCTCTGATTCTTGATTTCGATGAGCGCTGCTGATGGCATTCGCCGCTACAAAACTTTCAACTCCTCAACCTCATCTCGCCCGAACAGCTCCATTGCACTGTCCTGAATTCAATCTATCGCAAGCCGCGCCACCAGTACAAGGGCCGCATACCTTTCTCCTTCGCCTCCATCCTTAAATCCGACGCCTTCCGCACCATCGCGCTGGAGCCTGACACGCTTGCAGTCCTCGTCGACGAGCCCGGAGGCGGCGGCTCTACTGAGCTCGTCAGCACAGAGGTCGACGCCGCCGAGCCCAGCGTAGCGAATGGCGACGGCGGGGGGAAAGGCAAGGGTAAGGCGCAAGGCGGAGGTGGGCGGAAGTGGGAGCCGGTGCCCGTCAGCCTGGGCGTGTGGGACGTGGACGAGATACAGATCTGTGAGATGGGCAGCCATGGGCCGGAGGGCGAGTACCTGGCTGTCGGGAAGATCGTGCTGGACTGACGGGCGTGTTCGCTGAACCGAGGCGAGGGCTTTGACTGAAAATCGCGCAGGCGTGCATATGGAGGGGACGTGCGCGCGCGCTGCTGGGTCTTGATGCAGATGGCTACGGAATGGCATGTGAGTGAGCGAGACAAAATGTACAGTACGTGTTGTATCATGGTATGAATTGATCGGGCGATCGTTCGGGATCGAGGCTCACTCACTAGAATCCTTGGGGTGATCGTGATCGTTTCTCGTCGGCAGCATTGTGGAGTGCCTCGTGCAGGTATTCCTGGTTCCTCCCTGTGTAGGGCACTATGACATGCGCATCGAAGGAAGCGCTCTCGGCATCCATCATTCAAACTGGGTCACTGTTCAAGCTAATTGTACCCTGCATCCCGATGCGCTCGAAGGAACGAACGCGCCGATTCGTTGTTCATCGCGGTTCGTCTTTGTGATCGTCTTTCATGAGGAGCCTGAACTGACCGTCCTGAGGCCCGGGTTGCAGCGCGCTTTGGGACACTTGCGCGCCAGAGCCTATTCAGCGATGTGCAGCACGGTGGACGTCCAAGACCTCGCCGAGTCCACACTTATCGCTAGATGCCCCTGCTCGGGTCCTCTATTTTAGAACTAATCCTATATAGATCGGCCCTTGTACTAGTCCTAGTCCAGACTTACAAGACCGCCGCATCGTCAACAGTGAAGATGGATCCCGTTTCACTGCATGGTAAAACCACTGGTTGCATTTTCTGTTAATCGCGGCAACACGCGCCGCTATGTAACCCTACGCCAACTCCTGCCAATAGGTATCCGTGAGGATTGAGGTGCGTATGTTCAATCAACTCGTGGCCGGTCCGAAAACGCTCATGTGCGATCTCGAGGGCAGCCTCTGAATCCTGCTTGTTCAAACTCGTCGCACCTCGACGAGGCTATCGGATACGGGCAGTGCGACGCTGACCGCAGCAGTCGATAGCCAGTCCCAGAGCCGACGTCGATGCCATTCGTCTGCGCGCGATGTACTGTGGCATTCGCAACGCAGGCCGCACTTCGGCGCCAGGGACCTGCCCTGTAGGTGAGAGAATTCGAAATCTACGGTGTCGACAGGTGGTGCCGCCCAATCTCAGCAAGGACCAGGGATGCGTTAGTGGAGACGGTTTTGCCGCCGCTCCGTAAAGATAGGCAGTGCGACTGTGATAGGGATGTAGCAAAGGCCTAACGGATGCAGGGACACAGAGGTGCAGAATGCATATCAGGGTTGGACATTACATAGGGGTGGGGCCCGGCTGGGGCATGGAAGTTACTCGCGTCGAATTCGGTTGCGAAGGATGCATACCGGGTAGACGTCGAAGACTTCGCGGAGCCCATGGCAGACGCCTCAGGGCCCGCGTAAGCCGACTGCGCATATAGATGCGCTCCGTCGTTCTCATTCTACTTTTTCATTCGCACTGTACTTTGGCGCGGTATTGGCAGACATCAGCCAAGAAAGAAGACATACTACGCACCATGTTTTCTGTAACCGATCTCATCCTGCGAGTCTTGTTGAAAAAGCCCGGGAAGGCATCCACTAGGAGGTGAATCTGCTCGTTCGCCCTACTAGTATGGAACCACGTATGATGAGTCCTTCGAGCACAGGACGGACGACATTTCGCGTGGTCCACCGTCTCCGGGTCCCCGCGTCGAGGCCGGCTCTGTGATGCCAACGACGACTTCACCGGGTCTTCTCATTTGTTCCCGCTGCGGGAGGGTGTTCAACCGGAAGGAGGTACTGGAGCGCCACAAGTGCCCTGCGATAGGTGCGGATGACTGTGAACTATAGGTGCCATGGCTTTCATGACTCACTGTGTTCTACAGCGTAAGGGGCGCCGCGGTGGATGGCAGCGCCCAGAGGTGATATGACCGGTGCGCGGGAGCTTGTTTGATGTGATGAACCGCCTCCTGACGATTGGCATAGAATAGTCAAGGACATACATCGACGTCGGCACGATGGTCAACTCGGAGTGCACGTATTTTAAGCTCCGCTCGCGCCTTGCGTGCTCTGTCGATATCTCTCGTTGTGAGCAAGAGGCGTAAGCGTTTACTCGAGCTGAGACGGAGGCGTCAGTACGTCCGCGCGCCGTTTGCAGCGGCGATCTGACCAATTGCTGTATGTGACTTTGTGTGGCACTATGTACCGCGAGTACGTCCGACGCTCGAGAGAACGCTCGTCGAGTGCTTCTAGCGACATGGAATGGTCTGCAAGACGTTTGTCAGGATACAACCCTCGCGGCAGATGTACTACTTACGCTCAGCGGATGTACGACGCCAAGCGCCTTGGACCGTCGAGCGTGATCTGCCAGTGGTGGCGTCTTCTGGATGCTCAGACAAGAAGCAGGTGGTGAGTGCAGATAAGGGACTCCATGCAATGACAACGTACGTCCTTGGCGATTGGGGCAATTTTACAATGTCGGAGCACGGCATGATCGACCTCGACGGGACCCGTTCTGAGGCGAGACACTCCTGAGGCGAGGCCGACACTGGATGTGGGGTCGACGGTATGTACGAGGCCCATCTGCGGTGGGGTGAGCCGGAGGACTTGATGACAGAGGATAATGGACGGACTGACGGACCTCACCGACCGCAGGTCTCGTCGCTGGCCGTCGTCGGATCATGCAGAGCGCGGCGTGGCGCTGGCCCAAATCTCGTGCAAACCGACATCCGCGACGCGATGAAGCTGTTCGTCCGCGCATACCGTGGTCTCCGTGACACGCGCAGTGAGCGTAAGTGTGAGCCTAATGCTGTTGCGTGTTCGGGCGGACCATCCTGCAGCTGTTGTGCAGATCTCATGATCACGTCGTCGGGATCGTGGACGCTGGCCAAGGCGGCGAGTCTAGGAACGTCTGGCTGGGATGCTGGCGCGTGCAGTGGGCGGCCCAGGGCAGACCGGACGGGGACCATGAGGATCCACATGCGGCGGGCGTTGTGCAACGATGAGGAGGAGCACGACATTGCGCGCCATACGCGTTCTGTGCCAGTCATGTGCGATATGTATGGCGAGTTGCGCGATGGCCACGGAGAGGGCAGAAAGGCGAGCTGGGCACGCTCGCGGGCCGACCGGCGGCATGCACGGTGATCAAGTGGCGCCGCCACCAGGCCGCCACAGGCCGCCACCAAGTCAGGTCGTGGTAGATAGAGTGGACCCAGGCTGTCGGTGGGCGTCGTGATTTGCCAGGCACATCTTCCAAGGACAGAGTGCCTGAGCCCGGGTCCAGTGGCCGTGTGCGGGAGCAAGATAAGAGCAGAGTGGCGGGCTGTGGCGGGACGAGGAGCGGCGTGCCAAGGATGTGGGGGAGACGGCCCTGATCGAGCTGGAGGATGGCAGCATGTGGGCGGTGGCTGATAACGGGCGCTTCTCTCCTCCTCCTCCTCCATGGTGCACGCGGTTCCCTGCCCTGAGGCTATCTCGCTGCAATGGCCAGTTCATGCGGTGCCTTGGCCGCCCTCGCCTCAGGCATAAAAGGCCACGGTCGCGTGAGCGTGCACTCCGAGCATCCGTCTTCTCTCCACGCCATCTCCCGCCGCTCCGGCCGGGCTGTTCCCAGACATGGCCGCCATCCAGCGCAAGACGTCCGACTTGTCCGTCACCGACGAAAAGTCCGGATCCGCCGTCGTCGACGAGAAGGGGCCTTTCGACCACCTCCCCGTCCTCGACACCGCCCACGTCGATGCCGCCGCCGTCGGTGATGTGCGTGTCCCTCGTCCTCGTCCTCACAGTGTCCTAACCTCTTCCCAGGTCTCTGAGGACGTCCGTGCCATCGATCTCGACGCGTCCGGCAAGGAGCGCCCCATCGAGACCGGCCAGGACTATGCCCTCCGTCTCGTCTCCCTCGAGGACGACCCCACCCTCCCCGTCCTCACCTTCCGCACCTGGTTCCTCGGCCTCGGTCTCGCCTGCTTCGCCGCCGTCCTCGGCGAACTTTTCGTACGTCCTCTCTCTCTCGTGCACCCGATATGCCCTCACCGTCCCCCAACAGTACTTCCGCCCCCAGACCGTCCAGGTGTCCGGCCTCTTCCTCCAGGTCCTCGCCTTCATCCTCGGCCGCGCCTTCGAGGGCGCCCTCCCGGGACCCAACCACGCCGTCGACAAGATGCGCACCCGCGACAACCGCTTCTGGCGCTTCATCAACCCCGGCCCCTTCAGTGCGTCTCCTACCCCCTTCACCGCTCCTCCATCACTCACATGCCCTCATAGACATCAAGGAGCATGTCGCCATCAGCATCATGTCGGTGAGTCTCCAGCCCCGCACCCGGCCCGACGGGTCTGCTGACCGTCCTTATCTCTGTCACGACAGACGACCGCGTCCGACCAGGCCATTGCCATCTCCGTATTTGCCGCGCAGGACCTCTACTACCACGTCGCCGTCAACCCCGCGATTGGCATCTTCACGTTCGTCTCCTCCCTAGCTCCGCGCCCTTGCGATCCTAACAGACCTCCACAGCCTGATCGCGTCCCAGCTGATCGGCTATGGGCTCGTGGGGCTCGCCCGCGACTACCTCGTCTACCCGACCTGGGCCGTCTACCCGTTCCTCATGCCCCAGGTCCAGCTCTTCGACGCCATGCACCGCGGCCAGGGCATCTTCCTCCAGAAGAAGCGCCGCGTCTTCTTCTGGAGCGTCCTCGTCGGCATCTTCGTCTGGGAGTGGTTCCCGGAGTACATTGCCACGTACGTCTCCTCCTTGTCCGCCGTGTCTCGCATTGCTGACAACCGCGCGCGTGCAGCACGCTCACGGGTATCTCCATCTTCTGCTTGGCCGATCGCCACAGCGCGTGGGTCACCCGTATCTTTGGTGGTGCGGCCGGAAACGAGGGGCTTGGGCTGTTTGCGCTCTCGCTCGACTGGAACTACATCGGTTCGGGCGGCGGCGCGATCGGCTCGCTCTTCACGCCTCTCGCGACGCAGCTCTCGCTCTACTCGGGTGTCATCGTCTGCATGTAAGCCCTCCCTTCGCCGCGCGTCCACCCTCGCGCTGACCACGCATGTGTGCAGCATCGCGTTCTGCGCTTGCTACTCGCGCGACGTGTGGCACGCGCAGAACTTCCCGTTCCTGTCGCAGCTGCTCTTCTACGAAAACGGCACGCAGTACGAGCAGCTCGCGATCCTCAACAGCGACTTCACGCTCAACAACACGCTGCTCGAGCAGCAGGGCCTCCCGTACTACGCCGCGTCGCAGACCCTCTACCAGCTCTCGCGGACGGCGTACATCGGCAGTGAGTGTCCCAGCCTCTGTGTGCCCCCCGGTGTCGCTGACGCTCCGTGCAGCGGCGGTGACGCACTTCTTCATCTGGCACTTCAAGGACGTCTACCAGGTCGTGCGGAACGTGCGCACGCAGGAGTGCCAGGACGCGCACTACCAGAAGATGAAGGTGTACAAGGAGGTCCCCTTCTGGTGGTTCTTCGTCCTCTTCCTGATCATGTTCGCGCTCGGCATGGGCCTGATCTACGCGGCGGACTCCGGCCTTCCGTGGTGGGGCTTCATCGTCGCGCTCATCTTCTCGACGGCGTTCGTCCCGATCCTGGGCACGCTCTATGCGACGGTGGGCTACCAGCCGAGCTTGCAGTTCTTGATCCAGATGGTCGGCGGCGCGATGATCCCCGGCAAGCCCGTCGCCAACATGTACTTCACGCTCTGTACGTCCTGCGCCCCTGCACACCGATTTCGCGGCTGACCTCGCGCGCTCGCAGATGGCTACCAGACGTACCAGCTCACGCTGAACATGCTGCGCGACCTCAAGCTCGGGCAGTACACGAAGCTGCCGCCGCGGGTGACGTTCCTGATGCAGACCGTGGGGGGCATCGTCGGGGGTGTGCTCAACTACGTGATCATGAAGTCGGTCATCTCGGGGAACCGCGAGATCCTGCTGGACGTGCAGGGCACGAACGTGTGGTCCGGGCAGCAGGTGCAGTCGTACAACTCGGCCGCGATCACGTGGGGCGCGCTCGCGAAGCCGCTGTACGCGCCGGGCGCGCGGTACGGGTTCATCCCGTGGATGCTCATCGCGGGGCTCGCGGTGCCGATCCCGTTCTTCATCGCGCACCGGCTGTGGCCGCGCGCGGGGTTCAACTACGTGTTCACGCCGGTCGTCGTCGCGGAGCTGGGGTACCTGTCGGTCGGGATCAACTCGTCGTGGATGACGTCGCTCGCGGTCGCGGTGTTCTCGCAGTGGTACCTGCGCAAGTACCGCCCGCGCTGGTTCCGCAAGTACAACTTCCTCCTGAGCGCCGCGCTCGACGGGGGCACGCAGATCATGGTGTTTGTGTACTCGTTTGCGGTCGGCGGCGCGAGCGGGAAGGCGGTCGCGTTCCCGAACTGGGCGCTGAACCCGGCGGGGAACCCGGACTACTGTATGCGCCTTACGGACTGAGCTCTGCGACGGGACGCTCTTCTCCTTGGTGGCACGCTGTATCATATGTACGTGGATACACTGTTAGGGTAGTAGGTACATATAGATTTACGATATATAGAGCACGATGCACACGACGCACGATTGGGATACGTCGCTGACGATGCTGCATGTAGTAGTACGTTTTATCGATTCTATCCCCTCTTCCGTTTCTTGCCCATGGCGTTGCGTGTGATCGGCTGCGATGGAGGTGCGTTGCCTGTCTTTGTAAAGCGAGGCGTGCATATTGCGTGCTGCGGAGAATCGTTGAGTGCGATGGCGAGTGGCACTAGCCACACCGTTAGGCTGCGACGGTTCGGACGTCCACGCGGAGATGAACACTCGGACCGGATGTACTCAATACACCCGTCTCCCGAGAAGCAGGGGGGGCTTCGACAAGGCCTCGAGTGCCCGAGCAGGCGTGTCGGTTCCACGAGTTTGGCGCATGATCGCTCTGCGACTCGGTGCGTTTGCATACTGAGCGCCAAGGTCATTCCGCTTCGAAATGCCGCCTGCTCGAGTTGTCTGCGAACGCGCGCAGTGGATGGGCTGTCGGTGAGGGGAAGGTGCGATCCTGAGGACGGACACAGGCTCAATCGCAGGGCTGAGTACGTACGTTGCGCGATGGACTGCCCGTAGAATAGATCGATTCGAAAGCGAGTTCATGGCAGCGTACGCGTCCCACGGATGAGCATCCTCATGAACAGTGGCTCACGACTGAGGCCTGAGGTCCACGTTCACCGAGATGACAGAAATCAGACACGAGAGAATACTAGCTGGAATATCGAGACTCAATCATAGTGTACCCGAGTAGATACACACCCATAGTATCTTGGGGTGTCGATAGAAGATCGCCGAGCGACCCGCTCAGTCAAGCCATGCGACAAGATTGACGACCGGCGAGTTGTCAACGCCTTGTCAAAAGTCGGAATAGGGTTGCATGGAGTCTCCATACGCTCGGGTCGCTCGTGCAATAGACCAGCGGCAGAGCGGCTCAGAGCGGTATCGCGGCTGTATACCGGAAGGCCGATCTAAATGATTGGGTTACTTGAGAAGAGCGGCGTGGAGGGAGTCGAGAACATGATTCGGACTGAAGTTGTCCTACGCACTGAATGTATAGACAACGCACTGCTCAGTCTATGGGTGGAAGGACTGCCTCGCGCGCGGTGCATTGCAGCATGAGAGACGGATACGCTGAACCCGATATGCCGCCGACATACGACGAGCACCGGGCGAACACTCGGCGAGAAGACTGGTGTTGCATTGATCTCGTGCGCCATGTATTACGACGACGCCGTGGCCTGAATCATGCGTGAAGGAACTTCTTCCGAGATTGACTGTAATAAGCAACAGATATGCATTCTGAGTCTACGGCATGCCGATGGAATCGCGCCGGGCGTAACTTTTCAGCCCCGGGCCGGCGCGCTCTTCCTTAGCTCTGTCTCGAGAATCAGCAGCGTTCAGCATAACTCTTGTACTCACCAGCCAAAGAAACAAGCCGGCTGTTCCCACTGATAGCAGAAGGTATGTAGGACTCTTTTCGCAGTGGTTGAATCCGTGTCCTCGCTGACTGCACTTCCAGTATGCGTAGCAAGCCTAGCGACACTGACTCTGCATCAGTTCGGAGGCTGCGTCGAAATCCGATCCTTACGGAGCGCTGCCCTGCCCACCGCAGGTCAGTGCTTCCGTCCACAGGCCGTTAACGCCGCCACGATTTCTCACCCTGTCCCTGAGAACGAGCCTATCAGCGGTCCAGCACGAGGCACCTCGCCCAACTCACTCACGTACACCTCAGAGGCTGCGGAGGTCCGGGCGTGGAAACTCTCGTGGATCCTACAAGCGCTCCGGGAGATGAACGTGGATGAGTGTGCGAGGATCCCTGGCTGGGGGCAGGGGATCGTCTGGCCGGCTGAGTTGCGCTCTCACCCGTCCAGGTAAGCATGTCTTCCCGGGGCGGTCGAGAGCGTCTGGCTCGTGCTGGGCCGCGCGTCAAGGCGGGTGTGTCCTGCGACCGTCCTGCCGTAACGGGCCTCGGGCAGCTCGTTCTTCGCTCGCCCCTCCGCATGCGGATCTCAGGACGCCACAAGCACGCACGGGCGTGTGGGTCTAGCCTGTGAGCTGAATGTGCACTCCGCTAGAAGACGGCGTATAATGAAGCACGCACCGGACCCGCGCGCACGCATTCGGACGAGGGCTGCGCCCGCTCGCGAGCCGCTGGGAGGATCGATTGCGCTCCAGCTGCGAGTTCGATGGACATGAGCGACCCCAAATGAACGCCGGGCCGGGGTGCCCTCATGGCGACCTCGGAGGGGCAGCACTTGATAGGCCCGGGCGCACGGCCGGTGCACGCGGCGATGTGCGTGCCTCGAGTGGGTGTAGCTCGGAGACCGAGAGGTCGGCAAGGACTATATTCCCGCGTGCGCCTGTGCGAAGGGCGGGTCCGAGTTTGGAGGATCGTCGTCGCTGCTGTGCCCACTCTATTCTGTTGCGAGCGCGCGTTACGACGAGTACGCAGGGATGACCTTGGAAGCTGGTTCGAAATTTCTGGGGTCCATTTGCGATCTAGAATGCTGGTATGTGAGTGGCCCCACCGCTTCTTATCGAAGTCGAACCTGACCTTCGCACCGGATCTAGTGTTGCTTCCAATACCGTCAGCACAACTGTCGAAGCTAGAAAGGCAAACTCGCATCTCACGATGAGCCACGGTCATGATCACGCATAACGAAGTTCGCATTGCCATCACGCGTCGCCCCTCATGCTCCTGGCACGCGGCCCCCTGGCTGGTTCTCGAGTTCCAAACGCGGTTGTCGTAACGGCCAGATGAGAAGCGCGGGGGTGACAGGTGACTGCGAGGACGACAAGTGCCGGGTCGAGCGCTCGAGTGCGCTGAAGCTTCGCGAGTGATAGACTCAGGCGCGCGGTCGCAGGGCGTTCCGTGTTGTGCGTTCTGCTGGCCGAGGCCCATAGTGTGCCGTAACTGCCGTTGAGTTTGCCGTACGACTGGTAACGGTGAGATGGATGGTACACGTTTGCGATCTGGGCACGCAAGTCTTGTGCAGGCCCGGGCCCGAGTTTGGACCGTGCAGCAGCAGTGTTGGTCGATGTCAAGCGAAGGTCCCTGGATGTGGAGGCACTTGAGGACGAGGATGGCAAGCGAGGTGAAGAGCCGTGTCTTCCGATCGCTGCACTCCGATAGCGCATATTTCAATCCATGCATGAGACCAGCCCGTGGTCCACTCAAGTATTGAATACCAGTACAGCGGATCTGACCGTCGCGTCGAGAGCAGACGCGTAGCCAGCACGAATTCACTGCGTGTCCGTCTGCGCGCGAAGCCACCGCAAATGAGATTCCAGATCTCAGATGTATGTATGCAACGGTGATCTCGCCACCGCAAATTGAGAAGGGGCCAAATTCGAATTCGAACCGCGCGGGGCATGCTTGCGTGATGTCGGAGACGCGGGACCGGATGCAGACGAGGATTGTCACGGAGATACAGACGGTGAGATCGCCACCGACTTGTCGGTCTCTGCGTTATGCACCGGTGGTCCGTGCGAAAGGGCGTGGGGGCGGCAGGACGGCGTATGACGGGGCCAGCAGCGGGGCCGACGGATTTGCGACCGAGGCTGCGAAAGGAAGGTGCGATCGAGCCCGAGACGATGGTCCGCAACTGTAAGAGCCGGAAGGGGGAAGAGAACGCGACCGGCGAGCTAGAGGCAATCGCGGGCGTCGCGGGAACGGATGGGATCTGGAGAAGCGTGCGGAAGGGCCAACTGGCAGCGGGGCGAGCCTGTGGCTGCGCGGCCGGTGGCTGGCGGTGGCTGGAGCTCGGGATCGCAGTGCACAGCCCCGTCGGGTGGCGTGGACGGAGCATTGCTACGGCGAGTCAGAGCCCGGGGCGTCGGTCATGATCGACCGTGTTGTGTACCCCGCACGACGTCATTATAGGTGGGCCGCGGGCGCAGTGGGGTCGTGTACAGTGCGCCCACCCGCTCGCTCGGATATCCCTGTCGAACCGTGCGCGCGGCGGCGTCTGCGGACACCTTTCGTGGAGTCCGGCTCGGGGTGGTGTTCAATTATGTGGCGAGAGAGAACAGGGCCACACTCAGCTGTGTTGGTCCGTACAGGACTTGTCGGTGGCGTACGCGTGCAGGCTGGTCCACAGCTGCAGCCCAGGTGGCTAGATGACAGCGAGCAGACCACGAGTGGCCGGACTGGGGATGCAAGGGGGAGTGTGGTGCGGACAGCCGGTGGAAGGAGGAGCAGAAGAGCGGAAACGGGTCCGTGTTGGTGGGACGGAAGGGCTGGGTGGCTCCCCGGGCCCGCCGCTCGCCGCCCCTCGCGGTGGGATTCCCCATCGTATCGGGCGTGCCGGGCGTCGCCGGGGTCGTCGCAGACAGCGGGCAGGGGGCGGTCACCGTCGGTCACCGTCGGTGGGCAGCGAGCGCGTCGAGAGCAGCGTGTCCCGAAGAGGAAGGGGGCTCGGAGATCGATAAGATCTGGGATCGGGCAGGGGCCTCCGTGGAGGGCGGGGAAGCGCCCGGGACGGGAGGGATCTAGATCGCGGTCGATGGAATGCGAGTGTCGCATCCGCTCCGACAACATATATAAGCCCGCCCGTCCGTCCATCCTCACCACCAGCCCTCGTCCGCACCGTCCCACTCGCCACACCCGCCATTCCAGCAAAGTCCAGTTTCCAGCCATGATCCGCTTCGACAACCTGCCGCCAGAGGTCATGCAGGCCATGTGCACGCCCATGCACCTCATCATCCCGCCCTCCGCCGCCTACCACACCGGCGCCCTCTACCTCGGCTCCTTCTCCGCCGTCCTCGACGACCCCCTCCTCGACCAGCACCGCATTGCCGCCCTCGTCCAGGTCCTCGACGCGCCCTGGGTCCCCGACCACACCGGCGGCTCCCGCCCCATCGACTGCTACCGCCTCGACATCCTCGACTCGTCCTCCGCCGATATCCGGCCCCACCTCGAGCAGGCCGTCCGCTGGATCGACGACCGCCTCCGCAAGGGCGTCAACGTGCTCGTGCACTGCCAGCAGGTACGTCTGTGCGTCTCCGCTCCGCGAGCAGGGTGCTTACGGCAGGCTGTTTTGCGTTCCGCGTGCAGGGCGTGAGCAGGAGCGCGGCGATCGTCATTGCGTACCTCATCTACACGCAGAACATGACCTACGAGACCGCGTTTGAGCTCGTCCGCCGCAAGCGCGCGTGCATCAAGCCCAACTCGGGCTTCGTCAGGTGCGTGTGCAGCGCGTTTTCTGCGCGTCGTTGCGCTCATCTCGTTTCGCAGGGCGCTGCAGGAGTGGGAGAAGCGGTGGAGGAACGTCGGCGCGGACACCCGCCCGCCTATGCGCAGGGCCTCCACGACGCCGCGGTAGAGCGGCCTCTCGTGTGCATCCCATCCCATCCCCGTCCCAGTCTGCATCTCTCGCGCTGGCGCGTCCCCGCTACTCCGTTTGCAACCTATCTCGCATATGCTCTGCTCCCTCATATTGCCTGGCTCCATGTCTGCACTCCACCAAAGCCCCACGAAGGATACCACGTAAACGCACGAACAAATCCACATATTCCGGAGGACCTCCATATTGTACAGTCTGACGAGGGTAATTGCCTTCTTCCTGGTCTGGTCTCGCGCCGCTTTCGCCTCTGCTCGCATCACGCATATACTCCATACGCTTGTCATATTACCCGCCCTCTACCCGGGCATCCAATCCTATATCCATGAAGAAATGTACAATCACCTCGCTTACTGTGGACTATTCACGTTAACACCATGCATCATCCTAGGACCCCACTCGCCGCGCGTTGTATGTAGCGACACCACTGCCATTTGTATCATACGACCCGTCGGTATACTGCTCATAGTATTCTCTCTATACTCGTAATCCGAGCATGTTCCGAGTGAGACGCAACGACAGATTAATGCACGATACACGCAGAGCTACCGACGCCACCCAGTGCCCGTTAGCACTTTGCAGCGCTGTTGCCCGCACGCCGAGCCATGGCTGCAGCAACGCCGGCGTCGTCGCCGATGGCAGCGGCGTTCCGCTCGCGCGTCTCAAGTTTGGCCGATCGCAATGAGATGGCCGATGTCGGTGCGTGCGTGCCTGTTCCTCAATCGAGCTAAACTCTATCACCGCTGACCACCCAGGGCAAGTCCGCCGTACCACATCGAACCCCGTCGAACGCGAAGCATCGTCTGACGCGCACGGAGGTTCCAAGTCGCTATCGCGAACGTTCCCATACAGTGCGTCCCGCTGTACTGTAAGTTTGCTCACAGCTCGTCTCATCTCCGTCCCCGGCCTTCTGGCAGATCCAGCCTGGACGCGACGGAATGGGAAGACCCCGGTGAGACGCACCCCACCAATCCAGGTTCGTCCGCGTCCGCGACCCTTCCTGCCAGTGCCAGGTCCCAGTCTGAGTCATGCGTCGTGTGAGGACGCACCATCGTAAGGCCGGGATGGCCTGCGCAGTGGATACGCGCACGGACGAGGCACGGAGGCTGCGATCGCCGGGGAGCGCGTTTGGACAGACTGGGGCTGCGGAGGGTCGCTGCGTTCTATGGTCGACGGAACGATGCGGTTCGCTTCGGCGTGGGCGGCGCGACGTGGTGAGGTGTTTGCGTTTCCGAGCGCATCTTGGCCTTGTCGAGGACGAGGACTGTCCGAGGCTTCCCTCGAGCTCTGCACGGGCTCGGACTTACCGTGTTGTGGCCGATGCGCGCCACCTGCGCAGCGCAGAAAGGAACTCGGGTTGCTGCATCGGGACGATGATCTGCACTGTGCGTTACCCAGTACGAAAGGAGTCCGGCGGAGAAGCACGCGACTGCATGAGTGGTAGATACCCTGGCATGGTAGTGGGACGGACAGATGTTCCCTCGAACGTGTGGTTGATCCAATCGGCGCGAGAGCAGAGCTGGTGAGAGTTCGTTTGCGATGCGCCGAAAGGAAGAACGCTGACTGCACCTTGGCGCAGATCGTACGCGTGGTGACAGAGTCGAAGTTCCCGACGGATCTGCACACGTCCGCCCTTCAAGCTGCAGACAATCCTCTGCATTCGATCGTCAACAAACGAGCGCAACTCGGCGTTGCGGCACATCCTGAGATTCAGAGTCGACTCAGTCGAGGCCCTGCTTTCCCCGCAGTCGGCGCGAGTGCCGGCGGTACGGCCTGGTACGGCGGGCTAATCCATTAGACAAGTCGGACGAGCATGGGCCTGATCGCTCGACGGCCAATCGCCTGGTAGCCGCTTGCAGTTGCGTCCAGGACGTCTGCTTGTGTTTACATCCGTGCCCGAGATCGCCGTGCACTGTCTATTTGGTGGGCCGTTTCTGTGCCTGGTGCGGGTGACGGGGACGTGTTGCGGACTGCATCTACCCATACCGGCCCTGTCAATGTCAACACATGGTAGTAAGTGTATGATCACAGGATATCGACCGTGGCTCACCTGGCATACCGCGACGCATGGGCGACATGGTGCCATGCCAAGTCTGCAGCATATCGACTTTCGGGCGGTCCCGCTTTGTCTGGGTGAGAGCTGTACGGGTGGTAGCAGCGCGGCAACAGGGGGCGCCGGGTCGGAAGCCTCCCCGGATCCGGGACGGGCACCTCGAGCCTCTGTTCACCGGGCATTTAGCTCAGATGGCAGAGCGTACGCTTCGCAGCTCGCAACTTGCGTAAGGCCCAGGGTTCAATTCCCTGAATGTCCAGCGCACCGTCAGGGTGTCTTTTTGCCGCATAGAGGCATCAGGGATGTCCTCACCTTTGGGCCGCGCGCATGCGGAGGTACCGGTGGTATAGTGGAGGTGGACTTGAAGGCAACTCGGAGAGAGGCGACCTTTTGCATCGCGGAGTGCGGTTATATACACCGAACATAGCTTAGATGTAGGGAAAGACGATATTCGTCTCATATAGGTGATCTCTACACTGCCATGCCAGAACCTGTAAGTTCCGTAGTGTTCTCGGATATGAATAAAATGACGAGACTCACTGACAGTCGGTAGGAGTTACGTATTCTCGCAGCGGCGAGTACGTGAGATACATAGCAGACACGCATTCACGTCCCCTCAGTTTGCTTGATTATTCAACATGAGAGTCACTGCAGTGCTAGGTTCTGCCACGTGTACGGCCCTCGCTCTTGAGTACTGCACAACAACACATTTATACCCCGTCCCCACATAGTAGGGACATCTGAAATGCCCTGATGGCGCTGCTAAAGTTACAACGTGCTTGGCCGTATCAGCCTCATGGATGTCGCGTATGCGATGGGACCACGTACCACCGACCCTAATGTGCTTCCTGTGCAGCTGATCGTCTCTGTGAAATGCCCTGCCGCACAAACTACAGATGTATTGCGTTCCGGAGGTGTGTGTACCAATATCCCCTGGCTCTTGCATTTCCTGGAGAAGGAGGAACTTGCCACGTCTCTGCGAACACCATAGCCTCCAGGAATAGTGATGGATCTACGGCAGACGATCATCAAGTCAATCTTGTAAGTATGCGGGTGCGCTCACGGACTCGATATGGTGATGTGGCGCCGCCGCTTGGGTCCTCGCACACAGTGCCGTCCGGGAATACGGTAGGCAGCATTGTTTCGCTCGGGAGATGAAGGCTGGAGGAACGTTGGGACGTAAAGTATACGACCCATATATATGCTTCCCCTCGGGATCTTTTGCGGACTCCCCAACGTTTGCAATAGTCGGTATCACTGTGCTTCTGCACTCGTGATCTTGCCGCCTGTTTGTCTCCCGGACGGCACTATGGCCCAACTTTGAATCAAACGGGGATTACTCCCGTGTCATTGCGCAGGACGACTCACCGAGAAACAATTGTACGTGGAGTAGACCACACGCCGGATCCTTCTGTCCCGAGTGGACGTTTGACTTTCACAGCCATACCTGTGGCGTCCAAGCCTGCGGATTGCAGGTGAGAGACAGGAAGACAATGTGAGCAACTGGTAGGAAGACTTCACCGTATGGTCACGCGTGTCTAGTAGAGCCACGCATCATCTGGAGAAGCAGGCTCCCGTTGGCGCTTCGCTGCCGGTTCCTATGCTTCCTCCTTTCAATGAGTGCGTTTGCTTCATGACTGTTGTCGACGCGCAGCTAAGGAGTAAGAGGTGGATGATTGCCGCATTTACTCTAGGTTCCGCAGGGCGGGCGGCCGGTCTGAGCGTCACTTCAGTATTAGCACACCGATCTCAAATTGAGAGTCATTGAGAGTCGAAGTACCTGATAAAGGATGGAAGCTGTTCCTATGTTCGTTGGAGGCGGCAGCAATGATTGAACTCGGTGACCTTAGTACCGTGCAGTGTCGGACTGTACCCACACTGGACTGGCGGCTTGCAACCGAGCTGTTAAGAGTTCTCAGATAGACTACACATGCAGTAGAGGAGGCCCGCAATATTGCCATGGCGCGCAGAAGCCTAGAAACAGCGGCTGTAGCGGGCTTCGAGGAGGACCGCTTCAAGTTGGCCATGGCGGCGCGTCGAAGGGCGCGCCCACACCGCGGTGGCGTGGGAAGTATGACGCGCCCCCTCCTCCTCGATGCGGACTCATGCGGCCGCCGGTCATCACTGCTGGCAAAAACCGCTCACAATATGAATACTAAGTTCACGCTGCAGCTGCTCTTTGGATACCGGGATCTCTGCGATAGCTGGTAGCGTCAGACACCCAACTCCCCATCACCATCGCCGACGAGGAGAAGCAAACTCGTTCGACCTTGGGACGACCTTGGCCATCATGCATCATTCAACCGTCGTTGACCCACTTTTAGGTCCGTCAATTTTCCCGTGTCTGTCAAGAATATGCCCACGGAGATCTGGCAATGCAGATTCGCCAAACATCCTACCGTGAGGCTCACGAGCAATGCAGACGATTCCGGAACTACAGCCTTCATGAAACCTTCGCCTAATCCGTGGGAGGAGGAGCTCTGTAATAACAAAGGAGGCACTACTGGCATGCGCATGTACGAGCAGAGCGAGCGGAACCAAGGTTACTTATCCATGTGTAGTCGCCGCTTATGTCCGCCACGTCCTCCGCAGTTGCTGCCGCTGCAACGTTCCGGCACCCTCTGCAGCTTCTCGACTGCATTCTTCTCACCCACCCACTTACCCGACTGTAAGTACAATGGCGAGTGGATTGGTAAGATGATTTCCCTCTGCTTGTCCGCGCCAGCAGTGGACCACGACGTTCACACTGTCGTAGCCCTCCTTCACTACCGGCGACAGCCAGCCCTGCTTATCGTTTAACAGTCTTTTACTAAGAAGCGGCGAACGTCATCGAAGACGATGGGTAGTATATAATGACACTTACGCACTGCGACTGCTCCCACGAAGGAGTGCCCTCTTGCATCATTCGCGATGGTCGAATTCAAAGGATACGCCCTTACCAGTAAGTCTTCAATGCTCATTCTTCCATAAGCTCGTACTGATAGCCCACCTACTTCACGCAGAGGAAGACCGTTCTGCCTGGAGCTCGCTCGAAGTGGTCACCTTTGAGCCGAAGAAATTCGAGGAAACCGATGTCGAGATCGCCATCACCCACTGCGGCCTCTGCGGCTCCGACGTGCACATCCTGCGTCAAGGATGGGGCAGCGTAACGTATACGCCGCTCATCGCCGGACACGAGATTGTCGGCAAGGTGACGCGAGTCGGGGCGAAGGTGTCTGAGTTCAAGGCAGGCGATCGCGTCGGCGTGGGCGCGAAAGTCGCCAGCTGCGGGACCTGCAATAGGTGTACGCACGACAACGAGCAGTACTGCCCTTCCTCGCTCGACACGATTGTACGTGGTGTCGCGGTTCTGTTTCGTGCGTGTCTATTGTACTGACAGCCTTTCAGAACAACCGTTATCCGGATGGAACACCCGCGCAGGGTGGTTTCGCCACTGCCATTCGCGCGAATGAGCGGTTCGTGTATGCCATCCCCGACGGGATCGACTCCAAAGACGCCGCGTCGATGCTCTGCGCCGGCGTGACGGTATACTCGCCGCTGCGCAGAAACAACATCGGTGCCGGCAAGAAAGTCGGCGTGATTGGTATCGGGGGCCTCGGCCACTACGCCATCTTGTTCGCGAAAGCGCTGGGTGCGCAGGTGTATGCGTTCACACATAGCCCGAGCAAGAAGGAGGACGCGAAGAAGCTCGGCGCTGACGTCGTGGTCGACACCGGAGCCAAGGTGAGATGAATCTGGATCCGCAGATCGCAATCCAGTCAAACTGATGGACCGTTTCGCTCCGTACATAGGATTACCAAAAGCCGTACTACGACACGCTCGACCTGATCATCTCCACGACGAACGTCTTCAGCCCGGGCACGTCCTTCTCGACGTACACGAGCATGCTCAGTGTGCACGGCAAGTTCGTGAACGTCGGCCTGCCGGACATCGATACAGAGATGCCGTCGCTCCACGCGTTCGACATGCTCACGAGCGGCGCGTTCATCGGCGGCTCGCTCATCGGCAGCAAGGGCGACGTGTACGAGATGCTCAAGGTCGCCGCGGAGAAGGGCATCAAGCCGTGGGTGCAGGAGCTCCCGATGCGCGACCTGAAGACCGCGCTCGAGGGCGTGCATAATGGAGACGTGCGGTATCGGTATGTGCTGAAGCAGGATATTGTGCCAGTCCCGTACTAGGCACTCGTTGACGTGCAACTACAAATGTATCATTAGACTCAGAGCAAACTCGGAGTGAGTTATACTATTAGCACTGGTGCTGTCTGAGCACCCTGACATCTGCTTGATCCTCTACATAAACACTGGCGATCCCGGAGTCAGGACAGAGCAAAGGGCGCGGCGAAGTCGGGCAAGGTTACGCACCGACGATCTACACGGCGGTCCATGAAGGTCCGTGATGCCCTCAGCCAATCAACGCCCAACGCTAGTCATCACAAAGACATGCCATTGCAAGACGAATGACATGCGCACCGTAGCCAAGCTGGTTCCGATGGTCAGCGGGGACTCTGCGGCCTCCGGTATCCATACAAAGCGCGCTGGCGAAGCCCCAAGTCGTTGAAACCTGTGGAGTGCATTCATAGTGCCAGTGCGTATACTCAGTTAAGCGGCATACGGGCAAGGCTAGGCGGGCGACGCGATATAAGAGCTCTGCTGCTCGCTCTGCTTCTCCCTCAGCATTGAGTATACAGCCTACATCCACCGTCATCAATGCAAACTATGGTCGAGTTCAAGGGATACGCACTTACCAGTGAGTCCATCCATCCATCCTCCAAGCCACTTCGTTGATACCAGGTCATCCGTTTCGCCAGACACCAATCGCGCGGAGTGGACCTCTCTCGAAGTAGTCCCATTCATACCAAAGAAGTTCGAGGATGACGACGTCGAGCTCGCTATCACCCACTGTGGTCTCTGCGGGTCGGACATACACATTGTCCGACAAGGATGGGGCAGCCCGCCGTATACACCGATAATCGTCGGGCACGAGATCGTCGGGATCGTGACGAAAGTTGGGCCGAAGGTGACGGAGTTCAAGCCTGGAGACCGGGCCGGCGTCGGCGGGAGGGTGAACAGCTGTGGGACGTGTAAGCGATGCACGTCTAACAACGAACAGTATTGCCCCGGCGCGACGACTACCGTTGTAATTGTCGTACTCTTTCCAACATCGTGACAGCTTGACTCAGTAAGCTATATCTTGGTCATAGCTCGACCGTCATCCGGACGGTTCGCCATCGCAGGGAGGCTTTGCAACCGCTATCCGGGCAAACGAACGCTTCGTTTTCGCGATCCCTGAGGCGATCGAGTCGAAGGATGCGGCATCCATGTTGTGCGCAGGGCTGACAGTGTTCTCGCCGATGCGGAGGAACAACGTTGGCCCAGGCACGAAGGTGGGTGTGGTTGGGATAGGTGACCTTGGGCACTACGCGATTTTGTTTGCGAAGGCGCTTGGTGCGGAGGTCTATGCTTTCACGCATAGCCCGAGCAAGCGTGACGACGCGAAGAAACTGGGTGCGGATCATATCATTGACATAGGTAATGAGGTATGGAACATTTGCTGATATAGTCGTTCACTCACAGACACCACGACTGAAGGACTTCCACAAGCCATACACTGACACCCTGGACTTTATCATCGCGACCACGAGCATTTACAGTCCAAACAGCTCGTTCTCGACGTACACAAGCATGCTGACCGTCAACGGGAAGTTCATCACCGTCAGTCTTCCTGACGCCGACAAGCCGATGCCGCCCTTGCATGCCGCCGACCTGGTCTTTAGCGGAGCATACATCGGAGGGTCGTTCGTCGGGAGTAAAATCGATTGCTACGCGATGCTGAAGATTGCGACTGAGAAGGGGATAAAGCCTTGGGTGGAAGAGCTGCCGATGCGCGAGTTGGCCACTGCACTTGAGAAAGCGCACAACGGAGACGCGAGGTACCGGTACGTGCTCACGCAGGATGTCGTGTAGACTTCGGGCCATTCTTGAGAGCACATGTGATACCTAGCACATTCTGTCAGGATAGGATTGAGGTATTAGAGGGGGGAATACACAGCGATAGTCGACGTCTATACCTACTGCTGCTGAGCCTTGACACCGTGTGCGACCTTAGAAAAAGATCAGTCTTTAGTAAGAGATTGGTCGTACCACCGGACAACATGTGTTACTGAAGTAGCAGGACAACAGCGAGGAAGCCAGACGGATTGCGGGCGCTGACGCGTCTGTGGCGTGAGACCCCAACTAGCGCTCCCTGCTCACAGCTACTGCCACGACCCAGTGGCAGTCATGGCTAGTCATGGTCGCCGACTGTTCATTGATATTCTATGATCAAGAAAATAATCATCACAGCCTTCCGCACTCCGTACAAGGAACACCCTAACTCTGGAGCAGTAGCGAGACAAGGCTCGCACTGCGGCACTCCGAAATCGTTGTCAACGGAGGTATGTACCAGTACCTGCAGGTCCATGCGCGATGCAAGAGCGGTATATCTACTTATGTCGGGTGTTAAACTCCGCCTAGTAGGACCTGTCAGGTAAGCAGACGAATCTCAAGTAGTCGATGCATTGATACTACTCCACGCGTCATCAGCCATTCAAGGTATAGGGATAATGTCCTGTGTCAAAACATAGCGGTACCGCGCAGCCCCGTTGTGCACTCCCTCAAGAGCAACTCCATAGTCCTTCATAGGCAGCTCCTGCACCCACGGCTTCACACCCTTCTCGACGGCAATCTTCAACATGGCACAGCAATCGGCCTTGCTGCCGACATAGGAGCCTCCGATGAAGGCACCGCTTGTCAGCATGTCGAACGCGTGGAGCGGTGGCATGGCCTTGTCGACGTCGGGCAGACCGACGTTGACGAATTTGCCATTGATAGTGAGCATGCTCGTGAATGTGGAGAAGGAAGTGCCTCGCTGGAAGACGTTGGTCGTCGAGATGATGAGGTCGAGCGTATCGAAGAACGGCTTTTGAAAACCCTATTCACAGAAGAACGGGAGGAGTGTAAGCTCGAGGTTACTATATGCGCATAGAAAGCGCACCTCGATGCCGGTGTCGATGACATGGTCAGCACCGAGCTTCTTGGCATCCTCGCGCTTACCCGGGCTATGGGTGAACGCATACACCTCTGCACCAAGCGCTTTGCCGAACAGAATTGCGTAGTGGCCTAGGCCTCCTATTCCCAGCACGCCGATCTTCGAACCGGGGCCGACGTTGTTCCTGCGCATCGGCGAGAAAACCGTCAAGCCGCCGCAGAACATCGACGCCGCGTCCTTGGACTCAATCCCGTCAGGGACGGCGAACACGAGCCGCTCGTTGGCGCGAATGGCGGTTGCAAAACCGCCCTGCACAGGCGATCCGTCGGGATGGCGGGCGTTCTACACGTCGGAGTCCGATTACATCAGTTCAACGGTGCGTCTCACCTGTACTGAAATGCGACTTACTATCGTCTGCGTCATGCTCGGGCAATATTGTTCGTTCCCCGACGTGCACCTCCTGCAGGTCCCGCAACTGTTCACCACGGCGCCGACGCCGACGCGATCGCCGACCTTGAATTCCGTGACTTTGGGCCCGACGCGGGTGACCTTTCCGACGATCTCGTGCCCGCAGACGAGCGGGGTGTACGGCACGTTGCCCCAGCCCTGGCGGAGGACGTGTACGTCGGAGCCGCAGACACCGCAGTGCGTGATAGCCAGCTCGACGTCCTCATCCTCGAACCTCTTGGGCTCGAAGGAGACTAACTCGAGCGATTTCCAGGCGTCGGGGCCTTCGGTGTCTACAAGTGCAGATGTTAGTGGACATGGCAAGAATATGACATGCGGCAGCGGCCGCGGCTTACTGGTAAGTGCGTAGCCCTTGAATTCGACCATTGCGTTCGGAGAAATCTGATCCTGCCAGTCGGCGTTGCTGGGTGATAGTGTAGTATCGTTCCTCAGCAGCTCTTATATACCTGCGATCCGCCAGTTTTCCTCGCGACTTGCGTGTCAATCAGCGCTCCTATCGCCAAGGCATGCCATTGTGGGTTGCATTCACGCCGGACGCGGGGCTATGTGTGGGCCCAGCGTGTTGTAGAACACCGGCCGCGAGGTATGCCATTATACAAGTGTCCTAGCAGTACAACCAGACAGCAAGAATTGTGGCGAGCAAAACGGCGTGGAGGAACATGACGGCATAGCAGTGGGTCTTCGTGCGCTCACTCAGCTTGTGATCTCAACTAAGGAGGCGAGTAATACAGTTCTATAGCTTACAAACTCTGCAAGGGGCCTTAGTCAACGGATTTCCTCGACGACCACTGGTCCGGAATATACTATCCGCCGAGAAATGATCTACATGCCTGGCGATACCGAAGGCGTGTCAAAGGCAGCCTCGACTGCTGTATATGCAGCCCCGGGCCCGGGAGGTCCACTGTCAGTGAAGGGAGTGGGTGTTCCGCCGTCGCATGTTTCGAGTACTGAGACCGGCGTTCTACACGTTACGCATGACCGGAAACAGCCTGAGTAACAGTAAGTGCGGATTGGTTTCCAACATTCATCTGCGTCACTTACCGACTACAGGACAGCGATCCTGTAGTACTCGTACAAGATGTGTGCGATCCGCACGCACAGCGAATCAATGAAGTCGAGCTCAAATTGAGGACAGTCAATCCTCTCGTACTGATTCGCATTTGCGCATAGCATCGACTGTTTCATCCATTGGTTCTTGGATCAGAAGCCTGCAGTCGTCTAGTAAGTGCTCTTCAAGCCACGTGTGCGTCGGTAGACAGTCGAGCAGCCCTAACTCATACTTTTCACTTCCTGGTGTCCAAGCCGACTATGCTGTCGAGCATGACGACGGCAGGCGCACATTCGAGACTTTGTCACCCTGCCGGTATCTAGAAACTTGAGCACCACGGGATATACGACGACGTTCTCGGCTTCGACGTGGTGGTTGTTTATGGTGCGCTAAGGTCTTACTCCCTCTCGTCTAGGGCCCACAACGCCCGTCATTCATGTCGGAGTTGTGGTTCACAATTGCCACGAGGACGGCAACCATTGGATTCAAAGTGTGTGTTCCACTTCGCGCAGTGTCGCTTCAGCTACGCTGCATTGGCCTTTTGAAGAGATAACACCGGGAGTCGGTCTATTGGCAGGTTGCGTAGCTACATCTGCTACTAGTATCCCTAGCACTGTTTGCTATCGGATACCATGGCACTCGACCGCTGTCATCTTCTCCACGTACACTCCTGCTTTACTTAGCCAAATACCTTTGCAACGTAGTCGTGGAGCCTCGAGAGACAAGCAAACGACCTGCGGCGAGAGGCTGCCCTGGTCTGCGAGGTTGTCCACCAGCCGGAGATCGCGTCATGAACGACTCGCGCGACCGTGAGGGAAGGGTGGCAGGACGATCGGGCATACTACAGCTCGATGTGCAGCTACTGCTAGCAGAGCCTTCGTAGCCTTCCGATACAACGTCGCCGCGCCAGTGCTCGCAACCAGGACCACTGCACAGCGGCCCAGAGCTCGACTAAGCCTGGCTCTGTCGCGTGTGTCGGTGGACGTCCGAGTCACAGCGCGAACCTCGCTTGCCTGCCGTTGTGCTCTGCGCCGCTCAAGCTGAAGAGAAAAGGTGGACAGGCCGCTACTCGGAGACAACTCGGTGAGGTCGACCTGGATATATCATAGCACGACTTGCCAGCGCGCCAGACTGCCGCCCGGCGGAGGGAAGCTGATTCTTCGACTCCAACAACATAAGATCCCAGGGCCACAGGCCCCAGCCTTTGACGCCTCAAGATCTCAGGGCACGTCACCGTCCAACCGTAGTTCTCTGACGCCGCCCGTACCCCCTCTACCCATACCAAACCCAACAAACACGTGCACCGAGGGTGCAATCCCGACTTGCGACCTCGGGAGAAGACACCGATCGACAGGACCGTACCCGGCCGCTTTTCTCCTTCTCTGTTTCTCTCTTCCCCCCATGCTAATTTATTAAACTTCATGCATCATGACTATGGACGATCCGGTTGATTACCGCGCACATCGCGCACACGCGCCTACACACGAACCCGCCTGACCGCATTCATTGCGCCTCGTAACCCGTCACCTACTACATACAAACGACCATAGACTACCAGTACGATTTCACTTACCCGACAGGACTACCGGCTTGCAAGTGGCGCATTATAATGCCCACTATTGTACGCACCGGCAGTCGCCGCGTCTTAGCACGTTTTGTTTGCTTGTGGCGGTTAATAAATGCAGATTTCATCATCATCATCAACCGTAGTTCTCTCTCCTCCACTGCCATCGCGTAGACTTGCGGCGGCGATCAGCTATATAATGACACTACTTATGTAAGGATAGCGGAGCGACTCAGTGGTGGCTGTGGGGTGTCGACAGCGTCGTTGGCGTAGCCTTGGGCCGTAGATTGCGAGAAGGAGGTTAGTAGGCAGGGTGACGACTTAGCGCTACAGTCCAGGGCATGTCGGATCCCAGCTCAGGTGCAGACGGACCTCGAATCGGGCTGCATCAGAACTTCTCTGATTTCGGTGACGGGCTGTGACGGGCTGTGACGCTTGCTAAAATTTCAATTTTACGTAGTGTCAGCGTACTAGATGTTAGCAAGACTGGTCGCATTTTAGAAGGTCGCGAAGATATGGCGATCACGTCGTTAGATAGCGTTAGATAGTCGTTACAGCTCACACAACCGTCAGCAAGTGTCACCGCTGCATCAGCAAAGCTGTGATTTGTCTGACAGGCCCTAACCCTCTAAATGTGTCTGGCCAGTCTAATTAATGTCTAAAACATCTTACCTGTCTAAGTCTCGTCTAGACTTTCAGCTCATGTCTCTGGATTGTGCTCGAATTCAAGGCAACATCATGTATTGACATTACTAGTACTCAGATACAATGCTACAATACTATAGTGCGCGGACTTGCACACGTCCTTTCGTGGTGCACTATCTGTGCCGACCCAGCCCGGGGCCCTCTTCCAACCTCGGAGGTCCCGCACACGACTTCATGACGGATCACACTTGCGGGATTGCCGTTTCGCATGAGTCCCTCAGCTCCGAGTCGGTGTGCTTGTTGGCGCAGTTTGCGCGGCCGCCTCGAGCTCGGAGCACGAACGTGCCTGGGCTTGGTCGTGTTATAGCGGCGTGACGACGCGGGCGGACTGGTTGCAGTGTGATGCGCGGGCGTGCGTCTTCTCCTCGCGAGTCGCATCGTTAGTGGCCCGGAGTCTGGACGAGTGCACGGCAGTCTTCGTCTGAGGCGTCAGCGGGGGCCAGGCAACTGCGAGATGCGCGGGAACTGTGCATTACCTCGTGGTCTGCTCGAAGGCTGCAAGGCTGCGCGTCTTTGCATGTTTGGCAGTGGCCGTCCGGGCGGGGAGGTGTCAAGGTTGACGCGAGAATCGAGCGCACTTGACACACTCAGGCGCAATTCCCACGGGCATCCGTCGACCGGGCGCGAGAGGGGCAGAGGTCGATGAGTGTCGGCGCGAGAGTCGAGCGTCCGTGAGAGCTCGTTGACGAGACCCGAGGCGAGTGGTGAGTGAGGGCAAGCGGACTTAGCGTGCGCGCGCCGCGCGCAGGTAAGTACCGCCGACCGGTGGCAAACTCCGGTGGAAGCCTGCCCTAAACCTCCCACTGCCACGTCACGACTGCGTTGCTATCTGGACTCGGTTCCTCGCCGCCGCGACGACCACCTTGTGGGCTGCCTATGGGAGACTACCCCGCCGTGCCCTCTGAGCGACGACAAGCCCGACGCGTCAGCGCGTATGGTAAGGCCCCAACAGGAGGTCACTCACCCGACGCGGACAGCCGAGGTCCAGCGCACCCGCAAGCCCGACGCACCGGCCGGCTCGACGTGCGCAAGAGCAAACACAGACGAGGACCCGCGCGCCGAGCTCACGAACCGCGCGTCATGCGCCTGCAAGACCGCCTCGCAGGACGGCGCTTCGGCCAGTCAACCAGCACTGACCCACCGCGAAGGGACGAGCAGGGGGATCGGTAGATGAGAATCAGAACGACTGTGGTGAGTGTCTTGACTCTTCACCGTCTTCCTCTCTCTCGCCCTCTCGTTTTGCTCACTCACCCTCGCTCGATGTACCTCCCCCGTCCGAACGCGCCCGTCATCTGCCGTCTCGCACGTTCTCGCACCCGCCCTCACTCATGCGTTGTGCCGTTCTGACCGCCACGCCCACGTCGCCGCCGTTCGACTTTTTCCTCTCCGCTTGAGCGCTCCCGCCGACCGCCGTCTCCTGCACGCTCGCACCCGCCCTCGCTTGTGCTCATCTTCCGCTGCCGCTGTCTCCCTCGCGCCCCGCCGTCCACCCGAACGTTCACGGTAACTCCCCCGCGGACGGCCCTCAAGACGAGCTGTGCGAGACTGCGCGCATGGTACCAGTAGCCGCCCTGCCGTTGCCAGCCCAAGGCCCGAGCTCGACCATCCGCGCGCTCTGCGCAGCGGCAAGCCCCGCGCGTCGAGGCATTTGTGAAAACCGCGATCAGACGACCCACGCGCGATACGGTCGACCGGAGTGCAGAGGAGCTGGAAGCTCGACGAGCACCAGTCAGCCGCGTCGAGTACGTGCGATGAACACCTAGCCACCAACGTAGTAGAATCTGCACTCGATATCCGAATATATTTCATTGTTGACGTACTATTGGGTCTCGTTGTGTCTCATTGTCTCATTGTGTCTAGCATGCCTTAGATGCACTTGAAGTCTGAGCAGTCTAACTACCCTAAAGGTGTCTAGAGGTGTCTCGTTTTAGAGAGGAATCTACTAATCCAACTGCTCACGTCTGAAGTGTCTGATTTGCCTAATTGTCTGTATTTAGGAGTTTTAGACAGTATTAGAAGGCTTTAGACAAACTGATGGATTTGCTGATGTGCGGCTCCTATTCTTTCCGTGCTCAATGCTCTGGCAACAGGTCTCGATTAAAATGTACTATGCTATACATTGTGTACTAATACTGTATGTATTACTAATAAACACACCCGCCCCGCCGCAGCGGGTAGGCTAACGCGGGTTCGTGGTTGAGTCGAGCGGTGGGCGAGGGACCGTGCGGGTGAGCGTACGAACATGCGGCTAAGCGGGGGGCTTGGCGCATTGAGACACTAGATGTACTCACCTTGTGCTCCTCGAGACACGCGTCCATGCCTGGCTTGAGGTTCCAGAGGCCACTGAACACGCCCTCCTCGAACTTTTTCCTATTCCGGAATCCGCACCAGCCGGCCAAACGCCTCGAACCGGAACACGAGTGCACGCACGATGTCAGTGCCAGTGCAATGGTAGAGGCCGCTCTAGAGTACGCAAATCACGTACTTCGAGTTCGGCAGGAGGAAGCGGTTCAGGCGCTGCTTGGGTGGCCGACCGGGAGGCCCGCGGCCGCGGCCGCAGAGGAAGACAGGTTGTCACCAGACCAGCGCGAGCGCACGGTGGCGAGGAAGAACTTCAGGCGGTCAAGGCGGTTGACGAGCTCGTGCTCCTTGTGTGTGAGCGACCGCGTGAGGCCGCTGCGTGGGCTGGGCCCTTGGGTCATTGCGTCGGCGATCGACTCGGACAGCGCAGCGGCGGCGTGCGCATTGTCCGAGCCATGCTCGCTGTGCGCGGGATCCCTCTCCGCGTCCGCAAGCAGCTCATGCTGCCTGCGCGAGCACAGGGGGTGGGCGGTCTACTCCTCAGGCTCGGGTGCGTGTGCGCCTGCCGCGGCTGGTGGCTATATGGAGGGCGCGCGGGGAGGGCTGCTGGGCTGCAAAGGCGGGCTGGAAGGAGGTGGAGGCGGACGCGGTGTGCAGTGGTGATGGGTGGTGGAGTGCTGCGGCTGAATATGGTGCTATGCTTTGGACGGAAGTGAGCGTGGCCACTATCCGGGCACGAGAGTGGTAGAGGCAAGAAGCCTGTGCAGCCGCGCTCGTAAGTGTGCGTGTCGAGTAATGACAGACGCGCGCCGTGATCATGTTGAGAGAATGAGTGGAGGACGCAGTACCGAGAAGGCAGATGTACGGGGTACTCACTGGAGATATCCTACCGTTCTCCTGACATCCCTGCATTCCTTGTTGGGCCCGCTTCGGTGTGTTGGCTACTCGAGCCTTCATGGCAGCTCCAGGGCGAGCGAGAGGCAACCATCTCCGCGTTGATCGTCTCACAAATGACGACATGCACGCTGAGTACACTAGATGAGGTTCGGAAATAGCGCATGTACAATGTGGGCATACCTCTCAGCATGAATGGGGTAAGTTGGCGGTCGTTCTTCGGGGCGGGCGGTGCGACGGGTTCGGGGGTGTTCGACGCCGCAGGCGTACCCGGTGTCGACATGTCCTCAGACAGCAACACATCCCCACCGAGCACATCGAGGAGCCCCGCTTGCCTCGTCTTCTTGCTGCTCCAATTCCCGGTACCCTAAGCTAACAATCTCGTCGAACACCCCCAGAAGCTTGAACGCGTGCTTCGTGATATCACGCTGCTCCGAGCAAGCGGGCAGAGGAGCGGGACGGTTGAGAAGACGAGAAGACTCTCAGAGGGTGAGCGGGCGAGACTCAGAGTGAGGACATGCCACAACACCAAGGAGCACCTGCGCCAGGATGCGCAAGTGCCACAGTGGCTTGCCCTAAACCTGTGAAGCGCCGGCGGCTAGCTCACGCTCTCGTTGTGCTCACGATGGCTTGTCCACTGAGCCAACGTCAGTGATTGGTAGATGGTATGTGCATTCAGTTCCTCTACCTCTGCCTCGGCTGACCATGACTGGAGGCAGGTGCATATCAAGACGGGGCTGATGACCGAAAAACAAATATCGTGCCAACTTGAGTACTACCGCGTCAGACGAGGAGGGCGAGGAGAAGGGGGTCGCAAGTGGGTCGAAAGAAGACTTGGAGGTAAGCCTATGTATTTCGCTCGTAGTGCACACCGTCATCACCCGCCCCGCCCCACGCACGAGCCCGGCTACGCGACTCTCCCTCCACGCACTTGTCTGCCCGTGCAATCGTTTGCGCGCACGTACATTCGCGCTGACTCGCCCGTGTGCACATCCTCCTGCTCACCTGTCCCGTTTATGCGCTCCACGGCGCCCCTCACTCCACATTTCCCTCCCCTTTAACCGCGCACGGCCTGGGCTTGCTGCCACCTAACAAACCCCACCACGCGCGCGTGATCCGGCCGCTGCTCATCCCGACCCTCCAGTCAAACACATCCCTTGCGCCCGTATCGCCCCCGTGAACGCGCCGAGTGGAGGCAAGGCTGGAGGTGCCAATACCCGGCACGACGACTAGTCACCCGCAGCGATAACATTCGCGAAGGACGGCCTCCTCCATCTCCCACGAGCGTGCGTTCCCTTAGCCTAGCCGGCACACTCCCGCCCTCATGTCACCTCTTCGCTGTGAGCGCGAGGCGAATCAAAACAGCAGGCTCGGGATGATTCATCGCATGCAGTTCACCTTCAGCGTCGATCAGCCCGCACCACCGACCGTGTCCTCTATTGACGTGAAGAAGCCCGACTTGAAGCCTTCTGCCAAATTTAAGGACAATGCCCTCAAACGCGGCCGTCCCGCGACCCACTCAACGGCCAACCATGACGATACGCCCACGAACATCAGCGACAAGGACCGGCCTCTCACACAGCGCGGCTCGGCACGACGACCGACACAAGGTCAAGACGCCACTCTTGTCGGCGACGACGCGGCGTCGGTGCCCCCGCGTACGTCGAGCGTGACAGGAACATGGAGGACGCTCGGGGATGGCAACACGCGAGGATGGCGATGAGGGGCAGACGCAGCGGCAGCGAGGCGGGGGACGCGTAGGCGGGGTGTGGCGACGGAGACGTCAAACGCGGTGGGGGACGCAATGCGGTGGCGGCGTCTGGATTGGGACGCATCGCGGGGATGCGTTGGGGGTGGGGAGAGGTGCGCACGGAACGAGGTCCGACGTCGGTTCAGACGATCGGTGGCGGCGAGGGTGGTCGGTGCAGACGATGCGGGTAACAGAGCAGACAATCCGACTGTAACAGATAACAGAACAAATATAATATGCCATTTACGCTACTTCAGTCAGTTTGTCAGGAGCCGTCACAGGCTACTAGCAAAATGCACATTTTGCTAACGACTAACGAATGTGAGCATTGAGTGACACGCTGACGCTTTCTAACGCTTTGGCGCTAGCATCCGTCAGCGTGTCAGCAATGGTCAGCAACGGTTAGCAAAATCGGACTTCTACTGATGCTGGTCGGAGGCACGGGCTTCAAGTCGAATGCAGCATAGAGCCAGACCGAGCCGTGTCCAGACCGCAGCGAACAGACGGTCGGCCCTCTCTGTGCGCCAGACGAGGTGCACGGCCCGAGTCCACGGCCGCATGACGACTGCGACTTCGCGCAGGCAAGCTTGACCTCGTACCACCACCATCTACCTTTAGGCGCCCGCTTATCGGCCCCCATCTGCCCCATCTCTCGCCCGTTCCCCTCCTCCCCTAGTGTCAAGACCCGTCCAACTCGGTCCCCACAGTCTTTACGACACCTCTACGTACGACAAACTCGACATATCGCGAACAATCGCCGAGTCCCTGGCCCGGGCTGCCCTACGGGGTGGCCTGGGATCAATGGGAGGCTGGCACCCAAACCACGATGCATCGACCGACACCGAGTGCCATGGACCGCAACTCGTTAAACCCCCGACGTCCCCTCGCTAGGTCTCTCTAGTAACGCGCCCTAGTCCGGGTGTATTCCCTCGCTGCAGGAGACTCTTAGAGTCTGCGCGAGAGGCCCGACGCAAGCTGATCCCCGTTGGCCTCTGCATGCCTAACGTGCCCTAGCCCCTACTTTGAATGCCCGGGAGTACTCTCAGAGTCCGGTGCACCGGTCTACGACCGTGTAGGAGGCAAGCTGATCCCCAGGTGAGAATCGGCTTAAAGCGAGGAAGGTTTAGATTCCCCCTCCGCCTGGGTGGGGTAAATTCGTATGGGCTGTTGCACGCTGTATCGGGTGGGATAAGCCGTTTTCTGGAGGGAGGTGGATGGAGGGCACGGCTATCTAGTCGTGTCCGTAGGTTTGACTTCTACGACGATGGACTCTTGGAGTGACACCCACCCGTATCGCCCTGGGTGGGAAGCTGGCCGCCTTGCACTAATGCCGCTGGCGCCCATAGACTCCCGACGTCGCTCGTAGTGCGATAGGGGCAATGCCTTCCGCACCGCACCCACTTGTCTGGGTGTTGGCCAGTGGTTGGCCGAGACGAAGAAGACATGTGCCGGAAGTGACCCGGTGAACACCCGGCGGTGCGCCGCTTTCAAATTCACCTTTCCGTACCATCACTGGGATGTTGCTATCGCACCTACGCGGGCCATGACGATGAAGACCGGAGCACTTACCTACAGGAGGACCGCCCAATTAGCGTCGCCGGTGCGCTCAAGTTGACGTGAAAAGGAGATTCCGGCAGGGACCCGTAAGGGGAAATGGGGCTCGAGTAGAACGGTCTTAGCGTGCCGTTATGATGTATTAGTGTCCGCATCTTGCCTCGGGCGAGGGACTATAAACACGGTGAATTAAAAAAAAAAAAAAAAAAAAAAAAAAAGACTGCGACTTCGCGATGACAGGTGCGCCGACCCGACGAACGTGCGTCCGACCAGCCAATTGGGAGGGAAGAAGGCGGGCCGATCTGAGATGCGTTTGGGTTGGCTGGAGCTGTCAACGGGGGCCAATTGCATGTGCTTCCGAGGATGTGACTACCAGTGACAGCGAGTTGTGATTTTGACCGTGGCCCGGAAGTCATACATACTGCGGATCTGCGTACCGTACAGCTTTCAGCCTTGGACTGGTCGCCGTTCGAGCGAGTGTCCCACCTGAAAAAAAGCACATAAAATCAGTTGAAATTGGTGTGGCGAAGACACGGATCTCAAACGGCAGTTCAATACGAAAATCGGACTAGACCGCACCGCCGTCGGGCGTAGCGCAGCACAACACACCATGCGCACCATACGGGTCTTGCTCTCGGAAGAGGCCCACGCAGCGAAAAGCTATGTTCGCTGCGACGCCGGGACCGTATGCTATGAACGAACGTTCGTCGCGTCGGGTGCGTCTCGGCGGTAGGCTGCCAATCAGTGATGCATGATGAGTCGGCGACCTTCAAGAGGAACGACTGGCCTCCGGGACTGAGTTCGCGGAGGGGGCTTGGACGCATTCTAGACGGCGTCCTTCGATATTTGGAGTTCAGTTCTGTCATAACGGATGACTGACATTTTGCGCACGACGGGCGGTGAATGTGTTTTTTGTGTTCTTGGCTGCCGGGACAAGGGCGGGTGCACGTGATGTGGCGCGGGCGTGATGGGAGGATAAACGGGAAGATCGAATAGACGCTGGGTCTCCACCCGCCGCCATCGGCCTGTGGGTGCTCGCCCTCCACCGCCCATCCGCAAACGTGCGTTCTCTCCCGTCGGTATGTCCTCTTCCTCTCCACCGCCTAACCCCCGTACTTAACCCTCCCCATCGTCCCTTCCCCACCATACCCACTTCGCGACCGCGTCTTCCGCTCGCGGCATGCCAGAGATGCCCGTGTCCGAAAAAGAAAACAACGTCAAGGGCGGGCTCGAGGACTACGAGCGCGAGGACTCGGGCCGCTACCCCTTCCTCCTCAACTACAGGGAGTGCAAGCTTCTCGGCATCGCAGGAGTCCGTCCTACTCTCCGTTCGTATCTCGCCCCTCCTGACCCCCTTCCCCACACAGGTCGGCTTCTTCCTCGATGCCTATGACCTCTTCATCATCAACGTGCGCATTCCGTTTGCCGTCCTGCACTTATCCCTGCTCACACGACCACCCGCAGCCCGTAGCGACGATGCTCCAGTACCGTCTCTACAACGGCGCCCCCATCCCCTCCGGCATCCAGGGCTTCCTCAAGGCCTCCGCCAACATCGGCTCTGTCATCGGCCAGTTCGGCTTCGGCTATGCAGCAGACACTTTCGGTCGCAAAGCTGTTTGTGAGTGCTCGTGTGCCGCTCTGGCCACCGTTCCCCGCTCACTTAGCTCATCCTTCCCTCATCAGACGGAAAGGAGCTGATGATTATCATATTCGCCACGATCCTCTGCATATCTGATCCAACTGGTGAGTACCCCCTTTTACGCGCTCGCTGCGTCTGGGAGCTGTGTTGCAGGTCTGCCTATCGGCGCTTAGCCGGCCTCCGTTCTTCTGCGTCCTTGGCGGTTGTGTCCCATGGCAGCCCATCTGACTGTATGCGGGGAAGGCTGCCCCATCGATTGCTGTGGAGAAGCTGCCGACTCTTGATGTCCTTATTGAATTGCTGGCCACTTTATCCCCACCGCTGCACGACCGGGGTGGCCGGAATGTGCAACGGACACTGGGAGAGCACACTGCGGGCCGGATAGGATTCGAAGGCATCTATCATCGAGTCTCCTGCACCCTCAGCGCGTGCCACCCCGCCTCAGCGCAGCGATGCGTCCTCCTCTCCACTCTCCACTGACCTTCATCCTCCACAGGCGACCTCTCTGCAACAGGGAGTGTTCTCTGGCTCTCCATCTGGCGCATCATCCTCGGCATCGGCATCGGGGGCGACTACCCCATGTCCGCATCCGTCGCGACCGAGCGCGCGAACCTCCGCCGGCGCGGCACCCTCCTCTCATACATCTTCGCAAACCAGGGCTGGGGCTCGCTCGTCGGCAGCCTGATGGTCATCATCGTGCTCGCATGCTACCACAACGTCATGGAGGTAAAGGGGGAGACGTCCAAGGTCGACGGAGGTGCGTGTCCGTTGATCCCGCGTGTCTCGTGTGGTGCTGACGGCGGGTGTGCGCAGTGTGGCGGATATTGGTCGGGTTGTCGCTCATCCCCGCGTTCGGCACGCTCTACCAGCGCCTCACCCTCCCCGAGTCGAAGCGGTTCAAGGCGTCCCAGAAGGGCGCCGAAGCCGAGACGGACTCGATCGACGAGCTCAAGAAGAAAGCCGACGCCGACCCGGGCGTGCAAGAGTCCGTGCGGCCCGCCGCCGCCTCGGGCACACCCACCCCCACGGCGCTGTCGCCCGCCCCGAGCGCCGCGGCGCCCGCGCAGCCCAAGCGGGAGCACTGGGCGGAGTTCCTGCACTACTTCTCGGAGTGGCGGCACTTCCGGGTGCTGCTGGGGACGTGCGCGTGCTGGTTCCTGCTGGACGTCGCGTTCTACGGGATCAACCTGAACCAGAACGTCGTCCTGGAGGAGATCGGGTTCGACGGGAGCAGCGGGTCCGCGTGGACGCGCCTGTTCAAGATCGGCATCGGCAACCTGATCGTGACCGCGCTGGGCTTCGTGCCGGGGTACTATGTGACGATTCTGACGATCGAGTGGTTGGGGAGGAAGTGGATACAGATCCAGGGGTTCTTGTTGGCCGCGCTGTTCTGTGCGTATCCGCGTCTCGGTTCGATGTGGAGGTGGGGCTGACGGTTCGTGTTGTGCAGTGGGCATCCTCGCGGGCAAGTTCTACACCCTCGGCACGGTTGGGTTCATCGTCAACTTCGCCTTCCTCCAATTCTTCTTCAACTTCGGCGCGAACGCGTACGTCTCCCTCCCTCTCCCCTCCCCATCACCCCTACTAACCCCTCTCCCTAGCACGACCTACTGCTATCCCGCGGAAGTCTTCCCGACCAAGTTCCGCGCGTCCGCACACGGCATATCCGCGGCGTGCGGCAAGGCGGGCGCGATCATCTCCGCGCTCGTGTTCAACTCGCTCACGGAGTCGATCGGCACGCCGAACGTGCTCTGGATCTTCTTCGGGTGCTGCATCGCCGGCGCGGGCTTCACGCTCCTCCTCCCCGAGGTGCGCGACCGCGATCCGGACTTGGTCTACGCGGAGGAGCTCCGGGAGGAGGAGCGGAATCGGAGGGGGACCTAGGTGGTTAATCGAGGGGCCGTAGAGTTGGCGGGGACTGTTTTATGCTGTTAGACAGGCGTGTGGGTCTCGCGAAATTGCGTTGAGGACCTCCGAAGCCGTGTCACGACTGATCTGACATAATGTAGACATACTTAGTTGTATTACTCGTATATACGCACATCTGCATCGCTATACAAGTAGAGTGCTGGAACACCCATCGTGTGAGGCGTCCCATCAACGTGCACGACTGGGACTTGGACATGTACAGATATTATATCCGAGCAATTCCCAGACCAGGCAGATGTGAGCATTGAATAGTATTATAGGAGCGGAGACTGAGTCAGCGGAGACCAGGGTAGCAAGTGTGAGCAAGCGGTCGATGGGCGGTCGATACTCCGGCGGTCGCACGGGCGGCATGAAAGAGTCGACGAAAGGACTCCAGTTCGAACTGTGGCGTCGAGTTTGCGTTGTAAGGCAGAGGCCATACGATGCCTGCATGAGGACAGCGTATAGTTCTTAAATGGACCGTATTACCTCCTCCGAGCCTGTCTGCGTCGACTCGACGTTAGTATGTAAGTGCCAGCGCGCGATGTGTTGTCCCAAGGACGATATCAGTACAACGCGGTCGCCGTCACTGCTATTGGTACAAGAAGAAGTGGTATGTCCCTGCCATGTCATCCTCACAGGTTTGCTCTCCTTTCGACGGGTGTCCTCCATCGGCTGATCTCGGAATCCACAGGGATTGCTGCGCCATAGCATGCCAAGCTCGACTTGTATGCCGTCAGACTCTCGTCGGTGAGGATCGATACATTCTCATGAGACGGTACAGCCTCGTTTATCTGCTGCGAGACTAGCTGCACTGATAGTTTCTTGCGCGTCGTGTGTCCGGTCGAAGGGCAGACGAAGATCTCGTACGTCTTGACGACCTCTTCCAAGGACATAACCTTGATCGTGGATGCATCCTTTTGCCCTTAGGCGAGTATGAGTGCTTACTGAGATATAGCAAGCTGAATGAGACGTACTTCGCAGGAAATCATAGCATCCTTGGCGAATCTGTGCCCAGAATGAGAGTGTTTCCTCATACAAGTTCTTGGGTCGCTCGAGCAACTTTACAATCAGGCCCTCCTTCTCGGTCTCGAAGTCCTCTTGAGACATTCCTGCTAGGGTGTCTCGGAACTGCTCCAGGAACACTTCCACCCGCTCTTCCAGGTACCACGGGGCTCGGGTGCTCTGGATCTTGAAGCTGAGACCCATCGAGGTAACGACGTCCCACATAGAACTGGAGACGACATAACCTAGTTGCTCCCGGGTCCTCAGTTGGTCGAAAGCCGGTGAGCGGATAATATGTGCGAGGAGGGCTAGAGCGGGGCGAAGTGACTCGTCGGATACTTCGCCGAACTGGCAGTAGTACGACAGGCTGCTATTGAGTTCTTGAACATTCACATGTTGCTTTCGGAGAACGATGTTTGCTCCTTGGCACAACGCTCAGTGTCTGCGATGGATCTTGCTCTTTTATGTGGCTCACCAGGAGAAATGACGAGTGCACGATCCTCGGTCCTCTCGTTAGGAAGGCACGGCCGAGATTGTAAGCTGTCCTCTGTAGCATGTACAAGTGCGATGGCTTGCTATTGGAGCAAATAACATAAGCACGATACGATGACAATCAGTTCACGCGGCAGCAAAACTTACCTCGGCGCGAAGGTTCCCCGTCACAAGCGCTTCCACGTGCACTTTGCTGAGGATCTCTTGATGGTGTCTTCGAACATCCTCGGAGATGACAACTTAAATGAGATGAGAATGTGTAGGACGAAACAAGCAATGTATAGTGTACGTACAGGGTATTTCAGGCAGCTTGTCCGCTGGTGTCCATACCGTCTGTGTGATCGCCCACTCCGCATACTCGTCGGACAGATTGCTCGGCTGCCCGAGACGATGGTTCTCATATAGACGAGTGACCTATGCAGCATACATTGTCAACATCCAGTCTCGACTGAGTTCATCGTCTGCAAGTATACTTACCTGCTCCTTGGCAATCTCCAATCTCTTCGGGTCCACCTGTAAGTCCTTGAGGTATCGTATGACGGTGCCAGCAACGACGTCGAGCTTGTCACTGTATCCGCTGACAGATACTCGGATGCCCTTCTTGTGGTTCGTGATGTCGTAGTTGAATCCCGCGAGGTAGGCATCGTACGCCACCTCTGAAAGAGCATCCTCGACTAGATCGGCTATCATCCTATTGGACACAAGCGATGTGAGAGGAAGGAAGCATAGGATGCACCGCTCTAGTGACAAACCTCGTGAGAACCGCTTGACGAGGCGTGCCATACGCCAGTGGACTACACAATGCAAATAACGTCACCTCTGTTTGTCCATTCAGACCGGAACAGGATACCGACCTTCGTATGTCGATCTTTGCTGACGCCCTGGGCACCCAGAACCGATCGTCTTTCTTGAACCACAGTGTGGACAAGGCGGTGTGATGTATACATGCAGGGGCTGGCGCCGGCTGCGGCGAGAAATGTGAGCAAGACATTGAAACGGCAGGATGGCGCCGACGTACTGTTGGTGTATCCAGCTTCTCAACAGAGAGGTCGTTCGGAATGAACAGGTTGGGGCCAGGTAGATACAATTCCTTGTTGTCACCGGGACTGCGGGGCTGTCAAAGCACCGTCAGCAGCGTCGGCAAACAAGCCAACATGCCACACTAACCTTCCTCAGCAAGTTCTCATCTAGCTTCCGCACGCAATACTCCGCTCCGTACCATCTCTCCTTCTGCCACTCATCCTGTCCAATTTCAGAGTGCTCCAATGCCTCCAACACGACCCTGCCCTTCTCCGGTAGCACGTACGTCTCGAGCAGCTCCCGCACAGCCGCCTCATCCCAGTCCAGGAAGAGCGACGACGCACTGAGGACCTGCGATGGCGGGTACGGACTTGCGAGTTCGCGTGCCAGCCAGCCGACATAGGTATGCGGCTGCGTCTTCTCCTGGAAGCGGAAGTTGATCGCGGACATCCGCCTGAGCTCGTCGAAGTGGTACGGCTCGAGAGTGGACGAGCGGAGGAGCGTGAAGTAGTCATAGAACGCTTCTAGGACTTCCCTGTAGTGTGCTATTGGAGCGAGCCAAATCCGCACGATGCATGTGGGTCAGAGCAGGAAAAGCGAAGGGAGCGGGTGACGTACCGTATCCTTCTCTGGTTAGGTGGCACCTCACTCGCAGATACTGCACGCTCGGATTCTCCGAGCTCACTCCTGAGCTCACCGCGCGGTAATCGACCCAACCCTTCCGTCGCAAATAGGCGCAGACACTCCCGGGTCCCTCGTGTCCCACCAGGTGAGCGAGCACGCGCGCAGGCTTGCTGCGAAAATGTGCTTGTTGGTCCGGAAGCATGAACTTCAGCGTGAGCGCGGTTGTGTCCTTCACCGTCTTGATGTAGACGATCGACTGTATGCGTGGTGAGCTTCGTTCAAAACGATGGTTGTGTGTGACGTACACTCATCTCGGACGGCCCCCAGAGGGGCGTTGTGATCACCGGGCGTGGATCCAGCCCGAGGTTCTTGATGGGAGAGAAGAGGGATACGACAGACGTTGTGAGTTCATCCAAGGACTCTGAGTGAGTGCTCGTGAGCAATGTCGCCCACTATTCTACGACCCGCTCACCTTTTCCGAGGATCGCCAGAGTCATCCGTCCCGCACAGTAATGCACCTTCCACCACTCGACCAGCCGATCGCGTGTCTTTTTCCACACAGGCTGCTCATCATCCACATCACCCTCATCACGCGTTTCCCGTACACCTTCCACCCCGAGCTCCTTCCTCGCCGCCTCCGTAATGCTCTCGACGCTCCCAGTCTGAAATCTAGTATAAGGATGCCCCGGCGTGCCGAGCATCTTGTCGACCATGTACACCCTCCGGCCGTCATTCTGTATGTTCCGCCTGTGCTCGTTATCGACTGCGTAGATCTCCCGCTTTGTCAGGGACTCGGTGAATAGAGGTGAATGAAAGAATGCGGCTAGACGGGGGAGGGCTCCCGAGAGATGGGAGGAGCCGATGGAGAACCAGTAGTTGGTCTGATTCGCTGAAGTGGACGCGTTTTTGGTACCGCCGTGTGACGTTATGTACTAGGACAATTCTCGTCAGAGATGCGCAATGCAAAGACCCAAGGACATACCGCGAAGAAGTCATTCTCCTCTGGGTAAGGTTCGGTTCCCTGGTAGGCGGCCGACAGTCAGTCTAGTACGCATCGCTACTCATCTGTATATTGGCCCGACCTTCAGGAGCATGTGTTCGCAGAAGTGAGCCAGTCCCGGCACGTCATCCTATCGAGCGATCCTGAGGCCGTCATTATCAGACCACTGGGACAGCGGGAATCGCACTCACCGGATCCTGCATGGCTCCCACTTGTACTGTCAAACATGCGGCCGCCTTCTCTGCACTCGCGTCGTGAACCAGCACCGCACGAAGGCCATTGTCCAGGTCGAGCACTCTGTAGTCCCTATCATCTAGGTCTGGTTTCTGGATTGGCTCCTGTAGTACCGCATATGCATGTCTGCCGTCCTCGGAGGATAAGCGTGTCCAACTGGCCATGTTGACACGACCGAAATGAAGACAACGTCTGCAGGTTCTCGTCGTCGGATGCGATCGTCTGGTGGTAGCCAACCACGCAGCAGGAGTCGTGAGTTGTAGTACTTTTGTCGCTGTTGTCGGCAAGACGGCGCTGTTGTATGACGGCCGCTCTGAGGAACAAGAAAGTGCGCGAGGCTCAAGCCGAGTCAAGAGCAACAACTACTTCTATAGCAGCACGGTAGCTTAGATGACGGAGCCTCGTGAGGCAATTGCGCGGGATCCGCGCGTACCGAAATTGGTTTTCGCATTCAAATTCATTCGCGACTAAGTACGAGGGGACTCAGGAGCATGTACGTAAGTCCTACAGTATTCCTAGAGGCAACGAGCGAAGAGGACAGCTCGACGATATATTGTCGTGCTTGACCACTGGCTGGAGTGCACATAAAGCTTCTGGTATTTGTCTTGTGAGCGAATTGACCGAACGAGAAGGCTACTGTACTTTCATACTTTCAGGCTACTACGCGCTCGCTCATCGACCCGAAGTACTTGTACCATAGCACGCCGTTTCCGATGCCTCTCGCAAGTACTACTTGCTCATCGCCAGGCACCAAATCCAGCGCGTTGTCACTCCATTGGACGAGGCCTCCGACTTCATCATCCGTGGACAGGACCAGAGCCTTCACCGGTTTGTCTGCTCTCACGGAGATGCGCTCGCCTGTGCGATTGAATTGCAGCCCCGGATCAGGCGGGTCGATGTACTTGAACGGCTGGGGCCAGTCCGCGTGGCGTGCCAAGATCCCACCGGTCTGTACATCAACCAAACGAGCAGCCACAACTACGGAATGCGATGTCGTTAGGCCAGGCCCAAGTCCGCTGGATGTCGCCGAGGGCGGACATGGGCACGGAATGTGCAAGAGCTCGGTTGATTGATTTGGGTGCAGGATCGCAACCGATTCTTGCTGGTGGGACCATGCGGAGTTCAGATCTACGCATTGTAGAACCAGCTTGACTTGTCGAGGCTGAAGGGTGCTGTTACAGGCCCAGACTTCGATAGTAGCTTCGACAGATCGGAAAGCCCCGAATTCATAGAACTACACAGAAGACTTCAGATCACCGTAACTTTATCAACAACGAGCGAGCGTACCTGCTTGGGTCGGTCGTTCTCGCGGTTCTTGTGCACCTGGGCCATGTGCATGTCAGGATGTTTTCGACAGTGGCGCATAAGTTAAGAACGTACTGATCGCAAGATCCCGACGCTCAGAGGTGCAAGTTCCCTCTTGATGGTGTAATAAACGGGCTTCGCGCGGAGCTAGTACAGGCATGTCATGTATCTCACCCTTGCATTCAATGGCAACAATGTGACTCACGAAGAAGTCTGCGATAGCCCATGATGTAACCGGCCAGCAATCATTGAGCTGCCAGACTAGCGCGCCAGCTGTCTGCAGAAATGTTCGAATAAGAAAGTGCCGGAAAGATGTGGTATGAGACGTACATATTCTTTCCCTTTCCCTTTCCAAGCCCTTCTCCATATTCTGTACGCAAAGCTGACGGCTTCGCTTTGCATAAGCTGCGTATTGTAAACATGACTGACAGGATACAAGTTAGTCGCCACACACACAATGCGTACTGAAGCGATCCTCCCGCTTACGTCTCGAAGTCGCTGGTCACCCTGAAGTTCTCGTTCATCAGGATCGCGAACCGTCGCTCATGATTCCCCGCCCGATTGTGCTGAGCCATCAGCTTGCTCTGCGCATGCCTCTCTTCCGTATTGCCAGCGAGCCAGTAGTCGACGGTCCTGATTTCCGGGAAAGACGGTATGCCAAACTCGCTGTTGTACACACCGTACAGTCAGCTTTCCGCGTTGGAACCACAAAAGACGGCCTTCCGACCTCACGAAACGACCTCCACGTTCGCCGTACTCCTGCCACGGCCGCTCCTTTCCAGCCCATATGTCCCATTGGTGGACGTCCCCTATTGTCGGATCGGTGGTGTCCCATCCTTCTCCGCCGTAGGGTGAGCCGCGATGGTATGGTATAGGCGGGCTGGTCAGCCTCTCCACGACCTCAGGCAGGACCTGCTCATAAATGCGACGTGCGGGGAGTTCCGATATGCCTAAGGCATATCCCGTTTCAATACTGGAACTGAGATGCGATGGACAGGTATACACGTACCTCCCCACTGCAGTACCTGTTGATAGTCTTCGAACAGAGGACGTGTTAGAAGGTGCTCTTCGCCGTAGGGCATTCATCGCACCTTCATTGTTGCCACACAGCAGCACTAGTGAAGGATGTTGTCGCAGGCGCTTGACGTTATCCTCCGCCTCCCTCCGCACGCTCTCCACGAACTCATCATGCGCCGGATATACGCCGCACGCAAACTGAAAGTCCTGCCATACTAGTATGCCCAGCTCTAGAACCAAGAAGCATCAGCATCTGTGCTCGGTACGGGAGTCAAACACTGAATGTTTCACCGTCACAAGTGTCATAGAATACATCTGGCTCGTAGACGCCACCGCCCCAGAGCCTCACCATGTTCTGGTTCCCATCTTTCAGTAGGGCGAGCCACGCTCGGTAGCGTTCGGGTGTGAGCTCCGTGAGGAAGCTGTGAGCTGGGATCCAGTTCGAGCCTGTCCGATATTAGTCGGACACGGCAGAGCGAGAAAACAACGCGACGCACCGCCCATAAACATCCGAACGCCGTTCACTTCAAAGAGGAAGGTCGTCCCTTTGCCGTATTGGTCCGGCTCCTTGAGCGGCTCCTGGATGGATTCTACGCGACGGAACCCGACTCGCGTCGTGACGACGTCAAGCACGGCAGAATCCTTGGAACAAAACGCGTCGTCAGTGAGAGACACGGTGTGATAACGTGACGCATACCTTTGCGAGCAGAGTCACCTCTACAGTATACAGATGCTGTGCACCGTACCCGACTGGCCACCAGAGATCCACTACATCTTGTAGATTCCAAGCTATGACATCATCTGCTTTGCGAAGGGTGCTGCTACCCTCGCTCTGCGGGATAGGGACCACTTCTTGCTTGAGCACGACGTTTGAGCCTTCCTTCATGAGGACCACGCGTACGTTCTGTGCATCCGCAACACGCCCAGAGATCTCGACGTCCACAGCCAGGGAAGGCGCAAGCGATGGGGCGGCCGAGACAGCAGCGCGGGAGTAAAGTGTGGATATGCGCGTAGTGTAGACGACGAGGTTGATGGGTCGGTACGGGCCGCATGTCATGAGTTCCGGGCCCTGCATGGAGTGGATGTACCCGCGTCAACACACGAGTCTGTACATTGGGTATCTCCAAGGACATCAGCTTACCCAATCCCAACTACAGCGAGAGTAAGTCTTGGAGGACCTCTACAAGCCACGAATCACTCACCGCCAACCGTACTGTGCCTTCCTCACGTATACGCGGCTTGGATCACCCAGGTTGGTCGAACCAGCTCGAACGCGACCATACTTTGCTTCAAGTTCCTTTGCGACGAGCCTTGCAGACTTGAAACGGAGGAGAAGGCTGTTCCCATCTGCGTGAAGGGAGGACGCGTCGAGAGGGACCTACGTGGTTCAGTGCTCACGACGAGACCTGGAGACATCAGAGCGCGGAGGAGACTAACTGTGTAGATGCGAAACATATTATCGGTTGAAAGCAATAGATCGCCGTTCTGCTCAGATGGTAAGTCTTTGCCTCTGGACATCGGGTGTTGCTTATACAAAGGCCAACTTGAAGACGGACAAGCCCCGCCGTTTCCGTGCCGTTTTCCCTACTGCACAAGGTTGTAGCTTCACTCACCAGAAAGACGTCGCACACAGTGTCCAATCCCTCGAACTGCAATTCGGCATATGAGACCCCGATCGCGCCCTGAGGCTGCTGAGGCAGCGAGAACGAGCAATAGTAAAGCCATTCCCGTTCCCCCACCCCTGTGCCGTGTCGTCAGCAGAAATCTCGGTGAACAGTGGTGAGAACCTGCATTGTACTTCATGTTCGTTGAAACCAATGAAGGGATCAGGAATACGGCCGGCTTTCACGAGTTCAGCATGGATTTCCGATGGGAAGCTCTGAGCGGCCGTCCAGCGAGAGCCGGGCTGCAGCGCGTCTCGAGGGACCTCATCCAGCGCGGACGCATACAGATTCGCGTCGCGTTCTTTCCAGTACCAGCACCTGTCTAGTGAAACAGTCCGTGAAGCCATGGCGAGAGATGTCGCCTGAGGATGAATGGCATTTCACCGTACTCGTCACGGTCGGCTTCAGATATATCATGCAGCAGTAGTAGCACCTGACTGCCGTGGGGCTCCGTCGCTCAGTCGATAGGCCTACTTTTTATGCAGTAGCATCGGTCATCTGTTCATGTAAAGGATGAGATCTCGCATGAACCTCGGAATTGTCAATTGACGTGTTTGACGACACGTACCTTATGTGGGAGTTTCGCCGGTTTTTCACTCGAAAATGGAAAGTTCAACGCGCGAGGATTGAGAGAGGCACTCTTTCATGACGATTGTCTCGACCATTGGGATAATATGCATGTCGTGGTGAGTGTCACGGTGAACGAGACGGTCCGACAGAGTCGGACAGTGAAAGACAACCAACGACGTCGGTGACACGTGAGCCAGACCAATCGCCGACCAGCTGTGGGCGCTCACAGTGCCGGTCGCCGTCCTAGCCTCCTCCTCCTTACACCTTTCAAGTCTTATCCCAAGTGTAGCTTGTCAATTTCTGCGAACCTCAGCATGCTACGTGGGCATGGATATCGAAATTCATCTTGTATTCTCTTGATGGACGACAGGCGGAACATGCAACGGGACTCAATACCAATGGCAAGGTCGCACCTGTGGCCCGTCAGTCGCGCCATGGATCCTCTGAGTCGGATAACTCGCGCAAGTACCGGCTGTTCTGTCAATTTGGCTGCTTGCTTCCCTTGCTAAACCTTGAAGCTCCCTGAAGGTCTGATAGAAGTGTGTAAGCTGGTGTCAGCTGTGCCGCCTGTACGACATCGATCGTTCATCAAGACGTGCCAACTCAAGTACTCAATAATCGTTATCGCCAGAGCGGTCTAAAGGCCTAGATCAGCGGTGTGTGAAGGCAATGCAAATGACGGGTTGACAAGATGTCGTTTGCCTTCTGGACGCGTGAGTAGCCGACTGGATTTCCAGGCTATCTTGCGCGACACCCACTTTGCCACCGTCGCAACGTCTCTCCAGTCATGACCCATGCTCGACACGAAACAGAGTCCAAGTCGGGGAGAAGAGATGGGTCGATCACAAGCCATTCCAAGACGAGGTAAGTGTCGTGATGAACTTCGGAGAGGCATAGTATGTAAACAGTGTCTGATAATTTGGACCAGGCGCAAACAGTTGGTACGGCGATGGTCCTCCCATAGTAGTGTTCAGTGGATCCCAGAAACCGAGCTTCAGCCGCTACCTCCAACTCTAGCTGATCGAGTCCCCGCGGAATTACACTTCGAGGTCATAAATCGGCTCTCCTGCGATACCCATAGCCTCCAAAGCTGTGCCATGGTGTCGCGAGCCTGGTACCCCCATAGCATTGGCCTGCTGTATCGGCGGATTTACATTGATGGACTGACCAAGTTCAGCTCAATGGCCGTATGTGTCTTCAAGCACGAGCGTGTCAGGATCAGCCTTGCGGACACTGCGGAGCTCAACTTGGACGGCGCATGCATGTCCGATCCGGGGCGCGGTCTAGAGTCTGCATTGGTGGTCCTGGCTTCATTGATGCCTTCTCTGCAGAAGCTTACGCTCTGCGAGTGTCTCCCTTGTCCGCTTCACAAGTCATTCTATACAGCCCTGCGGGCGTGCAAGAGCGTAACCGACTTGACACTGTGTGGCATCGCGCTCGAGGACCATCGCGTACTGCTCAGAGTCTTGCAGTGCGGTTTCCCACAACTCCGCCGGGTTGCTTTTGAAGGCAACTTTCGAATCACTCACTCCGGACCACGGCAGTCCGTCAGCCCAACACGTTTCCTTCACGGCGGTGCCAATCCTTCACAGCTGAAGCAACTACGTATCAGCATCTCGGGAAAATCTGTCGTCATTCCCCTGATCGAGCTGTTCACCGTCTCATCTCTTCACACATCTCTCGAAACTTTAGAAACTCGCGTCGCAGAGGAGCATGTCACGGCACTCAATCAGTTCCTCCAAGGACTGGGGCCGACCTTGCACCGCTTCCGAGAGCTCCCCTCCCTGAATGATCATTGTATGTACCTTCAGCACATGATTGTCTCCAGAAGAACGGACTGTTTAACTGTTCAACAGTTGCTCACCTCGACCTGTATCACAACACCTCTCTACGTAGTGTCGTCCTGTACATTGGACATCACTCACTCGACGGCATCGACACTGTACTCCAATTAACTCGTGCCCTATCCAGTCTCGCGAGTCCGCATTTGACGCGGATCGTCCTCCAATGCAGCGACCACCCGGAATCCTGGAAGACCGCGACCGTCCGATCTTTCGGCACTGCAGACCTGCGCCCGTTACACGCAGTGATGGCCAGCCCTGTCTTCGATGACTTGGATACGGTTGAGGTGGACGTATGTCGGAGGAAGTCCCAGGATGTAGTGACTGCTCTGTCGAACTTACTCGCCCCTTGGGCAGTCCGCGGTTTGATTAGATTCGTGTGACACAGACGCCTTTATGTATCCCAATGGACAATATGGCCGAGGGCTCCCTTGCCTTTTGATATCAGGCGGCGACTCCGCGAGTATGGGACATCATATATGAATTGTTCGAACGTATATCGCTTTGACGAACTGCATTGGGGCATGCGAATGTCTAGAGTCTATTTGGGTGAAAGTCTGTCCATGCCGCGTACGAACAGTAGAGTGATAGTAACCGAGCGAAAGTGCAGTTTGAAATGAGCGTGAGCAAGAAGAGAGTGCCGGCCGTAGCCGTATCGAGCGATATGTTACACAAACCTGAATTCCGACCATGTAAACCTATCAAAGAACGGGAGTATAGGCTCTTAGAGCCTGTTCAAGAACCGCAACGGCAGTCTCAGATCGAGCTTGCCCGTGCATGCCAACCAAGTAGCAGCAAGGCCGGCGAGGGCGATGACAGCGCCGTAGCTCAGCTTCGTGGCGAGCGGCATGCTGCCGTCACGCGGAGGAAGCGTGGGCTTCAGGAGCGCATTGAGGAGTCGGAACGCACTCTTCTGCAATACCAGCTTCATCCGTGGGTTTACGCTTGAGTGGAGTAACATGACTTACGTTGTACGGCGTGTAGCGTGCCGCCATCAGTGCGGGATCCAACCAGCCAGGGGAGTCTGTCGTGCAGCGCTTGTGCGTAAATGTGTCGAAGATGTACTTGCCCGTGGTGCAACCGGCTAAAGACGGCCGGTGTCATGAGCGGAACGACGACGATCATGATACAATTCTACTCACTGCCACTACCACCAACACCGCCGAAGGGCATGCCATACGCTGCAACATATATTTGTAAAAGGAGTGAGCTCTCAACACGGACGGACGTACCCATGACATGCAGTATGGTATCGTTTGCGGCCGCCGTACCGCTGCGAGTGTTGCTGAAGACTGAGACGTACATTTTGAATCAAGACGGCAATTGATCAGACAAAAGAAAAACAAACCCTTCTCCTTGAACGCCGAGTTATTCGTGAAAACGTAGATGTTGAGTGGGTGGTCCCTAATGACAGTTGACTTAGCATGCGTCATAACGAGGTGAGATCACTCACCGTTCATTGATGAACTCGATAGCTTCATCTACGTCCTTCACCGGCACGACCGGAAGGAACGGTGCAAACAGTTCCTCGCTCATCAACGAATCGTCTCCGCGAACATCCTTGATCAGCGTCGGCGCGGCATACTTGGTCTCCATATCGACCTCGCCACCGAAGACAATCGTGCCCTTTGTATTGTCGATAAGGGCCTTGACCCGCGCTGCGTGGCTTTCATTCACCATCCTTGTGACCTGACCGGACACCTTCGGGTCGATCGGGTGGAGCTCGTAGTACGCGTTTTTCAGCGCCTCGACGAAGGTTTCTTGGAACCATTCCGGAACGAGGACGTAGTCCGGCGACAGACACAACTGTGGCTCATGTGAGATCTTATCACCATGCGCGGAGCGTTTGACAGACGTACCTGCCCTGCATTGACGAGCTTGCCCCACATGATACGCTTAGCTGCGGTCTTGACATCGCACTTCGGGTCGATGACACACGGCGATTTGCCACCAAGCTAAGAATAATTAGAAAGTCAGTATTTATATCTGTTGCCCGCACCGTAGTTGTGCCTACCTCAAGCGTGACCGGAGTGAGATGCCGCGCTGCGGCAGCGAGAACGACTCGCGCGACACGGCCTCCACCCGTGTAGAGAACTGCGATACCATAAGGCCTAATTGAGTATACCATCGGCCGTGAATGGGTGAATCGTCTCACTATGGTCAAATGGGAGTTCGAGAATCTGGAAACGAAGTGCCTCAGTCAGTATGTAAATGTAATTCAAAGTGAAGGGGCTACCTTAGTCGTTTCCGGTATCCCGCCGTTCACGACTTGATATAGTTCCGGGTCGAGATACCTCGGAACGAGCTCTGTGAGCAGCGCAGCCATTGCCGGAGAAAGCTCCGATGGTTTCATCAGCACCGCGTTCCCCGAGGCTATAGCGCCCGCCTGCGCGCACAAGGCAGAAACCGTGAGTTACTTTGAAACAAGTCGGCGATAGCAGGAACGCGACTCGCACCAGTGGGCAAAGAAGGAGGTACAGCGGATAATTGAAGGGGCTGATTAGTAGAACGACGCCCTTCGACTCGTTTCTGATCGTGGGAGACATGGCGAACCAAAGCCATGAGAAAGGAGCTTTCTCAGGGGCCGCCCACTTCTCGACGTTGTCGTACGCCTCCTTCAGCTCACCAAGGGTGCCGTTGAGTTCAAGCCTGCGGTACAACGTGAATGAACGGAGTTAATGTCTACGGCGCAAACCACACGTACAGCTGAGCCTCCTCGCGTGGACGCCCAAGATCAGCGAAGAAAGCATCCTTGATACGCTCCCAGTTGTCCTCGACGAGGTAACAAAGGTTCAGGAGCTGCTGTTTGCGGAACGCAATGGACTTTGTCTTGCCCGTGCGGAACGCCCTCCGCAGGTCCTGGTGAATCTGCCACAAGGTCAGCGAGTTGACACCAGTGATACAAAGGGACACTTACCTGTGGAATGTCGTCCACTGTGGTGTATTTGAGCGACATGGTCGAAGGTTTTCTGGCCGTCAGGGGGGATTGAATAGAGGAGCTGGCGGTCCGTACCTTAAGTACGTGTCAAGCCGCTCGCTTAGCCGCAAGCTGCAATCGAATATGATCCGCACTGTTGATCTGGATGTTTGCTTCTATCAGGGCCGCAGAAGGAATATTACGTGGAAGCTAGGACGAAACCCGTTAGCGAGAGACGCCACGTCCGATGACGGCGGTTCTACATCCCGAGCACTCCGAGAATTGTGGGTCCAGGAGGACAGCACCACATGCTAGCTATCGACAGTCACATCTCTGACCGATCATGCAATGTAGATCTTATGCTCAACGAACAGGAGTGCTATGCGAACTCACTGTATGGACACGCCGATGTTACGATGTCCCGACCACACATGGCCGCCTAGAAGACTTCTTGATGAGCAGTCGAGTGCTGAGAAAAAGATGATGTGACCGTCTGTGTCAGTTAATTCGTCGAGTGTGGTCTTCTCCGCATGCTGCGGCGAGTTTCACGGGGGCTTTCGAGTCTTCTTGTGAACGGAACGAATCCATTATAATACGGTGCTGGCCTGAAACTCGAAATTTCGCTCACGGACTGGACAGTGGACGTCGTTCAATCGCGCGAGCAATGAGAAAGTGCTGTTCCGTTGTCACATCGGCCTTTGTGATTCGCCGCTGGCAGGATGTGGCTGGCGACCCGGATGCCTCTGAATCAGGCACAGGGCCTCCACCGTAGTCTCCCCAAGCAGACGTAGACAATTCCTTCAACCTTCGTGCCTCAGGATATCCTCTCCACCGTCTCGAAGCCATATCATTCGGATCCGTGCCCCGCCGCCTAAGCCGTGACAGGCCAATATAATGTAGGAATAGATACAACGTATCAGAAGATTAAGACGCAGCGCGTGAACGCATTCAATTGACAACATACCAAGACAACAATGGCGACGCACTCAGGAATTGCGGGGGTAAGGACGGAGAAGACCTTGATTGCCCTTGACTGGAGTCGTGACATTAATGCTACCTCGACCCTTCATACACATGACCGACACATCCTTCACAAGAGGGGACGACCTTTGACTGTACGCGAACTTGAGAGGTCAGAACGACCTGGGCCAAATCGTAGGCCATGCCAGTGAAGCATCAATTGTCGCCGTCAGAACCGAATACGCGTTGGCGTTATGTTGCGACGATCCCCGTAGTTGCACATCGACCAGAAGCCGGGATCGTCGACGTGAAGGAACTCGAAGGCGCAGCGGCATAGTGCGGCCAACACACTGACGAGGAGGAGGAGGAGGACAGCCGGGCAACAGCCGGGCAGCCTCTACCGTACGATGACGTAAGCACGCGGCGAGCGCCACTGGCATCCATTGGTCCTCCTCTGATCCTCCTCCTCCTCCTTAGCTCTTTTTGTTCTCAGCTGGTTGAGGACTTTTGCGATACGCCGTTCTTAGTCCATCCCCTTGTACCTAGTGAGCGCTGTCGCCGTCAAGAAGTCGAGACGCGCGTGCGCTATCGGCCGGTGGCTAAATGGACCCCCCTCCTCCTCCTCCTCCTCCGCTCGGTTTGACCTATGGAACTAAATTCTCGCTGATAGGCTAAGGTAGTGTGGCGATGCCGGTACCGGTGGAGATTAGGAAATACGCACTGTTAGTAATTCGTGAGTATCTGTAACTCTGATATGGAGCCTGGAATCCGATTGGCGGTGCAGCCTGACATACTGAACTGAACGCGCGAACGCGCGAAAGTGTAGGGGCGTCTATCCACTCTACAGTCATGTCGACATCATGATGTTAGTGCATGGCTCTTCAACGATAGTCGGTGCTTTGCTGAGAAACGGGACGAGGGGCCAATTAATGCTCGAATGCTTGGTACGTGCGCAGATTACTCAGCTAAGGTCGTATGAGCACCTGATTACGGTACGGGTCTAGGAGAGTGAATGTGAACGGGTATACATGGTAATCACCGCGACAGGAGCCTTGTTCCCGAAGCATGTGGTGTAGACAATCGGAACATTGTCAGGACATATGCCGATGTTACACAACTTGAATGCGGTGGAGCATAGCGAACTTCCGCGTAGTACGCATCTGGCCTTGATGCATACTCTGCAGAGTGCGGAGAAAGTCTCCGGTTAACTGGCATGTGGTGACCAGCAAGTACGCAGAGTCTTCACAGCGAGAGATGGGGGGGGGGGGGGGGATAAGTGTCATTCAGTGAGTCATTGCGTGGTCTATGTGTATTCTCTGTGTCCTAATTTCGACTCAATCCCCGATGATTCTATCAACCTCGCCGGGACTTCTCCGCTCCAGACATTCTCGACAGCGAGCGCATCACACATTTCCATGTCCAGCATGGCTTCTGCTCACCGTGCACAGTGTGCTTTGTACGTGTATGTGACGTCGTAGGCTCGATGTCATCCACTGGACGCGCTTGGATGGTCAGCAAGTCACGAGAAGCCGAACATCCAGGCGCATGGGCTATGGTGAAACGCTGCTTGAAAAACTGTCGATGGATGTACCAGTGCCAGGCCACCCCCACGAAGCCGTGAATGCCGAAGTACAGGGATGTCTGAGTACCCGGCATGCATCGATTCCTTGCTGTCACTGATTATATGATTCCTCATCTGTTATAGTGCGAGCTGGTTCGCTAGAATGCGGCATAGTCATCTAACCCACCTAGGCCCGACATGCCTTCCCTCTCCGTGTCTGAGTCCGAACTTCTCGCGCTGTTCACTGAGAGTATTGCCTATGGTATCCATCTCGTGACGTTTCTTGGGTGTATTTCCACTTGCTTTCTCCGTTCCAGACGTTCTGTTTCGAAGGCTACGTATTGGCCTTGGGTATTTGTGGCTATCTCTCTCTTCATTCTGGGTAGCGTTCACGTCTCTTTGCTGTGTTTCCATAACGTCCTGGCCTTCATCTTCCAACATGGACCGGATGGGGCCGATGCAGAGTTCGAAAGGTTGTCAAGCTGGGTGTACGGGCTACAAGTAAGGAATCGGCTGTTTCTTGTGTTCTTGAGTCATGTTGACCGTGCTCTGCTAGTACTCGTGCTTTTATCTCATCATAGCGTTCTCCGACGCAGCGCTGGTGCGGGTGGTCTGTGCCAGTAGCAGTCGTGGTCAGATACTGATGGAAGCTTCAGATATACCGCTGTTGGCTAATATACAAATTCTCCCAGTGGAGAATCATCGTTATCTCAGTGCCGATAGGCACTTGGTTCGCCTCGACAACTTGCGCCGCTATGATTATTTTCGAATTATTGACTCGCCAAGAATCAACAACTTTGCCACGGATGATATATAGCAGGCCCTTTATGACCGGCCTCCTCGCCATACAGCTTGTGCAAAACGTTATGACTACAGGTGAGCATAGGACACGGTCATTGGCATTATTCATTTCATCCAGTCATCTAGGACTTACCGTGTGGCGTTTATGGGACATACACAGGCAAACGGCACCGTTTCTTGCCCCGACTCAAGGGGCCTCTGGTGGCATCGGCTTCAATGTCGTAGTCGTGGTTCTTATTGAATCTGCGCTCATCTACACGCTCACAATCATCGTGATGTCTGTCACGTACGTCCTGCAGTCCAATGTCTACTCCTGTGCGGCCGACGTGGTAAGTGAGGTTTCTACTTATCACGCTATACATCCAATGACGGAGGAATGATAGAGCATGCAAGTAGCAGGGATATGCTTCGATCTCGTACTCACGCGGATATGGAACGGGGTCGCGACTGAGCAAATACAGTCAACCGCGCGGACAACCCATTCAATGCACATTCAGTACCGAAACAACCGACAGCCACTGCGGCGTAGCATGCCGCCTTCCTTACTCGCAAGCAGTCCTGATCCGGAGCCCATGACTGCCACGAGCCGGGAGCCCATGCTACCATGGTCTGGCGGCGGCGCAGTCGACTCGCCCGGGAGGCTTGGGATAGGAGCAACGAGGTAGATGAACGGATTATGCTACAACGAGCTCCCCGGCTGAGGTTTTCTGCAGAAACCGTTGCGTGTCGATGCCGAACATACTCACGTCCTCAGACAAGACATAGCCCCGGGCATGAATAGGTCCCCTTCTGCGGGCAGTGTACGTTGATCAATCGCATCGCATGGCTCTCATGTCAAAATGACCGCGACACAAGTTCCATGATTTATTTCCGTACTTACAATGCTGAATGAAAGCACATTTCGTGAAAGCCAACCGCAAGTCGTTAATACTGACGTGACCAGTGATCATGGAACCGTCCATGTCTACCCCAGATGGCAAGTTGATGAACATTGCGGCGATTTCCTGCAGCTCCGAATTCGTTCCTAGTTCTGCATCAAGCTACTGCGGGTATGGCCCTACCCTGCATCATCTGTCTATCTGTTTCGACGAGGCTGTCCCATTCGCTGGCGCGTGGGGAGTTTAAGCGCAGAGAACGGACACGACACTCCAGGTATAAGCCCAGCTCGGCCTCTCACAAGAAACAGGTGAGCCTACCTCGTTGGAATTCTCGTTTATACTATCACTGACAACTTCGAGCTTCAACTTGAAGTGTACATCGGGCGCGGGCCGCTTTATCATGACGTATAGCCTGAGAAGGGATCACCCGGAGATACGCACGGCGGTGCTATGAACAAGAATGACCAAAGCGGGCATCTCTTGCCGATCAATCTTTGGGAGCACGTCAATGGTGCTTCATTTACTAGTGATCTAGTGGTCTCAGTGTGTGGGCAGTATAGTCACACATCACGGAACAACTGCTAAGTTACAGTACTGCCGGACTCGGACTCACCTCGTCTGACCCCGAGTCGGAACGTACTCGAGCTCATACTCTCATCGCAGCGCTCTACGACATTACAAATGCGATACTAAACTCCATCATGTACTGACCGCAAGATGTACCATGGAGTCTGGACTGACCGTAAGTGAATTGTTCCGGCACTGACGCTGTCCGGACCCAGGGGCAGCGATTACACCTCCGGGCAAGCTTCCTCATGATAGACATTGACAGGGGAGATCTTGCAGTGAGGTGATCGTTTACATGCCTGCCATGCATGATGGTATATACGTCGTGCGGGACTAGCTTAGTAGCTACGCCGAAAGCCGGCTACACTGGCCGCAATACAAAACATACAGTGCCGGTACCGTATCGTAATCTGTCTCACTGACAGTTCAGTGATGTCGTAACAGCTTCTAGACGCCCGGCCCAGGGCCGTGATGCATCGTTGTCCGCACAAATACTGCGAGCATAGCCGAGATCTGTGGCTTTCTTTTCCTCCGCCCCTCGCTGCAACCTACGATGGTGTCTGGTTTCCCCATCTCCGAGGCCCAGCTGGTCGCCCTGTTCGCGGAGAGCATCGCGTACGGGATGCATGTGGTGACGTTCGCATTCTGCATGTACTCGTGGGTCCACCGTTCAAAGGCCTCACAATCAGCGAGATCATGGCCGTGGATGTCCATCGCCATTGCACTCTTTATTGTCGGGACACTTGACGTGTCCTTTAACTTATACCACAATATTATCGCTTTCATTCTGTATACCGGCCCTGGCGGCGCAAATGGAGAATTCGAGAAGCTGTCTAATTGGGTCAACGTCATGCGGGTGCGTGCGGTCATCTTACCTGTTGAAGCCGCCATACTGACTTGTGGCAGAGCGTATGGGCCCGTCTGTGCGCACTGATATCTGACGCTGCCCTGGTGAGTGACTGCTCTTCGATGGTTGTCTAGGCAGTATTGATGTCCCATGTCGACCAGATATACCGCTGCTGGGTCGTCTACAGTCCCTCTGCGCGACGATGGTCCGTCGTGGCGTTCCCAATCTTGCTGTGGCTCGGTGTCGCAGCATGCGCGTTCATGGACGTCTTCTATCTCTGTACCCTTCATTTGAACACATCGATCCCTCTGGCGACCGGACTCCGGCCGTGGCTTTACGCCTACTTCTCAATAACACTCGCCTTGAACGTCCTCACGACAGGTTCGATCATGTGTCATTGTGCTCGTCTGACTGAGGCATATCGTGCATTTTAGGCATGATCGTGCACCCGCTCTGGAAGACACGCAAATTGACCTCCGAGTACTTCAAGCTGCGCTCGCGCAAACGAGACAGACTGAAGGGCTTGATTCGGATCTTCATCGAATCTGCGCTGTTGTACACGTTGTCTGTTGCGATCAGCGTCATCATGGAGATGGTGCAATCGAATGGCTACTATCCTGTAACAGACGTCGTAAGTAGCGCGTCATCAATGTGTACTTGTATCTCACAAAGCACGATCACAGAGCGCGCAGCTCGCGGGGTTCACTTTCGATCTCATCATCATCCGCATCTGGAGAGGAGTCTCTACGGAGCAAACTCGCGCCTTCGCAGATTCCATGAGTAAATCTCCGATGGCTCCTGGCAAGGCGCCTTGGGAGGAGAGTTCAGATATCGACTCCTTCGAAGTACACTTGGAGAGTGATGCCTCTGAGACGATGGTGTAAAAGGCGAGTGTACATTTCTCTGGTGCGTCAACAAATCATCTGTCTCAATATGCTTACTGAAGAGACGTTGCGTTCTTCCAGATGGCCTGCGCGGGCCCGTGTTCATTAATTTATTATTCCATTATGCATAGAACGAGCTGTTTGACGACTGTGACACGAACCCTTTGCGGCCTTGCCGCCTTACGATCCCTATTTACGCTGTATGATACCTTGTAGGGTGAACGGTGCTTGACACTATCGGACTGATGTTGTACTGGGATACCTGTACCGCGCGTCATGACTTATTCTATATCTATTTGCACCGCACTGAGAGGGATGGAAAGGTGCAAAGTTGCGTTCGTGTGGCCCGGTATCTTGGTATGGATGGTTATATTCAGCGGAGAATGACACTACGACAGCGACACCATCGCACGAGTATTCCGGCGAGATTGACAAGCAACCAGCCCAGACACGACTATCCGAAGCTCCCACCCGTTCTTACGTGTTGACGGTAACACTGTAGTCGGAAACGGTGAGTGTCGCGGTTCCGGTGAATGCCTCGGTTCCGGCCTGGATGGCTTGCAGGACCTATAGACAGATCATGAATGTAATCCGGTGGGGAACGCACTCTTTTGAGGTGCATACCTGGGACGTAGAGACACCTTGGTTCTCCTCGAGGTACTCTGCAAAAGGCATATACATTGATTGGGTGGAGTGGACGCAGGATGAAGGCGGACGTACGGAAAAAGTCGTTGATGTCCGCGCTGAAGTCGTTGATGTTGCCGTTGGCAGAGACAAAGGAGATGGTCTGCCAGTTGGAGTTGGGGCCAGACCAGAGGTTCCAGGTGTTACCAGCGACGGTGATGCCGGAGTCAATCTGGGAGCCGACGGGATCAATGCTACAGGCGAAACCCGTGAGTGAGGGGTACTCTCAATGAACGGGGGCGCACGTACCCTCCCTCGCCGGAGAGCCAGATCATACTGGACGAAGGCATATCAGGTGAGCCATAGTTTAGCAGACGCACACCTGACACTTACATCTCGTAGCTCGAAGTGCTAGAAGCGGGGTCCCCGGCGGACGTTCCAGTCCAGATGTCATATCTGAGTAGAGTAAATCTAGGCTATGCATTCAGACATCTGTTTATTGTGTGTACTCACGAGACATCAGCACGCAGGCCGGAAGACTGAGACGTGTACTGCCAACTGTAAGTGGTCGGAGCAGAAGTAATATCCGCGAGCTGCAATGCCCTTCAGTGACTGGTCACAGCACTCTGATATACTGTTGACTTACAGTCATGCCGCTGGCGCCGGACGTCGGTACGACATTGGCATCTAGTATAACCTATCAGGACGACATCCGGACCAAGAGTATTGGCCTTACAGGTCTTGACATCGTTCTCGTTGTCAGCCCAGGTGTAGTTCGTCGACCAGGTAATACTGTTGCCGCTGGTGCTCTCCAAGGTGGAGGTCTGCGAGCCGGTACCGTCACCTGATTTGACGTGATAAATTTCGACACTGAATCCGAATTGTGTTGTAAGTGCTTACCGGAACCCCACTGGTCGTTGCAGAGCTGGTAGTTGCCAGAAGTGGCGCAACTGTACTGACCCGTCAAGGTAGTCGCGGCACGGGCACCCAGCGCAACGGCTGCAAGGACGAATGGAATACGAAGCTGCATTTTCGTTCAGGAGTTGTTGCCCGAGGACGAACTGACTGTGTTCCCCGAGTACGTCCTCCTTTATATACCGCTGTCCGCATATCGCAAAGTGCTCCCGGAGGCACGTTCTTGGACATGCGACCAGCCTGCGAGTCACTGCTGGGCTAAGCGGTGGGAGTGTCCAGTAATTCTATAAGCAAAGTTGCTCTCGATGAGTTCCAGAACAGGGCGGGCTTGTTGCAGACGAATACAAGGAGACAGTACTTCGGTCCTACCCCATGTGCGGAGAAGGACTCGGCGGCATGTGAAGGTTGATCGTCGGATTGGATTCTATATTGGCGGCAAGACTTCCGTACAAGCTTGCATCCCTTATATCGGTGCCATGAGTAAAATGTAGCCCGAAGTATATCCGAGTACCTTCAAGAATATCAACTTCGGAGGGCATGATGAGGGAATGGAAGGGCGGTAAATTGAGTCGAGACATACGGAGATGCTTTTGCGGGCCCGCCGAGTCTATTTCCGCTCTCTAACATGACGCGTGTCTCACTGCTACATGAGCGGTTAGCTTATTTGGTTTCTCGTGTTGCGGTCAAGGGCCACTCACGTGTGTATCGCGAGCTCCGTGGTACGGTGTAGTGTTTGCTTGTCGCCCGGGAGGCGCAAGGTGATACCTACGGTCCTGACCGCAGAAGCTCGTACAAGTAATTGAACGACATTGTCGTTGCTTTCATCATAAGCTGGGAGTCTTCGTTTTCGATCCTTTCGATGTCATCGAGCAGACGACGCGCTGCGGAGGAGCGTTACTACCGAGACGAATAGTCCGATGATACCACTGCAGAACACACGTAAATTGATGTGCTAGACCACGTTCGATGGCACGCAGTCCTCATGACGGAGAACGTGCACGGCCTCTGAATAATTGCATTCAGACCAGGAGAACATGCACAGTGCTAGGCTTCGCGAAGGTATGCCGAAGTACTGGACTGTATGAGCTCTGAGCTTCCGTTGAAGTACGCAGTGAGAACGACTGACATTCAATGCTGCCCCTCTACTACATACGAGGCGCTGCATCCAGGAGGGTCTTTTCGACGAACGGTGGCCAGTCGACATTGCCACACCAGACAACTGGTCTCGCCCGTGGCTAGCAAGCATCCTCCTCCTCGGGTCCATTCTACACATGTCAATTAGTAAGGAAGAAAGCTTATACGCGTACCCTCGATCCGGATCCTGTTCTTTACTAAGTTGTGCATCCGTTCGTAGCCTAAAGGCTCAAATATGACGCATAGCAATGATCAGCATCAAATGCTGACAAAATCGCGCGGTATCTAGCCACGGCAATAGGAGCGACGTTCATACAAGATAGATGAACGTTTTGGATCCTTCGGCGGAGGCGCAAGAGCCATTCTAATCTAGGCCGCTTGGAGTCTGGACCAAGCGACGTGCGGCGTGAGTATGAGTGGCTGGTAAAATGACAAACATTCGCGACATACAAAAGACTTTGAGGCTCACTTGTTTAACATGACTCCGAGGGAATCGAAAACAATTCGTCGACTTCAACTCTTGTATGATAGCTTGAGTACTGAGTCTGCATGTGCTGAAGGTGCGTGCTGACACGGTGCTGCGACATGCACGACTCCTCTAGTGCCCCTGGCCGTGAGGTTGCGTGTCGCGTGTGGATTCTGGAGAGGTGTTACTTGAACTGAACGGCCCGTATAGTTCAGTCTAGGACATAGTCCATTTAGTGGAATGAGATGAGAGCAGCGCCACAGCTCCCATTGACGATCCAGTCATGGTGTTGGCAGCGCTGACAGTAGTGAGCGCTCGGGGGTGGGCTCGTCGTCGACGAGTCCAGTGCAGACCTCTACGTGGTCCAGGGGACTAGTAACCTCGCAAGAGGTGAAGCCAACTGCACAAAAATGATACCTGATTGTCTCTGGACTCAGGATCACGGGCAGGCAGTTTTGCCGAAACAGTCGTTGAACTGGCCCGAACGTCGACGTTGCCCATACACCGACGATAAGCTGCCTTCTGTATAGCTATATCGAATGATATCCCTGATGGGCCTCGAACACCCTACAGTATAACTTGACAGTACTCAACGTTCGTTGACAACAGCTCGAGACACCCGATGCTAAAAAGTCCTAAAGATAACTTTTCGACCGAGACACACCCAAGTGTTGCGACCACTATACCTACTAAACGCCACCCAGTACCTGTCAAAACGAAGGACCCGACGATAATAAGCAGGCTAATAGGACACTTTAGTCCTCAGTGCTCACTGTTGATGGCGACGATCAGGCATAGCAACACCGCAGCACCTTGACGACGGATCCCAGCCGACCCTTGCCGAATCACGCTGTGCCCAGTTGTCACGTGCCAGTACCTCGACACCAGCACATGACCCCTTCCTATCTGATCCTCGTTGAATCATACCGCGTAGGCTCGTGACCTGCCGTTAGAATGCACGTGCTCGTTGGCGGAGTTTGAAGGGCGAGCAGCATTCTAACGGCTGGGACAATCGGTCGCCCTTTGCGGGGGTACCCAAGGCACTGCCGCATTTGGGCCCCCGTGAGAATTGACACTTAGTGAAATCGCGCGTTTCGCGCACTGGCACTTGGGAGGCCCGATGTAAGTGCGCGTTTTCGGTCATGCATAACTCATCATTGGTTGCAGTACATCTCGTGAATTAGTCAAGATACGGGTCTACGTCGCCCTCTTCATCCAATGTGAAAAATTGTTCGTGCTCTAGCCAGTGTTCCGTGTCATCCACCTCCTCCTCGTCCTCCCCATCCTCGCAATCCGACATCTCCTCCACGTCTATCATGTCTTCATCAGCATCAGCGTGTACCGCGGCCGAACCGCCACTTGTCGAATGGACCCGCGCAGCAGAAGCGCTGTTCGCGCCGCCCACTAGAGGCGATGTTCGTCGACGGCGTTTCTTCATCCGGGCGAACATCGCGTTGTATTCCCTGAGCGGTCCCGCAAGCTGCGTCACCCCGCTTGTGATGACATTGGGCACGACAGCCTTGTCGCCGTCAATAGTGCGTCCCGGTGTCACCTTGTAGACATTAGCATCTGTGAGTGATCGTCGAAGTTCTTCGATGTCGCGTCGGAGGTCGGGTGCGGCGTGCGTGGTACCTAGGCGCGATCCTAAGGCATCGTTCATTGATGTCACAAGGTGTCGCAGGGAGTTGATACAGGGGGAGATCATCTCCAGCCAGTCCCATGAGGCTCCGCTGCCCTGCGCGTTGTAGATTGTCTGTTATGCGTGCACCGAAATATTTCAGTGGGTCAACTTTCGGGACGGCCGCATCGGAAGAGACGTACCTTCGTCCAGAAAATGTTATGCTCTTGTAGTAGATCAACGGGATACCAATGATTAGGTTTCCCCGTTGTATTGACGAGCCAATTGTTCAGTATGATCGCGCTGCACCACATCAGTGACTGCAAGCAGTGACGGTATTGAGTTGGGACACGTACCGTAACGGTTTCGGCCACACATGCGTCAGATTGTGTATGACGTGCAGAGCCTCCTGAGCGTACTTCGTTCGGCCACTCCCTCGGTAGCTGAGTGCCAATACCTTGAGCACAATGACGATCCGGCCTGAGTCTCCAGCCTTGATTGCGTCAGCGAACTCTCGGAGGATGAGCGCGTCTCGAAGGAAGAGGCTGGCATTCTCGAAGACCATGTCACCTTGGCGCGGAACATGAGGTTGCGCATCAGGGTCCGAGGTATTGTCCCGTTGTACTGTCAGGAGTTCTCGCGTGCGTGCGCTGCGGAGCTGGGACACGACGCTCGCGCTGACAAACCGGGATACAAGTTCTGTGACGTGCGCCTGCAAGTCTTCGAATGTAACATTCTCCGCGTATTCGTCAAGGCTATCGCAGCCAGTGACAAGCTCGAGGCAATGAATCAGGCGACCGTACAAGGAATGGAAGATGAGGTCTCGCGCAACGCGATATGGTGGGCGGTTGGTCAGAAGGAACGGCTTACGATCGAGCACCGTATTATGCCACGAGAGGCACGCGGGATCATGGTGGCCGAGATGAGGGTTGCCCCAGTGAGTCTCGAGGAACCCGTATGTTGCTGCCATCTGATAGTGAAAGAAACCGGGGGCAAACGCCGCGAAAAGCATGGATTGAGAGAGCGAGTCGTGACCAGCGCGATTGCTGATGACGGCTCGAAGACGGGCAACCGAGAGCTGGTCTCCGAAGACGAGCTTGACTGTTTCGGTGAAGGCAGTGGACTCTAGATCGTGACCGAGCTCACGGAACATTGCCTCCATGACCTCTGCATTGCCCTTGATGCTGGCCTCCTCAATGTTCATCGCTCGGAGCGGATATACTTCTGTCTTGCGAAGCACGATGCATTCTGAGGTAGAGACGAGGCTTTCATCGACGTCGGGTGTGAAACGGGCGAATGCAGGACCACCGTTCGATACTATGATGCGCAGAACAGCGTGTTCAAGCATCTTGTTGAAAGTCTGCATCTCGGTTGGATCCAGGAGAATGTCGTCTAGTGAGAGAGGAGGAGCCGTCTCGAAGGCGTGAAGGAAATCGGTTGTGCGCATGGCAGTACGCGGGGCATCATGGAGTGGGAAGACTGTTGCGCAGGTGCCGTTTTCGATAGAATCCTTGTGGCCCACAGTCTGCTCAGCCGCACGCAGGATCCAGTTGATGTTGTCGTAAACATGGGCGAGTTCCTGAGCAAGGGCTAATGCACGCGTTTTCCAGCGACAGGCCTCAGATAAACGCCGGAGGAGGCCTGCGCCTAGTCGCTTGAGTTCTGCGGCAAGGCTGATGTCGCTGCCTTGAATGCCTTCATCGGGTTCTTCCTCGTCTATGCCGTCGGGATCCCGAACACTCTGTAGCTGTGGTACCACTGGCATGCTCCGCGCTCCTTCAACTGCTTGCTCATGATAAGACGATGGAAAGAAGATCATGGGAGACTGAACTGACCTTCGCCGCTGCTTGTACTGTTGTCAGAACTGGATTCAGATGACGACTCTGACTCGGAACCGGAGTCTGAACCCTCAGCTTTCTCTGACTCTTCATCTGAGCTGTCCTCGGCACCGTTCACCTGCGACTTCAACATGGCAGCGGTTCTTGAACCTGGCGTCCCTGCGATGGCAGTATAGCTGCTGCATATGCCCAGATGCGAGAGAATGCTGATACACTGGCGCTGCGCGCCTGTCGCATAGAGGTACAGGCCAAGTACGTGCCGCCCGTAACTGTTCTGCTGACTGCGCTCAGCTAGGAGACCCATCAGAGCAGTACCAACACGCTAGTAGTACAAAGGTATGACATTAGCTCCGAGTTGTTCTGAAGGCTGGCACCGATCAAAGAAATCCATACCAGATCATTGCGATGTGCGGAAGTATTGGTGCGCAACCTCCGCTGTCGAGCTGTGGTTGAGAACTCCCTCAACAGGCTAGTCATGATGGGACACAGGGCGGTGAGGCGGTCGTAGATCTTGGACAGATTGAATCTTGACAGGAATCCGTCATCCACCACCATTTTCCGCGACTGCAGGACACCGTCTTTGGTGGCCCGAGTTCCTTCTCGCCGGATGGCTTTCTCGACATAGTCCAAAGCCCACACATGCACCGCTTGACGACCTGTAGGGCTGTTGCGCGACGACGTCCAATAGGTAAGCACTTGTTCGATGCGTCCCGGAATGTCGAACATGCCCTCGTACCGCTCATCGCCTCTCTTTGATGCTGGGTCAGAGAGGTAGAGCACAAGATCGCCCCAGGTGTACCCCTCTGCTCTAAGGATGGATAGGACTTCATCAAGCACTTCTTCGCGCGGCCGGCGGGATGCAGCTGCCACTTGCGGTCCATCTTCATTTGCAGGCAATCGACTGCTGCTGGCGTTGGACTCGGTGCCAAAGGTAAGCCGTTCCCCGCCACGGCCATGAACGTCAGCCGCTGCAGCTGCTAATGCTGAGTGATAGCTTGTGTTTGCAGCAGCAAGATCGTGGCCGTGCCTATGTTTGCGATCCTCTCGCTGCTGTCGCAACGTACCATTGCGTTGCTTCAAGCCTTTCGCACGACGCTGCATTTTCCGAATTTCGTGAGTCTTCCCATTGATTGGGGATGACCAGATGGGACCACTACTACTCAGGTGAGCGTCGTACCCTTGGTGAGAACGAACCGGGGTCTGTGGGCTGAGTACGCTGGTCGTCACAGGGATAGGAGAAGCAGTTGGGACTCCAATGTCAGCCGCAATGTGTGGACCGACAAGCAATGACAGCCCGCCTGTCGGATTGTTTTCGCCAGTCGAATTCGGAACAGTTCCGCGCGGAATTGACGGGAGCACGGAAGGCGGCCATTCGGGTGACGGAGGCGAGGGAGTGAGCGGTGAGGAGGGCGGGAGTGGAGACATCACTAATAGGCCATGAACCTCCGATAGGGGAGCATCATCTGCAGAAATATGGGGGGACTCCATAACATTGCAGTGGAATGGCAAAGGAAAGACGGGTGGATGTAATGTACCGAAGGCAATACAGATACAAATAAATTGTGTGGAGTTCACCGTTGTACGACTACGCTGCTGCGCGCTTCACTCAAACGTCTTCGCTGCTGCAGCTCCTGGTCCACATCTCTCCGCCTGTAACCTTTGAGCTCTCGAAAACCTCCCCAGTAGCCATGGCACGGCTGCAGAAGAAATCTTCACGTCGCCGTTGGGTGGCGGCTCGCCCAGACAGGCCCAGCGGATTCCAAAGGCACCCGTTGTCTGCGGAAGACGTCAGCAAGATGCACACCTTGTTCGAGGAGGCTTATGGATGGCCTGCACGAGAGTTCCAGATGGAAGGAATACGCGCACAGCTTGAGGGCGTTGACATGATGATTCAAGCCCCCACTGGTGCCGGCAAGACGGCCGTGGTCGCTGGTGCGCACCTATGGCCCACCGACATGCGCAAGGTGACCATCATGGTCTCGCCATTGCTATCCCTTGAGGATGAGATGGTACGTCAGCCAGAGCCATCCACATACAGCTGGTATACTTACCATTTGCAGGTCAAGACGTTCAAGGACCATTTTGGTCTCAATGCTGTTGCCGTCAGCAGCAAAAACGGCTCATGCTCACCGATGGTCGTTAAGGTGCGCATCGTAGTGCGTTCGGCTATCGGGACTGGTCACTGACTGGCCGCCCTGCAGCGCATTCTCGCCCTTGAATATCAAGTAATTCTTGCCTCGCCGGAGATGTTACAGTCACGTACCTTCGTGAGCAGGGTTCTGCGAAACTCGAAATTCACCAGACACATACTCTCCATGGTCATTGATGAAGCGCACTGCGTCTCGCACTGGGGAGCGGATTTCCGCAAGAAATACGCTTCTCTCGGCGTCATCCGTGCATTCCTTCCACGCGGGACACCTGTCATCGCTTTGACGGCCACCCTGACGGCACGCGTGCGCAGAGACATCCATAGCAAACTTCATTTCCCCAAAGGCGGCAGCCGGTTTGTCAACTTCGGCAATGATTGCCCAAACGTTGCCCTTGTTGTTCGCGCCGCCGAGCATCCTCTCAAATCCTTTGAGGACTTGGATTTTGTCATTCCACCATCAGCCGTCCACCCCGAGGATATCCCAAAGACGTGGATCTATGTCGACAACATCAATACAGGGACGGAAATCATCGACTTCCTCACTGACCGACTCGAAGCACGCACCATGCACCGCCGACCCGAAGGCCCACTGCCTGCAGGCCTGATTCGCCCATTCAATGCTACCCTTTCCTCCGAATATCGCACCGCTGCAATGAGCGCATTCCGGGATGGTAGCATCCGTATACTTGTTTGTACAGAAGCAGCTGGCATGGTACGTTTATCAGCTCGCATCTTACATCAGATTGATCCTTACAGAAAATACCTGCCGTAGGGATGCGACATACCTGATATAGACATTGTCGTACAATGGAAGCTTCCGACGACGTTCTCGAACTTCGTTCAGCACGCCGGCCGCGTTGCGAGAGGCCGGGGTCGGAGCGGATTGGCAGTACTGATCGTTGAGCGGTCAGCATATTCTATCGACCTCACATTCGCCACCGGGCCTGCGACTGGTCGAGGTCAGACCGACGCAGTGACGCAACGGGACTTACCACTGGGAGGAAAGGTGAAATCAGTGGTGAGAGGTAGGAAGAAGAAGAATCTCAACAGTGCACCGCAAGCGAAGGCCCCGAAGCAGTACGCTGACGCCCACGGTGTCAATCGTGGAGGTACTTCACACAAAGATGATTCGCCTACCGCCGAACAGCCTCGACTGGACACTGAGGCGCTTGACGAGGGACTTCTGGTGTTTGTGCAGAGTGTCCGCTGCCGCCGCCGCATTTGGGCGGACGCGTTTGAGAGCCCCCTGTCAGGTTCGTCATGTTCTGCAGCCTTGCCTTCAATATGCGCTAACGACGTGCACACATTGCTGCAGCACCCGCAGGACCTTGTTGCGACATCTGCGAGCCAAGCCTGCTGGATCGCACACGCCCTGGGATGGTTCAACGCGCGCAGAAAGGAAAGCGGATTGCACGCGGTCTCCCAGACGTGGAGGCGCAGGTCAAACTATGCGAGTGGAGAGATGCGGTGTACGAACGCGACCATGCGGGCCGCTTATACGACTCCATGGCCATCCTCGACGACGGCCTGATCGAACGCATCGTCACATCGGGGGACCTGCCGAAAGAAACACTCACCTCAATGCTGAAGCCTTCATGGCTCTGGTGGGACAAACATGGCGACGAGCTGATAGCATACATCACCGCGCTCAGCATCGAATTCACGCCCAAGCCGGGGAAGAAAACGAAACAAGCGAGCGCACCTGTTGTAACCACTGACTCCGGCCCTCCACCTCTCCCAGAACCAGTTCGAACGGCTGGAATGAAGCGAACGGCGGTGAGCGCCGACATCGACAGCACGTCGACTGCTGATCCTGGCGACGCTGGTGAGAATCCGATGGGTGTCCGTACCGACTCGGATGAAACTACGGTCGTCGTGCGCAGATCAGCTACTAAACGAGCGCGACGTGGCGCTCGCGACGTTCAAGTTGATGGCGCAGCCCCATCTGGTGTAGTCTCGGAGCTGCCGTCCACTGCCACTAGCAGCCAAGGTATAGACGGTCAAGTCGGTGTTCTGCCCTCTCACCTGTTACGCCCCGCTTCGTACGAATCGTTCTGGACTTCGTTTGGTTCATTTGCAGACCGTGCTTCGAGTTCAAAATCATGACATTATGGTTATTGTATGTACATAGTAGTGCAGAGTGTATTCGAAACCGTACACGCGAGTGGGTCGCGCCAGAGAATAGAGGCGGACTCGAGCCGTGCTCAGTCCACAGTGTACTCAGGAGGAGGATGCGCGCGATTTCACTAAGTGTCAATTCTCACGGGGGCCCAAATCGGGCAGCGCTTAAGACCCCCCCGCAAAGGGCGACCGATTGTACCAGCCGTTCTTCGAACGCTCATCGGAGTTCGAAACGGCTGGTCACGAGCCTACATACCGCGCTTAGCGGCCACGTGCAGGTGCCTAGACACTAGCACATGATCCCTCCCTCACCGATACGCGTCGAATCACGCTGTGCTTAGCCACCACGTGCGCATGCCTAGAAACTAGCACATGATCCCCCCCCAAAATGGAGAGAGAATATCGAGTGAAATAACACATAAAATCATATTGCATGAATTGCATGTAAAAATAATGATCTTATCCCAATAAACCGCGATTGATCACCATCTCTACGCGTTATGATCTCTCCCCCATGCTCCTATGTACATAGGCCACTTCCTCCCCACCTATTATGAACACGCTATGCCTCAGAAATACACACCAGTAAGTTCTGGACTAGAAACGTACCTCCAGACCGGAATTTAAAGCATAGGATATCATAGAAACGCCCAGCTGCCAAGTCACGTTTCTATTGCCGTAACTGCAAATATAACGAGGTGAGAGGAGATCCACATATAAACGCCCACGTCTCTTCTATGTTCCTCACCTTCTCTGCTGGCCGCAAACCACGTACACCCGTGGATCGTCCTCTGAAGACCACCACAAGGAGATCTCGAAAGAACAACACGACCACCGTTGACCAGAGAAGCTCCACGCCTATATCGCCTCCTAAATCGCCCTCCCCATATACTGCTGCTCGACCGCCCAGCTATGCGATCACAGTCGAAATTTATGTGGAGACAGAGCCAGAACACAGTACAGAGGCAGACGGCGAAACTTGGATAGTGGACAGGAAACCAGAGCGCCCACTGGCACGAGGTCAATTGGCGACTCTGCGCACGACCAACCACGTGATCGGGTCGGCACGTGTATCGAAATTAGCCGCCCTCACCCGCCACTGGGCAATCATGCGCCTGGCGGGCGGGAAAAAAGGGATGAGCCTTCGCGTGCCCATACCTTGGGTCCACCTGTGCAAACTCGATAGTTACAAACATACCACCCTCTATCACTCCTTACCGATACACCCGGAACCGCACGAGCTCTTCCGCCAACACCATCCCTTTACGGACCCGAACGAGAACCCATATGAGTTCGACATTTCAGAAGAGGACGTGGACCAACTCCGTCACAAGATGCAGACAAACTCGCGACCAACAATGACAACGTCAGAAGCAATCGGGAGTAGTGGAAGTGGCGAGGGCCGAGACTCGAGAAGCCTGACGAGGATGGAGGACGTCTGACAGGAAGGGAGAAGAGGTGTCCGGAATAGAGGGAAGCCGTACAGCTGTCAAAGAGAATGTAAATCCAGTGCCTGCAGAAGGAGCGCTCAATGCCAATTTGACCACGAGGATGTCAAAATCTAAATGGCGTGATTAGGTTCGGCCTACAGCACCTGCCTAATTGGGTAAAAGAGCAAGACACCGAGATGTAGCCACTTACCGCATACGGCATAAGGAGGTGACGACTCACCGCATAAGCGCTGACTCAAACCGCCGTGCGCCGCTACTCCCTCCTACATTGCATGCTGGCTCACTTCAGCAACGACATAATGCAAGTAACCACGACTTGAACTAAGACCTGCGCCTCACACGCCCGTTGACAAAACACGCAACAAGCCACTTAACGCGATACAAACACAAGGAACACGACGACGAAGTAAGCAAGAACCCGAACATGCTCGCTTGACATATAACGGCAGCAAGGTACCGCTCACACGTCCTGACAACTTAATGGGACAGCTTAACGGAAGCAATGCGGACGTGCACATCCTACCTAGTACAAGTGTACTCCATTCTCTCTCGCGCGAACCCTGACCGTATGAAACTGCTGTCGACAACTTGGAGCGCAGCGACCGGTATACGGAATAAACGATACCGTAGGTTCGTCCGACACCACCCGGACTTATGAATGTCAGACTCTAACCACAGAGAGACCCTGGACTACCCTGTTTGCGCAACACAGCGCCCGACGCCGTCGCCAAAAAGCGCTAGGCTAACGAAAATAGAGCGACAGCAACGCAAGAAGCTGGAGCAGCTCCTTGTCCACTGACACAGTGGACTGCCTCCAGGTAACCCAGCTGTCGGCAAGCGCAAATGCGACTCCACGATACTCTCGATAAAAGACATAGACACACGCGCTCTTACAACATCACTCTTGTGACCCTTTCTCTGCTTACTCTGAATCAACGATCCAAAGCTGCTTAGTATGTCTTCCCCAGTTGCATCGTCCGTCGTGGCTAGCCTCCAGGCAACGCCAACGAAGTCCTCGACCAGCAGGAAGGACGATCATATCGAACAGCATCGCTCGAACGCAATAGAAAACACAACGACCGTGGGGCAAGACCCTCTCTCGTCGTCGCCGCCGCAGTCTGAAAGACGCTCCCCATCGTACGCTGAAATGGCGGCCAAGGCTCCGTTCCCTATGCGAAGCTTGAAGTCGGTTACAACGTATTCGTAAGCGGTTGTCTACGACCCTGCCCGCATCGCAATGCTCACACACTACTTATACATTGTACTGCCTCCACGCTGTAATGCTCCCAACAGCGAGAACATCGCTCCAGAGCCACAGCCACAGTCCCCGACCCCACCCACAAACACCACCGCCACCGTCTTTGACGACAGCGAGCCGGAGGGCGGAGAGTGGAAGGTCGCCGGTAAGAACAAAAAGAAGAAGGCCGTGAGCGCAATGAAGTTCAAGAAATCCAAGAAAGGTAAGGAGCGACAAACTCTACCGACACGGGACAATGATCGCCACGCAGTCGTCGTTGAAACTCCGTCCCGCACGACACCTGCGACCAGCAATGAGTCTCGTAAGAGAAGGAGGACCGTGCACGACCTCGGGAACGACGATGAGCCCACGGTCACTGCTATCCAGCAAGAGCCGTACGAGATCACGCTGAAGACGATAGAAAAGACCCACGAAGGATGGATGAGGCAAGTAATCCTCATAGCTCCCACGCCATCATCCATACTAATAATGCACTACAATTGAAGAAGCAGCTCGCGCAAGGCGGGCACGAGTAATGAAACAATGGACATCGACTTCGCCATCGCCTCCGAGGATGACTACACCGACCTCCCCGATCTGCTCCCCGTCGACGATGACGACGACGACGACGACGAGGAATACAATGACAACGACGATGAGCACGACCAGGTGACGCCGACGAACGCACCCTCGAACACCTCCTCGAGGTCGGTCCTTGACGGCCGCGAAGAGCGCAATGGACACATGCAGTTTGTCTACCGCGGTAAGCACCTGATGACACAAGTGAACCTTGTGACACTCCACTCACTAGACAATCTTGCACGCAGGCGAGACGTTCCCCTTCCCGATCCCGCCGTCCTCCTCCCCTCTGAACGCCCTGCCTCAGACGCCGCCCCCGCATCAGCGAGGACGTAGCTCCCGCAGCCAGCACACTGGCGCCACGCAGGCAGCCCCGGTGAAAGGCAACCTGTGGGCGTACGACAGCGACGACGCCCTCGCGTCCCCAGCCCCTCGATCACACAAATCAAGCCGGCTATCTGACATCCTCATGCCTGACGCCTCGCCCGCACGACCCACGTCTTCACAGTCCCGCCGCCGCCGCCCTAAAAAGCGAGCAAATAGGCGTCGTCTTAGCAACCTGGCCCGTAAAGCTCGCGGAGCCTCGTCTTCAGCCTCTGCGTCTCCCACCTCCTCAGACGACGAGAGGATCCCCTTCGACGCTGAGAATCTGGACCCTGACGTTACGGTCCCACCACGCAGCCTGTGGCGTAAGCCGCAAGGCGACCGTCCCGACTGGAAGGCGCGCGGTATGGCCACCACGCAGAAAGAAGCATGGGACGAGATTGACGAAACGCAGGCGGTCGTTGCCATCCAAATCCCGAACCATGGCACGGAGGAACCCGGCCTAGACGAGCGCATCGCCGCCATGACGAACGCCTTCGTACGCGACCTCCGCATTCCTAACGTCGCTTTCATCCCCGCGTACTCTCTGGAAGGCTTCCATGGCCCCAACAAAGAGCCCCACTGGTACCTCGCGCGCGGCATGTCCCTTCTGATCTGCATCGCGCTCGTGCGTATGGGGTGGCTTAACTCCTCTACGGTGACTCTTAACTTCGACTTTTGGCGCGACACCAACCCGCTTCTATGCGGCATGTGGCGACTCATCCACCGCTTCGGCGCGCAGTCGAAAGATGAGTATCTCAAACTCGTCCGACGCGAGCTGCTGAGCTCCGAGCTCTACTGCGTAATGATGCACGTCATCGCCAAAGACGTCGCGCGAGGGGGCTTCTGGGAGGGCTTCTCGCCTGACGAGGCCCTCAACATGATTCTTAACTCTGTTGATGTCGACATCATCCCAGCGCGCACGGTAGGGAACGCAGTCGAGCCCGTCGCAGTCCTGCATGTCACTCCCCCGACAGCCGACCGAAAGGACTGGCTGCGATTCTGCGACATGCTGCGCAAGCATGGCTTTGGATCGTCGGAGACAGGACACCCTGTCGCCTTCACAGGTCGTCTCTGGTGCGCTTACTGCCACTCCCTCGGCCACACTGCCCCCACCTGCACAGTTCGCACCTCTATCGGATGGCACGACGAACCGCAGCAAGCGCAGGCCCCCCTCGCACAGCAGCAGCAAAATGGCGGGGCTCTCGGAGGCCGAGGACGCGGCCGTGGACTTGGCCGCGGACTACCTCGTGGCCGCGGAGGTCCGATGCGAGGAGGACGTGGATACTGAAACCGTCAAGGGTATGTCTACGCTCGTCTTCGTACATATCTCTCTCTTCGCCTACTGCTCCGTAACGATGTCCTAATGTACTTGTAACAACCTGCCCCACTGACACGTGTCTCAGAGCGATGCTCTTGTACTTCTATCTGTATGCTATCGTCTGTATCTCGAAATGATACACATCTATGACCCATACTCGTATCATGCATGACACACATACTGAACGCAAATGAGCTACCAAAACTGAAAGAAACGATAACTTACAACACACTCAATGCAGCGGTCGGAACATATAAGCACTCCACACGCACATGGGCCCACATCTACTGATCGCACCCGCGAGACAGGAAAGCCCAGAATACGTTGGACTCCCATCCGTGACCCGCATACGTGCATTTCCCTTCTATTCTCCTAGGGGCACTTATAGACTTTCCCCGCCGAGAGGCTTAAGCGAACTCTGCGTCACAACGCAGACAAGCATGTCACCTGCGAGACCCAGGAGCGGTCTCTACTTGCTGTGGATCGTTGTAGCAGCAAGCTTGATAGCAACGGCGACAATCAACATAACAAACACCCCCCCCGCGGACGCACAAACGGCAAATGGCTTCTCTCCCTCCCGACCAGAAGGGACCAAACTCCACTCTGCCCAGCAAGGCCCCAATGACCGGCCGGGAGGATCGGACGGCAGAGCGTTTCTCCGTAGTAGGAAGGATATTGGATTGGATACGGAGAACCGTAGTATGAACTCCAATCGTAGTGACATGAACAAAGCGAAGCGTGAAGGACGCAAGACAAAGGCTACAATCACCGTAGGCACCTTGAACGTAAATGGCGTAGGCAATATGATAGGCGACAAGAACAACAAATGGAACGGCATCCACAGAATAGCACAGGAGAACAGGATAGGTATTCTGGCAATCCAAGAATCACACCTTGACGATACTGCCGTGAACACTATCCACTCGCTCTACGGTAAGCGATTGAAAGTGATACCCTGCGAATCAACGCATAGCAAGGCGCAAGGAGTCGCCTACGTTCTAAACAGAGAACTAATTGACATCCAAACAATCCACACTGAGACCCTAATACCTGGACGCGCGATGGCAATCACAGTACACTGGCATCGGGAGATAGACATCACACTGCTGAACGTCTATGCCCCCAACAATGCCACTGAAAATACGACCTTCTGGAAGACGTTACAAAAGCTCTACAGTAATAGTAAACGGAAGAAGCCTAACGTAGTCCTAGGAGACTTCAACATCGTAGAAGAAGCGATTGACAGGCTTCCTCCAAGAGAAGACAATGCGGCTGCAGCTGAAGCGCTTAATACGTTCATGAACGCTATACACCTAAAAGACGGATGGCGTCTGACCTCTCCGACAGAACGTGACTATACGTATCCCCAGAAAGCATCCGGGATACGATCTCGTATAGACAGAATCTATACCTCAACAGACATGCTACAATCGTCACACACCTGGACGATTAAGACAACCGCGATACCGACAGACCACCGCCTTGCCCTTGCTCGCTTAAGCACCGCAACTGCGCCGTATATAGGAAAGGGAAGGTGGACTATCCCCTTGGCACTACTGAATGACGTTGAGTACATTCGCCAAATCAGTCACATCGGAAAAGAAGCCCTAAACAAGATCAAAGCCGTGATGAGCCCTACAAGCCGTAGCGACGAATGCAACCCACAAACAGTATATAAGTGTCTTAAGGAAGACATTGTAGCCCTGGCAAGAAAGACCATGAAAACAAAAGCTCCGAAACTCACCATGGCGATCAAAAGACTAACGGCTGAGGTCAAAGAAATACAGAGTCGCGACGACTTTGCGACTGACCCTAGACTGCATACAGAATCAGAGATAAGAATGGATAGAATTGCAGAGCTAGAAAAGAAACGATACCAGCAATCCAGAATAGTGTCAGCGGCCAAATATGTGCTAAGTGGGGAAACAATGAGTAAATACTGGTCGAGTATCAATAAGGAACATAAACCCAGAGACATAATACATACGCTCCGGCGCCCGGACACACAAGTATATGTGCAACGATCTGATGACATGGCACACCTTGCGCGTGACTACCACAGTGAACTACAACACACAGAATCCAATGAACAACTAGACCATAACAGAGACTTAGCGATCGATAGGGCAATAGCCCAACTACAAACAAGACTTAACATAGTAGAAGCTGAATCGCTCAAAGCTGAAACATCCACGGACGATATTCGTGATGCGCTAAGGAAAGCGCAACCAGGGAAGGCTTGTGGCCTAGATGGTATACCGTATGAACTCTGGATAACACTACAGACGGAAGTCAGTGAGACGCAAGACAAAGATGAAAGATTCAATAGCTTAGAACTACTCAAGCTTGTATTCCGTGACATAGACATACATGGAGTCGATCCCAGCAGCGGTTTCGCTGACGGATGGATGTGCCCTATATATAAGAAGAATGACAAAAGGGAGATCAGCAACTACCGTCCGATAACGATCCTAAACTCGGACTACAAGCTGTATACACGAATCCTTACCTCACGCCTCAACAAAGTTGCTACAACGATTATACACCCGAACCAAGCTGGATTTATACCTGGAAGACAAATATCAGATCAAACGCAAATATGCAGGACGATAGTAGACTACGCCGAAGCCATAGAAGAGAATGGCGTAATCATAGCACTTGATCAAGAGAAGGCATATGACAAGATACGACACGATTACCTCTGGAAGATACTTGCAGCTGCTGGTCTGCCGGTCTCATTCATCCGAAAAGTGAAAAGCCTGTATAAAAACGCTACCACGGTAGTGATCATAAACGGTGAAGTCAGCACCTCATACAAGGTATACCGCGGAGTTCGCCAAGGCGACCCGCTCTCCTGTCTGCTTTTCGACATTGCAATCGAACCGCTTGCATGTGCACTCCGACGTTCTACGCTACGAGGCTTCCACATACCAGGAGTAACAGAACGTCTGATAACCTCCCTATTTGCAGACGACACGTCCGCATTTCTGGCACAATGCGACAGATGGACTGACTTATGGACCATCCTTGATGACTGGTGCGTTGCATCAGGCGCTAAATTCAACGGAGGGAAAACAGAAATCATACCCGTAGGCTCTCCTGAATACCGCAGCAAGGTGGCCCAAATGCGCCGGATTAATCCCGAATCCGACGAGCCAGCTATCCCGGACTTTGTACATATAGCCAAAGACGGTGAAGCTGTACGAGTCCTAGGCGCATGGATAGGTAACGCCACAAATGAAGCTGCTGTATGGAAGCCTACAATAGATAAAGTAGCAAAATTCCTTCAACGATGGAAACAATGCTCACCGTCACTCACCGGAAAGAGACATATCATACAAATGGGACCCGGCGGCATAACTCAATATCTGACGACTGTTCAAGGAATGCCACAACCCATTGAACTCGAACTCACCAGAATGATACGGAGCTTCATATGGGGCAACGACCTATGCCCCAGTATAAACCTTGAAACGCTACAACGCAGCATTGTAGAAGGAGGCATATCAATACTAGACATCAAAACAAGGAATGAAGCAATTGATCTCATCTGGCTTCGACGATACTTAACGCTTAAGCCAGACAGACCTGTATGGGCCTATATGACGGATGCAATCATTGCCCTTAACGTCAACAAGTCAGCGGGTAACATTCGGACATCTGCACAATTAAACATGTTCCTTCAAAATTGGAACCCTAAGCTGAGAGGAGCACCGACAATGCCAACCTACATAAAGAAGATGCTCAGCACAGCGAAGAAATATGGAATGACCTTCGCAGCCCTGAAACTAGGACGTCAACTAAAGATGGAACTGCCTATGTGGTATCACCTCAGTGCCACTAAACTCCTCCAAAGACTAGACAACACGAGCCTAAGCAAATGCTTACGCGAGGTACATGGCGTCTCCTATGTGGGAGACATCCTAAAGATCAGGCAACATCATAACATCATACAAGACCACCCTGAGCACGGTACAGCGAACAGCGACTGTCCCTGCGAACAATGTAAAGAGGCTCAACGAAATGGATGCCAACACACCCTCAGATGCGTAGAAGCAGCTGGAAGACTCCTCCAAACGCTAGAACCGAAATGGCACCCCGAACAACAAACACCCAACGATGGACTTACCCTGACAGGCAAACGAAGAGATGCAAATGAGAAAGCCAACGAGGAAGGGGGAGAGATGACCTTCGACCCCTCGGTAACTGAAAGACAAGGCATATCTGAGGCTTTCAGAGTCTTCGTCAATCAGGATAACATCAAAGACTCACCAGCAATACGACCAAGACAAGGAACGTCGGTAACACGAGAGACCGTCACGGCCTATATTCTCGCAGCACCGGGCAAGAAGCTCGAGACCTCTGACCGCTATTCACCACACAATGGACAAGGTATAACACTACTGGCACGTAAGCAAACCCGACTTGCAGCTGAACTAGTGAGACTTGAACCACACCTTATCGACCAAACACAATCGAGTGGTGAAATAGCAGCAGCGATCTTCATAGCACAAACCGCCCCTAAAGACGCACCGATCCACTTCCTGTGCGAGTCAGACACACTCCAAACCACGATATGCTATGATCTGCAACGTTGGGAAGACTCCGCATGGATGGGAGCAGAGAATAAGGACGCACTACGAGCTCTAGTTAACATACTCCGGCAACGATGTGCGCCCACAACTTTCCGGAAGGTCGACGGCCCTGATGAGTGGAAGATGATCCAAACAGGACGAGATCTAGCACAAAAACTAGAATCAGAACGAGGATCAGACCCACTCATCCCTAAAACAGACAAAGTCTTCGACCTATCTGGAGCAAGACTATCAGTACTCACCCAACGTCTTGCATATCGCTTGATACAACGGAGAACATACAAGGAACGTCCTTCAACACAACGAATAATCAGCGGCATCCTCTCAAACACTCGAGATGTACAAGAAGCACCAGTAACTGAACCAGAACTATGGAGGAGCATCCGCTTAAGAGAGATCAGAAGACCTATAGCGGACTTCTTATGGAAGAACTTACATGGAGCACTACGATCATGCGGCCCATACTGGAAGCACATTCCAGGATACGAGGACAGAGCGACTTGTACGCGGTGTGGCTCCGTAGAGACGATGCACCACATATTCACTGAATGTGCGGCCACCGGACGAGACACCATATGGAAGCTAGTAGAATACACATGGCATAAGAAACAGGCCAACTGGGTAAGACCGAGTTATGACGACATACTAGGGATGGGCACTAAGGCATGGCGAACAAAGAAGGACAAACGGAGGCCGTCAGCAGAACGACTGTGGAGAATCCTAATCTCGGAAGCAGCGTTCATGATCTGGAAGCTTAGATGTGAGCGAGTTATAAACCACAGTGATGACGAAGATTGGGAACACTCCAGACAAGAGATACGAGCCCGATGGGTCGCCACAATAAACCGGCGTCTACATCTTGACATGTCAATGACGCATAAGCGATTTGGACGACAAGCTCTAAACAAAGACATGGTCACCAACACTTGGAAAGGCACACTACACGACGAATCTGCCCTCCCTGATGACTGGACGGGCATGAATAGGGTTTTAGTGGGTATTGATATCCGTCCATGGGACGAATACGATGACGGATAACACGAGTCCCACACTGACTAACTGTAGTCGTGCGTAAACGCATTTTATCCCTGGAAAGCATCTGCGGGGGAACCTGCTGGCCGGCTGGGAACAGGGGCTGACCAATTGTCAACTGCCTAATCCCATTGAAAGCCATCCAAAAAAAAAAAAAAAAAAAACAGTAGTGAGCGCTCGGATTAGCGCTCGCCGATGCCGACCGTGATCGTGTGAGCGCTCGACGGAGCCACTTTCACGATCGAGATTCGACCGTCACTGTCAGTGTGTATGTCTACGTCCTCTTCTGACAGAGCATCCACAGATCATCGCATCCGACTGAAACCCCTTACTAGTACATAGGCTGTTTTCCGAGTTTGTCTATCAACTTGTACACCCCCCTCTGCGGATGGAGAACAATACGGAACGTAGTGAACACGAGGTGCAGTGAACTGAAATGGGACGAGTCGAAAGCAGCGTCCCACTATGATAATATATGCGCGTGCTCAAGGTGAGTATCCGGGTATTCTATTGCCCTGCGAGTGAAATGATAGCTTACCGGAAGGATTGTGTCATGCGATTAGACCGAGACGCATGCTTGCACGTCCCGCTGACCATCCTCCGGACAAGGCGCTTGTTTGAGGACGTTCGAGTCGAAGTTGAGACATGGTCTACAGGCAATGATCACGAACACAACGGACATTGCGAGGAGTCATCGCCCGCCCAACTTGTCGTGCAGCATATGCGACCCGAAAGAAGCCCGGAACTTCCTGTTTATCGGTCGTGCGCTGAGTGTCAGTAGGCTTCGGCAACTCGCGCACCTAGTTGATCGTCTGTGCGATGGTCTTGCCATTGTGACGTTGTGCATGGGGCTTTTGGTAGGAATATCTTTCCGTATCGCCTACCTATCTCATCTGCTGAACGTATATCAACACCAGAAGCAGGTAAGGAGCTTTTATGGCCGATTCCATCAGACAGCAGAAGCCGATAGACCTGAAGCCAATGTCACTCAAAGTCCCCGCAATGGCATCGATGCCTGGCACGGTCGCCCACCCCTCCGAGCCCACTGGAGCATCTCAACAGTCACTCACATAGGACTGACAATGTACAACGCCGCGACTGTATTCTGGAAGACGTTGGCCGACGCGGGCGTTACGCATGCATTTGTCAACTGGGGAAGCGACCACTCGGCGTTACTCGAGGACCTCGAACGGCAGCGCGTAGAGGACGGAAAGAGCCTGTTGGAGATTGTGACATGCCCGAACGAAATGGTCGCACTGTGTGCTGCACATGGGTACGCGCAAGTCGCTGGCAAGCTAGTAGTCGTGATCGTACACGTGGACGTAGGGACACAGGTAAGCGTGTCTCTATATCTAGTCTTACTCTGCTGGCCTCCACGAGTGAAGGGGCCGTGCATGCAGTGGGTCCATATGAGTCTCTGTTGATTCGCCCTTCAATCGCATTTGAAATGATCGGGATGTCGGTTTACCTCTGGATTGAGCAGCGTTGCTGATAGATTGCTCCATACCACAGGCGCTGGCCAGCGCAGTCCATAACGTCGATCGTGGACAGATCCCTGTGCTTATATTCGCAGGCGCATCGCCTTTCACCATCGAGGGTGAACTGAAGGGTTCACGTACTGAATGGCCGTTGTGGATCCAAGGTTAGAACTCGACTTCGCATTGCATCTCTGCTGAAGTTGCTTCATGTCCCAGATATACCGGACCAGGCGGCCATTGTACGACAGTACATGCGCTATACAGCCCAGATATCCAGTGGAGTCAGCGCCGCTAAGACAATGATGCGGGCTTTACAGTTGTACGTCCCTACTGCTGACTGACCATCACATCTGTGCGTCGTCATTCATTGATCATTCTCAGTGCGCAGAGCGACCCGAAGGGTCCGGTCTACCTCTGGGCGAGGCGCGAAACACTGGAGGAGGAACTCGACGCCCCTCTTGTACAGCAAGGCGTAACTGTCGGCGGCTGGCCTTCCCTTACACCACCCGGACTTCCACCACAAGCAGTCGACACGATTGTTTCCGCACTCATCGGTGCCGAATTCCCTCTCCTCATTACAGGAAACCTCGGACGCAACCATGGTGCAGTACCCCTCCTTTCCGCTCTCTCCAATACGCTATCTGTTGCGATCGTCACGTCATGTCCGTCTGCGCTCTGCATCCCGCACTCGCACCCCTTCCTCGTCGGCTCTTCGTGGGACGGCCGCACCGCCTTTCTCAAGGACGCCGACGTCGTCGTAATCTTGGAGGCAGATATCCCATGGATTCCCATCACGGGTACGCGACCTAAACCGGGCGCGCGCGTATTCGTCATCGACGCGGATCCGCTCAAGCAGAGTGTGGGATACGCCCATGTCGACGCGGAGATGCTCTGTAAGGCGGATGCAGAGGTGGCGCTCGGGCAGCTCCTGGATGCGGCCGGGCGGAAGCTCGAGGAGACTTCGCGCGCGATAGTTGCCGAGCGTGCACAGCGTTTGGAACCCTTGCGTTCAGCCTGGACGGCCGAGCTCGACGCAGCCGAGCGCGCTCTCGCTCCTGGTGCTGCTCTGCCTACAGTTCCCTACCTTCTGGGGGCCCTCCGGTCGGCGGTACATGAACATACGCCTAGCAAGGGACAGAACATCTTGTGGCTGAATGAAGGCATTAGCAATGCCGGCCACATCTGGAACCATATCAAGCCCGATTCACCGGGAAGCATGCTCATGTCAGGAGGGTCTAGCTTGGGGTATGCACTCGGCGCGGCCGTCGGCGCTCATATGGGCAGTGTCGTGGCTCAGAAGCAGTTCGACATGATCGTCGCTATCGTAGGCGACGGGGACTTCCTTTTTGGCGCACCAAGTACTGCGTACTGGATTGCAAGCCGATACGAGACGGTATGTGCCATCGTGCCAGTAGCAGCATATTGACCCTTACTTGACCTACTTACCTCACACACTAGCCGTTCTTGACGATCGTGCTGAACAACGGCGGCTGGCTTGTAAGTCAAGTCTCACTGCGCAAGATGTACTGGCTCATCGTTCTCATAGTCTCCTGGCCATTCTATGACGGTCGTCCACCCACAAGGATACGGCGCGAAGGCCTCTGCCCAGCGTCTCACCACGAGCTTCGGACCGAAGGCACCAAACTACTCTCAAATCGCTGTTGCAGCTGGCGACGCTTGGGGGCGTCGCGTCGAGTCCGCGTCGGAGCTATCCGCAGTCTTCACGGAGGCTGTCAAAGTGGTCCAGACGGAGAGGAAGTGTGCGGTCGTTGATTGCGTCCTTCAATCCATCTGAAGAATCCTCCGCGCTACTTTATTGGAATGAAGCTTTGGCACAGCAGACACAGCTCGCTGTCTATATCATGTGTCGCTCGCGGGTTCGAGGCGAAAATCTGAGTCTACAGTCGACCTGCTCGTGGACGGTCACCAGGTGCGTAAAGTCTAAATGTTCCCCATCGTTGAGACCTCGGATTGGTTATCCTACCCACGTCCGTGGGAGTCGGGTACCCCGCACCGGAAGCCGGAAGCAATCCCCCGAATGAGTCGAGAGTTCTCTCTCTGGCTTCTGTCAAGGAATGCAATGCAACCTTGAGGTTTTGTATGGAGTATAGGTAGACGGGCACTGCAGTCCGTCTCCCATCGCGAGAGAGCTCAGAGCTGCACCATAACTAAGTGGACGAAAGAGCATGCATACCTGGACGATAGTGTGGCACCATATGTCACGGTAGAGCTGGCCGTGCTTACAACTGGATATCCGTAGTCCCGATCAGTCGGGTGTGTACTATGTTGTTCGTACCAGTAAAGAGTGATACCGTAGGCTTCTGTGAACATTCTGGACGCGGGCCTTTGCAAACAAGACCGCGTGGTGTTCGAGGGGTTCAACGTTCATCACTTGCGCGGATTTCTGAGCGGTTCAGGGAGGGTCAGGTTGGGTGATGATGATCTCTGCATTTATTAACCGCTACAAGCAGGGTCAGGTTGGGGTCAGGCGCGGAGCGGCGGTATGTAGCACGTGTCGAAATACGTTGCCGCCGGCTTCTGATGTACGTAGACGGCAATCCTCGCCCTCGATGCGTCACGACTCACCAGGTCCGACCACCTAAGGGTCAAACCGTGTATTCCGCCGGACGAGACCAAGCGCTTCGATGGCAGTCTGCTTTCTCTCCACCTTCCCGACCAAAGGTCTCGACGTTGCGTAGTTCCTACCCTTCAGGTTGACACTAGACAGCAGCCAGCTTTTGGGTCACTTACATACAACCGTGTGGCTTCGTACGAGATCTTAGGCCTAGGTGCGGCGACTTCATCACGTATGACCAGCTAAGACCATTCAAGGCGTTCTGAACGGAAGAATAGATCCAACCCGGACCGCTCGCAACATGAACCCACGGTTCTCGGGGAAGCATAGCCTGCCGTCATATGCAGCTGGCGAGAGCCGCGAGACCAAGTGGGAACACGATATAAGTGGACTTCCTGCAGGAGATGAGGCCCGACGACCCGCCAGGATGCTGTCGCAACGGTTCTCGTCATGGGCTCTGCCTGCCCTGCTGTCGCTTGTCCTCGTCGTGCTCACTGGACCCTTGACCAAGAGCGCCAGCGCCGTGAAACTGCGCAATGCTGACGCCATCCAGGACCTTGCTGCTCGCGCAGACCCGCCGCGCCAGTCGGACAACTACACCGAGGCCGTTCAATGGGATAACTACACGATTTTCCTCAATGACCAGCGCATGTTCCTTTAGTGAGTCTCGCGCGCAGTACTTGTGCACTGATACTTACCCAGCCGTGTCACAGCTTCGGCGAGTTCCATACCTGGCGTCTTCCTGTGCCCGACCTATGGTTGGATATCTTCCAGAAGATGGCTGCAGCGGGGCTCAACGGTGCCAGTGTATACACTCATTGTGAGTTATCTGAACGGTGTGACTGGACGTCGCTTCCGTAATAACTGACATAACTTCATGGTGTAGGGGCGTTGACGAATCCGGCCCCCGGAGTGCTCGATTTTGACGATTGGCGGGCACTACAGCCCATCTACGACGCCGCCAAACAAGCGGGTCTTTTCATAACTCTACGTCCCGGTACGTAATTGCGATCAGCTGCTATACATCAACTGTTTGTGACTTTGCTTGCCAGGCCCCTATGTTAGCGTTCATGCATGCATCCGTAGTCTGCGCGGTCTGACGTCTTATAGATCAACGCAGAGACCACAGCCGGTGGGATTGCTCTCTGGGCAACAAGCCAGGTGGCTGGAGAACTGCGCACGAACGCGACCGATTATCACGAAGCCTGGACGCCATACATCAAAGAAGTTGCAGCTAGCGTCATCGGGAACGAGGTGACGGATGGTGGACCAATCCTTGGTAAGATATCGCCCCAATCACTGCAAGCATTGATTCTGACTACCGCGCAGTGGTTCAGATAGGTGAGACATAATGGCACAGCAGCACATCCGCGAAGAGTCTGAGATTCTGGCCAGACAACGAATATTATCAAACGCCAGAAACGGGTGCCTACTTCGAAGAGCTGGAGGCAGCCTATCGCGACGCTGGCATTGTCATTCCTCTGTAAGCTTTGCAGGTAGCATATGTATTCGCGACGTCTCACGGTAACTTTCAGGACCTACAATGACCCTGGCGAAGGAAAGAACTTCGTCAACGGGACTGGCGCAGTGAATATCTACGGAACGGTCAGTTTAGCCGAAAGGGTTATCAATATTTTTGCGCTGACAGTCGGTCGGTCGCTAGGACTATTACCCTCAAGGTTTCGACTGCTCGAACCCTGCCGTCTGGAGCCCTGTTGGCACGAACTACCATTCATACCACGAAACGACCAACCCAAGTCAGCCCTGGTACATGCCTGAGTTCCAAGGTACGCGTAGAATCCTCTCTTTTCGGAACGCCTGCCGACAGCTGACCGCGATAGGTGGCTCCTTCGATCCCTGGGGTGGCCCTGGATACAACGCATGCGAGACGTTGACGGGACCTGACTTCATGGACGTGTTCTACAAGCAGAACTGGGCTGCCAACGTGAAGCTCATCTCATTCTACATGATCTACGGGTGAGTGCTGATCTGTCGCAAGACATGCCGCGGTTGCTTACAATGCTGTTCTACAGTGGAACGAGCTGGGGAGGCTTGCCTTACCCAGGAGTATATACCAGGTAACGTACGCATGTCGCACCGCACGGGCAGAATATTGACGATATGTTACATTATTAGCTATGACTACGGCTCCCCTATCAGGGAGAACCGTGCCTTGTCAGACAAGTACGACGAACTCAAGCGACAAGGGCTTTTCTTGCGAAGCTCGCCAGAGTTCTACAAGACCGACTGGGTAGGCGATACGGACACCACGATGCCAGGAGTGACCGTCAACGGGACAGAGGTCTACGTGACCTATCTGCGCAACCCCGACACAGGGTCAGGGTTCTTCATCGCCCGTCAGGCAAACTCTAGCTCTCTGTAAGCACTCAATATCTCACAGACGCCGCCTGCCGCTGAAAATGGTTTAGCGCGGACATCACCTTCAATATCTCCGTGCCCACTTCCGCCGGGATGCTCTCGATCCCCCAGACGATCTCCTCAATTGCCCTGAACGGTCGGCAGAGCAAGATCCTCGTCACGGACTACTCGTACGGTGCCAATTCGCAGGTGCTCTATTCGACTGCCAGTATCCTGTACGCTGGCGCCATCGGCAACCGCGATGTGCTCTTCCTCTACGGCGACTCCGACCAGGCTAGCGAAGTCACCCTCTCACTCTCGGGCAGTGGCACTCGTGCGAATGCGTCTGTAGCTTCGTTCTCTGGCGATGCGAGCAACGCCAGTCTCACTACGGTGACCCTGCTCGACGGCATCAAGGGCGTGGTCACCGTCTTCGAGTCTGACTCACAGCTCGTGCTCTACGCAGACTCTGTCACCGCAGCCACGTTCTGGGCTCCCGTGATCCCGTCGAGCACTGCCGCTTCGTTCAACAACTACTGGCAATTCGGTTCGAACGAGACCGTCCTCGTCGGCGGCCCGTACCTCGTCCGCAACGCCAGCATCTCCAACGGACAGCTTGCGCTGAGGGGTGACCTCAACCAAAGCGTCATGCTCACGGTCGTGGCGCCGGAGGATGTCAGTTCTGTTACGTGGAACGGCGCGGAGGTCCAGACGGCTTCGCTGACATCGACGGGAGGTATACTCACTGGATCACTGGAAATGAGCACATCGTTGAGCTCGATCAGCGTACCCGCATTGACAGGCTGGAAATACGCAGACAGCCTGCCGGAGGTGTCGACCGGCTATTCGGACGCGGAGTGGACCCTTGCTGACCATACCACCACGAACATACCTGGATACGTGTACGGCGACGGACGAATCCTATTTGGTGAGTGATGTATGCCCACTGTGAAATGGGCTACTACTGAGATGTCGTAGGCTGTGACTATGGATTGTGAGTACTTGCGCACGTTTTCTTTGCTGGTACTTGAAGATACACGTCGCTAGCTGTGAGAACATCGTACTGTGGCGAGGCCACTTCAACGGTACCGAGTCCACTACATCGGTCAACCTGACCATCAACGGTGGTCAAGGTAGGCGGTGCCGATCCGTGCCCACATTTCGGACGCTGATATACTGTCCGTAGGCTTCGCTGGCTCTGTCTGGTTGAATGGCCAGTTCCTCGACTCGACCTGGAGCACCGCAGATGAGCAGACGACCCAAGTCTACAATTTCCCGGAGGGATCTGTACTTATCGGTCAGGACAACGTGATCACTATTATTCAGGTGAGTGGGCATGTTATTTGTGCGATTAAGTAGCAGTGAGCTGACGAGACACTCAGGATGGACAAGGCAACGATGAAGCTGACGATGGTAGGTCGCCAAGTCGTCTCGTTTCGTGCTAGTGAGGACTCAAATGCATCATCCTTAAAGAGAAGTCTCCGCGCGGTATTCCTGGCTACCAGCTCAACACCGGTAACTTCACCGAATGGCGTGTGCAGGGCAAGTTCGGAGGTTATACCGAGTGAGTCTCAAGACATCCCCGGTAATTCGTTGTTTGATCATTGGCACAGATATCCGGACAAGGTCCGCGGGGTACTGAATGAAGGCGGCTTGTACGGCGAGCGTCAGGGTTGGCATCTCCCAGGTTTCGACACGTCGAACTGGACCTCTCAAGAGCTGTCCGAGGGCCTCCCGTCCGGCGGAGCGGGTGTCGGATTCTTCGTCACCACATTCGACCTTTCCATCCCGGAGGACACGGACACGCTGATGTCATTCCAGTTCGACACCACCAATCAGCCGTACCGGGCATTGCTGTTCGTCAATGGATGGGATTATGGCAAAGTAGGTTCACGCCCGTGCGACAGCGATAACGCAGCTCACCATGACCACAGCGTGTTGCCAACATTGGGCCGCAGACGAAATTCCCGGTTCCTCAAGGCATCCTGGACTACCAGGGCACGAAGTGAGTACACCAGCAACTCGCATTGTATGATTTGGCCAATAATTCATCGTGATCAGTACGGTCGCAGTAGCGCTGTGGGCCTTGGAAGACGAGCCAGTAGCACCGACTCTCGACCTCGTCGTTGATGACGTGATTGAAGGCGGCGTGGGCCCGATTGCCGTAAACAATCCTGCATGGTCACCCCGTGTTGCCTCGTGAAAGCTCACGAAACCGATTTTGGGGACTTTTGAACTTGGACTATGTTTTGGATGTCAGTAGCATCATGTATGTCGATGAATCACAGCTGCATTGTCTTGCTCTCAGGCTATAATCATCGTCACGCTTGGTAGCTAATCTCGAGGCTGGAGAGTGGGTTTGTGCTGACGACAGTGATGACGATCAATATGCTTGGATGAAGTCCGGCCCAAGAGACCATTCACAAGAATCAGTGAGTCAATTGTAGTGATCTGCGGATGGTCTGACAACTGGCATATACGGAATAGGTTCCACGGGCCGGTAATCACTGATCTCAGATTCGAGAAGCTGAACGTGAACATTCAGGCAGCGGTCCGCTGGAAATGGGGCGTCCACGGTACGGGGAGAAGGGGACCAACAGCGTGAATGCGAGGTCAGGCGCGGTGTCAGCTGAAGACCACATGTGCGCGTACTACGCAGTTGAGCAGCTTGAGCTTCTGGCCCCGTCCAAGTGCCTGGAGAGCTGTGTAAGTTACAATCCCATCGGCCATGGGTCGTCCGTAGAGGAGTCGGCCCTCGGTCCGAGCCGATCGTGCCAGCCTTCGCAAGCAAGAAACCAAGCTCAACCGTCCGCGTGAGAACTGTGGTTCTGCCCGTGGCTCTGAAGCGCAGGTAGTAGGTTACTAGGTACCTACGCATTCATGGCAGTGTGTTACGGATGTGTTAGTCGCTCGTGGTGAGCTTTCTCTCGTCTTGATGTCGAGCTTCCACCTTATATGACTTAACTCTCAGATACATATCAGAATCAGACTGTTTCCGAACCGCCGGGATCGCTGCGTCATGGCTCTGCCAAGTTCAAGTTGTTCACCAGGTCAAGGCTGGGACGGCGTCATGTGCAGCTAGCTGATGCGAGTCGCCGGAGTCGACGTGGATGTCTTGTGCGTGCCAGTGCGCGGGCTATTGAATTTGCTGGAATATATAAACTGATGGAACTGAGTCTGTATGGCCGACGACCTGCCAAAATGCTGCGGCAGACGTGCACATCATGGGCGTTGCCCATCATATTCGCTATCCTGGTCATGCTCACTAGCCCGTTCATAGTAGCCTCTCAAGCTGCGAAGCTGCGTCGTGCCAACTCTTACCAGAATATCCACCTTCGGGCAGATCCTCCTCGTCAGTCGGATAACTACACACAGCTGGTGCAATGGGACAACTACACCCTGTTCTTCAACGATCAGCGAATGTTCCTGCAGTGAGTACCGAGTACATCGACGTCGGTTATGAGCTCATGAAGGCGTGCAGCTCAGGCGAATTTCACACTTTTCGTCTTCCCGTTCCTGACCTTTGGCTGGATATCTTTCAAAAGATGGTTGCTGCCGGCCAAAACGGCGCCAGCATCTATATCCACTGTAGGTTTTTCCAATCACATATTGACAGCGATGATGCACACTCAAACTCGTCAATGTAGGGGGCGTATCTAATCCTTCCCCGGGGGTTATTGACTTCAATGATTGGAGAGCCTTACAACCCATCTATGACGCTGCTAAGCAGGCGGGTATCTTCATCACTCTTCGTCCCGGTACGTATACTAGTTCAGTCGCCAATAGCGTACATTGTGATGACTGATTGCACAGGCCCATATGTGAGATGTTCCTTCTCTTGCTCGTGACCTTTGAGCCTCAACGAGGTCACCGTCAGATCAACGCTGAAACAAATGCGGGGGGCTTCGCTCTCTGGGCGACAAGCCAAGTCGCTGGTACACTGCGCACTAACGCTAGCGACTACCATCAGGCGTGGATTCCTTACATTACTGGGATCGCAGAGAGCGTCGTCGAGAATGAAGTCACGAATGGCGGTCCAATTCTACGTAAGTTCCCACCTGTGTTCAGAACCCGCAGATGGATCTTAATAGCTGTACGGCACAGTTCTCCAGATCGGTGAGTAAAGTCGTGCGTGTCATTACGACGTGTTGTCCCCTGATGCGCTCTGAAGACAACGAATACTCGCAATCGGCCCTAAGCGGCGCATACTTTGAGCAGCTCGAGAATGCTTATCGGGGCTCCGGGGTTCAGATTCCTCTGTGAATTAGGTGTTTTCTTGATCGGTTCGCCCACTCACCAAGAATCTATTGTAGGACATATAATGACCCAGGAGAAGGAAAGAGCTTCGTAAATGGGACTGGCGCTGTGGACATCTATGGACTGGTACGCCACGTTGTATATGACCTTCGAAAGGACTCGGCTCACCAGAAACCATGCGCAGGACGCCTATCCTAACGGGTTTGATTGCTCTAATCCACATGTATGGAGCCCTCTGCCTACCGACTACCATGGGTACCACGAGACGACCGACCCAAGCGAGCCTTGGTACATGCCAGAATTCCAAGGTACGCAAATTTGGTTTGAAGCTGCGCCGCGAGACTTAGGGTCCTCTTTCAGGTGGCTCGTTTGACCCTTGGGGAGGACCTGGGTACGACGCCTGTGAGACTTTGACAGGACCGGACTTCATGAATGTGTTCTACAAGAACAATTGGGCGGCGAATGTGAAGCTTGTGTCGTACTACATGACCTTCGGGTAGGTACTAGCTCATTTCCTTGACCAGCTCCACTCTGACACTGTCTCAGCGGAACGAGCTGGGGAGGGCTTCCCGAGCCTACCGTTTACAGCAGGTATGTTCGTGTCTGTGTATTACGTGTATTGTTCATCGACCCTGGCTGGTTGCAGCTACGATTACGGCGCGCCCATCCGCGAGACCCGAGCTCTCAGCGACAAATATGACGAGCTGAAGCGCCAAGGCCTTTTTTTGCGCAGCTCGCCCGACTTCTATAAGACTGATTGGGTAGGCGACACCGACACGACGATGCCAGGTGTAACAGTGAACGGCTCGGACGTCTATGTAACCTTACTACGCAACCCCGATACTGCGTCCGGTTTCTACATAGCACGGCAAGTGAACACCAGTTCCACGTGAGTCTACAGTGTTCTCTGATATGTTTGCGGGCACGCTGATATGATAGCACAGCGAGGAAATCACCTTCCGCATTACCGTGCCCACGTCTGCTGGAACGCTATCTTTGCCTCAGGAGGCCGACTCGATCGCGCTCAATGGACGCCAGAGTAAGGTCATCGTGACCGACTACTCATACGGAGCGCAATCGAGCGTTCTCTACTCTACAGCCAGCATCCTATTCGCTGGTACCATTGGCAACCGCGATGTTCTTTTCCTCTATGGCGACTCTGATCAGTCCCACGAAGTCTCCCTGACCCTGTCAGGTAATGGAGACCGCGCGAACGCATCTGTCGCATCCTTCCACAGTGGTGCCGCCGCAACGTCGAGTCCTGTCACTATCAGCCTGCTCCGTGGCATCAAGGGCGCAGTGCCGATCTGGGCGTCCGACACACAGCTCGTATTGTTCGCTGATCCTATCACGGCTGCGACGTTCTGGGCACCCGTCATCCCGTCATCGAGTGCCACCGCGTTCAACAACTACTGGCAGTTCGGGTCGAACGAAACCGTGCTCGTCGGTGGACCCTACCTGGTCCGCAACGCCAGCATCTCGTCCGGACATCTCGCTTTGCGAGGCGATCTGAACCAAAGTGTTGTTCTCACTGTAGTGGCACCCGAGGACGTCACATCTGTCTCGTGGAATGGCGCCGACATCGCCGTGCTGCCTCAGTCAAAGGGCATCCTCGCTGCAAATATCTCGACCAGCATCTCACCAGAGTCGATCAGCGTCCCGGAGCTTACGGGGTGGAAGTATGCTGATAGTCTTCCCGAAGTATCTACGAACTATTCTGACGCCGATTGGGTTGTTGCGAACCACACGACTACGAACATTTCCCCCGCCATGCTGTACGGAGATGGTCGAGTCCTATTTGGTGAGTGCGCTTCTAGTCTCGTATCCCCTTCGATGGCTGAGCCACTCTTAGGCTGTGACTACGGATAGTAAGACTCGGTCACTATATGCGCGTGAGTTTTGATCTGATGCAGTGGGTCAGTTGTGAAAACATTGTCCTCTGGCGCGGTCACTTCAATGGGACTGGCGCCGAAACCTCCGTCAACCTCACGATCACTGGTGGTATTGGTGAGCCAACGAGCCAACCACAGAAGAGCACTCACTGATCCGGATCAGGCTTTGCTGGATCTGTCTGGCTCAATGGTCGCTTCCTCAATTCCACGTGGAGCGTTTCGGGCGAGCAGAGGACGGCTGTCTATACGTTCCCCGAAGACGCGATATTCATCAGCCAAGAAAATGTTATCACCGTGGTGCAGGTAAGCCGCATCATGTATAGACGGTCCTTCGCTTCTTACGACTCCGATATTTCTACAGGATAATTCTGGTAACGATGAAGGAGACTCCGGTATGTCAAGATAGGTTGCGCCTCTGACGTATCACTGCTCATTACATGAATACATAGCCAAATCGCCTCGTGGTATCTCTGGGTTCCAGTTAAACAGTGGAAACTTCACGGAATGGCGAGTGCAAGGCAAGTTTGGTGGCTATAATGGGTAGGCATCGCGACTGTCGTCCTTTGATATTGCGCCTCAACGTCATCTGTGCTAGGTACCCAGACAAGGTTCGCGGCGTCCTGAATGAAGGAGGACTATATGGCGAGCGCCAAGGCTGGCACCTACCAGGATACGATACCTCCAACTGGACGAGCCGCGATCTGTCCGAAGGTCTTTCCGGGCCCGGCATCGGCTTCTTTGTAACAACCTTCGATCTGTCCATTCCTCAGGAGACAGATGCGATGTTGTCGTTCCATTACGACACAAGCAATCAGACCTACAGGGCGCTACTATATGTCAACGGTTGGAACTACGGCAAGGTGCGCATCTACTAGACAGCAAACGTGACTTTGGTGGACTGACAGACGATCAGCGTGTGGCCAACATGGGGCCGCAAACCAAGTTCCCCGTACCTCCGGGCATCTTGGACTACCAGGGCACTAAGTGAGCAATCATACGACTCGGTTACAGTGGACTTTGTGCTGACGTTCTCTTGAGCACCGTCGCGGTGGCTGTCTGGGCGCTCACCGATGAACCTGTGTCGCCCACGCTCAAGCTGGTTGTCGAGGCCGTGGTTGAGGGAGGCGTAGGCCCAATCCACGCCAACAACCCTGCGTGGTCACCCCGCGATGTTGCCTAACCATGAGCGTAGGCAGCTGCCATCCGTGTCAGCGAACGGCAAGCGAACTCCGTGAGTTAGCACCCTCCATTGGTCGGGTTCCTTGAGCTGTATATGTTACCTTGTTGCTTTTCAATGTATCCATATATGTGCGATGTTCACGCACCAGCGCTTGAACTGTTGCAAGGCCAATGCCCAAAGTTTTGGCACTGGCAACGGTTACCAAATAAGTAAGATGGTATGAGTGGGGTAATCGGGAATCCTGGATTCCGCGAGATCTACATATTCATTCACCTTGTGCACGTTGGTAGCTAGCTGAGCACACAGTACTGTGAAGCGACTGTTACCAGTGTGAGTAGCTGAGGAGCGGCGAAGAGGCAGGAGGCACGTGCCGGGAAAATAAGGTGGCGGCACTCGGAGGAGGAGGAGGAGGAGGAATCCATTTAGCCACCGGCTGTAGGCGCACGTGCGATCCTCAGCGTCTTGACGGTGACAGCGCTCACTATTTACAACACCACGACCCATAGTACTACCGGCTACACTACCATGAACAGTACAAGACATCATCCAATCATCACCATCTTCGACAGGCCCCTAGAGACCACCTCTTCCGACGCGGCCGTCCGAGTCAAAGCAAGCCTTGGCCCACTAGCCACACATGGCTGGGCGGGATTTCCGTGTTAAAACCAGGGAGGAAAATACTGAAAAACCTCCAGGCATCAGTGGCGGTCCCCCGTCCATCTGATATAACTCACACAGTTCCAGGCGAAAGTCGGCCGACATTGGCTGTCCTGAGGTCCCCCGTGCGCTTGACGCGCTCGCATGACGGTACCTAACGCACGGGATGAGATCGGTCGAAGATCGCAGTGACGACGTTCCGAAACCATTGTACCTTGTAGTAGTGTAGCCCATAAGTTCCATAAGCTGCAGCGATGATGTAGTCTCACGCGGGACAACACTGCGAGGCGCTCGCTACGAGAGCTGGAGGAGCTGTTCCTCTGAAGTGATCACCACCATGGGGACATTTTCGCAGAGCAAAAACACGGTATGGACATACTCCGCGAGATGAGTGACGGCGTCCGCATCCCGCGTGACTTCCGCAAGAAGGCGAGAGGCGTGGTCGCCAGCGAGACACGTAGATCTGTGCGCACCGAGAGCACTTGGGCCATGAACCGTTTCCGTGGTTCCACCAGCACCGCTCCCGGACAACGCAGCAGGGTATGCGTCTCGTCTTCAATTGACCCACGTCGCGCGCAGAAGCGACATACTCTCCACTCCCGAGGCACTGGCGGTGTCCGGCGCCTCATTTGTTCGACCGCCAACGGGTGGTCGGACGCGAGCGGACGGATGAGGGCCACACGGTGCTCTCGCCTCGTGATTGACAGGTAATCTCTGCGCTCTAGTACTGGCTCACGCGACGCGCGGGCGGCAAGCATGACGAGGCGTTGTGAGAACGCGATTTCCTGTCGTAGATGCTCCACCAGGGAGATGCGGAGGCGTTCTAGCATGTTGGAGATGTAGTCAGCGGTTAGAGCGGCATGTTTGTCCATCTCCACCGGAACCGGTAGGCTCTGCAGAGCATGATGAAGATCACCCAGCCATGAATCAGCCCCTGCAATTGCCATAGCGCGAGCCTCGGCCAGGGCTGCTAGGGGAACCGGAGGGCGTTGGGAAATTATGTATAGGGCAAACCGCAGCGCCAATGCCAGGCGGCGGTACCGTATCGGCCATAGGCCAGTCTCCGTGAACAGCGGTGTTGTCACTGCTCTAGGGTTGAGCCCCAGCATGCGTCGGAGATAGATATGCTGGACGGACTCGAGGAGCGTCAACGAGGACAACCGTACATACGGGGCGACCTCCGCGCCGCCAGTGAGATGGGGGTCAACGTGCGATTGGTACAGCGTCAGAGCGGCCCACGGCGGCAGCTCAGCCACATATGCTTCCACCGACAGACACGCATTCGCGACTGCTGACAGTGGCTGCGGGCCTGTACAGGACCAACTGTACAGGACCACAGGGGGTGGCGTGTCAGGAGTGAGTCACATCGAGTCATAAGCTGGCTGTACCGGAGCGACCATGCGACTCGCGCGCGAGCGCATGCGCGATGTAGAGCTTTGGCCCAGGCATTGCGCTCGGTAGGGAGTGTTAAATGTGCAGCATCACACGACACGCGCAAGGGATAGACATGAAGATATATTGCACACTTAACAGTAGACGTATAATGTCTCCTCGAGTCCCCCCTTTTCCTCCAGCAGCCAGTCGCGGCGCAAGCCCCGCACAAGGATGGTCGCAAGCGTCGCCTCAGGCATGTCGCAGACAATCTTCGTTGACCATGGAGGCAGTGTAGCCTGTCGCTCGCCCTTGTCGGGCATCGCACGCGTCGCTCTCGGACCGCCTGTATGGCGATTGCGACTTTGCGACTGCTGTGGTGAACGCGCCGCCGACACCCAGTCGGACGGGACCGCCGTTATCTGTTGGCCCGGGCGCGCGGGATGCTGTGTTCGACCAAGGAGTGTACAGGAGGCCGTCCGATGCGTACGGTCTATGTCTGTAGCGGTTTGGGTCGTCGAGAGACACAAGCAGATGAGGGGAGGGAAGCACGGTTGACAGCAGGCGCCCGTAGCGAGCACGCCGTCATCCGCATCAATCCTTCGACATCCATCAAGGCAACCGCCGCAGACCGCGAGACAAGCCGTCTGGAACCTCCAGTGCAGCCGGGCTATCATTCGCGGCCCTTTCTCGCGCGGGGAGCTGTCGTACATATGAGCACGGACAGCTTTTCGTACGAGCGCCGTACATCTGAGGACGGATAACCATCCGCTCAGTCCGACTACGCAGCAGGGGGCCCCTCCCAGCGCAGAGGCCATACTGACAGATAGCCGGATCCTGAGGTCGTCCACTCTGTCATTGGCTTAGCCCGACTACCCAGCAGGGGACTCCTCCCATCGGAGAAGCCATACTGACGCGCCTACTCGACTACTCAGCAGGGGACTCCTCCCAGCGGAGAAGCCATACTGTAAGCGAGAGGAGGGTCTTGTAGTCGTCCCACCTCGTCCAACGGCGTCGACGGCTCTCTATCGAGGAGATCCTCTCGGGTTCGATCTTTGCAAAGCTCCCCCCGAGCAGTGTTCGTTTCGAACTCGAGTTGATGACCGCCAACGACGCAGATATCGGAGTACTTGGGCGAACCGTTCACGCAATGGTTCGCTGGGAATGCTCGGCCGCACCAGTGGATCGATTATCCAGTATCGCAGCGCGCTCAGTACCGAACAAGTTGCATGCGTGATTTGGGCAGTGTTCGTTTCGAACTCGAGTTGATGACCGCCAACGACGCAGATATCGGAGTACTTGGGCGAACCGTTCACGCAATGGTTCGCTGGGAATGCTCGGCCGCACCAGTGGATCGATTATCCAGTATCGCAGCGCGCTCAGTACCGAACAAGTTGCATGCGTGATTTGGGCGCGGATGCTCACCGTGCGCGATCGGGGTTGGCCGGGTATAGCTGTAAGCGCCTGCGGTCGCTGGCCCGTCATACGGCGGCGGCTGGACCAATCGCCACACACCCTTTGCTCATCGACCACGACGATGTTCAGGCCGGCCTCCTCCTCGCGTGAGTCGCAAGTTCCTTCAGTCTGAGTTGAGTCCACAAATACTGACATTAGCTATGATAACTTTGATAGAAATAGCGAGGCCGTTTCGGGCGAAGCTTAACTTGCGGCGGTCGTTTGCGACGGTGCAGGACCCACCGCCCAGGCGATACGGGGGTCTGAAGGACCAGGACCGCATTTTCACAAATGCGTATTGTAGACATGACCATGGGCTGAAGGGGGCACAGGTGAGATACAGCTGTTATACGATACCGCTCAGTTGACACTATATCGTCCCTGACGTATCCAGGCTCGGGGGGACTGGCACAAAACGAAGGATATCGTTCTGAAGGGCGACTCGTGGATCATCCAGACCATCAAGGACTCCGGTCTCAGAGGTCGTGGAGGCGCTGGTTTCCCCAGCGGTTTGAAGTGGAGTTTCATGAACAAGCCTGGCTGGGAGAAGGACCCAAGGTATGTACCTCTGCATCGTACACGGAGTCCGTGTCCTGACTCTCTACAGACCTCGCTACCTTGTTGTCAACGCGGATGAAGGGGAGCCCGGAACGTGCAAGGACCGGGAGATCTTGCGTGGTGACCCGCACAAGTTGGTCGAGGGCTGTCTCGTCGCTGGTCGTGCAATGAACGCAACCGCCGCGTACATCTACATCCGTGGCGAGTTCTTCCAGGAGGCGGCCCACCTCCAGCAAGCCATCAGCGAGGCCTACGCGGCGGGCCTCATCGGCAAGGACGCGTGCGGCAGCGGTTACTCCTTCGATGTCTACCTGCATCGCGGTGCAGGGGCGTACATCTGCGGTGAGGAGACAGCATTAATCGAGTCCATTGAGGGCAAGCAGGGCAAGCCGCGCCTCAAGCCCCCCTTTCCCGCGGACGTGGGCTTGTTCGGCTGCCCAACCACAGTGGCCAACGTCGAGACCGTTGCGGTCGCGCCGACAATCTGCAGGCGAGGCTCTGCGTGGTTCGCGGGCTTCGGTCGTGCACGGAACCAGGGTACGAAGTTGTTCTGCATCAGTGGACACGTGAACAACCCTTGTGTCGTCGAGGAGGAGATGAGTATCCCACTCAAGGACCTCATCGAGAAGCACTGTGGCGGCGTGGTAGGCGGGTGGGACAACCTCCTGGGTATTATCCCCGGTGGTAGCTCCGTTCCTGTTCTGCCTATCAAGCAATGTGAGGAAGCACTGTGAGTTGACATGGGAACGTCCACTCTACCGCCGGGACTGATGGTGTTTCGTCAGGATGGACTACGACTCGCTTAAAGACCTACAGTCTGGTCTCGGAACGGGTGCGGTTATCGTAATGAACAAGAGCACCGATATCGTCAAAGCCATTGCCCGCTTCGCTCATGTAAGTAGACTCTTCTGCATCACTCGGATTCCAATTGACTTATCATCGTGCCCTAGTTCTACAAACACGAGTCCTGCGGCCAATGTACCCCCTGCCGAGAAGGCACGACCTGGATGATGAACATGATGGACCGCTTCGTTGAGGGCCGGGGGCACCAGCGCGAGATTGACATGCTTCTCGAGCTCACCAAGCAGGTCGAGGGGCGCACGATCTGTGCGCTGGGTGACGCCGCCGCCTGGCCGATCCAGGGCCTCATGCGTCACTTCCGCCCGGAGGTCGAGAAGCGTATCGAGCAGTTCCGTGCGCAGAACGGGACGGTGCTCTTTGGCGGTCGTCTCAAGAGCCAGACGGACCCCACCCTTGCTCTCCCGGATAATATGGGCGCTAATCTGCCGGAGGTCGCCCCACCCGCACAGCAGTGAGCGAGACGGTGGCAGCAGTGTTGGTCGAGAGAGGTATAGTAAGGACGCATGCGCGCGCAGCATGTATGTAGTTCTGGTGGCTATATGACAGAGTTTCAGACTTGACTATCCTCCTTGACGGGTGCCGGCGGTACGTGTGCGTTGGCGTTGGCGGCGGAAGACACTGGACAGGATCTAGGGATGGGCGCACGCACAGCCCGGTCGCTCAACTCTGGCGTTGAGCTTCTTGGACACGTTCCATCGCACGTTATGATACGTCCCTAGAATGAGCAGGACATGATGATCTGTCGCGTGGTCAACGTCAAGACCGGCGAGAGTGATGCGGACACGTCCCCAGGTCAGTCAATGAACGTCCATTCTGAGACCTCGAAGATCATAATATCTCCAGAATCAGGTTGGCGACATGTTACTGGCGAGGGCCGAACGGCGTAATGTCGTATACATACTAATCATGTGAGTATTCTGTGGCCAACGTCGTCTTCGAGATAGTGCGACTGCAGTGGCGTCTGTCCCGGCTCGAGACACTGGCAGATGGGCGCCTGCAAATGCGCGAGCCGCCTATCCATATGCGAACTTGACGGACTAATGACTGGTTTAATGTCGCGTTCATGCTTGATTTCGTTGTGCCTTCGGGGGTGCACGAGACGCAGTGATTACCGCGATCATATCAGCCTGATATTAGCATCATTTTTGTGAGCCTAGTAGCCAGGTGCGTGGTGCGTTGGACCCGGACACTGGCAGCAGCGCGCAAGGCGCTGTCGCGGAGCTGTCTTGTGAGTTGATCCTGCTTATTTGGCTCGGTACCGTTCACTCACTAGACGTGGTATGCATGTCGCGCGCAAGCCGAAGTTCTCGGGTCTTCGAGGTACCCAGCAGGAGTGTCGTGCACACGACCTACTAGGTGCCCCCATCGGGCCAACTTGTGCATGCGCAGAACATCCATGCGCTCGATGCCGGCGCAGGGAGACGCCGCCACGAACGGCGGGTGCAATCAATTAGAGTTCGCTGCAGAGCAGGATGCCCGTATTTGGACCTGACGTCTTCGCAGGGAACCACAGCTATCTATCGCATTACATACACCGTTAGCAGCGCGCCCAGGGGCGTTTGCCATCTCCGCAGAGCGTGCCGGCCCACAAAACGACGAGCCAGCGATAGCGCACGCACCGTGTCGACCCTTCCCAGCATCAGGCCCACAATGTCGTCGACCACCAACTCCTCTTCGTTCCCGATCACAGAGGCTCAGCTGGTCGCACTGTTCATGGAAGCCGTTGCGTATGGAATCCACGTGGTCACCTTCATACAATGCCTGTATACCTGGTTCCTGAGGCTCCGAGACCCCTCGAAACCCTCCAGGTCGTGGCCATGGATGTCTGTTGCGGTCATCTTATTCGCAATCGGCACGCTCGATGTGTCCTTCAATCTATACCACAATCTGTATGCCTTCGTGATCTACAAGGGTCCCGACGGCGCGGAATCGCAGTTCAACGATTTGTCGAACTGGGTCAACGTCATGCGGGTACGTGTACCACCACATGGCGAACCACCCTGTGCTAACCAACCTGCAGAGCGTCTGGGCTCGATTAAGCGCCACGATCTCTGATGCAGCACTCGTACGTGCTTTGTTGGAATACTGAGGCTCTCAATATTGAGTTGAATTATAGATATCCCGACTGTGGATTGTCTATACATCCATGGAAGTCCACCTTTTCGTCGTTGCCGTGCCTATACTGCTTTGGTTAGGCGCCACCGCCTGCGCGGTTATGGACATTGAACTCCTATCCACCCTCCATCTGTCGAGCTCGATACCCGGCGAACAACGCCTACGACCGTACCTAGTCGGTTACTACGTTATGACCCTCGTCTTGAATGTCTTGGCCACGGGTATGTCTTATCTATGCCGTATTCGCCAGTCGGCGTTCTCATGCGATCGTACCCAGGCTTGATCGTGTATCGCATCTGGGGCGTCCACCACGGTACCACCGGATTCTACAGGAGTAATTCACTTGGCACAGACCGTGTCACCAAGACCATCCGGATTTTTGTAGAGTCTGCGCTGCTCTACACCGTCTCAGTAACAGTCAGCGTCATCGTCGAACTCGCAAAGTCGAACGCGTACTACGGAACCAGTGATCTTGTAAGTCAACGACCCATTGCCTCATTGACAACGTACTCATCATTCGACGCTGACAGAGCGTGGAGCTTGCGGGAATAACTTTCGACCTTATCATCATACGGATCTGGCGAGGTGTCACGGCGGAACAGAGCCCTGCCTTTGCACGGTCCTGGAACCGAGAGGTGGACGCACGGAGAGACGCGGCACGGGAAGTGACTTCGATCGACCGCAGCAGAGCTGTGTCACCAATCGTTGTCCGCCTCGAGACTATATGCGTCGACAACGGAAAGGATGGCCGTTGATACCCACTCCTGTAACACAATACCCCCTGGTCCATCGTACTGATTCCGCTTGTTGTGCTCTTAGCCTCTCGTTTACCCGTTGTTGTGATGTTAGCCGCGCCTGTATTTGTATCACTGCAGCACGATGCTTTGACTTGTAGAATACCTGTAGCCTCACGTTTATTAGTATACGTCTTTGGTAGCTGGGATAGTACACTCATTACGCCAGATGAGGGTGTATACATTGGAACAATGTCTCCTGTCCCGTCCGAGTGTGGACATTGTCGACCTGGGCGCCGTGCGCGTCCCCTTCGTCGAGGACAGTCTAAGGAACGGGCCCAAGTAAAGACTGCATTACATATGCATGCCCCTCGAATTTGACCTGTTTCCTTGTGAACGGCCTTCCACTATTCACCGGCGATCCAGTCACCTAGCCACCGCCGTGTCAATCACGACATGTACGTCGTAGTGCTCCAGACGCTGACATTATACACATTTAATTAGCCTTGAGAAGGCGATACACCAGTGACATTTATTACATATTCCGACCCCTCGCCCCAAAGGTCAGTTCTAAACGGCCAGTGTACAAGTAGACAGGGTATGATACATCACTTCGACAGCAATGCTTTCCGAGAATCACACGACCTGGCTCTCGCCGTCACCATCCCTCCATTTGACATCCATCCGTAGACTATTTCGACAATGGAGTCTCGTCCTGGCATCTTGACTGTGATCGATGACGAGACATCTCCCGGGTGCAGTGAAATAGCGTAGCGCAGCCGTGCCGTGGACTTCGTCGTCATTTGCGTGATTGTGATGACCCATTGGGATTCCTTGAAGTTCCTCCCCTCCCCCTCCTTCGTTGGCGATCGGGAGTGCGCTCGTCCGGTTACTGTGCCGACAACCACACCCGCCGGCCCTGTTCGAAAGACTGCATAGTCGTCCGCCGGCCCCGCGCTGAGCTTCGATCAGTACTGCACCGCTGAACTTCAAGTTGGTCAGCTCAGTCGACGCTCCGGTCCAGATACGTATGATCATCAAGTCGAAAGATATGCCGGCGGCCTCGAGGCTCTGCAGACAAGGAAGTGCCAGTGAGCGTCGGATGCTGTGCAGTTGAGTAGCAATGAAAGACTCACGATGTCCGTGATACCGTAGTATGCGTTGGTCCTAGCGAGGTCCAACACGACGCAGAATACGACTGTCGTGGTGTACAGAAGCGCAGATTCGACCGTGATCCGGATGATATCAGCGAAGTTCAGCCGCTTGCGAGTCGGCAGGTAGGTATCACCTGAGTTATCTTGATGACGCTCCCAACATTTTGAGATAATGAGGCCTGTCGCCGATAGTGCCACGGCGTTAGTGAGACCTTGACGTGAGGCACGAGAAGGACATACCGGTTGTGAAGAGATTCAGCACAACCGTCGTCACATAGAATGAATACAAGAATGGCTGGAGTTGCGGGATCATAGGTATTGTAGTGGAGGCGTCCACGGTGCTGAGGTAGTATATGATCATGGAGGCGAAGGATATGCACGCTGCCCAAAGTATTGTGGGTACGATGACCACTATTGCGCGGTGGTAAGGCTTGGCGTCATGGTAAACCTTCCAGCAGCGATAAATCTGCGCGGGGCGTCAGTGGAAACATGGTGAGTCACGTTCTCATCATGATTGTTGTCCTCACCAAGGCCGCGTCAGAGAGAGCAGCATTCATGTAGAACCACACGCTCTGGAGAATCAACATCATTGCTCGTTTGCCACGGAACAAACAAAGGCAGTACTTACGCGCATGACATTTGACCCAATTGGATGCTTGATCGAAGACTTCAGTCGGACTCATCCCTATGGGCGCCGTGATGAATGCCATGAGATTGTGGTAAAAGTTGAAAGCGACGTCGCATGTGCCGATGACGAAAAGCCCGATGGCGATCGACAACCATATCCGGGACGCTGAAGTCCAGAAGTTGTTCGACTGGTTGAACCAAGTGTACATACAGATAGCGAACGTCACGACATGGATGCCGTACGCTATGCTCTGCATGAACAGCGCGGCCAGCTGTGCCTGTGGAATAGGGAACGCCCCCATGGTGTACTAGAGCGCTTCGCCTGCGGGGTAATATTCATGACTGATCTTTCTCTGCGAAGGAAAGCTTTATACGAGTCAATCTGCCACGGTGCGCAGGGCTGTGGTGCTGGTGGACGTACGGATGTTCTAGCGCCGCAACTCGGAGGGACCACCAGAAGTTGCATCCCTGTTCGCGATAACGGAACGCAGTCAGAGACAATGCTCGGAGCGCGTTGCCGTCGAAACGAGATGCAGCTTCAGCGCTGATGACGGTGGATCACATCGTTCTACGTGACGTAAACCTTGTGAAGTGGACTCTGTGGCAGGTTCCTGAACCACACTGTGCTGAGTGGGAAATGTGCCGCATACAACCGCCGAATAGTCCGAGTCCCAGAGGAGACACGGCAGCGCGACTAAAACTAGCACTGCGATGATCAATCCTGAGTCCCGCCGTGAAAATTCGAGTACCTGGGGCTTATGACGTTGTACATCCTGTCAATTGCAGTATTCTCTTAGTAGGCGTACCTTGTCAGCCATTTCGTGCTGTATCAAAGCCTGTCACTCCGCCGGTAGTGCGGGGCGAAGCTTAAACGTCGCGCAATGACACCTCGCAGTGACCAAAAAACCAGAGTGCAGAGCTTGTAGAGGAGTATGATCGCGCAGGTCATCCACGCCAGCCAGAGCACCAGCAGCGCGATGGCAACCCCGGCCCGGTATCGCCAACTTGAATCACCGCGGGCAAACCAGGTTTTTCGGGCTCCGAAAATGCTAATAACATCGGTCCTCCATGGGAACCTTTTCGGAGAGCTTGACTGACTCCGAAAATGCTCCTACATTTCTCATGTTCGTAGCATGTTCGCCGAAAACACGCATGTTCGGCACAGTGTTGTGCCTCCTGGCCGGAATCCGACCAAGTCGACAGTTCCGACTGACCGGTCGGAGATCCGACCATTCCGCCCGCAGGAATCCAGGAATCCACGTGATATGTCGCCGCCGGTGGCGGTCGCCCGCGCGCTGGTAGCGGATGAACATCGAACGGGCACGTTTACAGTGGAATTGCGCGGGAAGGGGGGGTTTGTAGGGCCAGCCATATAGTACAGTAGATACGTGATATAGAGTATCAAATTTTGCCTACGAATGAGCACCATTTTCGCCAGTATTGTCTGTCTCGCCCTCGGCATCCATGTCCAGCAACTCATAAAACTCCAATTCCTCTTCCAGGCTACGAACTGCGCTCTTTTTATGGAGCTCCTGCCAATACACGGCCGTTGGATCGATGAGGCCCTCGAGTGTGATCGAGATAGCATTTGGGTCACGGCCGCGGCGTCGAGACATCAGAACTTCGGCGATTTCACTGACGGGCCGTGACGGGCGCTGACGCTTGCTGAAATCCCGGTTTCACATAACGTCAGCGTATCAGACATCAGCAACACTGGGCGGATTTCAGCAAGCTGATCGAAATGCAGCGATCGTGCCGTTAGAATCTCGTTAGATAGCTCACAGCCGTAACGGCACCGTTAGCACGTTAGCACGTCAGCACATCAGCATGACATTTCTACAGTCCGTCTCGACAAATATATTGACTACTTATGATACAATCTATGTTCGTGCAATACTATGCATGTACATAGACTCGTCTAATGCTGGCGGCGCTCATCGGCGCCCACACTCGCCACCACTCGTATGCACCTACTCCCGCTCATGCGTGCTCATCGTCTGCTTGCCTCCACTCGTCCCCGCGGGCACCTGTTCGTCCGTGTCCGCGCCCGTTGCTCACTCCCTCCCACTCCCATTTGCCCTTGTCCGTCCGCGCTCGGTATACTCGTGGGGCATGTTTGCGCGTCGGGCTGTTGTCCGTCCTGCTCATGGTCGGCGTGCCTGCTCGTCCGTGCATCAATCCGCGCCTTGGTGTCTGCGACCTCCGCAGGGCTTGGTCTTGTTCAGGCCCACTGTGCGCTCGTGGTCATCGTGCGTGCCCACTTGCCGTTCATCATACCCGCGGCCGGCATGGTTTGTAACGTGCCCATCTACCCCATATTTGCCCCTAGCGTCCCATTCCCACCTTCAGCTGAACTCCGTTTCTCCGAGGCGTGCGCGCCCAACCGTCAACTGTATCAGCACACTCAGTACGCTCTGTGGCTTGGGCCGTTCTCGCAAGTTGCAGTGGTGGAGCACCGTCGGATGGGGTTGACCAACAAGCTCTTGAACTCTTCGAGAGATCCGCTCTCCCTCCATCGAAAAGGAGTTTGTCAGTAGCGTGATTTTATACAGAGCGGAGCCGACTGACTATTGCTCGAGCTCAACGACGGCGGGCCCTTCACAGTATGCCCCACTCCTGGTGGCATCTCACCCGCTTGCTGCAGCCGCGCTCCTCGTGTGGTGCGGCCGGTCCTCGCCCATCGGCAGCACAGACACGGGTGTCGGCGGGTAGCTTCGTGCTTCAGGCCGACGCGTCTTGGATAAGTGCGACGTTGGTTGATGCCGGAAGGGGATAGGCAAGAGGCGGGAAGGGACAGGATAAGGTCGACGAGCCGGACTGAGGGGAGACGCGCCTGCTGTTAACGTTGATGCTGCCGACGTGGCTGCGTTTCATCTCGACATCGCAGTCGTCGGGGCCGGGGGTAAGCGGCTGGCCCTCGCCAGGCAGTCATTTTTGTCGAGCGTAGGTGCGTTGGGTGCGGCGATCCTCGTCAGGGGAAGCCGGGCAGCTGTGAGACGGCGGGACTTGACGCGTCGAGTGGCCTTTGGGCTGTGGTACAGCAGTTGGATTTGGAGCTTGAAGCGCGAGCGCGAGGGGACGGGAAGAACGTGTGCGTGTGGGGCTTGTACTTGAATGAAATCGGACAGGTGGGGATACACGCGAACGAGTAGTAGGACGTGGATACTGAGTAACTTAGGACGCGCACGAGGCTTACCTTGCCGACACCGAAGTCGCCAATGAGGAGAAGCTTGAAGAGGTAGTCGTACTCGCTAATATGCATGGCGGTGAGGTCGATTGGGCGCAGGCGAGGGAGGGCAGGATGCTGTCGAGAGGGCGGCGGATGTGCGGTAGAGGTTCAAGTGCGCTAAGTGCTAATTGCTAAGCGCCTGAGCCACGACACGCCGTGCGCGCTTGCCACCCTTCCACGCTCTCGTCGACCTCGTCCGCCTCCTTCGTCACCGATGAACCACTCGACCAGCGGCGCTGTAGAGCGGCATCATCGGGCTCGCTCTTCCCGCCAGCTCGTCCATCTACCTGAAGCGCGACTCTCAGCCCTTGTTTCTCGCGCTGACGACCCTCCTCAAAAAATTCCTCACCTGGACTGCCTCCTGACGTGTTAAGCCCCCGCCACCCTAAGGCTGCACGCGAGGTTGTACGACCCCTCCGCACATCTCACAGCTGTCCGGCCCCTGCTGACACGTCAAACGAAGGTCGCGGCGCCCACGCCAGCATACAACGTGGACAGACGAACCGTCGGCCATGTGACACACGAACAACGGGTACACGCCGACGTACAATGCGAGGTCGCGCGAGCATTGGCAAGCCCGGATGCGTACACATCACAGGCACTCCGAAGAGACGGGGCCCGTCGCGAATGCGAACAATCGCGGGGACTCGGGCGCACAAAGCACCGGCTCATGTTCGACGAGCAGGGCAGGAAGCCAGAGGGAGGGTGAGGCTGAACAACAACGGTAAGCACCCTTAGGGCCCTCTTCATCACCCTCTCTCCCCTGCACGTATTGTGTGCACGTTTACCCTACTGACGTGCTCTCGCCTACGCGCAGCTCGCATGCTGACACGCCGACACTTCGCAGCCCTGCACCTGCGCCGCACCCCCGCCACTCGCCCGATCCGCCGCTCCAAGATCCTACAACACCCCTGTACGTCTCGCGATCATCCCGTCATCCCGAGTGCCCCGCGCAAAGACCGTCTTAGCGGGCTACACCGACTCGAGTAGGACGTGTCCTCTCGTGCAGAGCATGTCTGCCAACTCCCTCCCTCCACGCTAAAGCCGTGAGGCTCACTACACAAGCCCACGCTCCGTACTACGACCGACCAACACGCGCTGTCACCCTGCGCGAAGACGACAAAGCCCGCCGGATGTACTATTGCTAGGTGCTCGAGTTGCGCGCAAGTCGTGCAGGTTAGGTAAGCACGCCTGTCTGTCTACCCTCGGCGCCCCTTCCTCCACCTCTGCACGCGCATTACGCCCGTCTGACCCTATTTGCCTTGCCTGCAGTGCATATCTCACAACTACTCAGCTCACTGATGCAACTTGGCCAAGCAAAGACCGTGTCAGCTGCGCCCGCATCGAACGTGAAGACGGACTAACAGTCAGCATTGCAACACAAGACAAACAGGCCCACGCATACGTAGTACAGCACGACGACCCACCCGCTGACACCGTCTCGCCAGGCTCGTACACCTGCTCATCTGCCCATCCACCCGCGGACGGGCCCATGGACCTGTAGCACCTGCTCGTGACCCATACCCACTGCGGAGGGTCTGTACCCGGATGGACCATATGAACACTAAGGATACAGTAGCTACGAAACTACAATAATGTCGACGTACACTGCATATTATTAAATCAGCCGTCGTATGAATTTATCCATTAGTGGTCAGAATGTCAGTCATCAGTGCGTCAGCACGTCAGCAATGAGCACAAATTCTATCTGATGTGTGAACTGTCTGACGGCCACGTTAAATGCTAACGGTATCTGACGATTTGGCGTTACATACCGTCAGCATATCAGCAACCGTTAGAACCCGTCAGTGAAATCGCCCTTTTCCTGATGGAGCCACTGGCACTGCCGCTCGCTGTTGCGCTGTCGGCGTCAACATCGCGGCGGTCATCGCGCGCACTGCGCGACAAGTGCGTGGCGATCTGGCTCATCGAGGCTTCGTTGTTGAGCATAGCTTCGCCTTCGGAGACGTCTGGTGGCGGCCGCGGCGCAGAGCCGCGGTTAAGAGTGAATGACATATCACTGGCAGCAGCAGCTGCTGCCGTAGCGGAATGCGTCGTCGAACGTCCCTCGGGAATACCGAAGTGTCGTTTGAGTCGCGCCTTCACGTCCTTGCGAACGTTCTCGTCGCGGAGGTGCATTCTGAGCTCCGCAATGTTGAGCAGAGTGTCGTTCTTCATGCGGGCTCGTAGCTTCGTGAGTATGTTGCCAAGTAGTAAGCTGAATAACCGTTCACATGATGCCGAATTCGCAGTTATGGAGAGAACGCGAACGGCGAGGTCGGCAAGATGTGTGGTGCGCGAGCCCGGAACAGAGATGTCCTCCCAGACACGGAGAGGATCTGGGCTTTCACCCTGCAGGAAATATGAGAATGACTCGGAAAAGAAAGGCTAATGGACGTGCTGTACAGCTTACCCTCTCAATGCTGGTATCAATGACGAGCTGTGCATAATCCTTCATCTGGCTGAAACGCCCTGTCCCAAGGAGGTATTCTTCGACCTCTAACTGGAACTCGACTGGCACCCTATCACACTTGTAGAAGCGTTTGTAGAGTCGTACGAGCAACAGAACGAGGGAAGCGCGGGACGTGGTTGCACTAGGCTTGAAAGGAGCTGCTCTGTGGTAGGGATTTAGGATAACAGCGGCAATAAAGACGTCCTGGTCGCATTTCCCCCAGCGCAATTCAATGCTCCGGAGTACATTTGAGCGCACAGTTGCATCGGCCAGATCATGGAGTCCTTTGTAGTGGAGATAGAGCCATGCAAACGTCAGCAATACCTGATCAAGGCGACAATGATTGGCTTGAGTGATCATGGATGCTATTGCAAGAGGCTCCAGGTGATTCTTCATGCTAAAATTGGCAATTAATATAAACTCTGTTGAGGATTTGAATCAAAACATACCGTGCAAGGTTATGCCAAAATACGGGACTGTCAATGATCTCAACCATCTCATCGGTCTTGCGGAGGCTGTCACGGGTCCCCGAGTTGTGAAGATTTGGATGATCCTTGAGGATACGGAGAGCAGTATGAAGGTCAAGCAAGCGCTTGTAGGATAGGTAGTGAGTTGTCCACCGAGTGAGAGCAGCAAGTATAACACTCAGGGGAGTCTTGCCATTGTTCTCTTGGATCTCTCGCAGTAGCGCAAGAAGGAACGTCCGGCTCCGGAGCCAGACAATGACCTCGTTTGCCTGTTCGGCACAAATGGTAAACCACGAGTACGTTTCTTCATCGTCAAAATAGTCGCCAACAATGAGATTGATCTACAGTCAAGTTGGCGATCATCTCTACGGTTATCATGATTGTGCCAAATACATACCTGGTGCCCATAGCAATCAGGAAGTACCAGATCTGCGCGCTCGAGAGCTAGTCGAGACCGTGCTCCGCGTGCATCACCACCACACATCAGGAAAAAGGTATTTTAGGCATAGCGGCTGCCCTAGATACATCGCCAGGATAGGTGCTATCAGTGTCATAGCTGCTGGCACCTACTATATAGTCGTCCATAGCGCCTTGTAGACGATCATAGGTGGTAGATAGGGTCCCATAGGAATATCTTACGGTAGATAGCAGTCCATTGTGGCTGTAGAATAGGTTGTGTCGTAGTACCGTTGATAATGGTATCAAGAGAAATGGTTGTGATCATAGACTTTGCGGCGGTTCTGACATCAGGAAGCCACCCAAAATGTAATATATCTCTGTAGTGTCAATCCACTAGCATTACATTTTCCTGACTAGTATAATACACAACGGGACATGTACAAGACGGCAGATCTGTAACCAGCCAACACGCGTCCGAGCAGTGGCCGTCCGGTGGTTCGCGGTACGAAGTGCATTGCTGACATATATACTCTGCAGGCCTTGCAATTGTCAACTGGCGCGTGCACGACATGTAGGGTCATGCTCACCGTCTAGCTCCTCGAGGCATCCTTGTGTCGACACCTGGTCAGCTGGATGTTGCGCGTCGGGGGTGCGAGGGCATGCGAAGCGCGGCAGGCCGTCATGGTGCCTTCCCGGTAAGATCGCACGGATGGGAATCACGGGCGCCGGTTGCTCGTTTCGACGTTTGTCGATGCCGGTGGTGACTGAGATGCAAGGGGAGCGAGACGAGTGGGTTGCGCTACATGGGCAGGCGTCAGTGGTAAGTAGTAAGTAGTTAGTACGTACGCAGGCAGCGCGCTGTACCACCTTGTGTCAGCGAGGTGCGTCCTGCGACGGCGAATGATGACACTGTTGGCATGCAGTTGTACATCGGCTGTGTCCCGAGCCTCGCGTTCATGCTCGCCATTGCGTACGACGCGCGACCCGTGTCATGTTGTTGTTGTCAAGCGGCGATGCCGCGCGACGTGAGTTGCTGGCCGGTACACGGAGGCAGTGGCGAGGTTGGTACCTCCAGCGAGGACGTACCTGTGTGCCTCGAGCCTTTGTGCTTACTTTCCTCGTCGCGATCTTCCTCCTCCTCCCTGGCGTGCTTCTCGTAACACATCCCCTCCTTCCCCTTCGCCTTGCCCTCTCTTCCTGCCCGCTCCGCGTCGGTGGTGTCCGTGCTGCTCTCAGTTTGCGGCGCTGGACTTGCGCGTGCGTAGGGTGGGCGACAGTGACTGGCCGGCCGCAGAGGAGGCCCTGAGCGAACCACGGTCGTCGCCTTGCTGAGACGTAGTTGGCTTGGGCGCAAGCATGGCTTGCTGTGAGTTGGAGCGAGTGCGGGTGGGCGAGTGTGGATGGGTGAGTCGTGACGCAGACAGCAGAGTCGCAGACGCCGGGGAGGGCTCGTGTCGGAAAATTCCGAGGCGGGCGCTAACCTTGACTCAGCGTCGTGCGATGCGCGCTGTGACTTGTCGTCCTTTGTGTCTCCCAACATCACTCAGCCCTCGGCCTCATCTTGGTACTGTCGCACGTCGCATCCGCCATCAGTCTGAGTGCCAACGCATCAACAAGTCGAGCGCGCTACAGCTCATGCCCACTGCGCGAAGACAGTGGGTATTGTCGGAAGACTCTCCGGTGAGTGCCACGTCACACTGCGTGTGTGGTAGCGGTTGCGGCTGACATATCAATACCGGAGAACGAATAGGCTTACACTGGCAGCCTGGTCGTCCCGCCATCACGCAAGTGTTTGCCGTTGCAGACGCAGATGCGTGAGCACGGTATGGGTGCCAGTGGGACAACACTGCTTCCAACTCGGACCCGCATGGTCCGTTTGCGCAGTGAAGTCACCCGTGTGCGGCACACGCCAACAGTGTCACCGTCCCCTTCTTATCCACTCGTACGTGTACGCACGTGCACTCGCTGTCGCCCATTATGACAGGGTGCTCTTCCCAGAAGCAGAGGCCGGAGGTGGTCAAGGTCGAGTGGATGCGCGCGTGGACGCATCATGCGTGGGCGCGTCGTGTGTGGGCGCGTCGTGCGTGCTGGTGCACCTACGTTCAGGTGAGCCAGTGCTTATCTCTCACTCCTTTGCCTTATAAGAACCACAGACATGACAGGCTTGATAGGGGCTGGGGCTGAGTGTGAGTCCGGAGACGGGGTGTGCAGAGGGTCAGGTGAGCCACATAACTTCTTACAAGAAGCTTACATTTGGCGCTATTATAGCGATGAGCAGGACCGCGGGCTCGACACATGACAACAACGAGCGCAAGTTACGCAGCACCCGTGGGCGTGAGCGATGAACGTACTGACATAGCCTAACAAGCGGACCGTTCTGCAAGCAAACACGGCCGGTGAGCACGATCAGGAGAAGGACTGAGAGGACAGAGTACGATGTGCATAAAGGAAAAAGGCGTAGAGTACAAGTATGGCCGGCAAATGTACGGTGGGTGCGAACGCAGTGACAAGCACCGTGGCTGTCCAGTGTTTGTAGTGATATCATGTCTGTATGAGCATCTAAATATATCTGTGTTTAATTCTCTGATTCTTGCAGCAAGAAGCAATGATTTTACCATTCCAGCACCATGAGCTCCAGTATGACCGTCTATAGCTGAATTATGGTATGGTATAGTACCAGACAGTGGTACTATAGGCTACTATGGAGTGTAAGCCCGCCGCTATGTGGTGCTACAGGGCGCTATGTACCTGTGGGCCGGAGCTATCACATGCAATAAAGTTGGGGGTTCGCAATGGCACTATGAGTGCTATCTTACCTACATCAGTCTACATCGTGATTGTCTTTTTTCCTGATGCAATCTGTAGTGACGGCAATGACAGTAACATTCCACTCCGATTCCGCCAAGCGGATGACTTCACGCATCTTCTGCAGAAGGTTTTCTGCGTCTTTGCGTTCGCGTGACGTATCATAAGTCTTGAATGCATGAACCTGCAAGCCCTGACATTTAGTGGCACTGTCATAACACAGCAAAACATCAAATGATATACCCGTCTCTTAACAGTAAGCATGAATGCAACAATATGGTGCTTATTCAACCCCGTCCAGCCATCCGTCTGGACAGTCGCAAGACCACCTGCGGCATGCTGCTTGGCCTCAGTGCGGAACCGCTCCAACTCCGCCGGAATGAGGCGATTTGTAAGCACCTTGCGCGACGGGACAACAGCGCCAGGGCAGAAGTTCTCGAAGAAGCTCAGTGTCTCCGAGTTAGCTAACCAGTTCAGCGGGAAGTTACACGCAACAGTGAGACGGGTAAGGCCAGACTCAAACCGCCGCTGTCGCTCTTCAGACCAGGCTGGGAGTGAGGCACTCCCTTGGCGAGACAAGGGCGAGGCTGTTGAGCGACTGCGTTTCGGAGGTCGATGAGGGGACCCAGCCGGAACAAGAACAAACGGGCTGTTCGTCGATGGAAGCCCAACAACAGCCTGAGGTAGGGAGGACAAGCCGTGCCCAGCTGACGACGCAAGGCTAGGGGTTGGCGAAGGGAACAGCGCACCAAATGGGGAGGCAGCGGCAGGCGAGCTCTGTGTACTCGGCCCGGCGGCGGGTGTCGTTGCAGAAGAACCTGGCGTAGTACCGGTGGTCCCGCTGAATGGAAGCAGTGGAAAGCTTGTCAGTGGGCTGGGCTGCATGCCGGCGATGTTCGGCGATGTTGCGCTAACGCCGCCAAACAGCAAAGATGACGGGCCCGCTGCCGTGTTGAGTGCCGGTTGACCCTGTACTAGCGCGGCGCCCGGCGGTGACGTACCGAACTGCGGGGCAGGGAGTGAGGGTAGCGCCGCAAACGCGGTGTCGTACTGGCGTTTGCTAACGCGGCGCGGGGAGAGGTTCTTTGCGGCATGTTCATTTTCGGCGCGATCGCGAACGGTTTGTGGCTGCGACTCACAGCCTCGGAGGTGTCGAAGGCAATTCTCGCCGCGGCTCTCGAACCAGCGGTCCTGCTGTGCACTATGGTGCCTAGGATGCGGTTCGAGGCTCCAAACTACAGAAAATCAGTCATCAATCAACTACAATAATTTTTCACTCACGGTAGGCCTTCAGATTGTCGTCAGACCGCCGTTGAAGCAGCCGGCCCGCGTCAACGGCAGCCTGATCCTCTCCCCGCACCCTATCGAGCTGCCTGTCGAAGCATTGCTTACACCACACCTTCACCTTCCCTCCTTTCGTGCGACCTTCGTTCGTGTTCCTGCTGTGTGACATGGGGTGATCATAGAAGTAGTTGTGCCACCAATTCGGGCCTTGTGGAGGGCCAACTGAGCCGGCTCCTTGGGTACTGGTATCAGCCATGAGCAGCTCGTCGTCGCAGTACAGACAAGACGATATCGGAGCGATTGACTAAATTGATAAGGTACTACAATACATCGCGCGAGGGACAACGCGTACACCACGCGACTTGCGCACTGCGCTTGCGCGTCGATCGCCCGTGATCGAGTCACATGCCGGTTCCATTGAGCCAATCAGAGCTGTGGCTGATACCCCTGGGAAAGACGACAGCTGTCGGAAATCCGACCGGATTAATTACGGCTGCCGACTCCGGCCATTCCTGTCCGCAGGAACTGCAGTCGGTCGGTCGGAGGCACAACACTGTCCGAACATGCTGAAATCGGCTGAAACGCATCATGTTCGCAGCATGTTCTGACAATATTCGGAGTCCGTAAAGGTATCCAGGCGGGACCGATGTTCGTAGGGGTTTTCGGAGTTCGAACAACCTGGTTTGCCCGCGGTGAATGGGCATATACAAGCCAGCAGCGGTATATCTACCAGACGCGCGTCAATGTGTGTTCTCTGACATCCAGGACACATCTCTTACCAAGACGGCGTCAGACAAGGCGATGTTGAGGGTAAACCATATGCTCTGTACATATCAGATGAGACATGTAACCCGGAAGTCGCAGACAGTGACATACCCGTATGACATTCACCCAAGTCGACAGGCGGTCGAACTCTGCATTCGCGCCGCCCGGGCCAGTGTAGAAGATGAACGCGATGAGGTTGTTATAGAAGTTGAAGGCGACGTCGCAGGTGCCAAAGACGAAGAACGCAATAGCAACAAGCATCCACGGCCAGCATCTCGATACGTGTGGCTTGTGCGCGCGATGGAACCAGGTATACTTGCATGCCGCGAACGTCACAACGTGTACGCCGTACGTTATGCTTTGCATGCCAGCTCTGACAACGGTAATTCGGGATGAGATCCCCAGTCCCAGAGCTCCGATAGTATCAGTGTTGCTCGTGCCAGTGGGATCCTGTGGCGCATATGTGAGCTGTGAAAGCACCGGCACGCAGATGATACAGTGAACTCACGGGTCTGTGCAGGTAGATTCATTCTTCCTGAGCTGGACTAAGTAAGTTACGGCCGAACGACGTTACTGTCCTCCCGTTAAGGCTAACTTTTTGTCACTGACCAGTCTGACCTAAGTCTGACCTTGACAGTGAACGGCCTTGGGCGCGTATTTCGGAACGAGTGTCCGAGACAGGAAACTGTCTCCCACGGTTTGAATACGTGTACATGCCCGCCTACGCCACGGTGGCAACAGTTTTCATGTTCTGGCCATTGGCTGTCACTGTCAATCGACTCTGTTCAAATCATTGAATAATCCCTAGTATATTCGCTGCTTCAAAGCCCCTCGTTGCATTTAAATTCGCTGATGTATCTCACAGAAGTAAAGAAGGTCCTAATACATCGTATTCTCTGGGCACCAGTACTGGTTCTGACCTCGCTGACTTTACCACCGCGTCGCTGTGCCTATTTACCATGATATTCCACTTCATATAGACCTGCGTATTAAGTACAGTCAGTGAGACTGTCAATATCCAGGTTCTACCTTCACGAACATGGGGTTCTTGACGGTGAGCGCTCTTTTTGCCACGTAAATGTGACTGTATGTACTCAAGCGTACCCTCAATTCTTGTCAGAGATCTTCGATGTGTCTGCAAGAAGCACTGGCAAGCCGAACTCGCCTACAGCCCCATGCAGTCAAGGGTGAGTTGACGGATGAGCCTTCAAAACATGATGGCTACTGCTAACCGAGGCATGCATGACATCTCATGGTCCGTTCGTGCCCTTCCCTCACCAAGTCATCTCGTCCTCTTTGCCCAGTGGGTGGGACATCCGATAGGCGCGCTATCGATTCTTAGGATACTACCATCCCTGTCATTGCGTGTACCGCAATTCTCAGCACGCAGCTACCTCGAGGCGATCTGATGTAGAATGGTTCAAACACAGCTTGTAGGCCTAATCAACATGTGTACGCTGCCTCACCTGCATTTAGCGAGGTGTAGGTGTCTCGCGCATGCATGCTTATTCACAAACACAGATCGACGGAGTCTTCAGCGCTGCTTCAAGACTCGGTGATTCCTCCCGTCTACTCTCGTCCGAAGTAGCCCCCATAACAGCAACACTTCCATAATCCACGCTAGGAAGACATCTTCGGTACCGGCACACAGACCACAACCCAGGCCTGCGAGGCGCTTTAGCCATGTCTGGATCGCCCTTGCTTACCATGAATACCTCGAATACGGAGCAATCGATAGCCTGTAACTGCAGCGCGATATGCGCCTCGATGAGCGAAAGTGAATCAATATCATCTGGGGACTCCGAAGACCAAGTATCCTCAGATGAGCGAGAGTCGAGTGAGTCGACCACGCTTGTATGCCACGGACGCGGTTGCTTACTCCTTCGTGAGACTGTACCCCTCAGATATCTCCGTATCCTGTAGAATTGTTCGCTGTAAAACCATTTGAAGATGATTTCGCGCACGGTAGAGTCGTTCAGACAGTCAAGAGAAGATATTTTCTTATCAACTGTCCACTACTTCGTTACAGAATGCGGTATGCATGTGCCTTGCACGAACAAAGTCGACGGCTGACAAAGCACAGCTCCTAGGATGTCATGGGTCGATGACCCCGATGATGAGTATTATGTCGCTGACGATCCAAACTTCTACGTCGACATCGCTGATAAGCTTGGTGACGACTTGGAGGCGCATACGATCATGGCATTGCACTGTCAAGACACCCAGCTCGCACACAAGGTCGTGATGTATTACTCCAACAACTCAACCGTGACGTTGCCCTTTGATCTCGAGGACGCCTCAAATGCCAAGAGTGACGGGTGTGGTTCTTGCGTGTCCGAGCTCCGGAATCACATCCTCGCATGTGCGGAGACTTCCTGTCCAATCTCCGCCTACGTATACTACCTCGGCTTTCTCGAGCAAGTATTTCGCAAAATTGCGAAGACCTTGCATTGGCTGAAGGGCGAAACCGGCTCTGTCAATCATGCTGTACGGTCTTGGCGCACCGAGATGGAGGGGTGCGGGTCGAGGAACGAGCTACACAGAGCCATCATCGGAGCTCACTCTAGTGCGATCTACGTAAGGTTCTCATAGACTCACGGTTGTCCTGCGTTGACCTCATAACACAGGAAGACCGAAGGGAGTTCCCCGAGCTCGCCGGAAGCGATGTCAACATCGAGGTCGCGGAGAATGCGGCATACCAAGCTTATAGACGACTGGGCGCCGTATTACCTCTGTACCTGCGATACTCCAGACGGCGCAATATCCCCGTCCTCACACTGGCCTTCCATGGGGCTGATGTTTTGGCTCGAACGTCTGTAAAGGTTGCGCCCAGACATACCCTTCAAGGCGAGAGTATACCTGACGACAGCCGTACCTCCTACACCCTCTTCGATATTCTATGTTCGAGCATCCGCGTGCTCACAGAAGATGGGTTACGCGCGCTCTTCATCTTCAACGATGTCGGGTGTCTAAGGATGCAACCAGAGGATGACTCGACCCCAAGTCGCTACGCATTATCTTGGTCATACGGACCCGGAGTATCCTCGAAGGACATGAGGGCGATCCGAGTGCAAGCAATACGAGAGAGGGGGCGATCTATGTGGGTACTACTGCTTGTCGTCTTCGTCTTCGTCTAACCATAGTCACCCGTTAGCGCCTTAGATGTTCCTGGAGACGTCTTCGGTGCTGTGCTTCCTCAGCAGGAACGCCTCATGACGAGTAGACCCTCTACTCCACCGTCCTCCCAAACATCCATGGAGTCAGCGTCTGAGTCATCCGCTTCTGAGACGTTGATAACCCCACCAGACATCATTGGTATGTGCGCCGCCGTAGATCAGATTTCGCGTATGCTCATCGAGATAATCATAAAGCATTATCTGTCCAAGCGAACAAGAAAGCCGCGTCGATCAGGCGCACCATTGGGAACGAGGGAGTAGTGCGAGCGGCGAAACGTATCAAGGTGGACGTTATCTCTGCCACTGTACCGAGGTTGAAACGGCGGATGCAGAGTAAGCGGGCCAATGTACTTTCACCATCCACTGACATTCATGTGTCCCTAGCTCGAAGGCGCGGTAATACGTCTGTGTCCCCCGTATGCTCTCGCAAAGAGTATTCGATAGGAGGTTCAAAACCGCTATCATCAATAGCCGTTGCCACCCATTTAGATGAAACATTGTGTGACGTGTTGTATACGTCTGGAGAGTATGCGTCTGGAGAGAAGGTCGTCGCTAATAAGAAGATGCTTTCGGTGTGAGGCTTGTGTGAGCGACCATTTCAGATCCTGATGCTCGTAATGACACACGACGGAAGCATACGGCAATATGAGTAAGTCGCGGTGAATCTATGGAACCAGAAGCAATAAATTGCAGGCCTCACGCACAGGAGGACGCAATGCAATCTGATGCAAGCGTATGATGAATCATTATAGACATGTGTCTCCGGATGTTGCGGGCGAGTCATAGCACCTACGCTCACGGCGGAAGGGAGGCCATCTCGTGACGCCTATCCCTCCAGTGTACAGCACCAGAATATTGTTGAAGCCGGACGTCCTGGGCGCTGGGTAGCACTGCCAAGGCACGACAGCAACCTCAAGAATCGCTACATAGCGTATGACAGCGAGCCTTACGCAAATTATAAGTACGCTCTGCATCGTCACGGACGTGAGGAAATTTGGCGAGAAACGTACGACGATGATGAGTATGTTGATATGTTTGGCTATAGCCCGGGCGACAATCTGTCTGCTGCTAGCGACTTGATGTGATGTGGTTTGCACAATTGTGCTCTGTATCGAGAGGTACTACGCGATGCTATCCGAGTTCAATTTCTCGAAGGGGAGACGTGGCATACCTCATTCGCCTGAATTCTGGTCACCACGGCTCCCGTTTACCCTCGAAGCTATAGAACGCGACCGCATCCTCCAACTTGACTTCTCTCACGACTTTGAGACATTGCGCCGCACAGTCGTTTGGGCTCATCATCGGCACCCACGCCGCATGCTCTTGAATCCACGAACTGAGCCCTTGCCCCATGTCTGTGTCGACATAGCCTACAACAGGTTTGAGAAGCAGTAATCACTGAACAGAGAATGTATCCATACCCGGCTGCAAGGCAAACGTTGCGATGCCTTCCTGCTTGAGGGCAGCTCCCCACTTGCGAACGACCCTGGGTGTCGCGTTAACGCTATACCTCGAACGGTATACTCGCGACATGCTCACATGTTCAAGCCAGCCTTCGATACCGAGTATCCTTCGCTGAGTCCAGCCCAGAAAAAGCCATTCTCGATCGACGCGAGGCCAGAGCTCATGAAGATGATCTTCCTGTCCTGCGCTTTCGACTTGCGAATAAGAGGAAGGAAGGTGCGAAGAGCGTGAATAGGAGCTATGGTATTGATACGCAGCTCTTCTTCGAGTTGGTCGAGGTCCCTGTCAGCGAAAGGATTTCAATATGAATACGACGTATCTAGATGACAAAGATCACACACATCTCCTCGAAGGGGCCCACCGGCCTGAGGTTGATCGCGGAATTATGAATCAGGCAGTCAAGTCCGTTCGGAAGCAGAGTCGTTGCTTCCTCCCCAGCCCTTTCAACCGTCTCCCTGTGCGCTAGATCCAAGACGAGGACTACCAGCCGATCCTTCGGATACTTAGATGTCAGAGCACGCAGGCCAGGGGATTGACTGAGATCTCGGGCAGTGGTAATGACGAAGTTGTCCGGGTCCTTCAGCTGTCCACGGTATCAATCAGCATGCTAAGCACGACGATATCTTCACACTTACCAGTTCCTCCACAAGTGCGAGGCCAATACCTCTGCTTCCTCCTACAACAAGAAATGAAGGCATGATGGGAGATATCTTGGACGCAGGATCGGACCAGCCGCACGTCTGTCAGCTTCATATACTTGCCGCGAGACTCCGTGGCCAGTAGCTGAGTCAACGACGACCCACTAAATCACTGAACTTAATGATTAATCAAAGCGGTAGCGCATCAATGCACTACCCGAGGAATGACGCCGTCATTGGTAAAGCGTGGATACTGCCACAAGATGACTTGTTGCGACTGCGCATCGCAGCAAAAAAGGCAAGATTGTGGGTCGTGGAGCATCCGATGAGTCGGACAATCTGATACGATTCCCCTATCGACGTTTTGTGTGTGCGCGAGGGGGGCAGGTAGACCTGCTGTATATACTCATTAGGAGGATGAGTAGTAGCCATTCGAATACCACCGACGAGTCGTCGACGTCTCACCTACGACAAAGTGCCAGGACACTGCATCAGTCGCAATGCAAAGAGGCAGTATATAAGCGCCGGCATAGACGGACCTGGTGCTTTAAGTTGTATCATACATGTACATGTGTTCGGCGACGCTGAAGGGGCCCGGGATCAGGCTTGCATACACATCATCCGCGGAGCAGATGAGAATAAATCATGGGCACGGCCTCACCACCACCCAGCCCTAGGTACGACAATGCAGAGAACGGATAGCTGGCGCATGCCGTTCGAATACGTCTCGACGATGATAGTAATACACACAGAATGACGCATTTAGTCACCAAGGAAGTCGCATGCCGTCCCAAGCGTAGTAGCACACCGCATCCTCCAGCTTCGCATCGTTCAAAACCTGCAGGCATCCAATTGCAGACTCCAAGCGCGAGATTTGCTTGACCTGCGGAAAGCGCTCTGACATCCAGCCTTTGGTTGAGTTGCCCATGTCCGTGTCGACCCATCCTAACGTATATCAAGACCGCATTAGATGGAAGTCCGGTATGAAGGTCAACAAACGCACCCGGATGAACCAAGATAGTCGTGATTCCCTCTGTTCTCAGCGACGCGCCCCACTTGCGAGCTAACCTACTCGTACCGTGAGCGCTACAAGGTCTCGCCATCAATCAGACGCTCCGACGTACATATTCAAGGCCGCCTTTGATACCGAATAGCTCTCGCAATACCCCGGTAGGTAGGGGGCGTTCTGCAGAGACGCAAGTCCCGACGACAGGAGCGTGATCTTCTTGCCCGTTCCTTGCCTGATGAGCGGAAGGAAGGAGCGTATCACTTCGATGGGGGCAACAGCGTTCAGACGAAGCTGCTCCTCGTGCAGCTTAAGGTCTCTGTGAACGTGACTGAGATTGGAGTCCTTCGACAATGTTCGACAATGAAGTACACTGCGTACACTTGTTCAAAAGGCGTGAGGTCTTGTAAGCTGACACCTGCGCAATGGATCAGGTAGTCCAGACCACCCTCGAGGACGCCCGACGCCTCGGCAGCGGCCTGACGGATACTGGCGGGGTCTCCGAGATCCAGATGAACAACTTCGAGGCGACTGTCGAGATGCTTCAAGCGAACGTCTTGCAGACCCTGAGCATTCCGATCCCGCACAGCTGCGACAACGATGTTGCTTTCGTCCTTCAACTGCCCAATGCCGATGTCATACATGTACTGTTGCCACAACGACGACCTGACGCACCAGTTCATCGACAATAGCTAGCCCGATACCCCTGCTTGCTCCTGTAACGACATAAGTTGGCATCTTGCTGTGGTCGTTTCGGAAGGCAGTCGTGTTCACGGGTGTTTTCCTGTTACCGTAATGGATATATGCTTCCCAGCGGCCTTCCGCACGGTTATCGTCCTATGACCTCCGTTCGCATCCTACCTGACATCCTGGGTACGGTGTTGAGCGGTAGGCCTAGCCCAGGTCAATGAGCCTTCCGTAGAATATCAACGAGTATGGGTAGATTGCAGGGTGAAGTAGACGGTTCGGCTGGCAACAAGACTCCGACGAGTAACAGGGTGGGCATTTTTGGACAAGTAGTAGTATAACGCGGAGGTTGATTTTATACAAGAAGATATCGGACGCTATCCTAGCCTGTACAGCAGAAAATCAGCGTCGATGAACATTATGACTGCCGGAATTGAACGCGGTTGCAGAGATACGCACCTTACAACACCCTGGACTCAATTGCAACGCGATGCCGACAGCATATGTTCAGTTATCATAGCATTCTCGGGGTCGCAGCTTGACTGTACCAGAGTAGAGAGACCCGCGGCGGTGTCGGGCGACCCATAACCTAACGAACGCGGTGGCGGCGGTTTGGTGGTCGGACGCGACCAGACGGCGCCTATGAGCACGCGGCTGCAGGGCGGCAGTTTCCGCATATGGATATTCCCGACATGACTTGACTCGAAGACTCGGAAGAGTGCAACTAGGATTGCAATCTTGTACCTAGTCTATGGTAACCATAGACAACATTTGTGCCATCGTATGCTATAGAGCATTTGAGGGCCTGTGAACGTGACCATACATAGTTGACTATCAAATTCATGCTATGAGCTTCAGTGCCATAAAATTCCACCACGCCCCGGGCCATGTATCTCTCTTCATCTCCAGTCAGAACTCTGGAAACCTGCATCCACAGAATATTCATCCAGTCACTTGTTCATGGTATAAGCGACAAAAAGGTCAAACGAGGGGTGCAGGTCTCTGGTTCGTTGCCATCAGGATGACAGCTGAACAAAAATGACTCGGAAATCATTCCGCCACACACCTTCACCTCTCCTGAACGTGTACCTCGTGGTATAATCGGACGACACATCCGTCGTTCGGGTCCCAAAGTCGTGAGAGGTGCCCATCAGCAACCAGTTCGACAGCTTTGACCTTCAGCAGTAGCCGATATGTCAGGATCCCATCTATGGACCAGGCCACCCTACGTCGTCGAGCGTGAAGTACGTTGCACTGCCACCATTATATGAACATCACTTACAAAGGAATCAGCAGAGATTGCGCTCCCTATCGTAACCGACCAATAGTTAGTTAGGATGCGTGGCTATTGCTATATCATAGCCGACGTACCACCGCGAGGACACTTGACAGGAGCTGAGATAGGCGAAGCGCTGACGCAGATATGAGCAGATAGCCCGCAGTCATCGGACAATCACGACGAACCGGAACACGCCTAAAGTGCTCGTGAGTACTCTGACATGAGACGACGCGGGATCTGGATGTCGGGGAGACGTACGAGAAACACGAGAGCACCCCCTTGAAGCAGTCGGCCAACGATCTCGGAGTCGCGTCGACGAGGGTTGTGCATCGTATTGACGAGGAGCAGAAAGAACACATAAAGATCATATGCAACCTGTTGGCGAACATCTGTAACATGCAGACTAGATGGCAAAGGACACGGAGAGACGTACCATGCCACCCCACATACCAATCGTGAACCTTCGTCTCAACGCGACAACACAGTACATAGCAGGCGCACTACGGATCATACCTAGACCATGCGAACCATAAGCCAGAGGGACTTGCGATGAACAAGTACGTACCCAATGCTTGTCTGACACTCAAGATGCCAAAGGTGATGGATACGGAGAAACAGGTTGCAAATCCCACCACAAGAGCGTTCCTGTACAAGGGACTGCTGTCGAACAGCTTGTACACATAGAGGAGTACGGCAACTGGCAAGGGTCGCGAGTAAGCAGACATGACACGGCAAGAGCTGATCGTAGCCTCTCACATTGTGAGGAGGCGCTGTTTATGACGCAATAGACTGTGATGAGTATTGTTAGTGCTTCGCACCTGTGCACAGATACTGAGCATTCATGCCTCGACCACCGAAGGTATAACATACCCCTTCAGAGATTATTTAAGAGCATAAAATCAGTGAGGTCTTATAGATGCCGATTGCACGCACCGAGTCCGCCATTGGTAGCTTTCCCCATCCGACAACTTGTGAAACCATTAGCTTTCTGCATAGACAACCTCAACGCAACTGACGTGCGTAGTACTTACTCCGTGCAATAAAAATCATGCTTATCTCGGCACTGTACCTATTCACGAGGACGAGTATCTGTAGGGGAGACCACGGGAAGCGCCAGAGCAGCTGAACTTCCCTCCCTAACGTCAAGGCGTGATCCCAGAGCGAAAGCGAAAGCGCAACGGCTGCGGTGACTTTAGAGACAAGAGCCTCGATGGATACCTTCAACGCACCTGTGAGACACCGAGCGACGAACATAGAGTGCACGTCGTAGAGGAGCATGATGACGTCGTGAGGGCGTGAAGCGTGAGGGAAAGGTCGCGTACGGAGAGCGGGCAGTGTTGCGACGTTCATATTGCGCCTGTGAATGGGGGCGATGTGCGCTGATGTTCGGAACACTGGCATCGCCATGGTAGGGACGCCGAGCGAAGCATCGAGCATGGCTTCGCCCATGTAAGAAGGCGCCGTCAAGTCCCACGTAGGGCAATTCGAAGGTCATTACCAGTCATGGTTGTTAGATAACAACGAAGGCCTTTCACTTCGGGTCACCCGAGGGACCTAGAGTTCCTGGGGAACCTATGGTGCTTCAGCACGTCAAGCCCTCTCACTTCAGGCGCGGCTGACGACGTCTGGTGGATGCGTGCGTTCTATACCTGAGTACTTCACATGGTCAGTGTGGGCGAGTAACTGAGAGCAACGGCAACGAATGTACTTACGAGAAGTTGTACACACGTGCGCCTTATACTGAGCGTAAGTTCCGAACAGTCCCTTCACTACGCTTGACAGTGACGCTGCTTGACTGACTGCATCCGCCTATCGTAGGACAGCCTTGCAAGTGGAAGCATTTGAATTGTCAATGGTGTTGTTGTTGACGCGGTCAGATACGTACCGCGCGGTTTACTAAGCCTCTCATTGGCCCACCTGGGTCGTACGAAAGGTCACCTAATAAGAAGTCAAAGCATATCCGAGTCTATGGACGACATGCCTGACCATCTTCAGTTCGGAATCAGCGGCGTCGACGCGTCCGGATCCACTGTCAGACTCATAGCAACGTCTTCTACGGCGAGCCGGGAGAACGTTGTTCACCCTTTCCAGTCGAGCCTCGTGACGATCCTGACAGTAGCCCTCCTTGCTAGTGTTTCTTGCCAGGAAGACGCGGCCGACGTATTGAACAAGTTTCTGAACAGGTCAATTGCAGTCATTCACATGTATGCGCTTGCACGTGCCAGGCCGGTGGCTTAAGCGCTTATCGCTGTCCGTGCCGTCACTGCCGACGGCCGTGGCCCAGCCGTGGCCTCTACGCTCAGGCTGGTTGTGTGTAAGTTGTGTGCGAAGCCTCCTCTATCGAACCTATCAGTGTCACTCGAAATACTTCAAGCCGCGAAGTGGAATACCTTGCGCTGACGAAAGCAAGAAGCCCGCGAAGTAAGCTTGAATGTATTATGTGTGAACAGTACGGAACACTCAATCTTGTCTCCCATCACGCCGCAGAAAACAGAGGAGTGCGTTTGCGTGCCTCACAGTACGAACAGGGAACATAACTGCGCCCAAAATCACCCTCCACGCACCCACATGGCTTCAGCCCTGTTTATACCGCAGGAGCTATGGTGCCTCATACTCGACAATCTCCGAGACGACGAGGTGGCTGTGGCTGCGTGTGCCATTACCTGTCGAGCCTTGCGATACGCAGCCGAGGCGCACCGATGGCGCACCGTGTCCTGCCCCAGGCTGGATCTCCTTCCACAACTCCAGTGGACGCTGCGACGGACGCCAAATATAGCCGCCAAGGTCCAGCGGCTTTCCATCCGGCTCAATTTCAGCGGCCTTGTCTGGATCACCGCCTTTCCAAACCTACAGGCTCTTACTCTATCCGGAGTCCACTTCGACGCGAAGCCTACGCTGCGCGACATTGTTGAACCCCTTTCACAGAGTTATCTCACCAGGCCGGTGACCTCCGTGGTGACCCTGTCGCTACGCGAGTGCTCCCTGAACATCTCAACATTCCTCTGGCTGTTGCAAATCATGCCGAACTTAACAGTACTAAATTTATCGGAAGACACGTTGATAGGACCTGACCCCAGAAGCGCATCATTCGACATTCATCTGAAGCTCGCCAATGTATCCTGCCGTCCGAAACGTCTGCGGTGGAGCTTGTCGCAAGCAGGGCAGGGAGGCTCGTTCCTCCAATCGCGTATTTGCAGTGCGGTCGAAGAAGCGGTCTTCACGTTCGCGTCCTACCAAGGGCACAGCGAAGTGTCAACAGGTACGAGTATCCCCAAGGTGACGATCTTCCAACGCGCCGCAAGAAAGTCGTTGAAGACGCTCGCCATCCTGTTGCCGCACAGTTTGCTGTTTGGTGTCCCTTTCGACATGCTAAAGGAGCTGGAGGAGCTGTATTTCCCGCGCCCGCAGAACAGCTATCTCACGTCGTTCCACATAGGGTTGAACGGCGCAATCACCGACTACCAGACAGATACCCTGCCCACCGTTCTCGCCCAAATACCGCCGGCGCTCGCGGCTCTCACACGGGTCGACATTCACTGCATGCTCGTGCGGAGCCAAGAGGATACCCAGCCCACTCGAGTCCGACTCGCCGAAGAGCTGGCTCGCTTGCTTCACCAGCATCCATCTTTGGTCGTGACGTTCCACGTCCGCGGGTACTCCGAACGGGATGCCGAGTACATGCGTGCTTGTCTCGCGAAATCCCTGGTCGTGCGATCCTGTCCAGAGCTGAAGAGCGAATCAGAACGTCTGCGATTTATCCACGACGTGGCAGACCCTGAGGCTCACGTCTGGGAGGATGGCTGGCACAAGGCGGATACTGCAAGCAGCATCCCGCTGTTCCAGGCACAGCACGACGCGGAGATGGCATCATGTGGAAGAGGCCCGGGGTAGATAGCTCCAACGTTGACTTGCCCGACTCTTTCGGTACCGTTAATGTTTACAGTTTGGACATATATAATATTGCGGAGGAATTGCTCCTCAAGTTGTTGTATGCGGACTCTCTGTTATTGAAGTGCCACGTTTCGAAGCTGATGCTTCACTGGTAGGCTTAAGAACCAAACGATACTTACGGTGGACGGAGTTGAGCTAGTGTTCCATTGTGTGACATAGGAGTGACACCGTGACACCGACCATGAACAAGTTGAGTCTCCGAGTCTGATCACCGTGACCGCCCATGAACTTCGTTCCATCTAGCTCATTGTTATACACCGACCTTATTTCCGAGTCATACTAGCCTAGCATTGACGAACTGCTGCGAACTCGGGATCCAGTTAGGGGGCACTCGAGGTTGGATACTATCATATTATTGTATCGTAGCGTCACACTGATGTGCCTAGTGCATATCGAACAGAAGTACTTACATTCAGTGCAATGCAAGGATAGCACTGTCGGCATGGACCCAGCCCTATCCACTTTGCCTCAGGAACTCTGGGACAGTGTCCTCGACTACCTTTGCGACGACCAAGATACACTCGCTGCTTGCTGTCTGACGTGCCAGGCCTGGCTAGGCATCGCCCGTATTCTCCGATGGCGCACCGTCTCGTGTCCCACGTCGAGACTCCAGCGACGATTGCAGACAGTTTTGCAGCCTGGAAAAACAATCCTCAATCTAGCCCCCCTGATTGTACACCTCGACATCCAGCCGGGAAGCAATGACCTTGACTGGTTTACCGCTCTTCCGAACGTCCAACATCTGACATTGCGTATGCTCGACTGCATCCAGCAGCGTTGGATCAACCCACCGGCATCTCGGAGCCGTAGCATTCTAGCGGGACGTCTGACGTCCATTCGGATGTTGTCGCTGCCCGCCTGCCGCATCTCGCCGGTATCCCTGGCCTGGCTACTCACTCTGACGCCAAACCTATCAGCCCTCGATTTACTGAAAACGCAGATAATGTATGATCGCGACCTCAACCCAGACCCCTCCGATAGCGTGTCTTGCCGCCTAGAGCATCTGTCGTGGAACTTGAACGACCCCCTTCCCATTGCCCTTTCGTCCCTGTGCACCTCACTTCGTGGGATTTCCTTCTGGGGCACTGTACCCACATGGGCCGCTCGTTGCGGTATGATAGGGGGTATCGACGAGGTATCGTCGGTGCTACGCAACGCGGGTACGTCCTTGACGACACTTGCCTTGGTGCTTGAGCATACGCCTCGGTTCTACTCAACGATTGCAATGCGGGAGCTGGAGTCTAGGCTGGACCTTTCTCATAATCCACATCTCACGTCGCTTCACATCGATATCGTCGTCGGCAGTCCGATGACTCGCAACTGGACAGATATCCCATCCTCCGTTCTTGCCTGCATCCCGCAGACATTACTCCGTGTCCGACGTGTAGACATCCACCTGCACCTGTGGCCGCACGAGCATTTACTCCAGCGACCCCGCCAACAGGAGCACCTCGGCCACGAGATCACCCACCTACTCCAGGCAAACACCGACCTTGTCGTTACATTCCACGTGCGCGCCGGAGAGCGGGACGCGCAGATCGCGCGACGCTCCATCGCGAAGCGTCTGCGAGTGTCCTGCCCGTGGCTGGCAGAGGAGACGGAGCGCCTGCGATTTATCCACGACTTGGTAGTAGGCAGGCCGCCTGTTTGGCACTGGCAGTCTGGCTGGGAAAAGTCGGACACTGTGGGCAGTATCCCTTTATTCCAAGTTTTGGCCTAATACGGAGGCAGGTTCGGTCGGCAACTCTCGCATAGTTTACCGGCTCCCCAGGGCGGGCAACAACGAATACGGTATGCGAAGAGCCGACACGGCGCGTCGACGACGGGACGTGACACAACGCGAATAGACAGCGCATGACTTGTGACATTGTCACTGTCGCGAGACGCGCGGGTTGGCACGAGACCGCGACCGCGACCATGGCGGTCCTCATCTTCATCGACGAACTCCCACCAGTCCAGTCACCCCGCTTCGACAGCTGTCGTCAGTACAGGCTCTCCAGCGTGGGGCAGGACGACCAGCCACTGCCTAGAATGCATCTGGTGTACCGCACCTATCCCATGTGCGTCCCGAGTGGCACAATCGGCTCTCCGCGTATATAAGCGCGGTATCTTTCCTCGCGCCCCCTTTGTGGCCCGTCCCAACAACCCACAAGCCACGTCGTCTCCTTCCCCACAACATCTGTCATCGCCCCCTCGTTCCAACTGGTAGACTCCATGCCTACCAACATCGAGCTCGCGATCGCCTCCGCCTTGTACAGGCGCAAGGAGCTCACTGTGTACAACGTCTTCATCGACTACCTCCGAATCATCGGCTACATCGCGCCTGGGCAGAAAGAAGCAACTGTCCCTCACGACGCAGTCGTCGCCTTCGAGCATGCGCTCGATAAAGAGCCCATCCTCCGCCACCGCCGCGTTACTCCCGACGCCGCCCTCTGTACGCGCATGTACACAAAGGAGATCACGGAGCTCAGGAAGACATACTGGACGGAGAAGCTGGGCTCGTCGTCGCCCGTCCGCTGTACGTGCTCGACGTGCGGATGCACGATCGCATACGAGAAGGAGGCCGAGGTGGACGAGCGCAAGGATGACGTGCTCGCGGAGAAGCATAGATCACGGCGTCTGAGGGACGAAAGACGTGAGCCAGCCGTACATTCGCAATGCGTATTGAAGCTCACATACAGCGCCAGGGAAAGTCAAGTCACGCCGTGTTGCTAAACGCTTGCGAGACTCTGGCACCTGTGCGATCGCGCCTCTGGACCCGTACGGTCCCTCGACGAGTACTTCTGTAATGTGACAACAAACCTACAAGTGGTTTGTTCGGTGCCGCGTTCATGTATTGATGACAGTGTTCGGTCCCATGTCGCACAATCGGACTCTGGTGACTTCTGAGTTGTGTGTGTATATGTATCATCAATCCTGTATTCTTATCAGTCTTTCGCACGAACCTACTTGGGCTTGCTACGCATGAGCTGAGGGCTATCATAATTTATACGCTGCCCCCCGTATCCAGGACACCAGCATGTTACTGGATGTCTAATTCATGCATGCACATGGCGATTCAGCAAGATGTATGACTCACGATGCCTGAATTGAACGAAGCCTGCCAGAGGTGTATGCGCGACTCGGTGGTGACCGGTGACCATGAACCTGGCAGTGCACGCAGGTTGGACACGACTCTACTTACTACTGAGTGGCCTGGGCAGAGCCTCCGAGTCGTTAGAGCCTCGGACGCCACGTAGTCTCTCCAGGCAGACGTAGATAATTCCTTCAACCTTCGTGTCTCAGGATGTCCTTGCCTGACACGCCACGGCAAATACTTACTTACTGCTGGCACCTGGCAGTGTGCGCAGACGTGCCAGACGAAGTCCGAGGAAGTGATTACGTAAGCTTGTACCGAACGCTTTGTGGCAACGGGCCTTGTGGCTTCCCATTCCAATCATGGTCACAACCCACAGCTGCCGGTACCTGCCCTTCATGACCTTCGTGTCGTTTGGCATTACGGCCCTGAGCCTTCGGCGTTTTTTGGGTGAGATAGCGACTGCACCGATTCTATATAGATTGGTAGTTCTCTGTAAAAGGTAAGCTGGATCCAAAGTTATGCGCGTTGCTTTCGAGTCGAACTTCAAGATGAATGAATCCAGGCTCTAGTGTCGAAAACTACGAGGGACATAACTTGACACGCGACTACGGTTCACATCCACGCAGACGGCTTGCCTCGTCGGAGGCTCCCCGATAATGGAAATTCTGATCTGCTTCATACAGCTCTCAGGGTTGCGTCGAGGCCCTCGTCCCATTGTCGTTCGCACACTTTGAAAGACAGACAATGCAAGAGACAGTGCATCTTTCTCTAGTAGGACAATCAGCCATCCATCGGTACGTTTCCTATGCATACTATAACGATGTTGACTGTTCTATCTATGTGCTCTGAGTCTGCGCGGCTGAACTACCTATACTCTTCCACAAGCAGTATCTTGGACTTAGATTTGACTTTTCGTCGCTGCGTTCCGTCGGCGTATCGTGCGCACGACCTCCATTCTGCATCTAAAATGGACACCGATCCTTGCATCCGTACCACGCGATCGCAATCGACGCGGCAATCGAACTACAAGCATGACTGCATGTTGACGTACAAAGGCGTGCAGCAGGTCTTCCCGTCCCCCATGGTGCCCTCGAACTCGAAGATGCCTGCTTTCTTCCTTCTGCTGTGTCATCGTGCCCTGATCTCTATTGGTATCTTCCTCGAAATCTGGGACTTCGCTTAACTTGCCCTGACCAATGAGGCGCCACTCGTCGGTTGGTCGGCTCTGAATGCATGGCTGGTGAGTGTTGGGTGAGTGCGAAATTCATCAGGCTCGAGCGTAGCTCCACTGCTGATTGTCGAATACGATCCATTCGTCCAGACCATGTTCTTGTCCTCGGCATACACGTCTCTTGCTATTAGAGGCATTCTTGTCGCCCTCGTACATGCCCATCTACCTCTTATCGGCAAAACGTACGTGCCGTTCAGTTGTGTTCCCACTGATGGGCGCCTGCTCATATCTTGACGTACGAGAGTTGTTTGACTCGATCTCTTCCTCAGGCTCCCAGCATATCGGATACTATTCCCTACGGTATCGTCATCGTATCTTCGCCATGTTCCTGGAGTTCATCTCGGCTGACATCTGAGTAGGATCTTCTTCGATCAGACGTGCACAAACACTATCGTCGCTCGGTCCAGTGGCTTCTATCCTGATCGTACACCCCATACGCCTCTGAAGCCAGCTCCGTGTTGTCTCTTGTAGCCTTCGCGTTGTCTTGCGATGATACCGCTTAAGAGGTGGCACACTTCGTTGCCCATCCTGTATGTTGGTTCCCCCGCTTATCATGCCTTTTCTGTCTCGCCGGGCAATATCGTTTCACCGCACGGTGAACGGTCTTCTCAAGTGAGCTTCCACTATCGTACACTTCCCTCGCCAATACATCCTCAGGCGCCTCAGCTCAGGCGTCAGACTTCCCTGGCAGCACACGGCTCAGACCCTGAAACATGCCTCCGTGTACGCAACTTGCGTGAAGACACAAACGCCGATGCGGAGGTTCTCGGGACGGGCATTTCCACTCCTTGGTGGATTGTGCGCTGCGGCGGCCCTCGCGTTTGCCTCATGCTTAACCGATGACCGTCATGTCTCAGAAGTGCCCCAAAGAGGCATCGCTGGATTGTACGACGCCGGACACGAGAAGATGACGCCGCAGCTTCTTCGGTCGATCACGGGTACTCTGCCACTGACCACCAGTCACCTCTAAGCAAGTCGGCACTGGGCATGTGGCTGGTAGCGGAGTACGGGTTGGGCCGCTGGGCGTTCGAAGAGGAATCTACTGACTGATGCCAGCGGTAAGTCCCCCGACCCACCTTCGGTGACGTTGCGATGTACTCGTAGCCCTATTGCAAGCGATCCCACGACGTCGTCGGTCGGGGACGGGCGAGGGTCTCGGGCAGGACAGAGTATCATTGCTGTATTACGATTACAAATATGCAGGGTTATCGGTGGGATGTGCGAAGCGAAAGCGAAGACATGTGAGTGATACAACCTGTCCATGCGGAAATAGCAGAGGAAGACACGAATGCAGACGAATACAAGAACTGGGCGGGTTCCGGAGTCAGTCAAGTGGGAACTGTACGTGCGGCGGTGGCTCGACATTGGAAGCAGTAGTCCTTCACGGTGTCGATGTCTTTCTGGACTTCTTGACCATAGTTCTGCAGGAACGCCACAACAAGTCAGTCCGCGGTCGGAGGATACGCCACAGTGGCAACAGTGTTACGCGCGTCCGCTTACTTTTTGGCAATTTGGGTCTTTGCACCCACGAGGGTGCAGGATACTCCTTTCGCAGTGGCTCGAGTTGCAGTCCATGATGGCGGCAATGCCATGACGCTGGAAGTGCTGTAAGGAAAAACATGCTGCTCGTTCAGCTGACCGCTTTTAGTTCGGCTTGGGACGGCATACCCCACACTTCGCCCACCGTGTACCCTCCCTGTATAGGCGCTCTCAGCGGTGGCTCAAAGGCTGAACATGAAAGAACGTACGCGATACGGCGACACATTGAATGTAGGACGAGGGGGACGGGTAGGGGAGCAGGCTGAAGATATACCGTCTGGCACGCCGGGGATGAGTCGCAGTGACTCAGAGGCGGCTGATACGGTAGCACACGGGAGGGGCGAAGAGATGTCGGGACGTGCCACTGAGGAGGTTCTTGTCTTTTTATGCGGACATGCGTGCAGGAAGCGCTGGGCTAACAGGGCCCCAGCATGATCAGAATTCAACGAGCGGCGCACGAAAGCACCACATTGCTGGGCTGTCGGAAATTCGACGCGTGAGATATCTCTGCTGCCCTCGCCCGCAGGCGGTTCTGTGCCATACACTCGTCTGCGCAGAAGATCTTCGGGGCTACTATCATGTGACTCAGACGACTATTTTCTTTATCATGGCGGAGGTGGATGTAGGCGAAGGCACTTCCCCCGGAGGAGAGATAAATGGACGCTGTCGCCATCGGTGTTACGAAGATAGCGCACAGGATGAGAATCGCTCGTCACTAGCGTCCGCCTACGCGTCTTCAATGCTTCGCTTGAGGGATAGTGTCATCTCACCTAACGCTCTCGTTATACGAGCACTGCTCCGAGTGATTGGCCGCTTCCGAGATTGTTCAGCAGACCCGATCATGGAGGTTGAGAAGATCCATGCCACACATTACCAGCGCGTCCGGAAGCATGGGAGGCCTTCTCCCATATCGGCCTTGTGGCTCTATCGGTGGCCGCACTCCAGCATTGAAGACTTTAACATGGGAACAAGGAGCCTGTCCTGGCGAATCACACGCGGGCGACGTGGAATGACGAGCGATCGAGTTCACAAACGTGCGGTGTACCTGATGTGCCAGGAGACCTGTCAATCGGTTGTCTTTGGCCGCGGAGGCAGTAGAAACATCGAAAGAACGCGCCGCGGCAGGTTCGCTCAAACCATACGTATGAGCGACGGATTCGCAGAACATATGAAACTCACCGAGGAAGCTCCTCGGGGTCGTGCACCGAAGGTTTCTGCGTGTGGACGAGCTAAGCCAGAATGCCCGTCCACCAAGCTGCGAGTCAATGTGGAGCCCCAGCAAGATCCGTGCCTCAGGCCTCATCCCCGACGAAGGTTGAAAGAAACTCCCGTTCCTCGATAAGCCAAGACCAGCTGGAACAGCGCACATTTTGCTGCCGCCCGATGCTCGCCATCGATGCGACGTCCCACAGACGTGGATTTGCCGCGCATCGATCTCGCTATCTGGCCGACGCTATCAGGACGACCGTCGGGATCGGATCCCGGGCATACACACCGACGACCTCTTCGTGAATTATCAGCTCCAGAGGCAGGCCAGAGCAGCCGCCGGGCATAGCACTCGGTACACATTCGGGCTCACCAAGCTAACCCATGCGGTGCAGTGTGTGACGAGATGTGGGCTCAGTGTTCTATCACTCTAGACGGGCAGCCCACAACGCGCTCTCTCATGACCGCAATGCTGAATGTACGGACCTGCCTGCGAGAGGGTGGTGTCAGCAAAGACGCTCCATAATTGAATACATACGCACCGCCATGAAACGAGGGTAGTGTCACTGACAACCATCAGTCCGCAACCCGCGTCCTAGGTCCTCTCTTCCTTTCCTGCTCTCGAGAATAGTCGAGCATCGCCGATCTGACGCGCAATAGCCGCGGGTGCACTCGCGGATCTGGCCCACGTTGCTGTTAGTCTGCAGTCAGCTGGTCAGCAGGGACCGCCATGGCCCCAAGAACGAGGCTAGTCGTGACAGGTGCCTGTGGTTCTCGTCCATTCATTGAGACTTGCCTCGGTGGATCGGGCGAGGGCCAGCAGCAGGAAGATGCATCCAAGTCCGATCAAGGATCATGACGATTGCTCGCCAACACGTACTACTACAAACTGCCTCGTCAGCAGGTTGAACACCATGCCGAAGATGAGCGCAATCAGCGTGCAGCTCATGATGATGACGTTGTACGGCATGCTGAAGTCCGGCGTGGCGAGGTCGACGAGGAGGACTGGGGTATACATCCGCGTCGAGCGCACGTCCGATAGGACGGCGTGCAGCTGCGGATCAGAGTCTGTTTCACTGCCATTCTGGCTTGCGAACGGCACGAACACGGCAGGAGGTAGGTCCCAGCCACGCTGCGCGTCAGGAGGATGCTCCGTGTAGGCAAGGAATGGTTTCACGACATCCATCGTTAGCCACAACGTGGTTTTCGGCGGGAGTGTCAAGACGGCTTGCAAGAGCGCTGGTTGGACGTGCGGAAGAGGTGGTATGTATGATATGAGCTTGACAAGATCATCTGAATAGTAGGCCCGGAATGTGAGACAGGCCAGTTCGGACTGCACTGCATGGAAGACGTACCACGAGGCATGCCGTCAATGTGGGCGTGGAGAGTATGCAGATAGAACTGTAACAACCACGGCATGGTTTCGAGGTATCCCGTTTGAAGCTGAATGTCGTGGTTATTCGTAATCGTCAGCGCCAACTGGCCTGCATGCTGACTGGCGCCATTCAGAGTACGGTGGACTGATATGTGAGTTTGAGGCTCAATGACTGGTGCTGTAGCCGCCGCACTTCAGTCGAGGCTCTCAAGCGATGTGGACCAACGACTCACGATATTCAAACAACGTTTCTTCCGGCCGTATGATTGCGACATCGAGCGGTTTACCCACTATGCCACTGCCATTAACACCGAGAACCATGACGTGATCTGTACGATCATACCTTCTTGCACGATATATGTTGCGTAAGTCTTGTCCATCGTCGATGGTGACGGTATGATTGCGTATACCTCATTCTGGGGAAGGCGCACCCGAATGACGCTCGAACGAGCCACAGGGCAAACCCTCTCGATACGGCGATCGAAAACGGCGCTTAGCGACCAGTCTAGCAATTTCAGAATCGACATTCAAGATCAGCTAACATGGCACGGCTGTACAGGCTAGTCCACCGACCTCTTCGTTTGTCCGACGCAGCTCGGACCGGGTCAAACACGGCTTGAAACGCAAGGCGCACCTCGACGCCAGCGCTTTCAAGATATCGAACGTGTACGCCCAGTCCGTGCCAGTCGGCGTCGAATAGTTTGTGTGGGTTGAGGAGGCTCGCGATGCCAGACAGAGACTTGCACGGCAGAAGCTTGAGGAAGGGCGTCAGGTTCTCCGTGCAGACGTGCTCCGATGGTAGTGTGGCGTGTCGGAGCTGATAACTGGCGTTCCCATTGGGTAGAGAGCCCTCTGGTTGGAATGTGAGCACGGGCGATGTCGTGCGTTGTTCGTCTAGAGAACCCAGTGATGCACAGAACAGCCCTGCGAGGGCATTGCGGAGGCCCCGCCATCGACTGTCAACTCTGCAATCACAACAAAGGCATACTTAAAAGCGTCTTTCACAGGAGAAGTCGAAGACATACGTGACGGTACCACCCTCCCCCATCCATGCCCACAGCTCGGCTCCCGTGCCAACGCCGGGCTCGTCAGGGTAGCCCCAGCGGTCGTAGTTCCAATTCCCAGCATTGAGGGTGAGGTGAAGCTCAGTCACGGCATACTCTCGTAGGATCTGACCGAGGGCGAGGGGGAACAATGTGTAGAGCTGTGCTAACTGGCAATTCACGTCTGCATGCTGCAACGGTCACTGCACAACTCACATTCGTCCTCAACTCCCAGCGTCTCCGGATGTCTTGGAGTTGCTCCTTTGAGGAGCGTGCTGAATGAGAACCGAGCTGCTAGCTTGCCATCCGGGAGGGGTCGCAGATGCAGTTCCTCGTTGAACTCTTCCGACAACCTTGCGACAGCGAGCGTCCCGAGGCACAGACTGCATAGAAAAGACTTGACCGACAGCCGCATGTTGATGACAACGTTAAGTCGACAGAGAACACTTTGTTCGTCGTCACAGGCTATTGCATAGTGAAAGAGAAGGGTAGAGGCAAGGTAGAGGCCGGGCTGCAAGACGAGCAGGCTCGCGTCGCCCTCAAGGCGGGAATAGGCGTCGCTGAGCACGTGGCATAATGATCGAAAAGTAAACTGCTAAAAACGTAAATCATACCAAACACCCACCTCCATCTACGATCGCATCTCTGCTGCCGTAGGTGCGTCTATACTACGCGTAATCGTGTTCTCTAGTCCTAGAAAACATCTGCATATCGTTTGACACGCATCTCCATACAGGCCCATCCGTCCTGGGTACAGAATGACCTCCGTTACGACCAAGACATTTGTCGTCGGCACGAATGACGTCTCCGGCCGTACAGCACGACGAATCGTAATAAACGCAGAAATAGTTAAGACAACGAAACTTTGCGCCGGAGATGCTATTGCCATACTCTCAGACGACCCTCAGGTCACTGTGAGTACATGCCGTTCAAAATGACGGGCGCGCAGCTGACCAGCCTCGCGCCATCCTCAGAGCTTCGGCTGACCACCCTTCTCGATATGACAGACCTTCGCTGTGGGCGTCGTGTGGCCCTCAACAGACATATCACACGACAGTAAGTCGTCATCCCCTCCGTGCGCCCTTCCTTCGCGAACGTGCTCACCTTATATGGCTGGGGACATACTAGCTATTCTCATTTCAAAGTCCCTGCTCCTGACCGCACATCTGACCCCCGGAGCAAAGGTCCAACTACACCCGCTGACTGGTGGCAGACCGCATCCGCACCTCCCACAGCTGAAGAGTGCCCAAGCCGCGCGCACGATTCGCGTGCGCGAAGTCCTTCTCGAAGCATCTTCTTCCCCTGCCGATCTGCGACACAAGACGCAGCCCACGCCGCCGAGCCATGAAAGCAGCCCAGAGAAGCGGCGTGACTGGCTGACGCTCCTGGTCAGAGAGGTACTAGGTGCGACCCACTCCCTTCCCACAGCCCATTCTCCCGCGATGGGTGCTTCTCAGGTGGACGATACGCTGACGATCTTCGTTCCCTCGTGTACACAGTCGATCAGAAGTACCTCACGCCCACGCAGATAGTGGAGCTGTCTTACGAGGGCCGGCGCCGGCGGTTTGCCGTCTCCGCTGTCAACGCGGAAGGCGAAGATGGCAGGGCGGGCGACCTGACAGAGAGTCTGGCGGTACTGTCCTTATCAAAGGAGAGAAAACCGCGCCTATGGACGGTGGACTGGAACGTCACCGTCCGCCTAGAGCGCGACGACGATAATGCCGACACAGCAAAAACGGTACCTCGGGTTTCTCCTGCTGTGTGGACAGCACACTGAGAAGTTGTGTGCAGGGACTCGGCAAGGGTATCGAGCGCAATGTCGACCCCAACGCCTACGCCGCGGTCGGCGGCCTCGACAAACAGATTGCACAGATACGCGACCTCATTGAGATACCCCTCACGCGGCCAGAGCTCTTCCGCCGCTTCGGTGCGTGCAACCCTGTCGTACACGTCGGAACTTTCACTCACTACCAACAGGGCTGAAACCGCCTAGGGGGATTCTCCTCCATGGCCCACCCGGCACAGGCAAGACCCACCTCGCGCGCGCCATCGCGGCCTCGACACGCGCCTCGCTCCTCACCGTCAACGGCCCCGAGCTCTCGTCCGCCTACCACGGGGAGACGGAGGCGAAGCTACGCGACGTGTTCGCTGAGGCGCGCGAGCGCGCGCCGTGCATCGTCGTGCTGGACGAGGTGGACGCGCTCTGCCCGAGGCGCGAGGACGGTCCTGGCGGGGAGGTCGAGAAACGCGTCGTCGCGCAGCTACTGACGATCATGGACGGGATGGAGGCGGAGGGGAAGGAGGAGAGGGTTGTCGTGGTCGCTACGACTAACAGACCGAACGCCATTGACCCTGCTCTACGTAGACCGGGGCGGTTTGACCGCGAGTTCGAGATCGGTTAGTGCTTTATGTCCACACCGGTGCTCTAGCTTACGAACGTCCGCGCATATAGGCATCCCTGACGCGGAAGCACGCTTCCACATCCTCACTGTCCTTCTCTCGAAGACTCCCCACTCAATCTCGCCAGACAATCTCCGCGCAGTTGCCGCGAAGGCTCACGGATACGTCGGCGCGGACCTCAGCGCCGTCGTGCGCGAAGCCGGCACACTCGCCATCAAACGCTGGCTCGCCTCCTTCCCCTCCTCCACTTCTACCGCCACCGCTCCCTCAGACACCGCCCTACCTGCACCGGAGCTTACCCTCCCCGACCTTGTCATCGCCCTCCCGACCATCCGCCCGTCCGCGCTGCGCTCGCTCCTGCTCGACCTCAACCCCGTGCGGTACACCTCTATCGGTGGGCAGGCGCACACCATCCAGAAGCTGCGCGAGTGCGTCGAGTGGCCGCTGCTGCACCCGGAGGCGTTCGCGCGGCTCGGGGTGCACCCGCCGCGGGGTGTGCTGCTGTACGGCCCGCCGGGGTGCAGCAAGACGCTGCTCGTGCGCGCGTGTGCGACGGAGAGCGGGGTGAACTTCTTGGCTGTGAAGGGCCCCGAGGTGCGTGCTTCATCAAAGGTGTAGTAGGCGGGTGTTGATGAGTTGTGGCCTGGGATAGTTACTGAACAAGTACGTCGGCGAGTCCGAGCGCGCCGTCCGTGAGATCTTCAGCAAAGCCCGCGGAGCCGCGCCGTCCCTGATCTTCTTCGTACGTTCCCTTCCATCCTACATCCATCACATTTATCTTCATCGCGATTCTTCAACTTCAGGATGAGATCGATGCCCTCGCGACCTCCCGCACGTCCTCGGACACCTCTGGCGGCGCGCACGAAGGCGTGCTCACCTCGCTGCTCAACGAGATGGACGGCGTGCAGGAGCTCGTCGGAGTCACCATCGTCGCGGCGACGAACCGCCCCGAGGCGCTCGACTCCGCGCTGATGCGCCCCGGCCGGCTCGACCGCATCCTCTACGTCGGCCCGCCCGACGCGCAGGGGCGCGAGGAGATCCTGAGGATACGCACGGCGAAGATGAGCGTCGAGTCTGGCATGGACCATGCGGTGCTCGCGCAGATGGTGCGTGCTCTACGAGTGGCCAGATTGGACCTGCATGCAGAATGACTTTCAGACTGAGGGATGCTCTGGCGCGGAACTTGCTGCACTATGCCAGGAAGCAGCGCTTAACACGATGAAGATGGACATGAACGCGCCCTTCGTATGTAATTGACATCGCGTAGTTCTCGCAAGACTGACGATTCTTCAGGTCCCTTGCACCGCATTCATGGAGGCTGCGAAAGCGATAAAGCGACAGATCACACCAGACGTTGTCGCCAAGTACGAACGATGGAGAGACCAGAGCGCTGTGGGAGAAGCATAACACGCTGCTCAGGTTCAGCTAGGACTCACCACCACTAGAGCAAAAACAGAGACCGAGTGTGGGAGCTCAATTGTATGAGTAGTAAGTTACACCATGGCTACCTTCGTTCTACGATATTGTTTGGGGATGCGCGTGATAGCGATGCGATTATGTGTGGTCTACTATTGATACAAACTTTGCGTGCGATGACTGCCAACTTCCAATTTCCAATGTCTCCAATGTTTCAACCGTTACGTCGTGAATCGTTTCAGACTACAGGGTCTGCGCAACCTATCAGCATCCGTCTAGCCCTCTACAGAGCAATAGATCTACCTGCTGTTGGCTTCGGGTCTCCGTGGGGACCTCCTGACCGTCCGGTAGTATCGAAATCTAGATACGTACGCATGTCAGCCATCTCGTTGGATGGTATGTATGTACGCCCTGAACATACCTGCGGGGACCCTAGACGCAACACCGGCCCGCTTGTTCGCACCCGGCTCCTGAGCGGGGTCGCGCTGAGCCTCGCGCTTGTCGAGCTCGGAGTCGGGGATCTTCGAAGCCGCGCTGGGCGGGAGGTTGTCGACGGGCTGGGTACCAACGAAGTTCTGGGTCGACATGATGATCAAAGGATGAAGAGAGCGAGTGAGCAGCAAGATTCGTAAGTCGTCGAGCGGGTCAAGAGGAGTGAGTCGCATCCCCCGACGAACATGGAGCTCTTATACCTGATTGCCCGGTGGAAGACATGATATCACCATCATTGCTCTGACGTCACGGGTATACGGTGGCGCAGTCACCAAGCGTAGTGTCTTTATCCCAACTTTATCCGGCAACTATCGCACCAACTCGGGAGTGGCTCCCTGGTGGCTCCTCTGGCGCAGATGGTTGCGTGCTTGCCAGAATTCTCTGGGACTATCCTGGTACATACCACATAGTATACGTGGTGGTTTTCTTCGCTAAGCAGACCGCCATTTTGAGTGAGGAGAGGACGGTAACATTCTGGTGATACATTTGAACACAAATGCGATGCAGCAACGTTCGCTCGCAGGGGAATTGAAAACGGTTCGGATGGTATACTTCCGCCTTCTAGGAGATATAGAGCTCAGAGAGTGAGTAAATGACAAGTACTGGAAACTTGAACGTACTGGTCTGGCCTATTCCACGTCAAGTTGAGGTCTCCTCGAAGCCAACGCGTTCCCGGCGCCTCACAAACATGTGGTCATGACCAAAGGATGTCTCCCACGACGTCGACTCTGTGTCCCCGCTGTTTTGAAAGTTGTGATAATGCTTCCACCATACCTCTTCGCTTTCGCGATCCTGGTAATGCTCATGCACCCAAAGAGACACCCTAAGTGTTTGCAAAATGGTTAAATTCCCGATTGACGTCAGACGAGTATGAAAGGAACTTACGAGGCCTTTCCTTGAGCAGCTAGTCGGGGAAACAGCGTACTGCGGACTTTTTCCGAACGCCTAGGCCAATGCATATAGGATGTTTATAGGTCGGAGAGTCTGAGTACGAATTCCAGATGCTGGAATGCCGCAAATATTGGTTGGGAGAGCATGTTGTCAAGGAGGGCACTGGAAGGGGGGTCGGGCAGATACGCAGGCCATACGTTGCCTTTCCTCCGGGCATGTACGCTCATCCCGACAGAGATCACCAACCGTAAGGATCGGAGCGACGACGGACAAGACATGGTGGAGCAGAGCTCAGTCAACCATCTCAAGTCAGAGCCGGCAGCAATCCTGTTAACGCGACTTAAGCTAATGTCCTCCCACGTTTGTATATTGACCCGTAAGACCTCGAGGTTTGTGTTGCAGGATAGCGAGTAATATCGCACAACTTGGGGCATGTGAGCCATAGTAAAGACAGCATAATCGTCGCGGACTTACGTTTTTGGTTGTGGCGGACTCGCTCACCAGCTTCCAGTGCCATGAGTTCGAGGGTCAATCGGCGCAACGCGGCGCCACTCCTGCGCAAGATCGGACAAGCTGCAGCAGGGTCGTCTGATATTGCACCCCGCGGCAAGTCCACCGAACAGCTAAACTCTGCTGTTTCGTCTTCAAGGGTGACCATTGAGACTGCTTCTTCTAGCGCAGCTTGAAAGGGGTGTGGTACCGCCTGCAGCGGTAGGCCAGTATGCAAGGCCAAGGTCGTCGTTCTGAGTGGAGGATGATCGACGAAATATCTTGCTTGGCCCGCAGACGCGAAATACACTGCCCGGCAGTGTAGCGTTGTGACGTTGTAGAGGGATGTTAGAATACGGGCAAGTTCGCGCGGAGAGCGGAACACCGTGTGGAACAAAGTCAGGGTCGTCACCGATGTGAACTCCCGTAGAGTCCAAAGACCTAGTGAAGTGAGAGATATCGAGCAGCGATGACCAAGTCCGAACTTGATGTCCACGAGACAAAGCCGTCGCAACGCAGTGAGCCTTCGTACGAACACCATGGCGAAGACGGGTAGCAGAGTGTTGATCGGAACTTTCTCAGACACAAGGACCACACCATCGATCAACGCGGCCAGCCCAGGGTTCAGGTAGAGGGCTTTGGATAGTCCGTAGATGCCTGGGCGATTGTCAAGCAGGACAGTTCTGAATAAGAGTCGCTGGCCGTACGAGTTCCACGCGTGGCACGTCCGCGTACATGCCACTAGACTGCGAACCGACTCCAAAAGCTGGGCACGGTGATGGCTGGTGATATCGTCGGTGAGAGGCAGGGCCACGCAATCCATGATGATTTGACAGAGTTCATAGGGCAAGCGTGCACTGTAGAACGTCTGTCCGGCATCGATGGGGGTGCTCGCGGGTTGCGTATCCAGTTCATAGACCTGTCCCGCCTGCTGACCGTCACGATGTCCGCGGATCAGCCTTCACTGTGTTCGGCGTGCGCGTAGATTTCGTACATACCTGAGTCTGGGTTACGATCGTTGAGCTATGCTGGGCATTGACTGAAACAACATTCAAGTTCGCGTCACTGGTCTCAGCTCCTGCCATTCTTTGAGCTTGAAGCTTGGTTCAAGTCGGCGGGTAACACGGTCACAAGCCACAATACTACTACGATCAGTGACCAGTATTCACCTGAGGCGGCACAGCGATGTATAAGGCCACAACTTGGCCACAACTTGGATCGATTGACAGACGATTGCCAAGTTGAGCGGCAGGCAAAGCCGCGCGGTGCCGGTGAGTATTTGACTTTGATATTCAGAATCCAAACAGGGCAAGCCCGAAGGCAGCCCGGCAGTAACCAGGAACAGCAGAGTTGCCATTTGCGGGTTGCAGCGCGGGGCATCCAACCCACCTGGCCATCCACTTTGAATCCCATCATCTGCGACGACTTCCTGACGAATTGAACGACTACGTTGTTGTATCTACCTGTACTCGAAGACATCCCTCGCCCCCCTCTTCTCCTGCGAAAAGCGCAGTTCGCCACAACCACCGACTGCGCGACGCGACGGCCTGCGCACGGCAAGTCCACGGCAGTCCACGGCGTGTCTTTGGTCCTCGGAGCTGTTCGCAGTACAGCCTGAGCGCGGATTGGAGCGGTCAGATCCACCCGGTGGGTACAGTCAGCGCAGCTGCTCGACGAACGAGCTGACAAGGATGTAAATTGTGACACAGCCTCACACAGCTTGACGTGAACCGCAGCGGGTTATCAGAGACAGTACGCGCACGAACGCGTCTCGAAGCTCAGCAATGTCGCACTACCCAGAGGTAACTGTCAATGTCATCGCTGTCCGATTATCCTGCTCATTTTTTGTCGCAGGCGGATGAGGCCCAGCGCGGGCAATACAACGATGGCTACTCCTCAGGGTACTCATCCTACAATCCAAATCCCTACGAGACGCACCAGGCGGCTCAGCCATACCAGCGCAACTCCTCACCAAACTACGAGCAAGAACACCAACCCTACCAACCCCTCCATGCCGCCCTGGACCCGTTTGCAGAACCACAAGCCCCACATCCCAGTCTCTACCACTCCCCGCCGCACCAGGCCGCGTACCTGCACACAACTTCTCCCCCACCGCAACCCTCGTACATGCACACCACCTCGCCTCCACCTCAGCCCTCGTACATGCACACCTCACCGCCGATGCACCCGATGTCCCCGCCCCTTCACCCAGGCTCGCCTCCACTCGGTCAGCCAGATTATCTGAACTCGGGATACGGGGGAATGCACACCAGCACTCCCGGGGCGACCTTTCAACCTTCTCCCGTGTCGCTGTACGACCCGGGCCCCGTACTGGAGCACCAGGAGGAGCCCGACGACGATCTGAACGACGGAGGCGACTACCCGCTGCTGCGAAGGGACACCGGACACTCGTCGAACCTGCCGATACCCGGCGACTACCAGGCGGTCGCAGCCGACGAGGAGGAGAGCAACATCCGGTACGGGCGGATCCCGCAGCGCGTGCCGCGGCGGTACAAGACGATCAAGAAGGTCGAGTAAGTGTATATGCACACCCGCGGTGGCGTCGGAGCTGAACGGATGCCGTTGCAGGCTGTTCCAGGGCAACTTCGTCGTGGACTGCGCGGTGCCGACGAAGCTGCTGGACATGTGCGGGCTCAAGGGTGACCGCGAGTTCACGCACATGCGCTACTCCGCGGCGACGTGCGACCCGAACGACTTCAAGGACTCGGGCTTCACGCTCCGGCAGGTGCACTATGACCCGCCGCGCCGGACAGAGCTGTTCATCGTGATGACGATGTACAACGAGGACGAGGAGCTGTTCTGCCGGACGATGCACGGTGTGATGAAGAACATCGCGCACCTGTGCAAGCGCGATCGGAGCAAGACGTGGGGGAAGGAGGGATGGAAGAAGGTCGTGGTGTGTATCGTGTCGGATGGACGGCTCAAGATCAACTCGAGAACGTTGAGTGTGATTGCGGCGATGGGCGCATACCAGGAGGGCGTTGCGAAGGTGCGTCGATCTCGCCGTATGTTTATTATTCTCTTCATTTGTGGTCTGTAGAACGTCATCAAGAACAAGCCCGTAACTGCGCATATCTTCGAGTACACTACCCAGAGTAAGTGATAGAAAAACCCTACACCCTAGTGACCACTGATACCGACTCATTGCTGCCAGTCTCCGTCACGCCCTCGATGAAAATTGAAGGCGGCGACCGCGGCATCGTCCCAGTGCAGCTCATCTTTTGCCTCAAAGAACAGAATCAGAAGAAGATCAACTCGCACCGGTGGTTCTTCAACGCGTTCGGGCCCATCCTCCAACCCAACGTCTGCGTCTTGCTCGATGTCGGCACCATGCCTGGCCCCACGTCCATCTACCATCTGTGGAAGGCGTTCGACATCAACTCGAACGTCGGCGGCGCGTGTGGTGAGATCGTCGCGCTGAAGGGCAAGTACGGCAGGAACATGTTCAATCCACTCGGTACGCCCTGTTGCCTTGACATGCGTGAGCCGTGCTGATGTACAGTGTAGTTGCGGCGCAAAACTTCGAGTACAAGATGTCGAACATCTTGGACAAGCCGCTGGAGTCTGTCTTTGGGTACATCACGGTGTTGCCAGGTGCCTTCAGCGCGTATCGGTACATCGCGCTGCAGAACGATCCCACGGGTGAAGGCCCGCTGCAGAAGTACTTCTTGGGTGAGAAGATGGTAAGTCCTGTGTGTCTATGCCGTGTCTCAAACGCGGTGTTGAATTATTGACTCCCAGCATGGTGCCGGTGCTGACATCTTCACCGCCAACATGTACCTCGCGGAGGATCGTGTACGTCATCCGATTAATTAGTCTTTGCACGCAACGTGACTGCTCATTGTGCTGTCACTCCAGATCCTCTGTTGGGAGCTTGTGTCAAAACGTGGCGGTTCATGGCTCTTGCACTACGTGAAGTCTGCGTATGCCGTTACGGATGTCCCTGACCAAGTACGCAAAATACGCATTTGATGACCATGCGGTCAGGCTGACACTTTCCCAGGTGCCAGAGCTCATTTCGCAACGGAGACGATGGCTCAACGGTTCCTTCTTCGCGAGCATACACGGGACGGTCAAGTTCCACTACATTTACCGTTCCTCGCACAGCCTGCTTCGCAAGTTCTGGATTCACGTGGAATTTATCTATCAGACATTCAATCTGTTCTTCTCCTGGTTCGCTCTCGTAAGGACCCGTCTTTCCCTGTGTCTGTTTTCGGACTAATGACGCTGTGCTCTTCTCAGGGCAACTTCTACATCTTCTTCGTCATTCTGACCGACTCACTTGAGGACTCGTCGCTGGGCTTGAGCAGCGCGATCAAATACTTTAACATCGTGGTGAACTACATCTATCTTGGGCTACTCATCATGTGTTTCCTCCTCTCGCTCGGCAATCGCCCTCAGGGCTCGAAGTGGGCATTTACGTTCGCGATGATAGGGTTCGCCTGTATCACGATCTACATGACGGTACGTTAGGGCGCTTCTTCGTATTCGCTACCGCATACAAGCTGATGGCTCCTGTGAATCAGGTTGCGGCTGCGTTCCTCGTTGTCAAAAGTATACAGAACCTGCAAAAAGAGACGGGTGGCCTCACACTGAACGATCTCTTCACCAACGCGATATTCCGTGACATCGTCATCTCGTTGGTGTCTACGTATGGTCTATATGTCATCGCGTCAATCATTCATGTGCGCATTCGTGCTTCGCTCCTGCGATGCTTCCTAGCTGACAGGTTGACTAGTTTGAGCCATGGCATATGATCACGTCCTTCCTCCAGTACCTGTTGTTGGCACCATCGTACATTGCGGTACTGAACGTCTACGCGGTGCGTCCACTGTTTCATTCGCAGTGCTCAATTCTGATGAACATTTGCCTTCAGTTCGCCAATGTTCATGATGTCTCCTGGGGAACGAAAGGCGACAACAAGGTTTCCACCGATCTCGGAGTCGTACAAGTCGCCAAGGACACGAATGAGGTGGAGGTGACGATGCCAACACAGAAGGAGGACCTGAACGCGATGTACGAGGATGCGATCCACGTACTGCAGACGAAGCCCCCGAAGGAGGAACAAAAGGTAGACGAGACGACTGCACAGGAAGATTACTACAAGTCGTTCCGGACAAAGTGAGTGTCTGACTTAAGCTGCTCTGTACTGCACGATGCTGACCGTCTGTGTGTAGTGTGAGTATAGATGCACGTGTTCGGGAGTCCGTAGCAGGGTACTGACGAGTATTCCTTAGGTCCTTCTCGTGTGGACAATCTCCAACGTGAGTATCAACTATTAAGCATCGTCTGCCTGCTTCGGTGGTTAACAGCTGTTCTACAGGGTCTGCTAGCAGCCATCATTGTGTATGCGCAGCCTTTGTCCAGCCTCCGAGATGGAATGATACTGAGGCATTGTCTCACGCAGCACCCTGACTGGCAAGTCAACCGAATCCAATGCGGAGAAGACAGTCGATGGTTACCTGGCTTTCATCCTGTTCTCCGTCGCTGGACTTGCGTGTAAGTGGTTGACACCGACATTGACATCCCATGCTCACCTGTGCTGCTGTACAGTCGTCCGGTTCGTCGGATCAACACTCTACATGCTTGTCCGGTTATTCGCAGGAGAATGAGTAGCACCGAAGGGGGCCGGCATCTCTCCAAGATCTAAGTGCTTGGCGTGCATAGGCACGATGAATCATGAATCGACGACATCTAAGTATTATCGGACTTTTGCTCTCTGTTGTGATGCTCGCAATGATTTATCATTTACTCACGAACTCTACCTCTACGTAACACGATTGGCGCTGTCTTGCTGTTATACCCTGTACTCAACCATCGATGTCTGTTTCCATCTTGAACAATGATGTTATCGTCGACGTATTCATGCAGTATCCAAGACGCATCGTGATCCGACTTCGGGAATGCCATCATATGCAATGCAGTCGCTCAAAATTAGAATTGAAGGCGGGGACGACATAAAAGATGAACTTGCCAGTACACATCATAACGTTGTCTCAACGTCAACGAACATCAGTCCAGCCACAGTCAGTCCGCGTGGAATGTTACGAGCGAATTGAATCATAAGTATCTCGTTCACTGGCATTCCGGACGTACTGAACTATGTATGTCTACTCTACGGGGTATCTACTTGAACTACTATTGCTACTGCTACTTGTTTAACGGGGCATTGTCGGGTCATGGTCATTGTATCTAATTGTTGTGCTATGCAAGAGTCGTGAAAGATGCGCAGTCGATAACAGCGCGAGAAGCGTAAGACATAAAACGTAAAACTGTAAGTACGTATAGCTACAAGGCAGGGTGCGAGGTCATTAAAGTGCAGTCGAACTTGAAAATCACGGAGGCTAGGCTCATACACGAGCCCAAATCTTTGGTTTGATGGAGAGTCTTGCCCATAGCAGGAGGAAAGAGCCGAAGATCATGCTTGCACCGATGAGGGCAGCAACGCCGGTGAATGAGCCTCCCATGGTGTGCAACAGGGCACCGGCGGCCGGTCCACCGCCCATCGAGCTGTCATGTCCGCTGTCAGCCGCCCTGCCACCCACTGTAATTTGAGAAGAAAAGGAAATTGAGACTCACGAGAAAGAAATGAGGGTATACAGCATCCCCACTCTGGTCCCGATCTCATGCGCTCCGGATATCTGCACGACGCACGGGATGATGAGCGCGTTGAACCCGCCGGAGACGAACCCGTAGAGGACGGAGAAGACGATGATGGCGGGGAGCCCGCGTGCGGTCGTCCAGAGCGCGAGCGCCAAGAGGCCGGAGAAGAAGGCGCAGGGGACGATCAGATTGAACCGTCCGAGCGCGTCGGAGAGGAAAGGCGGGGCGAGCCGCCCGAAGATGCTCGCGCCGTTCATGATGGCGAGCACGTAGAAGGCCATCGTGGAGGAGACGCCGCGCGCCGTGGCGTACTCGACGATGTAGAAGTTGGGTACGAAGAGACCTTGCTCTGACTATCAGCATTGTTGGACGCACGGAGCGTCGAGTGACCGACTGACCGAAGGAGATGAAGAAGCTGGAACCAACGACGAGCATGAAGCGGGTGTCCTTCAGTAATTTGAGGTCGAACCACGGTCGTGGCTGCTTTTGTTCAGGCTTTCGCCTCGTGACGAATGCCAGTGCCACCGCGCATAGGGCGAAACAGAAGAACCCGGAAATCCGGACGGCCCAACCGAACCCCACCTCCGAGAAGAGTCGCTGGAACATGATGGGATAGACCAACCCGCCTGTGCGCGCCGCTGTCAGACCCCAAGGGGTTACTGGAGAATGATGATAGCGTACCAGCACCGGACCCCGCGATGGCTATCCCCAGGGCGGTTCCACGGTAGCGGCTGAAGTGCGTCGAGACGGCCGCAAGGGAGGGGTAAAATCTAAAAAATCCATTCATGAACAGCGGCGTGAGGCGGGCGCGGTCGAGGCGGCAGACGGTACTCACACTAGGCCGACCCCGAGACCGAAGAGGAAGCCTTGGATGAAAAGAAACTCGTAGTACGAAGATGATACGCTGGTGATCATGATGCTGAGGACGAGGAGCAGCGTGCCCGGCAACATGAGGACCCGCGGACCGTACTCGTCGAATAGCCTGCCTATGAAGCCGCCCTGATATTCCTCAGCGTCGGTACTGCATCGGTCAGGCAAGCGTAGCTCACAGAGAAAAAGAAGATCCATAGTTGCAAAGAGCCAATCCAGGAGATGGCCGATGGAGACATATGCTTGAGCTGGTGATCTGCATAATACGCCTGGAACGTCCCGAAAGCGTTGAGTTGGCCGAAGCTGCAGAAAAGCAACAGGAATGCCCCGAGAACTGTAAGCCATCCTTCAACGCCCCCCTCGACTGCGTCTTTAGCTCGGTCGATGGCCGGTTCAGGTATATCCTGGGGATCCACGAGGGTCGGGGCATCGCAGGAGATGCGTTCCTTCGACATTTCTAGGTCAGCCATTTCTGAGGGCGAGGAGACAAGAAAGTGCAAGTCCACTGTGGATGGCCCCGTGAAGCCAGCCGGGAGGACGCGTGGAGGGCAGCAGGCTTATATACGATTTGATTATACCACGACATCTGTCGACTGCCAGGGCCGTTTCCAGACCTACGGTATTGAAATGGAGGCAAATTCAATGGCAACTCTGGCCAAATACGGCCGAGGCGCAGTGACTGGTACAGCTCCGCGACGCAGGATCACATCGTCGGTTCCGCTGTGGTCGAGAATATATCGGGTACCGTCCCTTCTTCGCTCAGATGACAATTGTGAGAATGCAGTTAGAGCGGGCGCTGTTCCTGTCCACCACAAAGATCAAGATGGTAAAACAATACACGAAATGCCGGGATATGTCAACGCAGGCGCGTGAGCCCGATGTACTCACGCAACAGCGGTGTCCGACTCGGGGTGGCTGGGCTGCCCTCGCATGTGTATGTGGCTGCGTCCGGTGCGCACGGCGAGAAGCGTCATTGATGGCTGCGATTCCTATTCGGATCAGTCCAACTGCTCCAGCGGACGTAGCAATTGGACATGGCACGAAGTCGACGGTCGGTCGCGGTTCCACCGTGTGCGGGACACTGGGACAATGACAGCGCTCCGCTTACCGCGCAGCGAGCGAGCCTTCTGCCCATATCGCCATCAGCGCACAACGTCGGCTTTACAAACTTGGCAGGGACTCACCTCTCCGACTCGGATCTGCTCTGGCGATGCGCAATTATGCTAATGCTTCTAGACGTGACAGGCTGCGCAGGGAGGCTCAGTCAGTCGATCGTGTCGCTGCAGCCACTCAACCTGTATCAGCTGTCGAGGGTATGTTCACCCAGCAATGCGGAGGAATGGCGACTCGCCGTTACTATCATGATATTGACCCCGTCTCAGATGAGCGGGCAATATCAGTATATAACACCCAGAAACCATCCGGATCGTCATTGGATGCGGCAGGCCGTTGCAAACGCTCTTAAAGTCCACGCAGATCACTTCTTGCATGTCGAATCTAGTACATGTAGAACTGTCATATGTCGCCTTCATTCGCGGCGGCTAGTACGGCTGCCGCGACCTTCAGTCAAGTACTGTTAGCGTACTAGACATTAATGGAACAGGCACCGTCGTCCTGGCTGGGATCTGTCGGGTTGGGGGGCCATTGTGAAGTCTACTCGTAGCATAGTTGGTGGACCAAAGAACGTACTTCTCGTGTAGATCTGAGGCAACGAGCGCGAGCAACATTCGCAGTGAGACTCAACTTCAGAAAGCGAGATGATCCCGCTTGGCACAAATATAAGCGCAAAATAACTGACAAAGTAACTCTCCTATAAATCAGCCGCAGGGGATTAGTTCGCCAGATATGTACATATATATAAAACAGATATATACGGTATCTCGGTGGACGCGGGTCCCGCCGAAGACGAGCGTTCGGACGTCGGGCGCCAGCAGAGCTCTCATCCTTCGCCACCATGCAGCCCACCCTCATCCGCCGCCAGCTCGGCGGCATCGTCCCTCCCAAAATCGCGACTCCCTCCATCCTGGTCAGGAATCCTTGTTATCTCCTGTTTGCTCTGTCGACTGACTCGTGGATCCCGTAGTCGTCCGGCCAGGGAGCAGGCCTCGGCCCGCTTGTCAACTTCTACTCGAAGCTGCCCAAGGGCCCCGCGCCCACGCCCGCTCTGCGTGGCATCAAGGAGCGGTTCTTCAACGGCAAGAACGCGTCGGCGGCCCCGCTGGTTTGGGGAATTCTGGGCATCTTCGGTCTGAGCTACACCCTTGACTACCAGAGTACGTCGCTATACTCTTCTGCCTCATTCGGATGTACTAATTCATTGGGAATTTCGGCAGTGCACTTGAGTGAGTACACGTCGAGTTTGTGTGCGCTGCAATGCTTATATGCCGGGTTCAGAGCACCACAAGAACCACCCTCACTAATGGTCGGGTCCGGAGAGGTTGGTCGCGTGTTGGAAGAGCTAGATGTGAAGTCAACTTTGGAACAATGTCTCGCTGCTGCCGCAATGCATTCACATTCAAAGATACAACTGATGTGTTTCTGCGATAAATCTTGCCTCCGCCGTGTCTCGCTGTCTGGAGTAGAGCCCGTTTGCTGCCATGGCTCCTGGGAGTGTACGGCCTCCGAGATCCGAGAACCTGCTTCTCGCTACCATCGTACCGCCTGCACGCGTTCGTGCACACCCAGTTCAATTGGCTCGTCGAACACTTCACACTTCGCTCGATGCCTCATTCCCTGGGGAGATCAAAACTCTCTAGTCCCGTACGGGTTAAACCTTGCAAATGTCGGAGCTCGCATGCACGAGTACTGACACAGGGCTTGGGGTAACATTATATTATCACTCTCCCACCTTCCCTCCGTTGTCTTTCGGTGATGTACTAAGTTACCTGAATATAGAAGGCATGCTAACGTCCCCTTCACGGGTGCAGTGACACGTCGGATGGATGTCTGGTCCGACAGCATACAATGATGAGGCTCGCGCTCGGGAAGTGAGTGGGTTTGTGAAATGGCAGCATTCGCTCATTGCTATTCCGCGGGACCCTCCTCTGCGTAACATCCTGCGCGAGGACGTTGCCGCCGCAAAGAGACCCCATTGCTGAGGGGCGAGGCCCACGCATGTCATTCAGTCAATCCCTCTGAGACACCGGTTCAAACATCGGGTAGCCCGGATGTGTCTCAGATCCCTCTGAGTCTCATGCATTCTATTCATTGAACCGTACTGTCGACTCAAATAGCGCGCAGCAATGCATGTCGCAGTGCATATTGTGCACCCCGCTCTTTGAGACGATGTCTAGAGAAGCTGATGTCCCGAACCAGGATGGCGACAGTGATCATGCGAAAGCGCAACCATGGAGCTCCTACGTAGGAGAGGTCTTCCTCAATCGCAAGCCACCCTTGGTGCCCGCTAGCTTCCACAAGCTCGAGAGTGCTGCGCGCGAGGCGATGGCGCATTCACCAGGTGCGTTTGAATTGACCACATGCTTGAGGGATGGCGTTGACCGGCGTGCACACGACGTAGAGGCATTCGAGTACATCTCTGCAGGCGCAGGGACGGGCTCGACCCTCGAGGCGAACCGCGAGGAGTTCAGGAAGTGGAGGATCATCCCTCAGGTGCTGAACGATGTGAGGACTCGCAGTCTCGAGGTGCGTTTCCGCACGCCGTCAGTCATGCATTTTGATCTGACGAACCGGCACGCTGGTTATGCTTCCAGATTAGACGACGCTCTTCGGCGTGAAGTACCCTTCGCCGTTGATCGTCGCGCCTATGGGCCTGCAGTCAATCGTTCACGCTGACGGAGAGTGTGCGACGGCTGAGGCTGCCGGGAAGGTCGGCGTGCCCTTCTGTATGAGCACTGCGTCGAGCCGGTCGATCGAGGCGATCGCGAAGGCCAACGGAACAGGACCGCGTTGGTTCATGCTATACTGGTACGTCCATCCGGGCTGTCGCACGCTGCGCGAACGCCACTATAAAGTGATTCGCTGACCATGGAACCAGGGGAAAGGAAGAGGAGGTCACACTTTCGCTCCTCGCCCGCGCGAAACGGGGCGGGTTCACGGCCCTGGTGATGATGGTCGACGGGCTCATGCACGGGTACCGCTCATCCGACCTCGACACGGCCTACTTTCCCGTGGTGCACGCCGTGGGCATGGAGGTCGGCCTGAGCGACCCGGCGTTCATGGGGAAGCTCGGGCTGGAGCCATTCCCAGAGGACGTGAGGCCTGCGTTCCCGTACGACCCGAGGGCTCAGGACGAGTTGGTTAGGAAGGGCGATGCGGGTGCGGTGCGCCGGGCGCAGTGTGCGCTGTCATTCTTGGAGAGGATCATAGATACGGGGAAGACGTGGGATGATGTCGCTTTCCTGAGGCAGCATTGGGATGGCCCGATCGTACTGAAGGGTATTCTGTCCGTGAAGGTGAGCCCGTGTGGCGGTCGTCACGACACTGGCAATTATCTCTCACAGTAGTTGACGTGCAGGACGCTGAGCGAGCAATCGACTGCGGTGTTGAGGGCATTGGCGTCTCAAACCATGGTGAGCTCTGCCCGTATACCGAGCGTACAGTCCATGATACAAACCATACATCAGGGGGACGACAGATAGACGGCGCCATCCCTTCGCTACGTGCTCTGCGAAAGATAGTTCAGAGCCCCAAAGTGAAGGCTGCACAGCCTGAGGAGAGCGGTCGCTTCACAGTCTTGATGGACTCCGGCATCCGGCGCAGCGGGAGCGACGTTTTCAAAGCGATCGCCTCGGGAGCACAGGGTATACTGTGTGGGTCGTCGTTGCCTCGTGTGCTGTCCCGACAAACTTCCTGATATTCACGCAGACGGACGCCCTGTGCTGTACTCGCTGGCAGTCGGTGGAGCCGCGGGCGTAGAGAGCCAGCTCAGAGACGTGCTCTCTGAGTTTGATACGACGCTTGGGTTGAGTGGGTTCACGAATGTAGAGGATCTGCGCCGGCATGGGGATGAGATTCTGGAGCGGGACCCTTGAACTTACTGCGTGCTTGAACGAGCGGGTTGAATTATCTTAGTGCTGGTGCGAGTAAGCTCATGTGGGCTCAGTATATCTGCATTTGTCGTTCGATGAGAGCCTGAGAACAACATGTTGCATGCTTGATGCCTGCATGCCTGCTACACACGGTGACTCGGTCCTCCTATGCTTTACGACTCTCTTGCTTGAACCTCGAAGAGAGCCACCCTGGTCACATTTCCTACAGCTTCAACTGATACGCCAATAAGCTTGGCCAGTATATTAGGATCATTGCGTCACAATGTGCAAACCGGTTCTGACAGCGTTATCGTCCCACCTGTTTAGCAGAACAAGAAGTCCTTCGCATAGGCTGACATGAAGTACGGCAGCTTGTCTCAGATGCACCCACACCCCCGGCATGCTCGGTCTCGTTCTGGTGCGATGACTAGGTCAGCAGAGTCCCGGGACGTGCGATGTCTAGTCTACAAGGTAAGCATATTTACTCCAACATGCGTGTTTCCACCTTGGAAGCCTCCCTTGAGGTGAGTCCACCTCCTAGTAAAGTGCATCGATCTGACTTCAGCCCACCTTCGGCATAGGTCACTAATACAACGTGACCACGCTCAGTGTGTTTTCATTACATGTGGAAAGAGACTGATTTGCTTTGTGCGTACACTGTCAACATACACAGGGCCCCTACGGAGCTTCATTCAACGACGAGCCCCTACTCGTGAGTACCAGCTACGGCGCCTTTCACTAGAGTCCCCTACATCTGCCAGAATGCACAAATGGGTATACTGCATGCCGGGCAACGCTTCGTTCCCGTACGTCAGGTAGCGGGTCTTGAACTTGAAGCCAGTGTTGCTGCTCGGCGACACGACCCAGTGCACATGCACGGCAGGCTCGATCGCGTTGCGGCCTGGGTACAGAGGTGGGATCCGGGTCGCAAGTTTGCCGCCTATATCTCGCAAGACTTCGAAGAGTTGGCTTTCCACCGTCGTCTCCTCGATGTCGGGAGCATACTCATCGAACAACACATATGCGATCATGTGCGTGGAGCCGCCCTCCTCACTTTCGATCCACACTTCGTTGTCTTCTACCACGAATTCAAGTCGCGAACGGAGACCCAGAGCGGTGAAGACGCTCGCAAGCGAAGCGTCGCTACCCTTGAGCATACCAGACACTTCAGACAGCGCCTTGGCCCCGGCACCGCGATCGCTCTCGACCGGGTACTGATGACTGAGGCAGAATCCGAGGTGGCCACCCTCGGGTAGAAACGTGGGGTCATCGAGCAGATGCTGCAACGCGGCCTTCAGAGAAGACTCGAAAGTCAACGGGCGTACTGGAAGGTCGGAAGGCTGTGGCGAGTTGTAATAGAGGTTGTAGGTGATCGTAATCCTATACCCAGATTGCACCTGGAGGACCTCGTGCTCGACGTCGCTGAAGAAAGCGATGTACGCGAGGCGTGGCTCCTTCTGGTCTGCGATGATCCTTGACGAGTCGAAGGTCCACTCCTTGCCTCCGTGGCGGAGCACCAAAGCGCCTCCCTCGTGGACAGTGGGATACACGACGACGAGCGAGCCGAACATGTCCGTGCTTCTGGGCGTATCCTGATGAGCCTTGAAGAATGAGCCAGGCCCTACACAATCGTTCCCAGTCAGTCCTGAAGAAGCATGTGAAACGATGACCGACGTACCGTAGACGTTCAGCTTGTAGAGCTCGGCGCGGATAGAGGGACTTTCTTTGTTCCGTTCGATCAACTCGGTCTCGATAATACCGAGGAGGCCCGTGCTCGCTAGGTCGAATGCTGGGGAGAAATGCTTCCTGTCGAGCTTGCCTGCCTTCCTGTACGACTCGTCCAGGACGTCCTGGTTGTTCAACCCGAACGTCGCAGAGTCGCAGGACTCTGCCAGGTGCTTCGCACTCTCCTCCGTCGCCGTGGAAAGATCGATCCGCCTGGAGTGAACGTTTCGATGAACGAGCAGCCTCTAAATACAAATGTATTGCCTTACCGAACGTCGTCGCCCTTTCCGTAGTACAGCAGAAAGTCTTCTGAAGGAAGCTTGAGGGTTCCGCTGCAGTACGGAGGCTTGTTCTGGATGCAATCTCGTAGACCGAGCAGCTGTTCCTCGAGTGAAGACATGTTGATTGCAGGAGGGAGTTTTGCGGAAGCTAAGATTTGAGAGGACGTACCCTGTGTGAAGGGATGGGCTCGCACTGCATCTATCGCGTTGGTTATATACACCCGCCGTGACATGTTACATGCTGGGTAGCTCTGGGATGCGCATGCAACGAGAGTCATTCGACACTAATCCGGCCTACGTGAGACGAGAAAGAGTCACGAAGACAACACTCACCGATTTGGACAGGTTCATTACGTACCAGTTGTACGTACATCCATTCTCGCTGCCTGCATGACTTCGCGACGCTTAGCCACGTCGAAGGTCGATAACAAAAATCCAGGTCGGAAGTCCAATGATTTGCTACTATCGACGGCGACGGCGACTCGTTCTGCGGATACTTCATGTAAGCGATCAAAACGTAAAGGGGACATACCCGAGTCGGTCATAGCTATCGCTTCCTATGACACCGCATGAGTCTGCGTCCCAAAGCGGACCTCCGAATCGACCTAGAGAGCCTCGCAGCAGGATGCAAGTTAGACGACCCCAGATAACGAGTTCAATCACTCAAAGTAGGCTATTGCGTCATGCAGGCTGCTGTTCTGTGTACGTAGTTCATGCGCAAGGTCTGCATAGATAGGCAGTGGCTAACGGGGACTTCGGCAGACGCCATGAGTCCGACGGTCCAGGAAGGGTACCGAACGGCGGATGCACACCATATGAAAGAGTCGTCAGCATATGCGATCGGCATTATCAGTACAGCAAGCAGAAATTTCATATACAACATGATGAGATCTCGCACACCGTCACAACTTCGCAGTAGGAATCATGGAGCGCGTGGCCACAATCTGACCTCCATCCACTGTAATAGTAGCGCCATTGACGTACGAGCCGGCGCGACTCGCGAGGAAGACAGCCGCCCCTGTGACGTCCTCCGGCGTGCCGATACGCTGCAGAGGGTTCATCGTCTTGATCAAGTCGCCTTTGGTACGGAGGGTGTGTGCCATCACTGTCGGGTGGAGAGTAATAAGCAGGATACGGATCTTGACACAAAGCGGAACTCACTCTTGCTTTCGAAGGGACCTACATGGTCGGTAACTTGTCAGCAGGTGTGACTGACATGGAAGGTGTCACTTACCACAAGCGAGCGTATTGCAGGTGATACCCTCAAAGCCGAGTCTGCCCGCGAGATGCCTACTCAAGTGATGTAGAGCAGCTTTGGAAGCTGAGTAGGCATACGTCTCTTGCGGTGGAGAGCGTAGTCCGTCGACGGAACCAATCTGCATCATACCTGACGGGTCAGAGTCATCCAGAGGAGGTAGGGAGTGACTAACGTTGATAATTCGTGCTGGGTCTCTGTAGACATCTCCATCCATACCGCCACGCGCTGCGGCTGCGCGGAGCAACGGGAGACATTTCTGTGTCAACGTGAAGACTCTCTGCGTGTTGAGAGTCATGACCTTGGTGAATGCCGCATCCTAAATATGTGTAATGAGCATGAATAGTCGAGTTTGGCTCGCTTCATCACGACAGAGAGGCTCTTACAGGGTATTCGTCGATGTCTTCACCCCAAGTCGCTCCAGCGTTGTTCACCAACACGTGCAACACGTCCTCTTTCGCTGATAGCTCCCGCACGAGCATGTCTACCTGTTCGAGCTTTTGTAGATCCGCAGGCACTGGGATGCATGTCCCGGGGCCAGCTTCATTGAGCTCCTTCGCGGTTGCGTCACAATCCTTGGCTGAACGAGAGGATATGTACACCTGGCGCCACATCTTCAAGTTTACCCCTGAGCATGCATTTCGGAACTTGGATCATCGCACCTTGGCCCCGTTAGCCACAAAGCCCGCGGCAATCTAAAGATGAGGAGTATGAGCTAGTCGCTGAAAGTGGGAAGCATTGTGATACCCATACCATCTTTCCGATCCCGCGGCTGCCTCCTGTAACCAATACCACCTTCCCTGCCACGTCAAACAACCCGTGAGACTTCAGCGAGTCCATCTTGCCCGGCCGGTATCACGACGGGTACGTTTCACGGTGGTTGTTGTTCAAGTGCTAGCCAGGCAGTAGAAGACTGCAGCAGGAGTGCGGGGACTGACGGGTGTTTCAGGTCAGTTGATGATCATGGGACGAAGCTGAATACTATACCTGCCATTTTGAGATACAGCTGACCATGTGGTGTTCTCGCACGAGTCTCAGCCACAGTCGCGCAAATCGCCATCTTCACCTTTTACGTGTTCCACCACCCATGAGACGCTACTAAATACAGCGTTGGATCTCGGATCAGACAGTCGATCGTGTCCGAGAAGGAATCCAGATTCGGTGAGTGGTACAATGACGATGTAGGCATCCAAAATCCAAGTTGCTAGACTTGAGAAGTCCAGTACCTTGCTCTCCCAGGGAACGTGGATTGTGCGCGTCGTCCTGACCTCTGGAGCTCTGAGCCCTGATGGCCAGCAACCCGGAACCTGGACAACAAACGCACAGTGACCCGTCCATGGTTATTACCACATTCGCGATCAGCACGTTTGTCATTAGGCATACAAATGCCAGAGCAGCGAGAGGTTTGGTAATGCACGCTGTAGCGGATCTACGTAGCTTCGGTTGTGTTGAAGAACAGACCTTGTTCTGAGTATGCCTTCCTCGTATCTGAAAAGGTCCGATGGGTTCACTGAATTCCCCGCTATGCAATCCCTACGTCTCTGTGTACTTATATTGCCCCGTTCTTCACCATCGCGCGATCGTCTGATACGGCTCAGAAAGTCTTCAGAAGTCGACATCATGATGCCTCGAGATGAGTGTGGACTGTGTCGACCAAAGCTTCGCATGATCGTCGCGCTTGGTCGACTGACTCTGTAGCCGTAATTCATTCACATCCATGCGTCCTTGATTTCATACGTTTCTCTAGACCTTCAGTCAGGCTCCAGAAGCGAGTTGCGGCGGACGCACCCTCATTTCCATCCGGTCCAGTGGCGTGCAAACGTGCTTGAGGGCACTTCCCTGGACTCCTGAGCGCCCTCTCGACTGGTCCCGAACGCACTTCTTGTGTGCGGTCAGTGATGAAAGACGAACGAATTACACTCCGCTCTGTAGCTCCTTGAGCGGGCCACCGGATCTCAGCTGTACCCCCGTATAACGTTAACGTGCATCGCAGATACTTATCATTCTCAGTCCGAACCAGCGTCCACCTGTGGTAGTAGCGGTTGACGTGCCGGTGGGTTTGTCTCATGACCTCGCTCTACTGAACGCGAAGGCGCGAATCCAATAGCTCTTGCGGCGCACTCCCGATTTACCGTCACTTGTACATAATGCAGGCTTTGCGTGCCCAGATGCGCGACGGAGGCACTCTGGCATTTTGGCTTCACGCTTCTGTGCAGCTTCCGCGGTAAGTCCGTCGATGGTTTATCTCGCCACCACCTCAATCTGGTCGACCATCTAATCGGTCTCGGCTCTAGGCAGTGACGATGTTCCGTACCAACGTGGCCTACCCAAGGTCCACCATACGTCGGTGCCAGTCTCCTGGCAGCACGCGCGTGTGGTGGGCCATACGGTGCCACCGGCGTCAGGCTTCGGGCCACAGGGCTGTCAACGCGAATTGCTCTCCCAATAGCAGAAATGCATGCGGACATCGGACCGCATCGACGACACCCAAAAAGCATCCATAGCCATAGCATAATGTCTATTCGTCAGGACTCAGCCCAATAACCCATAATGTCATTACAAACGATTGCGTGTCCATCCAATCCAGAACCGATGCACCAGGCCCTCCAGAATAACCTTGCAGAGATAAAGATGCGCACATTAGCTTGACCGAACGCGTCGAGCGTGGTGTCGGTGGTGGTATGGTAGACGATGCACGAGGGAGTCTTGTTGCGAGATGCGATACATAGCGTGGTCGTGAACAAATGGTAGAATTCTTGATTACAAACGAAGCGATTGACGGGAAGGAGGGAAAGTGAGTGGGATGTCCGGCGGCCGGGTGCTACGGGAGGACGACTGTGCCTCCGCGCAGCTCGGGTATGGTGCGGCGGTGCTACCACGTTGGCGGTAATCATTGGCGGACACTCACGATGAGGCGTTCTTGACCTGTGGCGTGAACATGAGCGGGGCGTTCCGAGTGTCCGTCGCGAGGAACCCTGCTTACCTTGCGTTTCCGCGGCGTCATCATGAGTGGTGACTCGTCGTCCTCGTCCGGACGACGCGTAGTGCGACCGGGGGATTGTGGCGGCGAGACCTGCCAGTAGCGTGAGTAAGACAGGACGTGCTGTGTGCTATGAGGGACTCACGGGTTGCCTCTGCTTGGACCGAAGCAGAGCTTCATTCAACTGAAAGGCAACGCGTCAGCCGCGTCGACGACGAACAATCGCACGCCACATACCTTCGCCTCGCTGACCTCCCTCTGCTGTCTTGACGTTCCGTAGTGCACCATGTCCTTTGTCACAGTCGTCATCGTCGGGAACGACGAGAGCGAATGCGCCAGGCTGGGCAGCGCTGCAATCGACGCTGGTGGCGTCGAGGGCGTCGAAGCTGTCGGGCTCGAGCCGGGTTGACGCGTCGATTGCATGCTCAGCAGGGGCCCAGGGAGGTACAGGTAGGAGGAAGAGGGAGAGGACGCGGCGGAGGAGCAGGCGGAGGCGGGGTGCATTAGTACTGCAGCAGAACAATGGGCCCCGCGCAGGGCTGGACCCTATAAGTGTATGAATCGACGCCACAGCAACCTGTTACGCCTGCCATGATTGCCACGAGCGGGAACCCGCTGGGATAAGCAGGCAAAGCGAGACGCCACGCGCGAGGCGGTCGCTGCTTGCAGTTCTCCCCGCCGGATATGGCCAACACGGGCCTACGCGGCGGATGCCGGGGACGGTCACAGGTTGCTTTGAACAGATCGCACCTGCGGCAGGGGGAGATCCGAGATGATGAGCGGCTTTGGGCACCGGACGGGGGTGTTGCTCGGTCGAGCGAGCTTCAAAGCAATCAAAGCGCGTTTGCAAGCGCTGCAGCCGCTGCTGCTGAGTGGACAGCTCCGGTATCGCGGCATCGAGCGATCTCAGCCAGATGGTCTATCATTCGGCGAGTCAGAAACCGGTTCCGACCCCGACGAAGGTACTTATTCTGTACATGTGTTATGACTGGAATCCGCATACCACGTACCTACGCTTTGTCCGCAGGACAGCCACGCGGCCCTGCTTTGAGACGCCATGGCCTACCGAAGTCACTATCAAAGCCTCATTTCCGTCCGTCCTATACCAGATCAGGCTGTGAAGCTCCGTTTTGACTGCCCACATCGCTCTCTACATAGCCTCCTCATGCGGTCAGGACTATCCCAGTGGCACAGGTACGAGCGCCTCGTCTACCTGATCCAAGGCCAGTTCCGCCACAGCGTCTCCTGCTGCGGCAAGCGCCCACTCGCACGCGTGCTCGTCCACTCCTCGTCCTGGTAAATCCACACGCAATGGAGGTTGCCAATCCAGAGGCCGACGTAGGCGATCTTTGGACAGAACGTCCGCAGCTCAGCCGCCAGCATGCGTTGATAGCAATCGTATGGCTGTGGCGCCCAAGCCGTCACATCCAACTCGATCAGCTCGAGGGAGTAGAGTTTCATTAGGCAGCGGTGCACTTCATAGCGCTGTGAACTGGTCAATCAGAGACGTCAACGTTGCCAGGATGACAGCTCACGTTCTGCATTGGATACGGTAACGCCCCGAGGAACTGCAAGGTGGGAGCATAGGCTGACGAGGAGATGAGCTGGAATAGTTCCAGCGCCATCTGTTCAGGCAGGTAGACGATGTGTAGACTACGAAGATTCTTCATGATCCTGCCGACGTCCAACATAACCGTAGGCACAATTGCCGCCGTCTCGTTCTCGACCTCGACTTGGAGATGAGTGAGTGGGCAAGTAAGGAGCTCAGCGACCACCAAAGGTGGTCCCTGGAAGGTTTTGAGAGACTGGAGTTTCCCTGGGCTGATGGCAGCCAGAGGGCCATCTTCGAGCGAATCCTCGACATGTAGGTACGTCAGACCTTCCTGCGTCTCGAGGAACTCGACCAGGGTCTTGTCCCACTGCAACCCGAGGTTCGCCTCCTGGAGCTGGAACTTGATGTCCGTGGCGCTGAGCACCCAGGTGTTGGTCAGCGCAGGGTCGTACATCAGCAGTATCTCGAGATTGACCGCGACATCCAACGCCGCTTTGATTCTCAGCCAGAGTCGTTCCGGAAGAGAGTCGACGCGGTTGTTCGTCCGATGATAAAACCAGAACTTGCGTAAGTACGGCCCGCGCTCGCCATCACGAGTGGTCACGGCCACACAGGCTTTGTATGCCACATTGGCATCGCGCAGGAACAAGGCTTGGTAGAGCTGACTTTCCGCGCCTCTTTGAAAGGCCTTGGATGTCTGCGCCAAAGCGAGCTGGGTGTTCGTTTGCGTCCACTGCACGATCTGGCCGTAGAGCTCCTGCGGTAGAGTGGCCATGGTGCCTGCAAGCTGAAGCGAAGTATCGATTTTGGCGAACTGGTCGGGAGGAATTCGAAAGAGATGAGGATTGGACTGTCGGAAGCGACGTTGAGTATTTCAGCGTACCTCGTATAGTTTTCTCTTTGGCTGCGTGATAATATCCTTCTTGTAGACCCAATAGTCAATGTTCAGGTGTTTTGATACAAGACGCAGGGGTGTTGTGGTCCTGGATGGTTGTGAAAGACAGAGAGCGGCTGTGGCCGGCGTGTTGGCGTGGCTTTGTCCGCTGCCGCCACTCGCGCGCGGGCGAGCGCGACTTCAATTGTGACTTGTCTTCATCCGACACCATCTACGCTTTCTTCGCCTCTGCACCCCCGCTAAAGCACAAGCGACGACATGGGCGAGTCCAGGACAGAACTACTGGCTTGGCTCAACGACCTCCTTCAAGTCAACTACACCAAAGTCGAGCAATGCGGGACGGGCGGCGCGTATTGTCAGATTATGGATTCGGTCTTTGGTCAGTCAAATTCTTTGTGAATGGCACGAGCGGCAGAGTGATAATACATCAGCGTACGCTCGATATAGGCGATGTGCCAATGGCGCGTGTCAAGATGAACGCCAAGCATGAGTACGAGTTCATCGCAAACTTCAAGATTCTGCAAAACGTCTTCCGTTCACACAAGGTCGAGAAGGTGCGTCGGGCCAGGACGAGCCCATGTCCTTCGCACGATCGTGAATGCCGATAGCTGACGCGCTCTTACAGCCCATTGTCGTGGAGAAGCTTGTCAAATGCAAGATGCAGTGCGTCCGATATTCCTCAGCGTTTCGTTGTTCTCACTCGTCGTGGCACTGTCTAGGGACAACCTGGAGTTCCTCCAGTGGATCAAGCGCTTTTGGGACACGAACTACGGAGGCCAGGGCTACGACGCCGTCGCTCGACGACGCGGCGCTCCCACAGACACACCTGCCACCATCGCGCCACTCGCGCCGTCCCGCGGTAGCTCTACTACTCTGCACACCGGTGCACCCCGAGCCGGCGGGCGAACTCCCATTAGCGGCCACCGAGCTGGGTCAACGCAGCCGAACGAGCTTGTGCAGAACCTCCAGGCGCAGCTACGCGAAATGTCAACGCACCTGGAGGGCCTCGAGAAAGAGCGGGATTTCTATTTCTCCAAGGTGAGCTCATAATCGTCTCATCTCTTCCGTGTCGGGTTGCTCGTCGTTCCGGCGCGGCCGAGCGCGATCGTGGCTGGTATACTGAAGTCACGTGCTACAGTTGCGCGACATCGAGATCCTTGTCCAGGGACAACTTGAAGCCCTCGAGGCGGAAGGCAAGGACGACCCGTTGATGCGTGACATACAGAAGATTCTCTACTCTACAGAGGTGTGTACGCCGCTTTCTTTTCAACCTATTGCCTCGGCTTAGTGCTATTCAGGAGGGCTTCGAAGTACCGGAGGGAGGTGCCGTTGACGAGGAGGAGACGTTCTGACAGATCTATACGGAAGCCTACATGAAATACATGATGCCTTGTGGCGTAATATCGACCATTCTCGTACTCAAATAGCTTTGTGTTGTTGTCTCCAGGGCCTCGTATACCTCAATGTATCGCCACTCTTTCTCGGCTCAAACTCGGATCCTCGCTCGTGGCGGTCTGTCCGTCGTCCGATGCGCCAGCTTGACCCGCGCCGGGAAGCAGAGCTGTATACGCATGCAGTCCTCGCGGCAACCAGCCGTGAACGCCGTTACGTTGTGAATGGTGCGAGACTATTGGTCGACATCATCTTCGCGTCTGGGCGCTGATCGTAGGGTATCTGGGCCGACGCCGCTCAAGCTCGGGTCGTAGACGCGACCGACGCTTGTCCTGGGCAACATCGCTGCGCACACGTTGGCTTTGGCAGCACTGCCCCTAGCGTAAGCCTTGAATACTGCTAAGATGGCATGAACACGCCTGCGGCCTCGTAGACCCTGTAGCCTTAGTCCTTTGTTTTAATCTTGCCTGTCCCCCATTTCTTCCGCCTTGTAGTAATTTTTCTGACGTCGACGACTGTCCTTGGGTCAGGATCACAGCAGCTCATCTTCACATCCACTGGATCTAGGAGCAGGTCTCCCGAGCCGGTTAAAGGACTGCACACGTTGAAGACGAACATCCTCCTATTCGTACCCCTAGTGAGTCACTAATACAGAATGGTACAGTATCACCCTTGTGCGTGGGCGCTGATCGTTGTCTCCTTGCCAGTCACGACCACATAACGTCAACTGCCTGAGTGCCCGCGCACAATTCACGAAGTCTCGTTGGAACTGGCTCCACCTCGTGTGTATCACGCATTCACCTCAATCCTCTGCTTTCGTCTCGTTGCTCGCCTACCTTCTGTCTACCTTTGCACGAATGCCGCCACGAACAAACACAACTTCGACCGCTGCTGCTGAGCACACAACACCGACGGTCGAACATCTAATTCCATTCAACAATGGTCCTGATGAGAGCCACGCCGATGTGGGCGCGATTGTTGGAGGCGTGATCGGGGGAGTGGTTGTGTTTGTCTTGCTCGTCGTCCTAGGCTGGTACTTCTGGCGGAGGAGAAAACAACGCGCTCCTTGGCACTACGCGATGTCCGGAGAGTTCGACGCCGCTGATGGTGCGTATTTCTTCATTGAGTCTCGTCACTTTGTCGATAGAGCTCAAGGTGGCTACATTCCAGATATGAAGCCATACATCATCACGCCGTACATCACGCCGGATGCTGTCTCCTTCTCTCGCCCTGATCGCTCCCTGTCCCCTCCCTCACGAGCCCTCTCTCCGGAGTCCGACCTCAACGTCACCACCTTGACATACGACGCAGTCCCACCTGAATTCGCCGGCCAGGCGAACGACCTTGACTCGTGGACAGAGATAGCGGTGTACAGGGCTGAAGAGCGCGGGCGCACTCCGTCTCTCATCGCGAACCGCGTCACTTCGCCCACTCCATCCCTCGTCGCGCAAGAGCGCGTAACCTCGCCCACGCCGTTCAGTGCCGGGAGCCGCATTATTGTGACCTCGCCCACGCACGGTGGCGCCGAGCGCCCAGCATCACGAGCTGGCAGCCTCATGGCCGCTAGAGCTGGTTTGGTGTCGGCCACAGCGGCCATCGCGGAAGCTGCAGAAGGGCTCAAGGAGAAGGCAAAGAAGAAGCGGAAGAGCAAGATCCAGTCGGTGCCGAGGCCTTTGTCGTTCTGCATCGACAGGAGCAAGCCTGGGTCCTCGCCACTGGACCAAGCCTCCCCGCAGTTCTCGGCGGTGCCGCTGAGTGCCATGAGTGCTACGTTCACTCAGTGATGTGATATATGGGACTTCGCACATTATTTATCATACACTGATTTTACGAGAGACAAGATTGCTACACACTCCTTACATCTACTGTATATACCCGTATTGTACTAAGCACCTCGAGGATACATCCTATTGTATATTTTGGAGACCAAAGCATGTGGGCTCTACAATGGCATAGCGGCGACGTCTGTAGGGATCGCTCGCAGAGTCCTGTGGCGTAACAAGGTAAGCAGTGGTTTCAGCTCAGCAACATGAAGCATACTTTGAGAAGTCTTCCTGCAGCTCGTCCAGCTGTGCCTTGAAGTCCTCCATCAGATGCTTCATGTCGAGCTTCCATCCCCGGAACTCTTCTAACAACTGGTCGAGTTCATCTTCAGGCGCGTCTTCGTCTTCTGCATCACCTGTCTCGTTTACAGTTGACGCGGAAGTGGTCTTCAGGTCAACAGCATGGCCACCCTTGAACGGCGTGTTTGCCATGCTTGATTGTCGTGCAGCTTCCACGTTATCCAAGGATCGATCAGACCCCGAAATTGACTCTACGTCCGTGTTTTGAGCCTCGTCTTGGTTCCTGTGTTTTTCATTTGGTGAGCATATACGCCGAGGAACTGACTAAGCCTCGTACTCGGAATGCCTACGGACTGTCCTCTGTGGCGGCTTGGGGCTGTCCGGCTTCACTGGCATGATCACGGACTTTCCAAGTGGCGATGGGCCATGAGACGACCTCCTGCGAAGCACCAGTGTTTGAGGACTCGGAGAGAAAGCTATCGCTCGATGAACCTTCGAATGGTCCATAAGGGGTTTCTTTTGTGATGGCGTCGGGATATATCGAGCGGTAGCTGACGTCGACATGTCCTAGGTTGTGGCACAGTGAAGGAGATGACGAGGGTGGACGGGAGGTGGGGAGCTGGCGATGCCCGCGCATCCTCCCTAACTTGAACCTTATATGGCCATGTGGCCACTTCCTAGACAAAGGAACACCCGGATTGGTTCGGTGGCGTCGGAGCCGATTTATTGACTTTGAAGTCATTTCTGGGCACGTAATAGTAAGTCACATAAACATAATGGTCGGCTGAACCGACGTATGTGGCACTTCGTTGCTGAACGACGCGAACGCCACAAACGCGTCGAAGGCGCGGCTATATACGTGTCGAAGGTCACGTGGTCGCGAAGAGACACCCCTCAACTTGAAGGCTGGCAGATCACTGTCAGGTCGGCAGGCTTGTCCAGTCTCCTTCGCCATGTCACGATTTACGCGATCAGTCGACCGGTAATATCGAGACGCATCTCTCTGCGGTTCCCGCATCACTGACGTGTGTAAGTACATATGTGTTTGCCGCCACCTTGTTCACCTACAGGCTACCAGTGCCGGCTAGCTGGGTGCCGGTGAGTATCAATCAGGACACTAGGCTTGGTGATGTGGAGGAGGCTATCAATTATTGCACCGACATGGACACCTACGCTTTAGCGCATGCACTAGGGCTGCCAAGGATGCGACTGGCTGGTCTGATACTTCGCGTGCCTCTTAAACCATAGGTCGCTAGTGACCAGGCATAGAGCACATGCGTGCTCCGAGGCTTGGGCTAGACGTACCACATAGATTGTCTTCACTTCGATGACTTCGTGGACATTGAAAGATGGACGTGAGTAGTCAATGTATGGCGTGCGACGGCATTGGGAACACATCAGACTTTTGCTATCAACTGCCGGCTATAACGCAGCCTGACGGGCACGAGCAGCAGGGACGCCACGACGGACGTGAGCGCACTGAACACGATAAGGTACCTGTACGCCTCGCGGCTCTCCTCTGACACACCGCTCTGTAGCGCCGAGATGAGCTGAACCAGCCACAAGGGGAACTAGTTAATAACGCGGAACACACGCTGGAAACGTGAGAGGGACACGCACCCGTGCACCGATGGGAGAGGCGAAGATGGGCGGGATGACGTTCATGAGATATTGGATCGCGACCGCAGAGCCGAGCCGCTCCATCCCGATGATCTTCGCAGATGCAGGCACAGCCAACGCCCAGTACGCTATGATGAGTGACATTGTCATCAGCCTACGATGTACCGATCACAGCAAACCAGCAGGTACGCACCACCGCTGAACAGGCCCCAGAGGACGGCGAATCCCATCATGACCCCAATGTCTTCTGCGACGAGCCAGACGGCGAGACACATCACGCCTGAGAGGAAGTTGAACACAATAAGGACGTTCACGACGCCCGCCTGGTTTGCAAGCCTCCCTGCAATGATTCGCCCGATCGAGTTGACCACCGCCGTCACGGACAGAACCGCAGAGTTGTTCGTGCCCGAGATGCCCAGTGCCGTGCAATAGCCTGTATTCTCTATGAGAACCCGCAAGCACAACGACTGTTATCAGACACGCCTGGGATGTAGAATATCGGCACGATGAAGCCGAAGAACTGGAGGAACGCGAAGGCGAGATAGAATGGGTAGGTCGGCGTTCGGAGCACGGTCAGATCGAACAGCTTATACTGAACCCGTTTGTGCGCGTTGGTCCGCTGGCGGAGGAGGCCGAGCGCGAGCATCCCGAAGCAGAAGCACAGGAAGCCGACGATGCGCAGGGCCCAGGGGATGCCGAGGCCGTCGATGGCGGCTTGTACGATTGGCGCGAGCACGACGGCGCCGACGCCGCTGCCCGACTGTGAGAGTGGTTGGTACATGAGAGTGGTTGGTACATGAGAGTGGTTGGTACATGAGAGTGGTTGGTACATGAGAGTGGTTGGTATACTGTGGTACAATACACATGACAGGGTGCTTACACTTGCGATACCCGTTGCTAGTCCTCTACGCTTGTTGAACCATTGCGAGGGAAGGCCAATAGCAGGGATATACGCTAGAGAGCTTCCGATACTATTCGCATGGCCATGAGCTCTCTACCTTCCAATGACAGATCATGATCAACCACTGACCCGAACATGATACCCTGAGAAAGCAGGAGTTCCCAATACGTTGTGGCGATCGACGCAAGCTGGAGCGCGACCGACATCATGAGCACACCGAGCAGCACTGGTGCTCGGATGCCGAAGCGCGACACAAGGACATTACCGAATGGGCCAACAGCAAAGCCGAAGCCAGTCGCCGTGCCGCCTACGAATCCAATCTTGAAGAGGCTTGTTACGTTGGAGAAGCGCGAGCTGGTGTCACTCATGTACGCGTCCTGGTAGACACCCCAGACGTTCCCTGGAGGCAAGTCAGGGAAACGTTTTCTGTATGAGCTAGTAGCCAGACATACCAGCACCAAACGCCATGAAGCTGGCGAGAAAGCTAGCGGCAACGGTCATCCATGCTTGCAAACCACCATCGGGAGGCTCGTCGACGTCCGGCTCGGCATCAACAGCTTCTTGTAGTGGCTGAGGAGACACGCCCTTTTCAGTCTCCTGCTCAAGGGAGCTCTTGATTGTCGGTGCCGCAGAGTTCATAGTAGCTTCGTCAATGGACGGGGTCTACAGAAACAGGGAGCGGTGAAGTTGGCCGCAGCTGCATAACGGTACACTGGTATATAAGACGGCGAGCGACGCCTCCATTTGCTCCACCAAGTTGGGACGGTGGCCGCGATTATACCTGAGCAGTGGCGGCAATTCCGAGTCGAGGATTTGAGAGACGGGCCTTTGCCCCATTTGGCAGACTCGGAGGGACGATCGCGGACGAGCCAGCAGGGGCAGCGGAATGTCCGATGCGATGCGCTGTGCAGGTCCGCGACGCCGGTCAATTTCATGCTCGTCCTTCGCTTCTTACGATCCCTTGATTGAGATCATTCGCTCCAACTACCAGAGTCGGGTAGAGAAAACAACCGAGTTGTGGGAATGGCTAGACCTATGAACTACTGTGATCTTGGTCAGCATGAGTCGTACATAACACAACGATTTGCTGTACAGCTCACTGCCTACTAGTAACACTGGCAGGTTACAAAGACTGAAGCATGAGCTGCACCGGAGGCCGGTGACCAATTGTGAGACATAAGTAAGCCGGTGGAAGTCGTGCTCCGAAGACGTACTGCTGAGTAGGACGGTCCGTCTAGACGCACTGCTGGACTTTGGTCCGAGTCCAAACAGCCTACGCAGACGAAATAGACGTGTCAAGCCCACTCCAAGAGTTGACACACATTCTGAAACCTTGGAGATCAGGATCAGAGTATAAATTGAAAGCATACGGCTCGACAGGATTCACAACCTCAGTACCCATGGAGCCCGTCACTGTTGCTCAAGGCGTCATCGACCTCACCTTCCACCAGGTTCTTGTTTCCCTTTTCGCTCTTTCCGTCCAGCTCGGATGCCAGTCTGACTATGGATCCACCTTATAGGTAGTAGCCGCAGCCATCCGTGCCGTACTCGCCGCGCACGGCGTCGCAGTCACAGAAGTGATCTCCGCACCACACGAACGCGCATTCCAAGACCTCCGCGCAGGACGCACGCAGCTACTCGTCGGCTGGTTTCCGGGGTCACATAGCACTTACCTCGAGCCCTTCAAGGACGATATGATCGTTCTTGGCGAAGCGGAGGGCTCTGCACCCGTGTACGATCCGTATTGCATATGGGGAGTGCCAGATTATGTCCCCGTCGAGGTCGTCCGGTCAATAACGGACCTCGCGAAGCCAGAGGTGGCGGCGCAGTTCGTGCGGACTGTGCAGGGCATCAACCCTGGTGCGGGAATCTCGCGGTTCTCGCAGGAGATCATAGAGCGGTATTCGCTCGACCTGCAATTCGTCGAGGGCGACATCCCCAAGTGTTGTGCCACGTATGAGGCGGCGTATGCTAAACGAGGCATGTAGTTAACACCCAGCTGTACATGAAAACGTTCGCTAACCTTGGGGTCCGGTGTAGAATGGGTGATCCTGCCGCTCTGGCACCCACAATGCCTGCACTCCCGGTACAAGATACGCGCACTGGAGGATACGGACGATCTCCTTCACGCACGACATCCCGACACAGCGCGCATAATCATCCCCAAGCCGCTAGCGGCGCGTCTGCCTGCCGACGCGATTGCGGCTCTGCGTGAGCTCCGGATCGGTAATGAGGGTGTCGCGAGAATGGATTATCTGTATGCTGTGGAGGGATTCAGCACATACGATGCTGTAACGAGATGGATGAAAGAGACAAGCAGTGACTTGACTAATGGGGGAAGGCAATAATAGAGTTCAGATCGTGTAGAGCATGATGATTGCACAATGGACAAGCGTTACTTTGCGCATAGCGATTGTGTCTGTTCTCTGAGGGATGTAGGCGGTGACCGAAGGATTATTGGAATGCAGAAAGCACGACTAGGCAGCCGCTGTATGACAGTATGTATGATTCTGAAGGCAAGCCAGAGTCGCGCTGGCTGATGGTCTGCGCGATGTGACATGTGACAGGACGCGTTCGCCGCGCACGTGCACGTCACAGTAGCGCGTCGCGCGACGCGTCAAACAAGCGCTGACCACAGCGTGGCTCGAGAACGGAAGTCACTACGATCAGGAGTGAGGCCTTGGGGCTGCACAAGTGAAGAATCATCGGCAGGGAGAAATTTGCGGCAGGCTCCTGAAGTCGAAGCTACGAATGTCATTCCCATTGAACGTTCCGAGTGCACTCGAGCCTAAGGCTTAGCTCCGATACGGACGAGCATCGAGCCTGGGTGCCCCACACACCGACCCCATCGTCGACACAAAGTTCTGGTACTTAGCAAGTAGCTGACAGAACAGACACTCACAGACATCGCCTCGCTGCCTTACCGTGGCCATTACCGCCTAACATCGCACGAGCGGCCGTCGAACACTTTGCTCGTTCAATCAGGTTGCTGTTCCATTCGGAGTCCCGGCCCACATCGAGTCATCCAGTGATCGCTGACGTTCGCGTCTGTAGCCAGAGCCTCATACAGCAACTCGTCATGAGTCTATGTCATATGGATACAGTGGTTTCCGCTCCGTGGGGGTCTCAGAAATCTATGATGGATTGAACGTCTCGCGGACTACGCACCTTCACGGAGCAGTCAGTACTCAACCACAGAAGTCACATCTCACGCACTGGATCTCGAAAACGAGTCTATGGGTGCCGCACCCCTCTCCTCGTCTACAACCACCTGCTTTTCGCTCTTCTCTGCCACCCCTCTCTGCAGTTCCTCGCTATCCAACGGTGTCTCCTCGACGTCTGCGCTCCCAGCCTCGTTGGCCGCCACAGCCGCCTCTGCGTCCGCTTCGCGCAGCCTTTCCCTCTCCGCCAGCTTGCTCTTCCGCACCTCGATCCCGCCCTCGTACCCGAACCACGTGTACCTCTTGACGTGCGGACCGCGAAGGAGCAGCATGAACAACATGAAGCCCGTCCACGCGAGGGAGAGCGCCGCTGCCGGGCGCCAGCCGTACTTCACGAATACCTGCGTGCCGACGGAGGTACCCATCACCTGGCCCATGAACAGCTGCACTCACACATCAGCCAGAAATCGACCGTGGGTATATGCGCTGAGAACGCACCGAGAGAAGTAAAACCGCGTTCAGGCGCGAACGCGCGGAGGCGTCGAGCCCGAAGACAGAGCTCGTCAGCGAGACCTGGACCATTTGCCGGCAGACGTCGATCCCGACGCAGACGATGACGACGGCGGCGATGTTGATCCCGTTGGCACCCACGCCAATTGCCTGAAAGACGAGCAGCCAGAGCATAGCGATCACGCCGGCGAACCATGACATTAGCCCGTCGATGACGCGCCCAATTAACGGGGCCATCGCTACGCCGAACATGCCGACGAGGCCGAAGAGGCCAATGACCAGCCTGCCAGAAGGTATGAGCGGAGAGGCGAGAGTAGAATGAAAGACAAGCTCACGTGGAGTAGTAGTATGGCGGGCCACCGAGCAGGAAGGTGAGCGTTACCTGAAACACTGGCTAAGCACACGATGGAGCGCGAAACAGCAAGCACACGCACCCAAAAATTCGAGAAGCACGCACTCGAAGCAAATTGAATGAGCGCCGCCTGGATGAGCTGAGGCTCCGTGACGCTGAACTTCGCCATGCTGTACAGGATACCGAAGTACGTCGCACCCGCGTTCTTCGCCGGATAGTCAGGCAGCATCAAGTAGAGCAAGCCCCACACGGCGTACTGCACGCCGATAGCCATGTAGTATACGACCCGCCACGACGCGAACCGCGCGATGATACCGGCAAGGACTCGCGCGATGAGCATGCCGAGAAGGAGGCCGGCGAGAACGATGGAGAGCGCGGAGGCGCGACGCTCTGGAGGAGCGAGGTCTGCGGCGAGTGGCATGAGGATCTGCGGCACGACGCTGGTCATGCCGATGATGAAGCAGATCGCTTCGAAGACAGCGAGGCTGTTGGTCACGGCGAGGCCAATGGTGAGGGAGGCGGAGATGAACACCAAGAGTAGGATAAGGCGACGGCGGCGGACGAGGTCGCCCAAAGTGGAGATGAACACAATGCCAGTTGCACACCTGTGCATTGGGATAATGTGTGAGTTACCATCAATGGCTCCCGGGTGTGCAACATGTCGAGGCTTCCATGTCGTCGGGGAGGGGGGGGAGCAAGAGTGTGCGAACTCTCCTTGAAAGAGCACAACCAACTGACAGATAGATGTGACCACGACTGCGATTGCATGGCAAGAGAGTGGGCGAAACTGTGCAACAACTCTGTAGACGTCCACTGTCGCCACTTACTCGTTTCTCTAGTGAAAATGCTCCTCTCGGAGTGAGGAACATTCCTACTAGACGGTTTCCCGAAGACAGTCGCCCCCTCCCTCGGCTTGGCCAATGTGGGCGTAAAGGCAATGACCGCACCTGTAACGGGTCGGGCATTCCCGTTACGGTCAGACACCACGCCAGTGCCGGGTGTCCCTCCACCTGTGTGCGCCCCACGGACGTTGGCGTCGTGGACTTGCACTGACAACAACACAGATACAGATGGCAAATTCCGCTCAAGACGTACCCAGGAGCTGAGCGGGTTTCAATCTGATTACTAGTATCATACGACAGCGGCAAGTTGGATGCACGCCTCGAGTGGCTTTCGCCACGATCGCGCTGCATGCACATGTCAGTTTCTGCATCCGTACGTCCGCCCGCTCTAGCAGTGTTCCAATGCACAGTGTGCACGCGACATGATTGTCCTCGCGCACCTGCACGCGGCACAACCTCACTCTGAGCTCGTGAAGTGTCCGGCACCACCGACACTGTGTTCAGCCCACAGGCTTATCGCAAGAGCGTCGAGGAGCGATGTGCGGACAATACGCGTAGGGCTCATATACACCCTCAAAGGGTATCTTCGCCAAGTTCCGGGGGGTCACCGGTCGCATATCACTGGCTTCATGAGCAGTAGTAAACTGTACTCACCCTGCTTGTACCAATGTCGGGATTCTTGACACCTCGTCATACGTGACGCCAAAAGACTCTGAGTATTTGATCAGCAGCGGCTGGCAGTAGTACAAGTTTGCGATGACTGCGAAAGCCGGTCAATCCAGTTTGCTTTTGCGGAACATTATAGACTTACTGAATGTACTCGCGATGCCGAACGTCGCATTCAGCAGCAGGCCAAAATGTGCCGGTCGTTCTGGGTCATAACGCAATCTTCTGGGAATTGGGATGAGACCAAAGTCCTTCGTGACTGGAGTAAATGAGTCTTTCGCCTTCGGAGCAGAGGTCGGGAGGGCAGCATCCCCTATGGCGAGAGTCTCTCCGCTGGTGCGTGACGACTGGCCTGCTTGGACGCGCTTTTCGTCGGCCATGTCGTTCGTCACCGTCTGACCTGCGCACTGGGGGACGCCTTCGGATGAACAGCAGGGTGCTTGACGGCCATCATGAGAGCTCGAGGTTCGTATGTTTATAGTCGCGAGCGCTGCCGGACTTCGTCAGCGGACGGTGTGGGTATCGTGCTATCCATACAGAACGGTCAATAGTCAAGGTTCTGAGCCGGGGCAACCCATGAGTAATTGAGTAAGCAAACGTAGCCCTGTCGGGCCACTCAATGCAACTTACTTCGGGGTTGGGTCGGGTTGGGCCCGGCGAGGTCAGCAAACGATGCGTCGATGACGGTGACCGGAAACCGCTTGAGGGTCTTGTATCCGTGTTAAACTGGTCGCACCCAACCACCGCACGTGTTATCGGTGAGTTTGAACACAGATGGGTACGAGAGCTTCAAAAGAACGAAGAAAGTATATTCAAGTTCGGCAGGCCACGCTATCATCTATGATAGCTACAGCCCAGGTCACGTGTGGCCGTAGGGAATCCTGAATTCTGAACGACACAACTTAAGAAGTACTGGAGACTGTCACATTGATGCTATTTCGAATTCCCTTGCACTTGTGGTTTTTGTAAACGAGGACTCAGTGATGACAGGAATGGATAGCGTTGCTTGCGGCACGCCTTACAACTTACAAGGCGTACTGATCTCTGTTATGAGATTGTAATGAGATCAGAACCCATATTGGGGAGAGATGATTATCCGTCCAGTGTCACTGCGATCGGACTTCCGCCACAATTGAACGTTGACATTGAACTCTTGCAACGTTCTACATACGCCTCGGTTTCGTCCACCCGCCATCGGCTCCCGGTCTCTCGTAGCTCACCACCAAACTCCTCGACTCGAGTCTCTCTATTGCACCATCCGGCTTGCTGAGTCACAATGGACGCCAGACTTCGACGGGTGAACAAGGAGATCGCGGGTGCGTCCCATCCCTATCCTGCGTAGTCCCTCGATGCATCTCATACGCTCCAGCCAGACTGCAAGAATGACAAATCCTCCAACATTGACATCGATCTCGTCGACAACTCGCCGTTCCACCTCATAGGCTCCTTTGATGGCCCCGAGGGCACCCCGTACGAGGGCGGCCACTTCGAGGTGGTACGTCCTCCACGTCACATATCCTCACCTACCCAGGAATGACAGTGCCCTTCGTGGCCAGGACATCGTGATCCCAGACTCGTACCCCTTCCAGCCAGTCAAGATGAAGTTCATCACGAAAATCTACCACCCCAACGTCTCCTCCGCGTCGGGCGCGATCTGCCTCGACATCCTCAAGGATGCCTGGAGCCCCGTGCTCACGCTCAAGTCCACGCTCATCTCGCTGCAGTCGCTCCTCTGCTCGCCCGAGCCGCGCGACCCACAGGACGCGGAGGTCGCGAAGCACTACATGACGAGCAAGAGCAGCTTCGAGGAGACCGCGCGGTATTGGACGGAGATCTACGCGGGTGGGCCGGGCAAGGCGGGCAAGGGCAAGGCGAGCGGGCCTAGGGACGAGATTGCAATGGCGGGCTTGGACTCGGCGCATGTGCAGCAGTTCCAGTCGCTGGGCTTTGAGAAGAGCAAGGTGGTGCGTGGCTTCATTCTGATTGCGATGACGGTGTCTCGTTCGCATACAGCGATGTGGCCGGCCGGTCGTGGTCGTTGTTTGTGTGTGGCGGAAGCTGACGGCCGCTGATTCACAGATTGATGTGCTGCGACGGATGAACTATCGTGGGGCGAACGTCGCAAATATCAATGATGACAGGGTGGTCGAGGAAATGCTGAAGCCATAGCACAAATGTACCATTAAGCAAAGCCCAGCTGTATAACATCGCGGACCATTCCGACTCGTCACACACGCCGGTGGGACCCGGTGCCGTCGTACAAAGTACCACTCAGAACGACCGTATACTAGCTGAGATGGGCTATCGGTATATTTCTACACTACTGCTACGCTACACTTCGTTTGCCAATCGGTCTTCCTACTGTACCCACACTCGTGGTTTTTGCAGTACCTCCTGCACCTCGGCCTCCCGCGTCCCAAGCGCGCCCATATCGCTCATGTACTCCCACCGCGCCTCCTCAGGCAGGCTCATAAGCACACTCTCAATGCGCGCGCCAGGTGTTAACAGGCCGAAGCGCGTACCGCGGTCATACACAAGATTGAACTCCACGTATCTAGACGAGCCGTGAGCATCAGAGTATAAGAGAAGTTAACGCGCAGACGTACCGGCCCCGTCGGAGAAGCTGCCACCGCCGCTCCGCCTCAGTGTATGGTGTGCTCGAGCGCTGCTTCAGGATAGGGACGTAGCTCGGGACGAATGCGTTCCCCAGATCCTTCACCATCTTCAGAATCGCCTCCGCGCTCCGTGGTCTGCCCTTATCCGCCGACTCCCCGCCCACCTCGCCAAACGCGCTGAACGTCTTGTGGTCCTCGTCGCAGAGGTCGTCGAAGAAGATGCCGCCGATCCCACGCGCCTCGCCGCGGTGCGGAATGTAGAAGTATTCGTCGCACCATTTCTTGAGGACGGGATAGAGCGCAGCGCCGTGCGAGGCCGCCGCATCGCGGAGGGTCGTGTGGAAGTGCGCCGCGTCGGACTCGTAGAGGTAGGACGGCGTGAGGTCGGAGCCGCCGCCGAACCACCACGCAAGGACCGTCCCCTGGGGCTGCTGCGATGGCGCAGACCCGGTGCTCGCCTGCGCGACCTTGTCTGCGATCTCGAAGTAGCGGTAGTTGGCGTGCACGGTGGGCGCGTGAGGGTTGCGGGGGTGGATGACGAGGCTGATGCCCGCGGCGAAGAAGGGGAGCGCGCCCTTCTCGTCGACGTCGAGGTCCTTGAGGCTGCCGTGGTCCGCGCGCATCTGCTTCACCGCCGCGGGCGGGAGCGACCCGTGCACGATCGAGATGTTCACGCCCGCCTTCTCGAGGACTGTGTTCGTGTGCGCGGGCTGCTGCGCCGCGGCGGGCGAGGACGGGTGCGGGACCGCGAACACGCACGAGAGACCCCGCCCGCCCTGCGGCCGCACCCACGCGTCGCGCTTGAACTTGGGCGCGGAGGGGTCGAGTGCCTCGAAGGCGGCGACAATCTCTTCTTGGAGGGTCGAGATGTACTCCTCGACCTGCTGGCGCATGGGTTTGTCGGATTGGAGGGTGGCCATCGTTGCTGGCGATGTCGACGACCTGGCGAATATTTACAGAGAATGAGACGGTCTCGGCCAACAGGCGATTGCGGCAGGGAAGGCTGGAGAGTGAACTGGCTGAGACTGGACCACGGCTGCCAAAGCGTCTAGACGCGCTCTGAATATCCGCACCACGCGATATAAATCATGCTGGCATGTTCGACTCTTGAGAAAACAAATAGGACCCGATGATTGTCCACGACTACGATGTGCGGCAGGATGGAGTCTACGGCGGCTCATTCAAGTGCTTACTGTTTGAGAACGAAGCAAGAACGGAGGATTAATGCAACGCAATTGAGTCCAGTACATCGCATGAGCGCCCGGTGAAGGACTGGCGCCCACTCAAACGGCACCTGCCTAATCGGGGCAACGTCCAACCGTGGCTAAATGGACCCCCCGGGCCCTCCTCCTCCTCCTCCTCGAACTTAGCGGAGCTGTGCTGCCGTCACATATACATAAGCACTTCTCATCTTTTACGGTTGGCAACGGAGACTAGGGCACCTGCACTATGCAACCCTGTCACCTCCGAGTCAGCTACCAGCACACTCGATCCGGTTCCACTGGGGGCCATTCGGCTTGGACGCGAACCATTCAGTGCGGCTTCGCGCGGCCTCCTGGCGTATACCCTCCTTCCATGAGAGGACGATAGCACGGGAATACTAGGCGAATAAAATCCTCAATTTGATTCGACGGCCGCCTCCATGCCTTCGAACTTCGTGCATACGAGGTGCGTACTAATTCATAAACGCACAAGCAAATCTTTGACGGTCGCCCACGGCAGATGATGGCACTCAGGCTGTTCGGGAAGCTGCAGCTCGCCTGAGTCATGATGCAGCTCGGGCAGAAGTTGCACCTGCAGTGCCGTTTGAGCATCGTGCCTCCGTTATGTCCATCGTTCCTACTAGCCGTCGATCCTCCACTAGCAATCACCGATCACAATCACCTGGCGTAGCAGGCTGCCATATATCGCACAACTCAGCGCACTGAGTCTACCTTGCGCTCTGGATTATTCACAAGAGGCGGGCGCGAGACATTCGTCGCTTCATATGCACAGCATGGCCGAGTTCAGCGTCTCAGAGCTACGTTTTCTCCAAGTGGTGCTCAACGCTCATCCACCTACCTTCGAGCGCGCGCCTCGGATGCTTCTGTCCGAAAGTGTCCGCGACTCCGAGTCCGATTGCGTAGGGGCTACTGTAAGTAGGGTGACATACTGGGTATGCGCGCGGCGCTGAGTTTTATGCCCGGCGACCCTTTTTGATCTCCCTCAGCGTAAGCTATCCCGTCCGTCCGTTCTCTGATTCTTTGCTCACTTCTCCCGCACAGGACTATCAGCGATCATCTAGCTTCGGCTGGTGCATGGCGATATCCTTCAGTGTGGTAGCGGCTGAAGTAGGCTTTGGTAATGATGACCTCCACCGCCGACAGGCTGCGACAGCGTTCTCCGTTGCCGCCGTATGTTACACAGACGCCGTCCATATTCCATAACCCTTCTCTGTCCATCGACGGCCGTTGAGATTCCCTGTTCGCTGTCTTCAGTGAGTTTGGTGATTGACCTTTTCGTTTTCTCCCGATCGCCCTTCGTGGCGATGTCAATTGTCACTGCGTGCGTCATCTTGCCTCTATGTTGTCCTCTGCACACCGGTGGATTTGGTTGACACTTGATCTAGGCGCGAAGGGTCCAACCCCCGAAGCATATCTGCATGTACCATTCTCAAAGGGTATGTTGGGTTGATGTTTGAGTGATGTCCGTAAGCCCTTACCCATGTAACAGTGTCATCTTCACTGAAACGTGCCTGCCGGGGCGCTGGTGCGCCGGCATTCAAAGATATGAGCACACCGTACCCCCAAGGAGTAAGTGCTCCAGGCGTCGGAGAGTTGATAAACCTCGGCGGCCACACAGGCAAAGGTGAGCAATCGCTAGGAATAACGCGTCACAAGTATCGTATCTCGCTCAGATCCGCTGGATATGTGGACATCTATAGGTGCATTCTAGCCCGCCTGTGACCGGCAATGCATTGCGAGTGGAGAGCATTGAGGCGTTGGATCCGAATGTATATTGCCTGAGCGCTGAGATGTGCATATATATGCACGACTAGTGTGCTTGAGTGGCTCGCTCGAGTGTTTCAAGATGAGCGATTCCTACGCTGCTTCTGATGTCTCTGCTCCGGAGCGGTCGTCGTCGCCAGTGTATAGCACTAACACGAACTCGGAGGAGGCACCAACGGTGGATTTTGGATTCCTCCCCATACCTGCTAGCTTGCGCTACGATCCTACACGTCCTGTGCGCTTTCGGTTGCTCTTGAACATAGCTTTCGGCGTGTCTAGCACCTTTGGTACGTGCTTTGGGCCTCGGTTCGCACCCAAGCTAATACACGCCATATAGTCATCGCAAATCTCTACTATAGTCAGCCCTTGCTGAGTGAGTTACTGTGTTTCTGATTATGTGGACTGCTCTCGCTGGGCCATTTGCCATCCGCACTAGATCGCCAGATTCAAGCTTGCTCGTCGAAGCTGTATGCACGATATCTGTCTCCAGCTTCGGGTAGCCGCTCTATCGGTTCGGCATACCGGTGTGTAGCTACAGGAACTGATGCTCTCTAGTCCAGCTTGCCGATTCATTTCATGTCTCTTACGAAGAGGTCTCTAACGTTCCAACGCTCGTGCAAGTCGGGTGAGCTCACTATCCACTGTCGTCAACCCGAACCTCTGACCGTTATAACATCTCGACGTTCCAGGTACGCCGTAGGCATTCTTCTTATATCGCCCCTCGGAGACCTGGTCCGTCGACGCCCGCTCGTGCTCACCATAATATTCATCGCGGCCTCCCTCAGCATCGGGCTCGCCTTCACAAACAGCCTGCCCGTGTTCGAGGCCCTGAGCTTCCTCGTCGGCGTCTTCACGATCGTGCCGCAAGTCCTCGTCGCGCTCGCCGCGGATCTCAACCCACCCCACCGCCGGGCCGCCGCGATGTCGATCGTCATGTCGGGGCTGCTCTTCGGCGTCCTGACGGCGCGGGTCGTTGCGGGCATCGTTGCGGAGTACGTCAGCTGGCGGGTTGTGTACTACATCGCGTTCGCGTCCCAGTACGCCATCGCGTTGTTGCTGTACCTCACCGTGCCCGATTACCCCTCCAAAAACAAAGGAGCCACGTATTGGGGCATATTATGGACCATGGCGAAGCTGGCCGTGACAGAGCCAGTCATTGTGCAGGCCGCGTTGGTCTTGATACCGAATGCGGCGGTATATGCCAACTTTTGGGTACGGATTTCGACGTCTCCACCAATACTATCGGTCTTAACAAGCACATTTGCCATCAGGTCACTCTGACATTCCTGCTCGGTGGTGCTCCATATAACTATTCAACGTATGTCGTGTCGCCGTCTACAGCAAGCCTGCAGCTGACAGTCCTACAGGCTGGTCATTGGTCTCTTCGGTTTTGTTGGAATGGTCGGGGTAATGATGGCCATTCCAATAGGAAGACTCATCGACCGCCTGGTCCCTTGGTATGCCGCCATAGTGTCTATCCTTCTCTATGTGGTCATCACCGCCATTGGAGTCGCCGCCGACGGTATCAACATCGCTGCTGTGGTCATTGTGTGCATCGGCGTCGACGTCCTCAGGCAAACCATCCAGATGACGATGACGACGTGGGTCTTCGGACTCCTCGATGCGAAGGCTAGGTCAAGAATATATGCTATCATCCTCGTGTCGGTACGCTGTGAATCTGCGGCAACGTAGTTCCATGCACTGACGAGCACCTTGATAGCTCTTCATCGGTCAGATCATGGGCACTTCTGTCGGCGCGTTGCTGTTCACGAAGTACGGGTGGCGTCCGTCAGCTGCAATTTCGCTCGCATGGAGCGGCTTCATGCTGTTTGTCATATTCTTGCGCGGCCCGCACGTACCTAGGCGTCGATGGCTGGGTTACGCCGGCGGGCTGTCGTTACGGCAGAGCAGTGTTCATGAAACAGATGCGGTCGAGCAGCCCGATACAGCAGCAGGCACCCAGGTTGCTCAGATCGCTGAGACATCTATACGGAGATCGAGCGACGTCGCGGAGATCAAGGAAAAGCAGGGAGAGGTCGTCTACGAGAAGGAACCGAATGGACACCCTTCTGACGTTTGACACACGGGCGCTCCACAGACATCTGTAAGTATAGACATTCACCGTAGTAGAGATCATATAGAGGCTGCGTCTCACAAGATCAGCCAGTACGTATAGTCCACATACATTGGCCAAGACGTTAGAAGCGATAGTGTGATTCCGATGCATTAAATACCGTCACAGACCGAACATATCCCAGGAGTATCTGCGAGTGATGCTTACACCAGAAGACCCCCATGTGTATTACCCTCCACAACGAAGTCACGAGATCGCAATACGATGCTTCAAGGCCTAGCGTTCGGACATCTGTGCGAGGTAGTCCGCAAGCTGCGCCATGAACATTATCAGCCTCCAACATGCCAACAAAGGATAGGTTGTAATCGGGCATACCTTCAGGGCGCCCGTACGAATCCCCTCTCCAACTCTCTGTACATCCGGGTTAGCGAGCACATTCTGGAATGCATCCCTGGCAGCCACTTCCAAGTTCGAGAGGTTATCGCCCAGGACGCCGTCATGCGAGGCTGGCAAGGGCTCCTCATCGTCCTCGCGACCAAAGTACTGGTTCGACGAGATGGACTGCGCGCCCTGGAAGGACTGCAGCCGCGTCTGCGCCTCGCCGACGGCCTGCGGGTCATATGCGTTGCGCCCAAAGTACATGTCCGACGAGATCGCCTTCTGCTTGCCGAACTTGTCGCGCGCAAACGTGGACGTCTCCTCCACCGCCGAGCTCGGTCTTGACGTCGTTGGCGTGGGCACGCCGCCGAAGCCGAGCCGCTTCATGCCCATGCCGAGCCGCTCCAGGTCCTGTGCGTTGCCCTTTGGCGTATTCGGCGCAGGGCTCGCGGGGACGAGCTTCGCGCTCTGCGGTCTCGCGCTCCCAGGTAAGGGACTCGCAGCTGCTTTCGCCACCGCACGCTCTGCCTCTTCTTTCTCCTCCTTCTCGCGGTCGTATCCAAGCTGCCTGATCCGTTCGGCCTCCTCCGCTGCTTTCCGCTCGGCCTCCGCGAAATCGAGCGGTGCGACCGTCTTCTTCGCACCAAGACCGCCGAGCTTGCTCTTCTTCGGGGCAGCCGCAGAGGTCGTGCTCGTGGCTGAAGTAGTGGAAGAGGTGAGGCGCGCAGCACCGAGCTTGGAAGTTGGGCGTGCGCCTCCGTTGGAAGAGTTGGAACGGAGAGATGACGAGCTGATCGTGCGTGGGCTAGTGGGCGGGTTGGGTCCTCCTGCGGGCGTACTGGCTGTGCGGCCGAGAACTGGAGGCGCGGGTTTCTGAGATACGAAGGCAGGTGATTTGGGCGTTGCAGGTTTGTTCCAGGATGCAAAGAAGTCGTCCTCATCACCGCCTTGTGAGGCTGGCGTAACGGACAATGCATCGGCACCCTCCACCACGACTTTGTCGGGGTACCTAATCTCTAGTCAAGCACGGATACGCGTCGTACGTGATGGGGACTCACTTCGCTGCGTCTTCCTTGACACGTCTCGCGAGCTCCTCCTTATACATCTCAGCGAGGCGGCTGCTGTATTTCTTCTTGGTGTCCGAGTCATTGAGCATCAACGCCCCGCCATGTCTTGTGAAGAACTCGGTAATGGAGGCGTTGCCCCCGACTTTCATGGTTCGCAGCTGGTTCAGCTGCCAACTGTCTAGGTTGGTTGACCTTGCATACTCCACTCGTCAGCACTGCTTAATGCCCTGCTACGAGTGCGGCCGACTCACCGGACGAAGCTAATGTGCACTCCCATGTTCCTGTGAACACTCGAGCAGTCCAGGCAAATGTAGATCCCAAATGTCACGCTTGCCCATGTCGGATTCCGAGCTTGACAGTCGAAGCACATCTGGAGAGCACTGAGATGTGTACTGCGAGCCTGCACACGCACCCGCGCACCTTATTTCCCTTCTGTGACTTCAGAACCTTGAAGACCTGCTCTGTCTCTGCCTTTGTTGGGTCTGCCATGCCGGATACTGGGTCGAGGGTCGTGTAGATGGAGATGGGGAGCGGTGAACACCGTGACTGCAGCGGTCGCACCGGCGGCAGTCTTAGCATTACTGTAATCAGTATATGCCACTATCAGATAGCATAGCGGAACCAGTAGCGTTTGATAAAGCTAGAATCCATCAAAATAACCAATTAGCAAACTCGTCAGGGTGCCACGAGCGCGGTCCAGGGCGCTTACTATTGCCCACTTTGGGCCCTCAGATCTCAGATCTCAGAGTCGGGGTCAACGTCGACGTCAACTCCAGCTCAACTCGAAGCTCACTTGCAAGATATCGCAGTAAGAACTGGTGACCTGTAAGATGTCTCGCTATGCATCCTTGGGTATCTGGCGGCGCCTTCGCTGTAAGGGGGTGGGGTGGCTCCGCGTGCAGGGCCGGACGGATCAGATAACATGTACAGTACATAGTAGGTGTATGCAGTGGTTGTGGGTCCAATCAAACTCTGCTTCACCGAGCGGCCAAAGCTGTGAATCTAATGCTGTTCAGAGCTTATTAGATTAGGCCGCATCGGAGCTTGTCTTCCTCACTCTGCTGTATAAATTGGCAGTCTGGAACTACAATCAAAGAAGATCGAATCATCACCATTCACCGTCTCGCATCGTACCCGGTAGGTTGAACTTGAAATGTCGAGTAGTGAAATGCTGTGTGCTGATGCACCACTTCAGACATGCCACCGCGCACAATTCAGTTGCTGGTGTACAACAGTCGCCTCTTCAACGCGCACTGGTCGATCTTCGTACCGCGCGCGAACGACCCCAACATTGGTACATAGCCGGCTTCACGCCACAGGCTCTGTCGTCGGCGGGTTCGCTCTCGAATTCGTCAGGAACTACGACATCACAACTGACAGCCGTCCAATACAACGCATCGACCTCGCCACTGTGCCGGAAGAACACGTCAAGGACACCGATGGCGATGAAGAGGTCATCGATGGGAACGCAAACCCGATTGATCGCCTCGAGGAGGTCATTGTTACTGTGCCTGTTCCGGGACCGAGCTTGAGGCCGAACACGGCTGCTCCTGATGTATGTTGCCACTGTTGCTCTCGCGCATTATGATATTCAATGCATCTAGAAACGAATTGAAATGCGTGGTTGCCAATGGTGGACGAAGCAGGCTATTGCCGCACTCATAGCAGCTGGTTTGTTTAACGAGGAGGCGCAGACTGTGGCGGATAACGCGCCTGTGCAATGAACGAGGCGATGTATATATCTCGACCTCAATACTTATGACTATCCCGACGTCGTTCCATTCCTTGCGCAGAACGCTCACTACATTGACAATGTTGTGACACAGAAAGCCCTACGCACGACGTGCCATCTTACAGACTACCAGTAACAATCGGACTGACACGCACCTACATCAGTATGAAGTAGATCACAAGGCCTGCGCATTCGGTGAGAGCTTGACAAGAGCGATGATCGGTATTATTGTTAGATTGGCGCGAGATACGATTCCAGTACACTGGATACATTGGTAGTACAGCGTGCCGGCAGGCGTATTACAGAATAGGAGGGAAGCGGGGGCGAGAAGGAATATACTTGCGAGCACTGCGAAGTTGGCCGGGAACCAAAGCTTACTGGAGAGGCGCCGCGTTGACAATGTCCATCGCACTGGCGTGGACGATGCCCGCTTGATTGAGTGCGGCGACGACCTGCTTGACCCACCACTGGCAGTCACTGGCACAGCGGCCTGCAGCAGGAACAACGGCGATGAGCCGGCACCGATCCCGAACAGGGGCGAAACGCTGAACCACAGTGGACCGACTGCACGGCAGATCGAAGGCCCTTGCCAGGCGTAGGGATGCTCACCACTTGCCTCTCATGTCGGTCAACATTGTATAAGTGAGCGTGGATGGCAATAACCTATCTCGCTACAAGTTGCGAGCACACATGGAGGTGGTCCATAGGCCACTCCGAATGTCAACTCAATTCCAAGAATCATCAGGCTCAAGTGAAATACAGTGATTGTACATACATATATGTACGCAGCCTGCAACGTCACTACAATATGCATCAGCTCGCTAGCATCCCCCGTTGCACATCAGGTAATACTGCCAGTACGGAAACCCGTCGAACGGCTCCAGCCACGAAGGTATGGATTTCACCCAGCTTCCGTTCCAATCCGTGGAGAACGCAGCCTTGCAGTATTCCCAGTACGCAGGGCACCATCCTGACTGATGCCAATCGATGATTGCGAGCACACGAGGATGCGACGTGTCTCCCGGATTGAATACGATGCAGTACTTGGCTAGGAAATTATATGTTCTGGAGGCGCTATTGGAGAGGAGGTCCGGGGAAACTTGGAGGAAACTCGAGCTCGATGAGCGTTCGACTCTGGTACATAAGTACGCCACAACGCATCGGTTTCACGTGATTCCAGTCTATGAAGCTTTGCGCTGCTTTGAGGCTGGACCAAGGGGCAGTCAGGCGCCGGAAACTGGACCGCAACCCTAGTGGTGGTGGTCCAAAACCGGTGTACGGGGTCCTTGATTTCACTTTTCAGACGAAAGTCAGCGAGATTTCGCACCGTTCGGCATATAGTGAGGATATGCGTATGATTTTTGTACTGAGTGTTACTCATATATGTAGCAATGATCCTATGTGGTTTTTATGACAGTTCGATGAGTGCACGTCCATACTGTTGAATTTCTACTGTACTGTATAGAAGCGCCGGAGGGTACGCCTGGGATAGGGAGAGATCTGAGATCTGCAGCCACCACGACCGTGACATTCGAGTTGAACTTGAAGTTCAATTGAGCTCTGGTCAATGGTTTACTTGCGATGAAATCACCATTCCAATGTAGCGTACATGAGTCCGTCAATGATACATAGTGTACAATAGATTGTGTCGCTGTATTACAATATCTCAGTACTTCACATAGTAGATCGTGTGAATCCAATCGGCATCAATGGACTCGCGATACTCGAGAATGGAACAGGTCGGGAGGGGTCGGGTCAGTGTCCAGAGGCTTGATCAATGAATATTTTGGTGTTGAGGATGCTGGAAGTGTTGATCAAGAGGATGATGAGTGCGACGTGCAGAAAGGAAGCTTCTGAAGCATGGCCGCACTCGGTTACTACTTCGAGAATTCCCGTCGTTGAAGATGAGATTGCGTTGGGAAGGGCCAAAGCATCGTACAACGTAGATGCACCCGAGCGCTCCTCAAGCTGAAGACTTGTCAAGGACAAGTCTCGGAGAGCAAACGTAAGGGTGGCGTAAGCGCCGATATACATCGCACGAGCGCCCAACGTGCATACCAAGATGTCTTTCAACGTGCGCGGTACTGCAGTGCTGATTGCACGGGGCAGGGGCTATGGGAAGTTCAGTCAGTGCAAGACTGATCGAATCAATGGATGACTCACCCGGGGAATCTGCGGCGACTGACCGGTATGTATGTGTATCTGCGCAAAACTCGATGTTTGCCTCCATGCACTCTATGTCAAACCTGCGGAGCGGAGCTGGGCGCAGTGCGTATAGCACACGGCATAGAGCGCACTCAACACGCCACGCGGGCGTCCAGGAAGTCACTCGCTCACGCCCCGACGCACGCTTTGCTCCCAGTCGTCCTACATGGCAGGGAAAGGTCAGCGCGGGTCGTGGTGCTCAAACGGAGGGGAGCAACGGTTTTGCGAGGCGGCGGAGGGCGTACAGAGGACGAACGAGTGTGCGTGGGACAAGTGTACCTATCGAGGGGCATGTATTGACGTGAATGCTACATACATTGCGGAAGGTGTGTTCCGCATCCTCAGTATCCGCGCATAAGTGTCCTATGCTGTTCAAGTAATCGGAATAAGGGCCTGGGAAGGGCAAACGAATGAGTCACGCAGGCGAGCAACAGATGGGTAGATGGCCGAGGTACTCGCAAGTGGGTAGTCAGTCGGCGGGTGGATGTCTGTGGATGTGCGGATGAACGAGCCCGCGTGCGCACATGCAAGTGAATAGACGTGTACACAGCCGGACATGCGGACATGCGGGCAACTGATCGGGTGCTGGGAGAGCAATGCACCAGCATGTTGAGCATGGTCTAGTTCATGCTATACGTCGCAGTTGTCGCACCGGCGTCCCTCACGAGGCTCGCTACTAGGCTCATGATGACGTTCATGATCATTTACTTCGCCCCTGTCTCGAGGACTCGGAGCAGGCCGGAAAGCTGCCCGAGCAAAGCGGGTGCGGTAACATTCGTCTGTAACTTGCTGTAGTCGAAGGAGAACAGATTGTTGAGGGGACACTATCATCGGTCGATCGATCAGCATACCATTAGTTTCTCCAGGCACGAAAGCACTTACAACGCCAGCGCGCTGTTGTATAAATAGTCAAGAACACTCGCGTTCAGCACCTTCTCGACCTGCATGACACTCACGTGGAGGTTCGCTTTGCTGCTCACACTGGCATCGAGCTGCGCGGTGCGTAGCTCCGCATCGTCCGCTGGCGCGAGGGCCTGGAGGCCCGATGCGGATGTAGGGGTCGGGAAGGGCAGCTGTGCAGGAGTGATCGACTGGGTGTGTAGACCAGCAGATGCACGGGCGAGGGAGTGCGCAAGAGCAGAGCACTGATGAATGCACCTGTTCACGCGGGCAATATAAAAGGAGACCGTAGTAGTAAGTAATGAGCGCATTGAACAACGGCATAAGTACCCAATATCGCGGTCTACGCGCCCGCATTCGCTCCCCTCGCCCCTCCCTTGTCCTACCATCGCAGCCACCTCATTCTGCACATGTCGCGTTCGCGTTCAGACTTTTGGGCCGTCGCAGCGGCTGACCAGGCTCTGATGAATTATCGACCGCGATGTAACGATAAATTGATGCATAAGACGCGGCATACCGGGGAGTGAGTGTTGACACTGAACAGTTCTGCAAGACGACTGAGAGAAGTCAAGGAAAGTGGGGTATAGCAAATGAGGTTCAGTCGATAGTCGTGGTTGACGATGAGCGAGGCGCGAAGTCGCGATCGGGTAGTACAGACGAGGTTTGCTAGAGCGGATGAGTGTCCAAGATCGCTCATAGCTTGTCATCTCATCTAATCTTACCATCTTATCAGAGTGGTGGTGGTCGGTCTGGTGTTCGGGGGACGGCGCTAAACTTTTGAGACTTGCGGTCCATAATTTTCCCATAGATTGCCCCTTGGGCTGGACACCGACAGTGACATTCATATTGACAGAACTCACTTGAACTCGACTACTTACAGTCCGTCGCTGCGCTCTCGCCGAGACATGACCTCCGCTGGCACTGGGGCACCCGGGCTCGGGCCCGTGCCGACTACATGGCTTAGTAGAGATTGACTACTGCATATTTGAAGCGCCATCGGAACCACTTACTGTAGTAGGGGGCCATGGCATAGTTGTCTGGTGTGTTATGCTATGGTACAGTATCATGAACCAAAGTACTACTCGCTACTAGAGCGCCGTCGATATCGAACTGTACATGTGTGACCACTGTCCCGGTCGTCCTCGATCACTGGCTAGTACTGCTACTAGTATGGAGGTTGTCACTCTCATCGTCCTCGTCATCTTCGTCCTCTGTCACTTCGAGTTCCTCGTCCTCGTCACCTTCGTCCTGCATCACTTCGAGTTCCTCGTCCTCGTCTTTCTCGTCGTCATCGTCGTCGATAGTCTCGCGCGACCCTGTAGCGCCAATCTTCACGAACAAACAAATTCGGAAGTACGTGTGAGTCAACTCTGCCTCGTTCCCAAATGCCATATACTGCTGCTTGACGTAGTTCACCTGTGGTGAATCAGTGACCCATTCCACTATCATGTCGCGCTTTCGCCACCTCGAGCGCGTGAGTAGCTTTCCTCCGTAGTAATTGCGAAGGTAATTGACCAGCGAGTCTTCTATCTCAGCGTCGATATCAGCGACCATCTTGCAGAGGACGTCGTCCTGCTGCTTGGACCACTTCTCTGTGGTTCGGTAGACTACGCCGAGGAAAGTCCGCAGCTTGAGGTCGTCGCACAACTGCTTGAGCGTAGCGTCCCCTCCTTTGAGGAACCCCATGAGGGCCTCCAGCTGCGCTCGTTTCTGTTGGTGTTTCTTGCGGCGTGCCGCTCTTGCATACGGAGATGGGGACGTATCGAGCGGGTATTGGTGATGCAAACCGAAGCCGAGACGCCCTCCGTTAGGCATAACAGTCGGGTCGGACAGGAGGTCCCTGAAAGCGGACTCCAGCGCAGATCGATGAGCGGGAATAGGGTTGCCGACAAGCTTGGAGAACGGCGTATCTGCTGCGACGAAGTACAAGTTGTACGTCACCGTCACGCGACAACCCGTCTTCACCGGAAGGACTTCATGCTCGACGTCGCTGTAGAACGCTGCATAGACGACGCAAGGTCCGGCCTGTTCAGAGACGAGTTTGCCAGAGTCGACAGCCCACTGTCCGCCTTTGTGCCGGAATGTGAGCGTGCCACCCTCGTGTTTCGTCGGGAAGGTGATTACGAGCGAGCCAAACATACTCTTTGCACGGGGAGTGTCGATGTGGGGCTTAAAGAACGAGCCCGTCTCTGTGGCTTGTCAGCGAAAGTGAACTCGGCGTTCAGACTACGGTCACGTACCGTATACGTTCAGCTTGTAGAGTTCGGCACGTATTGGCCGAGCGGTAGTTTTGCCTTCGAAAAGCTCAGTGCTGACGACGTCCAGGAGGCCGGCCTCTATGGCACTGAAGCGCATGGAGAAATCCGACGGATCGAGCTTGCCGGCCTTCCTGTATGACTCGTCGAGCACGTCTTCCTGGTTCATGCCGAATGTAGCCCTCTCACACGTCTCCGAGAGGGATTTCAGTTCATCTTGCGACGCGGTGACGAAATTCAAACGCCTATCCGAAGATGCGTCAGTGGCACTCAGCTGAGTGACGCTGCAGAAACCTACCGGATTGGATCGCTCTTGCCATAGAACAGATCACAGTCACTGGCCGATACGGGCAACGTACCGAAGCACACCGGCGGTCTGTTGACAATCGACGACTCCAGTGTCTTCAGCTGTTCTTTGAGTTCGGGCATTGCGTTCAGTGCCTAGTAGCGAACTCTGGTGGTCAGTGTTGAAGCTGAATAGTCGTCATTGGTAACTTCTGCATTAGACTTAAGAGTTGTGGCGCACCGTTTGACTCAAAGATGTTGATGTCTTGGAGATTTACGGCGTCCTTGCGCAGCATTATATACGCTCCGGAGAGCGAAGGGCATGCTCGTCACATGCATTCGAGACAATGGATGACCGTGATGGTTGGACTCACGAAGAGTCAACGTCGCTGAATCCGGAAAGAACGATCGCAGCGCAATGCAGCGTGCACTTTACCGCGAGGCAGGCAGGGCTCGCCTACCAGCGTCTGCAATGCCCTTAATCACGTCCGTTCGACGCCGTCAATCGGTTAGCCCCATGGGACCCTTCATTCATGGAACAAGTAAGTCGGACTAACGCGGTCACTCGTTGACCGTCAACCGCAATATTATACTGTGTACGCAACTTAGTAGGCTTCAAAGAAAGACAAGCGACGAAAGACGTACTAGCAAGAGAGTAGATCATCCGCGGCTACCACGCGCAGACGCAATATCCGATATGTATCACCATGTTCGTAGCGGCGTACAAGTGCGATCGGCCCACGCAGAGTCAAGACGGCTGAAAGAGATGAGTACTGGCCCCAAACGGAACGCGTATCGCAACGTGGACGATGCGTGCCGCTATATGATAATGCATCACAGCAAGGCGCACACACGTAAAAATATGACACCCTAGAAGCATGAAGAGTTCTTTACTCTCGCAGCTAGAGTCATTGTAATCCAGAAGGAACCCACGAATTGTGGGAGAGTTGATGGATCGGTCTCGTAGCAGATACAGTACAAGGTTCACAATAAGGCGTAGTGCGTGTCATCGGATCGTATATCGATCTCACCAAGTTTGCCACTCTACTATATGATTCGGACGTCAACTCGTGTGTTGGTCCATTGACTCGTTGAGAAGCAATCGAGATGATCGTGAGTGAGGAACAATGCAATCACTCCAGCTTTTCAAGCTGCTCGAGTCGTGCCAGAACGACGTCTTTGCTCGTTTCCTCGATCTCTCCTGCGAGGAAGACTTCGTCCAGAATAGCATACACCTGGAAGCGTACTCAGGCATACGTCGTGGTCGTGCTCATGAGAGAGTACGGACCTTGTAGAAGTTGAAGACGAGGTCCAGTTCGCAGACGTTGTCGAAGAATGAATCTACATTCACGGTCAGAGGAAGTGGTTGACTATGAGGAGGGAATTCGGCATACCAAGGACCTCAACAAACAGGTGTATCGCCTCGAGGTACGCAAGTTCATTGTCGTCCTCGTCTACGCAGACGCAGAAGAACAGGCCGGCATAGCGACGGTACACGATCTTGTGGTTACGGAACTGAACATAGCCCATTGAGGATGAGCCGCAGACTGCCTAGCGTAACGCGCACCTCCACAAAGTTCGATTGATACTTCTGGTCCCGCGGGGCGACCAGCCGGTGTACCTCACCTCGCAGCCGGACCTGCAACGAGGTCAGTTGCTGCCTACTTGCCGGATGCTTGGACATACCTTCTCGTCATCATCATACGGCACATACCACTTAGACAGACGGGTCTTGCCTTGGCGATTCTACCTACCAATGAGGTATTCGTCGCGGGCGGTGGCGAGTGGGAGATGCGCTCACCTGGACGAGAATGAATCTAATCATGCTTCCCGCCTGGCTCTCCTCCAATCGGTGTGATGTTCTGGCCTACTTGTTGTCTTCTGATGTGTCCCGCCGGCCCCAGGCTGTGAGGCAGTATGGAGGTGGTGGTGGTAGTCAGCAGCCGAGGCGCGAGCGCCCCTCCGAAACCTCAACTCGGGACACAATGTTCTCCGTCTGCTCAACTCGGGACACAATGTCCTCCGTCTGTTGCACTGACATCCTATGGCCTCACGATCCGACTCGAGTCCGGATATTTGAATAGCTATCGTAGATAATGAGATGTGAGTCATTCCCGGGACGCCCGCCGCACATTCTTTACGACGACGATGACGAGCCAGGACTCGCAGACCTTCAAGTTGCTCCTCGGCAAGCTAATCAAGACCCCCGAGTCCTTCAGTCCTGATGATCTCCGAATTACGCTCGACCTCCTCTTCACACCCGACGTCGTGCAACCAGTGCAAATCGGCTCTTTCCTGACTGCGCTGCACGTCGAACACCTCGAAAGGCGACCGGAGTACCTTGCGGCGGCTGCGGAGGTCGTTCGTGCACGAGCACTCAAGACAGCGGTACAGGACGCAGAGAACGACTTTGTGGTGGACATCGTTGGGACGGGCGGCGATGGGCACAACACCTATAACGTGAGCACGACCGCTGCGGTCGTCGCTGCAGGAGCTGGTGCACGGGTCATCAAGGTATGTGTTGTCCATATGGTCCGCAAAAGAGCTCAGTTGGAAAGTGTCTCTCAGCATGGCAGCCCTGCATGGACATCGTCCTCAGGATCCGCAGACTTGCTGCAATCGCTCGGGTGCCTCTTTACTGCGCCCACCGCCGATACTCCCATGCCTATACCTCGCATTCCATTCACGTTCATTCTCGCGGCTCAATATTATCCTGTGCTTGCTGCGTTAGGGCCCTACCGAAGAGCACTCCCGTACGTATCTCATTCCATTAACCGTGAACCTTCTGATCAAGCCCTGGTAGACATCGGACTATGTTCAATGCCGTCGGCCCCCTGATCAACCCGGCATTTCCAAAAGGCATGGTGCTCGGCGTGGCCGAACGCCCTCTCGGGCTGACGTTCGCCCAATCTCTCAGGGTTGGCGGTTTTCAGCGCGCCCTCGTCGTCTGTGGCGCCGAGGGCTTGGACGAGATCAGTTGTGCGGGCGAGACGCATGCCTGGGAGCTCATCGACGGTAATATCACAGAGAAGACGCTACACCCCGAGCAATTCGGATTAGAGGTGCACCCGCTGTCCGCAGTATCTGGCGGGACGCCGCAGGAGAACGCGGAGACCTTCAAGCTGCTGTTGACGTCCGGAGATAAGATCCCGGAGCGGCTGACCCCAGTGCTGCACTTCGTTCTGCTGAACGCGTCGGCGCTGCTCGTCGTCGCTGGCATCGCAACTGACTTCAAGGATGGTGTTCAGAAAGCTCTGAGGAGTATCACATCAGGTGCGGCGTGGAAGGCGTTGGAGCAGTTCCGAGAGGCGGGGAATGCTGCTGTGCAACGGGTCTGATTGAGTGGTCATTTTTGGGCGAGTTTGTCGGTAGACGAAAACAATATATGTATGGAGTGTTTCACATCAGGGTCTCTGGCGAAGTAGGCCCCCGTTACAGTGTTTGATATCACGGTTCAATACAATGGTAAGTATTGATCTATACATTGTGTCGCAGTTCCGCCACTTCCCGCCACATTTAGCGAGAGGGAGAGGATCCATTTGGCCACAAAGTTGCACAAACCCATGTCGCCCGCGCGATCATCGGCGACTTGACAGTGACCAGTTGGCGTCCGGCGTTCTGTACGGTACCGCCTTTATGCAAAAGTAGTGGTGTCTAACTAAGTGAAGCGCTCCATAGCAATAGTATATTCATGAATACACGCATTGGCAATCCAGTCGTACGAAATCTGTTGATACGCAGTGGCTAGATATGTTACGTACCAATCAAATCAAGGAGACAATCAACCACGGCGCTGCGCCTCTCCTGGACAACTACTCGGACCGCTTCTTCCAGTGTGGCCTGAATGTCCTCTGCGCGCTCGACTCTGCGACCCCACGCCCCACCTGCTGCTGCTGCGATGCCCGCGTAGTCAGGCATGTCAGGGCCGAAGCTGACGCTCAGCTGTTGCGCGGAAGCCTTGCTGCCGAGCCCGTGCGGGTGCACTCCCAACATGGACAAGCGAGGCGACTGTTGAAAGGATCATGATCAGTCACGCCCGGGGCCTGTCAACCAAGACGACTTACCGCCCAGCCACCGTTGTTCAGCACAATCGTCAAGAACGGCTAGATTCGTCGTGAATGCTTTGTACTTCGGGTCACGCAGGGTCAGACGTACCGCGTCATATCTCCTCGATAGCCAATATGCTGTACTCGGGACGCCAAACAAGTAGGTGCCGTCCCCGACGACAGCTGTGATCAGTTCGAAGTCCTTCTGCGCCGCTCGTGCACCGAGACGAGCACCCGTAGCTGCGCCCAGTGCCCATCCGAGGCTCGAGCCTCCCGACATGAACATCTGTCCAGGCTTGTCCGGTCGGATGTGGTTCCACACATTGTGGCAGTTGCTGATGCCCTCGTTCAGCCACAACACGTTCTCGCCGTGGCTCACAGTCTGTGCCTTCACCGTTTCCCGTAGGGTGCCGAGGATGTACGGCACAGTCGGTGTCTTCCCGTTCAACGACATGCGGCCCTCATCTGCAACAAGCTGATCGATCCATTCGTCGTGGAGGGCCTTCAACCGCTCGCCGCGTGCCTTCACTAGCTCTTGGATTTGGTTGTCGTTGATGGCTTCGGCGTCCGCGGCACGGATTCCGGTGACCAATTGCCCGAGCGCGACGTGGGCGTCGGCCCTGCAGAGGAGCTCTGCGTCTACATGGGACCAGCCCATCTGCTGCTTGAGTGGGTCGGCGTCGATGACGAAGACACGCGCGTCTGGACGGATCCTGCTTCCATTCGCCTCGATGTACGGGATGTCTGTGTCTAGCGTGATCACGACATCCGCTTCCTCGAGGTAGGGGTTTGTCCCGTCGAATGATTGGCCAAGCAGGTACGGGTGGCTGAAGGGGATAGAGAGGTACTGGGAGACGGACAAGAATACGCCGATGGAGCGCAGATGGGATAGGGTCTGCAGGAGCGGGACCGTGTGGTGGTTCCTACCGGAGCTGGCGACTATGATCATAGGAAACTTGGCAGTGGTGAGAGCCTCGACAATGGTCCTCACGGCTGTGACGACATCAGTCGTCAATGCATCAGACCCTTGTTGAACCTTGAAAAATGACATGATAACGCACCGGTAGGTGACAGGCCACTGGGCGCAATTGGCGGCCACTTAGTGACGTCGAGCGGTGTATTCATCACTGATTCTTCCATTTCTTCCTCCAGGACTTCTCTCCGTGCCCAGAGATACACCGGTCCAGTGGGGGCACTAGTAGCACTGTCATAGGCAGACGACGTCAACGGGATATTGTCTACCACCCCGGTCTGAAGATACGCACAATTGCCAGGCACGCATGACGGTCTTCGCGACCGCTTTACCGTTCATGATCTCGGCAGTAAAGCGCATGAACTGGCGCACGATAGCGGGCTGGTCGTGCACATCTGCGGGATATTCTCTTACAGTTGTCGCTTCGCAGACTGAAATCGAGAACGTACCTTGGCCCCACATCGGCCATTCGTTCTTCGATCCTTTCAATTCACCGCTGACGGTGTACGGAGACGCTCCGGCGAAGATGATGACCGGAGTGTTGCCTTTGTCCACATTGTGCACTGCACCTGCAAGTGCCTATCGGCGAACGTCAGCTACATTGGGTTTGACCACCGGATACCGCCACCACCCGGATCCGCTCTTCCGCCCAGGAATCAAACAGAACCGTGACAGCGACTCGTGTCTGGCCCAATGTCCGCTCGCGCTCTATGAGCACAAGGCTTCCCGCACGGGCCCCAATCATTGCAACATCTCGGCAACAGATCTCAGAATAGAAGGGATCTGTGGAGCTGTCACTCTAAACTCAAAGTTCGCCGTAGCGCTGCACCAACTCGTAATGCGCGCACTACGTGCGAACTCATCGTCGCCACGATCGGAGCCGTGGGTCGTTCAAATGCCATTACAGCCGAGCACGAAGAAGAGTGCTCACCTGCGTCCCGACGTCGACGTGCACGATAACCGCGGCAGGTTTGCCCGTCACCTGCGCATACCCCTGCGCGGCGCTGAGCGCGACCATCTCGTTCGGACATGTTACGATCTCTAGAAGGGGCTTCCCGCCTCGCTCGGAGCGCTGCCGCTCGAGGTCCTCTAGTATCGCAGGGTGGTCGTTACCCCAGTTGGCGAAGATGTGGGTGATGCCTGCTTCGGAGAGCGTCTTCAGGAATACAGACGATGTCGTGTACAATGCTGGTTTCGACAGTGCGTCGCTGTCGGTGGAGATGGGCGTGGTGGGCGTAGTGTCCGGGGACGACGAGCTATCTGAGGAAGACATTGTCAAACGACGGGGTTCCGACTGCACAGATGATACACTCTGTGGGCAGTCACTACTCACCTTAAATATGAACATAGAGGAAGCTGCCGCCGGGCTGGAGTATTAGTCTCTATCCCTGAGACACAATGAGGCACGAACTAACGCATAACGGGGATTGGGTTTGCTGGCTACGGGTATCATGGTACAGTCAGCCGCGGACGCTGGAATACTCATTGAGTAGTGATCTTAACAAATCCCAGGGGATGTGGGGCAGTGAATCCCGTGTTTAGCTTTGAGAAGCCTCGTCCGGACAGTCCGATACCTTTTTATATCGCGTGGGCTTGCCAATGGGAATTCTATCTGCCGCGATTCCTGTGACCAAGTTCACTTCCATGGGACACTCGTCATGAGTGATGAGGCCTGGTGGCCGACGATTGGGTGAATTTCCAGTCATACCGCTCGCGCTCTCACTACGGAGCGCAGAATGACGTCGCGGCCTTCGGGTAGGTTCAAGTAGGCCTCGGAGATTTGACCCAAAAGACTGTACGTCAGGCGAAAATATCAGCCTCGGAACCCATGCATCGCAAGTATCCCTGAGACCGAAACAGGGTAGAACATGTCCAAGTATCTTTTGCATGGGAAGACGACGTGTCTGCGGTGGATGCATTTGTACATGGTACATCATTGTGAAGTATTGCAGTCAGCGGTTGTATGAGCTATCGGGTAAACGAAGGAAACGTACCTGGGGGGATTCTCGCGTGAAGCTCTGGACATCACCCGGACGCCCACGAGGCTTACTCGCGGTTGTGTCTGGTATCATAGTTCGGATTGGATAGACATTTCAGGCGCACAGCTGTCGCCGATCGGAACTCTCCCTGGCTAGAAGTCGAGGCCGAGTAGGTGATTAGGAGGTATTGCTGGTTCAGGGTCTGCAAGACGGACATGACCTGATGCACGCTGCCTAGTTCGCGGACCCCTAACAGAGTCATATTAGCCGGAAACATAGCCTCTGAGTAGAGCGCTGGTTGGCGAGATCCCACCCTCCCAGACTTCAGCGTACCCGCAACATCTTGCTTTGCTCTATGTGGCGGGTGACTCGGGGTGCGGCAGCTGTCACAGAGCACGAGAAGAGACGACAGCTGTGATTTGCACAGTTGCTAGGGCAGGCACGCTGGACAGATCTAATCAATAACCGAGGTCTTCAGAAGTCCGTCAAGACAAATGACACGATGAACTTCGACGTGCGCTCACTTTGTCATGGTGTCCAAGCCTGGGTATTCTCAGAGGGAAGGCAGGACTCGGGACATACACTCATCGTTCGGACGTCCTGATCCTGGCGAGGTGTGACGTACATGACAGCACATCTTGAAGAGCTTCGTGCAGGATTTCGTTCCATGGTCAAGATGCACGGACCTGAGTATCGCGGCTCAGAGAGTTTGTGAGAGTGAGTGATCCAGGCCATCAGGACAGTCGTCCAATATGACAGCGACTGACTATGTCTAGAGTGACATACTGTGACGAGCACGATGAACATCAGCTAATTGATAAGTTATAGATGCCTATAATCGACATACCACTGGCACAGGGTATACGTTTATGGTTTTAGAGACGCCTGCATACGTATGTATGGTACGTCCTCCTTGTAGAACCCGTCTCCGAAGCGGGACATTCCTTTCCGTTCGTACCACTCCGCCGTGACCAGCCGCGCATCGCACCAAATGACGTCGCACCCGAGTTCATGAACGGCCGCTTCAAAGACGTGGCTCAGTAGCTTCGTGCCGATACCACGTCCTTGGTAGGACGGATCACAAGCGAACTTGCGGAAACGTGCTGCGGCGGCAGAGTTCACCTCGTCTTGTGCGTCTTCTTGAGACATGTCGATAGGCAGAGACTCTTTGAACACAGAGATGATGGCGACTGGTGCGTCATTATGTGGGAGGAACGCCCCGTAGTGAGATCCACGGCAATCCTCGGGCAGTAGAACGTGGGACACAGGATGGTTCGGCCATAGTACTGCGTGGCGGAGTGCGATAGTCTCGTCCGGCGAGATCTGACGGACGAAAATGTGATCTGAGAGGAACATACTTATGTGAGCATGAGCAACCTTGGGCACCCCATCCAGCCCTCCGCCTCTGCGAATCCGATGGAGGAAACGTACAGTACCTGAGTCAACAGCAGACATGGCGTGGCTGAGTAGGCTTCAAGTTTGAGCTCCGAGTCAGCCTCATATACTACGACCGCCCTCCTCCCCTCAAGAAGGTCGTGTTTAGGGTCTGCCTACGTAGGGGAGACTAGAGTCAGCCGCAAGCTTGTGAGCCGTGACGAGAACGCAGCACATAACTGGCAGACGGATAGAACTTGAAGGAACAGACGATGCCGATGCGTACTTATGGGTCATAGCCAGGCCAATTCTCAATCTGAAACACAACTTGTACTAATTGATCGTACACACCTTGTGGTAGTATGTAGTCCGCCCAGTACGAGTCGGAGCACACAAGCCTGCTATAAGGCTTTTCAGTGTCACTGGCAGGAGCTGCAGATTCAGGCAGGTGACGACTCCGAGCCTAACGCCGAGTGATCAATCGATCACCCGCTGGCCGCGTGACTAGTTGACTATTGAAATATTGAGGTACAAGCTATGTTGCTAGCGGCTGCTTACGGCCCAGTGGCGGAAAGTCTAGTACCAACAAACATACTGTAGGCTGATTCAACCCGGTAATCGCTACATGCATACGAAGTACAACGCGGCTTATATTTATTCCCGTCTTGAACGCCGTCAGGTGATCAAGGATTCTCAGTTCAAACTGTGCGCTTAGAGCAGGCTTTACTCAGCCTCTAACGTTTTAGTCTCGCCGCACTGGGACCCTCCACGTTCAGGTGCGAGGGCTTTGTGTCGAACCTAGCCTCTAACTCAGAAGTACTGAGAATTTGAAGTTGGCTGCATCTAGGTCTCACGCACACCAAACAGTATCAACGCCGAACGGAACACGACGCGCGTACTACTCCAAGTTCCAACAGCTCGAGACAGTCGACCGCATAAGCATGCCTGTATGCCTCAGATGCGATCATAATTGTATTTGTCTCATGGTCAGAACCGTGATGTGGTACCGCAACTGGGCAAGGAGCTCGGATTCCTCGTCCGCCTGCTGCTGCAATGTCCGGAGCCTATGATGTGTCTTCCGAGATATTCTCGCTCTACTCCCATCCACCTATGACCAGGGCTAGTACGTGCAGCCAAGCAAGCAATCCGCTTGTAACACCCATGGACGAAGGCCTTCTTGGTGCAACTGGAAATCTCGATCATCCACGGGGAAAGTCTACGAAGACAGTCGACGCAGCTCGTGTAGCATCGATCACGCCAGATGAGCGATGTCTCACTCGCGAATCTGCTCTGCACATCATCAACGAGAGCTACGACGAGGAGCCTTATGGCCCTTACTTTTCTCGTCCCCGAGGCTCACCAGCACACTCTCCATCATCTCGCCTCTCGCGTCGAGGAACGACCAAAGAACTCATTGGTCGCTTCGAATCCATGTCACCAACGAAGACATCGTCCACCTACCTGCCGGAGACACCCAGATCACGCCCCGGTGCATATCCTGCGATCGAAAAGACGAACAAGCGCTCCCCGATTCGACAGTCGATTCGCAACTTCCTTTCAGTGTTCAAGAAGAGCACTGGCAAGACCTCCGGAGAGCGTAGCGAACTTTCGACGGTCGCCGAGGATGCAGGCGCTCGACCAGTACCCGACCGCGTCAACACTTCGAGGACGAGTGGATCTTCATGTAGTAATACTCCGTCTTTTCTGAGCGTACCTCAAGTGAGCGAAGCGCGGGAATCCCTCAGCATCTGCCAGACGCCTACCTCCCCTACGAGTGCTCGTCACTCTGGGCCAGTTCTCTACTTGTCTCGCTTACCCACGTCAGCAGCGGACATACACCCAATATGGGCGCACTGCACGGCGGCGTTGCACAGCACACACCTCCTGCTCACGTCGGAGACTTCTGGCGGTAACCCGTCGACGAACATCATTGCATTCCGGGAGTGTGCCGATGTGCGTTCGCTGTCATCAACCGAGCTCAACCCGAACGAACGTGCAATGCTGCCATCGCAAGGCACAGATGGTGATCGTCAAGTCTGGAAGATATTCGAGCTCTTATTTGAAGGCCGCCCAAGGGAGAGGTTCGCGGTTCGTTCTGTAGGAGAGCGAGCCGCATGGGTTAGCAAGATCTGGTAGCTTCGTCTCATGGAAAACGCATGCGAGGTACTGACGCTGTTGTGAAGGGATGCGATCTTGGAAGCCCAGGAAGAGCGAAGCGAGGCAGCAAGCATCGCAGCTCGGCGTAATCAGTCCATACTTTCCGCAGGCGATAAGGGGACAGATTCGACTCGCTCTGTACTCTGCTCGACCCCAGGTGGACGTAACAGCGTCCTCTTTGTTCACTCATCAGGTGCAGGATCCACCCTCAATGTAGACCGTGCTCTGCCCGACATTCCCAGGCCGGAAGAAAAACCTCCAGCGCCGAAGCTCTCCATACAGATCCCATCTAGTCCACTCCGTCCAGTTGCCTCAGGCTCCTCTCCCGTTTCTAAACTCTCTCCTCTTCCGCGGCCGCCAACTACACCAACGAAAACGCAGACGACACCGACACGCACCCAGAGTCCGTCCATCATGAATCTCGACAAGCGGTCTATGGTCAGGCAGCGCCTAGCGCAACTGGAAAGCACAAACGGGAGCCCTTCGTCCGCGCGAGGATCTCCGTCATCGACCACCGCTTCGCCTACTACAGTCGCACGTGCCCGTATTCCGCGAAGTGGTCAAGACAGCAGCGGCTTGCGCCGTCAAAGCACCTCTGCGTCTGGAGTCATGGACTCTCTCGTCGAGAGCTACCGCAATACACCGGTGGACTCGCTGCTCTCAGCTTACTCGGGCCGTCTCACCTCCGTTGCGCCTTCTAGCCCGGCGCGTACGCCCGCTATCTCATCGTTTCTGAAGCCTCTGCCTCAGGCCCACGATCTCTTCTCGCCTGGGTCGAGATACTCCACGGACGACGAAGTCGTGATTCGACCCTCGTCGGCTTCATCTGAGCCCCAGGGACAAGGCTCTACGAATGATGCTCGGCGACATATGATTCGGCTCGATACAAATGCAGGACCCATGAAGACACCCGTCGCTGTCAGGGAGGAGCCGCGGGCCCTCCCACAGGTGCCTGTGCACCTGCGCGAGGAACCTCGGCGTCCTCCTCCAGAGCCCGTCAGAGTGACTTTGAGGGACGAACCGATGAGGACGCTGCCGCCGATCCCTCAAGAATCCCATGAGGCCATCCGAAGCCCTGGAGCCTCGTTCGCCGGTGCTAAGTCTCGGTCTCCTCAAAGAGAACGGATCCGGGAGTCTGAGCCCGCCGAATATGGCGCCGTGCTAGGGGGGATTCAGAACAAGGTGGACACTATTCTGGACCAAGTTTCTCAACGGCAGAACACTAGCCCCACAAGCACTGTCGACCTATCCGGCGTCTTGGCCAAGTTGGAAGAACTTCGCAACGACATCCAAAACGGAGCGGCAGGAGCTGCACGCTCACCCACTGAACCTGCTAATCTTGACAAGCTCAATGAGATGCACGCTAAGTTGGATGTTCTCGGGACGCTATGTCAGAATCTGCACGACCGCGAGCCGGGCGCCGGTCAGTCTACAGACGATAGTGAACAGGTGTGTCTAATCTTGATCTTGTCCGTCTAAGTGACTTAAGAGCTGATATTTGACGCAGGTAGCGGAGGTCCTCTCACTACTGCAAGGCGCGCAAGAACAATGGTCGGCACATACGGAGCAGCAAACGGATAGCATTCGGTATCTGAATGAGCTCAACTCTGTGCGTCACAATAGTTTTGCCACAGTAGCTGCTCGACTGATCCCTCCTTACAGTGGCTCGAAGCGTTCGTCAACCACGGAACCGCCCAGATCGAGAACGTCGCAGCGGGTGTGCAGATGCTCTGCAAAGAGCTCGGACCCGTTGAAGAGCTTCAAGAGCCCGCGGAAGACGGCCAAGAACAGCCTCCAAAGGGTAGCCTACTCGCGGATGTCCGCAAGCTCCTGGTCGAGGCGAAGGGCAAGGAGGAAAGCTCGGTCGTTCTCCATGCTGCTGTGAACGGCCTCATCGCGGCTGTGCAGGAGGACCTCAAGAAGAATGCTGAGGCGAGGAACATGCTCAGTACGTGATGGTTCCGCCAGGATGTTTTCCATCTACTGAACGGAGCTGATGGTGCACAGCGACTGAGTCCGTAGTTGGCCTCATTGACCGCCAGCGTCAAGACCAAGAACGCATGCTACGTTCGCTGGGAACAGGTGAGTGTAGAAAATTGCTCACCAAACACCCTGGCTGACCAGAGTATCAGAACTGTCCAACGAGATCCGCGGAGAACGCCTGCGCTTCGTCGAAGCCATGAAGGAGGCCACGCAGATCAACGTCCAAAGTGAGTCACAACACCGAACTGCACGTCCTGATACCTCTGACACGAGCCCGAAAGTGCACGTGGAGCACTTCAAGGGAGAGCTCACGCGCGAGGTGATGCTCATGACGCAGGAAGTGAGCCGCCTGCAGCGCGAACGACAGGGGTTGGAGCAACAGATCGCGGACCTATTCGCGTTCTACTCCAAGCAGAAGCAGGCGGGAGCAAAGATCTTCCAACGCGCAGAACAGCCTCGAAGTCAACATCATGGACGGTCGCGGTCTGCTGGCCCGCCGATGCCCGGGGCGCAGCCTTTGCCTGTGCCGATGCCTGGTGGATCGACAGCTTCTGGGATGTCCCCGCGGGCGACGCCGAGGCGTCCGTTGCCTACTCCGAGCCCGACATCTGCGCATCGACCGGCGTCTTCGTTCATGTAATGGGGTCTATCTGACGTAGCATGGCTCTTAGGCCTTGAGCTATAGCCTTGATGGATAATTCTACAATGCAGGTTTAGCGATTCGTGGGCAATATGTATGCAATAAATACTAGATCTACGGTCCTTGCTGCCGATAGCAGTAGGTGTGGGATGATAGTCAGTCCCCAGGGCTTACACTCTACAATTGTCGAGGTTGAAGATGAGTATGTCCTCGGCACCGATCTTGACCAGTTCGTCCATGACGTCCGCTACGCGCTTCTTCTCGACCATGCTGCTCACCGCGACCCACGCCTCGTCCTCGAGCGGGCTGATCGTCGGCGCGCGCCGGCCGGGCGTGATGCCGGTCGCGTCGTGCAGCTTCGCGCGGGGAATGTTGTACTCGCAGACGACGTACTTGCTCGCGGCGACAACGCCCGCGATGCGCGCCGTGATCAGCTTGATGAGCGGGTCGAGCGACTCGTGCTTCGGCGTGCTCGACTTGATGAGCACCGCCTCGGACTGCATAAGCGTCGCGATCGCGTGCAGGCCGGCCGCACGCATCGTGTCGCCAGACTCTGCCGGTGGGTGAGCGGTGTGCCGAGTGACGATGGGGGCCACCGCCCCCGGGGATACTACGTACCTACGAGATCAACTGCGGGGGACGGCATGAGCTTCGGAACACTGACGAACAGCACTTGGCGCGCAGAGGCAGTACGTACCGATACCGTCCGCGAGCCCAAGCGCGCACGCTGCCTCGACGCTGCCGCCGACGTACTCGATATTGGTCTTGCTATCTCCGGCGAGGTTGAGTTTTTCGTCGAGCTTTCCGAAGTACTCGCCGGAGAGGACTTCGAAGGAGGTGACGACGCGCTTGCCCGCGAGCTGTTCGACCGTCTGGATGGGCCCCGCCTCGGGGACCTGCACCTGCAGCGCACACTTGCCGAAGCTGAGTGGGAGAACCTCGGTGACGTGCTGCTGCATTTGAGCCTCCTGAAGCACGTCCTGGCCGGTAATACCGAGGTCAACGTTACCCTTCCCGACGAAGGAGGGGATGTCGGCTGCGGGCAGGAATACCCTAGTATAATGTGAGGACAGTGCATAACCTCTGTGGGGGTCTACTTACAATGCGATGTTGTGATTCTTAACTAGACATACGTCCAGACGGTGATCCCTGCGGAACTGGATATCGGCCCCTGCAATGGTGTCAATGCTCAGTAAAGCGTGCCCGAGACGGAAGGTGTTCACCTGCCAACAGTTCCATGCACTTTTCGTGCAACCGCCCTGAGATTCGATGCAACACACTTTCAGCCAGACCAGTCCCGCGACACACTGCTGACCCGACCTTTCTTGGGGATGGCAAACAGCAGTCGACCGTTCAGCGCATCGACATCTAACATGGCTCTCAGCGGGCGAGTTCAGCGTGCACGAACGAGGGTCAAACGCACTCATTTTATAGGAATCCGCGGCAACCGTGTATGCCGAGGTGCGGGGGTCTGATGCGACGCGAGGTGAAGCAGCCGAGATGGAGGTTAGCGTCAAGAGATGTGCCAGGCGTCGAGTCAACCCTCGCTGTCCCAGCCACAATTTGCCGCGGAAACATGAGATCAGATCGCCCGATGACAAGATCGCATTCCGATCACTCGGTCACCGGCCGGCCCGGCCGCCCGCTGCAGTACCGAGTGATGGCCGCGGGCGGCTGGCCACCCGCTGGCAATGGCAATGCGTCCAGCAACGTTCGTGCGACGTGATGTCTCTCTCTGCGCTGTCAGTCTCCGGTATCCCCGCCAGCCCTCCCCGAATGCAATGCGGATATTGTGGATGGATTTTTGCGAAGTCCAAATTCTATCGGCTTGGTGCCAGCTGATTCGTCAAGCACTAGCGCGAAAAACTCGTAGTTCTATTGGTCAAAACCTACGCAGATGCAGCGCGAAATACTTGGGCGACGAACGCCGGGGCCATGACAAGCCAAACTATCAGGCTGACTATCTCAAACACAACCTTATGGTGATCCCGGAACCTGCATGCTCAAACGCTGGTACTTAGTGCTGTGTAGGTATTCTCTCGTCCAATATCGTAGCACGTACGAACTGAAATGAAAAGCGCGGCAGATATATGCGGGGATATCCTGTTGCTGGACTAGGTCTCAAGGCCGCGTCCGCATACACGTTGCGTACTGGGTCGGAATGAACCTTTTTCAAGTGTGACAGATTCTGCTTCCTGGGACGCTCGCTGGGTCACAAGGGTACCGCTTGTAAGTGATCAAGCGTCATGCTCCTACTACGATGTGCCGCGTGGACAGGATAGAAATCGCTGAATGGTTCGTTTGCGAGCTGCTTGAACCGCCTAGCAGCGCCTTCGCCGATACTGCTCGTTCACCGGCAAGTACTAGGACGGCAACTCCTGCGACACGTCACGGTCATGTCAGAGCATCTTCGTGGATACCATCGAGGAGGATACTTCGCTCGCCCCGGCTCCGGCGACCGCGCCATGATGGGGCCGCTGCATCCCGAACCCGTCAAAACCGTAGAAAGGCCCTCACTGACTGCTAAAGATGACATCGCCATCAAGCATTTCGAGCACATCGGATCGTACAGCTGGGTCGAGGCGAGGAAACCTACGGTGGTCATACCAGGTAAGGGCTACCTCAGCGTCATGTGCGTATGGTCAGTGACCCTTGACTAGGCTCTCCTGCCTATTGGCGTGACCGCCCGCTTCCATATCAAGTATCCGTAGACGCCAAGGAGCAATTTGTGGACCAAGGGGGAGAGCGCATGGGCTGTATGGCTTTATACCCGCTCATACGCGCAGTGGATCTGGAGTCGGAGGAGCAAGGCAACGACTTCGATTGGGGTGCCGTCGATTTCGTCGGCGATCGTAACAGCCTGCGCAAGCTGTTGTCGTGGGTACAAGATAACGATGGACGATATAAGCCATTCAGGATCGATACGCAGCTGGTCGGCCATCGGACTGTCCTGCTCAACCGCTGGGAGACACGAATGACTGGAGCGGCAGGCCACTGGCCTATCAATTTCCAACGCGAGAGCACCTACAAGCCGCCTGGCTACGAACATATTCCGACCGTCTCGCATCACCGCGTCGCTAAATACGTGAGCTTTTCTGTCGTTCAAAGATAGATCACAGTTCTCACGTAATGTCAGGACTTCGGTGGTCTCACTATGGTCGTCCGCTTCTCAGTGGACGCCTGCACACCACTCAAGGCTGCGGACAGGGCGATGCAGACTCCGCGACTTGGAGTAGGCTCTGCCGACGTGGACAGCCTCTCGTCTATGCTGTCTGGTATGAGTGTTACCTCTCACCCAGCAAGAAGCCTCGAGATCGACAGAGAGGCATCCACCCCGGAACTCGACATCATTCGAGTTAACTCGCCCGTCGTTCCCCAGAGCTCACTCATCGAGATCACTACCCGCTCGGAGAGGAACGTCACGGCATACAAATGGGTAGACACATATCCCCAGCTCTACTTCTCGCAAACCGCGTACCGATACTTGGCGGTCCACCAACAAGGCAACTTCAGAGAAGTGCGGAAACACGCTCTGGAGGACCCGGAGATGAAGAGGATCGAGGCGCAGCTGCAGGGCGACTTCAGGAAGCTGAGATCCGCCTTGCAGGTGATCCAGGACCTCGTTGTCGAGCACGGGGAGCGGGGCAGGCTCAGCCTGGTCTTCGAAGGCGGTATTTGCCGGGTCTTCGAGCGAAGATCCGCTGAGAGCTGTCTTCCTGATACCATGCTGAGGCGTTTCGAGGGATTCTAATCCATGAGGTCGGGCTCGAACATCATGTGCTTCGAGTCATGTATGGACTATCTGCATGGCCGTTTGAATCTGTCCGCGGATGTGTGCTGAGAGGCCGCTGTTTATTTCTTCCATCGCAGAATATAGGGTCATCGTTGTGGGCATCCCTTCTCTCGTCCATGTGGGTGTCAATCTATCGCCTCGAATGCCGTTTAGATTGCTGCGTATGCCTGCCATTACCCACGGACGGGCACGCGGTACATGCATGTCGGTCGGGGAGCGCTGGCAACTCGCACGGGTCGATCGAAGCAAATCAGGCCATAGATCATCATATAAACGCGCGACTCGACTGCTGAAGGCGAGTGCTCACTTCTCAGCCGCCGTTGCACTCCTCAACCCATGGTTCCGACCGCTGCAGTCTCATCGGTGACGCCGAAATCCGGCCGCAAGACAGCGCAGGCCAAGAGGGACAAGAAGCGCCACAAAGGTCTGGCAGAGGTGCCATTGCAGATCATAGACAAGCCCGCTGTTCCTCCCAATGTCGACCCAAATGATCTCATCTCGATCGAGAATATGACCCTTATTGGTTCATATAGCTGGGTTGACTCTGCGGAGCCAACTATTCTTGTCCCAGGCGAGTCTCTCCAAGTATCAACGATGTATTGAAAGTTTAAACCGTCAATATGCACCTCAGGTTCACCACCCGTGTGGCGTAACAGACCTACTCCTTACACGCTAGCACCTGATAAGAAGAGCTTTGTCTACGAAGACGCATACAGAATGCCTAGGTTCCCAAACCTCGCTCGTATGAGAGCGATCGACATCATGACGAAGGAGAAAGGAATCCACATCGACTGGCCGGGCATCGATTTCATCACCGACAGGAACGCATTGCGGAAGCTGCTGAAGTGGGCTAGTGGGAGCTCAGGGAAGGAGTTCAGGATTGATCTTGAGCTCGTCGGAGAGCGAATGGTCTGTCTGAACAGATGGGAGCCAAATAATCAAGATGTCAATCACCGGCGCCAGCCGGGTTATGGTCACCGATTCGAGCTCGAGAGCACTCGCGCAGCCCCTGGTTGTGGGGGCACTACCGGCCATCATCGCATAAGCTCATATGTGAGGTTTATTCAGCATTTGACCACAAGAGAATGTCTACTGACGGTCTATTCGTACCCGAAGACTTTCGGCGGTCTAAAAATGATCGTCTCATATGAAGTAGATGCCTGCACTCCGACTTCTACTCCGAGCGCAACACGTACTGCCGCTGTCGACTCGCACCGTCCTTCCAAACCTTCGGCTCCTGGGTCCAGCCGGGCAGGCGCTTCGAAAAGCAACAAAGCACTAAACATTGTCCGCGCTGGCTACGAAGTGCCGCAGGACTCTTTGATAGAACTGAAGTCGAGCGCGAAGATCACATGGACGGATACTTATCCCCAGCTATACTTCGGCCAAATCCCGTATCTCTACCGAGGGATCCATGACCTCGGGAAGGTCCGACAAATAGTGAAACGCGAGCGAACGGAGGAAGCACTGTTGCGCATCGATGGTGCATTACAGGCGAACATCCGCAAATTGCGGGACGCCCTTCGAATTATCCAAACCCTTGTTGTCGAGCATGGCCGTCATGGACGCCTCACCGTACTCTACGAACAGAAGCATGATCGGCGTCTCGAAGTCTACAGAAGGACGTCGCAGGCCAGCTGTCTACCACCGGAAATCTTGAGGCGATTCGAGGTGAGTGCACAACATCACAAGGTGATCGCGTTGTGCCTGTTGCTCATTCGTTTTCCAGACACCCGAAGCCTGAGGGCGATGTTGTAGCAACCAACATTGTGGGCTGTAGGTGATGTGAAGAGCCCTCTCAAACATTGTATGCGCGGATTTATAGTTCATACATCAATCCTATTGAAGCTTGTATTCGACGAACGAATCGAAAATGTTACGGCTGACGAGTCGATCATACTGAACACAATTCGACGAAGCAGCCGGGTGGTCATCAAATCGATCGGCTGGGTCCTACTAAGCGATTCCAGTACTACTAAATCACTGGCAACCGCTGATATCCCTGCGTGTCCACTTGTGTTCCGCCACCTGTGCATCAAATCGGTATGTCACTGAACTGCCGCGTGGACCGATGCTGACCGCATACATCATGTCCAGTCAGCTTATCCTTGACTTGGGATACTGGATCCGCACATATCGCACGAGTCTCGCAGGCCGAGTGAGAAGTTGGTTTGAGTTGTACCTATGACCTATTCAGTTCCCTCAGCCGTCACGAATGCGCCTCGTGCTCTCATTTTGAGCGCGCCGATTCGAGGCCTTCAACCTTAGATAACGAAGAAGCACCCTGAAGGTTTGTCTATGGGCTATATAACTCGTCACAGGCTGATACAAACTCACTGCCGCCTCGCCTCGCGCTGTTCTCACTGCCAGCATGTCCGAACACTTTCTTCAATATCGGCGTGGAGGGTATGCCGGTAGAGGCGGCTCCTCCCAGGGTGGTCAGCCTTCAAGCTCTCCTGCACTTTCCGCGTTGCCGCAAGAACGCACGCTCACAGAAGGCTTATCCGCGACCCCCATCGAAACCGTCACAAAGCCAACATCGGCGTCAGAGGCAGTGATAGCCGTCAAACAACTCGAATACATCGGGTCTTTCAACTGGACCAGTGCCAGTAAGCCTACCATCATTGTTCCAGGTGTGTCACGCTCGCCCTGGTTGTTGTCTCTCCTGAAGTTCTACATTCGTTGAAGGGTGCCCTCCACTCTGGCGCGACCGCGCCTTGCCCTATAAAGTGCCGCGTGATAGCGGGGTCAGGTTCGTGGACCAGACCGGCTACCACATGCCGGCATATCCGCTGTATTCCTTGGTGCGGGCCGTGGATATAATGTCAGAGGACAAGGGCGATTCCTTTGATTGGAGTACAGTCGACATCGTTACCGACCGCAACGGTCTTCGGAAACTACTACGGTGGCTCAATGACGACGGCACTGCCAAAGACTTCCGGATCGACACGCAGTTGGCGGGGAGGCGCACTGTGCTGCTGAACCGCTGGGAGAAGAAGACGAGAGAGATGCCCAACCCTCAATACTCCACTTACGGCTTCAGTTTCGAGCGCGAGAGCACGTATCGAGCGCCCGACTGCGAACAGGCGAGCGGTTACCACCGCATCGTCAAATACGTGGGTACTTCATTGAATGTAAGATCGACTACTCTAATCTGTACCACACAGGATCTAGACGGGCTCACCATGGTCGTCCGCTTCGAGGTTGACGCTTGCCTTCCCACGGGCACGTCTGCGTCGGCCTCGCGGCGCCAGACCGCCTCCACCGATGTGGACAGCTTGTCCAACATGTTGTCCGGATTGGCGGTTGCGTCTGGCGCAGGCAAGGGCCCCGCCGTTGACAAGGGAGCCTCCACCACCGAGCTCGACATCATTCGCGCCGGACAGCCAGTCCCGCAGAGTTCGCTTATCGAGATGACGACGCGCTCGCGGAACAACGCCATGAATTACGACTGGATCGAGCAATACCCCCAGCTGTTCCTCTCGCAGACACCCCACCACTATCTCGCTGTCCACAATCGTGGCAAATTCGAGGACATCACGAAGCGTGCCCTTGGTGACGCGGAGATGAAGAGGACTGAGGCGCGGCTGCAGGGCAGCTTCAGGAAGCTGAGAGCCGCTCTGGAGGCTATCCAGAACCTCATTGTTGAGCATGGGGAGCGAGGTAGGCTCAGCTTGGTCTTTCGGGATGGTGCTCTCCAGGTCTTCGAGAGGAAGTCCCAGGACAGTTGCTTGCCCGAGGCCATGCTGAGTCGATTCGACGGCCTTTGATCCATTAGGGTATGTTGTCTGGCTGACCAGTGACGATGTCATTTGTGCTCTCGAACCGTGGACGTCTTCGCGTGGAAGTTGGAAAATAATAGCTTTTGTATTGTCGTACGAGTGTCTGTGATCGGCCCGGGTACACTGACTGATAAGCTTTAGCTACACTATGCTGTACTAAGACTTCCGCGTTGTGTCCCGAAATGATGTACCATAGTGATCAGGACTCCCTTGCTTTGCTGAGATGCTGTTACGTGTATACCTCGAGTGGAGACAGCGATATGGCACTGCCGAATGCGATGGGCTCTTCTACCAGGCATGGCAGGTGGTTCCAGAAGGCACAATCGGTGTAAATTGACGCAGTCTGCAAGCTGTATATAACAGGCCAGCAGGCAGGCTATCTAGGGGGATCACTCCCAGACCACTCGTTCCCCTGAGGCTACGATGGCAGCCGCCGCCAGCAGCAACGGTCATCATCGTAACCAGACGTCCCGCAGCAAATTCCATCGTCGCGACATACTCGATGGCCTCGATTCCTCAGTGCTTGAAACTCTGCAGAAACCTGCGGCGAGCGCGGGGGAAACAGATGCAACTATCGGGGACGTGGAGTACATCGGTTCATACAATTGGATTGATCAACAAAAGCCAACGATTGTCGTCCCAGGTAGCCCAACCGTTCTTTCTTCAGATGACGATGAAAGTGCTCACGCTACCATCGCGGTAGGCTCGCCTCGTATGTGGTTGAATCGGGAGGTACCATTCCAGGTTACGCCTGACGAAGGGACACACTGCATCTACGAAGATGGGTGGAAGGTGCAGGCATATCCCATGCTTCCATGGTTCCACGCGGTCGACACCGTGATGAGTCAGGGATCCCGGCAAATGGACTGGAGCGGTGTCGACTTCGTGGCAAGCCGCAACACGCTGCGGAAGCTGCTCCGGTGGACCAAAGAGTCAAAGCCGGATGACTTCAGGATAGATACTCAGCTCGCTGGAGAACGCACCGTTGTGTTCGGCCAGTGGGTCGAGCGGATGTGGATGAACGCGGACAAACGTTATCCAGGATACGGGAGAAGCTTCGAGCATGAGAGCACCTGCGCAGCTCCAGGATTAGAGCACTTGAATACAACTGGCCACACCCGTATCATCAAATACGTAGGTTCCTTCGTATTACCCTTCCTAATATTTTGGTGTTCATCGTGTGCCTAGACCTTTGGTGGATTGACCATGGTAGTCGGCTTCGAGGTGGATGCATACATCGCCTCCGGAAATCCATCTGGCCCGTTGACCGTCGAAGAGGCCACATTTTCTCCGAACAACCTGAGGACAGACGTTCCCCATAAACCATACGTGGATGTCATACACGCCGGCAGTCAGGTACCGCAGGAAAATCTCGTCGAGATCAAAACGGGCAAAAAGATCAGATGGAAAGAGACGTACCCGCAACTATTCCTCTCGCAGACGCCTCATCTGTTCGCGGCTAGCCATGAACAAGGGCAATTCCACCAGATCCGGAGGTTGACCACGAACGATCCAGAGATGCGCGAGTTGGCTGCGGGGTTTCAGGGTGATTTCTCGAGGCTGCGGAATGCTCTGGTCCTTAGTCGGGATGCTCTCCGCCGTCACAAGCAGTCGGCGCGTCTGAGCCTGGTCTACCGGAAGGGAAAGTTACAAGTACACCAAATGGATAATGCGGATAGCTGCTTGCCTGAACCTGTGCTGAAACGCTTCGAGGTGCGTGGCATGAATGAGGTGATTATATTTGGTGACGTCCATCTCAGGTACCAGGACCATAAGTCGAAGATCGGAGAAGAGGGGATGCCTCGGGAGGCTGCCTTTGTGTATAGAGTACCGTGACAAGCGTCGAAGGAATGATGTGCAGCGGCCGTAATCAATGTACAACTTGAACACAACACTCACTGCATAAGATGGAGGGTATTCTCGGACGTGATGCAAGGTCAGACTTCGAAACATTGCCGTAGCAGAGGGGTATCGGCATCACTCTCTGGACATGCGTTCAGTGTACAAGCGAAGGCCCACGCCATAGTCTGCCTCCGACTGACAAAGGGAGACACAACTTGAAGGCCCATGCCATACGATGACTGTGCATCGTCGCGGACGAGGTAGACAGGCGCCGCCCAGGACTTCCGAGAGTCGAGACTCCCGGAAGGCTGCCAGTGCGAGAAGACACACACTTCAACTAGATTGAAGGGATCGTTGTGAAGTCAACGGTGACAGGATTCCGACCACCGTTGAGCCAAAAAGCCTCTTAGGCTAATTACGTCTTCGACCAAGGCTAATGACCGCCGCAATGCGAAATCGAGAGAGAGCTCTGTTCGCACGAAGAGCTCCGCATTTATTTTCGTGTGAGTGCAGCTCGTAATTATATATGTGCGGAGGAGAGCAGCCGGAGTCAAGACGACGCATATGACACACGGTGTTGACAGTGACACGGCGCGTGGCGCTGCACAGACAGCCCGTTGCCACAACGAACAAAACAAAGCCAAATACGTTCCTTACCCTCTCTCCATCGTCACCCACGGCCGCCAGCCCTCTTTCCGCAGCGCGCCCGCCGTCCTTGCTCACGACCACCATGCTCGCCCTTGTCTTCGGCCTTCTCCTCGCTGCGCTCCCCGTCCTCGCGCAGGACATCGTATACACTCCCATACACAATGCGACCGTCATCTACGGCACCTGGGCCTCCGGTGCTATGAACGTGCTTACAGGCTCGGTGTGTGCAGAATACTCGCAATAGTCGATCACGATCACTGACTATAGCACAGGGCTTCGCCAACCCTGCTAAAGGGAGCTTCAATTACCCGAACACGACCGGAGTCTCGTTCTCATTGTGAGTATCCATTCATTGTCGCCTGGGGATGCTGCTGGGATCGCCGTGAAGTTGGGTGCATGAGGATGGCAGTTGGCATCTGCTATTTAATGGCAGTAGTCACATATGGATTAGCTGATTAGGCCGGGACGCTCTATGCCGGTCTAGAGGGAGGCTGAGCCCGTCAGGATCCACTCCCTGTCACCCTCGCGGTTCGACGCCGCAGGCGCCTCTGCCTATGCATGATGGCACTTTCCACAAGGATATGTCCTGGTTACTCGGGTGTTGAGGGTCATGTGGAAGTATGTCTACCACAGATCCTCAGAGGACTCCGCATACGGTGGCATCCGATGCCACGATGATCACGAGACAATCTCAGAACCTGTGCAGAAAGCCGAATCTATCGAGACGTACTTCCCCAGGACGCTCTGTGGGATGTCCTTGAGGCCGCTGTCGTACGGCAGGGGCTATGTACCATAGCCGAAGCGTATGGCTACCGACTGCTGCGTACGAAGCAGAGGTGGTATAATCGTTGTGGGGGGTCGTTTCTCACTGCTTGGTTCTTCGTGGCACTGCGGTGCTGAAAATGTCATGCTGGCGCGAAGTTGGCACTCCGATCAGAGCAACCGCGAGAGCCTGCTTGAGCTTACAGCCATGGAACTCAGGATCGCGTCTCTATGTACATCTCATGCTACAACATTTACAGTACGCGGATTCTGTTTTGCTGTGTTTTTTTCACCAGCGACTTTGTCGAGAGCGAAGCGGCGGTGGGGGCATCACTCGCTGCGCGCTGTGACTGACTGTGACGTCCCTCTGTGCCTCCACGTCCCAGGAACCTCGCACTGTTCAAACCAGTCACTAACTTATCATGCGCAGCACGGAGGACGGCTATTTCGAGATCGCGCGGTATCGATTCCAGAGCAACGGCACGCAGCCGAGCTGCATCACAGGCGTAATCGACTGGTCGCACGGGACGTATGTATTGCAGCCCAACGGCTCGATCACGACAGCGCCTCTCGGCGACGGCTTCATGCAGGTGCAAGACGCCTGCGCGGCCGTGTCCAACGTCATCATGGACTACAACCAAACCGAGCTTTTCAAGTCCTGGAACATCTTCCTCGATGCCACCCTTGGATACCAGCTCATTCTCTATCAATACGACGGCACCCCGCTGCCGCAGCAGAACCTCTACTCGACCACACCGAACATGCTGCCCACTGTGAATCTCCGCAACTCCTCCTCCGCATCGACGACGGCAACGACTGCCGCCAGCAAGCGCGAGCTCGTCAAGCGGAACGCAGCACCAAGGACGCACGGCTGGGATCTGCGGAGCGTGGTCGGCCTCAGCGCGGCGATGCTCATCGCGGGTGTGTCGTCAGTGCTGCTATGATGGTGATGGTGGTGGACAGGTGTATAGCTTCTCCCTCTTCGCTTCCTCTTTACTCTACGTCTCGCTTTCCCCCTGTCTTGTCATGCTAGCTACAGTCGCATATTCTCACGACCGGCTGTTGGACCGTTTGCATTAGCTATTACTACTACCACCATTTCATAAGCGGCTTGTGTACCTCGACCAGATTATACCCGTCGACTGCCTTCCGCGTCCGCTCGTTTGCCCTAGACATACACGGATGATGGTCACTGTACGAATGCAAGCCGCCCGATGATGCCATGAACCGTCCAATCATATCGGGCTTCCACCTGTATGTAATATGGGAGACGTCGTGATATGCAGCTGTAAGTTACCTGGAGGTTCAGATGAGCAGAATCCAGATCTAGAGTCATTGGCCCGTAGCCAGTATATAATGGGTCCCGTGGCTTCCTAAAACTTCGTTCACAGCGCTGCTACCAGGCAGGAGCTCGAGGAGGACAGCATATCGTTTACCGAGAAAAGCGCCAGTGAGTTGTTCTACTTGTTGCAAGTGTCGAACTATGCTGATCGTCCACCTCTTTAGAATGCGCGGTAATCTACCAGCCACTCAGACTGGGTACCAACAATGTAGTCGTCACGACAGACCGTGCCGAGATCAAGCGGAAGGCGTTACGGCGCAATGCGCTCTCGCTCGCCAAGTGCATTCTTGCATTCGTGACTGTGTCCTCACAAGTAGACTGGTAAGATCTGCAGTAAAAGGGGGAAACACGCCTGTGGGGTGCACACGCATATCTATGCGGATCGGTATATGCCAACCTTGAGAGGCATCTCGGGTCTAGTACTCTCCTTCCCCACTGTCGGATAGCGTATCGCAGCAACGTTCCACACGATCGGTTTCTCGGTCAAGTCGAAAGTGAAGTGTGTGAGCAGGACGGCCAGGACGACCTCTGCAGCATAGTCAGCATCCGATATTCACAGCAACTGAAGCTCGCTCACTCATTTCCATCTCCGAGAATTTAAAGCCTCTGCATCGGGGTGAGCATGACTCGGAGAACACTAGAAGATCGCTCACATGCAAGCCCTCTTGCCGGCTAAGAATGTGAGCCTGCAACCATATGCCGTGAGTCTCCAGCGCAGCTATGAACAATATTCAAGCCCTACAGGTTTGAGTAAACTCCCGGTATCCGTGCATCAGTAACCGCAGACGGGAGCTGTGACCATCGCTGGGGCTTCCACTCGAGCGCGTCCGGGCCCCACAGGTCCTTGTTGACGTTCGACGCGTACGTGCCAATGAGGATCTCAGTACCTTGGGGCACAAATAGCTCTGTCAGCGTCCGCCCATCCGATGTTGTGATCGGCTGAGAGAGCGGGACGATGTTGTCCTCCTGGGCTCTGTATGAGCTCGTGAGCTAACAATGAATTCGAATGGATCATAAGATGACTCACACTCGGACGATATTGGTAGCAGGCGGGTAACTGCAAATTGCGTGAGGCCGGAGTACTTGAAGTTGTCAGCGATGTTTCACCTACAGTCGCAGTGTCTCCCTGCAAACACTATCCAACAGTGGAAGACTGTCGAGTTCGTCGTAGGAGATTCCCTCGACCGCACGAGCTTCAAGGAGTTCCTCGCGCAGCTTCCGCTGAACGTCTTGGTTCATCGAGAGTAGGTGCAAGATGCGCGCCAGCGTTGTCGAGGTGGTTTCCAACGCAGCGAAAACGAATGTACTAGCGATTTGTGACACGTCTGCCGATTTTAGAACAGACGGGTAGGTGCTCACCTTATCTGTGCAACAACTTCATCCTCTGGGAGCCGCTCGGTCTCATCTACCGCCATGTTCGCTCGCACTAGGGTTACGTTCGTCGAATCTATGCCGTCAAAAACAATCAATGGCACTCACTCAAGATGCCGATCAGATCCTTCCCTTCTCCGAGCTGTTCGATGACGGCCTCATCTCCTTGCTGCAGCACCGCCTTCTTTCCCTCATAGATCTGTGCCGCCCGACTGTTGATCGTATCGACGATGTCGTGGACTTGCCGGATGATTGTTGTCTTCGGAAGGAGTTCCACGACCTTGCGTCTGAACCAGGGAGGGCCGAGTACTTGCACGTAGGGGATGAAGCGGCGGATTACCGCAAGACGGACCATCGTTGGGCTAGCAGTGCAACGCGACGTGCGGTCGTCAGCTCTGACGCAATATCCGCAGACTGAGGAGACGCACTTGAAAGCTTTGATGGCATCCGCAAATGGTTCACGCCTCTCCTCCACGAGAGGATCGAATGAGCATCCAAGGCCCCCTTGACCAATCAGTTCCAGCGCGACGCGCACCGTCCACCCAAGGATGTCAGTCTCGGATTTGCCGCCTTCGATGGTTGTTCGCATGGCATCTTGCAGCTGATAGCCACTTGAGGTCCACGCAGCCGTGCACCGTCAAAATGTCCACTCACCTTGTACACAACGTCGTAGAAAATGGGAAGCATGCGACGCATGTGGTTGATCGAGAACACTGGATTGAGTAACTTTCGCTGTCTGCTGTGAGGGATGCCTGTATCGAGCCTTGAGGACTGTATATTAGGGGACGTCACTCGCAACTTATACCTCGCGTGGCCAATAAGCCCGGTCCGAATAGGATGTGTGCCATCCTATCATGGTGTCAGACTAGTTGCGCATGCCATATCAACACATGAGCTTACTCAATGAATGCTTTACTTGGTTGGTAGATAGGCTCTTCTTTGATTAGGATGCTATGCAGGGCCCATGGGTCCGATACATAGAGGATAGGTCGCTGAACATCACGTTAAGAAACCTGCATTAGGCGACACAGCGAACACGAACACGACACGTACTCCCATCATTCCGTGTATCTTGACCACAGAGCCATAGTCGAGTGCGACATGTCGCTGAAAGGCGTCCCCATCGCGGGCAAACCATTGTTTGAGGTTCCCTATCGCAGATCAAGAATGAACAGGTTCTCAGAATGACTACAATAGAATGCCTTACCTGTCATAAGGGACATAGACTGGGGCCCTCGGAGCTTGCGAAGGCGCGCATATGTGAGGTGCGAACGAGCCATTCGCCCTAGCACCCAAGCAATGCTAAGTGCTATCGCGGCCTGAACAACTTGAAGAATATTGTGCAACATCTTGCACTGATCGTGGGGGAACAGAATGAACACGGTACTCGAGTTCGAGAGTACATATAGACACCGCAACTACTAGTGTCTCATGGGCGGCTGGTTGTAACATCGGGGCGATCCCCGTACCTTGATGTCAGAATATGCTGATCTGCCGCGGGTCATTGAAACACACATAGTAGGGCTTGGTGCCGAAACATTGAAGGACGAAACCGCGAGGCCCCAAGGTCATGCGCGCAGCGCAAATTCGACGCGATACTCCAGGCCTGTCGATCAGTAATTGGGGCGGGACGCCGACTTGACTTATACATAAGTCGGATCAAAGCATACAACAGTTCGCAAAGTGCACGCACTCCTTTCGTGAAATATTCACGGGACGTGATACTGTACAGTGTAAACTTCAAATGTCAAGTGAATGATCAAGCGGTGACTCAACGCTCAGTCACTTGGCATCTGAAAGTCATTTCCGGAGACAAGTGGCATAGGTGAAAATATTCTTCCCTCTTCAAGTAGCTGCGCCGCGCGACTGAGTGTTACTAGAACCTGTCTGTCTCTTCAGTAGGATGACATACCGGAAAAGGTGCGCATACCAATAGTTTACGTCGCTTTGCCGCTGAAGCTACAGACTGGAGATCGCGCACCTGCAGCTGGCTAGTCTCCCCTAGGCAGATCCTAGAGAACACCTCTTTGTATGAGGGGTAGGAGGCCCTTTCTAAGGGCAGCTGACCGATTCAGATTTGACAATGACATGCAAGTTGACACGGCGGCGGGCGGGCGCTTTAGGGCGCTGTACCGCCCGATCTCTGATCTGGGTTCACGACGCACGTGATTTTGTGGCCACGCAGGCTCAGCGAATATTCAGTGATGCTTGGTGTCCTACGTACGGTATGTATACGCCTCCGAGGAGTGAGTATTACGGTGCTTCCGATACATCCTGCACTTACATATTGACCATCTTACTTTAGCTCAATAGCCTTCTCATCGATCCTGCCCTTCTACGACGAGTAATACCCCGTCGAATGTGATGTCAAGTTTGTCCGAAGTAACTGAATGACCATTGCACACCTTGAAGCAATCAGGAATGGGCCAAACCGGAATCAGTGACTGCTGTACGTGCATTCCTCATCCTGCCATATGCTCTTGAATTAAAGTGCTGAATCACAGCGACAGCAATCAGTAGAGCTGGGTGGGTAAAATGCCTTGACTTGACCAGTCGCCATACAAAAGCGGCGCATCGTCTAGTCATATCACAGTCTATGCATCCTTGTTATCAGGTACGGCCACCACCAAGCTTCGGCACGTGTACCATCGCCCAACGTGCCACGTCGACGTCCAGAATTGCTGAGGCAAAATTATCATCGACCGTGGCGTCCGCCCAGAGTTAGAGTTCGGCCGATGCTGAGCGCGGATCATCGAGCCCATGGGACATCTGTCACAGACGGTCTGCTGAATCCCATTACGACATACCACGTTCGTTCTACACAGAACGATCCCCTGACGCATTCTGTCTTGTCTATCGAGTCGCGAGATGCAGCGTCTGCTCATGCTCTCGTTGACCTCCTGTATTGTCTGGATCATCTGGCAGATTTCTAGGGTATATGCAGCGACGTCGACTATTCGTAATCTTCCCGGACCTGCATCGGGAGCATTCATCACAGGCGAGACTCACTAGATCGCGTTGATATCCATCACTGCCTTACGGAAAGACAGGCAACCTGAAACAGTGGTTTGCTTGGGATGGTGAAGCCTTCCAGAGGCACATCGGCCTTGACTATGGTCCTGTCGTGAAGTTGCACGGTATGATTCAGGTACGTCTGACATACACTGAGCGTTGACGTAGAATGCTGATCGTATTCGCAGCGACCAATGCTGTATGTGTCAGACCCGAAGGCGATACACAGTATCTTAGTCAAGGATGAGCCCTTCTATCAAGAGAGTCCGGCTTTCACAGAGTATGGCCTCATCGAGACATCGAGACTCATACATAGCTGAAATCGCCGCAGAGTGGCTCGCGTATCATTCGGCCCTGGGTTGCTCTCTACGTTAGGTGAAGTCGTGTTTTGGAACCGCTGACGAGACAGAAACTCATGTAATGACGAAGGTCATACTCATAGCAGACAGCGCAAGCCGCTGAATCCCGTCTTTTCTATCGCCCATACACGACACATGCTTCCAATATTTTACAATGTCGTCTCGAAGGTATGTGTCTCCCGTTTTCCCGTGCATACAAGCGTCGAACAGGTGCAATGCATCTTCGGGATGCCTAATCGCTGTTTTCATGCATCTGCAGTCCGACGATGGGCAGGCTGGTCATTCTCCGACGCTTCCTGCTATACGTCTGGATGCTAGGACCTGTATGGCTCCGGCGACGCCTCGTAGACCTCATACCCAAGACATGGGCGATCCCCCAAGTCGTCGAAATTTTGGAGACAATGGATAGAAGATACAGAGAGATCCACGAAGCCAAGAAGGCTGCGCTCCATCACGGAGACGCGGAAGCGGTCAAGCAAGTCGGAGATGGAAAGGATATCATGAGCATTCTTAGTACGTAGCATGGGCGAAGTCACTCAGGGGTGACACGATTAAACTTCGGACGTATTTTCAGTGCGAGCGAACATGTTCCAATGAGGGCGAACGGCTGCCCGAGGCGGAAGTCCTTGCGCAGATGTCGTGAGTGCCGCTGTTCACAATCACGCACTTGTCTTAACTATCCCACGTATCAGACGCCAGAACCCTCGTCTTCGCCGCGATGGAAACTACGTAGCGCACCTTGTGCCCCATCCTCCAGCTTCTCGCGAAACACAAGGACGTACAAGGAAAATTGCGGGAGGAGCTCCTGGGAGCCCGTGCTGCGGACGGGATCGTATGATCAGCTGGACAGTCTGCCGCTGCTAGATGGTGTCTGCCGGGAAACCTTGAGATTGTGAGTAAGGTGCGATGATTCCGCTTGTCGACATCTGATGTCTACATGCTTTTTCCTTAGGCACCCTCCAGCGACCAATGTGAATGGTCTGCGGATGTACTGTAGGCGTACTGACATTTATATTTAGGGCTACAGCGGACAGGATGCTCCCGCTCTCCCAACCAGTCAACACGTTAGACGGGAGAACACGAAGCAAAGTCTTTGTTCCTGAAGGAACGAAGACATTGATTGGCGTTTATAAGTCGAATGCAAGCAAGAAATTCTGGGGACCCGATGCCCTAGAATGGAAGCCACAACGCTGGACTCAACTGCCACCTACCGTAGCAGAGGCTCACATACCGGGTGTGTATTCGCACCTGTGGGTCATTGTGTCCTTGATGCCATGTGATCGTTATTGACGTCTGTACCAGGCTGTCCTTCATTGCAGGGAAGCGAGCATGCATGTAAGCCGGTCCGCGTATGTCCAATTCCTTGATCAGCTAGATGAAACAATGCTTCACAGCGGCTTCAAGGTTTCCGAGATGGAGATGAGCAAGTCACCCCGCTCGTTATGTCGGTTCTGATGCTGACTACTGTGTAGGGGTCGCACTCGCTGTCATCGTGACAATAATCATCTTTGACCTCCCAGAAAACCCCTTCACATGGAACGTCGCCGCTGTATGGGACCCAATCGTAGGCCGAGAGAGCGTGAAGCCCGAGATGCCACTCAGATTCAGCATGTATGCAGCGCAATGAGGGATTGCAAGCCGTAACCATTTCGCGACTGCGTTTGTTATGTGTTTGTTGTTGCACGTTCAGCGTCTAGGTCCAGCTACTGATAAGCACAAGATACGTCGTCTCGCTTCTTGCGCGGTTCCGACCGAATCGCAGCCTCGCGGCACTGCCGGTGACTCTGGAACGTTAGAAATCATGATATGCAGCTCTCGGTCCATCCATACACAGCTTCCATTGCTAACGGCCAATTATCGCTGGCAGTGGATATGCCCACCGCATCAGCGCGCCTCATTCCCATATGTTGTACGGTGAGTGAGCGTCTTGTTCACCTCATTCGAATCTAAGAATGACTGGGCGCTCACAAGGACATTGCAGTTATTTTGTCAACCGATGATACGGTACAAGAAGGATACCGCTGACTTTGTAAGTTCTGAGCCTTTCGGTTCCGAGCTAAACCGGCGCGCTCACAAGCGCACGGCCTGAACCGCTGGGTTCTATGACGAAACGGTGCTACGACGCAACCACCTAGAAGGAAGTCCTTCCGCGACTTCTTGAGTGGAGAGCAATTCGCCGGAAGGGATACGTCATAACAACGTTCGCATCTGCCCTCCATTTCATACGTTATTCTTTCCGCGCTTACAATCAATTTATAAGACGGACGCCGTGTATCTGAGTGGTCATGACCATGTCGGCGTAGCCCTATCGCACCGGAGATACCAATCGAAATGGCAAGGCGAGCAAAGATGCATCGTACGTATTTACGGCGCAATATTGAATTTGCTGCTGATGTTGCAGCCACGGCCAGCGTCGCTGGAGTGCCAAGGGCAGCTTGGAGAAGAACCATGACGCGATACAGGCTGGGCGTTCGCTCGTTCAGACGAAATCGATTGCGACAGACAGGCTTTGGCTTCCAACTGCTTCTAGCTCTCAACGACGCTTCTATGGGCGAAGAAGCATCTCGGTGTATGCGATAGTGCGTCCCGTCAGTCACTGGTAGTAGCATGATGCTCAAGTCGCACAAGAGTGCATGTCACTTCTCCCGAGATGGATCGTCGAGTCGGGGTGAATGGACTTCTTAGTAGCGACCACTGCTAGCCAAGACTAGTGGTTCAGATCTCTTCTTCGATAGCTCGTGCGCTCGATGCAGCTAGTACAACGACGGCCCATTACTTCCGAGAATCTCCCCGACGCACCTACGCGCCTGGTCTTCAAATGCCCTTCTTCGTAAACAAGCACACCGGCTCGCCTCGGAATTTCCACGATGAGGCGGATCACTGGCTGCACGGTGCTCATGCGACAACTCCAGCGCTACCTTTGCTCGTCTCTCCTCTGTCCAAGCTGAGAAGGGTGCTGGCGAGCCCTCGAGGTTGCGCAACTGACTTCTGGTCCTCGTGGCCAAAGCGTACACCGGGAACCTGCGGTATGTCAAGATAGATGTATGTCGAGCGTGGCTGATGCTGACAGTTCTCTTCTTTATTGGTGGCCCCCCAACTTGGTGTGGACCGTGCCGCGTTCGGCATGTACATCCTCGCGGCGAACTTCCGCCCCGCATTCGAGAAGCGTAGAAGAGGTACTTCGTCGTGGGCGGGGTCAACTCGGGGGAAGTCAGCTAATAGCATGGCGGCGTCAGGGCCCTTCTGCAGCCGCGGGAACGCCCTGGTACTCCATGATCCCGATTCATACAAAGAAGGACGGTGGCCCCGTATGGTGGAAGTTTGGGTTGGACGGTGGACGGTGGGTAGGCTGGATGCATATGGCCCTGGCAGCCCGTCCGTGCTTCGCTGTCGCTTACGAGCACCCCCCCTTACTACTCACTCGACGCAGGCTCGCCGCACCCTCTTCCCCAGGCACGCCGCGCTATTCAACAAGTAGGTGCCCAGTTCTATAGGCCCCATTCATCACCGATGCTGCGCATTCGAAGCCGGCTCTGCCGCTGCAGCATGTACGTATTCCGCTCTTATAAGGATACATTGCGGGGACTGTTCCTGGTGCGCGCGATTCAGTATGTACGTCCGAGTTGTGTGAACCCTACCTTCTGCGCTCCCTTCGATGCGGCCAGTCGGCACAGAGCGTAGTTGCGATCAGATACATTCATTTCACTGAAGTAGAGACTCTGTATTGCTGATGCGCTGAGTCGTCCATCTGCGTTCGCGCTCAAGATGTACCAGTGAGAGGATGAAGGCACTTTGGGTAAGCTTGCGCATTGGGTGAATTGAGGTCGACTCTATTGCTAGACTCATCAAGTTCTCGGCCTCAGGCCTTAGCAAGCGGACGCGTCAGTTGACTTGCCTCTCCTTCTCGCTACGCGATCGTCTGTGATGAGTCGCGCGTGCTTATATTCGGTCGTGCGACTAGTACTGAGCTCCAGTCATTTACTTGATCTGTTGACCAGCCCAGTTACACGCAAGTTACACGTACCACGCACCTCCAGAAACGATGACACTGAGTACTTGGGCACATTGCAGTGTACGAATCGGGGGAAACCAATCGCCGATCTACTATTCGGCCCAAGACCCGACGGAGGCTGCAGGGAGAGCCACCTCCGAGTCTCCCCGCCGCCTCGAGGGGGACTTTCTGACTATACGAGGACTAGCACTTGTCGCCTGGGACCCGCCACACCCATCGCGGTCCCATGAGCACGGAACAGTGAGCACGCAGCGCGCACCTGCACACTCCCCGCGGGGAGATAGACACGTTGACAGGGACAAGCCCGACGTCGATCATGCATTGCCGTCATGCGTCTTGCGCCGCGTCAGGCAGCTGCCGCGTATCCCTTGTATATTATACATTACGCGCGCACGGGGACGCGCGCGCCAGGTATCGTATCGCGCCAAAGATTATAACTACAGCGACGGAGACGGAGGGGCGGGGGAACAGGCGTGCGGATGCGAGCGGCAGGCACAGTGGGATGGCTGTCCATTCGGTGTGTGCGGACGAAAGAAACACGGGCATACGATACTTCCTCTCTCCTTGCCCGCTCTAGTCCTTCTTTAGGTCTCGCCTGATCACAAACATGCGGTCGCCTTCTGCTCTCGTGCTCAGCTCTTGAAGGCCCCCGATACTCGCAAGTTCTTGCGTACTCCGCCCCTTCGCGAGCACGACGTAGATTTCGAGGCCGTCGCCGACCTGCGTGAGTGAAGTGAGTCAGCTCGACACCATAGATCCCAGGGTTGCCTTGTGTACGGACCTCAATGTGGCGCTCTGTTGCGCTCGTGAACGAGTCGATGACGATGGAGAGGACGTCTGGGAGAGGAAGGTGCGTGGGATGATTGGTACCGGGCGCCGGTGTCTGGTTCTTGAAATAGATCTAATGTGAAGTCGTCAGGGGGGGTCTGTGACCGGGCGCGGGCGCGGGAGCAGAAGCCGCGAACGTACCTGGTTGTCCAGGAAGGGCTGCACGAGAGACTGTGCAGCACCCGCGGCTCGACATGCTTCACGCTCATACGAGCCGACGGGGTCGAAAGAGTAAACGGCACCCGTGCCTAGAGCGGATGCGGAGTGAGTGAGTGCGCGCGCGTGTGCGTGGGCGCGAGCGTGTGCGCGCACGAGAGCCTGTGTGCGAGACGTGGGAGGGCGTACCGTCTTCCTCGATGCCACCGAGGATGTTGTAGACGTAGTAAGGGAAGAAACGTTGCGCGTAGAGCATCGTCTGGATGAGTCTCGCGATCGCGCGGAGGGGCATGTCTTTTGCGTGGGCATGGCGGTACCACTGTGCATGACGACTTAGGAATCTGGAGAACGATGGAGAAACTGGTATAGACGCACCTCGAGCCGCTGCTTCACCTTCTTCACGAACATGTTACCATCTGCCGCGAATCCATTGACCGCTAGCACCGCGCGCTCAGTTCTGGTGGACGCGTCAGCTCTCTCGCACTCGGCCTGCTGCTGCTCCCCCCACGCCACTCACAATCTGAAGACCTTGGGTGCATAACGCGTCTGGATACTGTACCCCTCGCTCTGCCTGGTGTCACCCGCAATGACTGAGAAGTCCGCACCCGCGATGGCGAGGATAGTGCCTCCATTCTCAGAGTAAGGGTTGAACTGCCGCTGTTGCGGGCGTTCGTAGGAGCCGTCGGGCATGATGGGTGCGATTGCGGTGGCGTACAGACTGAATTGCCGCACGATGGGCAGCACGGAGATGGAAAGAGCAAAGAGGAGGGCGGCGACGGAGAGAGGCGTATATACGCTCAGGTGATGGGGCCGCGTCAGTTCGCGCAGACGCCACGGTCGCGCGCATTTGGGCGGCGGAGTTTGAACGATCCTCCCGAGATTTCTGCCACCGTGTTTGCGGGCAGTCTGCGGCGTCGCGTCTTCGCCTCTTCGACCTGCTCTCCCACCATCATCCCCCGACAGCCCTCGGCCAGCGGCACCCCAGCAGCCCAGCGCCCACCGCCTTCCTGATCCACGCTCCTATTCTCCCGACACCGAATATAGCCCGCCAGCTGCCCGCCCCCTTTCTCCGCTGTTTCTCCAATCGTCTCGGCGTCTTCCCCCTCCCCTCCGAGAGGCCCTGGTACACGCCCTCTCAACTTACGTTACGGCCAGCTCGGTGAGTAAAGTCCCAGGCTGCCCACTCCTCCTCCTCCTGGCGGAGCGTTACCCGAATGGTCAGCTATATGCGCGCCAAATGCGACTATATGCGCGTCTGTGGCGGCTATATGCGTCCCAGCGGCGGTCCAGAACCATGCACCCTGCTTGTTTCGCTCGCCACCCGGAGAATATCCGTATCTACCTCTGGCTTCGCCGCCGCACAGGGACATGCAGCCACCGCCTTGGGCGCGTATGAGGCGACGCTGGTTTGCACCATTCGCTGACTCCGTCTCGCTCGGTGGCAGATCGATCCCAGGGCCACTCCTAACGCTTTTGATGCGAATATATGCCTCGGTCCTTCTCACTATGCCATTGAATTGTATCCATGCTTGCTTGCTTGCTCGTTCCGCCGAAGTCCGTGCATCCCTTCTATCAACACTTATCAGATAGCCCTCCCCTGCGCAGGTTGACATCACTTCCATCTACGGCGCTTGACACGTCCATATTCCCCGAACATTGAACGAGACGCAACGTCAAACCTTAGCTTCCACTGGCGCCTCCAACTGGTTATGGCTGGTGGACTCTGGAGAAGATACGCATGCCCAACTTGCAATTCAATCTCTCCGTCTGCTCGTCTTGCGACACGCGCATCTATCTCGTTTTCGCGGCCTCACAAATCGCTCAGACATGGCTGTTGCAGGGTGCGTGGACGCAAGTCTATCCAGACGTAGCGCGACTCGACCCAGGCAAGTCATGATGTGAATTTTCGGACGCAAAGCAACCTGATCACCGCGGAATGGACTTCGCTCGGACAAAACTGCGTACGGCCGGGCTCTCAACTTTCGCCGTATGAGTTTATGCCGTGGTTGGGATATTCTGGGATGTCCTCTCGGTTCTGTGATCCCAACGGAAACGTGGGTCTCCCCCGGACCCGACTGGGTAAACTCGCGCATCATTATCCAAGCATAAGCCGCATCCCTAATCCTGGGGTGAGGGGTCCGATGTCAAGTGGCGAACGCTTCGCGACACAATTTCCGTCAGCCCGCCTCGCGCAACTAACGATATATCGCACAACCTTCGATCTGCCGGGCTGGTGGCAAGTATCTCGCAATGCAAATCTCGGGGCATTGTAAACGCTCGCCGTTCCGCTTGGCAGCCGTTGCTCAAACAAAGTCAACGGCAACACCAGGACACCTCTGCTCCCTTTTCAAGTTCCACGTCTATCGCAACCGTCTCACAGTTGACCGCGAACTCAAGCTGCTTCTGGCGCGAGCCGCAACCCGTTATTTCTCCAGCGCAGTATCACACCGCGCTCGTCCGTGCGCACGTCTCGTCGCAAAGCCGCCGCGCTCGTCCCGCTGCTCCGTACCATGCCGGCATGCGTATCGCGCGCCTCCGTAATCTACGATCCATCGCTCGCCTTTCGTGGTTCACCGCCAGGCGCGACGCGCTATTACGCCGTGATTGCGCCGACAACAACATTTCCGTGCTTTGACAGATGGGGCTGCCTTTCAGCTCCAGCGTGCCCGGTCAGCGCGGCTGAATTGGACGCCGTACCACTGTGCTTGTCTCGGGGCTGTGAAGGAGTTGCAATCCTCCCTCGGTGCCGTGGTCTCAGAACCGCAATACACCTTATTCGTTCAGAAGGTCTCAGCTAATACTGTCTGCAAAATATCCCGATGACATCACTACGACTCTTCTTGCGGCGACATTAAATCTAGGTACACATTCGCCGCGTTCTTTGGTGCTGCGCGATGCACTTACACAGAAGCTTTTACACATGGATTCGAACTTCGCGGCTTGGGATGCATCGGAATCACATGTCGCTCTGGTATAGCCCTCGGTGACAGAAGGGATCAAGAGGAGCGCTGCATAATATCTTGACGGTGCGTTGGAACCCCTATGTTGACTGTCTTGTTACTGATAGATTGCGCAGCATTACGCCGTGCGAAGTTGTAGGATACACTGGTTGGCGGTTATGACTGACCTTGACATAGCCACAGTTGACCGCTCTCGGAACTGTTGGCGGAGACACTACTTCCCCGGTTTGCCAACGACCACCGTGCGTGCCACCATCCCAAATCCACGCGGTGCACAACACTACGGCGTTACGCGGCCTATCCTCGCCCGAACTGCCTCGACTTCGTGCAACCGCAGGCGCCATGGACCATGGCCTTCTCCCGCTACGACGACCGTGACAGAACGTCTCCCAAGAACGCGAAGCCTTCTCACTCGCACAAGCTCCAACTCCGCCCGAATAAGCCTTGCTGTTGCCGCGCCCGGTTTGTCAATCCCAGTCCGCCAGATCGGCCCCCGAGACTGGGGACGAACTCGGAACAGGCACTGACAATCGTAGGCACAGGCGCGGACGTGGCTGCCCCCGCGCCCTCCCCCCTGCAGGGGTACAACTCTTCCCGTATCATCCGCGGCGTATCTATTCCCGTCACCGTCTCGCCATCTCACATCGAGAGTCTGGACTGCGTACTCTTCGTTCTCCACCTGTTTACGGGACGCCCCGTCCCGGGATAGACGGCGCTCGTGGTGGACAGGTTTAATTTGGCATCGAGGATGCCTGCGCTGTCACGACCGCTCTTCCATGCACTCGCTGCCGGTAGTGTCGTTACGTCCACCATCTCTGCATGGAGGTTTTCTCGGAGGATCGTGTCATGCGGCTTACGCGTACGAGAAGGCTGCCGGCCCGCGAGAGTGGTCTCAAGGAACGCCCTCCGGACGTACTATTTTCGACCCTCGACGACAAGCGGCGACGTCGGTATATTGGGTAGGGCCCGCTGGTCAGACGCCTGGTGCGTCCTGCGCGCGCGAATCGAGGGCGCCGCGAGCATATGGTACCGAATCTCGTGGGGCTGAAGTGGTGTACGCCTCCGCCGCGTCTGCGTGTCGGATTCCCAGTGGCGTCCGTACGGCGAGGCTGTCCGTCGATGAATGGGTGCGCATCATTGTCGACGTACCGTCAATTATAATTTACGATATTTCAAGCCTACGCTGAAGTGTGTACCTCGCAGTGAAATCTACTGGCATACTGATCATATATATTGGCTATTTTACAGGTATTCCTTGTAGTTCGACAAGTCACTCTTATAGTAATCAAACCCCCATATGGATGAAAGGTACCCATCTCTCAAATGACGCACCACTCTTCTGAAGCTCCAGAACAGCATCGTGTAGGGCCTGTGCTGCTTTCATAGCATTTGGGATCCCGCCTTTCAGAAGCACAGCATACACCTTCTCAGCTACAACCGGCCCATCCTCATCTTGGATTGACCACATGGTTGCAATGACTCCCTTGTACCCAGCCAGAAGCATGCCTGCAGCCAGATGAACAGCCTCCTCTGATAGCTTGTTGTCACCAGTAGCTGTCTCACAGGCTGAGAGGAATGCAAGCTCTGCATCCTGAAGGGACAGCTTGATCACATCAGCCAATGACAGACTGCCATCCCAGAGGATAATGGCACTAGAGGTTGGCTCGGTCATGTCTTGAACACCATGACAAGCCAAGTGTATCCAATCAGATTCCTCTATGTTCTTCAGTGTTTGCTCTACAGTAGCAGCACTGTCTTTCAAGACCACCATTGCCTGAGGATCATATTGACTGACAAGGTGGACAATTGCATTGACTTCATCTTGAGCAGCATAGAGAGGTGGCTGGCCTGGTGTGAATGACTGACAAATACCCAGAAGTTTGGGTGAGACAACAGCTTTCCTGTTTGTCCTATCCAACAATGCTGTCAATGTTGGGGTATAGGAAGAGATGGCATAGTCAGCCAGCTTTGTACCAGACTGCTCAGTCTCATATTGTCCAGCTGCATGCAATGGCAAGAATGTCAATGGACCTGTGAGGCACCAGAAGACATGTGGAAGTGTGTCTGAAGTTCCCTGATTGACCTATGAATTGAATTATTAAGGTTCAAATACTTTTGTGGCAACCACACATACCTTCAATGCCATCTTCTGTATGATAGGAAGAACTACAGAAGTCCAGAGGGCTGAGAGGATCTTAGGGAACCCAATGTTTTCCATCAATAAGTGTTTGACCTGCTTAGCAGCCCTCTGCTTCCTGATATTGATGCCAAGAGCCATGAGATGACCATTCAACTGGTTCTGCAGCTTGCTAGCATTCTCAATGGGGAACTGAGGCAGAAGTACAAGCTGCAACTCATTTGAGTGGGGCATAATGATCAGAGCATCAGAGCCAAGCTGGCTGATGTTGATGATAACACAAGGACCATGAACTGCTGCTTGCATGAGCTGAGAAGCAGCCTTGGGCTTCAGAAAACTTGCAAAGCCATCTATTGACTGTATATGTTTCACAAGGCTTGCCCACTTCTTGGCTAAGCTTCTGTGCCTCTGTTCAGTGACCTCAACAGAGAGTGAATGTTCCTGAGGCATATCAAAGTGAGGGTTGCTGAGAGCCTCTAGCTCCTTGGATGTGTCCATAAACTGTTGTGCTAGATCAGGCTCCTTTATGCTCAGTTCACTAACTGCTGTTCTCAATTGTAGAATCTGACCCCAAACGATTGACCTTCCCTGCTCCAGCCATTCCAATGCCATCTCAAGTTTCCCTTCTCTAATCGCAGCTGTAGCTGCATTGCATACCAAATCATTATATGGCATGATCTGAGTATATCTATCTGTCATGGGCAGGCCAAGCCATGCAACTTGAGACAACAACTCAACTGCATGCTGATATGCACTCAAGGGAGATGACAATTGATATCTCTGCAGAGTAGCAGCCCATTGCATTGCTGAGTACAGCCTTATGGCAGGCACACCAAACTCTGATGTTACTGCTTGACTATAATAGTCTACTGCAGATCTAACATCATCAATTTGTTGGGAGACACTGAATTTGGTAAGTAGAGCATCTCCTAGATCATTGAGTAGAGCAGGTCTCTGAGGTTCATCTTTGCCAGTGATATGCAGGCTGGTTTTCAATTCCTCCACAGCTCTGTCAATGTCTGCAACAGCATGCTGATGGTTGAATCTAGCTATCAGAGCATGGCCTAGCTCAACAGTAGCCAGTCTGAAATCAGGATGATCTGTGGGAGTCATATGTGTCTCCTGCTTGAGTATTGTGATAGCCTCATCTACAAACTTGGCATCATTGGACACTGTAAATTTGTGCCTCAATAGTTTAGCCAATACAATGAGCATATGAGGCCTGCTTGGATGCTTGCTATCTACAATCTCCACTGCAGTTCTAGCAGCAGCTACCCCTTGATCAATACCACTGGCATTGTTTGCTAAGCCATAGTAGGTGAATAAGGCCTGAGCCAAAGATATGAGCCTGGCTGCCTTGACATCAGGTTCCTCAGTCAATTTGACAGCTTGCTCATGCAAAGCAATTGATCTTTTGATATCTGGCTCTTTCTTTAGCCTCTCAAATCTAGCCAATAGTGCAGAACCTGCATTGGACAGATGTCTAGACCTTTCTGGATGATCCTCAGGTAGGTTCAGCAGTGCAATCTCGTAGCATCCAATAGAGTTGTCCAAGTCATCCATATTGCCTAGATGATGAAACAATGACAGATGCATGCCAGCCTCTGTACTGAGCCATTCAGGAAGCTTTGAATGATCTGGATTGCCCATAGTGAGCTCATCCATGATCTCTAAGCCCTCATGAAGGTTTGCAAGCTCAGAGAAGCATGAGTAATGGATATACAGAGTCAAGGCTAGCAAAGCAAGCCTGTCCAGTTTGGCAGGGTCCTCTGTAGGTGTTAACTCAATAGCCTCTCTGAGTGCAGCGAGTCCATCCAGCATATAGTCCTCAGAGCCTTTCCTCTGGAACAAGGCATGAAGAGACTTTGCAAGAGTCACCAGCCAATTAGGTTTGTCAGGATGATCATCTGCCAAGAGCTTTACTGCAGTCTCTTGAGCAGTGGCAGCCTCCAAGATGTCCATGGCATCCGCATGGAGCCTGTACCGGACGTGGAACAGTAGGCCTGTTAAGTGGAGCTTCTCCGCTTTGTGCGGATCGTCATCTGGAAGATTCATCGTATCAGTGAAATCACACAGGATGTCGGTGATCTCGTCCTCGGAGACGGTGTCTAGAGACGAAATCAAGTCAAGATCAGGACGACGCGTGAGATGCACAAGACCCACCGGAGATGCTCTTGTATACGTCTAAATCGCGGTAGTCCGCTTGTAGACCCGGCCTGTAAGACGAGTACCTCAGCCCACGCTCGCTTTCTGGCACAGGAGGCAAGGGGTTAGGATCTTCGAGGATCTCGAGCACGGTGACGTTGCAAGTAGCCGATATCATCAGCGACGGCGGCCCGTCTTCGTCAACTTCATACAACGCTCGTACGAAATCTGTGGTTCTATGTTCAGAGGGATACGACACCTGTGAATGTGCGGGACTGACGATGATTCACGGCGAAACCTTGTAGTTCGAAGAGGCTGACATCGATCGAAGCGAGATCCTGAGTTTGTGGTTCTTGCTCGAGTACGACCATGACCTCGATCAACGAATATATTCCTTCGCTGTTGGAGGAGTAGTAGGTCAGTGGATCATGCATCAGGTTCAGCAGACAGCGAGGCGAAGGCAGACGACGGTGTAGCCTCAAAGGTCCTATGATCGCAACGTCATACTGAGTCAGTGACATGGAAACGTACACCTCAATGCCATCGGCCCAGGACCACGCTCCTTGATCTCCGGATGGACTCCTCAGCACCGCCGGCGTGCGACAAACGACCCCTTCAGGATCAGTGTGTCGCAACTCGATGAACAATCGAGCATTATCGGTCAATATCTGGTGGCTCGTTTTGCTATGGACGCGTATATCTGCAGATCACGTCGTTCAGTGACTAGACTTTGCTGCCGATTGTGTAGAGCTTCTCACCGGATAGTGACAATCGAAGCCTGCCTGAGGCAACCCTATGAACGAGGATTCGTGTCAGCGTCTTCGGTACGATAGATCAATTTCACGCCTTACATCGTTGGCATCAGTATTCGCGAGTGATAGAGATTCACAGAGCGCGGCTTGAACGGTCGGCAGAGGAATCAGAGGTTGAGCGACGATGGGTGTCCAAGATCAACCACAGAAGCGCCTGAGCGGTCGATCTACGCGCTTATGTCGCAGTGTCATACACTTAACTTTGACTCTCGACGAACAAACAAAATGCTTACGGTGAGTACAGTTTACAACTACACTACATGGTATCAGTACACTACATTCTTCAATCCGTAAAACCCTCGTACACAGTGCCCCCATCCGGCCGATAATCTCAGAAACCACCTGTTCCCCGCACCCGTGCAATACTGCCCTGGATACCCTTGATTACACCCTTCACGCCCTTCGTCACACCCGTCGAGTCCTGCAGCTCGACGCCTTGCGCGTCGCGGTACACGCCATCGTGGCCGACGCGGTGGAGATGCGTGTTCTGGACGCGCTCGATGGTGTCGAGCCACTCGCGGCAGATGTCGTGGCTGTCGATCATGACGTTCACCTCCGCGGAGTGGAACCAGGATTGAACGTCTGCGAGACGACAGAGATCAGGAATGCGAAGGTTGAGTACAATGAGTCTGGACATACCTTGGTTTCCGTTGCCCATGATGCCGATAGCGTCATCAACTACCATGAGCTTGACCTGTGGAAATGCGCGCATATGAATGACTCGCTAAGAAGCACGTCGAACGAGAAACGTACATGACAATTCCTCTGCTGGAGGTGTGCATTGATAGGCTTGCCCTGATCGCGAGCTGTCGCACAGAAAGTCAGCGACCTTGCTATCACATCCGCAGCACAGCACAACCCACCGGTAAACCAATAGTACTTCAGCCTCTCCTTCTCATGTTCTTCCAACTTCGCATACATGGCCCTGACCACCTCCTCGTTCGTGCCCCCCTGCAACGGCAGCGCCTCGCCGCCATCGTTGAACCCCACATCCACATACAGCGTGACCTCGATCCCGCGGCGCACCGCGCCCAGCACCGCGTCGATGACCGGCGCCGCGCTGAACGTCGGCGTCTGAATGAAGACCTTCTCGCGCGCGTGCTTGAGCGCGGCGAGCCACGCTGCCGCCTGCGGACACAGCAGCGCGCGCTCGTCGTTCCCGGGCTTGCCGTAGGGCGGCCGGTTCATCAGGACCATGGGCACCTCTTGGTGGGGTGCATGCAGGACATGCGGGGTGTACTCGCGGGACGGGTCAAGGTCGGTGGTGGCCATTGTGGTCTGGTCGCCCGCGTCTAGAAGTGGAAAGAATTAGCCGTCAATACGGCATGCTGATGCGAGGGCACATACTTATGTGGTCCGTGATCGTCTGGTATTTGCCAGCGATGAAGACACGTCCATCGCCCTTTGCCTCCTCACTCGTCTTCGCCTCATCCTCGTCCCTCGCCTGTTCACCCTTCTCCCTCGTCGCCCTGAAAATCTCCTCACCCCTGCTCCCATCCAGTATATGCGTCGTCGCGTACTCGTTCTCCAGTCCGAACCTGTACCCGCCCTCGGGTGGCTGGTACGGGCGCCCGAGGAGTGGGAGCGGCGGATCCATCGCCTTGTACCACGAGATGAGCGCGGTGTCGTAGAGGCTGTCGACGATCGGGCCCTCGAGGTGGGACATCATCTCCATGTTCGGACGGTCCTGGATGTTGTTCGAGCAGAGGAGTGCCATCTTGCGGTCGACGACCATGAACTTGCAGTGGAACGTCCCGAGCACCGGCCTTCGAACACGCATCAGCACTCGCACACGCAGGCCCTCGTGGGGGAGGGGGAGCTTACTGGTGGAAGTTGACGAGCTGGAAGTCGACCCACGGCATCTCCTCCTTCTTCGGGATCTTCACCGCGTCCGACGTCCACTCGGCCTCGTCCACGAACAGGTGGCTTTCCGTTATCATTTTCAGGGTCGCGCGGTCGTACATCATCTTCACGACGACTCTCTTGCCGCGCTTCTCCGCGCGCTTGGAGAGCTCGATGAACGCGTCGCAGATCTTCGTCGCTGACTTGGACGCTTGCCAGAAGTTCGTCGCGAGGAAGACCTCGTGCTCGGCGCGGATGATGCAGTCATAGTGGTGTTGGATGATGTCGGGAATGCTGCAGGAGAGATCAGCAGGGTTCTTAACTTGCGGACGCCAATGGCCCAAGTCGCAACGCAAATATAGGCACTTTGTCGCTGGCAACGTGCGTATATGCACATTATCGAGATAGGTGTCCGCCTATATGCGCGTGCTATGGATCCACAATAACATATATACGCCTTCATCAGGGCCCAAAGGACCGTATTTGTTGAAACTCGCCTTCCGAGGCGATGATATATATCAAAGGGACACTCACTAGGATATAATTGAGAGCGGGACTACACCGCGAGAGCCGACCAATGGCGGAGAAACGTAGCCCGCCCACGGGTCAACGTCAAGTGTCTTGAGCACGTCGTGGTAGATCTGCAGGGAAAGCCGTGTTAACAGTGAAGTCATATGAGCATAAACGACCGAAGGCGAACAGGTTAAGGATCACCGCGTGCGGCACAATGCGTGTTAGACTGGAAACACACACAAAAGGGGGGGGGTCATTCAAGCTTTATGGCTTGTGTTCGGTCATGTGTGTCATTCTTCGACGGGGTGCAGAGCAGGACACTCGCATGCGGCACGGTAGGATGTCCGTGACATGCACGAGGGCAAACTCTCCCGAAATGAAAGCGCGACGATGTGGTATCCCAAAGAGACTCGCCACGCACCTTCAAGAACAAATCACTTGGCCTTGCACCAAACTGCCCACACTCCGCTGCTTTGTCTAGATCCTCCTGGGACGGCTCATCCTCCGCCGTGACCTCCTTGGCCTCCTCGGGTGTCGCCCCACTCTTCAGCATGCCCTTCACAGTGGCCAAGATGCCACCGGTCGCGTTTGGTTTGTGGATGCCATGATGGTGCTCCTCGTAGAGCTTCTTGCCGAGCTCGCCAGGCGACTCTTTGGGATCCGCGGCGAGTGCAGAGGTGAGGGTCTTGTTGGAATGGGTGAGGTTGTATACTCGTTCCGAAACCATGGCTGAACAGTAGAGAAATCTTGGATGCGTTGCCAAGAGGCGGAGAGGTTATAATGGTGGGGCGACTCCATAGGTGGACAGCCCGGGCCATGACGAGGCATAGCTTGAGCTAACCAATAGGGGAGGCGGTGATCCGTAGGCCCTCCTGGATCGCTGCGCTCGGCCCCAGAGCGCAGTTGTCAATTGACTTCGCACCCTGTGTCCGCCCGCGGGTACAGCCTTCATTTGCTGTGACTGTAAGCTGAGTGTATTCCGTATGTATCCCATTGAAGAAATACGTACCGATTCAACATATCTTCAGTATGATACGTGCCGAATTGTAGCTAGGGAGATGCCTCGCTACAGTGTACACTGAGTATGGAGAAGACATGGAGCGGGGGTGGATCTGTGAATCTGATGACGTCGCCACGACGGTGGGACCAGCAACAGGCGCCTAACCGACAAGGCGCGGCCGTGAGCCTGTGACATCATAAGTAGGCCGCTACTTACACTGACAGTCACGGTATTTTTGGCTTTCAGCATGCCGCAGACTGCAGCACAGATACTTGACAGCTTATACTTACGATAACTTGCTGTGTGAGATACTTACATACAGGTGTACACCGCAATATGCACGATTACAAATGACCTTATTTTGGCAACCCAATGGCAACCTCTCTCGTAGACTCAACGGCGTGCACGGACCTACAGTCAAGAGAAGTACAACGCTGAATTGAAGCGCTAATTCGTACCCAGATAACAGTGACACTGTGGGCTGGTACAAGTATCCCTACTCTGAGGGGCATCTCAGGCTTCGCGACCTCCTTGCCTATGGTAGGGTAGCGCACTTCGGCCGCATTCCGCACGATTGGCCTGTCAGATCGAAGATGAAGTATGTCAAAAGCACAGCGAGGGCAATATCATATCGTGGTAGACAGGACAGTCAATCATGCTCACTCATCTCCAAACTTGAAGACGCTGCGGCGACGGTCAGTCGTACGCGATGGGAGAGAAAAACATCGCACAGATGACTCCAAGCTCTTCTTCCGGCTATGAACTGAACCTACACGTCGCGTGTTGTCAATTTTGCGTAAAGCATCCAGACAGAGTGATCCCTCACAGATGAGAGTACACACCCAGGATCCACGTAGACGGGAGCTTAGACCATCGCTCCGGCTTTTACGGGAGCGCATCTGGACCCAGATATCCTTGTTGACGTTCGAAACGTGGTTTCCGATGAAGCTGTACGGGTACCATTGGGCACGAAGAGTTTATTCAACGCCGTCCCCTGTCGAATGTGACGAGCAGTCGGGAAAGCGGGAGGATGTCATCCATCTCGGCACTACGTGAATAAGTGAGTGCGTTAGACTGTAGGCATACAGGATGCTTACACTCTGATCACGATCATCGCAGGCAGGAATCTACAGGACGGATCAGCCCACGCAGTGATGAGAAGCTGAGAAAGACGACGCTGGCAGTCGTAGAGTCTCCCGACAGATACTGTCCAATAGCGGAAGACTATCAAGTGCATCGTAAGTGATCCCCACGGCCGCACGAGGCTCAGGCTCCGGGATCTCCTCGCGCAGCTTCAGCTGCACTGGCAGGTCTTTCCTGGCCGAGAGCAACTGCAAAATACGAGATAAGGGTTGCAGACGGGGTCTCTATCGCAGCAAGAAACGAGCGTGCTGGAAATCGGTATTGGTGATACATTACATCCCGCGCAAAGCGATAACTCACGTCATCTGTGCGAGGACCTCCTCCTTCGGTAGCCGCTCATTCTCATTGGCGGCTATGTTTGCTCGCACTAGAGTCACAGGGCATTTCGCACTTTGTTCCAAAGTTCAAATGTTCGAGTTCTGTTCGCCTTCGGGATCCACAGCAAGATGTCCGATGTTCTTGTAGGGAGTCCAACAATCGAGAGGTCTGAGTTGTGACATTGACCTGTCGGAACAATGACATTCAACCACCGGATCTCGATATATATGGCACTACTTCGTGTCGCACGAAAGAATCACAGCGTCCTCGGTGTCAATGTTTGGAAGTGGGCCAACAAACCACTTCCTTGCCGACACTAACCAAGAGCCTCCGGCGAATACGAACACTGCCATGATAATCACGACGGCGTAGTCTGCAACACCAAAATATGATCGTCAGCTATGCGGTCAATGATATGATGAGACGTACTCATGTTGTCATCATCGACGGCTGTCGTTGCGGGAAAACAGAGTAGAATGATGATGAACACCACCCAGGCAACCGCTACGAGTCCTACCGGCATGTAGAGGGCCCCGAGCGAGAATGGACCGGGCTTCAACTTGTGTCTTCCTGAGGTGATTCGAAGAAATATAGGGGTCGCGTATGACGTATACATTCCAATGACAGAGGCCCTGGAGGAGAAACGTTGTCAATCATTGGTCTCAACGTATAGACCCACGTGACCATGCTTTACCCAGCGAGCGACGTTAGCGCAGTCGACGAGAATCCCAGCAGGCCACAGATCGCAGCTAGAACTATGACTAGCCAGACTGCATTCACGGGAGTTTGTGTACGCCGGTTGATTTTCTTCCACCACTGTGATCCCGGAAGCGCATTGTCTCTTGCGAAGGCAAAGATAACGCGGGACGCATCTACGCCCTGCGCAGCGCCACAAAGAAACTGGGGATGTTCCCTGAATCAGCTGGTATCGGAGTCCGTACCAAAATGTTTACCTGAACCACACAAGTGAGGCACCAAATGGCAAGCATTCCTTGCTTTCCGACAGTGTCCAGATAGAGTTGACCCATGGGCATCGATAACTCCGTTGCAAGCAAGTCTGGAACGGAGACAATTGCGTATGAAGCTGCGATACAAAGTATCCATCCAAGCGATCCCACGCTCGCGACAGATACAAGGATAGCGACGGGTGCCGCTTTCGCTGCACCGGATACCTCCTCCGAGATATGCGCGGCAGAGTCATCTGGCCAGCGATGTATCAGATACATATTCTCATCGCTAATGGGGACTTACAGCCAGTGAATGTCCACATCGGCACAGTGAACGCAAGCATGAAAGCCCATACATCTATATAGATAGACGGTTGGAGTGTTCACGCGGAATAAGGGCGAGAAACTCACTGTTGGTCCAACCTGTATGGTTTTCGAAGGACATGAAAGCTTCTTTCGTCGAGACTCTGTTATCTCCGGCTGCTATTGGCAATGCAAGAATAGCAGCTGATGTCGTTCCAACTGCGTATGGTGGATGAATGGTAGGGGCTAGACAGAAGTCGGTACCAATAAACGCACTTGTAACGAGAGCATAGAACAGGTTAAGCCGAGCTAGAATGCGAGTGGTTGCAGAACAAATGCAACCATGCACGAAGAGCAGAGCGATCAGAATCCCGTAAGTGGGCCCCGCGCCAAGGTTGACAGCGCCGTCGGTTCCGACAGCAATTGCAGTAGTGATCATTTGCGCTCTAGTAAGAGAGGAGGGCATCAGTATGACCTCTACCAACGAAGCCATAAATTGGCGCACAGCGTATAGTCGATAGAGGTCACTAAGGTGACCTGTCCCGTGATGTTCGCCCATCCCGCAATCCAGCCAGCAAGGGCCGAGTACTTCTCAGGTGCCAGCTTCGCTGAGAAGTAATATAATCCAGCACTCGTGCTTTCCGAGTAATGCTATTAGCGGAGTGAGCAATGCATATGTCAAAGTATGCACGCACGGCATTGAGGATGCAAGCTCTGCCATGGATGCTGCTACGCACATAACAAAGAAGCAGGGGATCAACCAGCCCCAGACCAGACCGACATGCCCTCCTAGACAGAGCTCAGTCCTGACAACCTCACGTAAACAAGCCACGCTCACCAGATGGAAGTGATATCGAAAATGTCGTAGATATTCCCGGGATCACTGCCATGATTGCAAAGGCGAAAGCGACGGTCTCAATCATCTAGACCCAAGGACAGTCAATCATCATTGTATAGAAATTGCGGTGACCGTACCGAGAATTCGCGCTTGAACTCGGCTTTGTAGCCCAATTGCGCTAGACGAACGTTGTCATGCGGTCCTATATCCTTTGCTGCGTCCTCAGTGGATGCATCGTCGTCAACGGACAGAGTCTGGACGTCAGTCCTTCCATGTTCTTTGTCCACTTTTTCATCCATCGTTCGAACCTATAGGCACGGCAAGAGCTGGTGTGACGAAGGGACAGAGAGATGAGGTCCTAGCGCTCCCTCGGACAATAGCAACTAGTCTCTCGTACACCATGCTCTCAGCTCTGAGAGAACTAACCACTCATTCGGAGGCATTGGCAATGCTAGGGCAATCCTGGGAAGCGATAAGGAGATGTGCCTTCGCGAAGCTCGTGTGACGAGTCTCCTCCTGCTCCATTTTAAATCCACAGTTCATAGTCCATGACGTGCAACCAATTTGCGCAGTACCAGCTCACAGTTTGGCCCTATATTGTCAGCTTTTCGTGGCTTTTCATCAGACTAGAACGGACATACCAACTCCCAAGAGTCAATTGAACCTTGCCACACCAGCGGATCATGCCATGCGCATGAATCAGCGCCTCTTCGCGCGTTTGATAGGGTGAGACTAATGTCTTGAAACCCTGAACATAGCAGCTCCAATCCGAAGTCCAATGTACACAGGCCGAGACACTGTTTGACGGGACTCTCGGGACACCGTTAGTCGCGCGACGCGTTCCGACTTCCACCCAGGTACAGTCAGAGCTACTCACCGAGGCTCAAGAGCAACAAAGTACGGGATGTGAATCCGCATAATGCATCCGGGATAGGGAAAGAGTCTGTCGTGTCAGTCGTGAGCCGGCCGGCAAGTTGTTGTATGTACAAGTCGCTGTTTCGCTGCAATCATCCAGATTCGGAATTAGATACGTAGCAAGCTCAAGATAAGAATGCTGAGATTGTTACAACGCCCAGACTAAGCAACATCGTGGACGTGTCTGCGGTGTCTGAGTTACAGTGTCTGCGATGGTCGTGGTCGCGAGCAAGTCGCGTTGTCTCGAAAAGGAAATGAGTGCGATCGGGCCTTACCATCTTTGGATTTACTACTGAACGCCATCACCAGGCTGCCTTCCGTCTCACCGTGACGTGTCACATAACTATTATACACACTATCGGGCTGTGTACAAAACCGTGTTCCCTCTATTTTAATAAGGGGTAATGCCGTTCAGGTCTGTATCAAGGCATAATGTCCAGATCTAGCATGCCATGATCATGTGCTTGATTCGGGTCCCTAGTCCTCCTCCCCAGGTTCTAATGTAGCCCAGCCCGGTGATGTTGCCATAGCGGAAAACTCACAAGATACCCGGTGAATCAAACAAGATCAATTCGTGAGTACTTCCCGGATGCATTGCCATAGAGCGCTACTGGATTGATATACGAGTACTGACGCATGAGCAGTGAGCAGTGAGCACATTGTGTTCAATCGAAGTGGATCCTCCCCCCGAAAACAATGCGCTGCCACGACGTAGAACAAGACAAACTAACACCGGTATTCATGTTGAATCGGGATAATCAATATCTTTCAGTGCTCTCAAGCGGTAGAAGGTATTTGGGTGAGTCTGCCTCCATCTATGACGTGGACGCCTCCGTTGACGTATGAGCCTGCCTGCAGAAATCAATGTCAATATTAAGGCGTGCACTTAAAAGACAGATGGCAAACCTTGCTCGCAAGGAAGAGCACGAGACCGGCCATATCATCCGTTGTTCCCGCGCGTTTCAAGGGAATCGATGCTTCTAAGGCCTTCCTCGCCTCCTCACTGATCATTGTATCCACCATCTCTACGGGGAGCCGAACGTCACTTCAGGGGCCGGGGATATATGCGCAAAAAGAGACACCTACCTGACGGGAAGAAACCCGGGCATATCACGTTGCTCCTTATCTTCCAGTCCTTCAAGTAGTGCGCCATCATCTTCCCAAGGTGCGTCGCCGCGGCCTTGCTCACGGTATAGCTCAGGGTGAACACAGCGCTGTCCTTCCTGAACCCCGCTATGCTACTGACGGTGAGCACCTGACTGCTCACCCCAGAGCCGCCCGGGGCCAGGGTGCGCTTGTTCCCCTCATGGAGCAACTCCATGAATGCAACCGTGCAGAACCAGACGGCCGCCACATTCACATCGAATGTCTTCCTGAAACTCTCGGGCATCTCGGTGTTCCACAGGAGCGCTTGCAGCTGGGTGATGTCGCCATTCGCCTCGGAGGGCGTGGGGAGCTTGGGCTGCAGCGCGAGGCTTATGCCCGCATTGTTCACCAGGAGATTAGCGTATCCGGTTCTAGCTTTGACGACGTCCGCTATCGCTTTCAGAGACTCTTTCGACGAGACATCCCCTTGAAGGGCTACCATATTGCCATATTTCTGGTTCCTTCCTATGTCAGTGTGAGTCGGACCGTATCAACCAAACCAAACGCACACTTCGCTCCTTGACAGCCTTCTCGAGTGCTTCTGCGCGCCGGCCGACGATATATACTGTTGCGCCATTGTTCTCGAGGGCGGTCGCTATCATAAGCCCGATCCCTACATGGAAGGGATGTCCGTCAGAAGTTGAAGCTTCGCAAGTTATCCGTGGAGTCCCTGGCTGAGCTGACTCACCTGTCGCGCCTCCCGTGACGACCGCGACCAAGCCTTTCACACTGAAGAGTTGCGCAGTGTCGCTGAGAGCTGTCGACGCCATGGTTGTTCGCTGACCCGTTACTGGGAATCGCGCTGAGTTACTTTATACACCGTGCGCCACAATAAGACCATTTACGAACATCGTTGCACGATTAATGATACAGAACCACGAAGGAATCGGACACTCACCCGTAAGGTATATATCTTACCACCAACGCACACGAGGCCGACGTATTTCAAGCGAGGGCTGTACATCGCCTTTGAAGACAAGATGAATTTGGCAAGTGGTCCTCGGAGGGTTGTTAGACGAAATCAGCATCAGTCAATACACTGGCAGACGTCGAAGGTGGCAGATACTGCGTCAATGAGGAATTACTGTACGGCGGCCAGTCGTACATTGACGGCCGTGGACAAGTCGAGACAAGTCGAGAATATTGAGTCATACGTTCTATGTACTTTACAGGCGGGCCGGGGATGACTGATTGTTATTTCTGCTACGACCTGATCACCGGAGCGCTAGACGTCAGATTCCGAGGAAGTACCATGAGTGCTTTGCACTTACACGTCAATGCAGTGTCACTGACTAGAACACAGAAGGCATGCTGAGGAGCCTGCCGCCGTCAGTAAGATGGACACCACCGTCGATATAAGACCCAGCCTGTGGGCAATCGGTCACCCATTGACAACTCACGACTTCAGTCAGATTGACGCACCTTGCTTGCGAGGAAAATGACGAGACCCGCCATGTCGTCCGGGGAGCCTGCACGGCCTATTGGGATCGTCGCCTTAATCGCGTCCTCGTTGATGAACCCATCGGCCATCTCTGTAGCAATGCATTACATCTCAGCATCGCCGATACGTCGAGGCGATGACGAATTAGTACGGACCTGAGGGATACAGTCCGGGGTTGATGATGTTGCTCCTGATCTTCCAGTCCTTGAGGTAGTGCGCCATCATCTTGCCCAAGTGCTGCACCGCCGCCTTGCTGACCGTGTAGCTCAAGCTGAAGATGCCGCTGTCACGCCTCAAGCTCGCGAGGCTGCTGATCGTGATCACTTGCGAGCTCACGCCCGACCCATCCGGCGCGAGCGCGCGCTTGTTGCCCTCGTGCAGGAGCTCGAGGAACGCGACCGTCGTGAACCATACGCCGGCGACATTGACATCGAATGTCGTGCGGAATGTCTCGGGAGTCTCCGTGTTCCAGAGAGCCTCCTGCAGCTTGGTGATGTCGTTCCCAGTGTCGGCAGGCGTGGGTAGCTTGGGCTGCTGCGCGAGGAGCACGCCTGCGTTGTTCACGAGCAGGTTAATGTACCCGTGCTTCTGCTTGATGGCCTCCGCGACGGACTTCAAGGACTCCTTGGAGGAGATATCGCCCTGGATAGGGATGATGTTGCCGTATTTCTGTGGTAGACGAAGCACGGTATGGACCGGTCAGGTAGCTGCCCAGCGAATATCTTGTGACACGTACCGAACGCTCTTTCGCCGCCTTTTCAAGTGGCTCCTTCCTACGCCCGACAATGTACACGATCGCACCGTTGTTCTCCAGCGCGGTGGAGATCATCAGCCCGATGCCTAGAATCGTCGAAGATCTCGGGTCAGCCGAATCGACTCCCATGTCCGACCATACATGATCTGCGCACCAGTAGCGCCCCCCGTGACTACCGCTACCTGTCCCTGCACGCTGAACAGCGTCGAAAGATCGCTAAGGCTCGTCATGATCTTCCTGAATTGCTGAGGAGTGGTGGATCCAAGACTGCTGCAATGCTGATTATCGTGGTTCGAGACAAATGCATGTAACTCACAACGCCAATATATACGCCCTGATCCCACCGTCGGCACCAGTGGCAGCTTACTACTCTCATGCCCTTATCCTGCCCTTATCTCGGCAGATCATGGTCATCGTGATTCGCCACTCCGAGTGATGCGAGGTCCCGAGTCGTCGAAGGTCAGCTATACCTATCGCGGACCGCCGCTCGCCTCCCAGTCACCCCGCTGAATGAGGCGCACGGACAACATGGCGACTCGCCAGAAAACTGGGCGTGGCGATCGCGTTATACATGCATTTCCCTGAGAACGCAATGAATGACGTGAGCTGCCCTTCCTCACCGTTAAACATAAGTTTGTAAGTACTTACATTTGCACTGGCAGAGCAGATTGCGGCGAGCAGGGGGCTCGCACAATCATGAGTCCGAACGGGCCGAGGACTGACTTGAACTCACGAAAAACAAGGATTTAACACGCAGGAAGAAGTACCATGAAAAGCATGATGGAATCTTAGGCTCCTGATGGACCGAAGTCACTGTCTAACTTGCAAGCCCAGTGCGGCTGCGAGCTCGACGAAGTGAATCGGGCAACGATCTCGGCAACGATGACCCATATTGGGACATTTGAACATTGTTCAGCGAATTGTGAATCTCAAATATTGAAGTACAGTACGTCGATATTTTCAAAATGTCTTCTCGGTCAAAAAATGCTTTGCTTTTGACAATTGAGCTACACTGGGATCCTCACTGGTGGCCTCAGGTGGCGGAGTACCCGACCGAGATCTCAACCCGATATAGTAACTATAATTTGTGGCACCCGCCAACCGGCGCTAGAAGGATTCAACTTGAACCGCAGAGCTGTTCATCCTCAAGAATTTTTCTGATCGTAGGCAGCCGCACGACACCCTATGCCAGTGACAGCTCGCAGCGACAAAGGCTCTGTGTCGCGGCGCCGGCACAAAGGGCACGCCTCGAATGCGAGTAGCGCAGGTGCCGGAGAAACCCGCAAGAATCCTGCACGTTTGCCGAAGACTCCGAAGAGGGAGCGGGCTCGAGTAGCGCAGGCCAATGGCCCTTCCAACGTCGACGTCACTCATGCCCAAGCGAGTGCCCTCCTCAGTCTCCCGTTGGACGTCATATTCGAGGTATTTACTATGTTGTAGACGTTTTGTCACAAACATCGCCTTCGCTGATACCATCAACCATAGATACTCTCCTTCCTGAAACCGTTAGAGTTGGCGAATCTTGCACAGACTAGCCGGGCATTTCGCACGACGCTCACAACTCCTCGATCACCCAAGATTTGGAGGTCGGCGAGGCAGCACGCTGGGAACGCCCCTGAATGCCCGCAGCGCATGTCAGAAATTTCTTGGGCACGATTCCTCTACGGCTCTGTAGAATGCGAGGTACGTACCTTATGGGCGGAGTTGGACCGATTAGTGACCTGAAAACATTATGTATGAACAGGAGTGCGGCGTACCGAATCTACGCAATTTGGACTTCGTCCTTATGCGGCCAATGTGCGACCAATGCAAGCCGGACACGTGCGTGAATTCATCCCACTCATTCAGTCCATCTGAAGATACCTCAAACTAGGCTTTTATGTGGATGCTGCCTATCCGACTATTTTCCGGGCGTCGATTGCGCAGTCCTGGATCTCATCCCTCACGTACACGGTTGAGTCCCTATTCACCACTGGCCAATAAATATGCTGATTCGCTCACAATCCAGTCGAGTCGCATCCCTGGGCGAAATATTATCTTGATGCTGACATCGTTGCGATGGCGACAATATACGGCGAGTTACAGAGGGATATCGAGGTTAACACGCGAAAAGCTGCGGCAAAGAAAGCGCTCCATCAATTCAAGAATGAGCGCATCAAGCACGTACATGCTGTTCTCGAGGTTCGTGTTACGACACAGGTTGTTGACCATCATTTATCATCTAATGTAACGTCGCATATGAGCAGCATGCGAACAAGTGTACCCAGTGGCTGCGCGAATTCCAGGTCTATCTTGACAACGAAAAACAGGATCGTATCGAGCAATATTACAATCAGTAAGCATACTTGATCTTCCGCGTCAACGAGTCTGTAACGGCTCCTTGTCAGAATCGTGAGACGTTTCCGGGAGCTGGGATATGAAGAACAGGACATTCAAGCTATACGGTCCAAATCAGAAGCTATGTGCGATCGCGCTGTGACTGAGCAAGGTCAGTTCAATTAATCCCTTCTTCCGGACTAGCTCATGTATCTTCGCATAGTCTGGAAGCAAATCAGGCCTGTGCTTCAAACGCGCGTTGAGATGGCGCGGTGTAAACGATTGGACAAAGACGAGGAAGCTATCATAACTTCTCGGAAGGCCTTGGTTCGAAACGCCTACGACGCATACAAGCTGACACTGCGGCCTCTCGAGCGTCTGCACACGCCAGTGCCCGAGCTTATCTACGCCATTCCAGCGTTTCGGGCGCTCATCTACATGAATCTGGACGCTCTGCTCAAGCAGACCGCTTGCAACGAAGCTGCGCAGCGGCTGCCCGAGTACCTCTCTGCCTTCAACGATCAGCTGAAGTGTTGTCTGTTGCAGTCAATGCTTGATAATGGAGCATTCGATCGCGGAGCTCGGAGGGCGAAACAGCTACCAAAGAATGCCGATGCCCGTCTCTCACTGGCGACCACTGTGTTCAAGCAAGTGATCCCACGGAAACTAGATCGCACCTTCTTTTCCTACAACGGCGTGGTTCTTGGAATGAAGATGCTTGACATCTGGAAACTCAGTTGCCAGGCGGACTTCTGGGTTGCAATGTACGAGACACAGGGGCGGGAGATGGAACAGCCTACCCTCAGTTATGATGCACACGCTTCCGCAGCGGCAAAAACGTTCGTTGTACAGCTTGGCCTCGATCATGCAATCACGCGGTCCGACGATATGGATGACCTGAATGGACGTTTCGTCTGTCAGCATTGCAAACATAGAGAATTTTTAGGGATACTCCGGGACAAAGCGTATTCTTGGCGAGCTGCCGTACGTCCACTCACAACGAACTCATTCGGACGTATCCGTTGACGGTCTGCACCTTCCGACTTGCTTCTCTTTCTGTAGGTGGAGCACCATATTATCGCCCACACACGGAGCAATCTACCCATGTTCTTCAAGGCTCTGAACGAAGACGAGGTCAAAATTGTACGCCGCATAGAAGATGGGCTCAGGCTCCAGGTGTGGATGTGCAATCATTGCCCCTCCTACAACGTGCCAGCAACATTTTACGATGTCCAAGAGCACCTGACGACAACGTGAGTCCGGTCCGGTCTCGTGTGACATTATACTAAAGGAGTGTGCAGCCACGCTATTTCAAAGCCCGAGGAGAACAGTGATTATTTTCACGCATTCCCGGCTTTCCGATATGACCCGCCGCCCCAATCTTTCTCGCGGTGCCTCCAGCTTGCAGCAGCCGTTGACCCAGCTGAGGACGGATGATTGTGCCGTCACTGTGATCAGCTCTATTGTGCTGAAGTTGTACATGTGTGCCGTATCGAGGTATGCCAGACGCGCTACTGGTAATTCGTTTTCGGTTCGGTGCTAACAATTCAATACAGTGATCATGCCTCATGTTCCGCCTCACAACTCTAATGGTGCCGCTACGCACTGTGTAGCATAAGTCACGAAACATATACACTTCAAACATCATGTAACTTAGTATCATATCAGATGTACTGTCATGCCTACGGGCGATCTGTGGTCTGTTTACCACAGTCGATATGTGACGATCAGCTTGCATGTCGTCACTGAAAATAGAGCTCCCAGGTACATACATGCCAGTGATGACTGCACTGACAGTACGTAGACCTATTGGCCTGGTCGACCACTCGAGTACATCGGAGGCTGGCCGAGATCCCGGCTAGATACAGTAGGCTAAGGCGCCAACTTGGTGACAGCCACTTCATTGTTCGACTTACGGACACCCAGAACTCTGAAAGAGACTGACGCCACTGCAAAATACCGCATCGCGTTCTCGCCACCAGAGGTCCACCGACAGCAAGTTCTCGATTCATGCAATTTCGGCCTGCGATATGCCATCCGAAACACGTAGAGCCAAGCAGGAGTCGCCGCGGCATAGCGGGAGCGCTTCAGACAGCGGCGACGCCTTTGTAGGAACATCCAAGTGTGGCCGACTGAGAAAACGCCGTCGAGGTCGAGTATCGAAAGCCTCCAACCGCAATGCTGAGGGCCGACCGCCTTGGACCAGCGTCTTGCTGTCCCTCCCGGTCGATATCATACTTGAGGTATTCACATTGACAGGCAGACAATGACCGCCCCTTCTGAATCATTATTCACAGATGATACAATTCCTCAAGCCACTAGACCTAGCAAATTTGGCACAGACCAACAGGGCATTCCGCGCGACTCTAACGTCACCTCCGGCTTCCAAGATCTGGGCCACGGCGAGGAAGTACACGGCAAATGTCCCTGAGTGTCCACAGGGCGTATCAGAGATCACCTGGGCGAGGTTTATCCATGAACCTCCTAAATGCGATGTATGTGCAACGTGGATATACTCACCTGAACCGAGTATACTGATTCAATCATACAGAAGTGCCGTGTGCTCGATATACGCAACTTAGATTTTGCCCTCATGCGACGGCTGTGCGATCGATGCAAGCTGAAAACGTACGTAAAAATAATACAGTTCGTCACTCAATCGCAGAGATATTGGTGCAGGCTCGTACACGACCGCTTCTTGCGGGATGCGCTGCCGAACGTCAACCGCGCCGTTCTGGAGCTCATCTCTCACACTACGAGTTCAGTGCTTCAACATCATTCCTAGGTCAAGGCAGACACTGATTCATGACCTAGCCAACGTGCACCCAGGGGATAGGTTCTACAGGAAGACTGATGTCGTTGCGATGGCGAAAGTATACGACAAGTTCCAGAGGGATATCGACATGAGCTCGACAAACGCCGTGGCAAAGAAGGCCATGCAGCAATTTGAATGCCAGCGCACGAAAGCCGTGCAAACTATTCTTGAGGTTCGTCCTGGACTCCTGCGATGCAGCGTACTGCCTATTTTGACATTGCAATCGACTAGCATGCCAAGAAGTGTACTGAGTGGCTGCGCGAGTTCGAGGTCTACCTTCATAACGAAGCGCAGGAACGCATCGCCCAGTACTACGAACAGTAGGCACTTATCCTCTATCACATCACGTTGTGTTCATGACGCCCTTGCACAGGATCGCGAGGCGTTTCCGGGAGATGGGACACGAGGATCAGGATATCAAGAACATTCGGTCCATGCCCGAAGCTATGCGCGATCGCCCTGTGACTGAACAAGGTCAGATCGACGTTCCCTGTCCTCCGCTGCCTCAGCTCACACCCCCTCGCTTAGTTTGGAAGAAACTCAAACCCGCGCTCCAAATGCGCATCGAGATGTCCCGGTGCAAACGACTGGACCAGGACGAGAACGACGTCATTGACTCACGCAAGGCCCTCGTTTACACTGTTTACCTCGCCTACAAGCAGACATTGCGGCCTATTGAACGCTCCCGCCTTTCGCCACCCAAGCTCATCTATGCTATTCCCGCGTTCCGCGAGCTCATCTATACGAAGCTGGATGTCGAGCTTACACAGGCTGCTTGTGACGAGGCTGCAAAACGGCTACCTGAGTATCTCTCGATGTTCACTGACAAGCTCAGGAACAGCTTGGTACAATCCATGGCCGACAATGGGGTGTTCGAAGTTAGGAACCGGCGTACGAAGAGGCCACCGAAAGGCGCACATGACCGTCTCGCGCTGGCCACCTCCGTGTTCAGAGTAGCTTCGCACAGGAGCAGCCTATTCTCCTACAACGGCATCACTACTTATTTAGATTCAATCTGGACCGCTGGTAAGGACTCGGGGTTCTGGATCGCGATGTACGAGACACTACAGCCCAAGTTCGAGTTCGACAAGCAAGCTTCTGCAGCGGTGGAAGCCTTGATGCTGCAGCTTGGCCTTGACCCTGCGACCACGCGGCCAGAGGATCTGGACCGTCTGCATAAACGCTTCTTCTGCGAGTTCTGTGGAGGCAGACCCCGGTATAGATTCCCAGGGGATGTAGCATATCCTTGGCAAGCTGCAGTCAGTCTGTTCACGAAACCATCATTGTGCTGCATACGATCTGACGTGCACCGTCTCCGACTTGCAACATAGATCAGTCACTGCATCGCTTGTCCCGGGTCGTTCAGCAGCAGCACCCCGTATCTAAAGTCGCTGAATGAAGACGAGTGCAAGAGTGTACGCAAGCTAGAGGAGGCTAAGAGTTACATGCCCCCCCACACATGGGAATGCAACCACTGTCCTGGTATCACATATCACCTGCGGGTGCTCCCCGATGTCCTGGAGCACATACGAACCGCGTAAGTCCAGCCTCCTCTTGCCGTTCCTGTATGTTGATAAGCATGTGCAGTCATGGCATCTCCGAACCCGAGGAAGACGTTGACTACTTCCATGCATACCGGGACACCCATTATAACCCCATTCCTCAATCTTTCTCTGAAAGCCTCGAGCTTGCGGAAGCACAGGCTGCGAACGTCGCTCGCTCCACTGCGGATCGACGTTAAACCCTCCATTGTCGCTGTGAGGCCACGTAGCGGAGTACCGAATGCGTCGAACGCTCTGTCGATAAGCGGCACTACCTTAGCACACCTTGTAGTGTAGATCATCATAAGACGACTGTATTGAGTACCCAGTATTGATGTTCTGTCTTCAACAAAAGCCTGTATTTGAACAATACGGACGGGCGCAAATCCCACCCGCTCGCGGTAAGTAGCAGGGACTTGCGCTAAGCAGTCCGGAGGTGACAGCCCCACGTCACCACATGCAGCGGTTGGTGAATCATACACCGGACGGCCGAGTACCGCGACTAGATAGGCACACGTACCACTCAAATGCGAAGGGCGGCTGAGATCCCAGGTAGCATTTGGGTACTTCAATGTCTCCCTTCGGGCGTCAGCGTTTCAGCTCTGTACCGTCTATAGCCCTTCGCAATCACCGTCGCATGTCTTGTGGTCACAATCGACAGGCATGCAGTCCGTTGAACCTTACCATTCGCCTTCACAGCATCCCCCTTGCCACACTACCACCGCCATACAGACCAATAGCATGCCTGACTGCGCAGCACCCATTGAATCCCCCCGAACAGGCACGCCTACCGCATCGCAATCCCACGTACTCCGCGCGACAGCCTGGCAGTGAGAGCGCGGGACGTCGTCGGTGCTCTTCTCGAGCCGCCTGGACGTTCGGGGGCAAGCTGCCACTGGATGACAGATCCTGGTGCCTTAGCTCAGTAAGCTTAAACTCTGTCTATGATATGTACATACAATCGGAGGGCGGTAGTACATGCCTCGCTCGTCGATCCCACGTCAGTGGCCTGCGGAGCGGAGGTGGATTCAATTCGTTCCTTGATGACATTGAGTGCGTCCTGGGAGCGTTCATCGCAGGCCTCGAACACCACTCGGACCACTTCTGCGACGCCGAGGCACGGTCGGTCGACGAATACAGTTGTGAGTCTTCCTGTGAATCCACCAAGGCAGGAACCGCTGCAGGATGTACGATCAGAACACGAGGTACGTGAATCACTCACCGAACCTAATCAGGCGCATACATCGACGACCCGCCCGTCCACTCCGAAGCAAAGGAACGGCTCGTATTCTAGCTACGCATCGAGAACATCCAGAGTTCTAAACAAGTCCGAAAGACGTCCGTGAGCAGTCTGTCTATAGATAGCAGTAAGTAGCACTAGTGGCGATGTGAGCAGTCAGATGTGTGTGTGTGTGTATGCGGAAGCTCGAGATGCGACATGCAGCAGGCAGGGCGTGCAAAAAACAAAACGACAGCAACGACAACGCGACCTCTCCCCACCTCATCACCGGAACGCCCGCCCTCTAGAGCGCGAGCGCCACACTCACCGCCACGCCCAGCGCCGCGAGCAGCGCGGTGCCCGCGAGGGCGGGCGCGCCTGGGCGGGCGGCGCTGACGACGGTGTTCTCGCCCGGCACGCCGTACACGCGCACGGACTTGACCTCAAAGTACGCGGTGTCGTAGTTGGACGGCGCGCCGATCACGAAGTCGTCGTAGCACACGCCCGAGCACGTCTCCGCGAAGATCTGCTGGTTCCCCGCGAAGTCTGCGGAGCGAATCCGGCGTCAACCGCTGGTCTGCGTCAAGGGAAGGTGGGGGTGACGTACCTCCGCAGAGCGTGATGTCGAAGATGAGCGATTGCGGCTCGAAGAACTTGCTGATCGTGCATGTCTGCGAGGTGTAGTTCGCAGTGGGTGTGCCGAGGTCGGAGAGGTTAATGGTGGACGCGTTGCTCTGCAGCACGGTCGGCACCGAGGAGCGGTTGAAGAACCATATCCTTCGGGCACACGCGTCAGCGCGCAGCCGCGACGTACCGAGGCATGTACTCACGAGATACCCTCGTTCGCGAACTCGGTCACGAAGACGCCTCCGCCGTCCGCCGCGAAGCCCGCGCCGTACGAGCTCTTCGTCGGCGTCGTGACCACGCACCCCTCGTTCTGGTTCGCGGCCGTCGAGCAGTCGGTCGAGTTGATGAGCGTGCTCGTCTGGAGCGCGTTCGCGGAGTGCGTGCACCCGTCGCCCGTGTGCAGCGCCATCTGGTTCATCGTCACCTGGTTCACGCCCTCGAACGTGTCGATCTGCCGCCCCGCGTCAGTGCTCACGCGCACGCGTCGCGGATGCGAGAGGGCCGACGCACCTCTCCGCCGCTCGGCCAGTTCACCGCGGACGACCAGAACGCGGGCCATACGGAGCACCCGTACGGCACGTGGAGCATGTCGGTGACCCACAGGCTGCCCGCCGTGAAGTAGTCCTTGGAGTGGATCCGGACGGAGTTGCGGTTCTGGCCGACGGTGACGGTGGTCGAGTTGTCGACCTTCATGATGGCGTTCCCGGCGTCGTTGACGTACGCGAGCTGGTCCTTGCCGGCGTCGGTCGAGGACACGAAGAAGACGTTTCCGTTCGTCAGGTCGTCCGCTGTGCGTGCGTGAGCGCGCCAGCGACGTCAGAGGAGCGATCTGGCGCACCGTGGTTGTAAAAGTCCCAGTCGTCGAAGAAGGAGTCGCCAACGTACTCCTTCACCTGGGTGTACTGGGCCTCAACGAACGCTGGAAGAAGTGCGGCTGCGGCGCCGCATGCGAGAGCGATTCGGACCATCTTGCTGGCGTCTGTAAACGGGCGATACGACAAGGAGTAGCGGGCGGGCGACAGTGGGCGAAACGGAAGGTATAAGGTGGATTATAAAAGCGACCGGCGACTGAATGCAAGATGTCTTCCCGCGACTTGACAGACAACAGACAGGAATGTGGAGCACCGGTGGACAGAGGCACGCTCTGGACAGGCCGGGGGTAGCTGTCGGGACGGGGAGAAAGAGAGGACGAAGTAAGCAGCTGTAAGCCAACTGTAAGCAGGCACTGCAGTCGGCCAGCGCCCGAGGCTATTCGCGTACAGGGAGCATCATCGTCGCGGGGCGCTCTTTCGGCCCGACGCAGCTCCCATTGGCAGGGCCGGGCCCGGGGCCATTGCAGTGACAACAGCCAAGCGGCAGGCGAGCGGCAGCCCGACCGCGTCGTCACCGCCCGACGCGTCTCCGGCAACCGCCGGCAATCTACGCACCGATTCGATCGCGATGACGATCGCAGCTGGCGGAGCGGCGATCGACCAATCCGCCACGCTTGCCACTCGTACTGCTGAAGCAAGGAAGGCTCCCAAAGTGGCACAAGTGCTGGACTATGACGCCATCAGTTCCCTGGCGGTCGTTGTAACTGTAAGTATCATACATAGCAGCTGTACCGTTCCCGGACCCTTTCACTTGCTAGAGACGTGCCCGTGGATCAATATTTTCAATGTCGCATTCATAGTAAGGTGTCGAGCACATACAGACCTCGAGTACTACCAATCAATACTAGTATGTATTACACAATACAGCCTGGGCATCGTACAATCCCAAGTCACATCCACAGCCTCTCGCCATTCTCAGGCCTCCGAATCCCAGTCGTCAGCAGAATGATATTCCGACTCTGTGACGCACATGAACTTCCCCATAGAAGACGTCCAACCTTAATGGTTGTTATATGTCGCCTCCAGCCTAGACTTCACGTATTCGCCCGCAGTGACAACTTCGTACTTGGCCGGGTTGTCTTCTGACACGCAGCCCGGGAAAGGCTAGGTCGACCATTAGCTCTACGTACACTCACCCGAGCAACAAACGCTCACCTCGAGTCTGACATTGTAGTCACTGCCGAAGAAGAGCGGGATGGAGTACCGCTCGACGCCGGACCGGTTGACAGCGCGGTGGAAGGTAGACTTGAGCACGTCGTCTGAAGTCATCAGAACATCAATCTGTCAGCGACCTCTCTAACATCCCGCAGTAAGACGTACTGGACCAACGCGCGAACTGGTCCCCAATGCTGCGTTGCAAAGTCAACTCATATACTGTACCACCGTCGGGTGTGAAGAACGCACTTGACGACAAGCGTCCCGGGGATAGGGACAGCGTCGATCCACTTGCCCGCGGCGTTCAGGACTTGCAAGGCCTGGATCTTGTCTTGCCAAAGAATCGTGAAGCACTACGGTACGAGCATGTTAGCCCCTTATTTTCACATGATTGAGCGAGCAGAGACCTCGTAGCTGCAGCGTCATGTCAGTATACTATCGAGTATGTGGGAAGTATGATTTCGTACTCTGTATGCGCCCCAATGCCCTCCACACGGTCATCCACTGTGCCGGTTTGTGGCGGGTAGTAGAGCAGGCGCATGATCGCTGCAGGTTTTGTGGTCTATGTGTGCAGTCAGTTTCACATTTCCCGACGAAATAACGGGTATGTGTATGCACCTTGTCGTCGAAGAAGTTCTCAGGCAGGTTGAGTGCAAGTGCGAATAACGGGAAGAGCATCTTCCCTAGATTGACGGCAGCATGGCTACATGTACAACGTCAGGACGGTGACTACGTGCCAAAACAACGCGTGCACTCACTAGTACTCGAGGGACGCCTCCCTGAACCCGGGTAGACCCTCCGGCCAGACATTGCCGCCACTCATAACTCCATCTTCTTCCGCTGCACGACCCGCGCCGGAGAACTCCTCCCACCCAAGGTCGAAGCCCTCGTGCATATCTCCTCGGTTCTCAGGATTCGTGTTCTCCCCGAGCAGCGCTGTATAGCCCTTGAAATTCCCGGACTTGTGGATGTCGAGTGCCGCTTTCGTGTCAAGCGGGAGTGAGAAGAAGCGCTTGCCGGCGGCGACGGCGTTGTCGATCACGACCTGAGGGATGGTATGGCTCTTCACTGCATCCGTTTCAGTCAGGACGTAGCAATTGGCTGAACGAGATGGAGTATAGACGCACCGTAGAAGAAGCCGACGTTGATGCAAGCATCCCGAATCTCGTCTGCGAGAGCGCGTCGGACTGCCGGGTCTGTGCTCTGGATGTGTTGAAGATCGCTGTAACAACGTCCGCCTTCGTATGTACGACCGTGCGGTGTGCGTAGCACTCACATGATAGGTATCTCCTCGAAGCTACTGTCGGTCCTCTTCATCCCGGCGACCAAGGGCGTGTCTCCAGCCATGTTGAGAATGTCTGGGGAAGAAGAATTTATTTATCTCGCGTGCAGCAAGTCGCTGAATATGAGATAGTCGGATGCAGTCGCTGCGCGGATCCGAGTCATGGCGGCGTTCAAGGTGGGACTGTACCAACCGCCGACTGAAAAGCCGAACTAGATGCGCGTTGTGCCTATGGACACGTTATTTTCGACGTAGGTCTCGAGCTGTAACTAGACTGTTCAAATTGTTTGCTTTGAGTTCGTTGACTCGGCGAAGAACTTGAATTCGTTCAAGCCTGAGCCTGCGCAACGTGACCGTCACAAGGTTGATCCAACATGGCCAGAAGCGGAAGGTCGGAAGAAGTCGGATGCGGATCAGTGTGATTCTCTGCCCGGTTAGAGAGTTCAAACTCAGATGCTTCCGGCACTGGTGCCGTAACCACAACGATAAGCGGCGTTTGTAAGCTCCGCCACAAGCGATATTCGCAGGCTCGACTTCGAACCCGGAGTATCACATCATCACTCTCCATCACCACCACCACCTACCTACACGGCGACGACGACGGTGACGGCGAAACACACACTTTTGAAGAGCTAGTCAACCACTCTTGTGGGATAACCACTACTATGGCTGTGTCCTACTATTCCCCAGCTTCGCGCAAGCAGCAGATCCCTCAGGTATCCGAGGAGAGCGCTGAGGCGCCTCGCGTCGCCCAAGATATGCAGGAGGCGTATGTCGGAGCTAAAGAGAGGTGTGTGTCAGTTATATGGCCTGTTGTGGGCTGTGAGCTACGTGTGCCGTGCAGAGATTGGGTACTGGAGCAGGACGTAGGCCGAAACGCGCAGTGGACAGGGCATGAGAGCTCGTGCGCATAATGTCCCAGGGCTCGTACCTTTGGTCCATCGTGATGTTTGGCCCTCCAGATGCGGTGTAGCCGAGACGATCCTTTTCTAGCCTCCCGCAGTCTCATGGACCGCTCGAGCAGCAGTGAATACGCCTAGGGTGGGCGCGAACGACCTATAAGGTCTATTGCGCGATCATACGATGCTGGTCTGCCCATGTAGCACACGATGGCATTTTACATATGTCATTCACCGTGCGGGATCTCCTGGCTAATATCTTACTCAGGCTGTTGAATGCCATCGACTCTACAAAATCGCTACTTGGCGGTCTTCGTGACTTCAATAAGAAGTCATGGGTTGTCAGGTACCCCCAACTGCAGGAGCAGTCCGAGGAGAGTGCAGAGCAGCCTGCGTTGCCGAAGCGACGCAAGGGCATGCGCCGCTCTCTCTCCTTCCCGGATGATCCGAACTTCCAGGCGGAGGTTGTCGTTAACCCAGCTCGTGCAGGCATGGCCCGTTCCATGACCTTGGCGTCCGTCGCAGATGCCGAGGAGGAGCCGGAGACTACTCAACAGGAGTCGGCCGAGGGCCTCATCCCTTCCGCTGATATCGCTGACTTCCACGTTATCCGCCTTGACCTCAAGTTGGGCGCACACGGTTCAACAAGCTCCCCCGCGACGCTCGTCTCGCAGCTGGAGAAGTCGTCCATTGCCAATCTACTGGACGAGCGGATCAGCAATGCTGTCACTCACATCGACAGGCTCCGCCTGCGCGTGGAGGACACCTCGTCCAAAGTCCTCGTCACTGGTGACCTGAACGCCGGCAAGTCGACATTTGTAAACACGCTGTTGCGTCGCCAGGTCATGCCTGTTGATCAGCAGCCATGCACGACTGCGTTCTGCGAGATCCATGATGCTGTCGCGGAGAATGACGGCAAGGAGGAGGTCCACATTCTCAAAGACGGCGTTTCCTACAGCAAGGAGGACGACTCGACGTTCACGCGGGCCGCGCTCTCAGACCTGGAGTCGTTTGTATCCGAGAACGAAAACGAGTCGCAGGTGCTCAAGATCTACCTGTCTGACACCCGTGACCCGGCCAGTTCGCTGCTCCACAATGGCGTCGTCGACATCTCGCTCATCGATGCCCCGGGTCTCAACCGCGACCTCGTCAAGACGACGTCAGTGTTCACGCGCCAGGAGGAGATTGACGTTGTCGTGTTTGTGGTCTCGGCGGAAAACCACTTCACCTTGTCGGCGAAGGAGTTCTTGACGACCGCCAGCAAGGAGAAGGCGTATATCTTCATCGTTGTTAACAAGTACGACCACATCCGCGACAAGGCCAAGTGCAAGCGGCTTGTGCTGCAGCAGATCAAGGAGCTCAGCCCGGCGACGTACGAAAACGCCGAGGAGCTTGTGCATTTCGTCGATTCTGTGGCCGCCATCGAGAACGGCACCCCGTCCTTTGACGAGCTCGAGTCGTCGCTCCGCTCATTCGTTCTCGTCAAGCGCTCCAAGTCGAAGCTCGCGCCTGCGTCGACGTACCTCCACCACATTCTCTCTGATGTCAACCTCCTCGTCGGTGCCAATGCCATCGTCGCTGAATCCGAGCTCAAGCGCGCTCTCGACGACCTCGATAGGTCGCGCCCCGTTCTCGAGAAGATGAAGAACGGCCGCCAGGCATTGGAAGACAGCCTGGAGTCTGTCGAGGAGGAAGGCGCGACGGCAACGCGCAGCCGCACGAAGGAGCTGCTCACAGCTGCTCTCGACCGTGTCAGCCAGGGCAAGCTCGGCGTTGACATGGCTTCGCTCAAGATGCCGTCTTACCCTGGTCTGCTCAACATCTGGGACTACGCTCGTGACGTCAAGTATGCTCTGCTCGCGAGCCTTGACATGGCTGTTAAGCTGGCCGAGGACGAGGCACGTGTCACGACATCGAACTCGGTCAACAAGATCAACGGTCTGGGCGATGAGCACCTGCCTGAGGGCATCGAGCGGCCGCGCAGGGTCTTTATTCCCGAGGCTATGTTCTCCCCGCGCACCGACAAGAACGCACGGAGGAAGAGCCGGCACGTGTCGAGTGGTGCCGTCGTCGCGGGCGGCATGCTCGGCCTGGGCATCGGCCTCGCGCGGCGTCCGGACATGCTGGAGACGAGCTTCTTCGACCTGTTCGACGTGCACCACCAGTTCTGGGTCACGTTCGGCGACAAGAAGGCCGAGGACGAGGAGGAGAGCCCGATGACCGCTCTCAGTGTCGCGTCTGTTGGTATCGGCGCGGTGACGATGGTCGGCGGGCAGGCGCTTGGCGCCCGCGGGATTGTCGAGGGCCTCATGCGCATCGGGGCGCTCTTCGAGAGCGAGAGCGCACGCAAGTGGGCAGCGCCCGTTCTCGGCGCCGTCACCATCGGTGCGGCAGTGTACTTCGTCCTCGAGCTTCCGAGCACCATCCCAAGGACAGTTGGCCGTCGGATCAAGGCTACGCTGGCGAAGGAGGCGGAGGAGCGGGGTGCGGAGGGCACGTTCGTGGAGTCGAATGCGATTCGGGTCAGTCGGGAGACACGTAAGGTGCTCCGGCTGGCGTCGTGGGACCTCAAGGAGTGCTTCCGCACGGCGATGGACGAGAAGAACCGGGAGGTGCAGGGCGCGGAGGACGTGGAGCGCAAGGCGAAGAAGGCGCTCGAGTACTTCCTCAGCGTCGAGCGTGAGTCCAGCGAGGTGCGCAAGCTTGCCGGGTTGGGCCTGACCGCGTAAGGTGTCGTTGGTATCCTTTGGTTTCTGCGTTGAAATCTTTGATGTTGCGGCGCGCGGCCTGTGTGGCCCGCTGTCGAGTAGAACGCGCCTCGTTGGGCGCATTACATCCTTCGGCTAATTCGTACGTTCAGTTCTGTAATTTCGTCCGTCGCTCCTTCATGCTCCCTTGTTTCTCTCGTCTTACAGTACGGATCCTCTTGTATGCTAGATCGCTCCTCCTATGCGGATGTCTGCTACGTTACGTGTACCTCACGACCTGTCAGCAGCTGTGTTGCCAAATCTTTGCAATACAATGCTGTGTTACGAACCTCTCCTTCTGTACATATCTGCGACGTGTCTCGGTGGGCCGTGTCTGCAGACTGACATGTGGCTGATGATTCTGTCGAACAACTGACAGTGATATCGCGGGCGACAGATGGACGGCACGCCACCCCGTGTGTTCGCGTGTTTGTCTGTGGCGGGGGCAGGGGCATTTGATGGATGAAGTGGCAGCAGTGCCTCCATCTCTTCCCCCACCGTCCGGACAGTCGTCGTCGTCGTCCGCAGCGTCGTTGAGCTCGCCTTTGACATTCCCTAGACCGGCAGGCTCCGCTGGTCTTGTCTAGACGCAACCGCCGTTCTCAGCAGCGTGCCGCTTGATTCTAGCCATCCAACGCGACTCGACGTCGTTTCACACCTGTTCATATTCTTTCAATTGCATACATGGCTACCCTTCACCCCCCCAGCCCCAGCCCCTCCCCCGGCCCTGGTGGTAACGCCAATGGTCGCTCGCCCAACTTCCGCGCCTCCATGGGGCCCTCGCCCCGGCCCTCGGCGGTCGGCACTGGGTTCCCGCCCGCATCTCCTCGCCCTGGGGGTGTTTCCGGCGCCGGCAGGCCCACGAGTGAGCTCCTCGGCAGTCCTGGCATGTTCCAGACTCCGGAAGGTACGCGCATTTCACCTTCACCTTGCCCTGTTCGGTCTGACAAAGCACGTCCCTTAGCCGAGGCAATTGACCAGTGGTTTGAAACCTTCCAAAACTATGAGGTGACGCTGGTGAGCATATATTCCCTGACATCGGCATCTTCGGCGTTGTGACGTTTTGCGTTTAGGAAGAAATGGCTGCTGCCTCTTTGGACGTCAACTTCAAGGAAGAACTGAGCGCTATTGAGCAATGTGCGTCTGAGGCTGTCCGGGTGTTCACCGACGTCTTACCTATGTTTCATCAACAGGGTTCAAGGTCCTGTCGGAAGCCGAGCGCACAGCCGCTCTTTACAGTCTTTTACAACATTCAACCCAGGTTCAGATACGGTTCTTCATCACCGTCCTGCAGCAGATGGCGAGGTCAGACCCCATGACAGCCCTTCTCAGCCCCGCTGTTGGCAGTAAGTCCTTCTCATTCATCATGAAACCTGATGTTCATGTCGGCATCAGGCTCTATGCAGAGCCAGATGGAGGCCAAGCTGGCGCAGATGAACATGAAGTCGCCCGGCCTTAAGTCTGGCCTTCCCGCCTCACCTACCGCCCGCAACTTCTCTGGCAACCGCCCGAACATCGGTGTGGACACTAACCCGAACGGGTTTTTGTCCCCCGACACTGCGAACCTGCCTTCTGCGGGTGGTCACGACCCCGCTGCTACCTTGGCGGCGCAGCGCGCCAGGCTGGAGGCCAGGAAGGCGAGCAACGCTGCTCATCGCATCTCGGCGCCCGTTCTTAGTGCCAGCCTCAACAATGGCACCTGGGGCTCTGGTTCCAATCAGCTTGGCCAGGTCGACGAACGTCCGAGTTCTCCCGGCGCCCAGGAGCTCACAATTCCCGCTCCCAATGCGAACGCTTCCAGGCCCAAGAGCACTGACTTCACTGGTGCCGCCAATGCGCTGAAGTCGGCTAAGCTCGAGGACGGCATGTCGCCGATGGCCGAGGGCAGCTGGGCGAGCATGGTTAACACGCCTCTCATGCCGATGTTCAAGGATACCCGCAATGCCCAGCAGAGCCTCGACGCCGCGGCGGCGAAGCTCAACGACTGGACCGGCTCTGGCGGCAGCGGTGTGCCGCTTATCTCCGACCCGCCCAAGAGGCTGAACCGCCTCTCGAAGGGCAGCGCTCACGATGACGAGGGTAGCAACACGAGCCAGGGCACCAACCCGCAGCACGGGCAGCGCAACGTTTCTGGCGGCATGAGGAACGCCAGCGGGGCTGGCAATGGCGGATGGAACGGCGGACGGAGCCCGGCGCTCTCTAACAACAGCAGACTCCACGACGACGGAAACAACATGAATGGATTGGGCATGGCCGGCTTCGGCATGGGGATGGGAAGCCCTGGATTGGGCATGGGCATGCCCGGGATGGCGGGCTTCGGCGGAATGCCGTTGAGCCCGTTCGGGAACATGTTCAACATGCAGAACCTCGCGGCGATGAACAACATGACGCCGGAGCAGCTGCTCGCTTTGCAGATGACCGCGGCGGCGCAGCTCGGGCAGGCGGGCTTGGGCGGGTTCGGGATGGGCATGCACCAGCAGGGCTCGCCGACCCCGCGCAGCGCCCTGCGCAGTGCCCGCTCGCCGGGCAAGTCGCCGAGCGTGCGCGACAAGAAGGACGAGGAGGATGTGGACCCGAAGGTGCTCGAGGACGTGCCCGCGTGGCTGCGCAGCCTGCGCCTGCACAAGTACACGCCGAACTTTGAGGGCATGTACTGGAAGGACATGGTCTTGATGGACGAGGCTGCGCTGGAGGCGAAGGGTGTCGCTGCCCTGGGGGCGCGGAGGAAGATGCTGAAGACGTTCGAGGTGGTGCGCAAGAAGATGGCCATGGAGGCGCCGGGGAGCGCGACGCCCTCCGCGGCCGCCGCCTGACTGAACGCCTGATGAACAAGCCCATCGTGCTGGTACGGTGTTTCGTGCGCGTGCCGGCATGGACGACGATGACCGCTCGAAAATGGTCGCTCTGGATCCTGAAACACGCTGACGGCCCACGGTGCCGTATAAATATTTCTTGTCTCTCTTTTGTCTCTTCCTCTGCTCTCGGCTTCGGCCTTGGCTCTCCCCATGTATACCTCTCTGGACGCTACCCTCCGTGATACATTGAGGTTCGGCTCGTGTTCGTGGAAGGTTGATTATGAGTACACGCGTCTGCCTCGTATATGTACACTATAATTTGTTGCATGTACCTAGGTCTATCTATTTGGTCCTTCTCAGCTTGACATTCACGAGTGTAACTCCAAGATGCTTGTCTCGCTTTCTCAAGCTCAGGTAGTCAGCGATAGCGGCTATGTGTAGTCACGATGACGGTGAAAGGAAGGCCATATGTATCTGGGCCAGATGAACGCAACGAGCTTCTGGCTACAAGCAACTGCGTGACATTAGGAAACGCTACTGGGATCTCGTCATTCGGGGTAGGTGCTGGAGACGAGAACTGGGCGAGCATGGCAGAGCACGTTGCTCGAATCTCTCTGACAGAATCGAAGTCTTCCAGTCCGGGCCACAACTTCGCATAGAGCGCATAGCAACACAGATACAGTTTGCGTTCATTCGTCTTCTACACAATTGTCACACCTACATAACTTCTTTCTGCATGTTCAATCGTCAATGAGGAGCACCGAGTCGAGCACCGAGAACCCAGCAGCCACGCCGCCCTCATTACTATCCTTGCCCTTCGTCCGAAGGAGCCACCCTATCTCCTTCTCCTTCACCCGCCCATCCGCTCCACCAAACAGCGCCCACCCGAAGATCCCCAGCTCACTGATGACCTCCGCCTTGACCGCGCCCTCCGTCCCGCCGCCCGCACGCACAAGGTAGTTCCCCAGCCCCTCCGGCGCAGCGATGAGCTCCATCGCGATCCACGCCTCGCGCTCCTGTACGGGGAGGCTGTCGAGGAACGCGGGGATCGCCTCCTTGTACACGTTGTTCCCGCCGCCCTCGCGCTGCGGCTTCAGCACCAGCTTCGCGGAGAGCTCGCGGGCCCGCCGGACGCCAGAGCACTCGTTCGCGGGACCGGACGTCGGATTCGCGTTGGGGACGTCCTCGTCCAGGCCCCACATGTCCATCCAGCTCGAGCGCAGCTCGTCCAGCTCAGCGGGGGTGAACACCTCCGTGCCCCAGCGGGAGGAGTCGCCGAGGAACCGCTCGAGCACGCCGGGGTTGGTCAAAACCTGCTGGACTTTCTTGCCGCCTGCGAGTTGTAGTTGAATGGATGGACATTGGATCGCGCGCGAGCTTTCCAGGAGGTAACGCGTATCATAGAACTCGGGGGTCGGATAATCGGTAGGGGTGTAGCCAGCTCTGAAGTAGACCGTCGAGATCTCGACGGATTTAGAGCCATCGGAAAGTAGCCCGGACGGGGTAGTTATCCGGAGAACGCGGGTAGCAGAATCCACTGTCACTGACTGGCCGAGCTGGCGGAACGTCTGTCGGACTACATGGATACCGTGCCTGCCCCTGATTAGTCGGTATATCCCCCAGGACGAGCAACGCTCACTTTTCCAGCAACTCGTACTCGATCCATCGTTGATCGAAGACGTTGCGCTCATTCTCTTGTACCACGAAGAGTATTCGTGCGCTGGGATCCCGGTCACTAAAGCGGGAAGCGGAGTCGTACTGAATCGTGCTCACTTGGGGACACCGTACGCCTTGTGCGCTTCAGCAAGTCCTTCGGCGAGTCCCGCAACGGTGTTGTTAGAAGGGAAGTTCTCTTCCCTGAGATGTGAGGAAACTTCATAATATTGTGTGGATTTGAATAAATATCTAGACGGAATGAATCGATCCTCGCAGCCCCCGGAGATCGCAGACGCACACACCTGTGTAAGTTAGCGGAGCGTTCTGATAGAGCCCCGAAGGATGACGATATGGTGTTGAACTCGACTTGCTTGAGGGACGTTGGCTCGCCGTTGCCGGGAGCGTGTGCGAGGTAGTCCGATCGGAAGAGGCCTAGTTGCAGAGGCTGCATGTCATCGTCTTCATAAGTGGCCTACTTCGATGCAATATCATCTGGACGTACTCGAGGAACATTCTCGTCTCGTAGTTTCCTCCATCGCCGCCAGAGCTGCCCTGTGAACTCATCTACTTTTCCTACGCCCTCCACCTCTCCCATGACGCGATCGAGGAACTCTTCGTCCATTGCGACGCGTGCGTAGAGCACATTGTAGATCCGTTGCAGCCTCTGTGCATGTTGAAACAATCTGCGAGGAAATGGAGAGGGGAAGAGAGCCAGAGGTGCGTGGATCGTGGAGGTCGGTGCGGGTGGCTGAACTGTGGCTACCGGTAGGTAAACGAGGCCATGAGACAAAGCGTAGGTCGTTGCCTGTAGCGTTAGCGATTCAAGCTGGACCTTTGAGAGCACAGGGGGCCATTGCTCAAGGAGCGAGACAGCCATGTTCGCACAGCAGGACGACGAGAGGTCGAAGCCCGGTGCTTGTGCCAATACATGACTGCCGAAAACGGCAGTATGTACATAGCGCCACAGTGGCCACACCGAGGCTGAATATTAGTATCGGACATTATCAGAGAAACAGCGAACTGCAGTGCATTTGTAGCAGCCTCTCTGTAGCATTGACGATGTAAATGTTCAGTCGTCCGATTGAGCCGACAATCAACATGTGTACTTTTGCGGCCCCCAGATGTCGCATTCGAGTCTCGGTCGATCGGTCCTACGAGCACTGGAGCGCTTGCGGGCGTCCTGCCAATCATGTATCGATGATACTCCATTGTATTGTGTGTGTTAAGCTCCTACTGCGAAGCCGCCATCTACGTATCGATAATCGTCGAGACGAAGTATTATGGGCCTGGGTAGTTACCAATCACTGGCACCCATAGCTCAGGCCGTACATATAACGCCTTGTCCTAGTCAACGCTGCCAGTGAGCAACCACCGGTCTTTGAGAAGCTCCGCCGCCGTCGCCCTCTTCTCCGGCTCCCACTGCAACATCCTTCTCGTGAACCGCAGAAACTCTGCTTTCTCCTTGCCTTCCAGTCGAGTCTCCTGCGATTCCAAGGACATCTGTTCCTTGCGTCTGAGACTCGGCAGCCTCCACTGACCATTGTCGTCGAAATAAGAATTATTGGGGTCGGTGCTCAACGATCGACGGACAAATTTGGGCGACGGGTCGCCCATGACTTCCATCATCTCGAGGAGATGTATTGCGTTAGACTCCCGTTCCTGATCATACGGATTGAAGAGACTCTTGTTCTCGAAAAGATGCCAGAGCTGCAAACGGGGTCAGGACTTGTCGAAGAAGACTCCAATGGCACGCACCATCACGCCAGCATTCCATATGTCGACGGGATATGACCAAGGTATAACCAGGACCACCTCGGGAGCACGGTACGGGAATGGCTGTATATCTTGTAGATATGATACATTGCCTGCAGCATCACTGCAGCGGGCTTCCCCGTAGTCGCACAAGACGGCGCACTTGAAATCCTTCGGGAAGGGAACGCGATCCGGAGTCTCGTGGATCACCCTGTCTCCGTCGATCTTCCGGGCGGACGGTTGTGCTGCCTCTACTGACTCCATCCCTTGGAAGATCTTGTCATTGAAGCCGCGCATCAAGATATTCTCGTGACGAAGGTCTACCGACGTGTCAGCTTCACTATATTCGACATCATACATCTTGCTTACCGCCATGAACGATGTTAGCCTTCGAGTGAAGGAAATCCAGGGCTTGTATCACCTCTAGAGCGACCTGGCGCCAAAGAATTAAGTCGTACAGTTGGCCCGGGAGGAACGCTCTGCACAAGTTGATATTGAACTCTAGCGCTTCCAGCACGAAACATTCATGCACGCTCCCGGAAGCACCATTGACTGTGAAGTGGCCGAGTGACTTCTGCACGAATTTGACCGTTTTCAACGGCTCTAGACGTGCAAATGCTGCCTTCTCGCGAGCCACGCTCGGAAAGTTGGTCATGCACACTTTGAGTGCTACGTACAGGTGCTGCCTGAGTGTAATGCTCGGCGTTAAACGGGATGGTGTTAGATGCAGGTGGACGTGCTACTCACCGGAGGTCACGACATAGCCAAACGGTAGCGGAGGAGCCGTAACCGAGCTTTGAGACGACCTGGTACCGGTCTTGGAAGACCTCTCCGATGCGCACAGGGTAAAACGACGAGGGAGAGTACCATTCCAGCTTCTCTTCATCCACCTTTTCAGATGGCGGTATTATTGTGTAACCTGTTGAGGCAAAGGTGCGAGGCGGCGAGGGATCGCGTGGGCCGAGTAGTTGTCGAGCCCATCGCGGCATACGCGCTGAAGAGAGTCCGAATCGTCGACTGTTACGGAGTTCAAGTTCGAATGCGCCGGAAAAGCGAGGCGTCAGAATAGCTGCTCGAGCGGCACCAGGGAGCAACATCGAGAGCAGACGCGTTGTTAGAACATGACCGTTCCCGACCTTCCGTCGCACCGAGCCCCCTACGCGAAAGAACTCACACACAAGCGGAGGATGTCGGGCATCCCGTTCATTGCAGCCAACTCCAGGTGATCCGAGTCCGCGCGGGCCACCTACTTGTTATGGTACTACTATCCGGATGGAGTTAGTACAAATCTCCCCTAGCCGCACAGTAAGACGCATCCACAGAGCTGAGACGCGTCAAGAGGGTACATAGTCGGCATACTCTCAGACAAGGAGTTCCGAGTCGCCCAAACTTAGCCTGCACCAAGTACCCACATCGTGGAGTCCAGAGGAGGATAGATCCGATCTAAGATCTAGATGTGGTGTTATCCGAACGCGTCCATAACAGGAGGCTGGTGAAATCTCAGTGGCTCGCAGCGTACTGCGACGCGAACACGACATTGACCGCTGCTGCCTGCACGCCACTGGACCTCTGCCAAAAATCCAGCAGCATCTGTGACTGTAATGTGCCTGGACTACTAACGTTTGAGTCCTGGCAGACGAGTTCCAGTCAGGGCGCTTAGGCCAGTATCTCTGAGTTCGTCCCCTGATATGTAAAGTAGCCGCCCAGGCCCCAGGCCATTTGTTATCATCGGCCCAACGAACAACTCACAAGGCAGACTCGCGCTGCCCCTGCGCTGCCCCTTTGTCTCGTACACCATCGAGAGGGTGCATAGCAGGTGACTTGAAACAAGGCCAAGATGCTCACCTTCTACTTCCTCGCTGTCGGCATCTTATACATCATCTATGAGCGGCTCGTACTGTCCCCTCTCAACAAGCTCCCGGGACCCTCGCTCGCTGGAGCGACGCGACTAGTGCTCATGTATCATGAGTTCACGCGCACCAGGAAGCAATGGATCCACGAGCTTCACCTTCGGTATGGTCCCGTCGTGCGGATTGCCCCAGACGAGGTGTCCTTCGCGAGCTGGGATGCAGTGAAGGAGGTATACGCCTCCGAAGGCAGCGGATACGAGAAGACTGGATTTTACAAGCTGTTTGATAATTATAGCACAATGTAGGTGTCAGCTCGCCCCATGTACTATAGACCGCCGTAGTTCTCACACACGACACACTACAGGTGCATGTTCTCCGCCATAACGAAGGGTCCCGTGAGTGTTTTCAATAACGCTCTATCCAACATTGAAGGAGTTTCGATGGGATCTATCAGCATGGAGAACGCAAGAAGATTTTCTCCGACAGATACGCCAAATCGTACATCATGCAGCCAGAGACTGTGAGCGGGATTGAAGACCGTGCTGGAGAATTTGTCATCGCATGCACGGAGAACCTCGGCAAAGCTGTCGATGTTTATGTGCGTCATCTTCGTTCACATGATAAATACCGCTCTGAACAAGACGAGACAGGTCTTCCTGCATTGCTATGCACTCGACTGTATCACGTATCACCTGTTTGACCCGCTGGGGACGCACACACTGACTGACGCAGCGGACCGAGTGAAAATGAAGGAAATCGCGTACCAAGACAACCTCACAGGTTCGAATGTACTCACTGCTGCCGTGACGATCCGTGACTGACACCAAGCCAGATTCATACAAGGAATACTACCTCACAGACCTGATCCCCAAAGAGGTCGAGGCCTTGATTTCCAAGTACCTACGGCGTCCTCCCCGACCCCGGCGCATCGCGACGCAGGTGATGAACACTGCTCGGCGGAGTGACGTTGCGAACCACACCGTGCTCTCCAAGCTCCTCGAAGCAAACCTGCCTACGAAGTCGATCGCCTCCGAGATGCTGGACCACGCCATCGCGGGGCACGACACGACGGGCGACGGGCTTTGCTTCCTCATGCACGAGCTCTCCCTCCCACGTTCGTCGGCGATCCAAGAGAAGCTACACTGCGAGCTCGCGGAGAACCCGAGTGCGCCCATAGACGATCTGCCGTACCTCGACGCGGTGGTGAAAGAGGGTTTGCGGCTGTTTTCGCCCATCCCGATGAGCCTCCCGCGCAGGGTGCCGACGGGCGGGCGGCGCATTGGCGATGCATACGTGCCGGGGAACACCATCGTGAGCTGCCAGGCGTATACGCTGCATCGTCTTGACGAGAGGGTGTTCCCGGACCCTGACACGTTTATGCCCGAGCGGTGGTTAGAATCTGAGGGCGTCACAGAGCGGAACCAGCTGTTCTTCGCGTTCAGTACGGGCGGGAGGGGATGCATCGGGAAGCAGTAAGTTGTCATCGTGACTAAAGCGCGTCCTGACGAGTACTGAGTTTCAACGTGACAGCCTTGCTTTGCTGGAGATGAAGATGTTGTTGAGAGAGGTGTACTCGAGCTATCGTACTCAAGTTGCACCGGAGATGTCGGCATCCATGGAGCAGGATGACCAGATCATCGCGTCGCGGCCGAAGGGACAACAGTGCCTACTGATATTCGAGAAGATAGCTTGAGGACTTTGACATGCGTACAAATGTCACGCGTCTGTTGTAGTTTCCATAGACTACCTGTGCTGCAACGGATGTCCTGTGGAGACATCACCAGCACCTTCGGCCTGGGGACGCTATGCCGTCATCCGACACCGACTTCAGACCTTGGCAAGCTCGCAAACAGACGTGAGTTGCACTGCGAGAACGCATTGATTTGTGGACTTGCCATGGTGCATCGGAGAGCCGAATTCTTCGCTAGTACACCTGAGTGCGTTGACGCGAAACATCAATAGCAGAGACAACGCTGAAGCGCTGACCCCGCTTGTCGTTCTTCTATTATCGGCAACGCAGACTGACGCAGCAGTGAAAACGGCCGAGTGCCCGATACAGTCAAGTTGTAGGCGTGGATTTCACGCCAGCTGCAGCTCCATCATATTGTCACACGACATGTAATGGGAGGGAACATCAGTACCTTTGCTAGGTATTATCTACGTATACGTACAAGGCTACCACAGTGAGGACGGCACGGTTCCACCAGATATCAATAGCCCGTGAATGAGAGAATTGGACATACAAGAGAAACGGAGACGTGGAACCCCGAGACCATCAGTCACTGCCCTTGGAAAACCACGGGTCTCGAAGAAGTTCCGCTGCTGTCGCCCTCTTCTCCGGCTCCCATTGCAGCATCCTTCTCATGAACCGTAGGAATTCTGCTTTCTCCTCGCCTTCCAGTTGAGTCTCCAGCGATTCTAAAGACCTCTCTTTCTTGCGTTTGATTCTCTGTAGCTTCCACAGACCATTTTCATCGAAACAAGAATGATCGGTGATTATCGAGCGACGGACGAATTCGGGCGACGGGTCGCCCATGATCTCCATCATCTCATGAATATGTAGTCCGTTAGACTCCCGTCCCTGTTGGTTATACGGATTGAAGAGACTCTTGTTCTCGAAAAGATGCCAGAGCTGCAAACAGGGTCAGGACTTGTCGAAGAAGACTCCAATGACACGCACCATTACGCCAGCATTCCATATGTCGACGGGGTATGACCAAGGTATACCCAGGGCCAACTCGGGAGCACGGTACAGGAATGGCTGTATATCGTCTGTATATGTATTGCCTGCATCACTGCAGCGGGCTTCCCCATAGTCGCACAAGACGGCGCACTTGAAGCCTTCCTTCGGGAAGGGAACACGATCCGGAGTCTCGTAGACCACCCTGTCTCCGTCGATCTTCCGCGCGGACGGTCGTGCTGCCTCTATTGACTCCATCCCTTGGTGGATCTTGTCATTGAAGCCGCGCATCAAGATATTCTCGTGACGAAGGTCTAGCAGTGTGTCAGCTTCACTGTAGTCGACATCGTACATATTGCTTACCGCAATGTATAATCTTAGCCTTCGAGTGAAGGAAATCCAGGGCTTGTATCACCTCTCGAGCGACCCGGCGCCAAAGAACCAAGTCGTACAGTTGGCCCGGGAGGAACGCTCTGCACAAGTTGATATTGAACTCTAGCGCTTCCAGCACGAAACAGTCATGTACGCTCCCGGAAGCACCATTGATTGTGAAGTGGCCGAGTGACTTCTGTAGGATTGGAGGAGTACCGAGCGATGCCAGGCGCGCGAATGCTGCCTTCTCACGCGCCACGCTGGGATAGCCAGGGACACAAACTTTGAGTGCCACGTACGAATGATGCCTGGTCATTCATTAATATGCATCTGTGGCGGAGTCGAGAGTACAAGTAGGCACGCTACTCACCGAAGGTCGCGACAAAGCCAGACGGTAGCAGAGGTTCCATAGCCAAGCTTTGAAACAACTTGATAGCGGTCTTGAAAATTTTCGCCAATGCGAACGGGGTAAAAAGAGGCCGGGGTATACCAAGCAAGCGTCTCCTCCTCCACTTTCTCAGATGGCGGGATGAGTCTGAACCCTGACGTAGCAAACGTGCGAGGCGGCGAAGGACCGCGACGGAGCAGACGTCTGGTTAAATGCTGCATGCCGTTCAAGCGAGGATAGTGATCACAGACATGAAGGCGAGTCCTCCAGATAGCTGCTCTAGTAGCCGCAGCAGGGGGGAACATGGGGGACAAGACCAGTCTGTAGAAAGATCCTAGTAAGTACCACGTAGTAGGGCCGGTACTACTTACGTTTCAACGAACGGGACATGGGAGGACCCCGAATACCTTCCCTAGGGTCTCGCTGTTACGCCGAGGTCGAGGCGGCGAGGGTTCGCGTGGGCCGAGGAGTCGTAGAATTCATCGCAGCATACACGTTGAAGTTGAAGAGACTTCGAGTCGGTGATATGGATTCCAAATCCAGGCGTCAAGGGCTCGAGCGGCCCCAGGAACGAACTTCAGAGCAGATTCGTGAGTGGAACATGACCGTGTTCAACTTTCCGCGTTGGACCTCTAACTGGCCTCTAACTTGCTTAGTCGTGACTGCACAACATCGGTGCGAGGAGGAGGAGGAGGAGGAGGAAGAGGGGGATCCATTCAGCCACGCGGTGCACGGAGGAGTAAGTACAGATCCGATCTCATATTATCTGGACATGTCCAAAACAGGAAGGCCATTCAAGCTTCAAGGATCGCGTCGACGTGGAGTCCGGACTGCCGCTAGCTATTCCTTATACATATCTCAACCTGCTCTAGACACACACTTGCAGGTCTCTGCGTCTGCTTATCTTCACTGCTGACTGCGCGAAGCTCTGTAGTAGCCGCCGGAACCCTTCGTTATCATCATAAGGTTTAAGGAATAACTTCTTAACTGGTAGGCTGACTCGTGTTGCACAATCGCACTCCCTCGTCCCAGACACCATCGAGCGAGTCAACAGGTGTGGCCTGTCCCTAAGTTAAGATGCTCGCACTCTACTTCCTCGCTGCCGGCATCCTGTACGTCGTCTATGAGCGGCTCGTATTATCTCCACTGGGCAAGATCCCGGGACCCTCGCTCGCTGGAGCGACGCGGCTGGTGCTCATGTACCACGAGTTTACTGGAACAAGGACACAATGGATCCACGAGCTCCACCTCCGGTATGGCTCAGTTGTGCGGATCGCCCCAGACGAGGTGTCATTCGCGAGCTGGAATGCTGTCAAGGAGCTATATGTCTCCGAGGGCAGCGGGTACGAGAAGACCGGGTTTTACAAGTTGTTTGACAACTACAGCGCTATGTAGGTATCAGCTTTCCCCTTGCGCAATGAACCGCAGTAGTTCTCACACATGACACAAAACAGGTGCATGTTCTCCACCATAACGAAGGGTCCCGTGAGTGTCTTCGACAGCGCTCCATCCAGAAAAGGATCTCAATTGCGGCTATCAGCATGGAGAACGCAAGAAGATATTCTCCGATAGATACACCAAGTCGTATATCATGCAGCCAGAGACTGTGAGCGGGATTCAAGACCGCGCTGAAGAATGTATCAACATATGCACGGAGAACGTCGGCAAAGCTGTTGATGTCTATGTTCGTCATCCTCTCTTACACCCTAGTATTTGCTCTGAACAAGACGAAACAGGTTCTTCTACATTGCTATGGACTCGACTGTATCACGTATCACCTGTTCGACCCGCTGGGGACGCACACACTGGCTGACCCAGCGGACCGAATGAAGATGAAGGAAATCGCGTACCAAGACAACCTCATAGGTTCGAACTTTTGCACCGCTGCGGTGACGATCAATTACTGACATGAAGTAAGATTCATACAAGGAGTACTACCTCACCAAAATGATCCCCAGCGAGGTCGTTACCTTGTTGTACAAGTACTTAGTCCGTCGTCCTGCCCGGCCACAGCGCATCACGACGCAGGTGATGAACACCGCCCGGCGGAGCGACGTTGCGAGCCACACAGTGCTCTCCAAGCTCCTCGAGGCCAACCTGCCCGCGGAGTCCATCGCTTCGGAGATGTTTGACCACACCATCGCGGGGCACGATACGACGGGCGACGGGCTTTGCTTCCTCATGCACGAGCTGTCCCTTCCGCGCTCCGCCGCGATTCAGGAGAGTCTGCAGCACGAGCTCGCAGAGAACCCTAGCGCACCTATAGACGACCTGCCATACCTCGACGCGGTCGTGAAGGAAGGGCTCAGATGCTTCTCGCCCAGCCCGATGAGCCTCCCGCGCAGGGTGCCGAAGGGCGGGCGGCGCGTTAGCGACGCATACATACCGGAGAACACGATCGTGAGCTGCCAAGCGTATACGCTGCATCGCCTCGACGAGAGGGTGTTCCCGAATCCTGACGCGTTTATGCCCGAGCGGTGGTTGGAGTCCGAGGGCATCATGGAGCGGAACCAACTGTTCTTTGCTTTTGGTGCGGGCGGGAGGGGATGCATCGGGAAGCAGTGAGTCGGTGTGGTCACGGCAGTTCGCCCCAAAGAATTGACTTCGTGTGACAGCCTCGCACTGTTGGAAATGAAGCTGCTGTTAAGAGAGGCATACTCGAGCTATCGCACTCGAGTTGCACCGGAGATGTCGGCATCCATGGAGCGGGACGACCAGTTTATTGTGTCGCGGCCAAAGGGACAGCAGTGCCTTCTGATCTTCGAGAAGCTATAACTTGAGGACCGTGATATTCGTGAAAGATGTTCAATGTTCGGCTGTACATGTAGATGCGTTGTAGCTTGAATAGACTACCTGGGTGACAACAATACTCATCCGAGAGATCAATCCCGGCCAGAGGCCACGAGTGAAGATAACATCAATGGCTCACATGCTCGTGAGTACGACACACGGCATAACGTCACGGAGGCATCGACAGCAGAAACAACCAGGTTCATGAGGATCGTCGCCTCGTCGGATCACTCCCGGTAAGTTGAGCAATACAATAACCTACACAACCCAGATATAGCACACTGCTGCTTCGGTTCACGGTCGTACTTCCCCCTGTTTACAGCTTCCCCTTGATCTCCTCCTGGAGCTTAGACAGCTCGTCCATGGAGAGCTTCTGCTGAGGCCATCCGATGACGAGTCCTTCCTTGTCGGTCTCGCTGGGCTTGGGGATGACGTGAAAGTGGACGTGGTCGACGACCTGGTGTGCGATACGGCCGTTGTTCTGTGAAGGTTTCGGAGTTAGTATTGTATGTACGCGTGGTTCCGTGCCATCTGCAACGAGGAGTACACCGCGAGTGGAAGATCACAACATCCGATGTGATTCGCAAGGTAGACAGAATGTATCTCAAGAAGAAGCACGGACAGTCACTCGGTATGCTCACCTGGAGGATGTTGTAGTCGACAAGACCCTGCGCAACGGCGATCTTCTTCGCGACCACCATGAGGTCCTTCAAATGCTCGTCTGGAACATCGTGCAGCTTCTCAGCATGGTCTGCCACGCACCAGGGCGAACCTCCCAGTCAGCACAACTCGCACACTCGCGCCGGCATATATATGACGTACACTTCGGGATGATGAGGGCGTGCCCCTTAGCCAGCGGGTTGATGTCGAGGAAGGAGTACGCGGACTCGGTCTCGAGGAGCTTGAAGCTCGGGATCTCTCCTGCATACGTGTCCGTGCACGTCGAGATCAGCGATGCGGCGTTAGCTGGTAAACGTTGGCTCAGGCAGACCTTTGACGATCTTGCAGAAGATGCAGCTAGCGAGTGTCCTGGTAAGTGTGTTGAGACAGATACTAGAGCGTAAGATTTGTCTGACCTTGCGTTGGTGGCCATGGCAGACGTTGCTGTCGGGTGAGACGAGGGTCAACCGTAAGGTCGAGAGAGGTCGGGTGGTCGGGATGCCCGATGCACTGGGCGCCGCAATATCGCGATCACGTGGGCATTGCATCACATCGACTTCGCCGGAGCGCTTCAGAATTCGAATGCCAGAGATCGCGCGCCGCGTGCGGCGCGGCCGCTACGTCATGGATCATAACATAGATCCTAAGGAGTCTCTTTCAATGGCGGCAAGTTTACTCTCACGAATGTCCGTAATTGTCATGAATGATCATCTCCAGCCTGACAGTGAGTAGCGCCATGTCGTACGTCCCCATTAACCAGTCACGAACATCGTCAACCACTGGTCGAGTTATACTTACTTAGCATCCGTTCCGGTGGTATTGTTAACGTCACTCCCTGTAGCTCCCTGTACGCCATGTAACATCATGATGAGGAGTATTGTGAGGAGCAAGAAGTCGCGTCCGCGAAGATTGAATTCGGATTTCGTCATGCTGCCGGAGATATTCCGATCTCATATCTCGGCACTTCTCTCGTTACATAACGCTCTCGATTTCGCCTCCCCGGCCTCCGTTCAGCTATATAACCCACACCCACATCCTCGCTGCGCATCGCATGTCTGACAGCCACTACAAACCTCTACCTACTCACGACCCGGAGAGCTCTGAGGTCCCGCAGAAGCCCCTGTCTCGCAAACACCGCGTACTCAGGAACTTCACCACCCTTCTCCGCGTATTCGTCGTCATGGTCGTCGCATTCGCAGGAGTACGCATGCTCAGCCGCGCGGGCATGAGCCTTCGTGGATGCCACCGCAAGGGCTTCCAAAGTGTGCGTAACGTCTCGAGCCTGCCGGAGTACTACACGCTGCTAAGCGGGGACAAGATTCCGTCAGTTGCTCTCGGTGAGTTCTCTATCTGAGGCTGTCGAAACAATGTACGGGGTTCGCGTGCTCTTCAGGTCGCTACGCAGGCAGACCCTGCTATTCCGCATGTCTTCGCCTAGCCAGGACCAGGCTGAACACAACTCACATGGAAGACACGAAGTCTCGGTCTGCGCACTTGGCGCCTGACCCGCCTGCGGGCTCGGTCTGATTCATTCTGGCACCGGCCTAAGTGCGACATCCGTGTTCAGATCTATGGTCCTTTGATCCGGTTGAAGGTGTTGTACGCAGATACATAGTGTACTGGGGGCCATTTGACGCCTTCCTCCAGACTCGGTCTGGCTTACCTATCCCCAAACCGAGCTTTCGTCATCTTACACGCTGCGCGGACACTACCGCGTCATCGGTCGGTGACTCAATGGAACAGGTCTCCTCCTCTGAGCGCGCGACATCATATGCTTGCACCGACGATTGATGATAGCTCGGTTGACATGTGTCTTGTCGTGCAGGTGTCTGGCAGGCGAGTCCAGGCGAAGTTGGTGCCGCGGTCAAGACGGCACTCAACGCCGGCTACCGACACATTGACGGTGCCTGGATCTACAGGGTGTGTTGCGTTCTTCTCAGGGCTGGCATCCGAATAATACTCATGACTTAACAGAACGAAGCGGAAGTTGGGCAGGCGATCGAGCAGAGCGGCGTCTCACGCAAGGACCTCTGGCTCACCTCGAAGCTCTGGAACACCTTCCACGCGCCAGAGGACATCGAGCCTGCGCTCGACGACTCGCTGCAGAAGCTCGGCACGGACTACCTCGACCTTTACCTCATCCACTGGCCCGTCGCGTTCAAGAAGGATACGACTGAAGTCGATGAGGCGCTCACTGCGGATCCGTACCCGACTTGGCAGAAACTCGAGGAGCTGGTCGAGAAGGGCAAAGTCCGCAACATAGGCATTAGCAAGTGAGTCTCTGCGCTGCGCCGGCGTTGAGTGGACTGACCGACCTCGCGTAGCTTCAACATTCCGCGAGTGAAGAACCTGACGGCGAACAACCTCAAGATCCAGCCCGCCGTGAACCAGGTGGAGCTGAACTTCTGGAACCCGCAGCCAGAGCTGTTGAAATGGTCGAAGGATAACGGAGTCTTGCTCGAGGCATACAGCCCGCTCGGGAGCAACAAGCAGGTGAAGGAGACGCTGAGCCAGCCGGAGGTGAAGAAGATTGCGGAGACCCTCGGCATCACACCCGCGCAGGCGATCATCAGCTGGCACGTCCAGCGCGGGACGATCGTGCTGCCGAAGAGCGTGACGCCCTCTCGCGTCGAGGAGAACTTCAAGGGTGAGTCTTATTGCGCATGGACCGTCAAGGCGGGCCAAGCTGACATGTCGACAGTCTTCCCGCTGCCGGATGACCTGTTCGATAAGCTCGAGGCTGCCGCGGCCGCACATCCACCTCAGCGCGTCGTCAATCCGAGCAAGGGCTGGCGCCTCGGATACGACGTCTTTGACGATTACCCCAACTGAATAGGCATTTCCGATGAGCGGCTGCCGCGAGGTGTATACCGATCGAACTCGGATGTGTGTTTGTAAGCTGTCATTGAAGCCTCTGGCATGTAATCGGATCACTTTGGCGGGAAGGCCTGCAATGCGCGACTTTCCAAGGCTGCGAGCGTATTGGTAACGACATGGTCTTAAAATCGCCTCGACAGTCCCTTTTCAGATTACGGGAGTTGACGTCGGGAGCACTCACTGTAAACGCGTCGACGCGTTTGTGGCGTGTATTCTGACCATGCGTCTACGAACGAGACGGCGGTATATATGACAACTTCCAACTTGAGATTTGGATGCGCGCAATATCCAGTCTACGCCGCGCTTAGCATTCAACGTTGCCAACTCGTACGCGGCAACGCCGAGGGCGGCGCTCCCACACACGCGGTTGTCAGCCCCTCTTACTCAGCGTTTTGCTCAGCCACCCATAGCCATCGCGTAATTTTCTCGCCGTAAGGCTCTGTCAGTAACCATGTACTGTAATCCATTTAACGGCCGCGAACTGGGCGCGAACTTCACAACCATCTAGACGCGACGACACCCGTATAAAATGGCGTCCCAGTACCTGCCCTTCTCCCCGGATACACGTCTCATCCTGGTCACGACTGCCGTCGCCACGCCGGTACTCTTCTACGCTATTCAGAAGCTCACTTCCCGTCCTACGACCGCGAACATTGACATGCCGAAGCAGACAGTCGTCGTGCTTGGCGGTGGATGGACAGGCTCGCTCGCCGCGCGTCGTCTGTCCGCCGAGCTCGATCCTCGCAAGTACGAGCTCATCCTCATCAACGACCGCCCGTATGCCATCAACCTCATTGCGGGCGCGCGGATGACGTCCACGACCGTCGACAACCTGGATACCAAGGACAAGGGCCTTTTGGCGTACGACAAGTTGTTTCAGAACGGTAACGGCAGCGTGAAAGTCGCGCGTGCGGTCGCGGTGGAGGAGGATAAGGAGAGTGGGAAGGGAGGCTGGGTCGTCCTCGAGGGTGATGAGAAGGTCAGGTGGGACGCGCTCGTGGTAGCGACGGGTAGTGCGTGGCAGGGGCCTTTGGCATTCCCCGATGAAGAGAAGCTGCCTGCGCATGTTCAGCAGTGGAGGGAACGCGTGAAGGGTGCCAGCGATATCTATGTCGTTGGGGGCGGTGCAGTCGGTATCGGTGCGTGCACGCGTTTGCGCTCATCAATCGCCTCGCTGACGGGGTTGTGAAAAAGAGTTCGCCGGAGAAATCAACGAGGCCTACCCCGACAAGAAAGTAACGATCATCCACAGCGGCTCGAAGTTGCTCACGTCCGTTTACCCTGATAAGTACCGCAACGATATCGAGAAGAAGGCACGCGCTCGCGGTATCAACATTGTCTTCAACGAATACGTCGACGAGATCCCTCAACCTGGTGTGCAGGGTCTGACGACGCGTAAAGGGACGCGCTTTGACACCGCAGATCTCGTGGTACGTTCGTACGGTCTTGAAGCGCCAACACCAACTCAATATGACACATTAGATCCCTGCCTTTGGATCGCGCCCAAACACAGCCGTCGTTGCCTCCCTCACTCCCTCGCCAATCTCCAGCAACGGCAGCCTTAAGGTCAACCCGACACTTGAGGTGCAGGGTCACCCGGGTATCTTCGCTGTCGGCGACGTTGTGGACTGGGACGAGCAGAAGCAGGCGGCGAAGGGCGCAAACCACCTGGGGATCGCCGTTCCGAACGTTGTGAGCTATGTCGAGGGCAAACCGCTGAAGAAGGTATACAATGGCAGCCCGGAGCTTATCCTGATTCCTCTGGGCAAGGTTAGTGTTCTCTCCGTCACCTATGTGAAACGTACTGATGTCCTTTGATAGACCGGTGGTTCAGCATACCTGGGCTTTCTCTGGGGTATCATGCTCGGCGATTGGGCGTCGCGGACTCTCAAGGGCAAGGACCTCTTCGTACCGCAATCTAGGAAAGATCGGGGTCTTGAGGTTGTCTAGCTTCATTGATTGTCTTCTGGGTGCCGGAACCTGGACCGTGACCGCGTACTGTAATCTTGTATTGTATTGTCTGCTGATAGTAATATTTTATTAGACAGAACTGACAATCCAACAAGACACGCAAGGCAGGTTCGTATGCATGCTGGGGTTACATGATCGCTTGGCCAATCAGGACCACTGAGTAGCCCTCGATGGCCTAGCACGTGCTTACTGACATTTGAGATGGGCGGCTTAGATCGAATTCAACACACGGTAAGTTTCGATGATCTGGCTCGAACATGCTGTTCACGCAATGGTGTTATAGGTGGGTCAGATAATGAAGCTTGTGTTATGGCATTGAGTCAACGGCCCATGGTGAGTCATTCCACCCGTGTACGACGTACCGCTACTGAGTAGGTACCACTCATGATGATGAGACGAAGTCCACACTGCGCGCTCAACATGCGGACATTCCTCCTCGAACCGTATGTGACAGCGCGGTGAGAATTAGAATCGTCATTAGCATGTACACTGCCTATGACGTTCCTTTAACATAGCCCTTACCACACGGCGAACGCTCCAGAGGTAAGTACTGCGAGAAGTCATCATGTCACGACTGATACAGCGCTTCGGTGAGTGCGTTACTAACTTATATGATATGGACTCACGGCGGTCTTCGTTATCTCACGCTTGAAGCAAGCCCATTCGCTGTGCAGAGCGTCGGAAGCGTCGGAACCGCAGGTCATGACACCGCGGGCAAACCAGGTTTTTCGGGCTCCGAAGATGCTAATAACATCGGTCCTCCATGGGAACCTTTTCGGAGAGCTTGACTGACTCCGAAAATGCTCCCGCATTTCTCATGTTCGTAGCATGTTCGCCGAAAACACGCATGTTCGGCCTCCGAACATGCTGAAATCGGCTAAAATGCATCATGTTCGCAGCATGCTCTGCCAATATTCGGAGTCCGTAAAGGTTCCCAGGCGGGACTGATGTTCGTAGGGGTTTTCGGAGTTGGAACAACCTGGTTTGCCCGCGGTGTGAGTAGTCAAATGCTGGCAAAGTTCCGCTTATGTGTCCCAATCAGGTTCGCAGGCACGGTTGGGCTGCGTTCATCGTGTGGCAGTATCGTTGTACTGGAAGAACCGCACGGCGTGCTTCTCTCGTTCCTGCTGACTGCCTGCGCAATACTCGCGGCTATGGATGGCCGCCATCATGACAGGCCCGGGCTTCACCTCACTACGTCGCTTTCAAGTTGTGACTCGGTGAGATACGCAGTAAGTGTACATATACAGCAGTGATTACCATTTTGAGCCTCCAGATAACGACGCAAGTCACGAAGTCACAAACCCCACCTCTAGCGCTGATATGCTACTCTTGTAGATAAAGAGGGCCGGTTCAGTCGCGGCGCACCCCACGACATGGCACACTCATCCCAAACTACATCGACTGCGGGTCGACCCACGACTGGCGCATTCTATGAGTTCTGGACACGCCAGGGTGAGTCACATACGGATGTTCTCGATAACGATTCGTCAACTAATCAATCTCGATGCTAAGCGTCCGCGCAGTTGAGTGAACCTTCAGTGATTTGGTACGGACTTTTTCGAGGGAGCTTGTGGTATTCTGCTAACTCCACCTGCTTTAGCACCGAGGCACTGCGGAAACTACACCCGGACGCCGCCATTGTTGCTTTCAGTGATGCCTCCGGCTTCAACTTGCAAGGTCTCCCCGATGTCAAGACCACCTCTGTCGAGCCACAGTCCATTAGTGTGAAGACTTTCACTGCTGCTGCTCGGAAGTTATCCCGCCAAGGTGGTGCAGCCGGAAAGATCACAGACAGCTGGAAGTTTGCAGCGATGAAGCTGACATGGGAGGTAAATGTTGCACGGCCCTCGATATGTGTATGACCAATCTGACGTCGACCGATGCACTAGACGGATGAATTCCTATGCTACGTTGTGCAGGTCGGCAGCGCTCGTCACGGGATTATCGGAAACGCTTTCCACTGACACCGTAATGTCTACCTACAGTATGTCTATAGCCATCAACGCACGCAGTTGACCACCCACTTCCTCGTGCACAACTCTGCCGACCGTTGTCACGCCCTACTGGAAGCGGCTGGCGCGTGGCAGGCGCAGTTGCACGAGGAGATTCTCGTCTTTGATGAAGCACTCTGGCAGAAGCATCACGGGCTTTGGGCCGAGGTTCACAAAGCAAACTGGGCCGACGTCATTCTGAAGGAAGAGTTCAAAGAGCAGCTCATGGACGATGTGGAGGGATTCTTCGACAGCGAGGACCTATACAAGGGTTTGGCTGTACCATGGAAGGTGAGCAATCGTCTACGATTGGGTCGGGGCGGAGGCTCATTGGTCTCTGTGCAGCGAGGTATAATTATCCACGGCCCGCCGGGAAACGGCAAGACCATCACCCTCAAAGCAATCATGAAGACCTGTTCTGATCGCGGGTTCGCACCGCTATACGTCAAGTCCTTCCGGCACCATAGAGGCGATGAGGGCGCCATGGTGGAGGTGTTCAACAAGGCGCGCGAGATGGCACCCTGCGTTATGGTACGTTCACCCCATCCGTTCCATATTGTAAAAGCGGCCTCATTCCGCAGTGCAGGTGCTCGAGGATCTCGACTCGCTAATCACGGACAAGAATCGGAGCTTCTTCCTGAACCAGCTTGATGGTCTAGAGGGCAACGACGGGCTCCTACTCATTGCAAGCACAAACCACCTCGAGAAGCTCGACGTCGCCCTGAGTGGGCGGCCGAGTCGGTTCGACCGCAAGTTGTAAGTTATGTGCCACCATGCCTCTAACAGGACCGATAGCTGACAGTGTGTGAAGTGCATTCGACGACCCGGACGAACGGGAGCGCACTCTGTACGTGAAGTACTGGCAGAAGAAGCTCGAGAGCAACTCGGCTGTCGAGTTCTCTGATGCACTTGTCGAGGAGCTCGTATCCGCGACTGCCGGCTTCAGTTTCGCGTACTGCAAAGAAGTCTTGTGAGTGGTTCCCAAACCTTTGGTTAAGTCCCCGCTCGTGACTGATAATTACTTGTTGCAGTATCTCTTCCCTTGTGCTCCTTGCGAATCCCAAACGTGCCATGACTTCGTCTTTCGGAGACGTAACGAAAGGGCAGATCCAAGATCTCCGATTGCAGATGGAGAAGGCCAAGGCACAGGCCGCGGCAAATCCATCCACCCAAGAGACCGACAACGGAACACAGGTGATGGTTCCACGAATTGTGAGGATGGCCCAGGGGATGGCCATGGCTCAGCCCATTGTCGGGTGATATTCGTATTTCAGATGGCCTAGTGTAGTATCGAAGTGACTTCCTTCGTCTTGACATAGTAGCGATTGCATGGTTCTAGCCTAAGTCGAATAACGCACGCAGTCATATGATGGTGCACACGACGAGTGATTCGGAGTGAACGATCAGTAAGACTCAGAGTCGAAGTCCTCAAGCTTCACTCGGGACCGTACCCACTCACTGTGTCACGTCACCTCGTGTACTTATGTGCATGCATGATCGATATCTTGAACAACGATTCAAGAGCGACTTCGCTTGGGACGTCGCGGCGTGGGATGTCGTTCTGTGGAACGCTATAGAGGGTGCTGCAGACTGCATGCATATCTGGGGTCTCACAGTGCCACGGCAAGCGCTGCTTGAAAAGACTATACAGAACTTTCATATGGCAACTAGTAAGTCAAACTATGTACAGACGTCTCAACCACCGCGCTCCTATCGCCCTCGAGTTACGTCTACATATGTGCAGGCCTGAAGCACGTCGCTTTCTTCAGGTGCCGAAGGAAAGAGTCCCGACGACTGAATGTCTTCATACAGCCACCGACCATGCGTCGTCCCCCGTATTCGTAAGGCACCCCTTGATGTACGGGGGCCTCCTCCTCCGGGAGTCCACAGCAGACCAACTCCGGATCGCAGATGTGCGCGAAATGGGTACGCTCATGGCGCTCGAGGTCGCCCTTTCGCGTCGTCGAGAACGAGCAGTGTCGGCAGTCCGACCGCTCATGATGCGCATCGATGCGTGCGTAAGGAACAAAGCCGACTTGTTTGTTCCGCGGTGACGTCCTCCGTACGCCGCCTGAAGCATAAGAGGGATCGGTGGCTGTGTTGCTGGGGCGGGCGTGTCCGCGGCGAATGGAGCTTCTGCGTGCCCTCGGCAGCCGCTTCGAGGACCTGTCAGAGGTGGCGGATCTCGAGTCGGCGGCAGTGGGTGATGACGTCGCAGGCGAGTGAGTATCGCACAACGTCTCGGAAGGCGATTCGGGAGAGGAAAACGGCGGCCATTCCAATGGAGAGGACATATATGAGGCGGAGGGCACTGTGTCCGCCGAAGTGCTCGTATCGGATGGTCCTTGTATGGGCGCGAATGTTGTATAATGAGACGGTTCGACAGAAATTGGGTTCTGCAATGCTGCAGTCCAGGAAGTTGAGGGACGATAATCTCCTGCAGAGCTGCCCTCGACGAAAGGCTGGAGATCCTCTACCGAATATAGTGCTGCGTCTACACACAGTTGCGATAGACTAGATGAATGGAAGAGTCAGTGTAGTACTAGACGCGGTTATATGTGCACGCACTCAGAGTACGGAGCCAGGATATCGGAGGGTCCGCGAAGTGTGTCCATCAAGGGATCGAAGCCTAGTACATCCGAGTAGGGTAGGAACCCGTCTGCACTCCAGTTGTCGTACATGAAGCCGTCATAGTCTCTAGGGAGGCTGTCGTTCCTACACGACAAGGATTCCGCAGACAGCAGTAGGTCGGGCACGGAGGACGTATACACGCCCTGGTCTGAGTCGTACTGCATGTACTGAGTGGCGGACATAGACTCGGAGACAGATGTCGAGTTGCTGCACGGGGAGGGCTAGTGATGGGGGCATCATGGCGGGCGAAGCATGCTTTTATACCTGTAGGGGAAGAAAGCATCCCGCCGCTGTGCAGCGCAAGGCGGCGAGGGTCGAGGGAATAGAGTGCACCTCTACAAGCACCAAGAAGCGCGCGACCATACCTTATATGGTGCAAACGGGGTGTCGTGATGCAAACGAAGTGTACCTCTACAAGCACCACGGCGTTAGCGGACGAAGTGGCGAGATAATCATGGAGATCAGCGTACCTCTACAAGCACCATCCAAATCGAGCGACCAGTCGCCGTCGATGCACGCCAACGGCAAAGGCGCCAAGGGTCACGAAGATAACTCACTGGACTGTTGAAGTTGATGATGACAGAACATGATGCTGCCACGCTCAAACAGACCTTCGATGTGATTCACAGCGATACATGTTATCCAGCCGCCTCACAAGTCCGTCGCAACCTCACGAGCACGGTGTCACCGCGACCAATCCAAGAGTCATCACCAGATTTTGTAACATGTCAAGCCTAGGATATCGCCCTACGGGATACAAACTGGTAAGTCAATGTTCAAGCCAAATTACCATTTATCGACTCACTTTACTAGTAGCACGAGCTCGAACATATGCGTTCTGACCCTCCGAAGTGCCAATAAGCCCTGCGACCCGATTCAACGTGCAAATTTTGCACGGTTCCACCTAATGCAGTGCTATGGTGGGTTAAGAAACGCTTCCTTTATTCCTTCGCAGACGACTGGAGTCAGAGAGACGGTATACTCAGGTGAGCGTATTGTTCAGCAACGAAGACGGCGGAGCGATGGGCGACTACCGTCCGATATGGTTAGATCTGGAGCCACGCCATCACGTGCAGCGCCCTTGTTCCCAGAATGGAAACTTTAGCCACAAAGGGACAGGTGGGAACTCGCGGCCATATGAGCCACAACAATGGTTCGTTCAGACCTATATCAACCGTTCATGCTGAGCGATTGCTCGTTGCTCCTCACCATCATCAGCCTGTTCAGCCCCACAACTTGAGAGGATAATCTACTCATTCTGCGACGCCTCTGCACCCATAATTACACTGACTACTCACCTAAGCGTCAGTGCTGTCCATCATTAATTGTGTATATCGCTCAGTGTCCTAATTCACCACATATAGCCGTGTCCGACACTCGCAACGTCATGCCCGCCACAACTCGAAGCCAGGCCTCCAAGGCTCGCGCCGCAAGCACGAACTCAGCGCCTGCGGACGATGTTCCACTCGACCGATCGAACTCGAGCCGGGACCGGAAGAGCCGCAAGGGTGCACGTCGACGTAAGCCTACATGTTTATTCCCTTTTTTTCTCTTGGCTTATTTTACGCACCGGCGATGCATCCTCAACTCCAGCGCCCCGTGATCAGAGCCCGAGGACGACTCAAACGAGCAGCTCGACGCAGGGCGGCAGTCCGCAGAGGAAGCGCGCGCGAACCACTAGTACGAACGACTCTAGAGTCGCTGATTGTAACCCGGTGGAAGCCGGTCCTGTTACACTTCTTGGACTCCCTCTTGAGATATTATCTGACGCGGTGCGTTATAATTGGATGACTCAATGCAACATCCGCCACAGTGCTAATGTCCCTCGTCTTACAGATTCTGATTGAGTTGACGCCAATTGATCTTGCGAACCTGGCGCAGACAAACGAAGCGCTTCGCGGAATGCTTCTTTCTTCGCCTGAAGGGTCGAGAATATGGAAGAAAGTCAAGAAGCTTGCCGGAGAGACTCCCGACCGTCCGGATTTTATCTGCGAGGTGAGCTGGACGAGGGTAATCTACGGAACTACGAGCTGCATTGTAAGTAACCCATTCATGGATCTTCGGCAATGCATCTTGCCAACTGTTGACTCGAATGTCCAATAGCGATGTGGCGACCCTGCCGAATCCGGGGCGGAGTTTGTAGCATACACAATCATGCAGCCGGTCTGTGGGGGATGCACATACAGACAGTGAGTGTTGATAGGTCAGACTCCTCGGGATAGTTGTTGAACGCATTTTACTTCAGCCATATTGATGATGAGGAGATACAGAGGCTTTGGCCCGATCTCGACCTCGGCATTTTGGACCTCATCCCGCACTCAAAGAGTTAGGTATCCTGAACTGTAGCCAACGTGATGTTACTGATACGTCGACTCAGTGCGCTCTCCTCCAACCTGGGACGCATCCAAGCGCTACTGGAAATCACACATTGTACGTGTGGCGAAGAAGTGTGCCGGCTATGAGGCAGACATACAATCAGGGAAGCGAGGAGCCAAGGCAGCCTACGAGCGATTCAAGAAAGAACAGACTGATTCTGCGCGGGCAATTTCTCAGGTCTGTTCACCTGCCATTCATCGACTGGCCCCCAGGTCTTACTGTGCATCATCTATAGCATGCGCAAAAGTGCTATGAATGGATCCACACCCGATATCAAGAAGAGAAGCAGCGTCGGGAGAGGCGCTACAAACAGTGGGTCAAAAGACGCGCAAGTGTCACATAGCATGTCTGACATGCTACGATTTAGGGTCGAGCGGCGATTCATGCACCTTGGTTATGCAGAGAATGACATCCAGAAGATCAAGACGATGGATCTTGCAGTGCAGGAGCTTGAGAAGGGGGATGTAACCGACCAAAGTAAGTCGGCACTGTAAATCTGTCAGTCAATGGCGCAGTGATGTTTCCACCTAGATTGGGAGCATATACGGCATGCGCTCGAACCGTTCATTGTGGACGCCTCGTGCGGACGGATCGAGAGGGACGCGGGACCGGGCCATCGCGAGACCATACAGACTCGCAAGGTTCTTGTCAAAGAAACATATGAAGACTTCAAGCGGACTCTGCAGCCGATCCAATGGCTTCGCCTCCCCCCTGTCGACATGATCTACACGATGCCGACCTTCCGCTCTCTCATATACAACGACCTGGATGCGGTTCTCATTAGAGCGCAGTGCGACGCGGCTGCGCGGGAGCTACCGGACTTCATCTCAACCTATCACGACAGCATCATGGCTGCCCTGCGACGAGCCTACAAGGAAATGTGGACCTTCGACTCTGGTGAGGACTGGCCTGAAGGCGCGGACAAGAATCTCCACTGGGCCTGTTCCATCTTCAGGACGAGGTCGTGGGACACCCATTTTTTCTGTGGTGCTGACGACGTATTCGCGCAACTGTCTTGCATCCGGGAAGGGAGGAAGGACAAGCTCTTCTGGCTTCAGTTGCAAGACCCAGAAGATCGGTCGCAATTGCGTCCGTTCATAGGGGATTCGGTTGGATATGCCGTCGTCCAGAAGCTGTCGTCAACGCTCGGCCTTGACCCTCGCAAGGCTCTTCCGAAGGAACTCGACAAGCTCAACAGACTCGTCTTCTGTCCATCCGTCCGCTGTATGTTTATGTCCTCCACTCACCCCGGATATGGTCGAAGGTTCGACTCGTGGCGTACAGTCGTGAGTGCGGTCTTCAGTAGAACTATATCGCGCTTGCATGCTGACTTGTCTATAGCTTGAGCACAGCTCGAGCTACCACGGATATAGCGACCAGGTAGTTATGGGAATTCTCTGTGCGGAGGGCAGTGCCGAAATGTTGGAGCGCCTCGGCGTGAATGCCGACCTGCAGAGTAAATGGAGTTGCAATCACTGTCCAATCCATCTCGGCAACCTGCAGACTAAGACATCTGTCATCGAGCATATCAGAGACTTGTGAGTACACAGCTCCCTCAGCGCACTCTCAAAGTTGACATAAGCATTCTGGCAGACATGCAGTCACGGAACCGGAGGAAAGCGTCGATTTCTTTCATGCCGTACCGCATGAACGCTGCCTCGATGCTTACAAGGTCAAATTTCCACCGTGGAAAGATCACGAAAGTCTGACAATTGACGTGACGGGACCTGGGATTCCGCCGAACGTCTGGGAGTAACTGAGCATCGGTGCGTACATGTACGATGTCACGGTACGGACTAGATCCCACTGCGTATTTACTTAATTCTGCCCATGTATTCTCATAGCCTACTCGTGAATCCTCAGTCTATTACCGTATGTGCGCTGTATGAGCCGACACCCAATCAATGGTATAAAGAACGCTGAGATTGCGACGAGGACGCGATAGGTCAGGTAACATAACTAGCTTCCGATCGTCTATATCAATGCTACACATCATAACAACCTACGGCGGGATGCTACAGATGCGCAGGCCTCAAGCACCTCGCTTTTTTCAGATGCCGGAGATACGAATCGTGTCTGCTGAACGATTTCAAGCAGCCTCCGACCATCCTCCTGCTTCCATACTCGTAGCTGTCTCTGGTGAGCTCGAGTGCATCCTCCTCTGGGACTCCGCAGCAGACCCACTCCTGTCCACGACTGAGAGCGAAATGCGTGCGCACGTGTCGCACGAGGTCGCCCTTGCGCTTCGTAGAGAACGGACAATACGAGCAGGCGGACAGCTCTTCGTGGGCGACGGGCTCGGCAGAAGGTACAAAGCCGACCTGCTTGTTACGAGGCGACGTAGTGCGAACTCGAAACGTGCGAGAATACGGGACGACAGAGCTGCTGGATCGAATCCGTTTGCGGCGAGCGGGGCTCGTGCCCGACGTCGAGTTGGCTCGCTTCTTCGGCGACTCATCAGCGGGGGCGGAGGGCGCGCCGGGCGCAGTCTGGTATGTCACAGAAGTCGGCGAGTGGACATCGTGGCAGGTCGCAGATGAAGATCCTGCGCCCGGTGAATCAAAGAACAACTCCGGGGAGGGGTCGGGAGGTAAGGTGGAGAAAAGGTCCATGGTCGACGAGCGCTCGCGGAAGGGGCTCGAATACGCGGTCTCGTCGCTGTAGTAGAAGACCGGACTCTGCGACATGTCAACCGCACTAGACCTAGGCGAGCCATACGTGCATGGCCCAGGAAGGGCATTGTGCCAGAGTGACCTGTCCTCCGCGAAGGTGGGAGATGGGTATGCGGGCTGCAGCTGCGGCGCGGTGTCTGCTGCTAGCATGAGAGAACTGTATGATTGTATGCCTCAGTGTCACGATCAGGAACGTGAGCGTTGTTACATACTCATGGCATGGGACCGACGTGCTGTATGGATCACATAGCCCATGGATGAGAGCATCCAGGTCCGCGTCCGGTAACTCGAAGAGCGAGGGTCCGGCGGAAAGCGCTCCGAACATCCCTGTTTGATTCCGATACGGATCGACGAACCCTTCGCAAAGGTTGTCGAGGAGTCCGGGTCGCGTGTACGCCTCGGAGACGGACGAGTCGAGTGCGGCGGAGGCGAGGTCATCTTCGTAGTAAGGCGTAAAGTGAGTGGCGGACATCGTGAATATCCGTTCTCTGGGTGGAGGGGTATGGGAATGGGGCCATCATGGCGGGTGATGCGTGCTTTTATACCTGTAGGGGAAGAAAGCATCCCGCCGCTGTGCAGCGCAAGGCGGCGAGGATCCAACTGCACCTCTACAAGCACCAAGAGGCGCGCGACCATGCCTTATATGGTGCAAACGGGGTGTCGTGATGCAAACGAAGTGTACCTCTACAAGCACCACGGCGTTAGCGGACGAAGTGCCGAGATAATCATGGAGATCAGCGTACCTCTACAAGCACCATCCAAATCGAGCTACACCGAGAACCTACTGACCGAGCAGACGCCTTGATAATATTGTTGGTCGACTTGGCCTCGACACCGCGGGGTGTTGACCAGACAAGCTGGTGCTACGTCGTAGTAGGTCCCTTCCCGTGACAGTGTCCCTATCTTGAGCGACAGATGTATTGACGTGGACTGCCTATTCGCACAGGAAACATAAGAAGTACGTGGAGCGTTAATATGAGTCCTGGGTACTCGGTCGTGCTGCTCGATGGATCGTGCAACTTAGCAGTACGCGACTTCAATTGCCCAGTGATGCGACCCGGATGAGTAGCGCCACGTGCTTCCGAGTCGCTATTCAGTACTCAGTAGTTCAACATGGGCGGACGTGTGAGCACACTGTCAAAGTGGTCTGAGCTCGAGCGTAGCATGTACCAAATACTGTACCCATTCCGAAAGCCGACGTGGCTAAGGCCAGCGTCACAATCTCGAATACAAGCAAGGGTAAGGTGAGGGCGCGGACGCATCCCATTCTGTCAAACTTAGTCGCGGAATCGCGGGCCGCTTCACTCCGGAGCCACAGTATGCCTGTCAACGTCGCTGAGCTCGCCTGGCTGCCAACCCGTCCGCTCACTACGCTCGCTTAGCCTCGCTACTGAGTAGCTGCCATACACACGACTGTCACCTCACTCATTGAACTACGGGGATTGTACGGTTATTCTAGTCAATCATAGGCCTGACTGCTTGAGCGTGAGTCCAAGAGACCGTCAATGAAGACCGTGCCACTGACAAGTCATGGATGATGTGGTTGTTCACATTCGTAGTCTAGCTTCACAGATAATACTTTTCTGTGGAGAGAGCTGGAGAGAGACCTATTGCCATGACCGATGCGATGTCTGACCCGGATCCTAACATACGGCGGCCGTCAGGCTCGAGTGGCGCAGGTGCTGAGCCTGCCCACTGGACTGACGAAGGTACGTCGAGCGTCTTGCAGTGAGTGGAGTATATTCTCTGATAAGGCTGTATGTCTCTGTGCCAGATGTGACAATGAATGAAGCTATAGCGGGAACTGGTGTATTGGATAATCAGTCAAACATCACTCTCCTGGAAATCCCGTTGGATATAATTTTTGAGGTAAAATATGCATTTTCATCGCACACCAGGCAATCATAAACGCATCATTCAAGATCCTCGGACAATTGGAACCACTCGACCTTGCGAACCTCGCGCAGACCAACAGAACGTTTCGCACACTACTCCTTGAGTCTTCCCAAGGTGCTCGAATCTGGAAGACGGTCAGGAAGACTGCTGGAGAGACTCCTGACGGGCCCCAATGCGTGCCCTATATTGCTTGGGTCAGAATGTTGTATAGTGCGATATGTTCAGTAGGTATTTCGAAAGTCGGAGTACGAGGCTTTGTGCAGACTCATCCGCTTGTGATCTGGCAGGGATGCGGCGATGACGGGCCCCACATCGACTACGCTCTGATGCGCAGGATGTGCTCCGAATGTGACTCAACTATGTATATCTCGAATCAGGTGGTCTGCCCACGTAACTGACGGATCTACTAGGCTCTATGATCACGGAACCCTGATCCAAGATTCGAAGCACCCAGACGTCTCCGCCATAATCTTGCAACTCATCCCCCACACGACGAGTTAAGTATTCAGTCCGTAAAAGCTTTTGTCACGTACTGATCCAATACACAGGGAAAGGACCATATGATGCTACCGGGAAACGGTACTGGAAGACAGATATCACCACCATGACCGATACATACGTTGGATACTTGAAGGACGTCCAAGCCGGGAAGCCTGGGGCGTCAGAAGCTCTCGAAAGGTTCACGAATGAACGTGTCAAATACGTACAAACGATCATAGAAGTCGGTCATCGTGTTAAGCATACAAAGAGTGTCATCACTAAACCGGATCCCCCAGCACGAAGCGAAGTGTGATGAGTGGCAGCGCACCCGCAAGGAGGAGGAGAAGAAGCTCAAAGAGACTCAGTGCAAGCGGTGCGTCGGTCCTACGAAGAGAGTGCTGTGATAATAACGATCTCTGACGTGCTCTCTAGCTTGACAGAGTTATTCAGAGGTCTAGGCCATGCAGACGAAGACATACAAGTCACCGAGTTGTGTATATGGGAATTCGAAATCGAAGGCGAGATTGACGAAAAAGGTATGTCAACACAGGTGAACACAAGCGGTGGCTGCGACCTCATCATGAATCATGCATCTGTAGTGTGGCAGCGCGTTAGACTGAACCGCGAACCAGACGTAATAGCCCGGCGCCTCAAGCGCTTCGAGACACAATATTCGGACACTGTCAAGGTTCGCAAAAGTTTGGTGAAGAACATATATCATGACTACGCGCAGACACTACGCCCTAGCGACCGACTCCGCCTCCCGCCAGTCGACATGGTCTACATGACTCCCTCCTTTCGATTCAATATCTACGAGAATCCCGATGCCTCGCTTCAGGCCGTCAAGGAGCAGTGCGACGAAGCGGCGCGGCAGCTGCCAGAGATCGTCTCAACGTATCATGCCAGTATCAAGGCTGCCTTGCTAGTCGCCATAAAATCCGCGGCGCATGATAGGAAGCCAGACTGGAAGGAGTTAGGCCTTGACCACCGCCTCGGATTGGCCACCTCCGCGTTCGAATCCGAGCTTGTAGACGAACTCACACCCTTGTGCTCCATAGACGGCGTCCTCGCGTACTTCGCAACGGAGGAACTAGCGACAGAGAGAGGGAGATATTGGTTGCGACTACTGGCCATCAATGACGGCGCCGAGATAGAGCTGTTCGAATGGGATTGGGTGGCGTACAAGATCCTCACAGTGCTGGCGCTCGCACTGGGCCTTGATCCAGTAAAGGCAACACCTCGAGACTTCGACGAACGCGCTAGCCTTATGTTCTGTGGAGCAGGCGGCTGCTCCGAACGTGATGATGAGGATGATGAGGAATATTTCGAGTTCCATAATTGGCGCACGATCGTGAGTTCAATTGACCAAGTGTATTGACACACGTACATTCGTACACCGATTGACCGTTGTACTATAGATCCAGCACTGCTGGTTGCAGCATACACTGGTTTCCGACCCTTACTGTCAGCCGCTTATCGGACTACTCAACGAGAAGGACTCTCAGGTATTGCGAGAGGGTCCGGGCTGCGTTCACCCAGAGTCACACACTCATTGGACCTGCAATCACTGTTCCGTCTACTACAACGATATGAACTGGCAGACCTGGGATACTGTCGTGAATCATCTCCGCACAATGTGAGATATACCGCACACTTCTCGAGGGCAGAGCTCACCCCAGCGACGTTCTTGCAGTCACGCCATCCCTGACCCGAAAGAACATGTCGACTTCTTCTACGTCAGTCATGCCAAATCGTTCGAACCTTTCGACGCATCGATTCCGGATTCAGACTTCAAATACCTCGACATTGGTGACATGTCAGGCTGAAGGTGCCCGTCGGTACCTGTGACTTTGCCAGTCGAGTGCTTGCATACGTGTCATTGCAACGCTTTCCGACGACCTTGGAATGAAATATGTAGGCTACGTATGCTGACGAGATGTAAATGTACGTACGCGTATAGTGACCAGTGTGCCTATTATGATGACCATCTCCCCGTCCTGAATTTACTATCTGTGGCACACTTGTGTATCGTGGACTATGCCCAGAGATATGATGCAACAGACGTTGAGGTGCTTAGCGGCGCCGTTGCAACCCCTGAATTGGCTACATGCAGATTCCTGGAGCATCACAGCAAAGCGATCGACACTACATCATACACATCGGTCGGAAGACTGCCTCGTCGCCAAGGCCCCGTCGTCTAACTACATTACATACGTCCTTGTCTCCTTCCGTTTCTTTCCTTCCTTCGCCTCAAGCGCGCAGTCTTCATACAACTGCGGCTTACTCCAGCTGAGCAACACCCTCTCTGACGTAGTCGTCGAAGAGCGCCTTGTAGTCCTTGTGCCACCGGCTGAGCGCAGGGCGGCCCTCGACGAGGTCGCCCGCGCTCCACATGATACGCAGCTGGTCGATCTCGCGACGCGTCTCGTTGTCCGGGACGAGGATGTAAAACTTGCCTTGGCGGACGTAGTCGAGCTAAATCCGGAGGTTGAGTGCCAAGTATGAGAGGGAGCGAGCAAATCGATGGGCGCACCATATAGAGCACGGTCTCCTGAGCAGTCCACGCGCCAGCAGGCTTCTCTGCATCACCCTTGTCGCCGGTCATACCTGTCCAAGTCCAGCCGGGGCTGCGTGCACATAAGCACGGGCCTCTCGGGTCATAATGCGCGATGGGACGTACACGAAGAGATGCGCGGTCACGTTTGCGGGGGGCACGCTGTTCCGCAGCTCATACGCGAGTCCTTCCGTCAGAGACTTCACGGCGGCTTTCGAAGCGTTGTACGCAGGGTTGCCTCTGAATATCATAAGAATCAGCGAGTGGGTCCATCGGACGAGAATCAACGTACGGAGGATTGGTGATGCCCTGCTTCGATCCGGTGTTAATGACCACAGCCGGGTTTTCCTGGTGGATTATGGATGGCACGAACGTCTGCTGCACGTTCAGCACACTATCGGCCATCGGACATCGTGAGTGAAAGAGCTGGGCAGATAGCCAAGGTACGCACCCAAAGACATTGACATCGAACGTCTTGCGCCAGGCATCAATCCCCTCCCAAGACTTGCTCGGCAAGCCTATGCCGGCATTGTTCATGAGCACCGCGACCTGTCCAACAAGAAGCACACGGCGCGAGAGGTGAGCAAGTGGCACGCAGACAGACACAGCGCAAGCGCGGCCGGCGATGTCGTTGCGGCCGCCCAACGCGAACGAGGGCCGCCCGGGAGAGCCAGCTCACCTCGCCCCACGCCTCGTACACCTTGTCGCGGAGCCGGACGACGTCCTCGAGCTTGCTGACGTCCGTCGGCACCACGAGCACGTTCCCCTCCCCGACCACCTTCGTGACCTCCGCCCCAACCTTGTTCAGAGTCTCTTCATTCACGTCTGCAATCGCGATCTTCATGCCGACTCTGCGGGTAGATTCTGATGAGCATCTCGGAGGGCGGAGGGGAGAGGAGACGCAGCACGCACTTCGCGAGCTCGAGCGCGGCGGCTCGTCCGATCCCGCTCGCCGCCCCAGTGATGACGGCCACCCGCCCGGTGTGGATGACTGGGTGCACGCCCTCGTCCATCGCAGCCATGGTGGATTCGAATGCGCTCGAGTGTGATGCTGGTCGAAGAGGAGAGGGTCGACGACTGTTCCCGTTCCCATTCAGGCTGAGGCTCATCCCGGGCTCCGGCTAATGAATTGAGAGGTATACGGGTTTGTTGGGGTATGGGAAAAGGGTAAATGAGGAACTTCGAGCACGTTCCGCCTCTCTTATACCCCCCTAGCCCGAGGGAGCGGATACGTGACGTTGAGGGCATACCGCTCCTCACGTTGCACCTATCGCCGGAACGGATTCGGCTCGACTATACATGCATCTTCTCACAGCGCGAACACCATCATTGGGTAACAAGCTCTAAGCTGCGGTCTAGAACACCGACAAGGGAAGGGGATTGTGGTAAAGATATTATCAGATGTACCCAGTAGCGCTGTGGGTCCACAGGCGGAACTCACTTGACTCTTAGAGGTGTTGCAGCACAACTTTGCTGACTTCAGTCAACGTTTCTACGCACACATTGTTCGTACGGTCCTCTCAGTAACCGTACATTCAAAAGTCCACGGCATGCTGAAATCTGGACCGGGATGTATGTATTGGTTGGGCGCGAATTTGCAGCGCCCAAACTCGGCGCTGTGTTCACGTTGGCGTCACGATATCCCCAGCAGCCATCGGAATCGCACAAATATATACCGAAGTCCTGTACGCTACTATTGACAGCATCTCGTAAATGGATATGGACCCAACAGCAGACCTAAGCAGACTGTCCTTCCAATAGCAAAATTTGTGCAGGACCGGTCGTCTAAGGACTCACCTCGGTAGAGTTTGATATTTATCGGAGATGTTCATGCACGAGGGATGCTCTGCGTGCATGTATTGGATACATATCTCTTCGCGAGGACAACGCCATTCATACGTCCCCTCGCGTCGACGGCCTTCGTGCGACCTGCATCGCGCCCATGGCCACACGCCATCCATCTGCGCGGTAATCGGCGCGTCGAATTCAATCGGTATTCGTCATGCGCTCATCGGCACTGGTCCATCCGCGGCGGCTTGCTCCCACAACGTCACATCATGGCTAGACATCCTCCAGCGAGTGTCCACGGCGAAACAAATCGGCGCCAGGTAACTAGAGCGGTACCGTTTGGGCGTCAAGGAAGCTATCGGTGCCTGACCTGTGGGCGAAGTACTCGCTGACGTCCAGCCGTCGCCGGGGACGGTCGCAAACTGGCTATGTATGATCTTTTCGCAGGGCAAAACTTACGCAGACTCCACTCCGTTCTCCTGGACTTTGTCTTCATGGTGGCTTCTGTCGGGACATGAACTTTCCATTCTGTCGCGCGCGCAATGCGAAATCGTGTCCGAAGTGAAAGACGGACGCACCTAGCAGTCTCTTTGCATTACGTCCACCGGGTAACGTTGGAGAGCTGGACGATCATCCCCATAGCACGCTATTACACGGCCTACAGCACGCCACATCACGAGAACAAACTTCGTAACTGGTTGAGGTACTCACCCCATACATAACGTATTTCGCGGTGTGTCATGAGACAGCACCTTTTGCCTCCCCAAAATTTTGTCGTTTCACGGGATACTCGCTGTATGGAGACGCGACACGCCTTGTTCAAGCGCTTCGCGCACAAACCGCGGTCCTCCCGTCACGATGCAGCTGCAACAACCACGATGGTCAGCTGCTGTTGCACCTGTTGCACTCCTGAGCGAACGTGACCAACCTGCGCGCATGCGTTGAGCTTTGAGTCAATGCCAGTCTGCGACGGGTCTGTAACCGGATCTTCTGACCACCTCGGCCGATGCCTTCAGACGGAATGTGCCATACCTACATACCGGCTCCAGGATTGAAATTGATGCTCCTGCGACCGAGCGGCCCATCCAAGTTGTATCCAAGTGACATGGGGATTATCGAGCTCAAGATGGCCGCAGCGGATTGCGGACACCGGGTTGGAGGCGAGGACGAAGGAGACGCTGGGGCGCCTGCACTGCAGCAGGGATCGGGATTTCCGGCAAAATGATGTTTACCATTACAAGGGCGGTACTTGTGTTTACGGCCTTTCAGACCGTCTTAGATCTATTAGAGAGCGGCGGCAGCGGATCTTACAAGCGTAACAAACGTCCAGACCATCCAAGATTCCAAATTACGTCGGCCTCACACTTATAAAATGGACAACCCCTCGCAACCCGCTCACAAACTTTCTCCCCGCTTCCACTACAAGACCTCCACCGCGCGCTTTGCATCACCTCTTATTTTTACGACTTACGACTTCATAACCTAATAATCTAACGACCATGGCATCGACACCCACCGACGGACTCCTCCAGGTGCCAAACCAACTCGAGTCTACGCACCGTATCAAGAACGTGCCGGGCTACACTACGCCCGTGTTCAAGGGCAAGGAGGAGCAGAAGGCGAAGGTGCTCGCGAATGTCACGGCTAAGGTGAGTATATGCGCTTCACGTCCATTCGTCGTGAAGGTGTGGGGGAGCGAGTCGCGAGAGAAAGCGGTCGCGTTCAGCTGCAGGATGCCGTCGCGCGGGGTGTTCTCTCCGTCCTGTGGCCGGCATCGCAAAGTCGTGTCCGGGCGGCGGGTCTGCAAGCGCGCTGTCGGCAGTGGCATTGCCCTGGGCGCATCTCGGTGCCTGTCCGAGTCCGAATCGTACAGGGTCCTGGCAGACTCCAAGACAGGGAGCCAGAAACGCGTCCTTATCGCTGGGCGTTGCCCAACCTGTGCACCCTAGCAGCTGCCTTCATCAGACTGGCCAAATCTGCGGGAGTGGGAAACCCGACCGTCGCAGATGGCAAGGGACAGCCCATCCGGAAGAGCAGAGTTTGAGACGCGCCGCGGAGGTAGTGGGAGAAAGACGCGTCGTACGCAGTAACGAGCGATTCTGGTCTCGATTTTCCCTCCTCAGTCCACCGTGCCACCACCGCGTTTTGTCGCGTATCACGATGATCTACGCGTGCTGCTTCTGTGCTTTCACGCGACGTGCACGTTCTAACGCGTAAATACGAACGCGTCTGCGCGCGATCACGCACGTTCAACCGAATCACGAACGATCCTAACGCGATGTGCAATTGCAGGGCTTCATCCCGCGCGAGCTGGTTGCGAACGAGGTCAACTGGTTCTACGCGCACCTCGGCATCGACGACACGTACTTCCAGGCCGAGTCCGTCGACGTGATCTCCGACCACATCATCGCGCTCTTCGGCGCGAAGGTGCTCGCGTTCACGAAGCACGACTCGTCCAAGCTCGTGATCGACCTCGAGACGGTCAAGGAGGATGGCGCGACGTTCATCCACTCGAGCACGCCCGGCAAGACCTCGACAGAGGGCCCCGGCGCCACGTGCGAGAGCAGGATCGACGAGCTGTTCTTGGACAGCAGCACCCCCGAGAAGGCGTTCAGGCTCGAGACGTACCGCTCGCAAAGTATCTCGGCCACGGCGAGCCAGCAGCTGCGGTGCTATTTCGTCACGAAGTGCAACTTCCCCAAGGAGCCTCGCGCTTCGACGCGCACGGATGGCAAGACGGATATCCGCTCAGTGTCCGACGCGGCCTTCCTCGAGAAGGCGAGCGAGAACACGCTGGAGCTGTACCAGAGCGTCATGCGGAATGTCGAGACGCGGTATGGGCCCGTGATTGAGGTCTTCGAGGTTGAAGGTAGTCGTGAGCGACGGCTCGTCATCGGTTACAAGATGGGCGGCACGAAGAAGTTCTTCAGTGCGCTCTCGAACTTGTATCATTTCTATTCCTTGTATTCAGCAAGGAAATATGTCGGTGCGTGCGTTAAACGTGAAACAGTATCGGACACTAACGCTAGTCCATCTGTCATAGAGCATTTCTCGAATGGAGTGACGATCATATGCTTGTACCTCAACCCACTGCCAGACTCGCACGCGCCCCCAATCGAGCACTCGATCTTCCAGGTTATGAAGGAGGCTTCGCTGCTCTACTGCCTGCCGGACAACCCGTTCTTCTACGCTGGTGCCGGCCCTACAGAGGGACATGCCGTCCAGGAGGCGACATATGCTTGTACGTGCTCTCACCACATCAGACTCGAGTGGGAAGCTGACGGTTATCTGTACAGACTGCGGGTGGGTCTTCGCCCAGCACTTCTGCAACCGCCTGGGCCCTTCGTACCTTGCGTTGCGTAACATCCTGGACGAGTCCAACGCTAGCCATGCGGAGGTGCTCAATGACATCAAGCGGCGGTTCCGTGAGGAGACGTTCACTCGCGAGAGCATCGCGCAGACCATCCATGCTCATCCGGATTTGGTGAGTAGCATCTGGGTTCCATGATAAGTAAATCAAACCTCATAATGCTGCAGATCAATCTGCTCTATGTCAATTTCGCCATGGTGCACTACCCCGCGTCGGACCAAGCCAATTTGATGTACGTAGTTCATCATATTCCGTCGTGAATGATCGCTGATGGAATGCATTATTAGGCCGACGCTCTCGTATCAACGCTTGCAGACGCACCAGATCCTCAGCGACCAAGAGTTGTACGACAAGCTCCGCAAAACGGTGCCGAACAAGCATGAGCTCCAAGTGCTCGAGAGCTTCCTCATCTTCAACAAGTGCGTGACCGAGCTTCGGAGACGGGAACATTGCTGACGAGGGGTCCTTAGGCATGTGCTCAAGACGAACTTCTACCAGCCGACCAAGGTCGCGCTGTCGTTCCGCCTGGCACCTGAGTTCTTGCCAGAAGTTGAATATCCTAGGAAGCCCTTTGGGATGTTATTCGTCATCGGTCAGTTGTCTCGCACTCAGAAGCGAGATCGCAGAAACTCATAATACGTCTAGGCGGCGAGTTCCGTGGATTCCACATTCGGTTCAGGGACGTTGCCCGGGGTGGCATCCGGCTGGTCATGTCTCGGAACAGGGAGACTTACTCCATCAACCAACGCATGCTGTGAGCAAACAACTACGCCTGCACAGACGAGGACACGTTTCTAACGTGCATAACATAGCTTCGACGAGAACTATGGCCTTGCCTCGACGCAGTCGCTCAAGAACAAGGATATCCCGGAAGGCGGTGCAAAGGGTACCATTCTGCCGTCGTATGTGACAAGCAGCCCTGCATGCTGACTTTGTGGATGCTGTGCTGACAATACCGAACAATAGGCTCGGTGCAAGTCCTCGATTGTGCTTCGAGAAATACGTCGATGTGAGTCGGAGCGAGGACGGTCTTGTGTGCTCGCAATGTTGACATCGTTTCACAAAGGCGGTCGTCGACCTCCTCATTCCCGGACAAAGCCCGGGCATCAAGGAGAAACTGGTCGACCTCTACGGAAAGCCCGAGATACTCTTCTTTGGCCCTGATGGTAGGTTCACCTCGCCTGTTTGCAGCGCTAGCCTGACACTGACATGTCTCATCAGAGGGTACGGCGGACATGATGGACTGGGCAGCGAGTGAGTGTAGAGGCTATCCAGCGTGTGCTATCTTGCTAACTCTCCTATAGTTCATGCGCGTGAGCGTGGAGCCGAGACATGGTGGAAGTCATTCACCACCGGCAAGAGTGCTGAGAAGCTCGGTGGTATTCCGCACGACACATACGGAATGACGTCTCTGTCGATCCGTCAGTACGTACTCGGTCTCTACAAGCAGCTAGGTTTGCGGGAGAAAGACATCACCAAGGTACAGACTGGTGGGCCAGGTACGTTTCTGTTCTTATCGCCACGAAGTTCCTCGGCTTACATCTACTGAAGACGGCGACCTCGGTTCAAGTAAGTGGTATACCCCTGACGTTTGGAATAACATTAACGTCAATGTAGACGAGATCCTCCTCAGCTCGGACAAGACGATCGCCATCATCGATGGCAGTGGTGTGCTCGCTGACCCCGCTGGCCTGGATCGTGAAGAGTTGATCAGGCTGGCGAAGAAACGTGTGCCCGTGGCCAATTTCGACCGATCAAAACTCAGCAAGGATGGGTACCTTGTGCTCGTCGAAGACCAAGACATCAAGCTACCTTGTCAGTGCCCAGAGTAACATAGATGATGATGAGACTCACATATGATCAGCGGGCGAGGTCGTCATCGATGGCACTGACTTCAGGAACACTGCACATCTGCGTTTCAAGGCTGACCTCTTCGTGCCATGCGGTGGCAGGTGAGAAACTCGTTGTTCGTAGGTCAAGGAAAAGGTCAATTGACACTTTCTTTGCAGGCCGGAGGCTGTCAACATCTCAAATGTCGCCGCCTTGGTCGATGCGGAGGGCAAGCCGAACTTCAAGTACGTTGTCGAGGGCGCCAATCTGTTCTTCACCCAGCAAGCACGCTTGTATCTCGAAAAGCGCAAGGTCATCCTGTTCAAGGATTCCAGTACTAACAAGGGTGGGTTCGCTGCGTGCGTGCAGTGTGCGGGCTGGACTAACTTTCAATAGGTGGTGTCACTAGTTCGTCCCTGGAGGTCCTCGCCGGTCTCGCCCTCTCCACCGAGGAATACGTCGACTTGATGATCTTTAAGGACGGGAAGCCTTCCACATTCTACCAGAACTACGTCAAGGACATCCAGACGAAGATCTCCGAAAACGCAGCTGCCGAATTCTCGTGCATCTGGAAGGAGCATGCTCGTGCGCAAGGCTCTAAGCTACGCACCCTTATATCGGATGAGTTGTCGGGCAAGCTCAACGACTTGCAAGCGGAGCTGGAGAGCTCAGATCTTTACGATGACCACACCATGAGGAAAAACGTCATGACCCGCGCTGTCCCGAAAACCTTGGTCGACCAGATCGGCATCGAGGAGTTCCTGAGGAGGTTACCGGAGCCATATCAACGGGCACTATTCTCCAGCTGGGTAGCGTCCCGCTTTGTGAGTGTCATTTGAGGGTCACTGTGATCACAACTGACTAACATTCTTGCAGATATACAAGTACGGCGTCAACGGGTCTTCCGTCGATTTCTTCCACTTCGTGCGGGACCTTGCATTGTAGAACATCAAGGACATGGGTATGAAAAATCGGTCATAGGAAAGTCAAGCGCTCTGTTGTACATTACTCATCTATGTTATTGGACCTGAGCATAGAATTATCTGATCACAAGTATCGCGGGAACGCTGGAAGATTCACAGCAAAGATTTGACAGTAACATCTACCGAACAACATGGCACATAAGGTATATGTATATCAATCTGCGTGTAGTCAGTCGACATCCAGCTATTCGTACTCGGGGTTTGACGACTCTGGAAGACATGTCACTGACGATTCATCATGTTCTTACCTCCTTCTCATAAACACTGAACGAAGCCGTGGTACTGCTGTCGTCGATGTTTGGAAGGGGCCCAGGGAACCAATGCCGCGCCGACAAGACCCACGAGCCACAAGCGAAAAGGAAGACGACCATGATGAGCAGAACGGCGTAATCTGTCGCGGACGATAATGAGGTCAGCTTTCCCGGCGCGACGTGAAGATGCGTACTCATGTTTGCTGCAACCGGAGTCTGCGTTGTCGGAAAACAGAGAAGCACGATGATGAAGGTCACCCATGCCACTGCTATTGACCCGATCGGGGTCGACCAGCGCCCAAGTGAGAAAGGTCCAGGGACAAGCCTATGTCGTCCCGATGTGATGCGGAGGAATATCGGGGTGGCGTACGAAGTGTACAAACCGATCACGGATGCACTGATTGTTGAGTGTTAGACGTTTAGAGTGCATACACTTTCAGAGTAAATCGTACCTTGCCAGAGAGGTCAGCGCTGCTGAGGAGAAGCCGAGCAGGCCACAAATCGCGGCGAGGAACATGACGAGCCAGACTGCGTTCACTGGCGTCTGTGTGTGATGGTTCACCCTCTTCCACCAACGTGAACCGGGCAGGGCATTATCGCGCGCGAACGCGAAGACCACGCGAGATGCATCTACGCCTTGCGCAGCACCACATAGGAACTTCCGTAACAGCGTAAGTCAGGATATCATCCTAGAGGGTGCCGCTTACTCACCTGCACCGTGATAGTGATGCACCATATAGCCAGCATGCCCTTCTTGCCTATGATGTCCAGGTAGAGCTGGCCCATCGAAAGCGCGAGTGGAGTCGAGAGCAAGTCTGGCACGGATGCTATGGAGAACGAGATGGCGACGTTCAGAATCCATCCGAGAGCTCCGACGGAGGCCACTGAGAGCAGGATAGCTGTCGGCGCGGCCTTCGCGGCCCCTGCTGTTTCCTCTGAGATGTGCGCAGCAGAGTCATCTGAGCTGAACAGTGAGCATGCGTCCTCTACGTATCTAGTATCGAAGCCCTTACAGCCGGTGAATTGCCACATGGGGACAGTGAAGGCCAGAAGAAACGCCCAGCCGGCTGCGAAAGACATCAACATCTGAATAGCACGCCACTATATGAGACTTACAATTGGACCATCCAGTGAAGTTTTCGTAGGACGTGAAAGCGACCTTCGTGGAGACCCTATTTTCTCCTGCGCAGACAGGCAGAAGAATTGTCGCCGCTATGGTTGCGCCAACTGGCATGTTACGTCAGTTTCAAGGGGCACTGCAGCTCAGACAGTAGCGTATCCGCTTACGCGTGATTACAGCCAAGAACAAATTGAGCCGTGCAAGTATCCTCGTCGCCGCTGAGCACATCATTCCATGTAGGAACAACATGGCCAGCAAGATTCCATAAGTCGGCCCAGGACCCAAGACTACTCTGCCATCGGTACCCACAGCAATAGCTGTCGTTATCATTTGTGCTCTGTCGCAGTAAGTATGTTGGGTTTGAAATAGACGCGTACAGTAGGACTCACAATGTGTAGTCGATGGAGCAGACCAGCGTGACCTGCCCGGTGATATTGGCCCACCCGGTGATCCAGCTTGCCAAAGGAGCATATTGTTCTGGAGCTAGTTTGGCAGAGAAATAATAGAGTCCTGCGCTCGTCCTGTATAAGCAGCTCAGCTGCTAGTTTGCGAACCTATGTCAACGTGCACTCACGGCATCGAGGAGGCCATCTCCGCCATAACTGCTGCAACGCACATCACAAAAGGAACAGGTATACCCCATCCCCACACGAGACCGACATGGCCGCCTTCGTCTGGTCAGTGGTTGACACACGGGAATGGTTGAGGTGGCTCTCACCAGAAGCTAGAATCAGGGACAACGTCGAAGAAATACCGCTAACGACGGCCATGATAGAGAAGGAGAACGCTATCGTCTCGATGGACTGTGCATCGGAGCATAAGTATCACAGAGGGCATCAACTTCGATAGCCTACTCACCGAGAACTCTCTTTTGAATTCGCTTTTGTATCCGAGTTCTGCGAGGCGAGCATCGTCGGCTACATCGAGACTTTCATCTGACTTTCGCGCTTTCAGTCCAGAGGTGTCACGGCCGACGACGGGTTGGGTATCCTGTTTCATTTCAACGGCGGGTACGCGGAAGAGGAGTATAGGGAAGTCCGAACGATGGGTTTCATCCCAATAGAGTACATACCTCCGTTATTCATACCTACGCCAGTACACACTCCGCGACGGAAGAGCACGAGCCCCGTCTGAGCTGACGGAAGCAGAGATAAGCAGTCAGCGTAACATGGGAATACTCGAGACAACGCCACACTTCATAGGATGAGCCATGGGGAAACCGATAGGTTTTATGGCAGGCGACTCCTCTGAGTTTGTCTTCTTCCGACAGACGCGGTACTTCGATAAGTCCAATGTTCTCACCACGCGCCGCTCATAGATGGCCTGACTCAATCGTTGTCTAGACGCTATGCTGTGTGGTAACCTTCACGGGACACATAGACCTCTGTGTTGCCCAATTACAGCGAGTACAATGGGGATCTGCATGAACATGCCTGTCAGCTTGACAAATTCATGACCGTGGCGGCCGTCACCGTGATTGCCTTGGATTCAGCGCTTCGTTACTTCGTTTCATCTCATGATAAGTAAGACACAGTGTTGGAGTGAAGTCACTGCTGCAGTTTGTGTCCGAGTGGAAGGAGGCAGCCTGAGGACGTGGAGGACATCGAACTAGTCACCTGCCAATTCGGGGATAGCATCCTTACCTAATACGGAGCCCCGCTGTCGAGGCGGCCCCGCACTCGGTGTGACCCATCTTGACATTGCTCACTCAGGTCACTCACTGCAGCTCGTCTTACTCTGCCCCCCGTACTCTTCTACCGCCACCACGGCCCAGCACTCTCTCATTATTCTCTGCTATAATCTTGACCTCCGAGCCGAAGCTTGCTAGCGCGCCGTTCAGTGAATGCTTCTAGCCGCCCAAGAATTTACAACCTCATTTTCAGACCCACCGTCGCCCAATGAACCTACCTTCATTACACGGCCAAAGCTCGCGAACCTCTTCTCCGAGGACGATAGCGGCAGCGGGTATCTGAAGTCACAAGAACTTCTTAAACATGACGAGGTGTTGAGTCGGGAGCTGGAAGATGTGCCGAGCTATACCCAAGCCACGTCCGCCCCGGAATCTCAAGACCGCTTCGTCGCATCCCCCTTGTCATATTCCTGCTCTGTAGGCGATGCTCATGCTGCGGACTTGTCACAGTCACCGGCGGCGTTGTTCCTATCTTCGTTCAGCCCATCTGCGCCCATGGACGCCATCCCCGAAGACGCTGAAGGAGCTATTGTAGCCGGGTACACGCTCGGCCCTATCATCGGCGTTGGGGGGTTCTCTACTATCCGCCAGGCCACCTCGTCCGAAGGCGGTAGCGTTGCAATCAAAATCGTGCGGCGATCAGACCTCTCTGCGCGAGTTCGCAAGCGGCTCGGTCGCGAAACGACCATCTGGAGGTCCCTCAGCCACGAGCATGTCCTACCGCTATTCTCCGTTACTCAAATGCCTCATGCAGATTACTACGTGACCTTGTATTGCCCCGCCGGCACCCTGTTCGACATCTTGAAGCGAGATGGGCATCCGGCATTGCCGCAAGACGATGCAGGGATGATGTTCAGGCAGGTGGTGCGGGGGCTGAGGTATCTGCATGAAGTGGCGGGGGTTGTGCATGGGGATATGAAGCTGGAGAACGTGCTCGTAGATGAGATGGGTGTGTGTAGAATTGCAGACTTTGGAATGGCACGCAAGATCGGCGAGGTCGAAGAACCCGATGCGGAGAGCAGTGAGTCGTCGTCGAGAGGCACTCCTGCCACGCTGCCACGAAGATCGCACGGCACGCAAGGTCCGCTGCACAAACACCTGTCTTTGATGCGACATGGCGGCACCCGCCATCGCGGCTCGACACCTCTGCCTTCTTCAACGACGACGCCGTGCCGTAGCCGAGAGTTCCCGCAGGGATCACTCCCCTATGCCTCCCCCGAACTTCTGCTTCCGTCGTCTTCAACGGCACACTCACCCAATCCTGCACAGGATATCTGGGCCCTGGGCGTCATGTTGTACACGCTTCTGACTGGGCGTCTGCCATTCATGGATTCATATGATCCTCGTTTGCAGATGAAAATACTACACGGTGAGTCTCAAAGTCACAAATCACGTAAAGTAGCGGAAGTCTGACGTATAACTTTTCATCGAATAGGCGTGTACGAGATGCCTAAAGGCATCGGCCATGGCGCAGAACGCGTTCTCACTGGCTGCTTGGAACGCTCTGTTCCAAATCGATGGACAATCGCGATGGTTGACGAGGTTGCTTGGGGCATTGGCTGGGGCGCTGAGGGCGACGAAGCCTCGCCTCCGCCTGAGATCCCATCACGCGTCTCGTCCAAGTCCCGCTCACGGCCACACCCTGGTGTGCGCATCGACGCAGACGTGATTGATGACCTCGAAAGCGTGCGATCGCCCTCATGCATGACACGCTCGGAAAGTCGCTCGCCATCGTCGGCGCGCCGCCGCAGCGCATCACGGCACGCACACGTACATTCACACCATCCGTACGAGCCGCACCATCAGCTGCACCATCATCACGAGCACCCGCCTCATCCTCGCCCCATGGAGCCCAGCTTCTCCGCGCTCACGAACGCCATCCTGCGCACGAGCTCGGCGGACTCCGACTCGTCTGGCTCTGCGCTGAACGAATCCGCTCTCCTCATGACGCCAGGCCAACCTCAGCGTCAGGAACGCGAGCGGGGACGGCTACCGAGGCCTAAAGCCCAGCTTCCAATGGACCTGCCCATCCCAGACTCTCGCTCCGTTAGCCCTCTCGATGCTCTTCTCACCCCCGCGGACTCCCTACGAGCAGCCGAGCCTTCGGAGGGAGTGGACAAGTCACCGGCGATGGGCGATATCTTCTCGCCTGTCGTCGAGTCTACGTCGGGCGATGGCGACGAACATTGGTCGTACGGCGACGACGCGGACGTGGTGCATTCTGCAAGGGAACAGCTCAGACATGTCCTCGAACGGGATTCGCAGCGATCCGGTCCTGGACGGCGAGGAAGCGTGCCACCACCCTCTGCACGGACGCCATTCCAGTGTCCATCTCCCTCGGGCCTTTACACGCCGGCGACGCCTCGCTCGATCCAGTCTCGCAGTCACAGTGTGGACGTGCGGCCTGTCGGCCACCGAAACGATGGCTGAACGCGCTGACACAGGCCAGCTGAGCATTACCGCTGCCCCTCATCCATTCCTGGACGTTCTTTACGTATATGGGTTACGTGCCGCCGCGACGTGGCATTGAAGTACATTGGTCGCTGTATCATTTACGTCGCCGTCGATGACATAACGAAGAGATACTGTTAAGTTATACCCCCTTCCCCCTTCCCCTTTCCGTATCTTCCTCCCCTCTCATTCTTATTGCATCTCGTCCACTCCAATCGTCGTCCAATGTTTCAGTACGATCTCTCGCCTCTGATGTATAGTCTGGCTTCGAGGTCTCAGTTGCCGGCCGACCGGCGTGTAATACAGTACTATTAGTGGTATTATACTCTCGCAATGATATGGTTTGCGCATTCTATTGACGGCTCCCTCAAGTGAATCTGGATTGATGGCTTCAATCTTACATTCCAGAGCACCCCTCCGGCGCGACGGAATACATGTACAGTACATTCGTAGTCGGTTGTACGTTCCCTCCAGCTACCTAGTGTCGCTGTGTCTGTTTAACATGCCCTCTCCAGCGCGCAGTCGAATGGAGCATACACGTCAGTCAGGCAGAAAGCTCGCCCAGGGTGTCGAGTCGACGTCGATATTCTCGTACGACAAGTCACTGAGCGTGGACCAGACCGGCACGGAGCGATCTGCTGGAAAGGCGTAGAAGAAGTCTACGTATTCTTGTAGGTTGTTGACAGCAGGTCTGTGACATCAATATCTGAGCAAGTAAATTTTAACGTTGAGCGATATGAATGAATATGAATAAGAGATTTACACTGTACCGTGCGCATGCATCTCGAGAGTGTACTTGATCTGGGGACCCTTGAATCAGGTTGAAATTGAATGGCTACAAGTCCCCTCTCGGGAAGCATCTTCGCTGACCAGCGATATCATTGGCACCGGTCCAGTTAGGTGCTCAGACTAGCAATGTTTGAGGCAAGGATTAGTCTATGACGAGTTGCAAAAATTAATGCACTGTCGGCTATTACTCACGATGGTACGCCAGTTGTGAATCTTGTAAGACACCGCCCCGCTCGAAGTGTCGCGCTCTGAGCAGTCCGTATCTCTGCAGAATACACGCCTTTCCAGCTTTTCGAAGTCTTGAGGCAGCGCGCCGTCTGGATCGAGGCCCAGGCCGCGGAAGCGCCGACGCCTTGAGGACTGAGTACGTACTACTACGCCATACTATCTCATTCGAATATTTCTATCATCGTTCACGGCCTGAGATCGCGGCCAATAGCACAGTGTACCCTGAGTCTCTCGAGGCTCTTTGGTGAAAAGGCTGAGAACCGCGTCCATCGAGGCTAAAGGTGTCGCTAACGCCAGAGTGGGTACGAAGTACTCGCTCAATCCTTTGGGTGGAACTAGTTGCTATTGTGAATTTGAGCGATGAGGAAGTTCCCCTCCGACTCGGAAGGCTGGCCGCTGAAGGTCTGTAACCGCGCGTACTGTCATGGTTTGAGGTCTCAAATCAATAAGAGCACATCGTATCGAAATCCTGCTCACATTTCATTAACATTACAAGCAGTCAGTCGTGTTCTGTGGGTCGTTGGAGAGCTTGCTTTAAATTCGTTGCGCGAGCCTCTATGTTGGCCGGTGGCATGAGTGGTCACGGTAGGGCGCATGTCATCCGTTCCAGTGTCATGTCAGTCCCGGGCCCGACGTGGTTCCGTCACGGGGTGAGCGTTTGTTGAACGTTCGACCAACACCGTGAGCTGTCATGCATCATGACTCATCATCCCTGCTTGATTTCCTCATCACTCACCCGGCTGCTGCGTACTGTAAGTACTTCAGATGCTTTCAATTGCTTTGGAAGATCCGGTATGCCAAAATGCGCGGCCCCAGTGCACACAGGATCAATGGTATAGTATACCCTGTGAGTGGTCCTGCATGCTAAATGTACCCCAGTTTGTGCGGTGTTCACTACCAAGCGCAGCCTGAAGAACCTGCTCCCGTGTGTGCGGCATCTCATCGTGGGTATCCTATTTTATTCCGTAGGTTCCGAATGTCGCAGAAAACTTGAACGCATCCGAGTCCGGCCGGTCAAGGAGCGCGTCGCAGTAGCCTGCTCTATTGCCTGGCCGCGTGGTAATGTCGGAACGATACCAGCATAAGTATTCCTGTAGCGGCGCAAGCGCCGTCCCCGACTCCATGTGGGTGCCTGAACCGTATTATGAATGAACATCGATTGAGTGAGGGTGGTGTAGATAAGATCTGGGAGTGAATGATGAATGACATGGTCCCAGTAAGCAAAAAAATTGGTTTGATATGATGTGTCCGCTTTCAGTCTCTGATGAAGCTCAGTTGGATTCATGCCACCCAAGAGCCAAATCTGGAAGTGTCCATGCAAATTGCCCTTCTCACTGAACTCTGATGTGCTATAATATGCTCTTAATTTACCAAGGATACCACCATCACGTTTGGACCTATGCTTCTTTTGGTCCCAACTAAACAAGCAGTCAAATAGAGTCTGAACCGAAAACTCAAAGAAGTCTGCAGCTGCAACAGGATTCTTAGCAAGGTTCATTGCTCTTTCCTTACTTGTGGGTATCTGAGGAAAGTATTGGCTCAAATCAATTGTTTCATTATCACACATGACTTGAAACATAGGGCTATGTGTTGCAGAAGGATTTATGGAAAGATGTGTGGTAATCCAAAATAGGCAAAATAACTTTTGATCTCACTTCTCAGCATAATTTTGGATCCTTGAGACCCTGGTATGTGGCCTGCAATGGTGTTCACTTCCTGCAATAGATTTAATGCATTCAGTTGCTCCTGTGATAGGTCTGAATATTTTCCCTCCTTCTCTAGGTGCTCTGCTACTGAATGAAGGATTTGTGGAGATACTGTGGTCAATTTAGTTGCTACAGACTCAAAGTTTCTTCTATTGACAGCAAAATAAGTGTACAAATGAGCAGCATGTCTCTGCAAGATGTTGAGTGCTACAAAAATGAATGAATAATGGTAACAGAAACTATGATCAGTTATGTCAAAGTAATAGTTTGCTTATTCTGAAATGATATAGGTGTAGCTCTGCTCTTCAGATCAAATGCACCAATGCCAAATGGAAAGAGGGTTGGATACATCCCAGGAAACAAATCAGGATTGTTATATTTTGAAATAGCTTGTGAGCCATGATGAAATATGAGATCAGGCTGCCCATCTGGTGGCTTATGAATAAGGTTGTTGATAGCAGCTGCAGTGAGAGCACGGCCACTAAGTCTGTCTCCTTCTGGGTCAGATACACCTGTTCCAGCAGTACAGTTGGTTGATCATCTGCATGTTTAGAGTTAGCATGCATAAAAGCCTCTGCAGGATGTTCTGTAAAACCTGCTGTTTCTTCTTGGAAGATTTCATCACTATTTTGGTGAATGTCTTGGATGAATTGAGCATCAACATCAGGAAGAACACCATCATCTGGAAATTGATCTATGTTACTCTGACCAACAGGATCTGCTCATATAATTTGTTATGGTGCTTCAACCAAAAAAGAAAATGCCATATTTTGGCTTTTTTGCACTCTGAATGTATTGCCCAGGTCACTGGCTTGAATTTTATGAGGTCCAATAAATACAACTGAGAGATACCCAGTGATGTCTGCAGGTTCTAGGAAGCACTGTTGTTGTTGATATAACATTCATATCATGTGTTATGGTGTTTCCATAAAAATCTTTGGCTGTTCAGGTTCTGAAGATCCATACAAACGGGTTACATGGGCAGTGATATGATAAATAGCACATGCCATCTCTTCAACCCATGTAAGGTCACAAAATTCAGTAGGAAGATGACCTCTCTATGTAGATTATTGGCCAGTGCACATCTGGGCATAGTTGGTTTCTTTAGGGAATTGTAGCAGTCTGAACATAGTACTATTTTGGGATTGATAGAATCACTGCATAGCAGCCCTTTTTTATCCAACATGAAGCCATCCAGTTCATTTCCATACAAGTCTCATTAGAATTTTGTTGTACAATGCATTTCTGAATAATCCATGGGTCATGTACCTGCAAAACAGATATGTTATGCACTATGTTGGGTATTTGATTCATATCATAGATCTTTGTTTTCAATCTATGGGCACTCCTAGAGCACACAGAGCAGATGAGAGGAGGTATGCACATTGTAGCTCAGTCTCAGTGCTAGGTATGGTAGGCCAATTCATTTCTTCACTGAGGTATGATTGCTTTAGTTGTATGCTCTTGTCTTGTCTTTCCAACCTTCTATAGTCTCTTTGATACTGAATTTGCTGCTGTTTCCTTATTTCTGGATGTGTTATGGAATGCTGCATTTATCACATCATTACCATAGTATGCAATCAAGATACTTTCAACAATATTGCATGGCTTTGGCACATAAGATAACATGTTGCCACTGTATGTCACAGCTGTGAAGTATTGTTGGTACACTTCAGCAATACTCAAGTCACTGAGATATTGTTTAATGGCCAATATCTTGGAAACCAGTATTTGCATTGGTCTTGTTTTGCTCTTCATGTAGTCAGTCTGAAATATGGTGTAACAATGATCTAAAATGTCCTTGTCTGAAACTCTCAGTTGGCTAAGAATATTAGGGTCTATATCAGGAACTGTACTTGAATGAGCAACATCATGTGCTATACAGGAAAGCATAGGAGATTGGCATAGACATTTCAGAATCTTGCAGCCATATAATTGTGTATAGTAATGCTTCAAATTATATATCTAATGGTGAACTGAGCAGCAGAGAGCAGTTGCATGATTGGCACAGGAGAACATCTGACATATTTGCCAATAACACTTTAGATGAGTTGAAATGCTGCAGTAGTTGCTTACCAAAGATACTTTGGATTGCCTGATACCTTGTGTCTGATCAATACATGTACAAACAGCAGCCCATAATTCAGCTCTGGTAAGGGATTGTAATTGCTGCAGGTAATAATCATCAGTATAATAGAACCATGAAGGATTGCTATTCATGATGCCTTGGACTGTGCCATTAGGAACACTTGCAATTGTATGTGGTATGCTGTCTGATGATGAGACTGGTATATAGTCTGCAGAATCATCTGGTAAAACTGGTATTGAGCCCAAGGCCCTATCTGGTAGTTGGGAAGTAGGGGCAATACTAGTTAGTTGTTGTGACATGGAAATGGCAGCTGCTTCAGGGGGGGAGACAAGATGTGTTGAAGTGAATGTCTCGATCATAGTGGCAGGAGGCATGTTATATATGCTCGGGAAAAATCGGAGGAAGATCCGGCCGCACGAGCGGAACGCAGATCCAGACAGAGCGTCGGTCAGACGCGAGCGCACGGCTTGCATGTGGACAGTTTCCCTATGCGGTATCGCGCGTACCGTATATGGACGGAAATTTCCCACGGCGACACGGCATCCCCGGCGCAATATCGTTTCTACTTGACAGAGCCCTCCCTCCCTTCGGGAGGAGTCGGGGATCGTTGACTGGCCCTTTCTCCTCGACTCCGATGTCATTGCCGGCCTCACAAAAGTTGACAATGGCCTACCAATGTTGTCGTGGGCTATGATTTCGGCGTTGTTTAGGCGCATCGGTGCAACATTTCTGCCCGATATGGATGGTGCTTGTAGAGGTACGCTGATCTCCCATGATTATCTCGCACTTACTCCCGCTAACGCCGTGGTGCTTGTAGAGGTACACTTCGTTCACATCACGACACCCCGTTTGCACCATATAAGGTATGGTCGCGCGCCTCTTGGTGCTTGTAGAGGTGCAGTTGGTTCCCTCGATCCTCGCCGCCTTGCGCTGCACAGCGGCGGGATGCTTTCTTCCCCTACAGGTATAAAAGCACGCATTGCCCGCCATGATGGCCCCAAAACCAGACCCCTCCGCTATCCACAATGTCCGCCACTCACCTTACGCCTTACTACGAAGATGACCTCGCCCCCGCCGCACTCGACTCGTCCGTCTCCGAGGCGTACACGCGACCCGGACTCCTCGACAACCTTTGCGAAGGGTTCGTCGATCCGTATCGGAATCAAACAGGGATGTTCGGAGCGCTTTCCGCCGGACCCTCGCTCTTCGAGTTACCGGACGCGGACCTGGATGCTCTCATCCATGGGCTATGTGACCCATACAGCACGTCGGTCCCATGCCCTGAGTATGTAACAACGCTCACGTTCCTGATAGTGACACTGAGGCATACAATCATACAGTTCTCTCATGCTAGCAGCAGACACCGTGCCGCAGCTGCAGCCCGCACACCCATCTCCCACCTTCGCGGAGGACAGGTCACTCTGGCACAATGCCCTTCCTGGGCCATGCACGTATGGCTCGCCTAGGTCTAGTGCGGTTGACATGTCGCAGAGTCCGGTCTTCTACTACAGCGACGAGACCGCGTATTCGAGCCCCTTCCGCGAGCGCTCTTCGACCATGGACCTTTTCTCCACCTTACCTCCCGACCCCTCCCCGGAGTTGTTCTTTGATTCACCGGGCGCAGGATCTTCATCTGCGACCTGCCACGATGTCCAGTCGCCGACTTCTGTGACATACCAGACTGCGCCCGGCGCGCCCTCCGCCCCCGCTAATGAGTCGCCGAAGAAGCGAGCCAACTCGACGTCGGGCACGAGCCCCGCTCGCCGCAAACGTACTCCCCGCAGCTCTGTCGTCCCGTATTCTCGCACTAGTCGAGTGCGCACCACGTCGCCTCGAAACAAGCAGGTCGGCTTTGTACCGTCTGCCGAGCCCGTCGCCCACGAAGAGCTGTCCGCCTGCTCGTATTGTCCGTTCTCTACGAAGCGCAAGGGCGACCTCGAGAGACACGTGCGCACGCATTTCGCTCTCAGTCGTGGACAGGAGTGGGTCTGCTGCGGAGTCCCAGAGGAGGATGCACTCGAGCTCACCAGAGACAGCTACGAGTATGGAAGCAGGAGGATGGTCGGAGGCTGCTTGAAATCGTTCAGCAGACACGATTCGTATCTCCGGCATCTGAAGAAAGCGAGGTGCTTGAGGCCTGCGCATCTGTAGCATCCCGCCGTAGGTTTTCATGATGAGTAGCATTGATATAGACGATCGGAAGCTAGTTATGTTACCTGACCTATCGCGTCCTCGTCGCAATCTCAGCGTTCTTTATACCATTGATTGGGTGTCGGCTCATACAGCGCACATACGGTAATAGACTGAGGATTCACGAGTAGGCTATGAGAATACAGGGGCAGAATTAGGTACATACGCAGTGGGATCTAGTCCGTACCGTGACATCGTACATGTACGCACCGATGCTCAGTTACTCCCAGACGTTCGGCGGAATCCCAGGTCCCGTCACGTCAATTGTCAGACTTTCGTGATCTTTCCACGGTGGAAATTTGACCTTGTAAGCATCGAGGCAGCGTTCATGCGGTACAGCATGAAAGAAATCGACGCTTTCCTCCGGTGCCGTGACTGCATGTCTGCCAGAATGCTTATGTCAACTTTGAGAGTGCGCTGAGGGAGCTGTGTACTCACAAGTCTCTGATATGCTCGATGACAGATGTCTTAGTCTGCAGGTTGCCGAGATGGATTGGACAGTGATTGCAACTCCATTTACTCTGCAGGTCGGCATTCACGCCGAGGCGCTCCAACATTTCGGCACTGCCCTCCGCACAGAGAATTCCCATAACTACCTGGTCGCTATATCCGTGGTAGCTCGAGCTGTGCTCAAGCTATAGACAAGTCAGCATGCAAGCGCGATATAGTTCTACTGAAGACCGCACTCACGACTGTACGCCACGAGTCGAACCTTCGACCATATCCGGGGTGAGTGGAGGACATAAACATACAGCGGACGGATGGACAGAAGACGAGTCTGTTGAGCTTGTCGAGTTCCTTCGGAAGAGCCTTGCGAGGGTCAAGGCCGAGCGTTGACGACAGCTTCTGGACGACGGCATATCCAACCGAATCCCCTATGAACGGACGCAATTGCGACCGATCTTCTGGGTCTTGCAACTGAAGCCAGAAGAGCTTGTCCTTCCTCCCTTCCCGGATGCAAGACAGTTGCGCGAATACGTCGTCAGCACCACAGAAAAAATGGGTGTCCCACGACCTCGTCCTGAAGATGGAACAGGCCCAGTGGAGATTCTTGTCCGCGCCTTCAGGCCAGTCCTCACCAGAGTCGAAGGTCCACATTTCCTTGTAGGCTCGTCGCAGGGCAGCCATGATGCTGTCGTGATAGGTTGAGATGAAGTCCGGTAGCTCCCGCGCAGCCGCGTCGCACTGCGCTCTAATGAGAACCGCATCCAGGTCGTTGTATATGAGAGAGCGGAAGGTCGGCATCGTGTAGATCATGTCGACAGGGGGGAGGCGAAGCCATTGGATCGGCTGCAGAGTCCGCTTGAAGTCTTCATATGTTTCTTTAACAAGAACCTTGCGAATCTGTATGGTCTCGCGATGGCCCGGTCCCGCGTCCCTCTCGATCCGTCCGCACGAGGCGTCCACAATGAACGGTTCGAGCGCATGCCGTATATCCTCCCAATCTAGGTGGAAACATCACTGCGCCATTGACTGACAGATTTACAGTGCCGACTTACTTTGGTCGGTTACATCCCCCTTCTCAAGCTCCTGCACTGCAAGATCCATCGTCTTGATCTTCTGGATGTCATTCTCTGCATAACCAAGGTGCATGAATCGCCGCTCGACCCTAAATCGTAGCATGTCAGACATGCTATGTGACACTTGCGCGTCTTTTGACCCACTGTTTGTAGCGCCTCTCCCGACGCTGCTTCTCTTCTTGATATCGGGTGTGGATCCATTCATAGCACTTTTGCGCATGCTATAGATGATGCACAGTAAGACCTGAGGGCCAGTCGATGAATGGCAGGTGAACAGACCTGAGAAATTGCCCGCGCAGAATCAGTCTGTTCTTTCTTGAATCGCTCGTAGGCTGCCTTGGCTCCTCGCTTCCCTGATTGTATGTCTGCCTCATAGCCGGCACACTTCTTCGCCACACGTACAATGTGTGATTTCCAGTAGCGCTTGGATGCGTCCCAGGTTGGAGGAGAGCGCACTGAGTCGACGTATCAGTAACATCACGTTGGCTACAGTTCAGGATACCTAACTCTTTGAGTGCGGGATGAGGTCCAAAATGCCGAGGTCGAGATCGGGCCAAAGCCTCTGTATCTCCTCATCATCAATATGGCTGAAGTAAAATGCGTTCAACAACTATCCCGAGGAGTCTGACCTATCAACACTCACTGTCTGTATGTGCATCCCCCACAGACCGGCTGCATGATTGTGTATGCTACAAACTCCACCCCGGATTCGGCAGGGTCGCCACATCGCTATTGCACATTTGAGTCAACAGTTGGCAAGATGCATTGCCGAAGATCCATGAATGGGTTACTTACGATGCAGCTCGTATTTCCGTAGATTACCCTCGTCCAGCTCACTTCGCAGATAAAATCCGGACGGTCGGGGGTCTCTCCGGCAAGCTTCTTGACTTTGCTCCATATTCTCGACCCTTCAGGCGAAGAAAGAAGCATTCCACGAAGCACTCTGTTTGTCTGCGCCAGGTTCGCAAGATCAATTGGCGTCAGCTCAATCAGAATCTATAAGACGAGGGACATTAGCACTGTGGCGGATGTTGCATTTAGTCATCGTAACGCACCGCGTCAGATAATATCTCAAGAGGGAGTCCAAGAAGTGTAACAGGACCGGCTTCCACCGGGTCACAATCAGCGACTCTAGAGTCGTTCGTACTAGTGGGTCGCGCGCGCTTCCTCTGCGGACTGCCGCCCTGCGTCGAGCTGCTCGTTTGAGTCGTCCTCGGGCTCTGATCACGGGAAGCTGGAGTTGAGGATACATCGCCGGGGCGTAAGTCAAGCCAAGAAAAACAAAGGGGAAAACATCTAGGCTTACGTCGACGTGCATCCTTGCGGCTCTTCCGGTCCCGGCTCGAGTTCGATCGGTCGAGCGGAACATCGTCTGCAGGCGCTGAGTTCGTGTTTGCGGCGCGAGCCTTGGAGGCCTGGCTTCGAGTTGTGGCGGGCATGACGTTGCGAGTGTCGGACACGGCTATATGTGGTGAATTAGGACACTGAGCGATATACACAATTAATGATGGACAATACTGACGCTTAGGTGAGTAGTCAGTGTAATTATGGGTGCAGAGGCGTCGCAGAATGAGTAGATTATCCTCAAGTTGTGGGGCTGAACAGGCTGATGATGGTGAGGAGCAACGAGCAATCGCTTAGCATGAACGGTTGATATAGGTCTGAACGAACCATTGTTGTGGCTCATATGGCCGCGAGTTCCCACCTGTCCCTTTGTGGCTAATATCCGTCATATGGAGAGTCTAGCTTAGTCAGCACCTTATTCGGAAGGAGTTTCCAGCCATTCGGAATTCCTGCCAGCCACTGCACCTATTGACTCGACCACCGTCCAGCGCATGCTTGATTCATCGTCCCAGTCTTCAGCGCATAAAATCGTAATGTTCATATCCTCACTGTCTCCCAAGGTGCATTCGTGACCGAGATCCACGCAGACGACGATGCTGGTGGTTTGCTCTATGCATCGATTGCTCACAGACTGCTAGTGATGATATGGTTGTGTTGTGGAACGTGCTCACGGTGTTCCAGCCACTGCGTAACTTATTCGGTCCAAACAAAGCTCTGTGAATATTGATGACAATACACGGGTACAATGGGGACCACTGCAGTGGCTGGCAGGAATTCAAACGGGGAAATCCAAAAAAGCAAGTGGTGATTAGTGGGTGAGGGGATCAGTGTTTTTGGACACTGCTCCGAATCGCCCGGGTGGCGAAGCCGCCGCGGGCGAGAGGAGCTTTCTAAATCTACATACATATGTATGTGCTCACAGATCATCCGTAACTGCATGCAAAGTTGAATGAACGCCCGGCAGGGTCCGACGTGCATATGTGAGCACATACATATGTAAGTAGATTGAGAATGCTCCTCTTTCCCGCGCTGAATATACAGTGTTCACGGACCATCCGTAATTATGTGTGTCATATGCCTGTATAGAACGAAATGATGATTTGCATGGCATATCGGACCCTGCCGGGCGCAGCAGCGGCGAATAAGACAAGTTCCCACCTGTCCCTTTGTGGCTAAAGTTTCCATTCTGGGAACAAGGGCGCTGCACGTGATGGTGTGGCTCCAGATCTAACCATATTGGACGGTAGTCGCCCATCGCTCCGCCGTCGTCGTTGCTGAACAATACGCTCACCTGAGTATCCCGTCTCTCTGACTCCAGTGAATAAAGGAAGCGTTTCCTAACCCACCATAGCACTGCATTAGGTGGAACCGTGCAAAATTTGCATGTTGAATCGGGTCGCAGGGCTTATTGGCACTTCGGAGGGTCAGAACGCATATGTTCGAGCTCGTGCTACTGCTAAGGTGAGTCGATAAATGGGAATTTGGCTTGAACATTGACTTACCAGTTTGCATCCCGTAGGGCGATAGTCTAGGCTTGACATGTTACAAAATCTGGTGATGACTCTTGGATTGGTCGCGGTGACACCGTGCTCGTGAGGTCGCGACGGACTTGTGAGGCGGCTGGATAACTTGTATTGCTGTGAATGACATCGAAGGTCTGTGTGAGCGTGGCAGCATCATGTTCCGTCATCATCAACTTCAACAGTCCAGTGTGTTATCTTCGTAACCCTTGGCGCCTTTGCCGTTGGCGTGCATCGACGGCGACTGGTCGCTCGATTTGGATGGTGCTTGTAGAGGTACGCTGATCTCCATGATTATCTCGGCACTTCGTCCGCTAACGCCGTGGTGCTTGTAGAGGTACACTTCGTTTGCATCACGACACCCCGTTTGCACCATATAAGGTATGGTCGCGCGCTTCTTGGTGCTTGTAGAGGTGCACTCTATTCCCTCGACCCTCGCCGCCTTGCGCTGCACAGCGGCGGGATGCTTTCTTCCCCTACAGGTATAAAAGCATGCTTCGCCCGCCATGATGCCCCCATCACTAGCCCTCCCCGTGCAGCAACTCGACATCCGTCTTCCAGTCTATGTCCGCCACTCAGTACATGCAGTACGACTCAGACCAGGGCGTGTATACGTCCTCCGCGCCCGGCCTACTGCTGTCTGCGGAACCCTTGCTGTGTGGGCACGACAGCCTCCCTAGAGATTGTGACGGCTTCGCGTACGGCAACTGGAGCGCAGACGAGTTCCTACCCTACCCGGACGTAGGCCTCGATCCCTTGATGGACAAACTTCGTGGACCCTCCGATATCTTGACTCCATACCTTGAGTATGTGCACTAGCAGACGCGCCTGGTGTCATGACTTAAATATTTGTACAGTCTATCGCACCTGGATGCGGAAGCGGCGCTGCATTTGGCAGACGACATCCACCCCTTAGTCGAGGGCAGCTCTACTTGGGACTATCCCCTCTCGACTAGTACTTGGCCTCTAGCATTGCAGAGCGCGATTGCCGCCGAACCGCCTATATTTCCAGCATGTGCTCCCGACGAGGGGCCATCGAACACAAGCCTCAACAGGAGTTCGACAACCCACACAGTACCGGCCACCTCTTTCGCATCCTCTTCACTGCAATGGCTGGCCCCTTCCTCGTCCGGATCACCTTCAGAGGTGTTTCACAGTGCCGATTACACTTCGACGTCGTTACCCGTTGCCGCCAACGAAACATCTGCCCCCTCTGACCGCTCCCGCTCCTCGAAGCGACGCTCGAGGATAAACAAAAGCTGCAACCGCCACGGACATGCCGACCTTATCACCCCAGGCACCGTTCCCTCTCACGCTTCCTCGTTTGCAGGCGGAGTACGCAGGACGTCTCCCCGGAACAAGCAAGTTGGCTTCGTTCCTTACGCGCGCATCGATATGCGCGAAGGGTCCGGGTTCATCTGCCTGCACTGCGAGCCCGACCGCCCGTTCTCTACACAACGGAAGGGCGACTTGAAGCGCCATGTACTCACCCATTTCGCGCATAGTCGCGGCCAGGAGTTGATCTGCTGTGGGGTGCCCGAAGAAGATGCACCTGAGCTTGTCGGAGAACGCTACGAGCATGGGGGCCGGAGGATGGTCGGAGGATGCTTGAAAACCTTCAGCAGGCGCGACTCGTTCCTCCGACATTTGAGGAAGGCTAGGTGCTTGAGGCCGGCGCATATGTAGACGGAGGGCTCGACAGAGGTACTGACGGACGACCTCACGAGCATTGACTGCCATATGTAACTTATTGATACCCTGCGATTCTGTAACTTGTCTGCCAGCGACATGTCTTTGCCTATGTGCGTACTGGGAATGTTCATCTGGTTCACGAGCATCGGGGGGGGGGGGGCGCCATCATGCAGTACACGATGCCATGGTCCATCACACTCGGACCTAGTACATAGACCTCAATTAAACGACACGAGTGCGCTACCTACCCTCGCGCCTTGGCGGGCCGTCGGCCCGCGCGCCGCCTGCGAATTTGCCTCGGTCAAACTGCTGTGCCCAGTACATGACTGCAGACTACCACACGCAGAACGTAGACTGCAGACTCTACGGCCGCATCTTCGTACTCTGCCTCGGGATTAGTCCGGGCAAGGCCCTCGAGGACGTCCGAGTCTCGCTGTTTGCGGGCAGCTTGTGATACTAGCATTCATCGCCATCTGTGACATTGGTCGTTGATCACAAGTACGTAGACTATGTTGAAATTGCGCAAGTGAGGACGGAGGATGTTAACGCTGTATACCACAGTGCTCCATAGTCGTCTGGGTGCCACAATCCAGTCTCACCCGAAGAATCCCGAATGCTCGCAGACGTCCGGACTCTTGCAATCTATACCGAAGACTCGGTACTGGTACTGTGTCAATCGAATCCGCGGATATCTCCATTCTTGGTTCCTTATACCGATTTCGAAGTGGGATTGTCGACGCCACGGTATCCCAATAGGTACTGGCATATGGCCTCTTCCTTTCAATCTCCTTCTCAAACGAACGGAGGGCACTCGAGAAACCGAGGCGATTGCCATGATGGTCGCTCGCGATATGGGGCTTCCTGTTCCTCGTATGCTCTCGTACGCAGATCACGGCAGAGGGCAGAACGGCTCCATTCTCATGGAGCGTCTGCCTGGCAAGACGCTCTTCGAGGTGATCACAACATTGTCTCTGTCGGAATTGGAGAGGGAATTGGAGAGTTTTGCTTCTGATCTCGAGAAGACCTTTCCCTGTATGCGGATGTATTCGAGCCCGTACCACACAAGCATATGTGGCGTCGATGGTCAAGACATTCGGAGCATACGCCTGCCAAATTGGTTCGTCGGGCCATGTCCGGGCGCCCACGCATTCTACGATACAATTCAAGCGGACCCTAATCCTCCGCGAGAGAACGGCCTGGAAAGGGAGTACCCCGAACATCTGGCTAACTATCAACGTATCTACGACATGGCGCACACCGTTGTGTTGTCGCACGGAGACCTCGCGCCGCATAACATCCTGGTCATGGATGGCCATATTACCGGTGTCATCGACTGGGAAGCCGCCGGGTGGTACCCTGAATACTGGGAGTATACAACCATGCTGAAAGGCCTGCAATTGACGGCGGGCCCAGATGGCCAAATCGTTCCAAAGACGGCTTGGCAGCGACTCGTGCTATCCTTACCGAGCTTCTGCTACGCTACCGAATACGACCTGGAGTGGTCGTTGTGGTGGTTGACAATGGCAAACTGGCCGCCATGGTAGCCACTGGCTGGTACGTTGGCACGGCGCATTTTCCGTTTGCCAGGACGCTGAGTGGATGTGACATCGTCACAGTCTTACAGAGTATGTCTCCGGCCTATGCAGACCAGTCCCGAAAAGCTGTGTCGGGGAGGAACGTCATGCCTTTCTCCCGGCTGAACATGCAATTGTACAATTGCTATAAGAGTGTTGCGAGACATTCGCCTCGTTCTGAGTACCCGATACGTACCTTCGACTCGCTGTATACTTGTCGATATCACGTCGTCAGTAGCTAGCCACCCTTGTGCCCCAGTCTGCATTTTTACGATGTATAACTTTTATGCAACTATCGTCGAAGTCTCGTCCTCGACCTATCCTATGCACCACCATCCCACCATCTCTTGTCCGCGGATAAACGTACAACTGAGCCCTGCATCCATAGTGTCGACATCCTTCATCTACGTCGTCGCGTACTCCGGAAATCAGATAGCGCAACTCATCCGCAAACATTGCGGCTACTCTAAGACTGGTGACAGACCCGTCAATACGCAGGTCTGAATCACGAGAGCAATGCGGCCTGTCTTGACATCGACTACAGCTAGTAGAATACAAGATAGCAATTCATAATGCATACGAGGTGTCCTAGGTCTGATACTTGTGTGGCAGCGGTAAAGAGAACACAACACATCGGAGAGCGATGCTAGATGCATAAGGAGAACAGGGACCACATCATACTGCTATGACATGGGCATGGAGGTAGAATGGCCCTTCGACCTGTATTTGACGACCCAGGGGTGCCGCCGGACCTCGTCGAGAGGCAGGCGCTTCTCCGGATCGTACTGAAGGAGCTGGGTAGACGAGTGAGTAACACTCGAGCAGCCGGAAAGAATTGCTTTCATACCTTCGTAATGAGGTCACGCGCTTCGGGAGAGACTTTGGGTGGTATCCGCAGGTCCACCTTCGCGATACGTTTGTATGTGGCTGCAAGAAGGTTGGTGTCAAAGGCGAGCTGATTATCTAAGCTTGGAGGCATACCGTTGTAGCCCGTCATGTCCTCAAAGGGCGGGGCGCCGCAGATGAACTCATAAGTGAGTACGCCGAGCGCCCAATAGTCAACTTTCTCGGAGTGGTCCCGCCCCTCCACCATCTCCGGTGGGAGATAGTCAAGCGTACCACACAGCGTCGTGCGACGATTGCCAGGGGCATGCACGCTCCACCCGAAGTCGCCGATCTTCAACTCGCCGCTGATCCCAAGCAGCAGGTTCTCCGGCTTGATATCACGGTGGATGACGTGCTTGGAGTGGAGATAGTTCAACGCGTCTGCCATCTGGTCGATGTAGCGCGAGCTACGCTTCTCCGTGAAGCATCCGTGCTTCGTGAGCTGCTTGTAGAGCTCGCCCTTGCCCGCGAACTCGAGCATCAAGAAGATCCGCTTCTCGTCGTGGAAGTAGCCGTACAGGCGCAGGATGTTGGGGTGCCGCAGGTTCTGTTGAATTTCGATTTCGCGCCTAATCTGCTTCTCGACGCGCGACTGCACGATCTCTGACTTGTAGAGCGTCTTGAGGGCAAGGATATAGTGCGGTTCGCCCTTCGTGCGGACCATATATACGCGTCCAAACTTGCCCTTGCCTAGCGGTCGACCGATATCAAAGTCGGTGAGATGCCACTCGCGAGTGGGACGAGTTCTATCATTCGTGAGTTGGATAGTAGTCGGTTCAAAGGTCCACGTACTGTGATACACTGGAGTCCAGAGCAAGGGTTTCTGCCGCCTCTCCGTGCACCTTCTCCCCTCGGCTCTCGTTGTCGAGCTCCAACCCGCCGTCATAACGTCCGATGTCGATGGTAGGCTGTGCTGGTTTCGTGGCTGGCTTTGGTGGTGAGGGCGGTCGTGAGGGTTGTTTGGTAGCCAGAGATGTCTGCGACGAGCTCTTTGATATCGTGGCTTTCACGGGAAACGGATTGGGCGCCGCAAACTTAGACAGCAGCTGTGAGACGTTCTTCGACTGACTCGGCTTCTTCTCGTGCGTCGGCCTTGACGTGTTAGGCTTGGAGGATATCTCGAGCGCGCCCAACTGGCGCGTCACAGAAGCTATAGATGCCATGACTGTTGCCTTGAGAGAGTGTTGGGTGGTGTCACTGGATGAGGACGTGGCGGTCGGGAGCAGGCAGCGAGGCGGGGTTCACTTTCGAACCAACCTGATAGGCGCCGGCCACGCGCGACTGGTGCGTGATGGAGGTAATCATGTGATCGCGCCGCCTGACATCGCGTTGCGCGCCGATTGTAGCCTCCTCCTCCTCCCATGTACTCGCTCTGTATCTTTCAAACCAGCGTTGTTCTGAATGTTATGATTGGCAAGTCAGAATGGTCATTCACTCTAGTCTGCCCAAGTTCTCCAGCATGACCACTGAAGCGTCCGAAAATAGTGAGCAGGTGCTTCTTATAGACTTACACTGGCAGTAGCCTCGGACGTTTTCACTTCTATGCGTGAGATTGTGACCACTTGACGACGACCCAGCAAGATGACAGTGTGAGTTTCTTCTCACCACTCTGAACTATAGCTACAAGTCGAGTGGCCGGCGCGCTTCCCTCGCGACGACATGCAAGCTGCGAACGCGGCCGAGGCTCTGCAGAGCTACAGCAAGCCAGACCCTGTTCAAGGTACGATGTCTCGAATACCGTGGTCTCTGCTGTTCCGACCTGAGATACCGACAGTCCCCATCTTCTTCAAAGCCGTCGGAAATGCACCTATCATGAAGCAGAACCTATACAAGATCAACGCGCTGAACCCGTTCCGCGCTGTCATCCGCTTTCTGAGGAAACAGCTGGGCTGGAAGGCTCAGGAGCCGCTGGTACGTTTTTTGTTCATCAGCCCTTTGCAATGCTCACGAGGCACTGCATATCGGCGCGGCATTGCACAGTTCACTTATATTAATCTCGCCTTTGCACCTGCCCCCGACGACACAGTGACGAATCTGTTCAAGGCAAGTAGTGGATCCCCGCTTGTACATATCTATTCACGCTTGCTACACAGTCATTTGCGACTGAAGGGCGACTCATTGTGAATTACAGGTCTGTGCATCTGTCAATACATGATCACTGAGTCTCATCCCTCATCCCTCTATTTCTTAGCACTACTGCAGCTTGGGGCTGAGTTCTGTAGCCCCAACTCAGGTTGGGCGCTCTGCTTATCATTTCAGTTCCTGATGCTAGAAGCCGGGGATACTTGGCAAGTCCACGGTTGACCAGGCTTGCTCATAATGGTGTTGCCCAGCATCATCTGTGTTTGCCCCTAGTATCATACCTACTAGATGCACTGATACCAATTAGTGCCTGGAATGTCTCTGTCTCTGTCTGTGTGCTGAGCACTCGGCAATGTTGGGATGAGGACACACCACATGTGCTGACAGCAGTAAGCAAATCTCACCAAGAATGGTTGTTGAACCACTGCACCATCCATCTGGATAGCTGGCAGACTCAATTGGCCATTCAGAAGCATGTACGAGATTAGTAAGTCTACAATGACTCTTGGCGGGCTTCTTCGTGACGTTGATCATTTGTCGTGTATAGCCATGAAATTGACGAGCCGGAAGAAGACATTGACCTATGCTACGCATATCCCATAGTTCGCTCGCTCTCTCGCCCCGAACCTTTGCAATTTCCTCTACAGGATGATCGTGACTAGTAAGGATGGAGGCTGCATGTCGAGTCACGGTAAAGGGACTTTCCGTGTGGTGTACATGAGCGATCATGCGAATGCTAGTACTAGTAATATCTCGGCGACCCGCGTCATCATGTTCGACTGCCGTGACTCAAGATCCTCTGCATTAAGTGTGTCCGAGACTCGTCGATGAGCCGGCGTTATTGAGTGGGCGACCTGCGTTTAATGGACACCTGTCACTAGTGTTCAACCATGACAGATGCCGTGGTGACTCCGAGTCGTCCAGACAGATGTGTTTGTTGTACATACCGTTTGCATACCGTTGTCTCAACGTGATGACCTATGGCAACCTGGTGCAGTCATAGGAAAAGGCTGTGAGCTGAGCGCGGCGTTGTTTCTCGTGCGCAGCGGCCACCCTCGTGGCCGAACGTTGGCGGGCCCCCGCTCGGCACTTCTTAAAGCGGACAGCGTTACCGTATATGGAAAAAGCGTCGGGCATGCGCCCGCCGCCCGACGCACCACCCGATCATCAGGGCGGTGCCGCGATCAGCGCCATATTGGGCGATAAGCTCCCTGCGTTCACACGTTGAGTCAGACGACACCGACTCACCGACGCGGGCCTTCACGAAGCTATAAAGAGCGCAGCGCCCTGCGTTTCCACATAACCAACTTGAAGCACCCAACTTCCCGCTTCTCGACTCACATCCAACCTGAACCGAGGCCTGTACGATGCCCGTGACAACTCGGACACGCCGCGCCAAGCCGCAGACTACCAAGCAGTCACTCGCTAAAGAAGACGTAGACGGCTACTGGTCCAGCGAGCTCAGCGATCCTGAAGAGGACACGAGCGACTGGGAAGGTGATCCAGATCGACATGACAACTATGTTCTGCGTTGTTGAATACCTGTTTTGCTAGACAAACGCAGAAAGCGACCGAGCGGTAGTCCACAGAAGAAGCGTGCTCGGAGGAACATCGCAGGTTCAGGCTCTGCGAACTCGAAGGTTCGAGGTACCACCATCAAACTCAGTAAATTCCCTACACTTCCGTTGGACATCATCTTCGAGGTACAGTACTGGGTCACCCTTGAAGGTCGAGAGCATTGCATTGATCAACGTTCTGAGGATAGATTCTATCTCTGTTAACTCCGACTGACCTTGCCAACCTCGCGCAAACGAACACAGCGTTCCGATCAACACTCGCATCGCCTCATGCGTCCAACGTCTGGAAGGCAGCTCGGAAGCGCACTGGGTGCGTTCCCGATTGTCCGCCAAATGTGGGAGAAGTGTCCTGGGCCAGGTTCATCTACAGCGCGCCCAAATGTCAAGTGAGTATCCCGACGCAGCGAAATTCAACCAGATAATGAACCTATTTTGCCCAGGAGTGCGGTGTATCGAACGTGCATCATCTGGACTTCGCACTCAGACGGCGTGTGTGCAAGAAGTGCAAGAAGCAGAAGTAGGCTTACGACGTTGTGTCGTCTCCGTTCTTACTGACTTGTTTACTCTGTGTAGGCTCGTTTATGTAGGCTTCTTCGCGAAGCGATACCCCGGCTTCAACCCCGCGATGCTGGAGCTCATACCTCACACAAACAGCTGCGTACAATTGCTGTTTACTGACAAGTTCAAGTGGTACTAACACGTGGCTTAGCCGGAAGCTCGTCCGTCGGACGCTCGAAGGTTACCTCGAAGTTCTATTGGGAAGCCGATATCTATGCGATGGCGAAGACTTATGGCGAGTACCAGATGGACATCTACAGCAAGAAGCCTGGTGCCAAGGCGGCTCTGCAGAAGTTTAGGGACGAGCGTGTTGAACATGTGCGGACCGTTCTGGAGGTTCGTCGTTCACAGACAACTCTACGCATTGCTATCTGACACGTTATACGACAAGCATACGGAGAAGTGCCAACGTTGGTGGCCAGACTATGTCAGATATGGTTACGACCTACAGGGAGAACGCATCCAAAGGCAGTATGACGTGCAAGTATCTAGATGCCGCTGCTCATCATACGTTGCTCATGCTGGCCAACAGACTTGTAGACCGCTTCCGGGAACTGGGATACGAAGATCAAGACATCAAGAGCATACAACAAATGAGTGAATCTCAGAGTGATCGTGTGGTCACTGATCGAGGTCCGTCTATCTTACCTTTGCCGTGATTGGGTAACGACTCATCTGCTCCGTACAGTGTGGAAGAACATCAGACCTGCCCTGCAGACTCGTATCGACACGACCATGTGTGTGCGACTAGAGAGGGAGCAGGCACCGATCATCAACTCACGGAAACGCCTCGTGAAGAATGCATTCGATGACTACAAGCGCACTCTACGCCCCATTGAATGGATCCATCTCCCTCCTCCTGGGCTCATCTACGCCATGCCGGCGTTCCGGTCACTGATCTACAAGGACCTCGACGTCCCACTGGAACAGGCGACTTGCGATGAGGTGGCGAGGTGCCTGCCTGAGGATATCGCGGCCTTCAACGACAAATTGAAGGATCGTCTGCTGTATTCCATGGCCGAAGATGGGGCGTTCGGAGAGACTGCAAGGAAGGCGAAGCGGCCGCCCAGTGGCATAGACAAAGAGGGCTGTCTCGCACTCGCCACCTCTGTCTTCGCCTACCGTACTAGTGGGGTTAATCTTGCCCTCATCTCGTACGAAGATGTCGCAGCGCACTTGGCATGGACGGGCACGCAGCCTCAGTCTCACGGCATCGACTTCTACATCCAGATGGCGGATACACAGGGGAAAAGTCGATGGGTATCGACCTATTATTACCTCCGCTCCGGGCCCTCTACCATAACGTCATTGATCGAGGCACTTAGCCTTGATCCCGAAACGACGCGCCCCCAGGATCTGGACAGTCTTGACAGGCGTTTCCTATGCGAAGGTTGCAATTTCTTGAATCTAACATATTCATGGCGCACATGCGTAGGTTCATTTCGTGTACAAATCTGCCATGCAGGCTCCACAAAAGGGAGTGATTGACTCGTTCTTGCACTGTTAGATCTCGCACCATTACTCGGCGCACTTGTGGAGGGCGCCGGATTTCACGGCTCTGAACGAGAAGAACTCAGCCATCCTACGTCAAAAGGAAGGCACCGACCCTGCTAGTGATCAGGAGATGTGGAGCTGCAACCACTGCACCATCCATCTGAACGATCTCCAGACTCATGCAGTCGTTCTGAAGCATGTACAAGAGACGTGAGTCTATGCCGCCCCGTTAGTCGTGTTTTCCTCTGATGCTGATGGACTCGATCCGTGTAGTCATGCCATCAACGACCCCGAGGAGAACGTCGACCTGTTCCACGCATATCCAACGGCTCGACTGCGCCCAACTCCACAACAATTCTTGACGGCTGATCCGCTTCAACAGCATCTTGCTGCAGATTCAGCGTAGCGGCGCCTTCTCGACAGACTCTGGTTTTGGTGATCTGCAATGGAAGTATGGAAGGGACGTTATGGACATTGTCGTATTGAGTTGTCGGGTGTGACCTTCAGCAAGTGTGATGTATTGCTTGCTCTGTATTCGGACTAGCAGAAGCTCTTGGACTATCCGGTGTCATTGTTTACAGGTATGATGCGATAAACTTGAATGTAGGCTTTTACCGCGTTGATTATGAGCAAGATACAAATTGTGTTAGCAAAAGCCTCGTAACGTGTCTGGGAGCGGAAGTTCTCGGAAGCCGTAGATTACATATCGTCGTGAAAGCAGTCAGTAGCGGGGTGTCGCACCGTATAGTATGTTGTCTTCGAGCATAAGTTGTCCTTCAATGAGTACATGATACAAAGCTCATCGCGGATTTGGGACGCACAGTTTCACTGAAACGCGCAAACGAGAGAACCCAAATTCAGCTATGTGGCGGTAGTACTTACCACACGTGCAATGGTGAGATCCTCCCAGTCGTAGGAATCGCTAGCCAGTGAGATGAAAATCCTCTCCCCGGCACAAACTGGTTCGGCGCGAAAGAAATCGACATGCTGTCGTGGCTCGGGAATAGCGTGTCTGCGATGTTAGAACATGTGAGCATACTCAGCCTGAGGGAGGACGAGGAACCATCGCAACGTACGACTTGCGGACGTGATCCACTATGCATATATATCGTCTTCCCAGTAGAATTTCGAGTCTGCCTTGGCTTTTGAACGCTTTGTAGACGAACATCCGACTGAACCATGCGATTAGCGTCGCACTCGTAAACGTAAATCTCACTCAACTATTTGAATGCGGAATCAGTTCCAGCATTTCGGGGTCGAAGTCAGGAAACCGCCTGCCAAAGAAGGGCGCATAGACAAACCTGTATCGTCCGTCAGTGGACTAGACGGACACCATGTGAGCGTCATGAAAGACTGACTTCTGCTTCTTGCACCTCTTGCACACACGCCGCCTGAGAGCGAAGTCTACATAGTGGATGTGAGATGCATCGCACTCCTGGAAAACGATATGGTTGAATGTCTGATTGGACTCTGCGACGCTGAGACCACTCGCCTCACAATTGGGCGTACTGTAGATGAACCTAGCCCAAACCACTTCCCCCGCATTAGGCGGACAGTCAGGGACGGACCCGTTGCGCTTCCGGGCTGCCTTCCAGATGCTGGAGGCTTGAGGAGACGTGAGTGTCGAGCGGAATGCCGTATCCGTGTGCGCAAGATTGGCGAGGTCGATTGGAGTTAGCAGGGAGAGTATCTGCGACAAGTCGATATCAGCAACACCGTGATTTGTCTTTGCCTGTGCACATACCTCGTAGATAATGTCTAACGGAAGGGTAGGCAGTTTGCAGAGCTTAGCAGAGGCGCGCCTCTTGACTCGGGAAGAGCCCGCCTTGCTCCCGCGAGCACGCTTCTGAGAGCTTCCGCCCGATCGTCTTCTATGGGTTTCTAGTAAGGAAAATCAGGACGCAAGTCGATGGTACATACGATCAATCTGAATCACCTTCCCAGTCACTTATATCGTCTTCCGGGTCATTGAGTTCGTAATCCTCGTCGAGCAGCTTGCCGCGACGACTAGTGGCAGGCATGGCAAGATGGAATAGACTATCCGTGGTGCTGGTGTCGAGCGGATGTATTCAGTAGAAGATAGAGAAGATCGACATGCTTATACAAGGCCACGACGACGCACGCTGCGCGCACTTGATAGGTTTGCGAAGACTTATGGATCGTTGAGTGCTCACTGACAACGCGTCAAAGATTCGGAGCCTACAAAGGTTCAACGTTCAATACGCGCGACAGAGGTGGTCGTTGTGAGTTAGATGAGTTGGAGGTTACCGTGAATGGCAATGCGTCGGCTGGCTAGGTGCTATTCCCGGAAAGGAAGGTCTTGCTACATGAGGGTGGGAACGTTGTCACAAGAAGCCAAGTTGGCCCAGAATTGCCAGCCGTGACACTGTTTTCAACCTTTGACATAAATCAAGTTGTACTATCACCGTACGGTGCACCTCAGTCTTTCATCACAGTCAGTTGCATGTGCCAAGATCGGATCCTGCTCTACCCTTTCCGTCCTCCCGCCGGGAGCCTCACAATTGTACGATACCGACGGTCTTCTCGAAGACCGTCGATCACTGGCATCTCACTGGCAAGCTTCATTCAAGATTGCAGCACGCCGCCGTGATCATGTGTGCTGAATACTCAACTGCTTTTTAGTTGATCCTGCTCTAGACACGACTGTGCACCTAGCTAGTCAGCGTGTCATATCAGCATATCCGGGCCGATACTCTGTACGGTGAGTCAAACATCTTGCCTGACATCTCTCGCCGCGGAGCTAAAGTGTCCAGGAAACGAGATTCCATCTGAGGGACCTGTAACGCTAAGCTGATACAAGAGTGTGAGGAGCGGCAGTACGCAAAAGATAGATCTGTGCGGTCTTTTACGGAGCTCGGTGAGATTGCTGACAGTCTGAGCTGTGGCGTCTAGCGAAAGCAGCGCTCGCCTACCGCAAACCCTTCCTTCTTCCCCATGGCTCGCCCTGTAGAGCTTCAGCACTCCCATGCTACGGCGTTGTCTACTCGCTACTTCTGTCATCCAGAACGGAGCTCCCTCCGGTGCGCGCATCTTAGCGACAGTATGAAAGCAGGAGCTTCGTGTACTTGTCGGCAACGAAGTCCCCTCCCTGCAAGTGTTCGTCCTCTCACCACGATATTTGTCGATCCACTAGCAAATGAAGCCAGAAACTGGACTTGACATCGAACATGCCTCTTTCAGGCCTCCCTCGCAGATGTCCGACGAACTACCCAATGCGACTGACGATGCTCGTCTGGCGGAGCTGGGGTACAAAACCCAATTCAAAAGAGGTTTCACTGTGAGTGTATTATTGTCTCCACCTAGTTCAAGTCAACGATGCTGAACACCGATTGTATATAGCTTATTGACGCAACGGCTTTCTCCTTCTCGATCATGGCCGTTATCAGCGGTGTTTCTTCAACGATGGGCTTGACAATAGCTTCCGGTGCGTGTTGAAAAGTGTTTCCGTGGTCGAGGATATGAACCAGTACGGTGTTTGCAGGCGGCCACGTGGGACTCATCTGGGGATGGCTCATACCGGTCCCTTTCGTCATTTGCGTTGCAGCAGTTATGGCAGAGCTAGCATCCTCCATGCCGTGAGTGTGCGAGTATGTCTATCGATTTGACATCTGACGACTCGGTTTGCGGCACACAGAACGAGTGCGGGTCCATACTACTACGCGGCGAAACTCGCACCCAAGCGATATGCACCTCTCGCAAGCTGGGTCGTTGGAGGTGCCAACTTGACCGGGCATGTAACACTTTTGACATACATTGATTTTGCACTGTATGTCCCACTCGTCCGTGCAGTAGATCTATATGCTCACACATCGTGTAACAGAGCGCAAATGATTACAACCGCAATTGCTGCGGGAACGGACGGAAGAGTAGCCTTAGGCCACGGACCGACATTCGGATTATTTTTGGCGATGCTAGTCCTGCACGGATGCATCTGCTCAGCGACCACGAGGGCACTGGCTCGACTGAGTCTAGTTAGCGCAATTTTCAAAGGTGAGCCACTATCGAAGTGTGTATTGGGTTGTTCTCATGCCGCTCGCTAGTCGGAGCGACCGTAGCGGCGATCATCATTCTGCCGGTATGCACGGGCGAGAACAGGGTATCGACAAGAGTTGCCTTCACTTCCTACGAGAACTCCACCGGTTGGTCGAACTGTGAGCGACACTAGACATTGCGCTCCATAGTAGCTGACACATCGTACAGCCGGGTGGGCATTTCTGCTGGCCTTTACAGGCCCCATGTGGCAATTGGCAGCATGTAAGTGGTAGAACTGCGCGAGAATCCCGCGAATACTCACATATACTCAGCCGACTCCGCTGCGCTATCTCGGAGGAAACCGCAAGAGCAGCGAAGGTCGCTCCGATGGCTATGCTCATGTCGGTAGCCTGTGCGGGCTGCCTCGGATGGATCTTCAATATCGCTACTTCGTTCGCAGTAGCATCCGTTCCGGACCTCCTTTCGAGCCCATTCCCGCTGCCGATGGGTCAACTCTACTTTGACATCATGGGCAAGAGGGGCATGCTTGCGATATGGTGCGTCACTATCGTAGTTCAGGTAAATGGTGATTCTACAATCTCGGATGATTCGAGAACTGATCTAGAGTGCATGGAAGTTTATGCGTGGTGCTGCGCAAGGAGTAACCGCCTCACGGGTAGTCTTTGCGTTTGCACGCGACAACGCTCTCCCCGGTGCACATCGGTGGAAGAAAATCAATCATTATACACGAACTCCAGTAAATGCTGTCTGGCTCGCTGTGTCCCTGGCTGCGTTTTTCGGCCTGCTGGGATTCTCCTCAATAGCCATGACTTCCGCGGCTTGGTAATACACGAAATGCTGCTTTATCTACTCGCCGACTGACTACTTAGCAATAGTGCCACCGTCATTGGCTTGTATACGTCGTATGCTATACCAATTCTGCTCCGCATCACAACCGGACGCAATAAGTTCGTCCCAGGACCGTTCTCGCTTGGCCGCTGGTCGACGCCGATGGGGACGATCGCAATAGCATGGATCGCATTCGTCATACTCCTCTTGTGTTTCCCGCGAACACAGAGCCCTCACACATCCAATATGAGTACGTGCTTCCGTGAACTCATGCGTTGGAGGTTGTGAATTGATCGTCGAAGTACAGACTATGCTGTCGTGCTCACAATGGGCATTTCCATACTTGCCTATGGCGTCTGGGCCTTCTCAGCAAGAAACTGGTTCACTGGCCCGCTCCAGAACATTGACGACAACGATAGCAACAATACCATTGTGACAGCATTCTATAACGCGTCTGAAAAAGAGGTTAGAACTCGATTGGTAGTCAATATGTTGGATTGTTCACTAACAACGGGGCACTTAGACTCAGGCTTTTGGCGAGATGTCCGAAAATGCCAAATCGACGCAGGGGCTCTAATGGGGTAGCGGAGGGGCGTTGTACCCGGGCATTACCTACCCGTACAATAACAATTCAATTATCACTTGATGTAGGTTGATTGGCTCTGAGCTCTCACCCGCATTTGAACGCAATGAATTCTCGTCTCGCATTTCTCAGCAACGTGCGTCAACGAGAGGTCGTTGCGGCATGGGGCGAATGCCCTCTTGGAGCACCGAGGGAAACAGCAGTAGAACAGGTTACTGATCATCGATCAGTACTCAGTAGTAGTCGCCGAAGGATGTTACAGTAGCATACCCCTACCAAAGCTCACGAGCAAATCTCGGTGTCTTGGAGTGCCGACGCCGTTGTTCTTTTGTATCGACAAACTCTGCTGAGCATTTCACCTACCATGGCAGTGCCGTATGCCGTACAAAATTCTTGAATATTGGCATTGAGATCATGAAGTCTGACCAATCGGTTCTTGTGCACAACATATGAGCCTAGCAACGACATTCCTACGAATGGAACGCGGTGATCAACCCACAGAACATGGCTCAGGCCCATACGAAGCGATCTAGTCAGGATCCTACCCTGAAGCATGCGGACATTCGGGCGCCACAAGTACATATTGGACGATGTAACCGAAAGCGGCGGCGAACGCCCAAGGGGGCGGAAGAATACCATCTCTTGTACTATTAATAGGTAGAGTGGTACCATACATTTTGTCTAACGTCCCCGGGGAGACCCGAAACTGTGCAATTTATGTCAGGAAGAGCGCTCTTGTGTATCATAGACGGTGACTTACAACCGAATCACACCCGAGCGAATGGCACCCTGAAGCCGGAGAGTAGTGCCCTCGCGCGGTTTTGTGCCCCCGCCCCGAACGCGTTCGTGACAAAGTGTATGTGCATACCGAACAATTTCGGGTAAGCATCCAAGTTCACTTCGATTTGCGGGAAGAAGGCCAAGGCGTCCGGCGAAAGACCTATCGACACAACACCAGAGCCCGAGTGAGGCAGCGTGAGTGCCTGGGACGGCAGCTGCATGGGGAAGCCACGGAAGTCTCGCACACGAGGGAGGACAAAGTCGACGAGCACGCTGAGGAAGTCGTACATCTTCGGGCCCTTCAGGTCGACCTTGGCACCGATTGGGTGACCGAGGCGGGTCCAGCCGCCAATGTTCTGCTTCCCCTTCACGATTTGCACGCCCTCTACTGTCCGCTGACCACCTGAGTGCTCTGTCTCCCCCGAGATGGCACGGAAGGCCATGATGACAGGCAGCAGGCTCGACCGGTTGCCGAAGGCTTCCTTGGCCATCGTGTGCAGCTGTATGCGCTCCAGCTGGACAATGTTGTCCGCGGTGACTGAGTCCTGGGGAACGTTGAAAGACTGGGTCCCACCCAACGGAGGGTTGTAACGGAACTTCGCGTAGGGATCGTTGGGGTCGAACCTGGGTGGCACGGGCCGCACGGGTTTCGGATTTGGCTCATGCGTGTAGGTCATGTACATGAGGTCGTCGCGCAGAGTGTTGCGGTAGTGATCGGAAAGACGACATGCGTACGTGTCCCGGACGATGACATTGACATGGGGGATGGGGCGACCGCGCTCGTCGCGTTTGAGGGGTTTCCGGATGCGCGGGGCAGCCCTAGTCGGGCGGATGCTCTGTGCTGCTGGCGGCGCGATATGCCTTGGAACCTTGGTCACTGCTGCGCTCATCTGCATATCCAATGTCAGCCTCCAGAAGGCGTATGTGTGCGTCGAGCATACCTTTCGACCGGAGAGCACGGTGGAGGGTGACGGGAGAGCAGAAACCTCGGCGGCTGGGCGGCTCACACTTCCCGAGATTGTGGGAAATATTTTCGATAGTGTTAAGTACTATGTCACTGTAGCAAGTAAGTAATCCGCTGATGGTTACAGAGGCGGAGTAAGTAATCCCCGAAATAGCGAGGCTCGCGTACCGGGTCATCCTGATGCTGCTTCCACCATCTCGACCCTCGCCGCCCGCCCCTTCCGTCCAACTGCTGCCATTCTTTCCCCTCTTTTCTTCGCCATTTGTGAACGGCAGCTCTTCATCTGGCTACTTCTCCCCGCAACTGGTCCATGGCACTCACTGCGACCGCTCAATCGGCGCTTCGAGAACCCGCATGGGACGAGGTGATCGTTCCGACTTTACGCAAACGTTGGTTCCCTCCCTTGACGTAGCCCTCGTGTATCTTAATATGCCCCGCAGGCCTACAGAATGAAAGCAACGTCCTCGCACGGCGGATCTCAGCCGCCTCGGTGGGCTCAGCCGACGGCCATGCCGACATGTACCAGTCCACCTCCTCTTTATCTCAAGAAGACGCGACAACGCCAACAGCACTCCAGTACTCACATATTCAGAGCTCGAGCGCCATGCCAAGGACCAATGGACAACAGGCCCAACCGGATGGCCGATATGGTCGCACGCAGTACTCCCAGCCTCCGCCTAATCGCGCGCGCTCCCTCTCCCAACCTTACCTGCTTGACCAGCCCAAGAAGACCAATCAGGCAGCAGGCTCTCCGGCAGCGGCTCCAACCATGACCAACGGTAGGACGGTCACGCGTATACCTATGTCGCGAGGGCGGACCTCGACGGGAAGCAACTCCAGCTACGCGCAGAACTCGGTGAATGGCAGCGTAGGACTGGTGGATGAGGGCAACGAACTACGCTCAGTGGACGAGGGTCACGAAACATTTCCCATGCGCTCGCCCGCGCGCATACCACGTCACAAGGCTTCGGACTTGTTCGACGAAGCACCGCCATTCAACTCCTCGACGTCGTCACACTTTCAGTCGGAAGATGAAGCCGTCGGTCGCGTATCGACTGATTCCGAAGAGCGGCCGTTCGAGCATTGGTATCGCGGTGATGTCTCGCGCAACGGAGGTGTTGGCGAACTCCGCGTGGGTCGGCGCACGGAGATGCTGGATATTGCCAACTATGGCCACACCCTGCAAAACGCGTCGTCGCGCGTCGCGAACAACGGCTACCACAGGTCACGCTCAAATTCACGGAGCAGGGATGCTGCTGGTTCGCGACACAGGGTAAGATCACGAGCCGATAGCGTGAGCGCAACTGTAAGGCAGAGCACATTCCCGGACGAGGATGGGCTTGCAGCACAGGATACGGTCATGGATGAGCAACCTCCCACTGATCTGGAGAGCGACGGCTATGGCGAGCCAGTAGAGCCTTACGAACATCACCCTAACGGCACCGCTTCTTCGCCGTCCCTGGCGCTCTACACCTCTCAGAATGGCACGGGAAACCCTCCGCGACATCGACCTGGTCAAGTCAGCCAATCTCGGATACCCACTGCGTCTTCCCGTGCACAACCCATTGCAGAACCCCGCACACCAACGCCTACCAAAACTTCTCGCAACGGGCTAGTGCCCAACACGCCATCTTCCACGACTTCCACTCCTCGCACTCGCCAAGGTCTACCTCGCTCACAGACTCAGCCCCTACATTCCTCGCAGCGTCAAAAGACAGCGACGCCCTCTACATCCTCATCGACGGCGAAGAAGCGGGCGGCCAGTCCTGGTGCTTCGACCTCGCTCAGCAATGCGAAGAAGACCAAGGCAAATTCCAAACCACCATCTTCGATGCCGAGGAAGGTCAACAAGGAGGAAAACAGGCGATCCATCGGACAGTATCCTACGCCCGATGGGGACGACGTCATGGATGCCATCCCGTCGTGGATACAGCCTGTACCACCTACTGGGAACTGGGACGATGTATGGGTCTTCGTTCATTGCATTTGCTGTCAGGTCTGACTATAGCGTGCAGGTCGTACTACCTGTTGTTGCACGGAAGAGGGGAATGGAGGGTCACTATGCGACAGCGGATGGAAGTCCGAAGCCGCCGCAGAAGAGGGGCAGTGTAGTGTTCGAACCCGTAAGTGTCGCACTCGGCTGGTTGATGACACCGTTCACGCATTTCGCACAACGTAGGCACCAGGGACATTCGGATTCGACCATACCAAGTACCGTCGAAATCCAAACACTGCTACAGAGAGCATACCCATGGACGAATTCGGCCAGAAAGCGGGCAAGCAGTACACCGCAGATGAGCAATCGAAATCTCAACTCCCCGCGGCTCTCAGCCCCGGCCTCGCGCGCTCACGCTCACGCCCCTCGCCTCCGCCGTCGCCGCCTCCCTTCGCACATTATACCAGCGCGGAACCCGCACCCCTGCCCACGCCTATACCTGCGCCACCTCATTTCCCACCACACGCCGTGGAGGTGCGGGATGAGAAGCCCGGTGTGCACGACGACGACGACGCCGGAGGCTGCTGTAAATGTGTCATCATGTGATGTGATATTGCGCTTGGGACTCTGCTTCTCTAAGTTCTCTTGCTCCTCTTCCCGCGGGTTATGTTGTGCGTGATAGTTCGACTCTGAGCTTTCTACGTTTCTGGTGTAACATATCAGTATTCTCTCACATCGTTTGTCTCTTTCGGCTCTATTGCATGGGATCTTGCATTCGCGTTGACTTTCATTGGTCTCCGCCAGTTTAACCTCATCTACATCGACCGCGCTTCCCCGTCTACCATACGGATGTCATCACGGTGCGTCATGCTCCAGCGCGCCCATTGCATTGCATCCGCCCCTCCGTCTATCCTACTTACCGCTTCTCGTTATGCATCTTTAAGTCATTATGACATGCGTTTATTCGTTCACGCTACAATACATGTACCATTGAACTCTGGCTTTTGATCTCTTTGATGATTCTGGAGGTGTTTAGTTGACCTCGGTCGATCGCTCTTTGAACAAAATCAGCATACCCTAGCATTTTAGTACACTAGATAGTTACGAATATCACGATTTCTGTCTCTTCAGAACATCCCAGCTTGTGGCTGAGGCGCAATTCATACTGGCTTCTCGCTCTGAGGTGGAACCTGTTTCATTGACGACAAAAAGGCCAATGGGCTGCGACACTCAGTGAATGCGACAGCGATTAATGAACGAACGATCGGGCCACCAGCACTTCGCACTAATCAAATCGGTATAGCATAATCTAGCATAAGCATACGTGTACCAGTCCATGCAGAATACATACAAACATCCATCCACCGGCCGGGTATGACAATACCTCGTCAGCGTACGCGCCGCGATCACGATAAAATCTGAATGGGTAAATTAACACAGCATCGGTATTCCACTCGAGCAACGCGCGACTTTGATGAGGATACGCACTGCGAGGAGGACGACGGCGACGACGACAACGAGGATGAGCATCAGGCAGAGCGCGCGCCGCCCGGCCTTGCGTTGATACTCGTGGGCAGTCTGCAACTCTTCGGCAGCGCCAGAGGTGTCGACGGCAATCGAAGAGATGTTCGACTCGATGTTGTCTACGCGGTTGCTGTCAGTCTCGTTCAGGCCGAGATACAGACCACACGCGTACCGAGCATGCCGCCCTGTTCCTGGACCAGAGTACCGAGGTCGCGGAAGATCTCCGACAGCTCGTGGATGCCCGTCTCAATCTCGCGAATCTCGGCCTCGCGCTCCTGGATCAGCGACTCTTGGAAAGCGAGCTCTTGCGGCGAGAACTGGTTCTGGAGGATCTGCGCTTGCCGTTGCGAGGGTGTAGGGCTGGAGGGGCGCTCCTCTCCTCTGAAGAGCCATCAGTATCTCCACTGTATCACGACCCGGGACACACGTACGCCGTAGCCTCGTCCTCCACCGCCATCTTCACGCCCTGAACGACTGTCCGCTGCCTCTCCGCGCTGACCTGCTGCGCTCGCTGGAAGGCAACTAGGGACAGTTGGAAGTCGTGCGAGGTCTTCTGCAGCGAGGTCTTCTGTCGAGGCTGATAGTGACCGAGGATGAGCGACATGTCGCATGGGGCGTTCACGTACGACGCACCAGAGTGGTCTGCAATGCCGACAACGTCTTCAGGTCATCCGAACCGCGCTTTGCCATCGCACGAGTGGACTCCGTCAGGTCATGACTGCAGAAGGCATCTGGTCAGAAGCGCCTAGGTAAACCGACAAGTTGTACGCACAGAGACTTCCTTAGATTGGGCGAGTCTCTCGCCGTGCCGAGCTGGTCTACCAACTTCAAAATTCCCTGAACATTCGAGTTGATCTTGAAGACCTGCAACGAGAGCGACGACTGCAGATTCAAAAACGCAGCGTCTTCCTGCGAGTGAGGGATACCATTTCGAGGCGACGTTGGGCGTTGTGCGAGACCAGTTTCGATGTCCTGGAAGCTCATTGCGGGGGGATATGGGGGAAGTGATAGACTCAGTGAGAGAACGAGCACACGCTCAGGTCGGCACGCAGCGACGACGGGCCACAGGCACGTGATTCCAGTACAGTACAAGCGCCTGTTGGAAATGAAATGGAGATGCAGCATGTACATACTGTAACTTAGATACTGGGACATACATCCATGTACCAGAATCCTAATCACAGATACAACATGGGATTGGCAGTCGCTGCCCTTGTGAACACCGTTTACGAGGGTGAACACTGAGAGTTTAAGTCGCGATCTCATGACGCGTCCAAATATGGCAGGTCTGTTAAAGGTGCGCGTTTCGCCGCAAGCAACCTCTCGACTCTCCACGACGGTACCCACCCAGTTCCTCTCCATTTCTCCTGGGTGCGGCCGCTGCTGTTCTCAAGGACAGCTCACCAATCCTTACGAAGGTCCAACACGAATCGCGAGGCTACTGTAGCTGCCGACCACGGAGTGGCAGCGACCGCATTGCGTTCACCTCGGCGACTGTGCTACGGACTGCTTCCTATTCAGACAGCTGTGACGCTTTCATTTCTGCTGTGCTCGGAGCTGACTCACGGAGCTCCGGAAGAGCTATATATGCATCTTGCGACGCGTCGGACGCCACTCTTTTGACCCTGCTCTCGTTAGCCATACACCATGACGTCTCCGGGCAAGTCCAACTCCAGCGCTTCATCGAACAAGCTGCTCCGTGCCTACGTGAGTGTCCAATGTATCCTCAAGCTGCTGAGATACATGACGGGTCGCTTGTAGCAACTGGGAGACTGCCTTGGGAAGGGCGCGTTCGGCCAGGTTTACCGTACGTCTTCTGTTGTGCAGTGGTTCTGTAGTCTAACAGTTGCACGCTCAGGTGCCCTCAATTGGGCCACCGGAGAGACCGTGGCGATCAAGGAGATTCAGCTCAGCAACATTCCGAAGAGTGAGATCGGGCAGATCATGGTGAGTCGTGTCTACCTTGCCATCCCGGTCCCGTTCTAAGCCCGCGTTAGTCGGAAATCGACCTGCTCAAGTGCCTGAATGTATGTCGTGTATCCCGAAGCTCGTCTCACACGTCGCGCCTAACACACTATCGTAGCATCCCAACATCGTCAAGTACAAGGGCTTTGAGAAGACACCGGAGTATCTGTACATTATATTGGAGTGAGTTCCGCCTCCCGTTCCGTGCTACGCCTCTGTCTGCCGGTCTAGCGGTCGGCCTCTCGTTGCGATCTCGGTGACACGGGCCTGTGTTACTGCATGTGCAGGTCGTACATCAGCCACCGCTCCACTCGTATATGCGAGTTGTCAAACAACTCGATTGATCAGCAGAGCAGCATCACTCGGTGCATGGACGCCAGCTGTGACATGGAGATATTGCGGAAGCCTGGTGTTGGGCCCTATAGACCATGACGTCCAACACATTGACGTTGCTTTCTCAAGTGACCAATTCTGCGCGAGACCCACCGAGTCTTGCGCTTGCTATGTGTGCTGAATATTACATGGCATCGAATTTACGTCTCCGCGCTTATGCAGCACCGCGATGTCTGTATACTTACACGCCATGATCCCCTAGATTCTGCGAGAACGGCTCACTGCATAACATCTGTAAACGATTCGGCAAGTTCCCCGAGACCCTCGTCGGCGTATACGTATCGCAAGTGCTCGAAGGTCTCGTCTACCTCCACGACCAGGGTGTGATCCACCGCGATATCAAGGGCGCGAACATCCTCACGAACAAGGACGGATGTGTCAAGCTAGCCGACTTTGGAGTGGCAAGCCGCACGGCGGCGGGTGCTGTGCGGGACGATGCGGTTGTAGGGAGCCCATACTGGAGTGCGCAGACCTCCTCTGAGTAGGTGTGGGACGTACACATTGATACATTGCCTCGATAGTGGCGCCGGAGGTGATCGAACAATCCGGTGCAACAACCGCGTCGGACATATGGTCTGTATTTAGGTGCAGTTTGGGTGCTTGTGTTGATATCCATGCGTAGGAGCGTCGGGTGTACGGTGATCGAGCTTCTCGAGGGCAAGCCGCCGTACCACTTTCTGGACCCAATGCCTGCTCTCTTCCGTATTGTACAAGACGACTGCCCACCAATACCGGAAGGTGCCTCGCCCGTTGTCAAGGATTTCCTCTACCATTGTTTCCAGAAGGACTGCAACCTGCGTATCTCCGCGAAGAAACTCCTCCGGCACCCATGGATGGTCGCCGCGCGCAAGCAGATGGCCGGTCACCAAAGGGGTGAGACGAGCGAGGCGCGGAAGGGCGCGGCCACCCAAGCACGACCGCCAAGTAACTACAATTATGACGAGGCGGTATTGAAGGTGCAGGAATGGAATGAGGCGCTGAAATGTAGGCCTGTTCTGTCCCATGTCTTGCCTCACGATCTTGCATTGTCTCATGTTCTATCGACGTTCAGCTCCGTCGCGGCCAGCAAGACACCCGGAGCGCCGGCGCATGGATGCACCTCCGTCACCCACGCTCGCGCCAGTCAACATGCCATCGTCGCTGAGGCCCATCGACTCCATGAACCAGTCGGTGGCTTCTTCCGCTCCGACAAATACGCGCAAGCCGGTGGCGCTCAATGCGAGCAAGGGTCCCTCGTCGGTACCTGTACTGGGGCACATTCGCGAGACGCTCCCGATGCCCTTCATTCTGCAGCCACCGGAGGAGCAGACGGACAATTGGGACGATGACTTCGAGGAGGGCATCTCACTGACGAAGATACAAGGTATGCCCCAATTGCATGATGGATCTCACGAGCGTGTACTGACGTATCCCGTGCAGCACTCGAGAAGACGTCGGTCGAAGAAGAGAAGGAGAAGGTTGAGGTTGAGGACAATGCGCAAACGATCAGACCAACGCGCAGCCCAGCTGGCCCTACGACGGTGCCCCTTCCCATGGTTACTATGCCTGATACCGAAGCAGAGTCCGGCTTCGACGATTTCTCGGACATCCTCGATGATGATGACAAGCTGCAAGAGAAGGTTGCTGACTTCAAGGTCCGTTCCTCTCCTATACACTGGTTTCTATGCAGTTTGCTCACTGCGGCTGATGTAGATGAAGAACTCGTTCCGACGTGGCCTTTTCCATCCGAACGACATCAAAACGTATGGGCTTGGCAACACATCTCCTGGACCCATGACAGCGCCTCTTCCGGACCTCGGATACAAGAAGTCGCGTCCAGGTTTGAGTCCCGTCGTTGCCACGCCGCCACTTGCAGGTCCCTCGAGTTCCCGCGGCGCACATTCGCGCTCGTCCTCTTTCATAGGACCTAGTGGGAGCGGCTCGTTCGGGCGTGCCGAATCGAGGCGGTATCCAAGCCAGCCTGAGTTTGGGAAGTATGCTGAGGATGATGACGAGGATTACGACGATGTGTTTGGAAAGGCGAACGGCACTGGTAGGTCGATGACATTCTCCGGTGTTACGGACGTACTGATCCAAGCGATCTGTAGCATCACATCCAATTGGAACATTGCAGCTCAATACTCGGCTCTCAAACAAGTCTTGGGTAAGATGCTCTCAGGTCGATAAAGTGCTGCGACTTACATGCCCCGTATCATATAGCTAGGGGATGAGGACGACGAAGAAGATCCGTTCGCGGAGGTGAGATCGTGAATGTGAGGATCTGAAGACGGACTGACAGGTCGTAGATCGACGAGGGCTTCTCCGAAGAAGACCTGGAGGCCAATCTGCAACGTGACAAGTATGCACGACTGTCTGCCGCGGTCACACAGCTCATCGACGAGCTCACCCCTTCGGCGCCGGATTTCCAGTTGCGCGAGGCATGCGATCAGCTTGTATGGCTCAATTATTTTGACCACTGCCTGCTTTACTAACGATGCTACATAGCTCAGTATTATGGCGGACGCTCCGGAGATGCAGTCACAACTCGTATCTGCGCATGGGATGCTGGCTATTCTGGAAGTGCTAGAAGGACGATCATCACGCGATGTCACCATGAAGTTGTTGCAGATAGTTAACGCGGTAAGCTATCCCTCGATGTGCGACAATTTGTCACTTATTGACGTTGTCTAGCTCGTGAATACAGATATGGGCTTCCTGGAGAGCTTCTGCCTCATTGGGTAAGCTTTTATTGCTGTCTTGCGTGTCAATTAGCCCTAACTCTGTTGCAGAGGAATCCCCGTCATCATGGGCTTTACATCCAAGAAATACCCTCCAGAGTGTCGGACAGAAGCGTCCAACTTCATACGTCTCCTCTGCCACTCTTCCGTCTTGACATTGCAGATGTTCATTGCGTGAGTTGCACTTTCATACCCGCTATGTTCCAGCCCCTCACTAATCCTTCAGCTGCCGGGGGCTCAAAGTCCTTGTCGACCTTCTGGAGGAAGACTTCTCAGAACAGACTGATCTCGTCAACCACGCACTCAACGGGATCTGCAGCGTCTTCGACCTCCAAAGTCCTACCACCAAGAACGACTTCTGTCGGATGTTCATCCGCGAGGGCCTGCTGGATCCCCTTTCGTCGGCTCTCCTCAATGTCATGTCGACCCAAAGCGACGTTGCAGCAGACATGAACAAGAAGATCATTCAGATCTTGCTTGTGTTCTGTCAAGTGTCTCAGTCGGACATCCATGTGCGAAATGCGCTTGGGACTCGTAAGGTCGTACGACGTAAGTCCGTCTGGTCACGGTCAGTGGCACTCGCTCATGGGTTTGTGCAGGGCTACTTCGAGCTTGCGAGCTACTACAGCCAGAATATCTCGTCCAGATGCTCAAGGCTGTGAAACATCTGTCCATGAATGCCAACCTGCTCGAAGTGATGCAGAATGCCAACACAATCGAGATCTTGGTCAAGATCATCGATGAACAGAGTTCTGGGCCCTATGGCACAGTACGTTGAATACAGACAGTATGAGGGTCCAAACTGACTTGACTCGTGGCGCAGGAAATGTCCAATCACATCTTCCAGACATGCTACAACCTATGCCGGCTCAACAAGGGCAGGCAAGAGGAAGCTGCGCAGGCCGGTATCATCCCGAGTCTGAGACGCGTCTTTGAGTCTGGATCGCCGCTGAAGCAGTTCGCGTTGCCGATCCTTTGTGACCTTGCGAGTGCTGGCAAGACCTGTAGAACTCTTCTGTGGCAGCACGATGGTCTCGGCCTGTACTTGCGGCTGCTCGATGATCCGTACTTCCAAGTGAGCGCTTTGGAGTCGATTCTGTCTTGGTGGGTATTGGTCAACATGAGGCACATACATTCACTCACTATGGTCTACAGGCTGCAAGACGAGACAGCCAGGATTGAAGACCAACTCACGAAGCCGGAGTCTCTCGAAGCTCTTCTCCGCTGCTTCGTCAACGCAAAGTCGAATTCGTTCGAGAACCTCCTCGACCCGTACCTGAAGATCTGCCGCCTGTCCACCGCGATCACGATCGGCCTTGCCAAGTCGCAGTTCTTTAAACGAATCATCGACAAACTCAATCACAGCAAGGCGGTTGTGCGACTGAACCTCTTGCGTATCCTGCGAACCGTCTGCGAGGTTCATCCCAACCGCGCAATGCTCGTCGAGCGCTACGGCATCTATGATATCGTAGTCAAACTCAGCAAGGAGGATGGGGCAGTGCTCGTGCGCGAGCTGGCGAGGGAGATCGTCCCGTCGCTAGCACCAGCGCTGAAGCCCCTCTCGGGCAGATCGGGGAGGCATGGAGACACACCGAAGGGGAGCAAGAGTGCTCTCGCTCCGAAGAAGATGAGGAGGGCTGCATCCGAGTCGATCCCACTGACATCCAATGAGATCCCTGCGCTTCGTGGCGAGGCGAACATCCGTCCTGCCACACGTCGGGCCGCCAATAGCAGATCGTCCAGGCAGAGGCTCAACGAAATTTCATGGCAGACCGCGGCGGAGCGGCAATGAGCGTGAGTCAATAGAATATCGTAGAGCATGTAATCGTCACTCGGGTTTTAGTCATACTGCATTGCAAGCCATCATTTGTCGCTCTCCTTAAGGTCTTACCACTTAGCACGTACACACTCTTTATCATCCTCATCGTCGTCCTTTCAATAGGGCTTCCAAGTATCTAGTTTGTTCACGCTGGTCGTGGTAGAATTATGCCCATGGCCCATGGTCCACCTACATACGTACAATACATCAAGACGCCTATGTCTTGAGATAGTGCACATTTGACAGCCAGCTCTTATATTGCGCGGTAGACATCCAGCTCTTTGTACAATAACCAACATTGTTTTGGCTCAGCGCACTCGTGAGCTTTGGCAGGGGTATGCTAACATCCTTCGGCGACTACTGAGTACTGATCGATGATCAGTATTCTATTGCTGTTTCCCTCGGTGCTCCAAGTCATGCCGCAACGACCTCTCGTTGACGCACGTTTCTGAGAAGTGCGAGACGAGAATTCACTGCGTTCAAATGCGGATAAGAAACCACAGCCAATCAACCTACATAGGTAACTCTTCACAGCTACCCGCAACCCTGTACTGCCGTTGTGACTTTGTGAGACCAGCCTTGTCGACGCGGACTTCTTCCGTCAAATACTGAACATGGGCAGTATACACTCCTGCCGCGTCCCCGTCAGCGATTTCCACCGTCTTCTCGTCCGTGAACTGCTCCAGCATCTGGCCGTCCTTCATCCAAACAATGCTGTAACTCTCCTTGACATCAACGGGCTCTTCGCGGAATTGCCCGAGCGGGACCAGGTCGAGCTCAATGCGCCGCGTCCATTCGCGCCCCTTGCGTATGCACGACGCGCGCATGTCGTCGATGAGGTCGACCCGACGGAGAAGTGCCATCCAGAGCCCCTCCAGGCAGACCTTGCAGAAGTTGGGCGTCGTGACGATGCGCATGAGGCAATCCTCGTTCGTCGGGCGGTACGTCGTCTCGTTCACGTCTGAGAACCTGCGTGAGAGGACTCGTCAGTGCCCCGGCGCCACAAGACCGAGGGACGCATGATGATTTGCGCTACCCCGGGTGGAGGTGTGGACGGCGGCTCACGTTGGGAATACACCATGGTAACCGGGCGCGGATATGAATCTGCAGCAAGAGCGTGGGTGTCAGGCTCACTTATGAGACCAGGCGGGAAGCGTACTCTGCTTCGTTGCCGAACTCCAGTACCTCTACGCTGCACAACTGCGCGATCCCTTCGCGGTCCCCGTTCACGAGTGTGAATTTCACTTCGTGCGCGCCTGCGCTCAGTGCAGCGTCGCGATGGATATCGTAGTGCCATCGGTCCACGCCAATATCCACTCGCGGCGTCCATCCCAGTTCCTCGCCATCAATCTCGACCTTCAGTTCCTCTGCCTCAGGGAGGCCGGAGAGCGAGAATCGAACGAGGTGCCTCGAATACGCTCCAGACGAGTTGAACGTGATTGACCACGGTTCAGACGTGTTGAGCATCGTCCACGGGTACGCCTGCATCGGCATGACCGAGCGTTCCACGCGTACGTCGGCGTCGGCGCCATCTTCGTGCTGGTGCCGTGCCCGCGAAGCATTTGTGAACCAATGCGCCCACGGTATAGGCTCGGAGATGTTGTGATGCGCATTCACGCCGAAATAATCTGGTCCACCATCGTACTCCTCCCCGACGTCGATGATGGAGTGACCGAGCTCGTGCCTATCATACGGAGTGGGTAGGCAATTTGAGATGGCTCAAATTCAGTGTGGAAGGATCACGGACGTACCTGAGCACAAGTGCCCCGTTCGCAAGTGAAGGGGTGATGACGCTGCGATTTGGAGATGAACATTGGGTTATTGTTGCCAACGTACGTCACTTACGTGAATTCTCCCCCGAGTCCTGGGTATCCGATCAAGTGTCAGAAAGAGCTGATGTCCTCCAATATAGGAAGAAGTTACCTCCGTACAGAGGGTCGTTGCCTTTACGGTAAGCGTCAGAAATATGTGCTGACACGCAGAATTAGGTAGAGGTGAGCTTACCCATGAGGACAGGGTAATCGCACTTGTCTTCGAAGTAGAAGCATGCGGCTCGTGCAATTTCTGGCTTTGCATAATAAACACCGCGAAGCTCGGTGCCATCGCGGTATAGGCCGAAAGGTGTACTAGTTCAAATGACACAAATGAGTACTCGTATAAAATGTCAATAAGCCTAGTCGGTGCTCACTCTTTCGGCTTGCCGTCAGTACCCACTCCGCTCTGTAAGTTGGTGCCGATTTTGTCGTGAGTGTCATACACATGCTCATGTGCGAGACATATACCTCTACGCTGGGTGTGAATGCAGCCCAGAAGTTCAGCAGAGGCTTGACAGTGTAGAATGTCTGATTGCTCGAGATGTCCATGGCCAAGCGATATGCATCCTCAATGAACTTGTCACGCTCGTCCCTCGTGTCTATAATCATAAGTTGTCATTTCTATCATGGTACCAGTAAAATCCCTCAGCTCATGACGTACATCCGTCTGCGAAGAATATTAGATCAACTCTGTTGCTCGAGTGACCTGATTTGACGAGTGGCTCCAGCTCGAACTCGAGTGGGAAGAAGCCACGAGCTGGCTCCGGTACCGCAAAAGCATCCTGCTCAGTGGTGCCTCCGTAATCTAGTAGCACAGAGCGTTTGATGTCAGTGAGAACGGGGAAATTCCAGCTATCTTCCGGCCCGCAAAATTGGAGCAGCTGTAACCACGCTTCGTCGCGATGCTGCTGAACGAAGCGAAGGCGCTCCTCCACGTCGCTCAGCGCCTCGTTCCCCAAGTTCCCGTAGGTCGCAAGTTCTCTGTATCCTTGCACCGTCTTCAGGCTTGCAAAAGTGCACTCTGCGCTATGTTGGTCGCGGTAGATAAGCAGCTCGTGTGGCCGACCCTTGCTCTCATCCTGGCTCGCATTAGCAAGAACGACTAGACTCGTGGCGGCAAGTAGAGATAGCAACCACATAGCTGAGTGTAAAGCTCGCAGGGTTTCTTCACAGATGGGGGGAACTGAGGCGACGGGCGCACTCCGCAAGTCACGGCCCGTTGGGAACGGCGAATATCGACCACCATCATGATTGCCTATTTGGGAATCCACATGGATCTGAGATCCGCCACCTATCACGTGCATGAAATTTCATGAAGCTGCCGCTGAAGTGCCGCTGCAGCCAACCTTGCGCTACTCGCAGAGTCGTGAATCCTCCCTGGCGACCTCTCACGACATGGCAAAAGACGAGTTGATCGATGAACATGTCTCCCTCAGCCAGAGTAAGCGAGCGGTGGACGCGCTGCTTAGCCATGCGGTGAAAATCCAGGAGAAGAAGGCGCAGACGGAGTTGCTTCCGGGGAAGGAGCAGAATGTATGGCTTGCGGTCACTGTGAAGCAGATGCAGCCGGAGAAGAAGCTGAAGCCGTTCAAAATGTGAGTAACGACTCTTGTATGGCTCTCTATTGTTCGCTGAAAGGTTTTAGTCCCATCGTACATCCGATAGTTGACCCGCGAGTTTCTTCGTTATGCTTGATCACGAAAGATCCTCAAAGAGAGTACAAGGACTTGCTCGAGTCCAACGGAATTCGCTTCATCTCTCGCGTAGTCGGTATCGAAAAGCTGAAGGGGAAGTTCAAGCCGTTCGAAGCACGAAGGATGCTGCTGAAGGAGAACGACCTCTTCCTGGCCGATGAGCGGGTCGTGCCTCTGCTGCCCGGCTTGCTCGGGAAGAAATTCTTCGAAGCAAAGAAGTGCGTTACGATTACAATGTTATTCGATTGCCGGCTTATCCTTTGCTACAGGCAACCTATCCCTGTATGTCTTACGCGGAAAGACCTGAAGGGCGAGCTCGAGCGCGCTATCTCTTCAACCTACTTCCACCAAAACCAGGGCACATGCACGTACGCCCGCATATATTCGTGCGGCTGCGTGTCTTGGCTGACGTTGTGCTACGTTCAGGTCGGTGAAGATTGGCACTGTCTCGCAATCTCCGTCCAAGGTCCTCGATAACTTGAAGACGGCGCTCCCGGCCATCGTCAAGCGCATCAAGGGCGAATGGGACAACATCCAAAGCTTCCACATCAAGACCAACTCTTCCGCAAGCCTGCCGATCTGGAGCTGCGACCTTGGTGCCACAGACGGCGCACGCTGGGACGGTCTGGTCGCGGATTCCGAGTCGGAGGAAGAGAGCGAGGCCGAGGATAGTGAAGAGGACAACGAAGTGGAAGCGGCTGAGGAGGCGGTTCTTGCGAAACCTAAGGGCAAGAAGGCAGTCGCAGATGCGCCGACGCCCAAGGCGAAGGCGAAGGCGGGCGAAGCAGAACCTATGGATGTCGATGAGCAAGTTCCGTCGTCCAAGGAACATGGCAAAGGCAAGAAGCGCGCTGCAGAAGACATCAACGACACACCACAGAAGAAGGCCAAAGCAGATAGTGCACCGTCCACGGCGACTCAAGCTGGACCGAAGAAGGTACGATAGATGACATGTATGATGAATGTCACTGATTGAGGCTATTTGCAGACCACAACAGATGTGTCTGCAACCAATGCTCCCAGATCACCGGCCGTTGCTCCCTCTTCCATCGACGCCTCAGCGCAGCGCAAGAAACGGAGATCATCCGTCAGCCTCGCAGAAACGTCGACTCCCTCCCAGGCCTTTTCTACGTCCACATCAGAACCCAAACCGACGGGGAATGCTGCTGACACCGCAGCGCCCACAAAGAAGAGGAAGAAGAGGAAGACTGCAGATGCTGAGCCTGCCACCGCCGAAGCGCCCGCTTCCGATGCACCCACAACAGCGCCAGAAGCACGTGTTCCTCCCTCAGGGCCTGCATCCGCGCATCTTCCCGAGGACAGCGCCGCTGCTGGACCCACAAAAAGGCGCAAGAGGTCGAAGGGCGCTGCCGCTGAAGCTTCCAAAGAGACCGAGGCCGCCGTGACGGCACCCGTCGCTGTGCCTGTTGAGTCGACCGCGGCGGCGCAGCCGGCCACCGATGGAGAGGAAAACGCCGCGCCTTCCAGGCAACGGAAGCGGAAGCACTTGAAGGCTGCTGCTGGCGCGGCCGCGCCGTCTGAAGAGGGGGCGAGCGCTTCCAAAGACCCCGTCGCGTCTGCGACACCTTCCCAGCCTGTGCCTGCTGCAGTGGAGAACAGCGAAGGCGCCACGAGGAAGAGACGGAAGAGAGCAAAGACCGTGGCCGGAGCCACCGAAGTCGACGCCGCGCAGTCGTCCGAGGCGGCAGTCGCTCCCTCTGCGACTCCTACTGCCGGGGAGAAGACAAGCTCCACAGGTGTTCCGCCTGAGCCAGCTACTCCCGCTACGCCGTCAACTTCGAAGAGGAAGAGGCGACGCGCTTCTGCCGTTGAATTCTTCGAAGATGGCGAGCACACTGCCACGCCCGCCGCTACTGCGTCCGTCCCCCCAAACACGCCCGCCGCCGGGCTGGCCGCAGCGACGCCCAACACAGCCTCCAAGAAGGCGAAGCCCGTAGAAGCGTCGCCTCTGAAGAGTGCTTTGGCGCAAGTTGCGAATGAGCCCTCTGACGCCAGTCTGGACAAGGCGGGCGCTGCAAGCGGGGATGCTGCAGGTGCTCCCGAGAGCCCACCCCTCACCAGGAGGCTACGAAAGCGCAAATCGAAGGCAGCATTGCCCACGACGCTCGACAGTGCTGACGTCCCGGCCCCTGTCGCCGCTCAAATTGCTGCCCCTACGGAGGTTGCAGAGGCAACTGGGGAACCCACTCAACCCAAGCGGCCCAAGCGGAAGCACCTAAAAGCTGCTGCTGCTGCTGCTGCTGCTGCGGCCGCTGCTACCGCGGAGGCCCCGACCACGACTTCGACTTCGACGCCGCAGGGTACGACTCCGACGAAGGACGAACTGAAGAAGAAGCGGGGTGCTGCAGGTGGCGAGAAGAAAAAGGACAAGGCGTTGGCTGCCGCACCCGCGGCGAAGAGCGCTAAGGACGCGGTCGTCGGCAAAAAGCGTCTCTGAGGATGCTACTAAGTATACATGCACTGCTCTGATCTAGCTACGTTAGTCGATGCGGTCATTGTTTGGAATGTATATTTCCGTTGTTGCAATATGAGCTCTCTTTCATTTAAATTCTCAATCAGACCCCCTGGATGTACGTGGTACATTGCCCGAATGCAGACACTAGGCGGGGAGGCAGAACGCACTCCAGATATACTGGAGCTCTGACACGAGTTGGGGCTACGGTAGTCTGAAAAAAACAGGTTGTCACACCTACAGTCTTCAAATATGTACATACAGCGTACAAGCTACCGTGACGGACAGTCCATCGCCCTGCTAGCCACGCCAATCGCGCGATTCAACACGACCAGTAGCTACTATATATGTTCAAGGCTACAAATGCATACAAACGTGTCCAGTAGCGTTCAGCGAATGCAGCGGCAGGCAAAGCATTCAACAATATCCCTCGTCATTATTCATCGATTCGAAGAACTAGAAGAATGTATTCAAACACACAAAAGTCGGCTTGTGCAGGCGAAGAGCTACAGAGTGGAGTTATACGTACGAGTATGCTAATCTACAGGACCGACCGACGAACAATACAATCTATACAAAGGCGACTTTATGAAGGGGGGGGGGGGGGGGGCGGATGGGAGTAGTGAGGTACGTGGACAAAGAACAAGGATAAGCTAAGTAAGTAGTCTGTAGCAAAATCTGACATGCGACGATCTACTCGTAGTGTCCATGAATAAGTTACAGATCTGGAACCAAGCCGCCAGGTACGGCGGAGATCTGCGCCCACTGGGACGGGCGACCGGGCCCAAACAGCGGACGGGATAAGCTTGGATGCGATTGGGCGATGGGGGACCATATGTGTGTGGACGAATTAGGATAGATAGTTGTGGACGATGGCGGTGTAGGCGTCGGGCGGTGATTGCGTTGGTCATAGGAGTGGGAGATCATCATATGGTGATTGTGGTGGCGATGCAGCTAGGACGCTTGTTCGACGCTCGTGGTACCGCTCGCGTGGCTTTTCTTCAGACTCAGAGCTGAGCCTTTTGCGCGGCAGTGCCGATGCGCCCATCTAGAAGAAGACGGCGCCTGCCGAGCTCGCCGCGCCCTTGATGGCGTTCTGCGAGGACGAGGACGTCTGCGGCTTGCTCGGCTGGTTGGTGTTGGGCTTGTTGGCGGGGGCAAGCGAGAGACGATGGGTGCGTGCATGGCCTATGGCGGACACGGAGGTCGCGACGGCGAGGTTGGCAATGGCGCGGGAAGGCATGACGATATAGGTTTGTATTAGAGGATGAGATAGAATGCTCTATGTGTGTTCGAGCTGCAGTAGCCGAGAGCTGTGGGGAATATGCGTTGGAGTTTTGGGATGCAACAGCGCATGTCGGCCCGTTTTATACGGTCGAGGATATTGGATCGGCAACCCCCCAAAAGCAGCACAGCACTGGTGGACGTGATCAAAGAAGCTCGTGAGTGACGCTGAATGACTGGGATGATCGGAACCACCTACGCTCTTACTCATTTGGCGAGGATTGCCACCCAGAGCGACCGCCCCCTGGAGAGGGACCCGACGTGTATTGCCGAGGGATAGCTGCTTCAGATCTCGGATGTTACGTGCACGGAGGCGAATCTGTGTTCTGGACGCTTTCGGCGGCAATCTCTGCGGAGATGGAGGTGCACAGGTGCTTTCAGCGGAATGCCTCGAGGCTGCCCGGCGCAACTCGTAGTCGTCCTGCGCGTCCTGAGAAATGGCGGCATCGAGTATTGCATGGCCTGCATATGATGTCTGTAAATGATTCAGTGCCGATGAGCTGGTGTCCGCTACAATCGGTGACAGATCGGTTCACACGTAGGAGGCTGAGGATGGTATAGCACGGTGCCTGGTACAACAAGACATATGCACCCTAGAAGAGTGGCCGGAGTTCTAAGTCCTGATATCACCGAGTTTATTCTCACAAGGAGTTTGGTCTGGCATGCTGTAAAATGAACTGAAGTTGTTGGGCGCACCATCTACGTCCACAATCGCGTGCGCCGACCAAGTCAGTCTGAGGCGGCGTCAATACTGACCATCAGCAGCGCGCCCGTATGCTTTCGAGCTGACTTGCACAACGGACGTTTCCGGCGAGAGCGTCAGAACTTAGAAGCATGAGACGCACAACACCGCGACTCTGAGCATCCCGAAGGAAGTTTTCACCCATCCTCACGCGACGACCACAACACCAGCCTCGACCAAGGCGTCAACTCACCACTCGGCCTTGAGAAGATCACTTGGTCGTGTCCCGTTCCCAATCCTCTGCCACTTCTTCTATCAGCCGAGCTGTTCCGCAGCGCGACCGACGGGAGCTGTCACAGACGTAAGCACAATGCAGGACAGATTGGGTCAGGCGCCGCTGCTGGCCGATGTCTAGTCATGTTGCACAGCATCATGACGGCACGCCGTTAACTGTTTCGTCCCATCTGCAACCCGTCCAGAATCTGAGACCATCTGTATGAGCACTCACAGGACAAGACAGCTATACGGTGACATCTATACGGTGACATAGCCACGATTCGCCTCCAACCATCGCACTTCGCAGAGTGAAACACTCTTGTCTAACCGTGTAGTCGCTCAGAACCTCGGACGAGGAGGTAATTTGACGGAGGCAGGCTGTGGACATGCCGCTCGGTCCGAGGACCAAGGTAGTTTGAGGATATCCCCGCGACGAGGATTGCCTCTGACCCACTCCAGCTCGAAGTTGAGAAACCCGGCCTTGGATACCCACAACCGCGATGTCTATAGTGCAAGTACGACCAGCAATGTTACGGAGAGTGAGAAGAGGAGCACGGAGGTCAGAGTCAAGGATGCACTCACGGCTACTCACGGTCGACGGTCGGAGAGCCGGCTGGGTAATTCAACGAAGCTTCAAGCAAGATAATGGTTATTCAAGTATTGTCTCACAGATCCCGAGGGGAGCGGGCTATCGATAACATACAATGGCTTCAATTACTTACAAAGTTACTGTGAAGCTGCGGAACGCGCATTTGACTTATCTTACAGGCGCCCGCAATGAGCTCATCGGCGGGGTACCCCGACGACAGGCCTATCGTCTTTCTACCAAACCATTTCGTCCAGGGTGGCCGGAGCAACGCCAGCGTATAGCTAGCACAGGCAGCTACGTAGTAAGTAGATCCATAGGAAAGGTCGGTTCAGTTCAGTGGCAGTCACACCTGATCAAAGTTGATAATTCATTGTGTCTTATGCAGAACTGATAAACACGATGCGGGCGATCCTCGTGAAAGACGGTAAAGGACCCATCGAGAATCTCTATCTCGGCGAGACCGAAAACCCCACCGCCAAACAGGGGGAGGTCTTGGTGAAGGTAGGCAATTGACCTCGACACATCCCTGCGCATATGTGCATCCTCAGGCTGTCTCACAAGCGCGTTCCTAGGTGAAAGTGTTCGGTCTCAACCGCATGGATATCCTCCAGCGCGAGGGCAAATACCCCCTCCCTCCGGGCGCATCTACCATTCTAGGCGTTGAATTCTCCGGCCATATAACCGGACTTGGTGAAGGGGTCACCGACTGGAAGGACGGTGACGAGGTATTCGGTCTTGCCTACGGGGTTAGTCTCGCAATGTATCGAGAAGATTTGTGATGCTGATACCATCTTCCTCGTCGCAGGGCGCCTACGCGGAATTCTTGACTGTCCCCGAGAAAAACGTGATGAAGAAGCCGTCGCACCTTTCGTGGTACGAGGCAGCAAGTATCCCAGAGAACTTCCTCACCGGTAATTTCGTCTACCCCCTGTGTGTCGACTTGACATTGACGTCGCGCTGGAAGCCTTTCAGGCTCTGGTCGCCATCGCCAAGGTGGAGAAAGGGAACGACGTTCTCATACACGCGGGCGCATCCGGCGTTGGTGTGGCCGCGATTCAGCTTGCTCGGCTCTATGGCGCGTGAGTCCACTTTCTCCTATTTGAGATTGAAATCCCGGAGGACAGGCTGTCTCAACAACACTACAGTAACTCGGTCACCGCTACCGCTTCCAGTCAAGAGAAACTCGACTGGCTCCTGTCCATTCCTAACGGAGCTACGCATGTCGCAAACTACAAGACGCAGGACTTCGCCGCAGAGGTCAAGAAGACGACGCACGGCAAAGGCGTTGATGTGATCATCGACTTCGTTGGTCAGAGCCACTGGCACAAGAACATCGACGCTCTCGCCGCTGACGGAAGAATGACCATGCTCGGCTTGCTGAGTGGTACGAACCATTTTTCCTGCTAATTCATTTGTCAGACTCATCTTTGAAAACGTTGACAGGCGGCGAGGTTGAGAATTTCAATCTGGGACCTCTGCTGTACAAGCGCCTTCGTATTCAAGGGTCAACCCTCCGCGCTCGTTCCCCGGCTTACCAAGCAGACCTGGTGAAGTGGTGAGCACGTATCGCTATACCGTCAGGCCTTCCGATTTTCAAACGATTCAATTATTTTCTAGGTTCCAGAACGACGTTCTTGACCACATCAGTGGCAGTGCTGGAAGCGGACAGGTGCGAACGTACATCCACAAGGTGAGAAAAAATACTATATTTTGGAAAACATCTCTGATGTCATCACTCTACATGCTGGTCCCCGACACCTGCCGCGAGTGTAGGTTTACCCGTGGACGGAGATGCAGGAAGCGCATCGTGAGATGGAGGCAAACAAGAATAGGTTAGTCGCGCTTGTTGCTGGAGGAAACTACCATTTGACGCTTTTCTGTGACACTCCAGTGGGAAGATCATCGCGGAGGTTGTGTAAGAATAAATTCGTAGCAATTAACGTAAAGGCCAACCGCATATTATCCCTGCGGCCTGCCGCGAAACGCTAATTGTGCGTCTCCACGCATGAATTATAGGACGCCTAGACCTGAAGTTACGGCACGAGAAGCTGGGCTACGTTAGCCAATAACCCGCATGGAAGCTGACAACTGCTTTCCAAAACGCCAGCGGTACTGACACCTCCGAGGTCGTCAATCCAATAGCGACGCGCAAATATGTTTGTGTGGTCTATACGACAATCATGATGAGCCCGCCTTACGGCTTGCTCGGATTGTTCCTTGACCCAGCTTGTCGGCGCTTCTTCGGGAGTCGTATCTTCCTAGTCTGTACTCCCCGTCTGACTCGCAGCTTACATCTGGTTGACCCCTGACCTCGGCACCTCTGTCTCACTGGCTCCGACTCTGGTCCTCCTCGGGATTGACCTATCATGGTCATATTCCGAATCGGGGCAGGCAATGGAAGGCTTCTGGCTTCCCTCATCTCCCCGGTCTCCTTGCTTCTGGCTTCCTCACCGATATATCGGCACGAATCGGCGATAGCCTAGTCTCCTCCTCTCCCTTGCTTCACTCATCCCGCGTGCCTCTGAAAGCCCGACGTCGATCGGGCGGCGTGTGTGTTGACGCCGGGCTAGCAGACGGCCTCCACGCTTCGCAAGTCGCAGATAGGCTGCCCGATAACTAACCGGAATGAAGGTGAGGCCAGTGGACGGGGGATGTGGGCTTCTGAATTGTGGTGACGAAGTTCTCGCGGGAGAGGCTCTGGCGCTGACTCGATGCCTAGACGTACACTGGCCGCAGGTCCCATTTGCCGCTTTAGCGCAACGGCGGCGGACGAGTCGCTATTGCCCGGGTGCTTCAGTTGTGCCGATCCACTCGCGGCGTAACTTAGTGTGGTCGCCATGCGTGAGTCAGTATGACGGATTCACCTCCAATTTTGTGGAGGTAAACCACCTTCTGCCTCGAGATGGTAAGAGCGAGATGACGCGGCGGGCCACGACAACGTTTCTAACCGCGCGCTTTCCCCCGCCTATCCACCCATCGGGCCATCCTATGTCGACCATATATGTATCATTTCCCGACATCTGTGGGAGTCTGTCTACCTGTTGTGCTTTGGCAGAGCGGTCTGGCTCGGCAGCGGCTTGCTCGGGGTCGACAGCGAGGGAACGCCGCTTCCCGCAGATCATCCGTCCTCCAGCGAGTTCTCTCATGGATACGTCCGCAGAGACGCCGCTTGCGTACTCTCGTTCGGATTCAGTATTCTCGCAGACCACGCAGCACCCCGGAAGGAGAGTTCGCCTGGCGTCCCGGTCTCGAACTAGTAACTCAAGTGGCGCCCAACCACATCCACCAATCATGAAACCACGTAGGGCGGTGCATGACCATATGCAGAGCCCTCTCTGGTTCCGCTCAACCGCTCAGGGCCTTTGATGATCTCGATTCTCTCATGTCAAACTCTCCATTAAATCGCAGAAGCTGATCTCAGTGCCGCCGGGCGCTCTGCCCACGTCACACTGGTAAGGGGTACCCATAAATTGATGTATTCCCGCGCGTTCAACCAACTTGAAGGGGATCATGGCCGGTAACAGCCACATCGAAGGTGTTTCGCAGGCACATCAGGTTACGCTGTTGGATGGGGCGCTGCGTATAAGAAGTCTGTGCGCGCCGCGATACTCTCCTCAATCCCGCTCGACCACCCACGAGTTCGACCACACACCCGACGAAGATCGCATCGACTGTTGCTCCGTCTCGTTCTCATCCTCGTTGCACCATGCAGTCCGACTCCACCGTCCTCGTTTCGTACAACTCGGCCGTCGCCGTTGCATCATCTGCTCCCGCGTCGAACTCCCCTGCGCCTCGGCCAAATGGGGGTGCCACCAACATTCGCGGACTTGCGAGCTCATCTGCTCCCGTCTTCTTCTGAACACCTCGCGCATGCACAAAAGGTAAGGAGGTGACGCCTTTCCAGGTCGGGCGAAGTTGACGATGTACCACAGGTGTCAGCGCTGCGCTGGTCGCGTACATGTCCACCTGCGCGAGCAGGCGTCAATGGACTTGAATTCGAAGTCGACCACACTTCCATTGGCCACTTCGCCCACCATGGCTGTCCTGCCTCTCTTCCACCGTTTCGTCTCCTACCCCTATAATGCATCGCGTTAAGGCAATCCTAGACTACTGTATCAACTGAAAGGACTTACTATCACGGACTAATGCTCGCTGTTATTATCTGTACTCGTACTTTACTTTCCTGTTGTATAATGGAGTGTCATAGCGAATCGTCGATGTAATACACTCGCACTGCATCTGCATATTGTATTCCCTGCTTCCTGAGCGTCGTACCTGATTACACTCAAGTAGTCAGATAGGCCGAAACAGAGAAGCTCATGATTTTGGCCTCGAGGCACAGGCATAACCTTCACGATGGAGTTAGTGCGGACCACTGCATACAACGAGCAAAAGCGAGTTCCGCAAGCGATACGACACTTCCGAAATAACGGGCCACAGACAGACGCGGTGAACCACATCGTACAACCGCATCGATAGCAGCGAATAGCCCTGGACCTCGGCGACAAATAGTCTAGTCACCGGCTGCGGAAACTTCCTCTGAGAAATGACAAACGCTGCCTGCGTAGCATGCGCCTGACCTGATGGGCTGAACCGCAAGCTGTGCCTCTGTACGGACATATGTCATACATGACTCACCGGGGCGTGGCGGAGCCGGGCACGATGAGTCGCCATTTGGGGATAGACGACCGTCGACGTCGGCGCAGAGAAGGTTACATTACGCCTGCGGTTGTTCATATGGAGCAAGCCTTGTAAACGATCAAAGTTCAGGGGTCAGGATGGTCGTTATTCGGACTATTGAGTTCATTTGAAACTTGTCTCCATATCCGCAGAGCCATGTCCGTCATTTGTGCGTCGGTCTCTGACTGAGCCATCAACAGGTCGACGTGCATTATCGAGTATCCCATAAGGTCTTGTCTGCCAGAGAGCAACGTGCCGAACAATTCATCGGCTTGTATAGGGTGCGACCAAACTCACCGGAGGGCACCACAAGGGCACGCATCACAATGAACGGGTGCATATCCCCGCGAAAGGGGCGGTGTTGTGTTCCGTTCCCAATTCCAGCGAGCTTGCAAACGTACGCACGATTATGCGTATGGACGGTCCGCTCAGCTGGGCTCCCGCGAACCTTCGAATCGGTACCTAGTACATCTTCGTCAATCGAACATTGACACTGGCCACTTGAACCACAGTCTTGGCGATTATCCAGCATGACAGAGGTAGCCGTGGAGCACGGATGTGGCCAGGCTTGGGTAAGAAGACCAAGAAGGCGGCCCCAACCTCAGTTCCGGAGATGAGGGAGGCTCGGTTTGGGCAGTAACCTAATCTCCCCAGGCAGACGTAGACAATTCCTTCAACCTTCATGCCTCAGGATATCCCAGTAACCACACTGCGGCGGCAGCAACACTGGCAGCGGGCAGGCCGCAGGCTTCTAAGCTTCGAGCCCATGCATCGCGCCCAGCAGAGTTCAGGTCTGAAACCAAAGGACTAACATTAGCCCAGGCATAGCGGCGATAGCATGTCAGAGGGAGCCGCCTTGTCGACTCGCCGGGCGACCCGAGTTAGCCTCGTCAAATTCAAGGTCAAATTCAGCAAACCACGTGCACGAGTAAAGACATTGAATCGGGCAGGGTTGCCGCCAAGTTGCCGCTGCAGCTGAGTCTCTTCCCCCTCGAACTCCCCGTTGCGTCCCCGTTGACGATTAGAACTAGAGATCGTTCTCAGCCATCATTCAAGCCCATGCTCGATTTATCTGGTCAGATCGTAATCTAAACCTCCAATATCACCCAGGGCACTGGGCACATTCAGAGCCTGAGGCTTACAGATTCACACTCACGGCTGCCTGCCATCCTTGGCGTTGCGACTCAGTATAACATACACGACATTGCACACGCTCTTGACAACTTTTAACCTCCTCTCTCCGATACTGCACCTGCGGTGAGTTCGTTACCTTGGCCAGTCAACTCCCAGAACCCTTCTCATAACCTACTCCAGTCATGTCGACGTCCCAGTCGCCTCTAGTCGGCTCCATTCTCGAGCGCAAACCCCATTCGAACCCCAGCGCACCATCCTTCAGACCCACATTGTCAGGCAAGACTGGGTTTCCGTCCGTCCAGCACCGCTCAAAGAGCGCGTTTGCGCGTGCACGAGAGGAGCAGAAGAAGGGCGAACCGAGTAGACCACAACATGTGCCCGTTGTTCAGCCTACGATGAAAGTGCAAATTCCTCAGCCGAAAGTCGCTGGCAAGCCTGCGGCAGGAGAGTCTGGTGACTGGCGGAGACAGATCGAGGAGGACAATCGAAGACGAGTGGAGGCTATGACGGAGGCAGAGCGCGAGCAAGAGCGGAGAGAGATTCTAGAAAAGTTCGGGCCCAATGTAGTTGAGATCCTACGGAAGGCCAAGGAGGCTCGGGAGCGCAAGGGGAAGCAGACCGAAGGAGCAGAAGAGATCCCTGTGGTCCCGGAAAGTCCTTCCACATCCCCACCACTCTCGGCAGATGGTAAGTACCCGGATGCCGTTGTCACATTCACACTCCCGACAGTTTATACAGGGCGAACTTCTCGACCTTCAAGTCCTCCTCAGTCTGCCTTGTCCAGACCTGGAACGCGTCCTTCAAGCCGAGCAGAGCGAAGAATCCGGTTTGCGGAACTCACACCTACGGACATTCACGTTTACGAGTCCGCCCCGCCTTCTCCACGCAAGAAGGCGCTCGCGCTCCCCCCGCCATCTCCGGCCGACGGGCCCACCACGTCACTCGGTGAATGGAAAGGTAGCCTAGGGCCAATCCGTCGGCGAGACGCGCAGGCGCCAGCTGTCGATCCCTTCGCTGCATCCCTGAGCACCCTGGAGGAGGGCACGCCCGAGGACATCCGCAGGCGGTTCTTCCCCACAGCGCCTGCACACGACCCATCGCTCCAGTGGATCGAGGGCGGTCCGTCCTCGGCGGCGTCTCAGTCTCAGTCGCAGTCAAAGTCCGAGACGGGGCTTGACTCGACGCTCCGCTTTGACTTGACGGGCACGCCGATCCCACCGGAGCTGTCCGCGACGTTGCCCACGCATCTTGGCCTGCATCATCATGCCGACGGGGATCGCGCTGGGTACACGCTCGAGGACGTCTTCTGGCTCTCGCGTTCGACAGTTCCGGCGCAGCGTGCGACGATGCTTGGCGTGCTCGGGCGTATCGTGAGAAGGCTGGGCAAGGGGCGTGCGCAGGACCCGGGGCAGGGCATCCCACAGTTGCAGGGACAGGCCGACGCCATCCGCAAGCGAGTGTTGGCTGCGGGCGTCGAGGCGATGGGCGAGCGCGGTGGCGTAGGTGCACGGGCTGTTGAGGCGATATGGGAGTGCGTCGTCGGGTGGGACGAGGAGGTCGTCGCCATCGAAGGTGTCGAACTGCAAATCGCTCGTCAGACGGAATCGTCGCCGACAGAGACAGACAGCAAAGGGAAGGACATCTTGGCGAGCCTACCCTTGGAAACCGTCCTCACGCAGATCAGCAATGCGTTCGCGACGGGTGCGCAACCTGCAGAAACACACACACAATTGCTGGCGATCCTCCATCGCCTGGCACAGCACACTAATGGCATGGCGAACGCCGTCGTCTCGACTACCGGCCTTGTCGCAAGCGTGATCCAGAAGTTCCTTCTTACGCCTATTCCCCCTACCGATACCTCTCCACTTCCTGACCCGTTCGCGCTGCAAGTCCTCATCACACTCGCTTGCGCATCACGCACAAACGCTTCTGCATTACTCGACCCTGCAGATGCCCTCCTGCGCTTCGTGATCACTCTCCCTCCAGCATCGTCGTATCCCCTCGCGTTGGCCACCGCACTCCTCCACGGCACTTTACGACTCTACACCGTGTTCGCATCATATGGCCTCTATTCGCACATGGCGACTACCGCATCCGAGCATTTCGCAAAGCTCGGTCAGTATGTCCTCTCGGAGGAATGCCGATCGCGGCAATTGCGCGAGGCGTGGCTGTCCTTGCTCGAGGCATGGATGGTCTGTGCGCGGGACCCGCACCGCACGACACCCGGGCACGAGATACTGTGGAGCCAAGTCGCCGGCTGGGGTTGGGGCGACGACGTTCTGGAAATGAGGGACAGGCTGGCAGAAGACGACGGCGCCGTGTGGACTGCCCTTTGGCGTGCGGCGGCGGCATGGCTCGAGGGTGCGAGGATTAACAGCGTCAGGGGAGGCGAAAGGGAGAGGGACACCGTTGTCACAGCGGTTCAAACCGGCTTCCGTGAGGGCCTGGAGAAGATCATCGTCGAGAATTCTGGGAGGGCCCTTAGCAAGGTTATGGGGCAGTTGTCCGCTGCTGGCGTACATGCTCTGGGAGCGGAAGACCTCCCTCAGTTGCAAGACATGGCTGAACACGCCAGCCGGCTTGCAGCAGCAGTGCGCCTCTGGTTAGCATGCATCGCGCCGCAGTCAAGTGGCACGCCGGACTCTCCGCCTTTCCAGCTGCCCTATCGCGAGCTCTCGGATCTCTGTGCGCAGATCACGACTCATCCGATCTGGGACTCTGTGTTCGCCAAGGGATCCGTCTCTTATGGTCTTGTGTTCTGCAGGCCACTCTCCTTGCTACTCTCTTCCTACCTGCAGCTCTCCCATCACACGCCTGGAGTCTCGGACGACCTGTGGATGGCGCAGGCGTTAGCGATCCAGTCCAGACTCATCCCAGGAGACGAAGAGGTTGCTCGGCACACCGTCAAAATCGTATTGGATCATATCACACCGGACTTCATGGATGCACGAGGGTGGACCGTCCCTCCAATAATATGGGAGAAAGGCGGAATGGACGCGATCAAACCTTTCCTGACCTTCTCGCTTCGGCCGAAAGAGGATGCATGCGTCGCCCCTCAGTGGATGTCGCCGGAGTCGATTTCGCTCTCGACTACGCAAAGGCTGCCTCCTGCGGGAGCTCTGACCGTGAATAGTCGACGAAATATGCCACTCCCTCTCACGCACGACTGGACTTTCTCGCCCCTCAATTACCTGCTGCGTTCGGGAGACTCCGACGTATTCAAGTCGTTGCCATCTTCTTGGGACGCGTCCGAGACGGAGGTAGTGCGGGCCAGTCTACTGCTAGCACGTGTTGTACGAGAGGTCTTGCAGCTGCATGGCCTTCAAGCATTCACGATGTCCCGCGAGGAGACGGTGTTCTCTTGCATGAAGGTGTTCATGCTCGAGCACGGTCAGCAGCATAACGACTCCACGGAGGAGGTCTTCCGCGACAAAGTCGTGGGGCAGTTCATGGACGACCTCGTTGCGCCTTTCGCAGCGAGCGCGTCGTCCAGTTCGCTGACTCTGCCCTCATCGAGCAGGACTTCCCAGAGCCTTGAAGGTGTTGCGACACGCTTCCTCGGATCTGGCACGCCGTTCTACCAGTTCTACACGGACTTCGTTGCGCTGTATGACGCGATATCCTTCTCCCACCCGCTCTTCGCTCGACTCTTGCTGCCTCCTACGTCGATGCGGTACCCAGTGGACTACAGGAAATTCCTATGGGCTGACTACGGGCACCTCCTGAAGACTATTCGGACTCCCATTGAAGGAGTTCTGACCGACAACATTGGCGAATACCTGTGGCCCGTCGAGCGCGACCCGGAAGTAGTCGGCGCTCACTTGCGTGCGCTGGTGAAAGGGCTGCCCGAAGGCTTCCTCCGCTTCATCGCTGTCCACCACGTCGCGTGTAATATCTGGCAAGATATCTCTGATGTCACAGAGGAGAAAGCACAGAGGCTTCTCGAAGCCATTGTCGACCAGGGCAGCCTTGACGTCATCCGGGAGGTGATGTGCTACCGACAAGTGCGGGAAGGGACTGCTTTACTTCCTTCTGAGTGCTTCGCGCAAATGGGAGAATGGAAGACCAGACGATTGGAGTTTGTCACCAAAGTCGGTGGGCCTAGCATGGCCGATCGTATGAAGGGACTGTTCGCGGAAGCCTGACTACAACTTGAAGATTGAGAACGTACTCGTATATTGTAGCAGACAAGAAAGACAGAATAATGTATCTATACTCCCTATGTAATGCTATGCAATATACGCTCGATGTACAACTCGATATTTGCGATGCTCGTTGGTGTAGTAGATTCGGATGATGGCGAGCGTTCAGTAGGAAAGATGCATTAGGAAGGCGGACGCCTCGGAAGTTAACAAAGCCAAACAACAAGCCTTCGTGGCACGTGATCTTATACACCAAGAACGCGTCCGGACGCGTCTCAGTCCTTATACATACCGCTCTCGCTCACCGCTCTTCCTCCGCCACAATGTCTGTTTCGAGCCAACATGAAGGTCTATGTCTCCGTTATCCCGAACCTCTGGGGCCCCATGCCAATGTCACCTATGAGGTTGCCGTCTCGATGCTCTTGCGTGCCATCCAGCTCGCACAACATACACCTTTCGTGTGGGGATATATAGACAAACCACAAGGTGATTCCGCTGTTCTCATGACCTCATATTTTGTAATGAATTGGCGTTTGGCGTACTTAGAGGGTCACTTATACCTGATATTCATGACGCAACAACTGCCGTTCCCCCCGGATGGCATACGGTATCAGGATCAAGAGCAGAAGATGATCATACCGGCGGGGCCCGGGAGGGTGTGTTCCATCTACATTCCCGCGAGCTGAGCACCGTCTCACAGAACTAATTCCAGGAGCTGGAAATTATGGAGATCAAATTCGGCTTCATCCCGAACTCAACAGACACAACAGCTTGCAGGGTCCGGAGACGTTACCGGATGAACAAGGGTGGCCATCCACAATTGGTACTCATCCATTACGGCCGTGGGCAACCAATGTGTGCGTCTGACAGCTCAATGTTAATCATTATCGCTTCCGGTCGCCGCTGACATGCCATGTACGAAAGCCATAATGCCAAACCTTAACCAGCCCGTACGCAACTATCCGCTACGTCCCATACACGAGCCAGCACTCTTCGTTGTTGGTGAGAAGATGGGTCAGAAGGTCTACCCTAACCAACATCCAGGATCCGCGGAGCGACCAGGCCCTCCAGGCATGGGCATCGGGTTCGGTGGGATAGGCAACTCTCAGGCCATGCTCGCACAGCAAAACAGCAACCTTGAGGCATTGGAGCGGCGAAGTCAGCGGGATCGCAGCGCGAGCATGAACGCCGTATGTCCTCATAGTTCCACGCTCACCCGTTGATAATCATGCTTGGGCCAGCGCGCGCCACCACCAGCTCGAGTGGAGGACGACGATTCCGCAGGTGCGTAACGAGCTGCCAATACGTTTGCTTGCTCTCCTAACTCTCAACTTCAGATGAATCAGACATGATATCCACTCGCACACTCGCCATGACGAGGTATAAGCGGAATCACGAATTCATGAACGAGGTCTTCATGTATGCTGCGTTCAGTACGTGCACCGGATAGCTTCTTGTGGTCGGTGTAACCCATGCCATATATCAGGTCACAAGAAGGGGTTTCCACCACCCAAATCTCCGTATTCCGTCTTCAACAAAACCGACGTGGAGGCCACCGTTGTCAGTTCCGATCCCTGCATTTTACCCCGTCCCGGCTCACTATTCATTCATAGACAAAGTTCTCAGCTGAGATTGACGAACTTCGTGCCAAGGCGGAGGCGCGAAGAGAAGCGAGATCGAACGCAGACGGTGCCGTGGGGGATGAGTCGGGAGATGTCTCCATGGATGCGGAGGAGGTCGCAACATGACGCGATGGCAATATCGCGTTAAGTATGGTCCTTCTGTCGTTTTGCTGTCGTATCCGCGCTTTGCCTTGTGACCCTACCCCTTGTCGCGCCTTGTATCTATGCCCAGCCTGTAGATGGACCTACGCCTGAGCGCTTATCCTGCTACATGGACCATTGACCAAGACCTCTGTGTTGTTACGAGTTACTCACACTGGGCTCCAGTATATTCGTCGCCGAACACTTCAACTCATCACAAGACATGGTCAACTCGACTCATCGATAATCGTTCGTCCGGTTCTGCATTGGTGCTACATGAGGCTACATGACTGCGTAGCGCCAGGCGACATAAGTATCGACGCATCGGGCAATTGTCGGGCAAGTCTCACCTTCGACCCAGACGTCGACGAGCGGCAGCGACAAACATGTCTCTGGTAGATGCTGCACACAAGGCCGAAAGGACTGAGGCTTTCAGTCACATACCAGTGATGTACTCAGCCCAGCATGACTGGCGATACGTGCTTGGCTAACGGCCGCCTAGAGACCTCAGCGATGTGTCCAACAGGGACCCCACCGTGCGCAAGGCACTGGCCGATACAATCAGAGATGCTTGCATGAACGTTGGGTTCTTCTACGGTACGTGTTATCTTCTGTAGACACAAGTGCCCCTTTGGCTAACGCAGTGATCATACCAGTTGCGAATCATGGCATCCCCGAGACGGCCATCGCCAACGCGCTATCTGCGACCAAGGAGTACTTCTCATTACCTCTAGAGGCAAAGATGGAGGTCAGAGAAGCTCATTCATTGTCACATCGTTACTAAACCCCCTTCCTAACGATGCTCTCCTTGCTTAGCTCGAGAACAAGAAGACCCCGAACTTCAAGGGCTACAACCCCGTTCGGAGCAGCCGCAACGACCCTCTGAGCGACGGGGACATGCACGAAGGCTTCGAGTTCGGCTGGGAGGCCCTCAAGGCGGACGACTACGACGGGCGACAGGCGAAAGACGGGGCGATGGCTGGCGCGAACGTCTGGCCGCGGGAGCCAGCGAGGTTTCGCGAGGCCGCCCTCGCCTACTAGTGAGCATACATCGAGCTTGCGGCTGCTCGTTCTCGACGAAGCTAGGCGACCGATGCTCACTTGGAGTGTAGCCATGCTGCCGTGGAACTTGGAAACAAGCTCTTTCCGCTCTTCGCTCTGGCGTTGGAGCTACCGGAGGACTACTTCGACGATAAGGTATGCTACACCCCTCTATCCATGCCAGCAGCTCACAGTCTTATACTCTTAGACGAAGAACTCGGCTGCGCTCATGCGAGTCCTTCACTATCCACCGCAGACAGGGCCCGTGGACGACAGAGTCGTCGGCATTGGCGCACACACAGAGTATAGCTCATTCCTCTGATACCTATCCAGAGGTTGACGACCATCACTCCTAACTCGCAGCTGGGAGGTCAGTGCGATCGTAATGCGCCTGCGTATCTGCTCATCGACGTGATCTACGCATTACAGTGCTTCACTATCCTCTGGCAAGAGCCGGCTACCCAAGCGCTACAAGTCCTGAACAAGGAGAAGCAGTGGATCGACGCGCCGCCGCTCCAAGGAACACTAGTCATCAAGTGAGATACCTCCACTTATCGCGCGCCGTATGTGCTGATCAGATTCACCGCTACCCTCTACTAGTCTGGGAGACCAATTCGCGCGGTGGACGAGTGCGTCGCTCTACCTGATCCCTCCTCTACATTGCTGATTCACAACGACCCAGATGACGTGTTCAAGTCGACCGTGCATCGCGCCATCAACAGGAGCGGCGTCCGGCGGTATTCGATCCCTCTCTTCTTCGGGACGGACTACGACGTGAAGCTAGAGGTGAGTTCGTCCGCTGTCATCAGGCGCGATCGTCACCGACGCGTCGTCGTCGCCGCAGCCAATATCTAGCTGTGTCTCGCCCGACCGCCCGCCAAAGTATGAAGTAGTTACGGCCGGTGACTACGTGAAGTCAAAGCTAGAAGCCACATATGGTCATTAGTAGCTCGTCGACAGCGTGCAGGCTAACATTGTAGTTTCACGTCGTAGCACGCTCCCCTCTCAGTGTTGTTCATGGTACGCGCGTGGAAGAAGGTTGATCGCGATCGACCCGCCGTGCCGCGGGTACCATTCAATCGAAGTCTTGCGCTTCCCGACAGCATCGATGATTATGGTTATGGAAAGCTACAAGCCTCAGATACACATCTGCAAGGCATTATGAGGTCAGGTTTCATTATCGCAGCTATTGGATTACACGCTTGACGTCTTGGGTGACAATACTTCATACAATAATATATGTCTTCAAGATTCGTTCCGCCCCCAGTCCATCGCCCATCTCTTTTCACTATTCCCGCCTCTGCACGGCACGGTCATCGCACCTTGAACAACTGCACCATCACCTTACCCGGCGCCTGCCCCTCCTCGTCCGGGTTCTTCACCGTGTAGTGTATCTCCACGTCCAGTTCACGCGAGTTTTCTGACGACTTGCGGCACTTGAACGTCCCCTGCACGACCGTACCTATATATCCAGCGTATCAGCGCCGCTCCCCACCGCGAAAGAAAAGCAGCGCACCTTCATGCATCGTAATCGGCTCCTTCAACAAAAACAGCGTCTGCTTCCAATGCGTCGGAACGCTCGCGGGGCCCGTGCTAAAGCTCGTCACGCGCCGCTTCGCGCCCTCCCCGTCTTTCAGCCCCTGCCCGGAGCTCATTCGCCGCCCAGGGTGCGGCCGCCCGCCGAGCGGCCAGACCTCCGCGACGACGGGGTCGCCCTCGCGCACGACGCGCACGCGCGTGTCGGGTGCGATGGGCGCGCCGTCGGCCGTGAAGAAGACGTCGAAGTAGAGCGCGAGCGCGTGCGCCTTCGTGCGCTGCGGCGATGTGGACGTGAGCGTGAAGGGCGCGGAGAAGTCGAGCTGCTTCGGGGTGATGCTAGCGAGGTCGAGGTCCTGAGGGATCGCGTGAGTGGAGCGCCGGAGGATGCGGGTAAGGAGCTCACTTTGACGGTACATGGTTCGCTGATGACCGTTTCAGGGCCAACGACGTCGACGATCGCGTCGTCGTATATGTCAGTACCCATGGCGGACAAGTCGAAACCTGATGCACCCATTTTAGCTGATCTCCGCGAATAAAGCAGACGATCGCCTGACCATAAACATCGCCCCAAAACCCTACGCGCTCCTTGAAGATCTCCGCGCCCTCACACAGGCAGAGCTGCATCTTACACTGGCCCGGGGCCATCACACCTCCATCCTTGCGCAAGAACCGATCGCGTGCATGGAGCACCGAGTCCAGCATGCTCTCATAGAGCAGTGCATAGCCCATCCACTCCGACACGATCACGTCCACACCGTGCTCCGCTACCTCCTCCGGCAACTGGATGTCCTCGATGCGCCCGCGCACGACGGTGATCACGTCCTCGAGGCCGTTGTCGCGCACGATCTGCCGCGCCTTCTCAGCGATGGGGCTCGCGTCAACGGCGATGACGCGCCGGGCGCCGGCGCGCGCGGCGAATAGCGAGAGGATGCCTGTTCCGCAGCCGACATCGAGCACCACCGCGTCGTGGAAGAGCTCCGGGCTCGACTGGATGAACTGCGCGTACGACGCGGTGCGCACCTTGTCTTGGATCATGACGGCGTGGATGTCTAGGTAGGTGCGGGACGTCAGCGGAGCGTCCCGGGAGACGCGCGCGGTGCTCACCGTTCTCGCCGTAGCTCTGGAAGTAATGTGAGTCGTCGTCCCGGAGAGGTGCCGCGAGGTGTGTGGAGGACCCGGGCGCGGCGGGCTCCGTCAGTGCCTCTACGAGACCCGAACGCCCGAGGCGCTCGCCGACGAACGCGCGGTAGTCGATGAAGTCCTGTCGCGCCTTCTGCAGTTTGCGCGCGAGTGCGCGGATTCGCCGCTTCGCGTCTTCGAGATCTGTGGGGGTCGATGCGGAGGGTTCATCTTCATCTGAGGACGACCAGTCCGCTGAGTGGACCTCTAAGGGGCGTTAGACCCGATGTCGGTCGAAGGACGCACGAAACTTACGGAGGAGAGGATCATCCTCGATGACAGGAATCAGATATTCATCCGAGGAAAACAAGGATTCGTCGCCCTTCAGGGCGAGGACCTCAGATGGTGCGGGTTTCTGCGAGATAAATCAGTAAAAGCTTTAGGATCGACGGTCGACCAGAACATAGGGACAGAAAGAAGACTGATACGACGAGTGCATGGAACGACCGCCCGCTCAGCAATCCTTTATGACCATGGTTGAAGTCAAAGAACATTACGCACAGGGCAGCTTCATGTGGCTTAAGCACAACTAACAACAGAGTATTTCCTGCCTGACCCCTGGCGTAAGATCGCGGTCTCAGCGTAAGCTGTATGTCATAAGAACTGCGGATGAATTCGTGTTATTCGGACATGAGCCTGTTTTCTGGTCATAATCCCTCAAAGGCATACATCGCATGCGAAACCTTGAAGCGGGATACATCCTCTCCGGGATATTGTCGGAAAGCTGAGCCACAGCAGCCGTGCGGAACAAAGGAAGCAGAGTGCTGGGAGAAAAGAGTGATACTCACCTCCTTTCGTATCCAGTTGATCAAGCGGATACGTTGGTAGGGATCTAAAGCTGCACAGAGCCATTCAGCAGCAGGAGTTTACAAATGGCACAATGACGTACAGAGACGCGCAGAAATCACATCTAAATCGACTCCGTGCACATCCTTGTCGTGATTTGCAGCCTCCGGGACAGACGCGAACGTCTTGTCCTGGTCGAAGAGCGATTTGCAGGGTCTATTTTCGATCGAATCGGAGACCCAGTCTTCCCAGGTGAGATCTTGCTCATCCTCGGACGACTGCGAGCTCCCGGACTCAGAGTTTGCGACCGGGACTTCCTCCGCTGAGAAATGCAGGACCATAGCTGTGTCTGTGAGTGAAGCGAAGTGACGAAAGATGGAGGAGGGACGTAGAGAGGAGTTCGCGATGTTTCTGGCTGAGCGCCATCACGTGACCCGGTATCGTCTCTGAGCGCCCGCGACACGACCGCGTAGGCGCCCTCTCACGCCTGCTGTATTGTTCCCTCCCGCCTCCCAGCACGGCCTGGCTTGCAGGTCTCGCGCATACTAGTCGACGAGACGGAGATTCCAAACTCGTAATGCGCTGCAGCGACGTACTCTAGGTCGTGGTCCTCTGTGTACTCGGCGCAACGGGGCAGCGGGGCCAGAACTCCCGAGATCATCTTATTGTTCTCGTCACCTTGTACAATAACCCGGGCGAGATCATCTTCCTCTGCAACACTCACGACCCATCCAACGATTCACGACTGTTGTGCTGAAACGAAACCACATCATGCTTGCTCCCTTCCTGCTCGCGGTACCCGGCGTGCTGCTCACGTACCTGCTTTACCTCATCTTCATTCAGCCGCGGTATAACCCTCTCAGGAACTTGCCTGGTCCACCGAGCAAGGGGCTCTTCAGAGACCAGTTGGGGATGGTTATGAAGTGAGTTCGAATGTTTCTTACTCATATCTTCATGTCTGTCGTCCCAACGTCACCAGTTGAGACGTCTCGGCAGAGACGGTCTTGTCCAGAGGCATCCGGGGCATCATTGTTGCGTTACGACGCGGTCTTTGCGATGTGAGCATTACACCAGAGTCGTCACGCCAGGGGATCATACAGGATTGTAGATGCTCGCGTCTTCTCCCAATGCTACCTCACGAGGGAAGTCGCAAGTATTGGAAGGATCCTTGGCAGGTCAGCTACCTCATAGCGCGTCTTGCGCTTAACAAACACCCTTTGGACCGTGCTCGCGCCGTCCCCAAGGTAAACGATGGGCTTAGGGTGGGTGCATCCTGTCTCGCAACTGGCGAGGCATGGCAGATGCATCGACCTTGTCAGACGTTCCGGATCGTCCAACACCGCACACATGTATGCTTGCCCTGACTGATTTTGTCGCTGCGTGATATTTTTGAGTCCGTCATTTCCTGTACGGAGGACTTACCAACCTGCTTCCGCAAGTCCCTCAGTCTCTCCGAGAACACACGAGCACTTTGTCAAGACCTATGGCCGCAACGTCATGATCCGTGGTGTTCTACCAGTGCGTGTTCCTGAACCTGCACCCGACCACGACTCTAAAGTCTTCACGCAAGTGGGACCAACGCCTCTTCACTCTCGACCCCGTCACGCTCGCACACGTCATGAAGCACTCTCACATCTACGAGAAACCGTGGCAGTCGCGGCGACTCATCACGGGCCTCATCGGGTGCGGTATGCTGGCCGCGGAGGGCGCGGTGCATAAACGGCAGAGGCGCGTCGCTACGCCTGCGTTCTCGGTGCAGAACATGCGCGACCTCGTTCCGTTGATGTTCGCGAAGGGGGACGAGCTGAAGGAGAAGTGGATGGAGATGATCAGAGATGCAAGTAGCCAGCACGGAGGAGAGGAAAAGAAGGGGACTGGGATTGTGGAGGGCTTGAAGTTAGATGTGTGCCATTGGGTTAGTCGTGCGACCTTCGATGTCATCGGATCTGCTGGTGAGCTTTTTTCGGGACTGAGAAGACACTGCAGTGATTTGATTGACCGACAGGCTTCGACTACCAGTTCAACGCGATACAGAATGAAACAAATGAACTTTTTAGCGCATACAAGGAGATGTTCGAGGTTGCGATATCACAGCAGTCGGGCGCGCTGAGGAGCTTGGCTGTTATCTACTTCCCGGTACTGGACACCCTCATTGTGAGCTCATTCTCCAGAGACGATGGCCCGGGAGCTCATGCTTTGTGTAGCCGAACAAGGCGACCCACACAGTGCGCCGCTGTCAGGAGGTCATCCGCCGCGTAGCAGGGAATCTCATCCAAGAGAAGAAGCGCAAGATCGCCGAAGCCGAGGCGCAAGGAAAGACACACCAGGGGAAAGACCTTCTTACTCTTCTTCGTGCGTCCCTTCCACAGGTGGCATATACTCCAATTGATCTCTTTCTAGTGAAATCGAACGCTGCGGCGGATCTCCCGCCCGAACAGCGCATCTCCGACGCAGATATCCTGCACAACATCAACACATTCATGTTCGCAGGCTCAGACACAAGCTCGCTCGCCATCACCTGGATGCTCTACCTCCTCGCGCGCTACCCCGACGTCCAAGCGCGCCTCCGCACCGAGCTCCTCGCCCTCCTTCCTCCCACGTCGCTCTCCGCGCTGACCCCTGACGAGGTCTCAAGGCTCTATGCGGGGATCGCGGAGCTGAAGTTCCTGGAGAACGTCATACGCGAGGCTATGCGCCTGATCCCGCCCGTGCACTCGTCGGCGCGGGTCGCGACGCGTGACGATGTCCTCCCTGCGGCGACGCCTGTGCCAACGCGCATGCCGGATGGGAGCATACAGGAGGTGAGGGAGGTAAGGGTGCCGAAGGGCGCATTCATACATGTCCCTGTGGAGGGCTTCAACCTGGACAGGGAAGTATGGGGCCCGGATGGGTGGGCGTTCAAGTACGTGTGAACTGGATTGGTATCCTGTCATGAGTCTGAATGTGACTTTCGCAGACCTGACCGGTGGGATAACCTGCCCGAGGCTGTCGCCTCCCAGCCCGGGTTGTACAACAACACGCTTACGTTCTCTGCTGGGCCTCGAGTACGTCTCCTTCGTACTTCACCAGGGCTCTCACTCACGTTCTCCCCTCCGCCCAGTCATGCATTGGGATGCGCTTTTCAATCATCGAGATCAAGACGTTCCTATTCATACTCATCACGCACTTCACGTTCGCAGAGTCGGACGAGAAGGTTGGCAAGGCTAATGTGTGAGTCTTGAGCTTCTGGTTGGAATTGCCGCTAACTTGCCACCTCCGCAAGCGTGCTCACGAGGCCATATGTCGTCGGCAAACATCTGGCGGGAAGCCAATGCCCTCTGCTCGTGACACCGTATGTGCGAGAAGACGCACAGTAGTGTGTGGCTGGTGAAGTGCAGATGCTGCTTGTTTGTGCTTGTATCATCTATTCGTCACGGTGTATTTAATGTTTATTTATCGTCATTGCAGGACGACGAGACCGTCTTTGTCGACAAGTACGTATCGCACCATGCATAGGTCACATCTCAAAGGCTGCTTTGAATGATATCAATACGGATGTCAAGGACACGATGCCGACTGAGCAGTCACATTACCGATCATCTACGCGGGTCGTTGCAAGACTCCGACGAGCCGGCTCAAAGCACTAGATAGCGCAAATTCAGACAGCCAATATGCACTGATTCACCCGGGCTGTATGGCCATAGGGAGAACGGGGACCTATCCGCTGTGATACTAACAGGTCATATCATACCATCTCCTGCCTGGTCATCTCTGGTCGTGTTGTATTCACTACATCATGGATCAGGCCTCAAGGCCTCAGGCCTCAGGGCGCTGTGTGTATGGCTTACCGCTCCCGGCATCACGCGTCTTCTCGATTATTGCCCACGGAGACGCAAGGGGAAGCTCGCGGCCACCGCACATCGTGTTCATACGCCGTTACAGCAGTGTTCATTGTGATCCGGTATGTACCTGCGTCATTCCGGAAGGCTTCACAAGTACGGGCGTGCCTACACCGTTGCGGAAACGTTGACTGCTCAAACATTCGCCATATCAGAGCGCAATGAGCGCCATGGTCTTAGGATTCGAAGACATAAACACGGACACGAGTTCGCATACCGCCTGCATCCTCCTGCATCCCACACACGCTCCCGTGCCAATGAATCCATGCCATCCGGCACATGCAAGGCATGCAAGGCACGAGGCCACAGATACCAATAGCTGCCGTGGGACATCTTGATGAGGTCCTTCGAGCGTCGCGCAGACGGTACCTTGTTCCTCCGGCCCTTACCAGGTTGTCGACACTGAGGCCGTTCGTTCTGTCAGGATAGCACTGTCGGCCAGGACGAATGGCCAACGAACCTGCGCAGATAGCCCGGTCAGAATCCACGGGAATTGGATCTGCTGCATCTGTGTCGATGCCTTCGGTACAACCGACAGCACCTTCAATGTCGGGGCCAGCATCACCTGCGTCGCCATCGACGTCTTCAGATGTACATTCAAGTACCGATACTTCTTCTCAAACATCCGTGGTGCCTTCCAACACTCCAACTGCAACGTCGGTGAAACCTCATACGACTAAATCAAAAGTCGTCAATTCTACGCTTAAGTATGCGATCAGTGCGCTCGACATCGCGGGGGATGTCGTGTCGCTACTGAGCGTTATTCCTACGCCAGTCAGCGCCGCTCTGGGTGCGGCGATGAATGTCTTGCAGGTCATCCAGGTGAGTGAAACGTTACCGCCTGCGGTGCATGAAGTCAGACTAATCGTGAAATTGTCGGTCCCGCGACGAAGAGGATGGTCGGAAACAAGCAACGCGGGCAGAAGCTCATCCGCAAGATCGTTGACATTGCCGACACTGTGAATGATACAATCAAGAGGGATGCGCGAAGAATCGACGACAACTTTCTGCAGGCCCTGTCGGATCTGAGCACGTAGGCAGCCCGGTCCGCAGACTGGATTCAGAAAACTCATCAGCGGAGCGCAGGACATTAGAGACCATCAAGGAGACTTTGGAAAATTATGGCAAACGGAAGTGGTACAAACGCTTGGCACAAGTCGAAAGCATATCGCACGTCTTGGATGCACAAGGCGAACATCTAGAAGCATCAATACAAACGTTTAAGGTGAGTCCACAATGAACTCTCCATTGGTACGCTGTCGTGACGCGTCATGGGCATAGATGAGGTCGCAAGTAACGACCAACTCACAAATCGTACGGCTAATGAAGCTGTGCGCGCCCAAAAAGCCCGAGCCAAAAGGTTCAGTAAGTAGTGGAGAGCAGTGTCCAAACGTGCTGAATGCCAAACGTGCCTCAAGGCACACATCTTCCGGATGCGGCAGATCAACCTTCTTGAAACGCATGGGGTCTGGCCTCCAGAAGGACCGACGCTGGGTCAGCAGTGGAAGGGCGAATGGGATGGTAAGGCAGTCGTAGTCCGGACGTTATGCTCCAAGTCCGAAGAATCGAAAAAAGTGAGTAAGCAGGCGCTAGAGAGAGGTGCATGCACTAACGACATAACAATTCAGATCGGACACCCGCAGTGGGTGTACTCTGTAGCTGAAGCGTTAGTGTTCATCGTGAGGAATTGTGAAGAGTGGTATAACTGACCGTTGGAATAGTCGATGTCCCGCCGGCAAACCGCTGCTCGGTTACTCACATCCTACGTCAAGCACAAAGTTCTACGTCTTCGAGTGCGAGGTAGATCCTAAGTAGATCCCAAACCTACATCCCATAGCGACGAGCGCGATCCGTCCATCACGACTGCTGATCTATTTTCTCCGTGACAGTTGGCTATCTTCAGCTCTGGGTTGTAGTATTTTCGCTGCCCCGATCGAGTTTCGCCGGTTGTGCATGTCATCGAATTTCTACGTTGATCTGTCGGCGTCCGTGTTGCGCGCAATGCGATGTCAAGACACGAGCTGTGCGCAGGCCAGTCAGCTGATGTCTTGCGTCCTCGTCGAGGGCTGCGACAACCTGGCAAGTACACGCTGCAGGTCGTTATCAGAAGTGGCCTTCCCTTATCGTGCGCGTGAAGAACTGACCTGTGCGGGTCCGAGTCGCCTTCGCAGCCTATATATATGATGACTCCTGCGACAATGCTCACTGTTGGTCGCGCTAGTCCGTTACGAGACCTGTTACCCATAACCCAGGGTACGTGACCATCCCAGTGCTCGCACCTCCTGATAATCAGATTTCTATAGCATCTATGTGAGCTGGAACGACATGATACTAGTTACCGTGGGATCGAACTCACCGAACAAGCGACGCACACACAAGAATTTATCTTCCATCTGGGATCGCACAAGATTCGATGAGAATGATCTCATGAGTATATACGCGAGCAAGGTACAGTCCCTCATTGAGGAAATCGTACCGGCATGAGCTGTCAGTGTGCAACGTCCTCCAGTCAGTCACACACCGCGGGTCCCGAACGTTCGAATCCGAGGCGGTGCTGGCGAACTGTTGATCAGGATCTGACGCGAACTGCCAGCTTTGCACCGAGTCATGGATCAGCGCTGCTATCATCGTACATATATGTGAGGCTTACAGAGATGCAGACAGCATCCAAAGGCCCCAAACACAACGTCAGGCGTACTAGCAGACGCACGCCTATCGAGCCCTGTAACGAGCATGTCACCTACACCCTCCGCGTCGTCATCTTCCGCGACGCTTCCAATGTCTGACCCTGCAGCGAGCTCCACAGCAACATTGGTCCCCAAGGTGAGATTTCCGCGCCTGTACCAATTTGCAGTGAGCTTGATCATTGGCACCTGTAGCGCACCGCAGTATCATCGCATGCAGCACCGCCGGCTAAGAACTTTGAGGAGGCGTTCGGCACCCTTTCCGCCTCGTACGGCTGGGGTATGACATCGGATGCAGGCATGCGCCAGAGCGCGAAGGCCCCTAAGCAAGCGCAGCAAAAACCGAGCTCGGGCTTCGGCTTGAGCTCCATCTTCAAACCGAAATCGAAGTCATAGTTGCTGACCGTACTGGCTGGGCGAGGGTACGCATATCGTTGGACGGATGACACAGGTGCAGTGGCCCATGCCAACGACCCGCTATGTAGCGAAGCCCTGACAAGTGCACACACAGCAGGCGGGAGCCTATTTATACTATTTTATCAGTCTTGACTTCGTAGAACATGGATGAAGAAAAACATACCTGTATGTACTCAATAAACCTCACAGTCGGCCACATCAATTTCACGAGAAGCACCGAGAACGCAGGCGGATGATCTCGTCGGCGTATGGTGCCGTGATCAATGACTGCTGTCTAACTTTGAAGTGCGTGGTTTCGGATGCATTCCGGGTGAGCCAGCTAAATTGGCGTCGTTGGTGTTGGCTTCGACGGCGTAGTGAGCCTTCACAGGAGCGTGTATACGCCGTTGATCTCCATGCCTGAGTACGAGAACAACATCAGAAGTAGGCGCAGCTCACCGTCGCCACAAGCTATCAGAGTGCGGCGAGCTCTCCGGTCTTTACTGGCAGCGTGGCAGGCAGCGGGAGCCCTGCGCGTGCCAGAACACGGAATAAGATTCCAGGAGATGGTGTAGGCTTTCATGGCGTGGACTGTGCGAATCTCGCGAAGTTTGTCGCGCAGCTGGGCAAGGAGAAGAGCTTTCGTGCGCGCAGCGCGTGGTTTGTGTCAAGCACTAGTATTGGCGTACGCGATCTCCACGTTCCATCCACGACATCCACAAATGGACACTTGTAGAGCCGCTCGCATGCTAGAGAGTGATAGGACACGAACCCTATCTTGAATCAGCCTGACTACGAGGAAGAGAAGTCGTCAGCACAGGAACTCACCGTGAGTACATACGATGCCCTCGATCCCCTTTCGTACAAACGCAGCTCTCGAAATAATGAGGAGACATCGACGACGGCGTGTATTAGATAGGGTTCGGTATACGTATCGATTAAGTCTAGGAACGGTCATCGTATCGTCTCTATCCACTATGATACACCATCGAGGGGGTTTATCGGTGGGAGAGGGCTTGTTTCGTCGGGGGCGAAGAAGTCCGGAAGCGTCAACGGACGCAGCTTGAAACCCTAAAACCAATTGCGTTCGGCATTCTGCGGAGACAGAGCGATGCAGGACACGTACCTCATCCTGGCTGCGCGAGAGCAGCTCGTGGTCATCATCCGACTCGCGAATGAACTCACGCATCGGCCGCATGGCGGCGTTACGACAGAGCTCCTTCAGGTCAGAGCCCGACAAGCCGTCGGTCTCCTCCGCGAGTTTGTGCATGGAGAAGTCCTCGGCAAGTTCCGTGTCTTGGAGCATCTACGAGGGGGGATCAGCGTCCGCCGGCAATCTAGGGTGAGTGAACGTACAAGGTTGAGGATCTTCTCTCGCTGCTCGATATCGGGAAGGCCAACGGAGAAGCGCTTGGGCATTCGTCGAAGGATGGCCGAGTCGATGTCGTTTGGTCGGTTCGTGGCACCCAGGACCAGTATCCGATCCGTACTCGACATCAGGCCGTCCCAGAGCCTAAACACGGAGTCAGTCAGAGATACCTTTGGGCGACGAAGAAAACTACGGACGTCATGAACTCTGCTTTCATCATCCCGGTGACTTCGTGGTCGCCTTTCGTTCGCTCGCGAAGGAAAGAGTCGATCTCGTCAATGAAGACGATGCTCGGCTGTGTCTTCCGCGCGAGGGAGAAGAGCGCTGCTACGAGCTTATTCGACTCGCCGTACCACTTGTTCGTGAGCACGGACGCAACGATGTTGATGAAGGTCGCGCCAGATTCCTTGGCGAGAGCTTTTGCAAGCATAGTCTTTCCGCAGCCCGGTGGTCCGAATAGAAGAACACCTTTGGGCGCACCAAGGAGGGAAGAAGAGCTGAAGAGGTGAGGGAAGACGAGCGGATAGATGACGGATTCTCGGAGTGAGGATATGATAGGTTCCAACCCTCCAATGTCTGAAGTACTCGTCGCCATTAGCAAGCCCGCAGCATGTAAGGCAGCATACCTGAGAAGCGGACGTCGATATCATCTGGGTGTATGACCTCCGAGGCTATTTGCTCTGGTGTAGTAATGTTAGCGGAGCGTTCGTAAGCCCTGCGGCGCTGAGAACGTACTCTCGTACTCGTCCAGCTTCAAGTCTCTATGCCCGAGCTTCTCTAGCGCCTTCAGGCTCTTTGCTTTCACCTCTTTCCTCTCCCCGGACATCGTCCCGTCCATGACCCACTGTCGGAGGATTGAGTCCGTGAAGTACATATGAAAGGCGCGCGACATACTCGTATGGTGTAGTACAGAGCTGCCTTGCGTCCTCCAATGAGATACTCGGCAGCACATTCAGCATGTAACGACGCACTTGAGAAGCTACAAACAGCGCGACTGGAAATAAGAGTCGTCAGTACCCGCATGGAACCTTTCCGTCTGCTCTGAGTCCCACCGTCTAGGATAGCACGCTTCGTGGAGGCTGATACAGCCATCCCAGAGTTGCTGAGCGGAGGTATACCAGTCAAGTCTAAGGGCAGAGGGGCAGCAACCGAGACCAACAAGGCTCGACGTCGACGACGAAGACTCGGAAGAGAACGCGCCGCGATGGCGCTGGGCGTTTGCTGGGCGTTGTGGCGCTCCCACGCGTACCGCGCCTGTACCAATATGGTAATCGCATTCATCGTACCGCTTGAACTTGGCGTCGACCACCAGTCGACCACGCTGCGCTGGACCATCTGAATACTCCTCCTCCTCCCTCCCCCTCCTAGTCCTCCTTGTCCAAGAAGACCACGATTATGATCTTAGTCCGTACGTAATGGACGTAAAGTCACACCGGTATTGCGCACGACTCACAGAACGAATTATCGTGCTCAGCAGCGGGCAATTGCGTGCACATTCGTCCATATCTAGGTCAAGCTTGTTAAAATCTATATTTTCCGCATGCCCAATGGCTGCCTACCTTACTGACTAAACACTTTTCTTAGGCTACCTGGAGACTCAGCGCGGGCGCAATTCTGAACCGGCGTGCTTTACAGTCTTTACTACTGACGGATCCCTCTCACTCCGAGTCGGGCAAGATTTCGCAGCGATGCTGTCGACTCCAAAGCTAGCTATAGTCATTTCCGTCTGGGTTCCAGGACGCCTAGCGGTTCAGGGCTTCTTTTCCGACTTCTTCATACTGAGCTATGGTCGCCTCAGGGTTCGGACGGTTATGCGCGTACTCGAATCCCAGTTGCAGGGCCTCCCATCTCTAATTCAGTCTTCTTGTCTGGAAATCGAAGCCCGTGGTGAATCTTAGAGCCAATATGAAGCGCAAGAAAGGTCACAAGCTCGTCTCCTGCCTCCTTCCAAATCCGTCGACCGCCGCCACCTGCACAGGATCGCTCTCCGTACACATAACGTCCGAGTCATTTCCTGTGTCTTGCGGACAGGTGCGTCATGATTGTGGATGTCTTCTAGTCTTGCCTTTGTTCCGCTACAGGGGAACAAAACATCCAGCCTTCCAAGTCGAACCTCAAACAAAATGGCTGCGCAAATGAAGTTGACCGCCACCGGAGCGTCCTACGCGTGCCGACGCGCTTTCTCGTTCCTTGCGTGGCGGTCGGCCTCTCTCCTCGTAGATGCCGCTGTTGAGGCTCTTCTTCATAAATGGGCGAAGGACGGACGCCCTCGGCTCAACGTTCCCCTCCACTCGCGTCTTCCTCAACACCCTTAACTGCAGAAGGTAGTTCAACGCCCGTTCACATCGTTCCTACGGGTTTCAAGGCATCATCGAACATCGCTCCTAGCTGGTCGACAGCCTCAAGATCGAAACAAGCACAATCTGCGCATTCAAGGCTCTGGCTATCTCGAACGCGAAGCTCACGCTTGCCTCTGCTCCTTGGTTTGTCGTCGCAGTGGTCTCTATTGGTCTCGTCACTGTCGTCGCATTCGCGTACGACCCATCGCTGCTGCTTTGCTGACCCCCGCCGCGCCACCACCAATCACGATCGCCCCCAGAAGGCGTCAAGCCTATTCCCGTGTAGCACAAGGTGAGTCGTGGTATTTGCCCCCGTGGTGCTGCGATATTGACGTTCGGGTCGTCCGCCTTTGGCTCGTTCCGCTCCAAGTCTCAATATAGTCAAGGTCGCGGTGCCCTGGCCTCGAACCTGGCTTTCTGCGAAGCGTCCCCCGGCAAAACTCGCCCTCACTGGTGCTGCAGGCTCTTGTGCTTGTCGCAAGATAACTCGAAGCCCTCGCCAGCGTTAGTGTCCAAGGCCGTCAAGCTGGCTCGATATTTTCAAGAACGAAGACCCTGGTGGTCGTCTCCATGGCCCGCTGATCCCCCAAATATACCTGAGCACCCAAGACGTCGCTTTGTCGGCACCGTCAACTCAAGTTGTTCAGAGCGTCGCCGAAAATGGATCATGACCGACACCCAGGGAACTATAGGCGCGTCGTCGTCGGAGCAAGATGGTACTTTCCACGGATCGACAGAACACCACAGGCAACATTTTCTTACAGTAGGTTGTTCGTGTCTTTCAATGCTAATTGCGCACTGACGGATCTTTGTCACTCAGCTTTTGAAAGGCATACGCGATGCAAGCGACCCTCAATGGTACATTCATGACGCCTTCCATTTCCGGTGAGCGTTCTCTGATCGAAAGGCTCGCTGTGACTAAGCATCCACATAGCCAGGCGAGGGGTGTAGCTGAGACATACGTCATCAGTCTCCGGCATAGTACGACACGATTGATACAATATTACAATTATACGCCTAGAAGCGAATCCCCAGACATCTTCAAAGGCAACATCTCCGAGGCCCGAAAATCAGGTGTCGAATATCCAATCTCTAAGCTGCCTCAGAGTTCATAGCCCCGTGTCCCACCTCGCCCTTAGACTCGCAGCGCCTCAAGCGTCGCTGCCGCATTCACGGACAAACACCAGAATTCCAAGGCTCCTGGCCTTGGTCTACTCGCATTATAACACGTCATAATGTCTGACTAGCTTGCATAGTACGGTTTCTCTCATTAATCTACACTGTATAATCGTCATTTTACCGTATAGCATTCACTCTTGACATGAGCATGCTTGTGCTGACATTGGATCCTCGTCGCTTGAGCGGTCACGATGCCGCAACGGGTTCCGCTCTTGGTGTTATTCCCTATCACGCAACCGCTGTTTATCACTGGCAACTTCGTGTGATGCTATGATATGTTGCATCCTGTTAATGAGTGAGCTCGTTGCAAGGTCATTGACATCCATCCTTTTCCTTCATGGCTCATGGCTCAACTTTTGAAGTTTCGCTTTCACTATTGATAGGGGTCAAGGGCGAACTAATCATATCGGAATGCTGTCTTGGCTCGTAGTATCAGTCCCGCGTCGGCCTGGCGTCGACAGAAAAGAAGATGCCAGCGTGAGGCCTCCTTTTGGCACCCACACGCCGTACGTGTACAATGAGCTGTAGACACGGGATGACCGTGACGCTGTTGACTTCTACAACTTCTCTGCGGAACATCTCCCGGACGATGTTGTGGGCATGATGTACGCGCCGTATCGAGTGTGCTCGGCTCCACTGTCTGTATAGGCTCGGCAAGCAGGCCCCAGGACCTGTGTATAGGCGTCCGAAGTGATGTATCAAAGCCTGTGTCGCGCCTTCAACTTTCTACTCTTCAAGCTTGCTTCAAGCCTCGAGTTCCGTGCCAGTGGGACAGCGGACACACAATACATTGCCTTATCGCTCATCGACATCGCCTTGGACATTAGCGTCGCCGGTGCGCTCAAGTTGACGTGAAAAGGAGATTCCGGCAGGGACCCGTAAGGGGAAATGGGGCTCGAGTAGAACAGTCTTAGCGTGCCGTTATGATGTATTAGTGTCCGCATCTTGCCTCGGGCGAGGGACTATAAACACGGTGAATTTAAATAAAATAAAAAAAAAGACATCGCCTCGGACGCCGTCCTCGAGGATTGTACCGGCGCCAGTAGTAATACAGATAAGACAGATAGACGAGAACGCAACATTGAGCGCTTACTTCAAGAGTTCCCCCCAGGTTCCCCCTCCTCTTCCCGAATACCCGCTTTCGCGTACGCTTGCTCATAATCTTGGTTGACGATTCCGGCCCTCCAAGGCGCACAAGTTGTACGAGCGATATCAATAATGCCGTCGTTACAAACGACCGTAGATGCACTCTGCGAGATCATCGATGAAGTCCAGGAACAGCAAGGGGCTTCGTGGTCTCAATCTGCGATGATTCCGTCGCTGACGCAAGTCGCATCTGCGATCATCGACATTGTCGCGCAAATGAAGGTAAGTAATGAACATCGCTAGACAGTAGACTCTTGGATGCACGGCAAAAATGTTTATCGTTCACGCACGCAGACTCGGGATCGCAAGCTGAAGGTGCTACATCGGAGTGATGAGTTTGCTCAAGCCATCCGCCTCATCGCCGAGGTAGTCAAACAAGGTTTCAGTCGAGACATGTCTCAAGAAACTAATCGGGAATGGGTTACTATGTTGGCAGAGCTACTGAGGTGCGTTGACAATGTTGTGTGTAGTGTGACCATAGACACGTATGATGTCCATTACTACCGGCAGCTCCCTGAACGGTATCCGAGATACGGCCATCACCAGCCGCAGCATGACCAGCAAGACTGTGACGTCGCTAATCAATCCAAGACTCTGGGGTCGCAAGACTACGACATCGACGTCTTCAAGTCTCGGCGAGCGAGTTGTTGAAATGAACAACATGATACAGATTTTCCAGGTGAGCCTCACGAAGTTGCGAAATGCCGTATCTGTAACTTGTGCTCGTCAATTAGATGAAACTGGCCATCCGCGCGAGGCTGGACGTAGCCCTCCAAAAACAAGACATCGGTGCTTCAGTCACGACACCGCACGAGCGCGGGGTCCGTGATAACCACGTACGAAGGAGCTCAATTACGCTGACAGCTCTTTACACTGCAGGTGCGGGTCTTCCAGCTAACCGACATCAAGCTGCTACGTGTATGTGGATCGTGGCCAGATGAACAATGGTCTCTAGGTGAAGAGTTCGAGGGCGAGTGGAATGGCCGTGTTGTCATTGTCAGAAAATTACGAACTCGGTCAACTCACAATGTAAGCTATGGAGGCTGTATCGACGATGTCTCATGATTCACAACTTCACCTCTTAGACTGGCCACACTGCTCTCATTCATACTCTGACAACACTGTGTGTATATCAAGCATAGGAAACAAGTACTAGTACTCATTCACTGTGATGGCAGGTACTATCCATACCTACTACAGATGCTTGGCTACTCCCATGCATCATCTCCTGTCAAGTTCTATGTGTTATCAACAGGTGTGCCAGCAGCCTCAATCAGTGGTACCTTAATCTGACAATTTGCTGGAGCTGGAGCCTCCATGGCAGCATATTTCAGGGATAAGGATCTGAGAATGAAGCTCAAACTCTTAGTTGAAGCTGTATGTTATATCTCTGTTTCTTGTGGATGGTCATTCACATATCATACAGATGCATGATTTCCAGGTCTGTATTATGTTTGTGGGACTATGCCTCTTATGACATTGTAACCATAGACAACCAAACAATATCTCAGGAATGAACTTGGCAATAATTGGGTTACTCTAGTGAGTTGGGGTTGACTGCTTCTTGGTGATGCATATCATCATGATTTCCAGGATGCCGAGATTTCTCCTGAAATGAAGGACAGCTACATGCGGCACTCTGGGACCACCTGCCTGTCTAGGCTGGTAATCAATGGGAAGGGCAAGATTGTCATGATGCCTCAACAGTGCCACAGGGCAGATGAAGGATGCCTGTATAATGAACTGCTGTTGAGTGAAGGGATGGTATGTCTCAGTCAAGAGTACACTATTGATGATGATAAGCTGAGGTTGCACAACAGGAATGTAAGTTCCCACAATCTGCAGCTGATTTATGATTTGTGATTTGTGATTGATTGATCATCCATAACGTGTTTTCCAAGGTCACTATGGCTTCCACCAAAGGATCCGGCCAGCAATCTCTTTCTCAGCAGCCTTGTCATTTCTTGATTCCAATCCTCCCCCCCTAAGCTTTGAAGAAGCATTCTCAGCTATAAGAAGCCCCAGTCGCTGTTTTGGCTATGCAGAAAATTTTGGAAGATTCTTTCAGCCAACTGGTGCCTTTGTGGGTGACTATGGATATATTGATGAAACCCAACAGCTGTTTGTTTGCTTAGGGTCATTGTCCCAATTGATTCACCAAGACCTCTATGATGTGTTCTTTGATGACTCACCAGCACCCAATGCTGGTTCATATACAAAGGAGATATCCTGGCCACAGGAGATCACCAGGTATGCACAATTTCCATGAGCTCACCTAGCAAGTTATTGATGGCATTTCAGAACCACCTGTGCCAGTGATCATGATACAATGTGTTTGGAACTTGAATGGTCCAGGGAGGCAGAAAGTGCCTTCTACAGACATGCATTGAAGATAGCCAATCAATTCAACCTTCCTGCATCCAAACTCATTTGTGGTATGTTCATCCTTGCATTACTACAGAATTTCCTGAAAGATCATCACTTTATGTTCCAGTCCACTGTGTTTACTACCGGTGGTACACAGCACTTGAGGCATCTAGTGGCAGCCCTGAGCACAGCAGGCACCCAATGACAGACACTGAACTTGAAGGTATGTCCACACTGTATTTACAGGTAGCATATCTCACCTATTGGATGTCAGATTTTGAACCACCACACTTTTACTTGCTACCATTATTGAGCAATGGACGACCACCTGTGCCATTTGGGTACTGGTCTCTTGATCCAGAACCTATTCCAGGACCATGGCCATCATTGAGTACCTTCACTGTTGGTACAGATGAGATCAGCCTCAAAACCAGGTATGCAAACTTGTGCATTGAATCAGGAACCTATTCATAATCTTTCTATAGCATTGGTTACCAATATTGGAGCTTGACGAGCGTGGAGGTTGATATCCTCACATATCTAGAGGGAAAATGTACATCTGATTGAAGTGGGCACAACGTGATCTGTGGACCTTCAAGAATCTGTGGTGCAAGGGTTGTGTAAGGTAGAGGCTGATGCAGTCCATATACCGTGTTCGACGTCGAAAGTTAGAACATAACGCTTTCAAGGACATCTAGAGCGGGTGAGGAGGCCGGACCGATCTTCAATCGGCGTAGCCGTTCGTGCAAGACGCACTGTACATCATCCGGCAACCGCGGAGCACCCCATTTACCTAACCCCCACAACAGAGGCAATCGTCGAGAGTGATGCGGCGAAGCGTTCGAGAAGCCTGCTGATTCGATGCCACGAACACGGCAGATTGTTGAGACCCGGTACAGTATGTTTAAGCGAGTTTCCACTGCTTGCGCCAGACTAATCTGCGAGGGGCGAGGATAATCAGGCTGCTACGTCACCGAAGGCACCATTCGGTTGCGAGCAGGACGAGCCATATGTGCGTGCAGCGATGGGTGTTGTCAATGACGGATGGATCAATCCTATCCGTCATGACCGAAACTCATTGCTTGCGAACGTGTGCTTCAAGAAGCGATCGTGCGTCCTTGGCGGCCTGTACGGGGCGTAAGTCAGCCCGCGGGAAGAACGACACGACAGACGATATACTCACGATGTGTCGCCAAACTGCCCCGCCCGAGTTCCGGATGTACCGAGATCTTCACCGGCGGGCTACCTCACGTTTCCATAAAGCTAAATATGAGACCGTGAACATCGGGAAGCCGGGGCTGTCCGTGCATCGTAGTCACCGATAGGTCGCTGTGGCATGGTATGTAAGTCACCTCAACGAAGATACATTGCTGAGGACCTGTTCTCCGCATCCGAGTCTACTCGAGCCTCTGCATCATGACGTGCTGCGAGACGAGTGTGATTATAGGGACTGGCGCGGTCGTTGCGAGGAAGCGAGGAGCAGTGTCCCGTGAGCCTCACATTTCAACAGATGTATCCGGTATGGCTGCGGAAGGTAAACAACTCGTAAGTGGTATTCTGAGGAGATGTTCGTGTGTGGACTGACCTTTGTGCGTGCTGTCCACGCAGGCGAGCTACAAGCTAGTAGCCGGGACACTCGCCTCCAAGTCTATCCAAAACGGTCGACTTCATGTCTCCGGAAGTCCGCAATTGTTGAAGTAGAGACAGGGTGGCAGGCTGAGGCGTCCGGTGCACAACCTCGCACAACGCGGTAGACGAAGAGGTTCTCTCAAAGTTCAAGTTAACGTTCAAACGCATGCGCAGGCCCAATTCTTCGGACGCCGCTGAGGCCCGGTCACGTGATTAATCGCGGTCCTGTCCAGTGGACTCGCAGCTATACGTTACTGCGACGTATTCCTTGTTCAAACATTGTGATATTCTTCTTCTCAGCTCGAAGTCAGAGTCAGGGCAACTTCCCACGTCAAGTACACACTGGCAGTGGCAGTAGTAAGTACACAACGTCCAGTGGCACTGATGTGCTTCAAGGAGCATCAGATCCAGCTCCTCCAGCATCTTACGTAGGCCCAACAATCCAGTACCCTCTAGGTACTCTTACGTACTGCAGCTCGCGCTCTCCCTCACTGTGAATCGTAGGACCATCACCATGCCACCATCGTCCGACTATACAGCCTTTCGTGCCATCCTACGTCAGAGCGAACATATCGTCGCCATAGCGGGCGCAGGTCTCTCAGCGGCTTCCGGTGATGCTATATCTCCTATATGGTCGCGGCTTGCATACTGAGATATGTTCCGCTGATAGGCATCCCGACCTTCAGAGGATCAGGAGGGCTGTGGCGCTCGCACGACGCCGCGAGTCTTGCTACGCCTCGCGCTTTCACCGAGAACCCCAGCAGGGTGTGGCAGTTCTACCACATGCGCAGAGAGAAGTGAGTCACGCCAACGTCTCTGAAGATGACCTCCGAGTAATCGAGAAGCAGAGCTCGCAAGGTCGAGCCTAACGCGGCACATACGGCGCTCGCCGTGCTCGCCGTGCCCGAGCATCTCCGAACCATCGCGCCGGACGCCAAGTTCACCCTCATCACGCAGAACGTAGATGGCCTGAGCCGAGCTGCGCTCTCGAGGACCCCCGGAGCGGACGAAAGGACCGCGCCCATATTCGAGATGCACGGCCGCCTGTTCCAGACGATCTGCACGTCCTGCGGCGACAGCAGGATGAACACGAACAGTCCTATCTGCCCCGCTCTCGCCGGGACAGAGGCGATTGTCGAGAGGCACGAGACGGAGCCGGATATACCGCTCGACGAGCTGCCTCTGTGTACACGATGTAGCGGACTGTTGCGACCCGGCGTGGTGTGGTTCGGAGAGACTCCCCACTATCTGCGCGAGATCCAGGAAATTGTCGAGAAGGCCGACTTGGGGCTGATCGTGGGCACTTCATCGACGGTACGTTAGCTAATCGCAGGTAGATGCGTCAGACAAGGATATCCTGAGGCACGAAGGTTGAAGGAATTGTCTACGTCTGCCTAGGGAGACTAGTAGATGCCAGCATTGGTGCTCATCACGCGCCGTAGGTCTACCCGGCTGCGGGTTACGCCGCAGATATCCGGGAGCATGGCGGGAAGACAGCAGTCTTCAATCTACAAGACAGCGAGGGCGACCAAGATGCTGACTTTCTTTTCTTGGGGCCTTGCGAAGAGACGTTACCGAGGGCTCTGTTTGCATACGGCGAACAGGCGAACCCATAGGTACGAGAAATACAGTGTGCATTTGATTAATTCATAGTCCAACCTCCCCGTCACTTCCGAGCGCGTGTCCAAGTTACATCACAGCCCTCCACTCATCGACAGAGCCACGCCAGCGGCGGTCGCCGCGACCCGTCGACCTCGCCTACTTAGAAGAAGGAGTCCTGCGTCTCGGTCACTTGATCGAAGGTTTCGTCTGTCTGAGACTCGAAAACCTGGCCGTCAGGCTCGACATAGTCGGTGTCAACGACCTCTGTCTCCTGCGTATCCTGGACAGTCTCCTCTCCGCCGAAGCCCTGCTCCTGGAACGTCTCTGTGGGCATGAAAGAGTCAGTGCCGACACGCACCAACGACTCTCACAAATCGCTACCGTACCTGAGGAGTAGTCCTCTTGCACACTCTCGCCGTAGTACGACATGTCGTTTTCTCGAAGAAGAGGATTCAAAAGGCGCGTAGAGGTTTGTATGCGGGTATGTTCTCGAGGAGCGTCGGTAGGCTTTGCCTTGCTCTAAGCCGGGTGAACTAACGACCTTTATAGTCCCGCATTCCATTGCCGTTCCCAAAATAGGTTGTGTAGATCCGGGGCGCTGTTGTCCTCGCTGTACACTCCGGGAAGACGACGACCAGCGCTCTGTGGCTCGATGCAGTACGGCATATTGACAGTTGCTGGGAACCATTTGTCAGATGCGCAACAGACGGGGAGCGTGAACATAGACCTGGTAGGGACCACGGCCCGGACGGAAATGCTTGAGCTTCTTCAACGGAAGACGTCGGCACTGGTATGGAAGCGTTGTCGTGTACTAGGATCGCAGCACCTTCGTGAGGCCCACTGGGAATCGTGCGGCTCGCAGAGCGTGGAAGAAGCACTGAACGCGAAGTACTAGTGCCTTTGGAGGCGATGAACATCGCCCTAAACCGTTTACGGGTACAATGGCTGCTATTGCGAATCTATTGACGATGCGCAGGTTCGCCGAACGCTCTCCGGACGCACGCAGCCTTTGACAAATCTACCACACAGCCTGCGTGGGCGGTGACAGACATCGATTGCTGCGCGAGCGTGTGGAACCAGTTATCCGGGGATAGAGAACTTATCTCTGGGCGATTCGTACCTATATATCAACCTCGGATTTCATTGCAGCCGACCTCATCCTAGCAACGGTCTGCTCAGAATATCCAGCCCCTCGAGACGCATCCCCGTACAGTAGTTGTATTCAAACCAAGTAAGGGGCATCGGGACCTTCGTACATTCACATCTTGTTGCGCGGGTAACGGGGCTGCCATTTCCAAGCATCCCTTGACCGTCGCCGCATCGTGCAAACTGAGCATTCGAGTGCTTATATAGTGTGAAGTGCGTCAAGCTCGCTCCCCGGTTCCCTACGATTACTTGCCAGTGACCTGTACTCGGTTTTGGCGGACCCGAGCAACCCGACCGCGGCGGTCTGGTTTCAGCTGAGGGGCATTATGAACGCACGGATCAGGATACACAGTGCGCAGAACGGAGCGGGTACGCACACTGCGCAGCTTGTTCAAAGATGATACAAATTCTTTTTTTTTTTTTGGAGGGCCGTCACGAGCAGTGGCACTTGACAATTGGTCAAGCCCAGTTGCTCGGCCTGCAGGCGGCGGATGCCGCACGTGCTTCCAGGAGAAAATGCGTTTACGCACGACTATTGTCAGTCAGTGTGGGACTCAGCTACCCGGGGTCTACATCGATGCAGAGCCCTGGGTCAATACCCACTAAAAACCTATGGACCGTCGTCCAGTCTTCAGGAAGGGCGAGTTCATCTTCCAGTACTCTCGTCCACGTCGCCAGGACTAAGTTCCGGTTCTTCTGTAGGCGTCCAAAGCGTCGTTTAGTGCTCCATATGTCTATTCGTAGTCTCTTATTGATGGCATGGAACCATTTCGCGATTATAGAGCGTATGTGGTGTCGCCATTCCGGGTTATCCTCATGTTGAATGACACGTTCACAGCGGAGCTTCCATATGAGGTGTGCCGTTTCGGACACTACTATCCGTTTTAGGCGTAGATGCAGTTCACGGGTAGGTGAGTTCTTGGTCACTCTCGGTGAGAGCCCTATGGATAGTATGTCGTTGTATGATACTGAGGTGTCTGTAAACCCTTTCCTCTGTAGGATACGTCGTGTCAGCTGCCATAGGACGTGTTGGTGGTCGGCGTTGCAATGGAGGAGGATGTGTTCTAAGCTGTCCATGGCGTTACACGGCGTGCATCTGGCACGGTCTTCATAGTTCGGGATATGTGTCCAGTAAGTGCCGACTTTATATGCTTTATGTAGGTTCTTCCAGATGAAGTCGGCTATGGGGCGCGTGAGGTCTCTGTGTCGTGTGCTTTTCCAGACTGATGCTTCAAGGGCCGTTTCGTCCTTGGTCTGGACGTATGTCATGAGTGAAGACATTGTTCTCACTGTAGATGGGCGCTTTGGTGTGCGTGTCTGCTCTCGGATGCCTCTGTACGCTATCCTCTGTGTTAGTGTCGCGACTTTTGCTCCTGACAGTTTGAAGGTCGTGTCTTCTGTTGGGTTTACTGGGGTTTGTGGGGTGCTAGCCCACCTGGTTCGTAGTCGGTCACTGACAATGTTCCGTAGGGCTAGTTCTCTGGGTGATTTCAGGGTGCGGAAAGATGTCACTGCGCATCGTTGGCGCAGCTTGTTAACTAGGGCTCGCAGGTATGTGGCTCCGCTCACTCCTATCCAGCCTATGTCTTCCCATTTGGGAAGGCAAGTTATTAATATCTTGGCTAGTGTGTTCGATCCCGTTATGAAGTGTAGTGGGACGTCAAGGGGGACTGTCTGTGCTATGTGAAGTGCCGCAATTACTTCGCCCTGGCGTGTTGTGCTATCGTTACTATCACTTGGTCTTACAAGGGTAGGAGGGCGAGCTCCATTTCCGTAGCATACGAAGGCGCAACTTTCAATGTTAGGTGGTGGGTTCTCCGGTCTGTCATTGCGCTTGGGTGGGTTGATTATGAAGGCGTTGCAGGATTCTTCCTCGACGATGCGGCCGCGTCTTTGTCGTATGGCCGGTGGTGCATGATGCACTACGGGGTCTACGAAAACTCGTATTGCTTCTGATAGGGGGCCCCGCGACGTTAGGGATGGGTCAAAGGTGACTTCTCCTTCATTACCCAGGGCTGATGTATTCTTGTCCTTCCTTCGTCTTGTTAGGGTTAGTCCATCGTTATTCTGGAGCGGGTCTGGATGCCATTTCGGGAGGATTTGACGTAGGAGGTTTGCGGCGGATCTGCAGCATGCGTGTGGGTGTCTGCATCCCCGTTCCCTATCGTCACGGCACGCTTGGCATGAACACGAGTCTGGTGAGTAGTCGTTTCGTGATGCTACGAAGGTCATGAAGCAGTGTCGGTTTATTAGGTGTTGGACGTCTGCTATGGTGAAGATGCTGATGAACAAGGAGTGGTGTGGCTAGCCTGAGGCAAGGCTACAAAAGAATACTACAGGAGCACAAAGAGCACTGTAGTAAAGGAGGACTTACAACAGATCTCTTAAGAGCTGAGAGGGAAGACTCAGAGGCGTTAAGACGAGAGGAGAGACCGTTACATTCTAGGGCGCATCCAGCCCGGTATATATACACATGAGAGAGCCATCACATGATCGTACAGTAAGCGTAACAGCGTAGAGTCATAACGGAGCGATATGGTGCAATGAGCGAATACACAAGGATGAGGCGATATTGCACCATGAATGGAATGTGTTATGGTTCTGTTTTTGTTTATAGAAAGCTAGTTACCGAGTTTATTGCCGAGTCAATAGGAATAGTAACCTCGGTGATAGAGATTTGTATTGCCTATACAAAGCGGTAACAAACGGTAAAATCTTCGGTAATCTTCGGCAATGCAATTACCGAGACGGCGCAAAGTTGAGCTGTAATGAGGATACCAGATCCACAACAAATACAAAAGAGGGTGGGACTTTAGTCAGTGCTGCTATACAAGTATGCAGTACTGCTCTTCAACTGGGAAGAGTAAGCTATGAATGGATTTGAGTCGGCAATGAATGGGGATTATTGCCGAGGTTTAGAGCTTTTCAGAATAGAGGATGAATTCTGAATACAGAGGATTAGTATCCAGAGGTTGATTCCGAAGGAATGGGCTTTTTTGGTTTTGAAGTCACACAACAGAAGTTGAATGGAAGTCTGTACAGCTAGCTTTGACTGCACAGTGACAATGGCAAGTTACAAAACCCTAATGTAGCAGCGCGAGGCCGTGCTTCAAGAGGGACTCACTAAGGCAATTAATCCTCAACCAGCTAATGGCTATAAGGCTTGCTTTAGTGTCAAGTGAGTTGCTGGTTAGGCTAACCACTTTAATTATAGTAATGCCACTGAGACGTGCTAGTATGGAACTAGTTGATACAGAGATCTATTGATGTTGGTAACAAGTTTACAAGATGAGATGATGACTAAGCACCTTCTCTTACTGAACCCAACTTGTGAAGTCAGTCAATGGGTTACTTAAACCTTACTAGTAGCGCGAGGACTGTACTAAGTAAGGTTTCACTGTCGCAGGTCTTAGAGCGCGTCGGTAAGAACTCGGCGAGAGTGGTTGAGTGGCTAGTATGGCTAACTTAGCACTCGGGACAAAGTAAGACTTTGAGTGGCACACAGGGTGTGTTTTGGTGAAGAGTAGATGGTGGATTGGATGATAGATTTCCTTGACCGTGCTCGGGAATGCCCTTTTATGCCATTACCAAGGACACAGCCAATGGAGCTACATGGAAGTATATAGAAAATCAAGGAGTGTCGTAGAAGTGTATAGTACATGTCCTTGACTCATTTACACCGCTCCAGAGGCCATTCTAGGAGAACAATAGGATCATAGCCTTACACTTCATTGTTTCCAACAAGGCAAGCTATGTTACCGAGTCATCCTAGTACAGCCACAGTACAGCCACAGTTTCAGGACTGTGATTCCCGAGGCATTACCGAGGCATGCAAGAGTCCGCATTTTTCGGTGTACAGCCTAAGGATAGCACAGCCATTCAACATAGCTTCAGGAATGGCTCGGTAATTGTTGCACAGCCATTCCTTTCTATGCCGATACAAAACCATTATAACTCGGTAATTGATCGGTAATAACCATCATTTACCGAGCATACAATAGCTCTTGTATCAGTACTGAAAGCATCTGGTCATAATAAGTAAGAACACACACTAGAAACTCAGTAATAGTCCGTTTAGTAGATACAGTAACAAGCGCTTCTAAAGCATTAAAACGTCGGTAATCAATACCTCGGTAATAAAACAATGAAAGCGCTACATTGATGTCCATTGAGAGGAATAAAGGAAAGATAAGGAGAGTAAGATAAGCACATAACAAACCTTCACTGATGCAGCCACTCGGTAAGTAAACACTTCTAACGAGTTTCTGTGCACTCTGAGGCTATCAAGCCTCTATCCCTAACAGAATGTCATGGAAAGGACTGGAACAGCGATGTGCTCAATGATGCAATACGATGCAATCAAGGAATGTGCTGGAACATGATGGAAAGCGGTGGAATGTTCCATCAGGGTCTAGATCTAATCATGTGCTACAGGTCTGGATCAAATCCGAAAAGAATGTACGTAATATGTAGCATAGTAGAACATAAGTCCATAACGGGTAAGGATAAGTCCTATCCCGTGTGATAACACCTAAAACAGTTGAAGTTCAACACTCCCACTTGTTCAAGATGCTACAAGCATGCCAGAAGACGACCTGAACTTCTCAATAGCTTTGAGAGGAACGTTCTTGGTCAAACAGTCTGCAAGCTGGTCTTCGCTCGCGACGAAATAGATTTCAGTTTCACCACGCTCATAAAATTCGCGTATATAGTGATATCTGATCTCTATGTGCTTGGTTCGGCGGTCCACAACAGGATTCACCGAAAGGAAGATACTTCCTTGGTTGTCTAGACATAGAGGAGTAGGACTTGACATGTTGTCTCCAAGCTCCTTGCCAAAATGACGAAGCCAAGCCATCTGACGACAAGTGTCTGAGGCGGCCTTGTATTCTGCTTCAGTAGAAGACAGAGAAACAGTCGGCTGACGTCTTGACGCCCAGGAAATGACACAATTGGCCATCATGAAGATGAAGCCGCTTGTCGAATGCCTATCGTCGCGGTCTTCGGCCCAATCTGAGTCTGAGTAGGCAATCAGACCAGAGTTACTGCCGCCATCATAACAGAGTGCAAAACGCTTCGTTCCTTGCAAGTAGCGCAGAACGTAGAAAGCCAAACGCATATGCTCCTTAGATGGGTTTGAAGAAAACTTGGCCAATCGCGTGACCGCAAAAGCGATGTCTGGCCTAGTACCTAGCATGGCGTACATGATACTGCCAATAATGCTCTGGTACTTCGTCCTAAACTCTTCGGTAGCAGTCTCAGTACTGCTCAGCAAGTTTGCGCCTGCTGGCAACGGTGTACGAGCTTCTTTGCAGTTGCTCATGCCAAAACGTTCTAGGACAGTCTCCAAATAGTCTTCCTGGTCCACGAAGAGCTTGCGCGTAGAACGCTCTCGACGTATTCTAAGACCTAGGAAACGTTGGACTGCTCCTAAATCCGTCATCTGGTATTCACGCGACAAGCGCTCTTTGACCGAGTCAATGAAGGGCTTAGAGTCGCCCAAGAGCAACAAGTCATCGACATATAGAATGACAACACAAGTGTGATCTCCAGATTCACGGGTATAAACGTATACACCTGCATCCGAATAGGTGCGCGTAAAACCAAGCCCTAGGAGAGACGTATGGATCTTAGCATTCCATTGGCGTGAAGCCTGCTTAAGTCCATAAATCGCCTTCAAGAGAAGACAAACGTGGTCCTCCTTGCCTGGTACAACCCAGCCTTCAGGTTGTTCCATGTAGATCTCCTCATCAAGATCACCGTTGAGAAACGCCGTCTTGACGTCCATCGACTCAATCTCCCAATCCTCAAGGGCTGCGTGCGCGAGCAAGTATCGCACCGACTCAAATCGTGCAACCGGGGAGAAGGTCTCGTGGTAATCCTGACCCCAAACTTGGGTGAAACCCTTGGCTACTACACGAGCCTTATAACGACCATCGTGCTTGATCGTATAAACCCAACGATTCTTAATGACCTTTCTGTTCTTAGGTCGCGGAACCAGAATCCATGTCTTGTTCTCGATCAGAGAGTCGTACTCAGACTTCTCCGCACCGTGCCATTTGTGTTTGTCAGGAGACTTCATGGCTTCAGAATGACTCTGAGGTACACCATGGTTTGCTTCCGCAACAGCGCGCGCCATCATCAAAACTTCTGCTTCATGACGCTGATTCCCTTGGGTATCTGTGCGTTGGTCAATCGAAGCTGGAGGTTCATCTCCGTAAACATTGTCTCTGTTCCTAGCGGGATTTCTCCCAGCACCATCTCTCCGAGGCCTTTGATACTGAGGCTGAGGAGGAGGAACAGGATCAGGACGCGGCTGCTCAGGCGGATTTACTCCCACTGGCTCAGGTTGATCTTCTGGTTCTTCAGGTTCGTCGTCTGCGGGTACAGGTACAGGTAGAGGTTTGTCTACATCCTCCGGTTCCAAATCCGAAGGATCAAACTGCGGCGGACCCAGGGACTTCGGGTCATGGCCTAAATCTTTCCGTGCCGGAAACGTCTCTTCATCGAAGGTCACATCACGAGACACAACGATCCCTCGAGTGGCTGGGTTCCAAAAACGATAGCCCTTTGAACCCTGCTCATAGCCAACAAAGATCATCTCGACTGCCTTCTTGTCGAGCTTCCCAGATCTCTGTTCTTTCGGCACATGCACAAACGCCTTGCACCCAAAAACTCTAAAGTAGGAAATATCCGGGATTGTGCCGTCCCAGAGAGTAATGGGG